CCTTCTTCCCACCACGACAATAAATCCTGCCATTCGCCAGGCTATCCCGAGCAATACCGAACACCCTCGCCTCAGCGTCTACCACGCAGACCTAGAGCTTCACAGGTTTCACTAATCTACCTCTAAATCCCAACAACACATTTACCATGTTCGGAGACCTCGCAGCCATCGCCAGCAAGCTCACCGGCAGGATCGCCAACAACCAACTCATCGGGCAATTCACTCAGTCATCACAGAGCGCTGGAACACAGGCAGCTGTCACCAGCACTCAGTCCTCGACAGATAGTAGCAGTAGCGGTGCAGGGGAAGCTGTAACCTCGAGTTCTGGATCGGGATCCACCCTGAGTGACATTTTCAGCAGTTTCTGAGTTGGAGATTCGATGTCACAGTGCAATACCGCCTTAGTTGCGAACACTGCGGTAATGAGTAGGAAGGTGGCAGTGTGAAGGCGTGGAGGGGGGGGTGGCGATATACGGAGAAATTGAAGGAGTGAATGGGATAGGCGATTCGCTGGATACGATGTTGTTGGTTGACTTTGTGTTATTGCTCAATTTATTCTCTAGGCATCTTCGGGGCACCGCAGGGATTCTGCTTCAACACGGAGTCTATTATTAGCTTGTGTCCCGACTGGTACGCCATTGGATTGCTATCTTCGTTTAACTGATGAATTTTCTGAGGAATGCGGTTCAAAGGTTCTCCCACGTTCTATATGAGTCGGGAAGGAATATTATACATTGATCCATGCTGGCTCCCAGGTTTTGATCATTATTTCATCTGTTAGCGATACCATGGTTGTACGCTCTTCCTGATAAGCTGTAGATCGTTATGCATGAGGCAGGCGCCGCAGTTAGCCCAGGAAACCACACCTTCCAAATCCATTTCAGCTCAGATATGCCTACTGTGACCGAGCCAAGCCTAAAAGGGTCCTGGATATCCGTACACACCAGACTGACTGTGACCTACATGTTAAGTAAAGACGCATTGCAGGTTTCCTAGTCACACAGGACTATGACTTGCGAAGAGACAATTGTGACTGCGCGGTATAATCAAAGCGGCAGCAACCTAGATAGCAGGATTAAATATTCGGAAAACACAGACGACCCGATATTTGAACACAATAGGCCACGAACACAGCAGCTAGGCTGTTGGTGTACCACGAGTCAACTCTATTCAGCTCGCATTGATGTGGATCTAACATTGTGCAGCTCTTTTTACTTTCCCTTATGAAATTTCCTTTTAATGGCCCGCTAGGCAGCGTGAGTTCAAGTGCTGGTGACCATTGTTGTTGAGCTTATTTTGGAAGCTTGGATCACGTCCTTGCATCAAGGATGGCTGTGTTGCACTGTCAAAAGCAGGGAAATCGCAAGCAGGAGGATCTACTTGCCTAATAGCTTAAGTAAGCTGTGCTGATGTCCTAGTACAGTGTTGATGCTGATGCAAGGCTCAGTCGGGGCTATAGCTCCTGCACGTGAAGGCTCAGCATGTCTAGATGGAATGACCATGATAGCAGCCTAAACTAAGGCAGTAGGTATCTATGTTGGAATTCCAATGTGGCACCAGAAAACTCTATTTGTAAGTCCGTGTTTTCCTCCTCTTCTGAGAGGGTATATTGATAACCAGAATCTATTTTTGGCCAGGCTACAACACAACGGTATGTCCATAAAACAGCCTTGCCAAGATAATCTCAGCTCACATCCATCTCCAAAGACAACCTCGGCAAAGGAATTTTCGGTATCTACCTAAAAGCAGCCTCGCCATCCGCATAGAGCACAGTTCAGTCATGGTATTAATAAAGCTTGTTCCCACCTTGCAATGGACTCTGTTAGACAACCTCCAGAGTTCCACGAACATCGCGCTAAACTATTGCTCCTCCCGTCCTCCTCTCTCCATTATATCCCGTTTACCACTATCAGATCACCTCTCGAAAACACAAAAATTCCACTTCACTCCAGTGAATCACCGTCAAACCCACCAACAAATCATATCCACCATGCTTGAAAGCTTCAGAGCTGTCCTGAAGGAAATCCCCAAACAGTGGATCGGCAACGAAGCCACCAACCAAATGATTCAGCAATCACACGGACAGGCGGGCGCCGCTACCACACAGTCGCAGTCCCAGTCCTCGGCGCAGAATGATAATGGCGGTGCAAACTCGAACTCCGCCTCTGCGTCATCCGTCAGCCGGAGTGATTCTTGGTAGTCCTTCTAGCCTCCTGCCTGACAAGGATGCGAGGGGGCGCGGTGGGATTTCTCTTCGAGGAAGAATATGATAACAAAGGGGAGTGAGGGTTGGCAGAGAACCTGTATTGGTGTACATAAGGGTTGAAAGAGGTGAAAAGATCTAGCGGTGGATTGTTGGAGATACATTTTCTTTTCTATCAGCCTTGTTCTACTAGCTTATCTGTTCTCTATGGAGGTTTATAGCTTCAGGGGGACTCTGTTTCAACACTGGATCTCCTAGTTTTTTACAGTTGGTACGATGCCTGCTAAGCGCATGGTTTGAATTGTCCCTCTCCCTCTTGGGTCCATGTATTTCTTTGAAGCTCGTTTTGATCTACATTCAATGCATCAAATGCTTTTATTCCTCTCAGATAACCAACTCCTCAAGCTTAAGCAGACCCTACCCAACCACAATCACGGCAGCACACACTCCAAACCTGACTCCAAATCCCACGCCAAGACATAGATTCGCTCACATTTTAAATATACCTCACCCCCACCACAATCCCATCCCTATCCACAACCCCCTTCTCACCAAGGAACACATTCTCGCCACTCTCATCAAGACAACAAAGACAGGCAAGTACAACACCTGTATACAGGTCGCCTACTGGACTCGGTAGAGATTCTTTTGTTATCCCCACGAGTTTCTCCTTTATAGCGCATTGACTGCGGATTCGTTCGTAGCCGATGTATTTCGCTCTTCGAATGAGATGGGTTAATGTGTCGTTTATGTATCAGAGGCTGTGTTGTAGAATTGCTGGTTGGGCTTATCAGCCGACGCAACATAATTATATGTATTTCTGTGACTGGGATAGCTCCTCCTACCTATTTGATCAATATGACATTCCTCTTCTGTTGTGGTTGAAAAGCGTGGAAGCGAATATTTCGCTGGTCGCTCTTGGTAATAAGGTCTAGCATGTAGTAAGCCTATCTTGCTCATTTTAGCCCATTATAACTACTTAGCAGACCCTCCACATCACCAGCTAGAACGTGCTGGATAATAACCCGCACAGCTGTATTTGACCCCTCACCCACGAAACACACTCCTGCCATTCCACCAGCAAAACCCACACAACCACCCGGATCGTATCCTCGCCCCAACCCGCCGTCCAGATATGCTCACGCACCCAGTACAGCATGACGGCATAGTTAGTGAGAATCGCCAGTGCGAGGGGCTCGCCGGCGGCTACCAGATCCCACAGCTCAGCGGGGCTAGAGACGACAAAGAAGACAACCATTAAAGGACAGATCACCTTCGTGCAGGTGGACGACTCACTGCTTCGGGATATCGACAGTGCATGTGCGAAGATTATCCAGCTCGAGGAGAAAGAGCAGGATAATTCCAGGGTTGAATTCCTGATGACGTTGCAGGGTGGGCCGATCTTTCTTCCGTGGCGAGGTATGTGCAAAACTTATTTTTATATCAGCTCATCAGAAGAAAGAAAATATATCAATGTTGACACGCCTCACTCTTCTCACTAGGCACACCCAAAGGCCTTGGAGTGCACACCACCATCCACTTGTCATACACAAAAAAATGGGCTGGCAAGGTGATAACCCTGACCCACCCCACCTTGTCATGGACCCTTAAGGAGAAGCTTAGTAAGTATAACTCCTAGTAGGATACTAAAACCTTTTATAGATACTATAAGCTAAGTAGCGCGTGAGCCTAGTTCCTCTACTATAATATAAGTAATCCTAATAATATTACTATTATTAGGATTATTATATAGTATCTAGCTACTAATTATTATTTATAGAGTAAGTCCTACTATAAAATATAAGGCTATTATAACAAGGCTAATATACTATAGTAGAATCCTATGTACTAGATTTAATTATATATACTATAAAGAACGCGCCTAATAGGTATCTAAGATCTTAGATATAGACTCACGTGAGCTTATTAAGGCTAAGTAGACCCTAACTTAGAACTACTATAGGGCGTGTCCTGTAATCCACCACTACAAGATCTTTAAGCAAGGAGACAACACTAAGCTGGTGCCTGGCAGATTCCTGCACTACCTCCCGTTTGACAAGGCCCCTGGTGTGCAGCTGAACTGGGATCTGCTCTGGAGCTATGAGCGCGAGGAGCGCGATGCGATCCGTCGAGCGTTCAAGGCGGCTTGGCTGTACGTTGACTCGATTGGGTTTTTTGATTTTCCCCCGCGGATTGCACCCCCGACGGACGTTAGACTCTGATTTCGGGAGACCGGCTAATGACGGATCTCAACATCACAAGAGCGAGTGTGTGAGGGCCGGCATAGACCCGGCCTGAACACCCTGGGCCATCTTTTCTGGTCCCGCGAGACGGGCAAAATGTAACCCTTGACTTTAATTCCTTACTCCCCTGCCCGAATACCAGGACTACCGTCGTATCCTGAGTATTATCATACTAATTCGCCTCTCTCAGTGTCATTGCTGGGCTTCAAATGTGCGAGCTTGTTACCGGCCCGCTCGAGTGGAGGGATTATACTTTTAAGTTGTTTGACCTCGTAAATAGCAGTCGCGCCAACCGCACGGACGAGAGCGATATGGATAAGTGGATTTATTGAATCCATGACGAGGGTGTGCTATACCCAGTCCTTCTATGCAGGTAGGTAGGGCTTCGAAGCAGCCAAAGTCGGCCGAGATTGTCATATACTCGACTGGATTGATTTATGCTTGTTGTTGGAATATCTAAACATGGCTTACTTTCCGGTACGATCAATGCATTACGGGGATGAAGGAGTTTCTTGTTAGTATCAAAGTCGGGAGAGGAAAATACCTTCAAGTATACTCTTCTATCATATCATGTATGCCATGCTCGTCCTATATGAGATGTATTCCGAACTCGTAGATAATGAACAACAAAGACTCCAAAGAAAAAAAAAAAACCCCAAATTAAAATCACTCACCAGCTCAACGCCACAACTCGTCAATTTCCTCCTCAATCTCCTCCTTGCTGGTACCCTCCCCCCCACTCCCATCCACCCACGCAACAGAAACATCCTCGAGAACACGAACAACCCTTCCAAATCCCTTCATAAGCACCCCCTTCCTCACCCACCACCCGCGCGAAATCCCCCCGACACGCGGGAGCGGCGTCGCCTGGGGAATCCCCTCTGCGCGCCAGGCCCCATCCTTCTGCGCGGCGACGAGATCAGCGTGTGTTGCCGGGACAAAGTCCGAGGCGGCGTCTTCCTCGTCCAAAGGGGTGATTAGGATCAGGGCGGGGAAGGTCAGGTGGGATTGTATGTGGCCGAAGCCCGTAGCGGTTATGCCGTGGGGGGTTTGGGCGAGGCCGTGGGATGGGGTTCCCGGTTTGGGGGGTTGGGAGGGGGATTTGTGGAAGAGAGGCATGGTGGGAAGTAACCGTAAGCTGGTACTTGGAGATGGGCTATGAGTTGGTGGTGAATGTTTGGTCTGTGGAGGTTTGTTGAGGAGGATAGGATATGGTGTGGTGTGGTGTGGTGTGGTGTGGTGGTGCGAATAGATTGTCTTTGGTAGAGGCAGCCTAGGATGGGAGAGGGCCGGGGTTTTATAACCAATCTTACAGAGTGCTTTGTCATGCGAGTATTGTTCCCTTATTCTTGGTTCATATGAAAGGTTGAAAGAGAGGACTAGTGATTTTTCTTGTGCTGAGATTGTTTCACCTTTTGTGATCAAGGTGAATGATTGATTGTTGTCCCTCAAGCTTTGTTGACTATTCAATTGTTGTATCGTACTGGTAGGCAATCAAGGGTCTCCCCTTGTTGCTAATAGACCAAGATCTTAATCACGTATGTCGTGATCTGGACAATACTTAACAATAGTTCGTACCTTGATTGAGCTGGTTAGAACCCAGAGTTCAAGTAGGTTAGGGCTCAGATTATTGAGACAGTGGCAAGTGGGTTCATTGTGAGTCTTGTTCCTTGAGCTTCAGTGGTTGGCTCGATACACTTACTCCAAGATGATCCTACGTCCTACGAAAGCACATGTGCCATAAATAGAAAAGATACCCAAAAGATTCAACTCACGATTATGTTTTGATGAGAACGAGCTAAACACATCTATGAGTCTATGAAAACAAATCAATCCGATAAACATCCCCCTTCTCACTACAAACCCTGGCCGTCCGATTCACCCTCCGCCGCGCAGCCAGTGCCTCCTCATCCAACGCCTCCAGCGCCCCCGCATCAAACTCGGGCCCAGGCCCCTTGAACGGATCCACAATCCGCACACTAAACTCCCTCCACACCCGCACAACCCGCCCATACCCGAGCCTCAAGCACCCCTCGTCGTCAGTCCAGTACCCGAAACTGCACTCGCCAACTATATCGACGTCACCCTTGGGCAGGATATGCGCGCCGTCGCCTGCTCGAGTCTTCGAGACGAGGTTTAGGTGTCCGAGGCCGGCGGGTTTGAAACTTGAAGCGGCAGAGGCGGTTTCGGGGGTTACTTCGATCAGGCGCGTGCAGTGGAGGATTGTAAGCACTTGGCCGGCGGCTTTGTGCAGGTGGCCCGTTGGGCCTTCGACGAAGCCGATGCCGTAGGCACCGATTGGGGCATATTTTGTGGGGGTGGGACGGGGATTGCTGGATTGGGACATTGTTAGCCTTGTTAGGTGGGGTATTGGGGATATCGCTGCGGGTTAGTGGTGAGAGGTGTCGAGGACGGGGGGCTGTAGAGTGACTGCTCAGATTACACAGGAGGTGGGCTTTTTATATGTATATTGTACTTTAATCTCTTTGTTTAAATCCCCGAGAGAGGATCATTGTTGGCCTTTGTTTTCCACAAGCATGGCTACAAAGAGTGTGTACACCACCATCCCCTTGTCATACACAAAGACATCCATGGACAGTTCAAGGGTCTAAACCTGAACAACGCCAAACTTGAACAGACTCTCAGCACCTGCCACAATTGCCTCCTCACTGCTATACTCCCACTCCCACTTCAGAACCTCCCTCGCCTTGGCATTACTCACCTTCTTCTCATGCCCCAACTCGGGGAGTACAAGCCTGATAACCGGCCACACTAGCGCCACAATCCGAATCGCAAAATTCGGCAGGACCCTCGTGGGCACCTTGCTCGCCCTTTCCCCAAACCTCCTCTTGAGAATCTTTGCAATCTCCTCCGTCCAAAGACTCCCCTCGCCAACACACAGGAACCGCTCCCCGCCCGCCGCGGGTGTCGTCATGGCGAGTAAATGCATCCGCGCGCAATCGCGCACGTCGACAAGCGGCCAGTGCAGCTTGGGGATCCCGGGGGCGTTCCCCTGTAGCAACTCGACGAGCGTCCGGAGACTCGTCCCGTCTTCTTTGCCCAGCGCGGGGCCGAAGATGGTTACGGGGTTGACGGCCACAAGATCAAATGGTGGGCCCTTCTGACCGTGATCACCTCCGTCTTTCCATTCTGCGGTCATCGTCTGCATAAACTCCCACGCGGCCCGCTCCGCAAGCGTCTTCGACCGCGGATACGGCAGGACAGCCCTTCCAGAATCGAGGTCCGTCCAGTCCTCCTCGGTGAACCCGCGTTCCTCACCACCGGCCCCTGCGTATCCGTATTCGTGTCCGTATGTCACCGCCGCGAGACTGCTCGTCAGCACCACGCGCTTCACAGTCCCTGAGTCCCTTGCCGCCCGCAGGACACGCAGTGTCCCCTCGCGGGCGGGCCTAATGAGCTCGTCGTCTAGGTTCTTTGGGAAATGAGCGGGAAAGGGCGATGCGACGTGTTGGATGTATGTTGCCCCTGCGACGGCGGCGGGCCAGTTTTCGTCGGTGAGCAGGTCGGCTTGGATGATTTCGAGGGAGCGGATTTGGTCTTCGGCTAGGCCGGCCTCACGCAGGCAGGAGTGGATATGCGTTTTGCGTGAGAGGTCCCGGACTGTCGTGCGGACGCGATAGTGCTGTTGGAGGAGTTGGGTTATAACCCAGAGGGCGAGGAAGCCTGTTCCGCCGGTTACGAGGACGAGGGGTGGCTCTGAGGGCATTGCTGATGAATATCGGAAGGAGTGGCAAGGAGAATGAACTTGGTATGGTCAGAAGATTTGTTCACTCGCCTATTGAAGGCCTTTATATATCCTGCTTTGTCCAAGCCTACATCATCTGCTGCCGGATACAGTTTAGCGGTGGCTGTCAGCAGGCTGCATATACTAACCCAGCCGGGGAAGGCGTGGTTACAGGGTGAGATTCATAAAGAATCGACGCTACCATCCACGCTACTGTCAGCACGCTGCAGAAGCCAGCCTCTTTCACTTTTCAAGATTTGCAGTTTGCTATGGATGGACGTATCAACCTGCAGCCTATGCTGCCGCTTCGTGAGGTAGACCTCTCTTCCACTCTGCTGGGACTGGACTAACGATTCCTAGGCCATAGAGCATGACGACAACTGGACAGGCCTGGTGGATGCACGAGAGAGGCGTAGGCGACAGAACCGGTTGAATCAGAGGGCGCACCGTGAGAACTTGTGATATTCTTGTCAGTGTCAAAATGCTCTAACCGCTCCCAGGCCGCCGCAAAGAACAATCCCTAGCTCTACAGGTCTCAGACAGACCAGCGAGGGCGGAGGTGCAGCTGTACTTCCCGCTCTCCCTCGACCACCTCCTCACCTTGGTCCAGTTCAACACCTATCGCGGCCTCCTCACCAACGCGAAGATCCTTTCATTGCCTACGATTTACTCGTGTGGGGATCCTACATCTCCACTTGCTACCTCGTGTGCGTCGCAGTTTGACCCCGGCATCCCACCTGTCAGCGCACATGCCATATTAGGCCAAAGGCTCCCGCCGCAGCTCCTCCCAACCCCCCTCCAACTCGCCACCCCACACGAGCCCTGGATCGACATATTCCCTCTCTCGATCCTACGAGACAATTTACTCCGCCTCCGCGGAGGCCTCGACTCGTGCGACCTGTGCGACGATATCCTCGGTGCGTTATTCAACGGCCAGGATCTCGATACGGTCTCCAAGTACAAGGAGCGCAACGGGTTGATTATCTGGGGCGAGCCGTGGGACGTGAGGTCCTGGGAACTGATGGAAGGGTTTGTGGATAAGTGGGGGTTTTTGCTGGAGGGTTGTGAGGTTCTTATTGAGGGGTCGAATCGGTGGAGGGCTGTTAGAGGAGAGGGGCCTTTGGTACTTGGCTCGTAAGTACAGGGAGTATATCGCACATGGTGAACGCGATGAAGACGTTTGTGTTTTGTTTATGTGGGAGCTGGGAGGGTATTGTTAGGGAAGGCGTGAGGATCTCGCTCCGCTGGAACCCTCTTCTATAATACACAGAACGATCCTTACCTGCAGCTACATCATTGCCGGGACAGCTGAATCCATCGCCATTCGTCCTACCTAGTTACAGTATTCTCACCATGTAGTCAATTGGGGCAGTGCATTTTATTACTAATCTGATGCGGCTCGCAAGGCTGTTGTCCAGCCGCTTAGTAACGTGGTGTGGTAGCACAGCGACCCCGCTGACACTTTCCCTTCGGCTTATCAGATAACAATCTCGCCCTTCTCTATCGGAGCATCGGAACCGTCCATCATCTACTAAGCCAGCCCATTTCGAATCAATCTCAACGCAAGATGAGAATTCTCTGTCTACACGGCTACGGGACAACCCCCGAAATAATGAAACGGCAGATGTCGCTACTCCTCAAGATCTGTGACCCGAAATGGGAATTCCACTTCCTCGAAGCAAAAGTTCCATGTCGGCCTGCGCCTGGTAAGCTACCACCTTTCATGCCATACAATGACCGGCGCCCGCAAAGCCGCGTCTGATCATCCTTTGAATAGGCATCCCCAAAGACACAGCAGGTCCCTTCCTCTGCTGGACAGAAGACTTCGGACAAGCCGAGAACAGGGCAGCGCTGGATCTAATCCATCACACGTTTACGACAGAAGGGCCCTTTGACGGTGTCTTCGGGTTCAGCCAGGGCGCGTCGATGATTGCTGCGTACTTCCTTGAACAAGCAGCCCTACATCCGGACCAGCCTCTACCCGTGAGATTCGCAATATTCGCTTCGCCGCCGCCTATCCTTGCCACGGACAATGGCTACGTCGAGTCTGCATACGGCTCCCTTTCCTCGACGAACCTGCGGTATCTCCAGTCCGCCAGTCTAGAGTCCACGGTTCACCTCCCCGAACCAGCTCGTGCATCCGCCACGCTCCTCATCGAAACCCTAACACTCATGAACCCCGTGCACGGCAAATCCGTCTCCTACTTCTTCAACCGACCTGAACCGGACATCCCATGTGTCATGCTCCCAGGTGCATACGCGGCACGCCTGGGCATTCCAACACTGCATGTCCTCGCGAGGGATGATCCTGTTCCGCTCCAGCGCTCTTCGGAGATTTGCAGGGAGTTTTGTGACCCCACGCGGCTCCGCGTGTTTGAGCATAGTGCTGTGCATGGGCTTCCGAGGGAGCCGCGGGAGGTTGGGGCGTTGGCGGAGCTTATGGTGGGTGTTGGTGAGGGGGGTAGGGGGTCGAAATTGTGAGATGATCTGGAGGTGGGGTATGAGATGTGCTGTGGAGTTCGGCAAGTGGAGGTAAGGAAGATAGTACCTAGTTCACCCAAAGTAGTAAGGGGCACAGTTGGGCCTGGTGGCTTTAAGACCGTAGCCGACGGGTTGGAGGCTTATGCATTGGCTGTCGATAAATCACCACTCAGTAGTGTCGGTCTTTTTCATGACTCTTGTTGGATTCGGATGAAATCAAATTGCATGATTTCGGTTACTGAGATCCTCATCACCATAGGACGTGGACGGTTCTTTTCCGCTATGGAGGTGCAGGAGCTGCCTGCTCGGGGATAGCTACTGTTATAGGGCACCTGACGGATCCATATAAGCAAAGATACATAATACTGCCATCAAGTGATACCTTCATTAACTCAAGAATCTGATCATCTTTACTCAGTAACTGTGAAAAAGGTCGAAATAAAAGAACTTAAACAGCCCCAAGAAATGAAGCGGATGGACTTGCCTCCGCTAAAGAGTCACACTATCACACTATCACTATCACGGATATCGCACGATCGCTCATTGTGATTCAATGGTTGAAATATGACTAAAACCACACCAAAGCGGGAAAGGGGTTTAATCCCAGATACATATATAACCTCGATCAACCTCATCACAACGGCACCCACCATCAAAGCAAGGAGAAGGATGACGAGGCGGAAGGCTAAACCTACTACTATCCTCCTTCAGTCCCAGAAGTTATCTCCGCGACAACCTTGGCATCGGTGGACGGATGAAGAACTCAACTTACTTGCGTATTGCCGTACCCGTCACTGGTCCTACGCTCGAATCCAAAGGAAGCACTTCCCGCCATTCACAGAGTCGTCACTCTGGGGGGCATATAGCCGTATCCCTCGTAAGGAGCGTGCACACCGTGCGCCGATTGTCGCTGGTTCAATCACCACCTCTCGTACTGCTTCTCAAAACAAAGACCCTGGACACACTCATCCTGTACCGGAAACAAGCCATCGATCCCATCCTGTCCCCCAGCCTGAAGGCAATGGGGCCGAGGTGGGCCAGGTGGATCCAGCCAGTGGAAGAAGCAGGACAAAGTGTTCCGCATTCAGGAGGGTGGATCAATCTATTTCTAAGCCTTCTGGATATATGATACCAAGCCAAGCGAAGGCCAATGACGACGAATATTGGCTTTTGAGTTGTAATGCTGTCCTCGAGTGCTGCAGTGACCTTGATGAGCATCTACTGGGGCTGCTGCTACGCTTGGACTCTGCGATACTACTATGCTTTCAATGGACGAGGGTCGTGAGCTAGGAGGTTTCGGTATTATGGTAACTAATGTATTTAATAGCGTGCTCCTTTCATCAACAGACAAGAAATTGCTCAGGGCCACTTAATCAACCCATTTCTGCAAAAATGAACATGCATACTATAGCACAAAATAATCAACCCCTACACCAACCACATCCATGAAGAAAGTCCAACCCCGCGTCGTACGTCAAGCCAAGCCGCGCCCCCGCTAAGTCAGGGTATTTCGTTGGCATTCTTCCAGAAGTACCCAACTCCATTTAGCCACCTGCAGCAGGAACGTCGGTCTGGAGATGTGGGGGCTAGTTCGACTTGCGCGGGGAAGCTCCATTGTTCTAACAATATTCTTATCCGCAATGTTCAGGTGCCTTGAACCCCAAACTATAGCATGACTGCATATATGGCATCGGGGAGCGCCCGCGCTCGCAAGCTGACAGCCAAGAATTTGTGATGAATCCTTCAGCATCTACTATACTCGCCCTGTTGTATGTCGAATAGTAGCATTGTATGGCATCATGACTGTTGGTAAAGGAGCGTGTAGCACAAGATGCGACCACTTTTGGAAGGAGACATTAATCTCATCTATATGGTTTTAGCGGGTTGAGCTGCGTATAAATATGCCTTGAAGGACGCCGATTGTTGACTCGCTTCTTCAATTCAACCAAGCAATAATCTTCCACCGGGTGTTTAAACTAAACATCCAATCTCTATTCTACCAAGTAGGAGCACTCCAATGAGACACAGAAACTTTCAACTAACAACAACAGTTCTCTCAGAGTCAACCCTCTACTCATAATCGTAAGGCACCTACCACCATTTATTCTTCTACCCAGATCCCCCGTTCAACCAGCTGAACCATAAACCCAACTAGCACCCGCATTTAGAAAATTATGTTCCCCTGGGGCGACACCGGTTCCGCCGGCTCTACCACCGGCGGCGGCCAACCCATCGACAAGGCCTTCCCTTGGGGTGATCTTTCTCCGTTTGGTGCTCCTGGTGGTGCGCGTGGTGGTGGTGAGGAGCTTCCTAAGTAAATTTGGAACATTCATGAAGGGTTATAGTGGCAGGGAGGGATTTATAGCTCTATGGTAAAGCAGGGGTTGTAAGTAGTCACTTTATATTCACTCTGCTATCACATAATCAATGATGTTTCTACATCGAGCCTCATCTCCTTTTAACATTCCACCTTTCCATGATCCTGTATACATGCCACAGCTTCTGGCAAAAAAAATTCAACAAATGCCATTTTTAGTACCTTACGCCAGGCAGCTGAATATCTCCATAACCATCCCCTTGCGATTCAAGGGGTTTAGTAGTTACCACAGCTGTATTGAGTCTCCATTCTATAAACTCTAATCTACTTTCTGAAACCAGGCGGACACTGTATCCTTATCCCACACCCAGTGTAGACCTGTACAGACCCCCGTATCATCTACTGTAAACTCCAACAAGAGCTGCTTGTAGTCATTCGCGCCGAACTGCTGCAGCTTCCAATTGTCCTCCCCTTGTGGGTCCATGCTGTACACGTCTTTGGCATAGAAGAGCAGTGGAAGCTTAGTTACCTCTTGGTTGTTAAACACCACAGAGAGTCCGCTTATGCTGTCCCCAAATTCCGTACGCGCAACGACAGTCACTGTAAATCGATCATTGAGTCCACGATACTCACCAACATACGTTACGAGATCTCGCACGGGATCGCTGGGACGTCTATTTTCCCTCCAAGGCTTCTCAATATTATCTTCTCGGCCTGCAGCCGCAAGCTCTGCTTCCTTCTTCGCATACTCTGCCAGATCCAGCTGTGGTTTCAAATCAAACAAAGCCTGGATGAGCAGCTGGGCTGTCCAGTCACTTGCATCACCGAGGTCTCGCCCATTCGTCATGGTCACAACCGCACTCTGCGTCTCAGGGAATGTAAAGACACTGAACAGGGAGCCTCTCATGCCACCCGTATGCGCGACCACAGGAATCGGCTTTGCTCGATGTTCCTCCGAGTTTCCCAAAATATTGTGCAAGTGCAACCGGTACTGTTTTTCACGCGTGAACCCATTCCCACTAAATGCACTGAGCATCGATCCCGGAATCTCAGTGCGGAACCATCCCATCCCGTAGGCGGCGTCTTTGGTGATTTCCGGGTCGTCTGCCGGCCGAGTCCAGTACCCTCGTCGGACCCGCGTCATTTGTTTGAGTGGGTTGTTGGAAATTTGCGGTGTATAGACTGGGTCTTTTTCTGCTCGCTCGGCGTCGAGAACTGCGAGACAGAATGTTAACATGTCATCGAGAGTGCTTCTCATCCCCGTTGCGGCGAGAAGCGGTGCGTGATCTTCACATGGCCAGGACTCGTCACGTATACGCGCGAAGTGTCCGCCAGTTGTCTTGAAAGTTGGAGGCGCGATATTATCCTCATTTATAATTTCGGACCGGCTTACAACCGTCCTGGTCATTCCTAGCGGGATGAGAATCCTCTCGCGGACGAAATCAGCAAATCGCTGCCCGCTGACCCTCTGCACGACCAGCGCAACAAGTCCGACTGTGAGGTTGTTATACCCCCATTCCTTGTTGAACCTTTGCTTTCCCTCAGAATCAACAGTAGGCATCTCATTTAGTAGGCGAATAACATCCTCCTCGTCAGCGAGAATCGTCCCCTTCGGTCCAATGCAAAGCATATTCGGCGCCGTAAGACCGGTACTATGCCGCAGACAATCGATGATATCCGCCTCTTTCCCAATTCGCTCATCTCCCTTGGGATTAAACTCAGAGATATATCTCGACACAGGATCTGTCCAATTGAGTTTTCCCTCTGAGACCAGAATACCGACCGCGGCAGAGGTGAACATTTTCGAGACGGAGCCCAGCATGTAAATTGTTTCTCCATCGGGAGGTAAAGGTTGTGATACCGTGGGGTCGCGGTGGCCGATGCTGTGTTTGAAAATTATTTTTCCTTCATGAATGATGCCGAAGGCCTGGGACGGGGCTGCGCAGATGTTGTGGATTTCGTGGATTGCGGGGAGGGCTCCCTCCAGCCGTTCCAGAGGGCTCGTGGTCTCGGCCATACTCGAGGTTTATTTCTTGGGATTAACAATGCGAAAGCAGGAGTAAGTATCGAAAAAGGTCTAAGCTGGGGAAGAGCGGTGCTGAGGGGTATAAATAACTAGGTTAGTGCTACTGTATCCCTCATGCAGTCTTACTCCGTGTTGAATATAGGTTGCCCAGGTGGGGTAATTTACCATCTCAAAACAGCTAATCCCTCCGATCCCCGCCTGATGACGATGCAGGTCACGACTACTCCCCGCTGTTCTTGATTTCTTTGTTTCCTTGTGATCTTGAAGCTTGTTTGAGATGTACTTTCTTACATACGGAGTAAGTTAGTCGAAGAATCAGAGGACCAGCATTGGGCCAATCTCACAACACTGATTGGCTTACAACAAGGTGTTTTACCCCCCTTCAAGGCGCTCGCTCGGCTGATTTGACCCCAAAACCTTAGTATGCTAACCAGTGGGGACTGCGCTACAGCAGGCAGAAAGCGGCACAGTACTTATCTGAGAGCAAGAGCCTCACCAGAGGCCGCGGAGCTTTCTGAGGGATTCTCGCAAATAGTGCTCACCAGCGCTTCAGGCAAAAATGAGCGTTGATTGGCTCAAATGTGCTGGGATGTCCAGATTCTTTATTTCGCCCTGGATCGCGTTCAATCATTCTCCGCTTGGTAATCACCTGTTGGTTGGCGGGGTTCACGCTCATCGCCCCTGGCTGAATCGGCAATTTCACTCCATGGTCAACAAAACAATTTCTGGATAATGGATATTTCATTGGAGAAGGAGATCAACATTGGCTGGATCAGTTGCCAACATTCAGGGAGCTCCAGATCCTCAGTCTGAGAATCCTTGCGTCCGAAACCGCCTCTATCCACCAGAATGTTGAGAACATTAGGAGATGCCGAGATCTAAGGGTTATTAACTGCGATTTTGGTAAGCTGGATGACATAGAAATGCTGATCATCGCACGCGGATGCCCGCTCTTGCAAATGTTCAGAGTTTGGCCAGGAGGCTGTAGGGTGGAGCCTGGGGTAGCGAACTCCCTTTTATCGGATCTGTTCCATGCTCTACCTCGCTTGGAATACCTCGCCCTTTGCCTAGAGTTCCAAATGGATGGTGCAATATTTGAAGATCTTGCACGTCATTGAGCTGCCTCGGACTCAGTTATGCCTCTCTCTCTCTCTCGCTTTGATGGCTAAAATGCGTTCATTCCGGTATCTTGAGAGCATGCAGCTGGCGACAATATATTTCAAAAATCCACGACGCATGATGCAGCGGGACAGCATCCGTAGCCTTGCAACCGAGTGGCGCAGGGCATTCCCTAAACTTCGGGGAATGCCATGTACAGCGGATATGTACTCCCGATATATGCTAGATGGCTATTTAAGCGAGGAATCTGCAGACAATGGGGAAGTGAGTTCTGATGAAGGGACGCCTGGACTTCGCTTTAACGATTACGATTCTGACTGGTTTATTATAAGAACAAAACTCTGGAGAGCTCTTGACTATCCAAAAGACCAGATCATTCATGATAAGGTCCAGAATATGTGGAAGACCAACATGGAAATCCAGACGGTTGGTTGGCCTGTGATGCCTCTGGCTGCCAATGGACGGCTATCACGGGTATCATCCTCCAGCTGAAGTCGTTGCTGGATTGCACAATTCTAACCTTGACTATATCAAAAAGACCTATCAGGAGGCTTTTGAACATGTGGGTTACAGACTTCTCGAGCAACGCATCAAGGAGCAAGAGAAAGAAGGCGACGATAAGCAAAGCTACAGGTCTCGCTACGAACGGCTTGCAATTAGCGTCGCAACGCAGGATCAGCTTCGGACTGGGGTACGTGGGTCGCCGACGTGTGTTGTACCCCGTGAACCATGGATCCAGGAGATTCTGCGCCCTCACACAGATGTTGTAGAGAACCTTCGCGTAAAGAGAAATAAACACGGGTTTGAGCTCGCGGTTTACCGCACAGCGCATTATGAGGGCTCGGACTATCACTGGGCGGATGTGCGTGGCAAGTTCGAGGCTCATCTCTCGACCTGGGGAGATGGCGTCGAGGGATCCGAGGAAGTCAAACCTCTTCTTAAGCTGCACTGGTTCGATGCTAAAGAGATTGGCCTCGGCCTCAATGCCGACGCAGTGGACGCAGCAAAGCGGTTGGGACCTCCACCCCGTATAATAGCGAACAAACACAACAGGCTAACCTTCTGTCTACAGGCACTTCCAAGAAATCCGTGATTCCGATGTCTACAAGCATAAACTAAACCGCAACATTTTCTTCGTCCTCGATGGCTGGAGCGCATGTTCCTACCGAGACCCCGAATTTAACGCTTCTTACATCAAGCAAGGTCTTTCCCCCGGCGACTTCCAGGGCCACATCCTCGCCGTCGATGCAGACTTCGACCCAACCGAGCTGAACGAGCATGCGGAAGAATCGCCCGGCTTCCAGGGCCAGGTGGGGATATTAGGAAACCTAGTCTGGGGGGTGCTCTACCCGATGTTCATCATGCCATCCGCGACCTTGGAGGACTTGTGGCCGATGGCAATGGAGCATCCGCTCAAGGTGTATACGGGGCTTACGGTGCCGAGTCAGCTTGAGCAGTGGAGGGAGAACCATGTGTTCAAGGCGGCAATGTTGGAGCCCTTCGTCGACCACTTGAAGGGAAAGAATGCGGAGCTGGCAAAAACGGTGGCAGACTTGATGCTGCCTAAAGTTCCGTCGGATATGTCTTAGCGCTCCAATCTGTATCTTCTGGCGTAGCGAATCCACTTTGCTACGAGAAAGGCTCATGGAAAGGACAGGAGAAATGTAAATGGGGGTTAATTAATGATAGACAAGTATTTGTCATCCCGAAGGACCCAACCAGCTTATGCTTTGCCTCGAGCTTGTCGGCACTGCAACTTCTTTGGACGACACAACAGCGAACCCTCTTACATCTCCATTTCCTCTTTCTCTTCTAGGCTAAGGCCGTACCCTAGTTTGACCTAGGAGCCTACTTGGGAAGTGCCTCGCCACCACCAGCTTCGCCTCCAGGAGCGCCATAACCGACACCGGGCCACATTTTGTCAAATAGCTATAGAGGGTCAGTCAGCCACGGGAAAGGACAACTTCAGGACCTGTGAGGTTTTGAGCCCAACACCATTGCACATACAGTAGTTGGTTTTGGAAATTTGGAGATCTGTCGGCACCCGTTGATTAGCCAGAGCTGAGAAGGAGGCCGCACCAAGGGAAAGGCGCAGGAAACTAAATACCTCCGAGAGTCTTTGAATTTGCTTATTCAGTTGGACTGGGATGCGGGACTGTAATGTTTCTTCTTCTGTCATGACGAGACAAGAGCCGGCAAATCAAGCCATATTTATAACCTCGACCTGGGACTGAAAACGTCATTGAAGAGCAAGCACGCCTTTTCCCCCGCTTCTGTTTTACAGTATCATGAGGGGCGCGACAGGGGGCGGATGAGATGAATGCGCGGGATTGGTCAAGATTGCCGTTGCACGTTGCACGGGAGGATCTAGATCCTGCTAGCCTGGGCAGTCAGCTACTATAATTCTAGTGAATGCTAAAAACTTCTTTAGCCCTACTTCCCCCTTTGCGCGGAAAAGACTTAACTCACTTGGATTATAGATCGTCTCTCTCAGACGGACGGCAAGCGCTGTCATAGTCAAGCTATGGTCCAATCAGAGGTAATCGGACATGCCCCTGAGGTGACAAGAGCCGGCAAAGCAAGCCATATTTATAACCTCGACCTGGGACTGAAAACGTCATTGAAGAGCAAGCACGCCTTTTCCCCCGCTTCTGTTTTACAGTATCATGAGGGGCGCGACAGGGGGCGGATGAGATGAATGCGCGGGATTGGTCAAGATTGCCGTTGCACGTTGCACGGGAGGATCTAGATCCTGCTAGCCTGGGCAGTCAGCTACTATAATTCTAGTGAATGCTAAAAACTTCTTTAGCCCTACTTCCCCCTTTGCGCGGAAAAGACTTAACTCACTTGGATTATAGATCGTCTCTCTCAGACGGACGGCAAGCGCAGTCATAGTCAAGCTATGGTCCAATCAGAGGTAATCGGACATGCCCCCGAGCGGGGTGAAGGATCAATGCAGTGCAACCTGGCACGGCAGAACTCAGGGACGTGGAGATGAATAATTGACGTGCTTCTGAGCGGGGTGAAGTCATCAATGCAGTCCGTCCTGAAGAACTAGGTGGACGTGGAGTTGAGGGATTGGGTTAATGCCATGAAGAGGTGTAGCTAGGTGCACTACACAAGCCCAGGTGGCTAAGCAGTGTATGTGCAAAGAATTATTTGGCAACCATGAGCTGCGAAAACTAGGCTTTGAGCCAAATCTGCTCTTGCCCAGAGAACACACTTAAACAGATTGCCCATAGTAAGACGACTACTCAGCCACCATCAGCATGCAGGAAAAGGCAGCCTGCGTACAGATAACATACGTCTTTACCCCTCCTCACGCACAACGCTAGAGAGAAGATGTACGTCCGTTCCCCATCCAGTCCGCTAGACACATACTCGACCCTCCTGCTCTCACAAGTCAACAGCAGCTCATCACATATTGAGACAGCTGTCGCTCGGATACGGATGAAACCCTTAGACAGAGATATTGGTTCAAGCAATGCTCAATACTTTATCCAAGCTTTTCAGCTGTGCAGTGCTCTGCATTTTGACATGGAGAATATGGCGGTTTACAATCCGTCCATTCTTCCACCCTGACGAACCAAAAGAAGTACCATATTGGATCCCATGTATTTCCCTCGACCTGACCTCAATCCCGGTGTCTGGCCAGAGCTAACACTCAAGTCGATCTTGCTTAGTCTTCGGTACACTCTTTCTCAGCGACAACATCTCTTGAACACTCTTCGCTCACGAGATGATTCAGGGCCACTGATTTCCTTCTTCGGTAATTTCGATAAAGCTGTCACGAAGGCAATGTTCTTCCCCCTATCGCTTGGAGATTGAAATCAAAGAAGAGTATCTGACTCATATACTAGTAAACAATCCAACAATTCAAGATCTCCTTTTCGCTTCACTTTGTTCGGTGCATCCCTGTACATCATCTCCGATCCCGTCGACGTGGCCGAAATCAACAGGCATTCCAAGGCGTTCACTCTGGAACCACTGGCGAAGGACATGTTATTGAAATTCGGGATATCCAAGCCCGCTACCGACAGACTCTTCCTTCCCATCCCTAAAGCACCACGTGCTGGCCATCTGCACGCTACGGACACAATTATCGACCTCTATAGGCAACACATCAGCCCCGGCAAGGAGCTGGATTCATTTGTCGAAGGGGATATAATCCCGCGGATCGCGGCCATTCTTAGCCCTACCGAGCTAGGGCTGAGCCAAGGGCAAACATGGACGATTTCACTTCACAGAATTTGCGCGCAGGCCTTGGTTAATGGCATTGTCAGGTCTTACTATGGGGACATTGTTCTCCAAATCCAGCCGGACTTTGCGGGGCGCTATATGGACTGGGAGAGATCAAGCTGGAAGTTCCTTATGGGGCTACCTAGGTTCTTGAGTAAGGATATGCTGGCCGCTAAGGGAGACATGATAAATTTCTTCGTGGAATACTTTAGCCTCTCGCCAGACGAACGAGGACACTCCAATTACTGGGTCTCTTCGGTCGAACGCCTATTGCGCGACCTTGACCTCACCATCGACGAGATTGCCCGGATGTTTATGCTGCACACTTCGTCGTGCGTCATTCATTGCTTTCCCCTCACGTATTTGTACGAGATATGCTCTGACTCTGCTAACTCCGCCCTGAAACAGAATCATAGGAAACATGTACAAACTGTCCTTCTGGCTCGTCGCCCACATCCTGAGTGATAGTGATTTACTCTCCTCCATAATTCTCGAAATTGAACCCGCTATTAATCGGCAAACGCAGGCCGTCGACCATACTTATCTAACAGAGAACTGCCCGATGCTCGACTCGCTCTACAGCGAGGTCCTCCGCTTGATCGTAACAAGCCCAATGACACGGCAGGTCTCGTCGACAAGTACCGTTGGCGGCAAGACCCTGAAAGAAGGAAGCAAGGTTCTGGTAAGTCAGGACTGATTTCCCTCCGTGCCCCGCTCGCCCCGCTCCCCAGGCCCAATCCCCCACTTTCATCGTTTGGGGGGTCAGTTCACTTATAGCAGAACCACGTAACATGAATAGATCATCTACCGCCAGTTACATCTCGACCTAGACACCTGGGGTCCGACTCCCGAACTTCTCCAGCCAGACCGATTCCTGCGCGACAAGACCCTCAAGACAAATGTAGCATATCGGCCATGGGGCGCTGGCAAACATGTCTGCCCAGGCCGCTTTCTTGCTAAAAAGGCGGTTTTTGCTTTTGTAGCATTGCTCCTAGGGCAGTATGAGATTGATATGGATACGGTGGGGGAACAGCCGTTTCCTCGCGCGGATCTTGCAAAGGCTTCGGGGGTAGCAAGCATTGCGGACGGTGAGGATGTGATGGTTTCCTTGCGGAGGAAGCTAGCATGAGAATGAGGTGTTGTAAGGTCTTGGGCAAATGGAGAACTTTAGCAAAGCAACCGTTTGTGCTGGGATCCACTGGTTGAGTCGCTCCAGCTGTGATTGGGTTTTGTATATTTCTGACCTGGTGCCTGTGATAAACCGAAGAGAAAGTTGGAGTGGTAGTGCAGCCAAAGAAAAGAACTGAATCAGTCTACTATTTAACCCACTTAATCCAGCACCCAGTCTAAAAATTTCTTTCTAGGTGGTGTGGTGGCCAGTAATCCTGATCTCCAACGCGTTGGTGATGCTCATCACCTGCTTGCCGCATCTGTGGACTTTTTCTAATAGTAGCTCAGGTCATGGAATGCGGGGGTAATTCAGCTAAGTGCGCTCCCGGGATTTATGGAAACGCCACGCATGATAACCGAAATACATAGTGGACTGGAGTTTGGGAGACACTTCGCAAGCTAATCGGATAGAAAGGAATATAACGGAATCGATTATCGTCCTTTGCTCGGGGGAGTTACTGTTTACGTTGGGAGAGCAAATGGGACTAAACGTCGTGCCTTGGCTGAACTGGCTTTAATATTTACAGTTGGGTTTAAAGTACTGTAAATGGTTCAGCAGAATAGTGAATGAATATCCAATCGAAGGTCTGCCGAAGCTCGAGTACGTCAGGTGTCTGATCTAGATCCAACCCCCTTAGTTTTAAGGCGCCTACTTGTAGCTTTAAAGACATGGCGTCCGTCCTGGCGCTCGGAGGCCTAGCGGCTGACTCGACCGAGCGCTGCAACGGAGTTTATAACCGCTAATTCTCCGTGGACAAGGGGCTTAATCCGGCTCCGGATGGCTGTCGGAATCTGAGCCCCCCCGGGGCGGCGCTTGTGCCGAATTATACACTCTCTGCCCGGGGGGGGCGCGCCGGTACCCCATAGAACTGGCGCGTGGGGATACCCCAACCTTAGCAGCAGAAGCACGTGGTTTATAGATAGCCCTGTTACTCATCATGCAAGCAGGTTTCCATGAAGCTAAAAAACGAAAAATATGGAACGATCGCTACCTTCGGGCATTGACATTCTAGTCGTGGGCGCCGGGATTGGCGGTCTGTGCGCTGCCATCGAGCTTGGCGCAAAGGGCACGATGTGCGAGTCATTGAGGCAAAAAATGGTGTTGCCGGCCTAGGTTGCCACCTGAAACACTAAGCAAGGTCCGCGCTGCTCCATCATCCCCTTTTGTCCAGGCGACTTTGTAGGCATCGGAGTGAGTGCAACGCGCCAATTCGAAAAATGGCCGGGAGTGGCCGAGCGCTACGATGAAAACTGCTACAAGCCTGCATTGTCCATCTATACCCACGCTGGTGAGTGAGGGCCATGGCCCACGAAGAAAATGGACGCAGTTCCGACTCCCGTGAGCCGCGCAAAGCTGATCAAACTGCTCTATAATATCGCTGTCTCGCTCGGGATCACTTTCTCCTTCGGCCAAAGAGTTGTCAATTATTTCGACGATGTGGACGGGTCCGCGGCCGGCGTGTTGACAGCTTCAGGAGCTCGGCACAAGGCAGAGCTTGTTGTTGCCGCAGATGGTGTTGGTTCCAAGTCATCCAAGTTAATCTTGGGAAATGACTCCCGGCCGAAGAGCAGTGGCTTTGCTGTCTACCGTGTTGCTTTCCCTACTGCGATTGCCCATCGGGATAAAGAAGTTGCCAATAACTTCCCAGCCCCAACCGATGGAAGCGACGATACTCGAATCTTTGACTAAGACTGGCTTTTTTTTTTAAAAAAAAAAACCCCCGTTGCGTAGGATTCAGGTTAAACTGGCCCGGCAAGACCTTTTATGTTGCACGTAGCAATAGTTGCTTGGGGTAGTAGTCACTATACATTGAGTGGTGTCTTAGTTGTCTTTTCGTACACAGGTGCAAGTCTTGCGAGTGCTCAGTATGGTAAAGGCTTAAATTCTCACTGGTCGCTACCTTGTTTATAAATGGCCGGTTAGCCGCGGAGATTATATATCCGGCATGTTACAGTCGAGACATTCTAGGTTTTGATAGTACTCCGGGCAAGGGATTAAACTACAGAAGGAGGACATGGTCATCAAAATATGTTGCATGGGCCGCAGTCTTAATCTACTTTTTGATCATAGTCTTCCGCCCCTGCATGACCGCTTTCCATTCGGCTGTCTCCCACACAAGCGCGGCGTATTTCCGCAGTTTGTCCGGAATGATGTCGTCTCTCCCCACATCCAGCATTCTAGCGATGAACACGGCGAGATGGTGATCCAACGCTGCCAGATGCGGAAGAGCGAACAGCCACGACGGAGTCTCCTCGCCGCGAGCCAACGGCCTGGTTATCAGGCCCTCGAATCTTTCCATCAGGGCACGGGCTTGCTTGCTCATGGACTCAGTAACGCCGGGTTTAAGACCGCCGACCTTGTCACGCTCAAGCCTAGACCAGAGTCAGTATTTCTTTCTGCTCCGCGACGTTGAGCTTGTTGCGCATTATGTGGTGGGAGGAAAAAATCTAATAACTCACACGCCAAGTTTAAAGGTCAAGGCATCCCGGTAACGAGGTGAGATATCTCCAGCCAGACGTTTAAACACGCATTGCTTGAACCCCTCAGCGACCTGTTCGCGGCCTGAAAATGATAGAGGGAAGTAGTTAAGTGCGTGAAGTTCGTGAAGAAGATCTGTAATGTCCTTTTTGTGTGAAGCTGGGATCAGCGATGGATAGCGTTGGGCTAGATAATGCGTGATTTCAAGGGAATCGGCGATGGGCTTCTCCAGCGCGTCCGACACGAGTACTGGCACCTGAGATAGCGATTGGGCAATAGGGGCTATACTAAAAGATAGTTAAAGATTATTAACTATATAATTTAGGGATACCTATATAATTTATAAATAGCTTTATATTTTCTATTTTAGGTAGTAACAACGCGAGTACTAGGAGGCTATATAGGCGTGATGGCCTGAGGCTACTAATCACGTGCCTGCTTCCTAGATAGCTTCGTCTTCTGCTAGCAAGCACCTACGAATGAACACACACATCCCACGATGTCTCCTTTCTCCCACGGCTTCCAAGCCGATAATTTACTAACACATTGAGTTAAATACAAGGTACAAGAAGAACAATCTTTAGTAGCAAGGGATACAGTTTGAAGAAAAGAATGGAAATTAAATTTGTCCACCCAACGCCGAGCCCTAATAATAAACTTCGAAACGTCAAGCCCTCCTCCTCCAACAGATAATATAATTCGCACCCTGAGAGGCCATCCTCTTTGCCCTGCTCGTCACTCTCGACTTCTCCTTTTCCTTCCCCTGCTCCTCCTCGTCTTCGTCCTCCTCCGGAAGCGCAAAGCTCACCTTGACCTCACCAGGCAGAACAAACCTCACCTTTCGAAACTCCGTCTTGAGCCTCTCGCCCGGATCAACCCCCCTCTCGGGATCGACAAACCGCACCTTGAAATGCTCCCACACCTTGACAACCACCCCGAACCCATGCTGAAAGCACCCGTGTTCATTCGTCCAGTATCCAGCCGCCAGATCGCCCGGCTGCGGCGACTTCTTCCTCCGCTGCTTTCCCTCCTTCCGCCCCTCCTCATCGAACTCCTCATCGATGTCAGACTCATCCTCATAATCATCATCCCAAAACCCCTCCCCCACCCCCAAAAGATGACCCCTCGCCCGGATAAGAAAATGGTCATACCCCGCAGGGACAAACCCCGCGGCCATCTGCGGATCCGTGGGCCGGACCTCGACGAGTTTCGCGCAGTGCAGGATCTGCGTCACGACCCCGGACCCGATGTGCAGGTGGTTCCGCGGGCTTTGCACGAAGCCGCTGCCGTAGGTTCCGACGTACATTTTGGGCGGCGGGGTACGGGGGTCGATGAAGGCGGTTTTGGGGGTGGGGCGCAGGATGCTGGGTTTGGTGTTGGTGTTGCTGCTGCTGCTGCCCCTGGCGCTGGTGCTGCGGGTTGGGGGTGGAGTTGGAGTGGTTGTGGGGATGGGGTCTGCCGGGAGAAGGTTGGTGATTTCGGTGACGAGCTTTGTGTTGATGCTTGTGCTGGACATTTTGGGGTGTATTGGAAGTCAGTGAGCCGCAAGATAGGTCAGGATATAACTTAGGACTAGAAGCTGAAAGCGCGAGTGGGCGGGCGTATCGGTCGAGGGCCCGCAGGAGTATTTATACAATTACAATAGCAAAGCTCTTTGTGAGTTTGGCCAAGGGTATATCATATGCCTTTGTTCGATACAATGGAGAAGGCCATTCATGTCTGCGTTGTGGTTGTTGCGGATTTATTCATTAATTGAATGTAGTTGTGCTCTTTGTCCCCTTCAGATACTCGTCCTTATATGCTTCAATTTGTCTAAAGCGCCGTAGCAGTAGCTATCCCCCCTTGCAGACTTCATTCTACAGGTACCGTCTTGATCCCAAGAACCAGACTGATACAAGGTCACGGTTCCAACTCTGCCCCTGCTTTCAGCGTGCACCCCATTCCCGATGGCTCTGGGAGACTAGAGTACAACTCTAGGAGTGTTCATGGCTACTACCACAGCTTCATTTCTATAATGTTCTCGACGCGAGCCAAGGATACCCCGGTGATGTTGCGGCTATGGTATGAGAAGCGGGAAGCAGATCCAAACTTTTTTGCTCGCTGCATTGTATACGCGATAGATAGATGGCAAATTTATGGGACGATGTTACATATTTAGAATACATCAAGTTTCCATTATGATTAACACCACGAGGGTCCTAACACGACATGTCGAGCCACTAAACCGAGCGCTCTTAATCCATAGCCTTCATGTTCGAACCCACGTGTGATCATACAGCCTATCAAGGGTGTTGCGTAAGAACGAGCCGCGTCAGGGCTCTCTTGCACATGAACAATAACTTAGTACAGGAAGCGTCAGTCTCAGTAGTAGCAGTATCTAGACAGCTTCCACCTTTAGAGCAGCTGAACGAGGAGTCCATCCCCGGTGCAATATAACTAGTACTCATGGCGCTGTCAGTGGCAGGCCAAGCCAGTGCCCAGAAAGCAAGACTCAGCCTCCGCTAGTGTGCGACGCCCGGCCAAGAGCCCTAGGGGTGCGCCGGTGCGCCCCAGGCTAGGGCGCACGTACATATAGTCTACGCCCCTCGCACTCTCGCCACGTTGTAAATCCCCTCTCATGAACTCCCAGACAGGCTTGGCTCACGATGCCATGAATCGCCATGCAAAATGCCCCCCCATACCCAGCCACCCGGACCAACCCGCACCACCCCAATCCTCCAGATCACCCTCGACAACGCAACCAATACCCGCCTGGGAAACCATCCATCCTACAAACCCGGCGATACAATCAGCGGACACATCACCCTTACGCATGCGCGCTTCATCCCCCCAGCCACAATCAACGTTACACTAACCGGGCGAAGCACGACTACGATTGCCGTGCGCAGCACAGCCGGGCACGCCGAGTCCCGGTACGAGAGTTCATTCGATATCTTTGATGGATGCGTCGAGAGGCTTGTGCTGCATTCCGACGCTCCTCTTCCTGTTCCTACTGGACCTACGGACCAGGGGCAAGGTCAAGGTGGAGGTGAGGCGAATATGAACACTTGGCCCTTTGCACTCACAGTCCCCTTCTCCGTGCGCGATGTCCGGGGCTACGCGCAGCGCACCGCGGGGTTTTATTCTTCGCCTGATGGATCCGAGGGACCGATGTTTCTTCCGCCGGGGAGTTTCACCGTCGATAAAGTGATTAGCTACGAGGGTGGGAGCATCCGGCGCGGCAGAGCGGAGGTTTCATACGCGGTGCAAGCAAAGATGGAGATTGGACATCTCGATTGCGGTACCAATGCACCGGCGACGGTTACGCATACAGCCACAGCACCCTTCCGAATCGAGACTGTCTCGCTGAGTGACCCAATCACGAACTTCGGACGCAAGATCGAAACAGCGCAGCGCGGGGTGCTTTCGTATACCCTCGTCCCCGGCGCGCAGAAAGAGCTGAATCTCGCGCGGCGGGCGCGTCGGTCACTCATGTCCCCGCGTCCCCCCGGGTTCATGGTGAAAGTCTCCGTGTCCCTCCCGGTTTTCTTGCAAGTGGGCAATGCGAATGTGATTCCTCTTTCTGTGGTTTTCGAGCCGGTGTCTACATCTGTTAGTGAGGTTCTGCGCGATGTTCCGCAGACGGCGACAATCAAATCGTTGTCGATACGACTCAGGCCACGGACGGTTTTGCGTGCGGATACGATGGTGGTGAATTATCAGGACACCAAGACATGTACGGCGGTTGGACGGGGGATCTCGATTTTACCATTCACTGCGATTCTCGATCTCCGGTCTGTCCGTGGACAGGAGATTTCGGTGCAATTCACGCCTGGCTCGACATCCTCATCATCATCATCATCATCATCCTCCTCCTCATCATCATCAGCAAGCGACCCACTCAACCTCGGCGCCCTCCTCGATTTCCGGCTCAGAGAGGACATCCACCCCACATTCCGGACATATAACATCGCCCGCACGTGGGACTTGGTCTGGGAGATGGACGTTTCGATTGCGGGCGAGGTCATCAAGGCCGGGTCGTCGTACGAGGTGATTGTTCTGCCGCGGGCGTGGGATGGTCCGGGGCCCGTGGGAGACGCGCTGGTTTCGGGGGCTGGGGAGGTTTTGCCCGAGTATGGGCGGGATGAGGAGTTGCCGGGTTATTGTGCTGGACCATCGGGTGGATGGTGCGTTTGAAAGGGGGGTTTGCTTTCCTGAGATACCTTGCCCTCTTGTTGCCAGTTGAGGCATGCTATGAGCGGGCTTATATAGTAGTAGATTCGGTGGATTTGTTCATTCACCATACTCGCGCCACAATAGTGACACGGATCTATTTCGGCACGGTTTCGCTCCATACCCAGTCACCTGGCAGGTGCACTCATCAAGAAGCCGCCTAGGGCCGAGCTGAGCCTGTGGACAACGTGCCCAAAGCAGCAGAGACCCCCTGATAGCCCAGCAGACGTAGCATCAGTTCCCCTGCAACCCTTCAAGTCTACAATTAGGTAGCACCTCGACAAACTACAAGAGGACAAGCTGTCATGAACAAGGCCCTTGACCGGACCATCGATACTTTTGATATCCCGCCCAATACGTAAATGCCCCAACTCCAATCGCTAAATCCAGCCCCTCAAACCAGCATCCGTATGTACATCGGCTACAAAAGGCCCACCTACCCGCTACTCTTCAAACTAGCCGGATGATCCATCTCAATCAACTGCGTAAAGCTCGCATTATCATGCGCCCCACCACCCCGCGCAACGCTCAGCCTCGCCCGACCCTGGCTCGCGCTGAGATTACTCAATGGCTGCCCCGCGCTGCTTGTTTCCTTGGTTGACCCGAAGACGCTTGGTAGCAGGTGGCCGAGGAGGGAGCGCAGGGCGGGCAGGCAGATGCACAAGAGGCCGACGTCGACTTCGATGACGGACCAGTAGCCGCCGGCTGCTTGGTCCCCTGTAGGGTTGGTGGGGTGGTTAGTAGTGTGTTGGTTAGGGTTGAGCGGGGAGGGTGGGGGAAGGTACAGGTTGCGTTGCTGCTTGTTGCGAAGATCTTGAGCATGACGGTTCGGTAGATGCTGACGCCGGTGATTCTGGACATGTTAGTTGTTTATCCGCCGTATCCACCAAGGAGGGTTGCAGGACGTACAAAAAGCCCACAGAAAACATAAAAATCACCTGCAGCTTGGTCGTAATCGACGCCTGCAGCCTCAGCACTTTCGGTATGGGCAGGGCAATCACCCAGAAATCCAACACGATATTCAGCGCGGCCGCGGTAACAACCAACGTATTCTTCTGAACGCAGGTCCCCTCGTGTTCCCCATCCCATCCATTCCAGTTATAACTCACGGGCGAGCATTGAAAGGCGAGAGCAAACATGAAGGCGATGCAGTAGGCGAAGGTCACGGCACAGGAGACTTTGATGACCAGGCGCATTCGGCTCGATGGGAAGATGCGTAGGTAGAAGAGGAGGAGACAGATTTTTGTCAGGGCGACGCAGAAGATGTAGATGATCTCCTGGATGTAGAAGAGCTATTCGGTGAGAAGACGTTAGTGAGGCGTGAAAGCAGTATATCACAGGAGGCGCGTACGTAGAGGATCCGAGTGATCTTGTCGAACTCGAGCGTCCAGATGTCTTTGCCCAGTCCAGCGATTCCGACTAGAGCTTGTCAGTATGTCGTCACCGGGGAATGGCCGGGTATTTACGAAGGATCGAGCCGATGTTGACTGGGATTGTGCAGCACTGCAAAGTTAGCATGCGCCTAGAGTACTGGGGTCGATGTCTTACAGCAAGAAGAATAGTTGCCCAGTCATCTAGTCCAAGCCCCGGCGCAGTCACCGCAAGACGAGTATACACCCTAATCGCAACAAGAATCAGAGCGCCAAACCCGACTGCCGGAAGGACAATGCTCAGAGCCGTCTGGTCGCGAATTGGAGCTCCACATTCTGTATTTGTGACATTGAGGGTAGCTGTCGGTGGTCAGCGCAAAAACGACGCCTTGATCTTCTCGAGACACGCACTGAGCCCTTCTTTAACGGTACAGTTTGCCGCGACGCAAACTTCCAGATTTCTGTTCAGGCCGACGTTGGTGCAGATACATTCTTGGTCGCTGGCCGAGCAGGGCGATTGGGGGAGAAGCTGGGCTAGACATGAGCTCTTGAAGAGCTGTTAGTCGAGTCGCTGCCGATCAGATGTCGGGAACATTGCAGGCGTACCGAGCATTCTGGGAGTGACTGTGTCTGAGCCCGTGCACCGATAATTACCAGCGCAGCAGCCCAGATAAACTGCGCGAGTCGCATAATCACAAAATTGGAGGTACACCGCTATCAGTACGAGCAAGAGATGACGACAAATCTCGAAGCCACCAAAAATGCTGACAGCCCTGCTTATAGGGGGTCTGTAGACACGCCACCTCGAGGGCGGCTCGACCCTGCAAGGATCTGGGGAAAACGAATCGTATTTCCGAGATACTTTGATGGTGAGACAGCGAACACCGAAGCAGGGCAGCGCAAAACTCAAATGTGTAAATTTTGGCCCCCATTATCCTCGTTTGGGAAGGAGTCGCCAGTGGAGGTCTTGGTGCGGGACGACGCGTCGGGAGCAGACGGCTTGCGTTCCACAAGCATCGTTAGTCCTTACGATCCCTGTCGCGTGAGAGAATAATTCATTTCACCATGCCACTCGTGCTGCTTGACTGTTCGTCCCTGTTTGTTGGAAGAAAGAGGGAGGAAAATGGCTGGATCGCAAAGACGGACTCGACGCCCCATCTTTTCCCCATGTCAAACCTTGATCCGTTGACATCCACGCGAGTGAAGCTTTCGGAGACTGAAACCATTGCATGGATGCCGATCCAGCGGAGAAACGACGAGACGGGCGCCCGCCGGATACGAGACTAGCCACTTGTGCTGCCCCCACTGCCCCATCAATGCGACGCTGCCCCTGGCCTGCACATTGAACCTTGGAAGAGGATTTCTGCAGACAAAAATGGACCTCCTGAACGGCATCTGGGCCAGACTCGAGGCCGAGACCGAGGATCACCCGAACATTGGCCTATGGCACAGCCGGAAAGTGCGGAATAAGCCTTAAGGAGGGGTGTTTCCTTCAATAATTCCTACATTGAGCTTCTCTCTAGTCTCAGCCAGCTGCGTTTTGCTTCGCCTGACCATGGCGCCCTACCAATCGCCCGTTTACCCCCTGCACGACGCCGACACGGCGAACCTTTCCGTCTCGCAGTTTATGACCCGGTACAATCCCGATGAAGTTTCCGCATCCAAGGTCGTTCACGTCGACACTCTCTCCTCGGACGCAATCACATACGGCAGTCTCCGTGAAGACGCCGGTCGCGGGGCCTGGGGCTTGCGCGAGAAGTTGGGCCTGAAACCGGGAGATGTGCTCCTGGCCCTTGTCAAGAATTCCGTATGTCGTGCGATCGGCAGATTTACCCAACAATGGACGCGCTAGTCTAACGTTACATGAATAGAATGCCTTTGTTCGCCTTGCGCATGCCACATGGTGGGCTGGCGCCGTATTCGCGTATGTCGAGCGATAGCGCGTGTTCCAAACCGAGGTTGCTGACTGTTATCGCTCTGGAGGCCGCTCAACACCGCCGCAACGCGTGCCGACATTTCGCACGTTCTCCAGATCGTCCGCCCGACGCATGTCGCGACCATTGCAGAGAAACTCGACGATGTCCGCGCGGCCGTCGCTTCTCACTCGCCGAGCACGAGTATCCTAACCGTTCTGACACGTGCGGATAGCCTGCCAATGGTCAGCCACCCAATGCTAGCAGAATTTCCCGGGTCTACCGGGTATTCAAACTCATGCTGATCCCGCATAGTTCCCAGATGACATACTCGGCAAGACAGAAACCGAAGCACTTCCACCGCATGACCTCGAGGGGAGACACGCCAAGGATGTCCCCAGCACAATCTGCTTCTCGTCGGGGACAACCGGGAAAATGAAGGGCGTGCAGCTCTCGCACTACAATCTCATCATGAACACAATTACAATGCGCACATCCATGCCGGCGCGAGTCAACAGCACCGTCCGCGAGGTCTTTTTCGCACCATGTACGTCCCACAAACACCATTACTATCTCCACTAATCAATCAATCTAGACTGCCACATCTACGGCCTCACAATCGCCGTGCTAGCCGGCATGTGGGTCGGAGCGCTATACTGCGGGCTGCCGGCCTTTGACCTGGAAACCTTTTGTCGAAAATCGAGCGAGATCGAGGTGACGGACCTGCATCTCGTTCCGCCTGTTGCGCTGGCCCTTGCGACGTCGCCGGTTGCGCAAAAGTATGGGCTAGATTCGCTGAAGAGGATTGTCATTTCGGCTGCGCCGTTGAAGGTTTGTATCTACCCCGTCTCTAGGAAACAGCAGTAGTCAGAGTATATTGCTGTGTGCAGTGCTAATGTGGGTCATTCAGAAAAACGTCCAGCTTTTACTGAAGAAACGTCTTCCGCATACAAGTGTCGTTCAAGGTACAGTATTCTCATACTACGCGTAGCCGGCCTTCTGCTGAATAGTGTATACTACAGGATACGGCCTTACAGAATGCACAGGCGGCGTGATCCACCAGATAGATGAAGAGGAGGAAGCACATGGGTGTGTTGGGAAGCTCTTTGCCGGAGTGTATGTCCTCCTACATGACCCGCCCCTGATTCCGGTCCAGACCAGAGGATCGTGGGCATCTAGCCCCAATAGTTGCTTAAAGCTAATCCACTACAAACAGCGAGGCCCGCCTCGTCGACCCAAACACAAAGAAAGACGTTGCTGTAGGGCAGGAAGGAGAGTTGTGGGTTCGAGGTCCGGTGGTGATGATGTACGTCTCCTTGCGGATTATTCCGCAATTGATGGGTATACAATCAACGGCACAGCGTGCTGATGCTATACAGGGGCTATGTCGGCGACAGCAAGGCAACAGCTCAGGAATTCTCCGAAGGATGGCTCAGAACAGGCGATATCCTCACGATAGACGAGAAGCAGAACTTTTGGGTGACGGATCGGCTCAAGGAGGTATGCCTCTTTTTTCTTCCTTCTCTTCCCGGAAGATTTGTTTCTAACTGGTGCGCTAGATGATCAAATATAAAGGGTACGTTGCCCACAGTCCCAATATACGCCCCCCAGCCAAAACCCCATTAACTCCTTTTGATACTCTCTGACGCGACTCTAACTGCCGTATAGCCTCCAAATCCCCCCCTCCGAACTCGAAGACCTCCTACTCCGCCACCCCGCCGTAACCGACGCCGCCGTCTGCGCAACCTACGACGACGCGCAAGCAACCGAAGTGCCCCTCGCCTACGTCTCTCTGGCACCAAACACCCTAGAGGCCCTAGGAATCCCGCCCTCCTCTCCATCTCCCTCTTCAAAGTCGAGTCCCGTGACAGACGAAAAACTGCAATCCCTCCTCGAGGAGATCCGTCGTTGGGCTGACAGCCAGGTCGCGGGATATAAGAAGCTTCGCGGGGGCGTGTTTCATTTGCAGGAGTTGCCCAAGACGGCGACGGGGAAGATTCTGCGGAGGTTGTTGCCTGTTAAGGTTGCGGAGAGCAGGCGGGCGGGGAAGCTCTAGATAGTCCTTTTTTCGAATGGAATTGGTGATTCTAGTGAATGTCTAGGGGTGGGAGGGGCCGAGATCAGATGTGACCGACTATCTTTGTCTGTTGTTGAGTGAGAGAGTGTGTATGTCTTTTGGCTTTGAAATGGGTTAGCTGGTCCTCGGCCAGCGGTTGTGTACTATTAAGATGGGAGAATGTGAATAGCTCTGAGTAGCCTTTTTGTCTAGAGATTGTTGGAACACACGACTCGGTGCATAATCCATCGTGGAACGATTGCCTCTTCGCTTACCCTATTTGCTTAGTTATACAGAGTCAAACTGCCCCCGGGCATATCTTGCTGATTCAATAGACCAAGCTCTCTCCAAGTAGCTGCCTCCCCCCTCTAAGCCCAACTGTCTGTGAGAGCTAGACTGTCTTTCACCGTTGCTGTTGTTTTTGGAGAATATTTCGACGAGGCATTAGGTCTTCGATAATAATATTGGCTATTGTTATTTCTCCTAGGTCTTTCGTATCCCGCGCTGTAAGATGCGTTGTATTTTACATATAGTACATAAAGTATACTAGTTACTAACAGATGGTTGATCTTACTTTATAGAAGAGTCTAGGCTAGAGGACTCGATCACCAAGAACAAACAATGTTTATATTGCATATTAGACTGTTAAGCTAGGAGATATTACTGGTACCAGACAACTAGAGAACTGGTAACTCAGCACCCATACATTCCCATTTCGAACCAAAAAAAAAGAGATAAAAACGATCCAAACACCCTAAACAACAAAAGCAACAACCACCCTCTCCCCCGCCGCAACAACCGTCCCCATCCCCAGCATCAGCATCCCCCGCCCATCAACCCAAAACCCGACTCGATCGGGATCCCCCCTAGCCGGGAGCCGGCCGTTCGTATCAACGTTGCGCCGATAGGTCATGAGGTCGTCGTGCGTGGCCAGTTTGAAGCGGCTCTCGTCACCGGCGGCGGCCGGCTTGACCATGACCATTCGCGGGAATTCGAGGCTGGAGGTTATGAGGCCGCGGGTTAGCTTGAGGTGTTTCTTGGGCCCGATGGTTGCGAGGCCGGTGGACTGGGTGTTTGTGGGGAGGGGGGTTGTGCTGTAGATGATGGACATTTTGGTGGCGGTTGTGAGGATCAATATAGGGGTGCTTCGGATGTTGTTTGGTGATTGTGGGTGGATTGATGGGGTGGTAGATGGGATAGTTGAGAGCGTTTAGATGCGCGATTATTTCCTATTTGGGATGGAGTTGAGGGTGTATTTATACGTTTTGTGCCTCCGTTGAGTATACAGTTGATAGTCTTTGACTTGGCTTCTTTGTATATGGACTCTTTGCCTGTGCCATTGTGCGCGGATGGAACACTCTTTATTGAGTTGGCAATGCCCTTTGATTACCTTTGTCTATTGGCTTTCGTCCCTAGTAGACTGGATGAAAGTGGTTTGACACTGACTAGATGATCATTGACAAAGCTGGATCTGGCCTTGTGTACCTTAGACGTACCTTGAACGAGCTGTTGACTTTCTGTTTGCGGCTACTTGTCAATGATGTATGGTTTGTACGCATGCATGCATGGTTTACATTTACATTGTCCTTTCAAGAAAAACCATTCCAGATTGATCTACTGTTTTTGACTTGATCGGCCTTGGAAATACCCTTGCTAGCCATTTCATGGGTTGGTTGGTTCGTGAGGGCTCCTTGTTCATGCCGTAACGAGAAGCTCCGATTCCCGTGATTAGAGATCCCTCTGAAATAACCACCCAGCCCAGGATCCAGAATCCGGTGGAATCCCTCATTCTCGAATGGGTTGCTAGATACAGGACCCGGAAGCAATGGCGCTATTTTCCACAATAACGACAAATGTACCTTGGCCAGGCAGAGATTGCGTATATGAAGGGTCCAACTCCATCCATGGAGTGATCTGGGAGCTGGATGTACTGCGCTGCCCTATCTAGTTCGAGTTTTTACCAATGAAGAATGAAAACAGCTTCTGAGCGGTCAAAAAGGATCCATAATCAGATTTTACAAACCACCATCCATTCCCAAAAGACGAGGATAAGCAAAAAGAGAAAAAACAGAGGAGATATCACAGCGTAGGAAGAATTCTAAACCCCTGCCTAGTAAACCACCCCGCCGCCCCATCCCCCGTAACCGGAAACACCAAGCAAAAGGCATACTTCTCAACCACATCCGTCACCCTCCCCCAGCCCACCCTCAGCAGCGGAATCTTACATAACCCCCCCCCAACCCTGCCCCAGCCATATCCGGCGCCCTGTCCATCTAGAATCCCCGCACGATCTCCCCCTCGCTCGGCGGCATCCGCGCCGTCTCATCGAACGTCTGATCCTCCGTCCAGAAGGTTTCCACATCCCTCAGCGTCGCAACCCGAAACGCCGCGCGGTCTTGGTACATATCGCTCCGCGGCTCAACGAGGACGAAGAAATTAAAGTGCCAGATCTGCTCGATCGTCCCGCGCTGCATGAGGAGGCCGCCCGCGGCGCCCTTCTCGGCGAACCCCCACCACGGCTCGGCGTCTTCTGCGGCGGCAGCCTCTTTGGGGGCTCCCTGGTTGCAGGAGGAGTCGGTTTTGCTGTTGAAGAGGCATAGGTCGAGGCCTGTGCGGTAGTAGCGGTATTCTTGGGCGATGGTGAGGGTTGGGGCCATTTTGGGATATTTCGGTGGGTGGTGACGGGGTAGAAAAGAGGGAGGGTTGTTTTGTGGACGGTTGGGGAAGATTCAAACGTAGAAGACTTTTTCTGTCAAATGAGTAGGAGGTTAGTTGGTCGTTGGGAGATGCTTGACGAAACGGTGCTATGCATACCTGGTATTTGCCTATGGTTAGATGACGCCTTGCGTTTAATAAAGAGCATGAATGGAACTTGGAAGGCCTCTTGGAGTCGGGTCTTTAAAGTGTGTCAAGAGGCATTTACTTCTTAAGGTTATCCAGTGTGAGCAGCCTGATTATGTATGCAAAGAAGAACAGTCTCGCTTATAGTGCTAAATCTAATCACTCAAAGGTTTTTATTGCGCACTTTATATTCTTCACTTCTTATGACAAGGGAGTGGTTAAGTTATCATGCAGCGGGGTGATAGGCAGTACCTGAGTATGCTAGTCATCCAGAGACAAAGAGCAGGCGACACCGGATTATCCACTCCCTTGTTGTCTGCGAGTCAACCATGTCACTCTGCTTGATCGTATAGAAGATAAGGGGGGGAGGAGTTTTCCCAACTCGACCTGCCAGACCCAACCAGTGCATAGCTCATCCTGAGTCCGCGCAGTCGAGAAGCCGCGTCCGACGCCAACGAAGTAGCCACAGCAGTTACAAAAGTGACCCTAATACGGCCCATGAGACTAGCTACCAATTCGCCACGTTCAGGACGAACAGAGGAGCGCTAATGAGAATATATCGTCACTGTTGGCTCTGGCATGTCTATTCTGCTCTTCTATATTATAGATGGGCCGACGAATCTGTAGTGTAACATCGAATCCTAACAGGCAGGAACGACCCAGGTCGTACTTCCTCTTTATCCCATGTTACCTGGGCCACCACCCAGACGGTGGCTCTTTCCTCTTTCTCGATCAGTGGCATCGCCGGCTACGTGCCCTCCTTCCTTATTCAGCCGATGAACATGGCGCGCTACCCCTTATCTTAGCCATGTCCACTCGCGCGGGCTTTTTATCCTTAAGCAAAGGTAGCTTAACGCCATTCTTACTATACTATCCCTCGTTTAACTAGCCACTTTCTTCTCATACATTTAGTCCGAGTGTATTTCGATACAGTTGTCCATTGTTTCCACACCCTCCTGGACATTCCAGACTCCAGCTACCCCTCGACGTCGCAAGGATGCATAGCAAAGCGCTCAAGAAAGAATCGGAAGAGATCGTCGAACTCTCCGGGTATCAAGCATCTCTCGACGACACGGAAACGCCCGACAGAGCCATCAAAAGTGAATATGAAGGACTCGTCGAACTCGATCGATGCCCGTCCAGTCGTCACAGCGAGCCCTCTCTACCCGAAGCACACCCCCTCGAGCGCCACAGATCCCGCAGAAAACATTACTCGGCGCCGCCAAACCTCGAGGCAAATTTCATCGCAAGCCGCAAACTTCGCCACCTCACTGAGTACAAATGGCGCCGACAGCAAGTAATCAACGGCGTCGGATACCCCGGTTGCAAGAACCGCGGAAAACCCCAAATCGGCAAGTTGTGGTGGGGGTTCGCAAAGCAGGCCAACGGAACATACACAATGGAGCGCGGCCACATCAATGGGATCCTCCTCTTCCAGTACTTTACCTTGGTCCACCCGCAATCGCCGCCGATGGGAAACGGCTTCTCGCCGGCGGACCTGTGCGATATCCGCGAGCTGCATGTCTGGGACGAGGAAATTAAGAACCCAATTCAACATCTCCACCTCTCGCCGGCTGTGGGGACAATTTCGGTGGGGTTTTATCAGAGTCCCTGTGAGCCGGATGTGTTGCGCGTTGGGTATGGGCCTGTTGTTGATATTCGGCGCGACTATCTCTTTTGTTTTGTGGTTCCGCCGCCCGGCAATGAGGCCCTTGTGTCGGATGTCGAAGCGGCGGAGATATGCCGTTGCTGAGTTGGGGCGGTCATTGTCTGGTTATGCTATTTAGTCTGGATTGGCCTTCCGTCTTGGTATGGCGCATATGGATTGTCTATTGTGGTACACGGTTCTTACGGGAGGGTAAAGCGTCTTCTTGGAATAGCCTAGAGGATATCGTAGTCTTCTTCACGGCCTCATTTGCCCTAGAGTAATACAACTAATTAGTCTACCTACGCAGGTCCATGTCACCTCTTGCTACATCTCGTTCTTAAATAAACTGCTCTTACGATTAGAGTGATATGTACACTCAAGACGATGCGGTTCACCATTGACAGCCATCATGTGGGCAAATAAATCCCAGTATCTCAGCGGAGCTCCAAATACATTATGCAGTGGCGCTAGGTTAAGCAAAGTTGGGTCCATGAACCTCGAGTGATGACGTATCTTTCTGATACCTGTTTTTGTTCTTGACAAGGGAGGGCATAGCGCGAGTAGAATCCAGTCAACGGCCGCATTCTATTATTCTAAAAATACTCCGAGCAATGCATTTATCCAAGGCTGTCAGTATAACCGGCTGCTCTCACCTCCCAACGGAATACCCGCAATAGGACGTCCCCCCTCTGAGATATGATACGTCGACCGCATCTGCGTCCCAAGACGCATGATAATAGGCCCTCGTTGTCCTGAGAAGTCCACTGGCTCTATTGCGGACAGTAAGCACAGCACATAGTGGCCCTCAGGCGCTGCCGTCCCTTATCTCTTGCACGATTGAAACTCATTGTGCTGTCTGGGAGCGTAAGGATCGTTCCGCGTGTGATGCGAAATAATCTGTAGGAGGATTACGGGAGGGGCGCAAATCTAGATCAGACGGAGATTATTGTCGTGCTTTGTCAGGAACTAGCAGAATCCGCTGAGCACCTTTAGGCGAATTCTCGGGCCATGGGAAGGGAGTTTAGTGTTTGGTCCAAACGAGTCTACTGGGGTTCAAAGACGGAGAGAAAGAATAAGGCCAACAATGTTTTTGGGGGTTGAGGAGTTATATGATAAACGGAAACAGATACTCGACAGCAGACATGACAATTTGATATAACAAAATGCGACGGACAAATACTTCCCAGTATAGGACAAAGATCAGAGCATTCTGTATCGCATAAAACGCCATTGCAAAACAAGCCAAGAAAGAAAACAGAGAAAAGGAACCCGCAAAACGCCCCAGCTGAACTTGGCCCCCGTCACGCCCAATCCAGAAAAAGGCGAAACCTCCCACGCAAAACAGCCCTACCCCGGGACGTTCCCAACAAACCAAAGCCAAAAGCTGTCCAGCACCGTCACAACCGTGCCATACCCCATCATCACCAACCCACCCTCCCGCCGCACGAACAGACCATGGACCAATGTACCAACCGTCGGAGGAATCAAGCTAGGTGTCATGGCTCTCGCCATAGCTTGGAGGTCAACGAGCGCGACAGGGTGGGCGTGGGACGTGGGCTGGATGCTGGCCACATAGGGAAGGAATAAACCTGCACGGGGCACGCCGTGCGCGAGGTAGATTTTCCCATCCCGGGTTTGCAGCAGGCCATTTACTCTGCCAGGCGGCGACTGGTCGGGGCACACGAACGAATGCTTGGGGGATGTGGTGTTGTTGTCCTCGTCGGGTGTGTTGTCGGCGTGGCGTTGAACATCATCGTGATCGTGACGATGGTGACGCCCAGAAGTGGGATTAAGGATCAGGTCGAACCCAACGGCGTGTCCAGCAGCGTTACCTTCGTCCATGAGCAATGTGTTCTGGCGGCGGAGCAGAGGGGGGATTGTGGGATTGTGGGACATAGTCTGAGGACGCGAAGAAGGACGCTGAGAGAAAATGCAGAGATCAAGAGCTATGAGGCTTTTGAGGGGAAGAGATGTAGGAAACTTGGATTGTCGCGAGGCGATGATGATCAGCTGGAATTGGGAGGAACCCATCGCATATTTATGTCCGGACATGGCTCGATGGACATCCTCTGACTTCCACACAGCAGTGGGCTCTACAGCAAAGAACAAAGAAAGCACATCTCCATCCCCGTATTCTTTGAAAGCAGTGCAACGTTCGACAATCCACCCGATTTTGGGCAATAGGAGAGGGTGTTGCCGCAGAAGTAAGACATTGTCCCTTTGTTGTTGAAGAACCCCTATTCAGCCCAGAGTTGCTGCGGTGCCATCCACTTGGGGCGCTTCAACCTCACGGACAGGAATTGGGTTCACAAAACAGTCCTGTTCTATTGATAAGATAGGTTCGATCCGGGCTGAGGCTAGAATCTCTGATGCTGGGGTCCTCCGCCGATCAGGGTCAATAGCTCCGATGAACCGAACAGTGGAGCAAGATCCCTGACAGCTGAAACCAGCCGATCTCCCTCCGGAAATGACCCTTAGACATCCCCAAACCAGGTGTTCCTCCCTCTGACATGCTGCTTTGTACATCCACGCCACGGATGTAACTTGATGGCGATGATCGACGCCGCGAGATCGTTCTCTGACAGCTGAAACGGACCCAGATCCGTTCGGAAATGACTCCCAGACATCCCCAGAGGAGGTGTTCGTCCCTGTAACCTGCTCCTTTGTGCATCTCCACCCCCTGAATTGGGTCGCTCGCGTCATCAACGCCGTAGGGAGTCGCAGCTGGTCTCGGTGCTTCCAACTTGAGGGCTGCCGTGGCCCGTTCACACGACGGCCGCGTAAGAATCATGCCTATTGACATGGATGTGCTGGACTCTACTGCACACCCATGCGTATTTCGCGCTTGAGGGGTCGCAGATCTTGCAGAAGATGGGCCGCCTGCATGAACCCTCAATGTGACAAGATATACTGAGCTTGGAATAGAATGGACTGGTGGAGTAAATGTATAGGCCGGCGGATCGTAAATTGGATGAAGCTTCGAGTGTTCTAGGAGATTCAAGCGACTGGAGGTGTTGGGACATCTGGTGTTGTTTCCACTCATCCGTGCTACTCTTCCGGGACGACGACAGTGAGCCATTGAGAGTGATTCCAGCGCTTACAAGCGCTTTACGTTTCGCTCATACCCAATTATGCAAGAGTTTCTTGGCGTGGAGGTGGGTTATGCATGTAGTGTATCATTCAGTAGAGACCCGGCCAGGCTCACCGATTCCGTCGTGCAACTTTTCTCACGGTCCTCTTCAATCTACGATGTAGTCTACTTCACCAAATAGGGTGGAGATCTAGTCCATTCCATTCCATAGGATTTTATACATATAACGCTGCAAACATCATGTGCTGATTCTCTCCCGTCTCACGAGGTCACATGCGTCAAGCAGCAACCCGCCTCTAGATTCTCTTAATTTCCTTCTCCCTACGCATCCTCCTTGATCCCGATAACCTGATTATTGCTATCAACCGCAATAGCCGTCTTCTGAATCGACGCCTTGACGGGGTTTGGCGCCTCAAAGATCTGATCGAGTTCCTCGAGCTACACGACAGATTTAATTAGCACACATCTCAAAATAGGGTGCGGTCGAAACTCACCGTGCGATCCTTGGTCTCGGGAAAGAACAAGTACATAATAACCGTCTGGATGGCATCCCACACCACAAAGACAATGTACGTCTTCCACCCGATATTATCCAGCGACACGGGCCACGCAAACTGGTTGAGGAGACCGGCGGCATTCACAGCTAGCGAAGAGAATGCCATACCCTTGGCGCGCATCTCGTACGACAGCACCTCGACGGGATACAGTGCCTGGAGCGGGGTGAGGAAGAACGAGAATACGGCTCCGAAAATGAAAATGAAACCGAGGGTCGCGTTCGACGCTGCGCTGTTTAGGCTTCCGTCAGGTTTATTCACTTGACTCGAGGCCGAGAGAATCGCAACCCAAACAAGACAGCACCCGGACATGCCAAAGAGCATCATCGGTCTCCGGCCGAGGGTATCAACAAAGGCGGCGCCGACGAGCGCCCAGAAGAATTGGAAGCAGGCGTAGCCGAGGTTGATGTTTGCCTGGGTGATGTCCGAGGTGAAGCCGGCGCCGCGGAGGGCGGGGACGAGGTAGTAGGTTAGCACGCCGTTGCCGGCCCATTGCGCGAAGATGGCGAAGAAGCAGTTGCAGCACAGGCGGTAGAAGCTGCTGCGTTTGTTGAAGAGGCTGCGGTAGTCCCAGAATTTCTTGTCCTGTTTGCCAAAGCGGGTTAGTTGTGTCGATGAAGGTTATACTAGTAGGCTGGTGGGTGGACGTACGGAACCGTTCATGTTCAGGTGCGCCTCATATTCAGAGATTTGCAGCTGAACCCACAGGGAATCACGATTTCCAAGACCATGCCACTTGGTAAGGACCTCAATCGCCTTTTCCTGCTTCCCATGAACATACAACCACCGCGGAGACTCTGGAATAATCCAGCAAGTGCAGATGATGATCCCCGCAAAGACAAGCTGGAGCCACAGCGGGATTTGCCAGGACTGGTTGGTGTCGAGGGTGATGGAACCCCGGACAGCACCAGACGAGAGAATCGAGCCGATGAACCAGAACGTGTTGCAGTACCCCGTGACCATTCCTCTCCACGCCGGATGCGTCGTCTCAACGACATAGATCGGTCCCGCGGCAGCGGCGATGGAGACGCCGAATCCGAGCAGAAATCGCCCGCCCATGAACTGGCCGACACTCGCGTTTGCAATCGTCGTTCCCGAGACGACAGCACCGAGAACAATGAAGAAACTACCCAGGAACATGCCGACGCGACGACCCCAGGTGTCGATAGCAGGACCAACAAAGGGGAGGGCACTCACGCCACCGATCTGGTACATGGCCGAAACAAGACCGGCCCAGATGCCTGCGTCGCGGCCGTTGAAGTGGTCGAGAAAGATGGTGTTTGCGAGGAGACCGCTGAAGAGGGACCCGTCGTAGCCGTTCATGGTCTGGCAGCAGAAACCGACGAGGAGGCAGGCGCAGAGGAGGAGGTTAGTGCGGCCGAGGAGGTTTGGTTTCTCTTGGATGAGGGCCTGGTTGAAGGCTTCGCTGCCGGTTACGGTGTGGACAGTCGTGTTTTCCTATGCAGTGATATCGAAATGATTAGCAGGGTGTTGGCAAAGGGGGATGTCTGCAGAGGAGACTCACAACCTGCTCCAGGGCCGGGGCAGCGATGCCCCCGGCAGACTTCTCCAGTGTATCCATGACAAGGCGACGAGACCCAGATCAATGAGATGAAATTAGTGAAGAGAGAACTTCAGACAGTCCGTAGAGTGAAAATCCAAGACAGCTTGGCCGTGTCGAAGCCTTTTAACAGCATCTCGGTCGCGGCCGGCCAGGGGACTAGGCTCAAAGTGTCACGGGCAGAAGAATGGATCGGACGGTCTGGGGATCTCGGGCAATGCGGAGAAGCGTGGAGGAAGGGGAAAGACGGCGACTGTCAGGTCAGGTTGGAACTGGAACTTGCCACTCTGACCCGGGGCCGTTCCGGGAAACCTTGTCCCGGACTTGGATCTGGGGGCCGGCCGGCTGGGCCTGGTGCTCTCCGAAAATCACGGTATCCCGGTGCGTCGTTGAAGCATTCAGTTCATATGAGATTGAAGGGCAAGGTAGATAGAGGAGTCATCTCCAATTGACACACATACACACATCTACAGAGACCGTTCAGTGCTCATTCCCAAGAATGAATAATCAAGCAAAGTTTTGTCCCCTTGTCTTCGCCTACGCGTCTCCGATTCCGACCCACAGTTGCATTCCTCGGCTAGGGCTGCCACCCAGTTTTCGGAACAGGCGGACAAATCTCCCTTTTCGGCGCGGACCAGGCGGGGGAATCAGTTGCCTGTGGAGTCTCGTCACACATGCCATTGGCCGCTGGCGTGTCCCAGGTTCAAAGAACCAGTCCCAACTCGTTCCATGTTTTGTCAATCACTCATGTCTCACACGGATGGGACCGGAGACCCATGTCCTGATTCCTCTATGGTATAGCCGTCTGCTGGCCAGATGATGCAAATTGAGGTAATGGCGCTGGGCTCGTCGAATTGCTCATAAGCGTACAAAGGCGTCTATAGGACAATACACTAGGCGGGACCAGGCCCACGATTTGAGGGCTCAGCAAATGGCATGGCATCGCCTTGAGCCAGCGTTGAGAGGTCAGGCCATAGATCATTCGGGCCCCAGCTCAGATACTCCCACATATACTCCGGCGGCAAGTTGTCGAAGAATCCGGCACCCTCGTCGACAGGCCGACCGCGTAAGCCTTGCTCAGCAGTGTGCTCACTCGCCACTGGTATTCCCTCGGAGATGGAATTGCTCATCGGATCGTTGCCCTGTGTATCAGGTGGTTGAACATCCGACGCTTGTAGAATAGAGCTAAACAGGCTCGAGATGACCTCAAAGGTCCGTCCCGCTGTCGGCGAATACGGCCTCATCCGGTCCAGAGCGAGTATTGCCGTCTGCACTTGGTTCTTGCAGGACTCCGACGACGCCTCCGAGTTGTTGTCCACGGGGACGCCGGAGAGACAGATCAGGGGAACCATTGTCGCCTGAAAGAGAAACCAAACAGCATTCCAGCCTAACATCCGATTCACATTTGTCGTCTGGGCAATGTCCAGGATCACGAGCTCGGCGGACTCTCGGCACCGTTGGATTGCGTTCCGTTCGTCAGCTCGGATGGCAATCAAGGGGATGCGCCGCATTGTCTGGTTCAGTAGTGCTGGGCGGTATAGTAGCATTTGCTGAGTGTAGAAACGCCACCGCATCACTGTCCGGACGGAGTAGATGCTCGTCGGCTGAGGCTCGGAATCTCGGAGGATTGGAGGCATGTTGTTCCACCATTGCAGGAGCTGTGCGTCTAGCTCAGCCATTTCTGTATGTGTCAGTGCGGGTGGAGTGGCGAGGGATTCCTGAATCTTTGAGGCGACTTTGACAAACTCGACGTTTTCGATTAGCGGGACGATTTCGAGGTAGTTGTCCTAGATGATAATCAAGTCAGACCAGAGTACCTCTCCAACTAGTAATAGACTGCGCACCTTATCCACCAAGCGAGGCGGATTCACCGTGATGCTCGCTGTGAAAAAGTTCATCCCAGGCCGGCCGAGCGTCTCCTGCCCCCAGGTCTCAAGACAACAAAGGGACCACCAGATACGCCGTCGAAAGTCCTCATGTGCGACTCGCTCCCGGTCATACACTGACCGGCTGTCGCACAGCTCCCGATGCAATCCCAATGTAAGTGCCATGCGCATGGATGTGCCCATCAGGGAGTATGCCAGGTTCGGCTGGCTCGTGTAGTGGCAGTACCAGCCGCCCATGAGGCCGAGCGCTTGTACCAGTTCGATGCTCGGATTGCCCAGCGAGCCTAAATTGAGGTGGCTCATTGAACTTTCAAAATAGGTGCAATGTGTTCGGTCGTTCACGTCCACTGCCGCTACAATGCTGCCCAGCGCAAGGACAATGTCGCGTAATGCCAGCCATCGGGCATCCTGTCGATTTCCAGCTAGATGGGTCCTGCGAAAGGCGTCCTCGTCCAAGAGCGGTGCGAATGCGTGAAAGTTGGCAAAGTACGCGTCCACCAGCTGGTTTTCCGTGAATTGAAGCGTGGCTAAGGTCGCAGACAGTGGACTAAGCGGCTCCTCGGCCTGTTGCCGCGACACAGTCGGGGAGATGGAGAAATTGTACTCTGGGTGGTTCCAGGCGATGGCTCGCAAGGCAGCCTGCACGGATGAGATGCCGAGATAGGACGTCGGCGGTCGCGCCAGGAGTGATAACGCGTTGACATCGTCGGAGATGTGTCCGCTGGAAACCGGCGGTGCACCTGGGATCTCGCCGACCTCATCCCTCGGGATGAAATGCAGCGACTCGAGGGTCGGCCGGTCGGTCGGCAGCACGGAGATGGCCGTGGTTGCAGAAGTTGTCGTCGCGGGGGAATGTTGCACCTGGGTGGAATTGGAATTGCCCGTCATCAATTCCAGCAACTTCTCTCGCGGTAAATCAACGAGCTGCTCTGGCGCGGTACCAGGGAAGAGCTTCGTCAAGGCACTGCGATAGTCGGGCGACGGACTCGCTCTCGCACTAAGAATTTCACGACCTGTTCAGTGACTATTTCCATGTTGTATCGCGCCTGCCCGGTTCTTACTTTCGTATTCGCTCGTTGTCCGGGTACGTACACTCCTGCGGCCTCTTGTACCATCGACAGGCCTCGCACGGCTTCTCGCCGTTGCACTTGATTTTGCGACGCCGACAGGAGCCGCAGGCGCGTGGGACAACACCGCGTCTGGTCACTCTGCCCCGTGTCGTCCCACTTTTGGGGTTGCGGGGACTGGGCTCGCGCTCCTTGTCGGCGGCGTCGGGGTCTTTGGTGGAATCAAAGGCGATAAACATGGCGGGGAGCAACCGATTGTGTTGCAGTGCAGTCGAGGGAATATGCTAGGTGGAGTGGATCAAGATAGTGAGGATGAGATGATAAACGCAGGAATGGAGGAACCCAGAGGTCGAATTTCGGTGCCCCACACTTTGTTGGACGCGGAGAGTCCGTGGCTGGTCGGGAACACCAGGGCACTTGGCCTCGTCAACGGCATTTGAATCATTGAATGAGGAGGAGCGAAAGCTTAATACCGGCATTGGAGTATGAACCGACGCGATCCTTTAGTTTCTTAGTCGAATTCCCCGCATCTCCCCCGGCTTTTTCCTGTTCTCTCGCTAGCCACGTCGGGACCACGAGCTCCGGGCCTCTGGCAATCTATCAACTACCACTTCCATCGGTTATATGTTTGAAAGAATCAGAAGTCGCTCGTTCATCTTTGGACAGTGTTCAGCGATCAACTACTGTCCATACTTGTCGGTGAGATGCCAAGAAATGAGTGGTGCCACCCACTATATATTCTGACTCTTGCTTGCCTCGGCATCGATTTGTCGTCCCACAATCATTTAGAGCTTGCTGGACTTTGGCCAGATTTAGACCATACAACATTGGATCCTTAATCTTAGATTGCCGCAAGCTATTATAGGACATACGCTCATGTATAGGATTGACACTCCACGAAATCGAAGGTACGAAGTTTCAGTGTCATTTATGGAGCCGCCCCTGTGACAGATAGAGAAAGTGAAAGCATCGTCCTACTAGGAATAGCTATGAATATCTCTACGAATCAGCATTGAAAGTAGAAGGGGATATCAAGTTTGCTGTGGTTGCCGACATAGTGTTAGCGGAAACCTTGAGGAGGAACCCGCCTTGGAGCCTGCATTACTACCTCTGATAGTTCTTTACTAGATCTCATCCTTGGGTACTAGGCATTGTTCTTCGTCCGACTTACCGTGTCTACCTGCATGTGAGGGAGAACATACCGCTCACTTGGAATGTGCGAGTCTCGACTCGTAGCAGGCTACCTGTATTATTGGCTTTGATGCTTGGCATCCAGACTCGAGGTTATACTGCTGTTGATTGTCCACCATTTGGAAATCAAGAAGATGAACACAAAAAAACCCGACGTCGTGGTCCAGGAAGGCCCTCTGGAGAACTAACACAGATAAAATAATCCCTGTCGAGATGGAGCGCGCGCGCTCCATCCCTCGCTCTCTTCGCGTTCTTAACACTTCGTTCCCCTATTTGCCCCAACGCTTTCTTGGAACCAAAACACAACATGAGCTCTCTGCAGATGCAGACGATCCTGGAAGTGGTCTCAACCTTATCTAATATAGAGGAAGCACACAGAGAAAGCCTTCTCTTGCAACACCGTGAAGAGCTCGAGACTGCCCTTGACTCACTACACTCTCTTCCACAAACACCGGAGTTGAACACTACTCACCTTCGAGTCGCTCCTAACGATCGGAATGAACCTTTAGCAATTCCTCCAGCGATATCTCCTTCAGTGACAGCCCCTTCTCCAGCGACATCTCTGGGCTCTGGTGATTCTGCTGATACGAACTCACCTGATTGACGTAGAGGGAAAACGTAAGGACAAGATTCTGGAATGTCTGCAAAAAGCCTCGGATTCACCTAGTACATCCAAGGTGGGACTAATAGTCGCCTGACTGAGGTCTGCCTGTTCCAGAGCGTTGACAGTGATCCACCTCAGCATCGCAGTATCCTGGGTGTTTCGAATCCGGCATTATTCTTGTCCCAACAGATACTCTGGAGTCGGCGTGGTCGATAGTCAGGCCACACCATCTGGAAGACGGTCCCACCTTTTGAAGTGTGCGAGACCGGATCGCCCGTGCCTGTTCCAGCCAAGGCAATCGCAACTCGGTGAGATTTGAGCCTGTTGGCATTTCCAATTGCTTCTACCCCTGATATAAACCAACCAAGGAGGCGAGAATCTTTTCAGAGTCAAGCCACTAGCAGGCCCTCTTGCTGACCTCCGTACGGAGAATACGCGGGGGGAGCAGCGATAGTTTCGTCCAGGAGGCTGCCGAAATGCCGCCCAAGGCATCTGGGCCTCTGTTAATCGCTTGGCCGCGTGTCAATAATTGGCCACCTTAATACAAAGTTGTTCGTCGGAGGTTCGCATCTTACACGGTGCGCACAAGGAGGACGGGTGGGATTCACTCCAGGCACTCGATATTCTCAAGGCTATCATGGAGGCTTTCTGTATCAACTGCCGTGGAATTATTTGAGCAGTATCATCAGGGAAACTCCGTGAACACTGGCATGATGGCTTCTCAAGTCGTTTCATCAAGAAACCTCCCGTAATAATAAGGACTTTCACCCTCCACGGACTACGTCGGCAACCCGACCATCACTAGCTAGAGAGTCCAACCCAGTTAATTGGACACCAGCCTTGCGCCATGCGACAGTTTTCAATACGGAGGTCCGGATATCCGAGCAATCCCCGAGCGGGCTCAGGCGGAAGTCCGCGGCCGTTTCGCGTTAGCTGGCCTGCACCCCAGAATATCGTATTCCAGCCGATACTCCGTGTTCCACACAACCGGGGAAAGCCTCGTGATGAAACCGCCATGTGTTGATGTTGATTGAAGAGGCGTTTGTTTATTGCCCTGGCTCCTGTCAGCGGGTGAGGGCACCACGGGCATAGCGCGCTGGAGGTTGCTCCTGTCTACCTTTGGCAAGGGATCAGATTGACCACTGTCCACATCGATAGACTTTCTTCAGGCTGCGTCGGGAGAACTATAAAAGCACACATCATCTCCCTTCAATGCAGTACATAGCAGCAGCAACGACACAGCACACCTTTGGCAATCTCGAAACGCTGAATCGAACCCGATCACCATGAAAGCCTTCCAAATCCTCCTCTCAGCCGTCCTCACTCTGGGCGCCCTGGCAGCACCGCACGATGAGATGGCCAAAAGAGCCGACCGCGGCTCTTACACCGTCTCCGGCCTCGCGTCGCGCAAGCAGGCCATCTTGAACGCGGGGGGAAACACACTCGATCTCGCCATCGCCATGCTCGAGACGTAAGTCTACATCCCTCCATCATCCAGAGAACGAGCCTTGACAAGCCTGTTGCCAGCGAGACAATGACAACCAACTACGTGTATGGAGATGCAAAGACCTACGACGCCGCGAACTTCGGCCTCTTCAAGCAGAACTGGGGTATGCTCCGTGTCTGTGCGACGCGGTACGGCCTCGCTGGGCAGTCGGAGGCTCAGTGGAATAATGGTGCTGTACTCAAGTATGAAGCCCCTTGTCACTCCCTTGCGCTGCGATCAAGGAAGGATCCCCCCGTCTAATTGTACATATCTAGCTCGAACGTGTACGCCGACGTCGCGTCCCGCTGGGACTGTCAGGGGTACTATGGCGTGGACCTGTGGTTTGCGGGACACCGCAATGGTGCGAGCGGACTGAGCAATCCCAACACGGATGATATTAACAGTATGTACCGAGGCTCTGCTGGGTAAGCTCTTGTGGGTTCGTGTTGCTAACGATGCGGTATAGAGTACAAGACTGCCGTCTACTGGATCCAGGCGCAGATCGACAGCAACTCGGTCTACAAATCGGATGATACGCGCTTCTGGGTTGACGTTGAAGCCATCTAAATGGATTCCCCAGCGTGCCTGGAGAAGAGGAGTGTGGATGAGATGCCTGGTTCGTCAGAGCTGCGGCACAAATGCTTTTTGGTTTTGCTATCCAGTGGAATGTGTACCTAGCTGGGATAGCTACCATTGTATTGAAGGACCATGGATGCAAACTCCCGCAAGTTGAGCTCCCGCAGGAAGCTTAACGGCGCTTCGAGATCCTACCACTACTACGGAGTATAGGCAATACGCTAACCCTTTAAGAATGGTCGTATATGGGGATGGACTAAGGTGTAATAGGGATGTATGGTAGGAGTGTGGACGAATGAAGGTACAGATGGGTTTGCGTTGCGGATAACAGACGGCCATTCTAGTAGACAGGATAGACTTCCCATGGATTAATAACAGTAAAAACGTGAGAGAGCGAAGTAGAACGACAGACCCCTGCTAAAAAAGCAATCACAGCAGTCTATACCCATTGATTGCCAATAAATAAAACATGTAACTGACAACTCCCTCTCGCTACATTGCACATAGAAACAAACACTACATTTACACCAAAACCAAGAAGACAATCCAGAGGGAAGAAAACATACAGTCCATCACCAAAACTAAAATCCAGCCAAACATATCTCCTGGTCGTACACCACAGCGACGACCCTCCCCCATCCCACCATCAACAGACCATCAGGATGCCGTAAGTTGAAGCCACGGACGATGTCACCAACCAAGGGAACGGGCACTTGAGCTGTGAGGTCGTCGATTGTTGCTCCGCGAAAAGGGTATATGTCTGAGAAGGGCTCCACCCAGATGCAGACGTCGACAGTTATGAATGTAGAGGTCCACCTGTACGTCCTGTACAGCTCCCCGTGGTGGTTGGGCATGAGGGCAAAGGCCAAGACAGGCTCGTGGGTCCGTTGGATCTCGATATGGGTATCGTCATTCATTTCTGAAGGCTCGGAATTGTCAGGAGGTGTTGTGTCCTCGTAAGGATATTCTTCAGGCTCTTGGGAGTCATCGTGGTGGTCTTTCTCACCGTCTTCGTTCTCGGACGCGGCGGTGTCATCGTGTGCATCGTGGTCTGAGTGGAGATCGAGGTCTTCAAAGCTATCGTCAAGTCCAAGCAGATGCTGCTCCCATCGAAATCTTGCTTCTGCCCCTTGGCCGCAATCGTCGTATGAGTCCTGGGTGAAAGACATGGTAATGATAGTTCGGACTGAGGTGGAGAGTATATGAGACGAAATGAGTATGTAGGAGCGATGCTGAATGCGTGTGCTTGGCCTGCGAGTGGATCGTGTGAGGAATGGGATTGATGAGGAGTAGATGCGATGACCGGTGATGATCTGGAGAAATGTGGGATGACAGGGGTGTGAATTTGGGGGTATTTATATTCGAGATCAGGCAGAGCTCGAGCAATTCCTTTGTTAATGGATATCACAAAGAGCTCCTTGAGAAATCGGAGCTACTCTCTTCGCGTCCTCTTGGATTTCCAAGGGGCATCGTGACTGGAGGTTGGAGCTGCGCTGCAGTAAGACATTGTCCGCCCGTCCTTTGTCTCCATTCTCAACAAGAACAAGACAAAGCACAGCTAGAGCTATCTGAAGGAGCTATAGCTTTCCCTTTGAAGCTCGATTCGAGCTATTTCAAGCAGCTATAGGCTACCCGCATAATCTTAACTCTCTATAGTCTCTACCCTCGAAAGTCGCGAGCTAGAGTTTACAAAGAGATTATCTTTTTACTGTCCACAAAACGTTAAGTTGTTGTTTTCAAAGAGCTCATTTACCGGAGCTGAGAACGGTCGGGCTCTTCTCGAAGGCTACGTCTAACGTACCATCTTAAAAGTGACATCCTCCTCGTAAAGTGTCCCTCCCATTTGTATGGTCCGGATACGTGGCCACCGCGAACAAAGCAGCCTGAATTTGACTAACTCAGTTCAGGCTCGTTGAGTAGAGACTTGGAGAGAGCGATAAGTTCATGACCCCTACCAAACAAGATCTTGATTGTCCCCGAACCTCTCCAAGCTACCAGTATCCCTCTTAATGTCATTACTGGCAATCTCAAAGCAGTTCCAACGCATATTAAAACCGCGTGAGTCACAGTCTTCCTTCTAGGTCATTCATCATTATCTAGCTCTCCTCATAGGCGGTTAGAGCTGAGCGTTGGAGGAGGATTTTACGAGCCCTATACTCTCTCTGACCTGTACATCTACAAGATGAAATTTAGTTCCAAACTCGACGCAATCTTTTCATTCCATTTGACCTAACTATAGCATGCCCACAAGAGATTTTTCATGTGTCGGGAAACCCGTTCTATAGATCGATTAGCAGCAACAGAGAGGATAAGACGTACCCTCTCCCATTCCGGTCCACCAAGCATAAGAAGAAATGACAAGACACACCACTCAAAACACCCCAATCACTTACTCACCGGATGCACCGCGCCCCCGGCCCTCCTAACCTCGAAGATTTTAACACCCTCATAAACAGCCATAACTTCACCCAGCCCATAATGCACAACCGCCGACCCCGCGGCACTCGACGGTTCCCAGTACCCGCTAGCCGGCGAGCCAACGGCCGGATTCGACGTGCCCACATCGCGATCCATCGAGGTCGTCGGAGTGAGTTTGTCCTTTTGCCCCTCGATGGGTTTCACGATGATGACGCGCGAAAGCGTCGTGGCTTTTGTTGCGGTTCCCCAGTCTGTGAAGATTTGCCCGGAGGACAGGGAGACGTACCCGTAGGCGCGGGAGCCGATGGCAGGGGCTTTGGAGGCGTCGTAGACTATCCAGGTGGGGTTTGTGGTGGGTTTGTTGTTGGTGTTGGTGGTGGCGTTAGTAGACATGGTAAAAGGTGTGTTGTCGATGATTGGCAAATCAAAACTGGAGAGGGGCTATCTCGCGTGGTCTCGTGTGGCTTCTTATAGTTTTGGCCCTCAAAGGGCAACAATGGGCTTTGAAGCTTTGCTGCTGCGTTGTGCGAGGACAAGGGCGAGATACCCACTCGAAGATGGACAATGAAGAAGAAAAGCCTCCATTGTGCTGCTTTGTGTATCCATCAAAGCTTCCCAAAGAGGCATTGTTTGAGACTGTCGACTTTACGAGACCATTAAGGGTATCAAGGGCAAAACGAGACAAAAGGAGGGTGCGGTCCGGTTAGGACAGCGGACAGCTGTAGCAGTTGAAATCAGATAGTGAAATCCATACCACGTAGCTCGGCCTACTCTACATACTTAGTTTCTTGGAGTTTATTGGGAATCTGGCTCGGGATAAAGAGCCAATAAGCTGACAGAGTGGAAGTTGCACGACGAACCCATACTGCGCAGTAATCCAAATCTATTAACTATAAACGCTCAAATGCAGTATACTCAGCGCACCGACTCCTAATGGTGAGGGCTACGGTTCTACGTTAAGAGAGGAGAAATAGCTTATAAAGTCAAACGTTGTTATTGATTTCGATATAAAGTCCGCGAATGGCAGCCTAGTAGGAATTGGAAGCCAACAAAATCACAAAAACGACATACCTTGAATCCCCCCCAAATCATCCCACCAACAACCATCACAGAGCTCAGAGGAACACCCCCTGCTCCGGATGCTCCACGATCGCAATCTCCAAGTTCTCAATAATCTTGACAACAACCCCCGACCCAAACTTCAAGAACCCCGCATGCGACACCCAGAATCCCTCAACGGTTTGCCCCAGCTGAGGATCGCCAGTGACCTCCGGCGGCATCGCCATACCATTCACCGTGCACAGGTCGAACTTGTCGCCTTCCTTGGCGCTGCCTTTAGGCGTGACGACGACCATCTTGGGTAGCTGGATGATCTTGTACACGTTGCCCTTTGCCGCCTTGAGGTGGCCGGATTTTGTGAAATAGAAGCCTTTTCCTTCCTGGCCCATGGAGCGCGGGAAGGGGGATACGCGCACGAGGCATTCGTGGTCGTTGATCACGTACTCGGCTTCGTACTTTGTTACCTTGAATTCGGGGGCGCCTTCCTTTGAGGTCTTGTAGACCCAGAACTCGCTCTTGTTGATGACTCTGGTAGACATGCTGGAGGTTCCTTGGTCGACTTGATTATTATTAGGGTACCTTTTGTTGGCTTGGGGGCTCTGGGTGCTGTTAGCTGTGGTCTGGACTTTGGAGGTTGCGGTCGTTTGGAGGGTGGTTGGACACGGTGCGAGAGTTGGTGAAAGGCGATATAGACATGAATATTGTGGCTATTTATACTTGCCGAGTCTCACTGTGCTCATTGTACTCTTTGTAGACATATGTATCTCATTGACCCCCTTTCAGTGCCATAGCTTGGCCTCTTTGACGACTTGATAACGTTGTTGAAGGGCTTTTTTATGTCTTCTAGCTTTAGGATGATCCTATTATTCTCCCTTTATACGGGGCGAACAAAGGCATACCTTCCTTGAAGGCCTTTATCATGCAAGAAATGTATGCAACCAAGGTACAGTATCACAATGAATGATATCCGCAAGTCCTGTAAGAGTGTATCCCCGAGAACCCGAGTATCAAGGAGCTCAGAGTACTTTGGCTGTAGTACTTCTTCCAGGCGTGTGATTGGAAAAGAAATCCAGACTTTGAGCAATAGAGGGCGCTTCTTGATCTAATCTATATTACTTAATACGTGCCAGTGAAAAGAATTTATATTACAGGCAAAGACCATACATATTCTTCTCCATAGACTACCTGGTCAACCCAGCATTATTCGCAGTATAACGATAAGCACTGATGTTAGGTCGAGTCTCGCGGATAGTGGCATTGGCGCCTTCACCCGCGTAAAAGGAACGCTATCATAGAGACTACAACTTGCACCGCCAAGAGTAAGACTTCCTCGAGCTTTTTGAATTGCTTTGTTTCATGCTTCATTGGTACGAACAAAAAAAAAAAGCTTGTTCTTGTGCCTCTATTGCCAGTTTTACTCCTTTTGTTTGAGGTCCTATGTGTTCCCTTATGCCCATCTATGGGATTGATATTCCATACGTATCCAGCGCACGGGCCGAGCAGTAATTCAGCTGGTCACTACCTGGCTTATGCGTACATTGATTGGAAAATCGGAAGATTGCACAATACGCTATCATATAATTATGGACAGTCTCGACTGGTATTTAGCAGATATACACTGGGGCCGATGTAGTCGTTAGGGCTTTTTTTTTGTTGTGGAACGACCACTCGCAAGAACTCACTCCCTCGCGACGGCTAAGACTTACAGTATAAGGTAATATAGAGCTTACAAGCCATGTAGAAATAAAATTGATATTGTTCTAAACACAATCAAACAAAACCCAGTACGGGATAGATGAACTCACCTTCTCAACAGACCACTTACACATCCTCCTCCAACCTAACCAAAAATGGACCCTAAAAAGCGTCAGCACGATTACGGTCTGGATTGACTTACTGAAACCCCAACGCAGGCTTCGTCCCACAAGCCGGATCCCTCCCCGTAAACGTCTCAACCTGAACCTCCCGCCCCGCCTCAACAAGAGCAAGCACAACATCCTCCGCAACATCACTCACAATCCCCATGCCCCACTTGATAAATCCATCGGGGCACTGCCAGAACCCATACGTGCGTTTCCCGAGCTCGTCCTGGCCCGGGGAGGCCAGTTCCGCCTGCGTGCGCAGGTCGTCGACCTCGGGGGCAATCGAGCGTTCGGCGTCCTGGTCGGACTCAGGCATGACGGTGACGAAGGCGTTGAAGTGTAGGAGCTCACGGACGATTCCGTTTGTTTGTTTCAGCCCGTCGGGCATGGTGGATGCGTACCCGGTGCGGTGGGAGCCGAGGGCTGGTGCCCATTCTGTAGGGATCGTGTAGGGGGTTACGGTGGGGATTGAGAGGGGGCTTGGTGATTGAGACATAGTGGTGGTTTTGATCGAGTGGATCTGGTTTCTGGTTAGTCGGTATAATGTTCTGGTAGTGGTCGAGAGGTGAGATGGTGGTAGATCGACAAGTCGGATGATTGATGCATCGTAGTAGATGGGTTAGGGTGCCTTTTATATTCGTCCGATATAGCTGCTGCCTTTCATGCTTTGTTCTGGTATAATGCCTTTTGATCCCTCATTGTGCCGCTGGGATAGGATCTCTTTCATCCCATTGTTGGCGTATCACCGTACAAGGTAGGCCGCATTGATCTTGTTGTCTGCGGAAGATGCCCTTTGAGCGCAGATAATGATTGGTTAAATACCCATTATGTATCTTTGTGGTCTACTCAATGCATGCACTAAAGACCTGTCTCATTGTGCTGTCTATCGAAGCCATCTGCCAGGGAGTCTCATCGTACTATGCAGGGAGGTAGACTACACTGTCATGTAACTATAGACAAACTAGCGTGGCTGACAAATGGCCAGACGGGATCTTTTGACCTAAAGAAGAAAAAGAGAAAACTACGTATCGAATGGCAGATGCTTCCGATTTACGTTAGAATAGAGTAACCAACATCACAGCGGTTTCAGTTCCTCGTCCCTCTAACCTGGCTTAGAATGCTCCATACCACAAGAGTAGAAAACGACTGTGCCAGAAAGCGCATAGCGCGACCACGTTTTCAGGACAAGAAATTGATCAGGGCTAGTTGCTTAAGGCTTTTGGCTGTCTGGGAAACAAGGTCCGAATAGTGTCTCGATCTTATTTTTTCCCACTTTTATTCTATCAATATTTCAGTAGAATATATCGGCGGCCAATCTTGTTTCCAAATCCAAGCCCCTACTAGGTCACGCGAAATATGAGCCGCCCAATGGCGGAAATATGACATGCTCAGAGCGACTTCTCAGTTAAAGGCTGCTCCAAGGATCTTGCATTTGCTACATCAGCTCGAGCCCGTACTGTGGATCCAGGCCTTTGCTGCCTATTGCGCTGAAATGGTCGCAATATAATATAGACTTTGCAGCCAACGCGTCCGAGGGTTAAGCCATCATCAGACCACCAGCACACTAAATAGTGTCCCATGACGAAATGGCAGGGTATACTCGCCAGTGTCCTCGCAAGCTTTTTTCCTTCCCGCTCACCTCCTACAACCCCCCAAACTGGCATGGCAAGTGCACTGGACCAAGACACCACCTACGATTTACAAGATCAGATAGTCAATCTCAACTTTGATAGCAGACTAGATACCGTCTAGTCAACGGCTAAGACCAGGTAGATTCGCGAAACGGGGCCTACCCTGCAACTACTACAGCTCGCGAGCCATCGGATTCCGACTCGTGCAGGTGGATTAATCCTACAATCGACGATTTGGCCAGGCCGCCTCATATCGACAACGCGGGGTCCAGGTTCCCAGCTCCCGTCTGCGGTCAAGACGGTAGCGTTATGGCATCACAATCCACCCTCAATTCGGATGCGGATGCGGATGCCCCTTGGCATACAGCCGGACACAATCACACAAACACAAACGCGAATAACAACATGCCCGAGCAACCTTGTTACCCCACACTGCCCGACTACGGCTCTCTAGCCCAGATACGAGAGGATCCATCGTATCCGGATGAGCGGGAGCGAGAGCTGGCGCTACAGCTAGCACGAGAGCGGGAATTGGAGCGCCGAGAAATGGTGCAGTACGCGGACGCCCAGCGGTTGCTCCTGGAGAGGCGGAGGGGGGAAATGCTCAGGACTTATGATCCGTGGCCCATCTGGGCGCTGGGAAGGTATGCATATACCTCTGACGCTGATACGGTTATGCGCGAGGCGCCGGTGCCTGGGCCTGCTCCTGAGCCTGAGCGCAAAAGTGTGGATGACTGTGATTGTGAGTCTGATCCCTCTCGGGTTGGAATTGAGGATGAGGTTGAGGATGCAGCTGCGGCTCAGGGCAACACTCTGCCGAGTGAGGGTGAGAACTTGGGCACCGAGACTCTCGAGGATAAAATCGCTGCTGAGAGGAGGCGAATTTCTCATGCGGATTGGGCGGATTTACCTGCTCGCGCTCTCGCTCACGACCCCAAGGACCGGATACCAGAGTGGTCTGAGCGAGAGGATTCGCCTGCCAGTGTCGAGACGGCTGCCCCTTCCCGGCCCACTATTCCTGAGGATGTCATACCTGATATGCAATATCACGAGTATACCATGGGCGGCGGGATCGATTGGATGGAGTGGATTGACAAGGATGAACCCGAGCCCATGTACGAGTCCGAGCCAGAGGAAGAGGAATCTGAGGAGGACGCTAGACGCCAGGCTGCTCAGGCTTTGATAGAGCATCCGTTCAACTGGTTTACTGCGGCGGATCAAAAGGAGAACGAGCGTGAGGAAGATGAAGAGACTGATGAGTTGGGGACTCGGGCATACCGCAAATGGGAGGCCTCGGACCGGGGTCTTCCAGCTGGAGACGCCGAGTTCGAGACGGAGAGCACGCTTGGGTCAGGATCTGAGACAGAAACAGAGTCCGAGTGTGGAGGACGATGTGAATGTGAGCGTGAGGCGAGATCAGAGTCCGAGTCGCGGACTGCAGAGATGGACGAGACCGACGAGACCGAAATGGCAACCGACAGCGCCCTCTGCGAAAGACACATCACGAACTTGAAAACCGCTCTTCTTAGACTCTACCCTCCATCGCGATTCATCCAACTCCCGCTGGTAAAGGAATACATCGCCCGCCTTACCCTCGATGAAATCCAATCCGTCATTCAAACACACCTCTTGGACGGCTCACACGTCCTGCTAATCACCCGAACACACACGACCCTCGAGGCAAGCGCCTCTAGCCCAATGTCCTTTGAAAGGGCAGCCAACGCCATGATCCGGCGCCTGTTCCCGCCCGATCGCGGGCGCGCAATCACAGTGGAAACATCCCCACTCATTGACGCGATGCGGGCGACGGGCGTTGACAAGTTGCGAGAGGCCCTTCCGGAGGCACTGAAGCACATGACGACAGAGCAGATTTGGGCGGTTGTCATTGCGCCAAAGGTAACGGTCGTCGAGCCTGTTCTTATTGAGCTCTATGGAGCTGCGGCGGCGATGGGGGTTGAAGAGGGGGTTTGGTTTGGGCTTGGGTGTGAAGAGTGGTGGGAGAGGGAGGGGGCCAGGCTTGCAGAGGGCTTTTAATGGATCAGGGCCGAGTTGATCAGTATATGGAGCGGAGCGCGGAGGTTGTCTGGGGAGTTTCGAACTCTCGTTTTGTTTGTCTTTTTCGTACTTTCTGATATGCGGAGGAGTTGCTGTGCAGTCTATCAACTTTCATCTACACAGCACTATACCGAGTCAATAAATTGGATACAGTTCTCAAAGTCCGTCAATTGATTTCGCTCTCATTGCACAATATTGGGCGCCTTGTTTGGCATCAGCACCCAAACATGATATCGGTCGAGATAAGCCGGTTATCATGAAGCCACTTGTCCATATTGCAGATCACCGACTTCGACTCCAAACCAGCACAAACACAATCCATCTTTGCAAACGCAACAGGCAGCCCAACCGCCAACATGACCCAACCAAAAACGTACCTCGACATCGTCAAGGAATGCGACAAGTAAGCCATACATGACGACACGCTCCCCATCACAATTGAGAGAGAGCCATTCTAATAAAGGCAGCTTCCCCTACGAAACCGAAAACCCTGCCCTGTACAGCTTGCACCTAGAAAACTACTATTCCTTCAAAGTCGCCGGGTACACCGAGGTGCTCGGCCACGTACCAAAGTACATAATCCGCGCCTTTGCATTTCCCGACGGATGGCTTGTCGACCATGAGAGGCAGGAACTTATCCTCGCGCCCGCGCTCGATAATAGCCTCACCGAGAGCGAAAAGGCGCAACGACGTACAGCGCTCATGGAATCGACACTAAAGTCCATGTCCCAGACGCCCACACGCCGGGAATTCCTCGCTCTCGCGCGGAAATGGCGGAATGAGACGTTTCCCATCTACAGCACGACCACCCCCGGCAAGTCCAAGATCCGCCTCCTCGAAATCGAACGCTCCGCCAGTGCCCTCTTTGGTATCCTCACGAGCGGCGTGCAACTTACCGCGTACACGACGGACCCAGTCACGAACGAACTAAAGATCTGGATCGCGCGCCGGTCACGCAAGAAGCAGACGTATGCCGGGATGTTGGATAGTGCGGCGGCGGGCGGACTGGAGAGTGGGATGAATCCGTTGGAAGGGGTTGTCCGCGAGGCGGTTGAGGAGGCGAGTCTGGGTGAGAATGTTGTGCGAAAGGGGGTTAGGTGTGTTGGGGCGCTGAGTTATTATCATGTTATGCCCCCGTCACCATCGTCTCCATCTCTGACTGAGCCTGTGAGTGACGGAATGAAGGATGGAGAGGAAGAAGTCGGCTTCCTCCAGCCCGAAATCGAGTACATCTACGAGCTGCACCTCGACTCAACCACGCAACCCAAACCTGGTGACTCGGAGGTCGAGGGGTTTTATCTTTGGGGCGTGGAGGAGGTCAAAGCCGCGCTGTTGCGTGGGGAGTTTAAACTGAATAGTGCGATTGTGGTGATCGATTTCTTTGTGAGGCATGGGGTGATCACGGCGGAGAATGAGAGTGATTATGTGGAGATTGTATGTCGGCTGCATCGGAGGTTGTGAAGATCTGGTGTGTGGGGATGCGAGTGTTGGTGGAAGAGAGGAGATGAGGCGGAAGTGAAGAAAGACGAGGTCAGTCAGTTGGTCTCAACAACTCGAGGCTCGTATCGAGAGACATGACCAGTCACTGCGAATCTTGCCCCCAAGCTGGGCAAACTGAGCTCAGATTCCGATCCCCGCAAACACGAAAATCGAGCGAATGACCTCGGTCACCCGGAAAGCTCGCAATGATCGGCATCGCCATGCAGACCTCAAAGGATCATGAAGAGCGGGCAGTGGACAGGAGTGAGACAGCCAGGCTGAGCGAGCGCAAATACGAGGACTGTCGCTTGGCGAACGCCAAATCCGGTTGTGGTGGGTGCCGAGGACGAGCTGCAGGCGTACATATAAAGGAAGGCGTGGTCTCGGAGAACAAGACTGAAAGCAAAGCGGTCATCGTGTCTCGTCGCGTCTCGTCTCTCGTTACTTTTCAAACAACCCATACACTCGCTTGATCCTCCTCTTCTCAAAATGAAGCTCTCCATCCTCCCCCTCCTCGCAACCGCAACCCTTGCCACAGCGGCTGCAGTCCCCAGCGCGGGTGACGCCCACACCCTCAAGTCTCGCCAGGAGACCATCGTCTGGCCAGAAGCCACCTACCGGTATTGGATCTCCAGCGGCGCATCCAAACTCGACCCGCAAGACCAACTCCTCGTCGTCAAGGACAGATACCCGGCCAACGAATCCAGCACCCTAACCACATTCTCCATCCCCCCCGACGTCGCGGGCCGAACGTGCAAGTTGAACTTTGACCTTTGGGACCGTGACCACTCGACGGGGTCGCAGACGCTCGATGTATTTACGTCTGTGAGTCCGGGGCGCAGAGATCAGCACGTTGGACGGATCTGGGTTCCTAAGCCCGGTGCTGCCGAGTGGGTTTTTTCGTTCCATGGTCTGCCGGAGTTTAAGTGTCCGGCTGGGGAGGTCATTGGGTTTGAGTTTGTGGGAGTGGGCGATGCGGTTGAGGTGCGCTGGGATATCGGGGTTACGGGGCCCAGGGTTTTTGTTCTCTGATTTCACTCAATTTTCGGGCAGAAGAGAGCAAAGAGTTGGTTGTTGTTGATGGCTATTCAGTCCGGTTACATACATGTACCTCGACCTATCTCGCAGTAATACCTAATCTAATCGTGATGCAAGCGTGGCTTTGGAATAATCAGCCAGGAAACACCCGTAGCCCCGAGTAGGCCGACGAGCATAGGCTGAAGAACCTTTACCCCGGCCTCCGAGGCGATGACGCCTGTTATAGCTGGAAATACCGATCCTCCGATCTGCCCGAGGAGGAAGATGAATGCTACCCTAGTTAGCGCATCTCTACCTAGGTAAAATGTGGGGGTACACACCAAGCGCAGATGACCGGATTTCAGCAGCGAAGAGCTTCGATGCGACGGATATACCCTGCTATTGTTAGAACTTCCCTTGGATATGGACATGGGATCACAGACTGTAGCAAAAAACGGCCCCGAAAAGAACCCAAGAAGACTGATCGCGACAGCCTCGGTAATAATATCCGGAACGAGCCAAAAGACCAGCTCGAGCGCGAGGCAGAGCACGATATAAATGAAAACCATGCGTCGTTCTCCGAATCGGTGCGTGGGCTCTGCCAGGAGGAGTCGTCCAAGGAACCCCCCGCCGTAGAAACCCGCGGGGACGTAGCCCATCTTGTCCAGGTCGCCATTGCGGACGTCGACGAGGTACTCGACGATCCAGCCTAATACTTGTTAGATGCGGCTAAGTGGGATTTGGGGAGAGGGAAGGTACCGCCAGCAGTAATAACCGCACCAAGGTAGAAGAAGAAAAACAGACTGAGGAGCCAGACGCCGCCAGAGCTAAGCGTCTTCTGCATCTCGACGCGGGCATCCTTTTGCCTCGACACGGTCGGTTGCTCTTCGCTTGAAGCTGTCTTCTTAAGCATCGCCCACTCGCGAAACGCAACGCAGACGAGCACCAGGTTCAGCACACCGAGCCCGACCGGGGCTGCATAGAAGAAATGCCAATGATGGTTGCCGGACGACGCAACCCCCGTCGCGACAAATGGCGCAACGAGACACCCCGCCATATACATTGCATGGATAAAACCCAGCCAGCGATGCGCGCCTTTCACCGTTGCGACAAAGTTATTCGCGTGGGTGTCTTGGTACGCTTGGCCCAGGGCCGCGAGGAAGAATGTAATGGTGTAAAGTGTGAATGGTGGGAGCCAAACGCGCAGGACGTGTGCGAGGATCTGCAGAGCTGCGCCGAGGAGAAGCAGGATTCCCAGGTCGAAGTATTGGCTCAAGTAGCTGTTTGTCAACGCGGCGGCGAACCAGCCCGCGAAGGTTGTGCCGTAGCTGAATGGTTCGTTAGCGGGATCAAAGTAAGGGGCTGGCTTGTGCATGATATGGGTGTGAGCTTACACGATCGAGACCATGTTTGTGTCAATGTCATATTCGTCGCGAATGTAAGGGATGAGTGCCCCCAGGCTGCCGTCGTTGATCCCCGCCACGAAGAATGAGAAGCCCGAGCTGATCAGCTTGAGCAGGAGCAGGCGGGGGACGGGCGATTCTGTGGGGTCAACCTCAAGTGTCTCCATGTCGGTCAATCCTGGAGTTATGTCTTTCTTACAAATGTTCACCAGATTGGATGAAAATGCTGGAGAGATGAGGTTGAAATACAAAATCCTCTCATTGATCGCGCGGCTAAACCTCGGGTTCGATGCGAGCAAAAAGGGCAATTCGGCCAGCACTCCGTGTCAAAAGTCTCCAGAAGTTAACGCTCTTTGGTTATTGAGCCAACTCGGTTGTCAATCTTGGTTAGCGTAACGTCATCCCCAGTACAAACCGTCCCTGATTTCCTTGCTTCGAAAAGCCTGTCACAAAGTGCAGCGAACCGGCTATTCGTGGCGATGAGCCTAAAATTATGCATAATTCCCATATGGCTTTCGCCTTCCCCAAGCATACGGAGTATACGAAGTAAAACAGACCCATAGCGGAGTTTTAGACTGACCCCGTGGGGAAGGATGCTCCGTATCAAAACTGGATAGTAGCTCCAGACCCTGCATTGGCAGTGCCGCAGCGATAGAGAGCACTCAGTCGGCGGATCAAAAGAAACCTGGCCAGACTCTCAGCTCATAAAGACACGAGAAGTACCTCACAGCCCTCGCTTGCCGATTATGTACTTTTTAGATCTTTCTATTTCCTAGGGACGATTATGCACCGAGGTCGCGAGATTGAATGTTCTGAAATCTGATCATGTAGACTAGATGTCGACAGTACTCGCTTACCTCGTTCACCATGATTATAGCAGGAGGCCGCATTATCATACCTTGGCTTCAGGTGGAAAGGCAGATGGAAGATAAACCAGTCACTCAATAATAGATGAAAGATAAAAGACTTTAGCGAAGAGCGATGAGGCTAGATGAAGCACGGGGTCAGGCGAGTCGTAGCGACGGAACAAAGGACAGGGGTCCTGACATCTAACAGACCGATTAGCTCCTCTCCGCGTAACTAAACCCTCACTCAACCTGTTCAGCTTCTCCCCGCCCAATCCCCTTGAGCAAGCAAAAGCTGGGGAACTACTAGAGACTGCTGACGGAGACTCTCGGCGATTCCGCGGAAATTCGCTGGTTCTTTGTTATCGAGGAGAAAACTCTCCGCCCTGGGCAGAAGGAATGCACTAGTATCCAATCCCTGTACTTTCAATGAGTTGGGCGATCCATTGCTTGGCTAAAATGAAGCTTTCTCGTAGCCCTAAGCGGGAGCACATATTGGATGGTCTATTGCCCCGATAAAGCATGCCCTAATCGAATATTAGCTTTCCGTTTCTCACCTACTACATGCCTCACTCCTATTTAAGCGTTCCTCTCCTCGCCGTCTGTCTGTCCCTTTCTTTTCCCTGGCGGGATAATTCCCAGAATTCGGACAAGACCAACAACATCCTACACAGACACGTCGGAGCACCGCCCATATCCCATCCTCTGGCCAGACTATCAATAACGACAGCCGCAATTGCCGCGGCGGTGTTTCACAATTGTCCCGCGAGCTCAGCGATCGTCGCGGATTGTGCGAGGACACATTCGGTCCTAAATGATGTGCTCTATATAATGATTCTTGCTGTGCCGATTGCAGTTGGGATTGTTTGTGACTGCTTCGCTTTTATATAATATTGTGGGAGAATAGGCTGGGCTTGAGTGAAGTAGAAATGACATGCCGGTGTGAAACGTACCTAGAGCGGAAACCGTAATTCCCGCGGCGGGATGGAGACTGAAACCTGTAGAACGCATCGTGGGTCCCTTGGAGGGGTCTCTGAAGAACACCAGCCAGTATTGCGCATTGCCCACAGGAGGTGCCTAAAGATATCGTATCGAGAAAGCGCATCTATTCATCAGAGAAAGCCGGAGAATTCAGCTCAACTTCCTAGACTATTCGAGCAAGTCGCTGAACCCTTTGAAGGTTGCAGGCAAAGAAACCGATGCAACAGGGTATCTTAAATCGGGGCATCTTCATCGCTTTGTCGAGCGCGTCTGCGACGTATACTCTCATAGGGCGCCGTCGCGGATCTTCAGTGACGCAAAGCCCTGGTCCAATTCACCAGTTTTGATGACCTCTGCTCCTGGACCCCGAGGCAACGGTCACATTCTCGCCATCATGTTGGAATCTGTCTCCATTCCACCACCAGTCCAGATAATCCGCACAGGGAGTGGACAACAGTGGCACGTCCTCCCAGAGTAGGTCGTTGGTACTGGCCGCGCCCATCTGCAAGCCTTGATCATAAAAAGGGGGCCCAAAACGCTCAAACTATATTCGGGACAGTCTAGGTTTATGCTTAAGGCTCTGTCGGCTCATCTTGGGGCCCCGGGTGTAGGGTGGAAGCAGAAGAGGGAGCTCGCAAGTCTCGCAGCAGAAACAGTTGCTGTAAGCCTCCTCTATCCACCCAATGACCCTGCCTTGGTAGCCATGCGACAGCGAAGTCACACAGTACTCGACCCTTGTTGGACTCCCTTCCCGCGTCGTATCTATCTCTGAATGCACCGTAGCCCTATATTTGGCATCCGCCTCTTCCCAGATGAGACCGTGCGCCCAGCCCAACCAGCAGCATCTCTTCTTTCAACATTCGCCCTCAACAGGAAACCAGATGATGAGTTCCAGATTCAACGCCATGCCATTATTGTCTGTGGGTATGGCCGGAGCCGAGACTATGTTTCTCGAAAAGCTAGTTTTGCGAAAAAATGCGGATGGTATGGAGTCTGGAGACGGAACAAACGAAGGAGGCTGGTACGATGACGATGAGGGTGGGTAATATACTTTGAAGGTAGAATAGGAGAAGGTTCTGCGATTGGCGCTGAAGAAACTAGCGCTGACTACTGCAACGATACAGCCAGCTAAGAGCTCAAGAGTGTCGAAGATGCTGAAATGTCGGCATGAGGACTTGGTCACCGGGTGATGAATTCATGGGACTTGCGAGTATTGTCTGCGCAACGATCTGGAAATGAAGTACTTAGTTTGTTTTCTCGAAGTCAACTAGGAATATCGAGCAGTTCGTGTTCGCAGGGTATAGGACGCGTTTCACCCACGCGTGCCATCAGCATCTGCTTTTAAATATCAGGTAAAGATGCGGGGTACGCTGGACGAATGTAGCTGACCCCAGACGCCCAATCCAGCCGTCTAGAGTAACGCCAGACCCATTCCGCCGTGCATATTTCTCCTATCAAACAGCGATCAGCTGACAAACTTGTTGAAGTAATAATGCAGGGTTGTTGACTGCCAATCGTTGGAGTCGAGCCCGAAGAGGAATCTCGAAGAGAAATACGGGCTCAGATCCTATGAGACAAACATTCCATATCATTGCGGGGAAAGCCACGCGCCACGGCGATAACGCCTCTGCTGCAGCCTGCCGCCGTTGATAATTTCCTGGAGTGAGTGTGATAAGCTATCACTTGGCGACGCTAGTATCGCCATCTCCTCCCTTTTTCGGTAAGATCTGTTGCGCTCCGATACCACCCTGATAGGACGCTTATCGCCCGCTACGCCTGCCCATCCATATCCCCGTCATATGAGGCCTTGATGCATATAAGATGGCGATGAGATCCCGTCTGTACGGCTATCATCACCATATCACGCGATGGAGAAAAAAGCGCCTTCTGTCGATGGAAACCCAGTCACTACCGACGAGGGCACCATGTCCCCGTACGGTCAGACCAAGCGTGGCCTGTCTGCTCGCCATGTACAGCTGATGGCTATCGGAGGGTCCATCGGAACTGGTCTGTTTGTCGGTATCGGATCGTACATGCGCGATTCTGGCCCCCTGTCTGTTGTCCTGGGTTATCTCTTGTACGGCCTCCTGTTCATCTGGCCATGTTACCTGTGTGTGGGTGAAATGTGTGCATACCTGCCGATTCGAGGTTCAATCTTCGAGCTGGCCGCACGATATATCGACCCTGCATTTGGCTTTGCCATGTAAGTACATTGTCCTGGTTCCTATACTTCAGCTCACATAGTTAGGGGCTGGGTGTACTTCTATGCAGGTGTGATGCTAGTATGCGTCGAATATTCAGCCGTTGCCACTATCATGCAGTACTGGACGACAAGCGTGAATCCCGCAGTTTGGATTGCCATGGCAATGGTCGTGTGCATTATCCTGAACATTGTGGCAGTCGAGTGGTATGGTGAAAGTGAGTTCATCATGGCATCGACCAAGGTCCTTCTCATCATCGGTCTTATCCTCCTCACGTTCATCACAATGGTCGGCGGAAACCCCAAAAAAGACCCGTATGGATTCCGCTACTGGACGGATGGTGTCATGTACGAGTTCTACACCGACGGCGACACCGGTCGGTTCCTCGGTCTGTTCAACGTCATGGTATATGCTGCCTTTTCTTTGGCTGGTCCTGATCTCCCGTCTCTCGCTGCGGGCGAGATTCAAAACCCGCGATACACCATTCCTCGCGTCTGCAAGATGATCTTCTGGCGTATTGTTGGATTCTATGTCATCGGAACCCTCGCCGTGAACATTATTTGCGACTCCCACGATCCTCGCCTCATCAGTGCTATCGACAACGGCGAGGCCGGATCTGCCGCCTCACCATGGGTTATCGGGATCGAGAACCTGGACATCCACGGCTTGCCAGATCTGATAAACGTCCTCATTCTGCTTTCCGGTTGGTCTTGCGGTAACGCGTACGTGTACGGCTCGAGTCGCACGCTGTACTCGCTTGCGAAGGACGGACAAGCCCCAAAGTTCCTCCTCAAGTGTACCAAGTCTGGAGTGCCAATCTATTGCGTCCTGGTTGTGTCGCTAATCACCTGCATCACCTTCATGGTCGCCGACAATTCATCAGTAGAGGTCTTCTATTGGTTCATTGATCTCACCACCTGTGGATTGGTTCTCACCTATACCTGCATGGTGGCTGTGTTTCTCGCCTGGTATCGGGCACTTCGCGCCCAGGGTGTTGATCGCGCTACTCTGCCATGGGCCGCACCTTTGATGCCCTACTGGGCTATCCTAGCCCTGATAGTTGGGTCTGCTGTCACCTTGTTCAACGGGTTCACAGTTTTCTCACCTTGGAGCACTCAGGGATTCATCACCTCGTACTTTGCCATTGGATTTTTCATGGTGACGTTTGCTTTCTGGAAATTTTGGCACAAGACATCATTTGTCAAACCAGCAGAAGCCGATATCATCTCTGGCAAAGCAGAAATTGACGCCGAGTGTCGCATTTGGGAGGACGGCGGCTTCAAGGAGAGGCGCAGAGCGGAGTTGGCACAGATGCACTGGTCCCGCCGGTGGTGGGAAAAGATGTGGTAATAAGATTGTGTCAATATGTAGTCTCAGAGATCATCATAATAAACGATTTGTTTCACTCCCAGCATTAATTACAGCAAAATCGATCAGTAGCCGCAAGAAGAGGCAGAACACGCAGTGAAATCCTTCTCAGACTCTGAGTCGTCGCTCCAGCCACATGACCTCCGCGCTTCCTCCTCATCCCAGTCCTCCCCGACTCCGCTCGTTCCTCCCTCATCCAGGGTTTTCTCCATCTCCAGCTGTGCTTCTTCTGACTTACCTCCGTGCCAGTGTGTCTTCAATTCGTCGGAGATGCAGCAATTTGCCTGGCCGCCGACCTCTCTCAATTCCAGCTCCCTGTTTCCGGCCTCGAATACCAGTTCAAATCGGCCGCTCGGTTGACCGCGCGCAAACGCAATCAGAGCTCTAAGCAGTGCCGCAAGCCTCTTGAGCTGCGGCTTTTGTTCTTCCTCCCACTCTTCTACTTCCTCTTGCACGTTTTTGACACGCACGTCACTGAAGAGACCACGTTTATGAAATCCAACGATGAAATTCGGTACCTGGGCGAACCACAGCCGGGGTAGTTTGCCTCTCAACACGTCCGTATATTCTTTCCTGGCAGATCGGGTCTTGAGATCGAACATGGCTGATTGTGGGATAGCCGTCCCTGCTGTCTCAACGGCAAGCACCGTGACTTTCTCTGCAGCAACTGAGCCCACCGAACTATGTTGCAACGGCTTGAGCAGATCGTCAGCATCCCCCGCTGGGTCCTCAACATGAGAGGTCTCAGGCCTGTGGAGATTGGGAAGATACCCGTCTCCCTCGTATCGGATAGCACAGGATATCCCGGCGAAGTTATACTTCAGAATTCTTTGGTGGGACTCTGAACCCTTGACATCTTTATTCCAAGTCGTGTTTGCCTCTGGAAATGTATGTCCGTACCCAAAAACGCCAGAGATTTTCTCAGTTGGGGAGGCCTCCCGCCGCACGAGAAATACGGTCGCCCCGATCGCTTCCACAATCATCCTAAACCCTTGGTCCGGATCTGTCACAAACCGGAGCAGGTTGCGGAAGGTGCTGATGCAAGCGAATATATCGAGATCATTCAATTCGAACTCAGGGTTATGGTGGAGGATCGCTTCGAGTGCAGGCTGGAACACATGCGCGGCGAATCTTGCCGCATTTTGATCGCGAAAGTATGAACCGCTATCTTCGGGAAGCTTTTTGAGAGTTGACACGGGGGTCCAGGCCGGTGGTGAACCTGTGCGACAAGCGATCGTCAACATACTGCTAAACCATTGCAACACAGGGTCTTCTTACTGGGAATAAGGATGGTAGGACATTTCCGATTCAGCCAATTGTACGACCCTATCACCTTGCAATTGGTGATTTTTGGAGGCTTGCCTGAGGGTTTATTTTGACATAGCTGGTCCAGTTCCTGTTTGCTGATAGTGGCCAGGAGTGAACCCAAAGGTGGCGGTTGAACTGTTGTCGTTCCCGCTCTCGATTCTCTCGAAGGGATCCAGCCACGTCTGCCGAACCCTCGACGAAAGTCTCCGTCGCGCCAAGGTCTTGCCATATGATGACTCTGTCAGTAGGTAGTGGAGTGTTGGCTGAGAAAGATGTTTTGGTATCTCGGATTGGTGATATAGCGACACAGATACAGCGAGGCAGTTCCAGGAAAAACAAAAGGTGAATGGAGTTGATAAATGGTTTCTTCTGTCATTAGCAGCCTTATGCTCTGCTGCCTATTTACTCTGCAAGGCATCTTTATCCTTCTTCTTTATTATGTCTGTTTATTTCTTTTCCCCGCGTTGGCGTTTACGTTTTCCTTATTGGGTAGCACAGTGTTGCGCCTCCTGTGGCACGGCCACTGGTTGGCAAAGCGTTCACCACCACAAAGATTGCAATGTTTGCGGCGCTGCGGCCAGATCAGCCTGCCAGCACTGCCGCCTTTGGCTGACTTGCAATTTTAACACAGTCCAAGCTGCGACATTCGGCCTTCTCCTGGCCCTTCATACCCGATTACCATCACTCGCAAACATGGCATCCCAAACAAGATCCGCCAGACTTAGCAAATTCCTTTCGCTCGTCGTCAGTGGCAAGCGCCTGGTTACCACTGCCGACAGCTTTGTGTTGCTACTAGAGTCTGTTCAGGACCAGACCGACCATGCCGCTTGTGTCGAACGCATAATCGCGAGCCCTCCAGCACGCAATGCCCTGCACGCCGGATTACGTTTCAATACCAAGCCTGACTTTTTGAACAAGCACACGTCCACCTTCATCGCTTATCTCATGGAACCGACTGTCAAGGCGTTATGCAATGGACAATTTCTGCGAGAGCTTCTTGAGCTGATTGTCGAGCCTTGCACTGTCTGGAATGCCTTGCTGCAGGCTTTCCGAAGTGGACAGCTTACTGCGCCAGCCACTCATGCCTTCGCATGGCTGCTGGTTGAGCTTCTCACATCTTCTTCTACATTGGAGATTGATGTAACGGCCGATGCGAAGCAAGTCTTCGACAATGGCTCTCTTCTACGAGCACCATCCCGTGAAACTCGCGAGCTCGGAGAAAAACTAGAACGTATCCTGCAAGTCCGATGAAGCAACACAGCTGGTATCGCAGACTTTGCACATATTCCTGGCGGACGACACGACAATGACCACGCCGACTTCCGGCAGATTGCAATATATCCAACGTCCGCCGAGTTCCGCTCAAAGGAGAAACCCTGTTATCGCCGCGCGGACGACATCATCAAGCTTCCACTTGCACCGTACTGCTGGTCATTTTGATAATCAGTTCCGACTTCTACGGGAGGATATGCTCTACGAGATGCGTGAAGAGTTTCAGGTCGCGTGTGGTAAAAGGGAAAAAGCTCGAGCCGTCACAATGCTGCAGAAACTGTCTCTTATGGAGGTATTTTTCGCGACTGGCCGACGGCAGCATCCATGTGGTATGGCTATCTCGTGCTTAGCCGGATTGGAAGCCTTGATGAAACTAGACCCTGATGGTCGAAAGGATTTTCTCAAAAGGGAAAAAAGCTACCTCCGCCATCAGGCCTTCGGCTGTTTACTTCTTGACCAAGAGATTGTCTCTTTTGCTACGGTTGACCGTCAGGTCGATTTTCTTCTCATGGACCCGCCCCAAATCGTCCTTCGCGTCATTGGAGAGGAAGCCGTGAAAAAGACCCTCTTATACTTCAAGCTCTACGACGACATCCATTTCCTTTTTGTCGATGCTCCGGTTTTTGCGTGCGAACCCATCCTCCGATGCCTACAAGAAAAGGTCGAGCTACCTCTTGCTAAGGAGCTGCTTGAGCATCTTCTGGGAACTACTGTCGCCCTTTCGCACATTAATCCGTCGTCTGTACTTGAAGACATACATGATCAAGAAACATCATTACAAGATATACTAGGCGCCAAGAAGCCTATCACCCTTGATCCCTCTCAACGCGAATCCATGTTATGTGGACTCACCAAGCGAGTCAGTCTGATTCAGGGGCCTCCAGGCATGCTCGTCAAATTATGACACAGTGTATTTCTAACACCTGGCCTAGGAACTGGAAAGTCATTCGTCGATGCTCTCCTTGGCATGACGTTATATAAACATAGCACAGAGAGAATTCTTGTGATGTGCTACACAAATCATGCACTAGATCAATTCCTGGAAGACCTTTTGGATATTGGCATTGACTCCTCAGCTATTGTACGGCTGGGGTCAAAATCTTCTCCAAGAACTGCGTCACTCAGCCTATTCGCACAGCAGTTTGACTACTCGCGTAACTCCGCAAGTTGGAGCATAATTGACGAATTAAAAAACAAGGTGAGAGAGCTCCAGGAAAACTTCACTGCAGCATTCGCGGCATACAGGGGTTTCCGATTGACCCCTGCCACTGTCATGGAATTCTTGGAATTCGAATGAGTCTGAATTCTTTGAGGCTTTCACTCCCCCTGAGCAGGAAGACGGGATGTCTTTGGTTGGAGAGAATTCAAAACCTATAACCTTCCAGTATCTGTACGATCAATGGACTCGAGGAAAACACCATTCAATGCCGTCTCTTGAACACCTTGGAACAACAGCACGCGAAGTGTGGGATATGGATACGCCAGACCGAACTGCTAAAACAAAGGTCTGGACGCAAAAGCTTCTCGATGAGCATGTGTCCAATGTTCAGAGCCTAATGAGTAGGTATGACCAATGTCAGGCAAAACTTGAGAAATGTGGAGCGAGAGGACCCGTGAAATTCTTCGCTCAAAACGCATCATTGGTTGCACCACCACAACGGCTGCGATGAACTCTCGGGATCTAATGGATATTTCGCCAGGTGTGATTTTGCTAGAAGAGGCAGGGGAGATTCTCGAATCTCATGTCCTTGTCGCAATGGGGCCTAGAACCAAGCAATTGATCATGATAGGTGATCACAAACAGCTGCGTCCGAAAATCAACAACTATTCACTGTCCGTGGAGAAGGAATCGGGGTATGATCTGAACCGATCGCTCTTCGAACGCCATGTGGGCTCCGAGTACCCTCATTGCACTCTTGCTAAACAACATCGCATGGTACCTGAGATCTCATGCCTTGTGAGGAACCTGACTTACACTGACCTTATGGACGGTGACAGAACGTTGAATCGACCAGAAGTAAGGGGGCTGCAGGATAGGGTGATCTTTATTGACCATACTCATCCTGAGGACACGTTTCGAGAGGTCTCAGATCGGTATGATGCCGGCACAAAGGGTAGCAAACGGAACACATTTGGGCCACAGCTAGTGCTCAAAATCGTCCGATACATCGGCCAGCAGGGCTATGGAACTAATAAGCTCGTCGTTCTCACACCATACCTAGGTCAGCTCCATCTGCTCCGTGAAGAGCTACGCAAGGATTCAGATCCTGTTCTTAATGACTTGGACTCGTACGACCTCGTTCGAGCTGGCCTGATATCTCAAGCAAGTGCCCAGCACACCAAGCGCCCAATCAGATTATCAACAATTGGTAGGAGTGTTTTCTTTTCCCTTTTGTCTGCTTCCTACCTCGAGCTTCCAGTTGCTAATTCACAATTCAAAGACAATTATCATGGCGAAGAAAGCGATGTTGTTATTGCCACACTTACTCGAAGCAACGGAGACGGTGAGATCGGCTTCATGTCGGCGCCGCAGCGTTTGAACGTGCTTCTTTCCCGGGCCCGAGATGTTCTCATAATGTTCGGAAACTCCCAAACTTTCAAACAAAGCCGAAAGGGCCAAGATATCTGGATACCATTGTTCGATCAACTTCAGGCAAACGGTCTTCTGTATGATGGACTTCCAGTCCGGTGTGAGCAACATCCGCAGCGAAAGGCTGTGCTCCGAGAAATCAATTATTTCGAGAAGCTATGCCCTGATGGAGGGCGTCAGCAAGCCTGGTATAATTCTCTTGCCCTTGTTAGTCATTGATTGGCAGCCGCTAATATATTACAGTGGAACCAAGCTAAACTGCGGCCTCCACGACTGTCCGCAAAAGTGTCACCAGTTATCTGACCATTCCAAGATGCAGTGCCGCAAGATTATCGAGTGGACTTGTAGTCGAGATCACCCGTTACACGACCATGCTTTCAGCAACAAAATCTATGCTCTCGCTGCGACGAAGAAGACAAAGAAACCGAACGGCGACGGAAGCGAGATATGGAACTCGATGCTAAGAGGGAGGCTCAACTGAAGGCCTACATTGACGAGCTAGCGCAAAATAAAAGACCAGATCTTGCCCGAGAGGCGCGTTCAAAAGGAGCAACGCGACGAGCAGGAGAGGCAACAAGTACTCCAGCAACATCGAGATGACCTCAATCAACTGCGGACAAATATTGGCGGCTCCCCCCGAAAATTATCTTCAACCATCAGCAAGCCCAGCGAACCATCGTCGCCGCCTGGACGGTCACATTATGCAGGTACCAACGCGGAGCCACAGTCAAAAAAAAAAAAAAAAGCTCAAACAGTAACGGTGTTCTAGAGGCTCTCTCTTCGGCTGAACAAGACTGGAGTATCAGAAAGAATACGAAGGGGCCAAGAGCACGGAGCTGGACAAGCTGATGAGTATGATTGGTCTGGAAAGCATCACACTCAAATTTCTCGCTATCAAGGCCCAGGTAGATGCGGCTTTACGGCAAAACATTGACTTCAAAGAGGAGCGATTCGGCTCAGTACTCCTTGGGAACCCGGGCACAGGTGACCTTGTAAGCCGAACAATGATTGAATGTCACTAACATAATCCTACAGGGAAAACAACGGTCGCGCGCATCTACGCCAAGTTTCTGACATCTATGGGTATCATTCCCGGAAGCCACATTGAAGAGACAACGGGGTCTCGCCCTGCGAATGGCGGTGTATCGGGCTGTGAGAAACAAATCGATGCTATCCTTAACAAAGGAGGTGGGGTGCTCTTCATTGATGGGGCTTACCAGCTCGCTCCAGGCGGCGCCATGGGCTCGCAAGTGCTTGACTTTTTGCTTGCAGAGATCGAGCGGCTCACGGGCAAGGTGGTCGTGGTTCTCGTAGGTTATAGGAGCCAGATGGAGAAGTTCTTTGCTCACAACCCTGGGCTTCTAAGTCAGTTTCCCCACGAGTTCACGTTCGAAGACTATAGCGAGACGGAACTACGATCAATCCTGGAGTTTAACATTGACAAGAAATTCAGCGGCCGAATGAAAGTCGAAGGGGGCATGGGGACATCTCCTGCCGCATCATTGCTCGTCGTATCAGCAGGCAACGCGGCCATGAAAGGTTTGGAAATTCCCGCACAGTGGAGAACAATCTGTCTCGCATATATGAACGTCAATCCAAACGTCTCGCAGAAGAACGAAGACGGAAAGTTTCCACGGACGGCTTTCTCCTCACCAAAGAAGATTTAATCGGTCCGGAACCTAGCAAGACACTCCAAAACTGCTCCGCCTGGAAGAAGCTACAAGAAATGATCGGTCTTGAGACTGTCAAAGACACCTTGCGTGCCTTACTAGACAGCATACAGACCAACTACCAGCGAGAGCTTGTGGAGGAGCCCTTGGTTGACTTCACTCTGAACCGTGTGTTTCTAGGGACGCCTGGGACCGGGAAGACGACGGTTCCTAAGCTATATGGTAAGGTCCTAGTGGACATTGGGTACTTGTCAAATTGTGAGGGTAAGCAACCGCGCTCACTGTACTTGCCGGATGTTTAACCGAGAACTCCAGTTGTCGTCAAGAGCCCCGCAGACTTTGTGGGAAGTGTGATAGGGCAGTCGGAACAGAATACCAAGGGTATCTTAGCTTCCACTGTTGGGAAAGTCCTTGTGATCGATGAGGCCTATGGCCTTTTCGGGGGTGGGACTCGCGACCCAGCCGGTGCCCACACGAATCAGTACAAGACCGCAGTTGTCGACACAATCGTTGCAGAGGTACAAAGTGTCCCGGGAGATAACCGATGTGTGCTCCTTCTAGGGTACGAAGAGCAAATGAAGAGAATGTTTCAAAACGTCAATCCGGGGCTGTCGAGGCGGTTCCCCATGGATGCCGCATTTGTCTTCGACGACTTCTCAGATGATGAACTTGGCCAGATACTAGACCTCAAGCTACGACAACAAGGATTCAAGGCTTCAGCTCAAGCTAGGAAAGTCGCACTGGAGGTTCTGTCCAGAGGTCGAAACGGTCCACACTTTGGAAATGCTGGGGAGATAGATAACCTCATGAACGGTACCAAACTCCGTCAGCAAAAGCGGCGCTCCTCAGCGAAGAAGACTAAAGCGTCTTGGAGCGACCTACTGCCGCAAGACTTTGATCCCGACTATGACCGCGGGGACAGCAGCGAGACCAACATCCCAATGCTGTTCCAGGGCATTGTGGGGTGTGAGACGATAGTCAAACAACTGGAAGGTTATCGTCAAACTGTCAAAAATATGCGGCATTTGGACATGGACCCGAAGGAGCAGGTTCCCTTTAACTTTTTTTTTCAGAGGCCCGCCTGGTAAGTATGCGCACCAGACATATCTCTAGTCGACTGCTAACCAAGTTCAGGAACTGGGAAGACAAGGACTGCCAGGAAGATGGGCAAAGTCTACTACGATATGAATCTGTTGTCCTCCGCAGAAGTCATCGAAAGTTCAGCAACTGATTTGATAGGGTCGTATGTCGGCCAGACCGGTCCCAAGCTCTTGGAGAAGGCTTTAGGAAAAGTGCTTCTGATTGACGAAGCTTATCGACTTGCTGAAGGGCACTTTGCAAAGGAAGCAATGGACGAGATTGTGGACTGCATCACCAAGCCGAAATTCTTCCAGAAACTCATCATCATTCTAGCGGGCTACGATAATGACATTAACCGACTCATGGCCACCACCCGAGGATTGACTAGCCGCTTCCCGAATCGCTCGAGTTCAAAGGGCTTGAGCCAGATGACTGTATCGAGTTCTTGATCAATTTGCTTCGGAGCAGAAAAGACAAGATGCCTGCGCGGCTTGGCGGCTTCTGTATGAGATCCTTGGAGTCTCCAAGGCCAGACTTCCTGAGGGACATTACCAACCGGTTCGCCATTCTCGCACGAAGCGCAAACTGGGCCAATGCACGAGATGTACAGACACTAGGAAAGGCAATCTTTGGAACTGCCATTCAAGCCATGCAAGGGAAGGATGTCGTCATAACCGAGGGCCTCATCCTCGACAAGCTAGACGATATGATCTCTGAGCAAACAAGTCGCGCGACCCAGTCCTTCGTCGTGACTAATCACGCAATAGACCCTTCCCAAGCACCGGCCCTTGACTGGCAACCGGAGCAGATAATTTATACTCCTCCTTCAACAGCAGCTCCATCTGCCAAAGTCATTGCGGAGACAGCAGACCCGGCGCTTCCGGTGGATAAGACTGAGACTTGTCCTGCCGGCATCCCCCAGGATGATGGAGTCCCCGCCAGGATGATGGAGTCCCCGCCAGGATGATGGAGTCTCGGATGAGGTATGGAGCCAGCTACAGCAGGATCTGCAATCCTCGGAGAGGAAAGAGTCAGATTACCAGTCTCTTCTCGAAGAAGAGTGCGATGCCCAGAAAGCCGTTGAAAAGATCGCGAGCCTACCAAAAGACGACTCAAAACTCAACGATGATACCAAGAAACAACACGAGTATCGCCGTCTGGAAGAGCTAGCATTGCGAGCAAAGCTAGAGAAGCTGCAGAGGGGACGAGAGGCCAAGGAAGCGGAGCGACGCAAGGAGCAGAACATTCAGCACAGGCTACGACAGATGGGCGTTTGCCCTATGGGGTATCGATGGATAAAGCAGACGTCTGGATATCGGTGTGCGGGAGGCTCGCATTATGTTTCGAATGTGGATTTGGGCGTTTAGCACTTGATCTTTTTTTTTTCCCCCTTTTTTTGCAGCTTCGACGATGGACAGTTCCTAGATTGAAGTTCTGCGGTTTCCACTAATTGTTTGCTCCTGAATTGCTCGGTCGCCCTCTAAGATATATCTTGCTCGGCCCAACAGCTCAACAACCACCATATGAACCCGCTCTTGGACACCATGGTATTGGTTTTATTTACCTTAAAATATCCTCAACTTGGCGCAAACGCTCAATCGCTCCTTCCCTCTTCATTGCTGAACCCCCCTTGTTCCTTCCTTGGACAGTCCCAAGATGTGTCAAGCCTGCAATACCCAGCCTTGAGGGGTAAGATCATCTGCGACAATTCCGATAGCTGACAAGGCCACTACACACATGACATGGAGCGCACAGGACCCGATGATGCCCTGCAGGTACCCTAGCAGTCAAGAGAATGCCCAGCACGGCCTTTACTTGGCTCACGGGGGACCATACGCCTCCTTGACATTGAGATCTAGGTACCGAGTCATCAGGACTCCGCAGTCTAGACTCAGGACAATAGCAAGCTCAGGCCTCCGCACACAGGCCACAACATACTGCAGCTATCCATTATCTAGCAGATAGCTAAGTAGTATCACTATAGCGGCAGCCCGACAGGCTGGCAGTGGACCCTACTCAGCGGGGCGAGAGCGCCTCTCCGGAGCGCAGGATGGAGATTATGTAAAGTCTGAAGGACGACTAATGTACGGAGTATGCCGGCAGGCTCGACTGCATTAGTACCCGTCCGATATTCAATCGGGGATCTTGCTGCCAGTCAGTGGCATGAGGCGCGTTTCAGAGCGTGGGACAAGGACATGCTTCTATCCCGTCGCTTGTGCTTCAAACTCCAGAGTCGGTGCCAGGGGAGGGAGACTAGCGGCTGGGCTACCGCGGGGACCAGCCCAGCTTGGTGTTTTAGTGTGCGCAGGCTTTTGCGACTTGAAAGTTGTGAGTTAAGTTGCAGGGTGATAAGAGGGACCCTGTGCTAGTCCGGGCAGCGGCTCGAGCGGAAGGATCGTCAGTTCTGCGTGCGCGCGGATCCTCGCAGAGGACAAATTCCACGACAGCGTTCAGTTGGAGTACTTTGTATCTCAAGCGCAGCGATGACCGTTGAGGTTATCGGGGTTAAGGTCCCCGGGGCGCCGATTACAAATTCCGTGATGGCCAGGCCCTCTGAAGCTGCGACAATGAGCGTTTCCACATGGACGGCGACGATATTTACAAGGTTAATGCTGACTGGTCAGCCTAATGCAAGTCACTCAGAAGCGCAACGCTAATGCTGCATGTTGCAGAAACAGGTAAGGATAATCCTGGCCGGCCGGACGAATCATGGTGCAATTGCAAGCAGGGTGGTGTGATTGACCTTCCATAAAAATCTCATTCAGATCGGTTTTCCAGGTACGTGAGCAGTGTTTTCGAGATCCTTGGAAGCTTCAACAGCGCCACAGGTACGTCAGGGTAGCACCGAGATAGTGGCAGCTGAGATCAGCGCGATGATAAGGAGGGCCGCTTGATTAGCACGAGCTCGGCGATTGGCCGATTGGGGACTATACTCTCTGCCTCTGCATCTCGCAACTTGCCCGGCGCTAAAGGCTGCAATCCACCATTTGCGCTACGCCAGCCCGCGCACAAGACTACATTAGCACCCGCTGCATCTCGTGTCTGGAGACGCACTGTCCAGTGCCCACTGTTCGTCCAAGCCTTCTCGGAGAATTTTTCAACAACGGAGCAAAACCGCTTTTGCGAATGCAACACGGAATCAGCGGGTGATGGCAAGCGTCATGCAGTGTTTCCGGAGTTTTGCCGCGAGAAGCCAAGAACCAGTGCAGAGTATGAAGCTTTCAATGCGCTCGGCTCTGTCCCAGGCCAGGGCGCCAGATACGAGGTATCTTCATGGGCGCCCTTTCGGCTCCCGTTACCAGTGCGTGACTCATGGTCAGATATGACACGCCAAACCAGGCATTTGGTCCGACACTTTTTCCCCTTGATATGCTTGGAAAGAGCTATTGTGGTTTAGCCTTGATGTCTGGCGAGTGCAGAAGGAAGGTGACAATCCGCATGATTCAGTATCCTCGTCAAAAGCTGTATATATGCCGGACATATACTCTGGGATCTGCCAGATCATCGCAGCTCAACGCTCAGGGTACCGGCGATTGCAGAATCGCACCCCTACCCAAGGATGATTTGCCTCATATCGGAACAAAATCCGGTTTCAAACGAGCATATGCACTGGAGGTAGTATCTTTCTGCAACGACGGAGTAAAGTTCAGCCTCTTCCACTCGACGTCATGGCGTGGGATGGTGCAGACGATTTGCAGGGCAGCCTGTCTCGATCCACGCAGTTAGCAACCAGCAGGAGTGCCCGTTGCTGCTGTTCAGACTCCATGGACGTCCGTCCATCCAGCATGGAGAGGCCCGAGTCCTCGTTTTCTGTACCTCCAGAGCTCATCAGGCTCAAAAGTCTGGGGTAATCTGGAAACCACCGTCAGATGGGCACCCGAGTCCAGTAACGAGAACACATGATTCGGCAACGGAGGACACACTTCCGGAACTGTTGTGTCGAACGAAATAGTGCACAACGAAATCCCAATTGCGCCTGCATTAAATCGCATGAATTTGATTAGCAGACGATTTAGCTTGCATGTGCATGGCAAACACCCATTATTCGAAAAGGGTTAAGGGCGTCAGGCGGGCAGCTAATGCAACGTGGAGAATGTGGCTCGTTTCCAGAACCTCGCGTTCCATGCCATCGTTCAGGGGGACGGACCTTGGGCTGGAAATCCTGGGGGAAGACCGTCCGAATCTTTTCGACCGTGGCGGTTCTGGTCCTCCCTGACAACTGCAATCAATCATTCGATTCGCGAGTGAGAGTCTCCACAGGAAATCCACGTCGGGCGATTGGCACAGACGCAGCAGGCTCCACGAAAATCCCCCACATGAACGGCCGAATTCAGTGTGCTCTCCCCAGAGTCCCCACAAAATGACGCTCTCTTCCCATCGCTGGCCTCGCCTTTTTTAGCCGAGTTATTTTAACTTCGCTGGGGTCAAACAATGCGGCGCCAACCGCCACCTTTCGAGAAGCCGTGGCTCGTTGCTCATGGCTCCAGTCTCAGGAACGGTGTTGCCAACCAGCCAGCGAGGAGGTTGTCCCAAAAGTCTGGGATTTGTGAGACGGAGGCCTCCGTTGACTCTGCAAACGGTCGAGCCGGTGTGGAATTGGGGTCGGGCTCCTTCGACAGGCGGCGGCAAGAACAGAGCGTTCCAGGTTGGACCCATCATCACCCTCGAAGAGCCACGGCAAATTACGTCAAGCCACTTTCGTCTTTTCCGATCGAGCAGGTCGAATCCGCTGTTCATCGCTTGAAGATCAGGTACCTAATTATTGTTGAGAAATTGAGACAGGAGGCCGGGGCTAAGGACAGGGGGTATTCCGCGCGCTGCTGGTGTTAGCCACGCAAGTCAGCCCTTATCTTGATCTTTGAGCTCCATCAATGAACACGGTGCAAAATATAGGTTACCTCTGTCCTCTGCAGTTGTCATCTATAGCCCAGCCCAAGCTTCTTGAACCGTGGTCTCTCTTTCTCGCTTGCTTGTCCGTGTTTGTCGGCTGTGTTTTGAGCTTCGGTGCGTGGGCTTTGGAAGATGATCCTCCCGGCCTGGATTGAGTTCGGGCGGCAGACGTTGATTGGCGGTCGAGGTGGCACAGACCCAGAGAAGCTCCCCCCGTGACTGCGCCGTGGGGCGGATCCTTGGCTCTGGCCCAGTCGTGGCCCCTGCTCCGTGCCCACCGGCCCACTGCAGCCCCAGCGATTGGCGGGCAGCTTCGTGGTTTATCCCGCGACAGTCACCGGGGTAGAGTGAGTCTGCCAGAAACGGAGGTAACGTGCAGGCCCTCGTAACTCCATCCAAGGCGCCTCTGGGAAGCTCAGGCAGAGGCAGAGTCAGAGAACAAGGGACAAGCAATCAGCGCCTCGGAGGAATGCTGACCTGCCTGTCATTCGCTCTTTGCGCGTCCCAAGCAGTCTTAGTAACCCAACTCTGCTGTTGCTCATCTCAAAGAACAAACTCACTTCCACTGAGTCTCTCTTTTCTCCCTCTCCCACGCTTGCACCTCCCCAAGCTCTCCCTTTGTCTGCTATCCTCTGCCCTCTTCGCTTTTCTTCTTACATTCTTTGAGTCGGGCTCGTCGGAGTCGGCGCTTATCATCAATTGACTCCAATTTCCCTATCGATACGCCCCTCGCTCCGGCTATCTTTCCGGCTTATCCATTGGCAGGCTGCCGGCCAATGCCTGCTTAACTACTCCATCCCAGCCTCTGAAAGCGACTCTTGAATGCTCCAAAGCATCAGCGCATAGCTTCTCCCAATCGCTGCGCTCGTCGTTTGTTCCAAAGTGAGTTGTACCCATATTACCCGTTTCCGCCGGGTCTTGAAACCCGGAACCCTGAGCACCCCCTGCTGACTACAACTGCGCTCCCAGCCCGAGGTCGAACCTCGCTCCTCCAGAACGTCAGGAACACCTCGCCACATCCCACCTCTTCCTGCTCTATTCCAGTCCAGTTTCATCCCGCTTCGAGAACAATTCAGGTCTATTCTTATCTCTCACTTGTCCGAGCTTCATTCTCGAGTCCACCTGGCTGTTCTATCGCCTTGTCGCGGTCAGTAACTCGCATCTCCCTTGCTACCCCAGCTGCCTGCCTCCCGTGTTGCTTGGCCCACCCTTAACTCTTGCCCATCGCGGCAAGTACTTCGATCGCTTTCGATATGGCTTTTCAAATATCAATGAAGCTAACCATGGCTGTGCATCAGAATAGTCAATGTGGATTTTATGATACCACCGCATCTCGTCTTCTAGCGATAACAAGCACGGGTAGTTCGTACAAAAGGAACCGTGACCCAGACATTTCTCCAAGCAACGCCAGCGTGTGAACTGGCTCGCCTTTCCTTATTTCTACACAGAAAGATAGCATGTTAATAGGCCCAATGGTGGACCAAAACTTGGGCACCAGCCCAAAAACGGAAGACCTCTCCAGTATCTCGGAGATTCCTGGAAGCGTTCCTGGTGCGTTCTCAATCAAAATTCGCGAATTCCTATTCTTTCTAACAGACAATAGTACCCAAAGACAGTTCGAAGAAAGATATGCCAGCTAATGCAGCCACTGTACCTCCTCCGAAAACGGACAAACCACGGCCCCATGGCTGTACAACCTGCGGTCGCTCCTTTGCACGACTCGAACATCTGAAGCGCCATGAGCGCTCGCACACAAAAGAGAAACCATTCGAGTGTCCAGACTGCTCTCGTTGCTTTGCTCGCCGCGATCTTCTCCTTAGACATCAGCAGAAACTGCATATGACTACTACTCCATCTTCAAGACCTAGAAACGCTCGGAGAGAAAGCACAGGAGCCGCTGGGCCGGGAGCGACCCGCGTTCGCAAGAACTCTATTGCCAGTAACTCTAACTCGAATAATATGCGTCCTCGAGCGAACACTATCAGCCACGTCGACGCAGCCTCGTTGGGGCTCGGCAACACGAACGCTGGCCCAGGTCCATCCGGTCACTCTGGCCATGCCTACCATCCTAGCCTCAGCTCGTCTGTGGGCTCGAACATCGACTATCGCGGCTATTCCTCCAACCACCAGCCGACTTTGAACGGACTCACCAAATTGGAAACACATGGGCTAGCCATGGACCTTTCTGGAGGGCTACGTACGGCGCCTGTATACGGCAGCTTCGACTTTGGCAGTGTTCACGAGTTCATCGGTCATGGCAGCACGATCAATCCAGCCCAGCTCCATTTCGGAGGTTCTCCTCAGCCATTTGGGAACGACGTTCCCTCGTCCCCATACGGAACCCACCATATGCCTCCTACCACGGAAGCCATCATGGAAGATGAACTTCACTACGATTGGATGCAGAGATTCGATCCTTCATTACCCATAGGAAAACACAATGAGTCTGCGATAGACGAGTCTTCGCCTTCGGCCATGAGCACGGGCAGCCAGAGTGGCATCAGTGAGCCAATGATGGACGGGACAAACCAATTTTCAATGCCGACTGTGGGATGGCAAAATCAATTCTCGCCCCATCCAGCGACGTCCGCAGCTCAGTTCGCCGAGTATGCCTCGCCTACTTTTAATGATCTAGGTATCGCGCCGGAAACAGTCTCTCCCAAGTCCCTGTTGGCTCAAAACCCGTTCGCTGAGGCCTATGCCACTCCTCCGTCCATGACATCAGTCGGACAGCCCATGCTGGGAGCACATTCGCAGAGCAGTATGTTTTCATCCTCCATGGCAACACACGGAGAATCTCCTAATCCTTTCAACCTACCTTTCGCGAATAGTGCCGTACGATCTCACCATGCCCCAGCATCAACCGATACATTTACAGACTCCACACGACGGGCTTTATTAGCCAGCATGGCGCAGCCCACCTCTTTTAATCATCGCAAGTACTCTCAGCCAGCCTCAGGAATGATTCAATGTCGCGACCTTTACTCCCGCTCTTCTTCTATAAGCTCCACTAGCCAGCTGCCCAGCACTCCGGACATGCAACGCTTTATTTCCGCCTACATTACCTATTTTCATCCTCATTTACCATTCCTTCACATTCCCAGTCTCAATTTTCAAGCACCTGAATATACGAACCATCTGCGAGTTCCTAGTGGCCATCTCAATCTCAGCTCCTCTGGTGTTGCCGGAGGCGGAGGCTGCCTGATTCTCTCAATGGCCGCCATTGGAGCGCTGTACGAATTTGATGCAGCATCTTCAAAGGAGCTGTTCGAAGCCTCGAAGAAGATGATACAGCTTTATCTTGAGGAACGTCGAAAGGCTGACATGTCGTCGGCTGTTTCTCGGTCCGGCAACACACGTGATAATTCTGTACACAACACGCCTCTCTGGCTTGTGCAGGCCATGTTACTCAACGTCATCTATGGCCACACCTGCGGCGATAAGACTTCCGCTGATATCGCAAGCACGCATTGTGCAGCGCTGGTCAGTCTTGCGCGGGCCGCTGAATTGACCCAGCATATTGATGCAAGAGATCTGCCACAAGACTATCTCAACACCGGTCTGTCTGGCGGGCACGACACCCAGGGTCAGGAGCCAGATTCGGGTGCTTGGGGCCAGTCTGCCTTCGGGCAACCAAAGGAAAGGAAGGATTGGCTCGATTGGAAGATTGTGGAAGAACGGAAACGGACACTCTTCGCCATTTTCACCGCATCTTGCTTCTTGGTTTCCGCCTACAACCATGCGCCTGCGTTGACAAACTCGGAGATTCGCCTGGATCTGCCCTGTGAAGAGGACCTGTGGGCAGCGGAATCGCCACAGGCCTGGAGGAAGTTGGGAGGCCATGCTCGTTCCAAGAGGACGGTCGCCTTTTCGTACGCACTCACCACCCTTTTAACGGCCGGTCGGCGGGCGCAGTCCGGTACCAATGCTCCATCGGATGATCCCAGCAGCAGCGATCTAAGGCCTAGTACCTTTGGTTGCTTCGTGCTGATCTACGCTCTGCACAATTACATCTGGGAAACACGCCAGCGCCACATGGGTCGCCAATGGACTTCAAGAGAGACGGATGCCATGCGAGCCCACATCGAACCTGCTTTGCGCGCATGGCAGACCGCATGGACTACCAATCCCGTGCACAGTTTAGAACGGCCCAATCCCTACGGAGCTGGGCCTCTCTCGGCTGACAGCATCCCGCTTTTGGACCTTGCCTACGTCCGTCTTTTTGTTGATCTTGGCCGTTGCAAAGAAGCCTTCTGGCAGCGGGACTGGAACGCCATGGCAGATGAACTCGCCCGTGGAACAGACATGGATAACGCTATGGATATGGCAACAGATGTACTCGATCCTTCTATTGCGGAAGAGCCGGTTCCGCTAGACGTTCGGCGTGACTCGGTGGCCAGTCTAGGTGTCGGTGACCTTGCTATTTCTCAGACCCCAACGCAAGATCGGCCAATGCAGGCCTTGCTAGGTGTATACCGCTCAGGGCAGACGAAGCGTGAAAAACTCCTGCGCAGAGCAGCTTGCTATGCCGCGGACTCCTTTGCCATGTCCGACCAGCTAGGTAACACGTTCGCCGACTTCACCTGCCGGGAGCTCCCACTTCAGAGTGCCATGTGTACCTTTGATTGTGCTGAAGTTCTTGCGGAATGGCTTACGACCGTGCAAGAGCGTGTCGGTCCGTACCTGGGTATTCTAGGCCGCGACGACATTGATCTCGCCCAGGCTGCTGAAAGCATGCTCCTGGAAGATGAAGACGTCAAGCTCATCGAAAAGACTCGGGATATTCTTTCCAGCATCGAACAGAAGATGCAGAAGGATGTGCAAAACAGTGTAACCTCAGCGGGCATGACCGTCCTACAGCGCCTGTCGAGCGTGGAAGGAGGTTATGGCTGTAAAATCCTACTTGTGACCTCTAGCCTGCTCGATAGGGCTTCTGTGTGGCCAGGTAGGTCCCCTTTGCTCTATGAGCCTCAACTTCTCCCATGCTGACTGCCCTCTTAGTGATGAAACTCATGGCTCTATCTCTCGAGTCTCAGGCAATGCGCTTGAAAGAGCGCGCGGAAAACTCAACTATGGGGACGACTCACTGATTTTGGACTCGGTTTCCGTGGACAACCATTCCATGTGGACTCGGTGCTACTTGCATAGTGGACTAGTACACAAAAGCATGCATATTTTTACCAGCGTCTCCTTCTTTCCTGTTGATGGATCTTGTTCCAACTGTGTGGAACAATCTTCTTCCCATCAGACTACAAACACGCCTTGCCTCTGACAGCCACAGACTGAATGATGGGACAAACAAGCGGTTCAAGATGATATACCTCGTCCCACATTTGCGGCACCAACCCCATCCCATGGTCAGACGCCAAATTCATAACAGTTTCACCTTATCTTGCGGGTTTACACACATTTTACTACATTACCTCTGATGCTCATCATCATGGACGCTGTATCACTCCCAATCTCCCCGGATCCTATCTTATGCGATGATTTCACTTGGTGTTCTGCTGTTACCATCGCCACCGGATATTCCTGAATGCGCCAGAATCCTAACTCCTCCATCTTCTTCATCGCCATACTTTTATTCCCCCTTCTTCTACACTAACGCCGCCACGACTTCCTTGCCATTTCCACGACGCTCTGTTCTACCCTAATGATTTATTTATTTTTCTCCCTTTGCATGTGCGTGTCTGCGCACTACGACTGAGAAGACTTATGCTTACGCTTATGTTTACGCCTCCGTTAAAGCTGATCCTGATGCCGCATGTACCTCTAAAATTTGTGTGTGATTTATTCTGGTCTGAGATATCCTACCGGCAATTCTTTGTGGGAGTTGGGCGACGTGATCAAAAACCTGGGCACAACATCTACCTCGCCTTGCCCTAGGTTATTATGCTTACCAGGCATGGAGGATCTGCTCTCGATGCAATGCGACTGAGACAGGGTAAGGACTCCGCGATGGAAATCCGATGGAACCAAAGCCGACGGAGACGGCCATTGATACATTATATATCCTTATGCATAGACTTTTATATACTGGACTTTTGAACTTGTACATATTGAGTCGGATCAGAGTCAATGGCAGTGCTTTCCATCATTTCTTCCTCATCTCTATTTGTAGCAAGGGCCAACTAGTGGACGGAAGTAACGTAAAACGTCTGCTCATTCATTCTACTTTTAGGTATATAGCGAAATATACAACAATGCCGGAGAATCTAGACGACAAGCCGCTCAAAGGTATACTTGCCAGCGGCCTTGCGCCTCAGGTAGCCCATCTCACGCTTACTGCGCTCCACAACCTTTCCTGAGCCCTTGAGCACCTTCGTCCTGCTCACGCCCCTGACAGCCTTGAGGGAAAGCGGAAGCAACTTGCCACTCGCGTCGCCCTCACCATCTTCGTCCTGCGCGCCGTAGATGAGAAGGTCTGCGCCGTTGAGCTTCTCTTGGCGGATGGATGTGGAGGATGGTGCGGTTTCGTCGGCGCCGGTGGTGAGGTGTTTGGGTCGGGATTCGACGCTCGTGGAGTAGCGAAGGTATTCTCTTAGGATCCCCGTGAGCATCGTGGCTTCCTCGACTCCGGCGAGGGCGGCGGAGACTTCGGACTTCATTTCGGCGATGAGAGCTAAGTCGCGCAGTCCTGTTGCCTCGGGGTCGACGCTTAGGTCTGTGGTAGGGGAGACAGATACCCAGCCGGTGGGACCGATTGCGTCGATGGCTGAGTTGAGAAGGCTGGTGATTGTGCTAAGCGGGAGAGAAGGCGAAATTAGGTGTGGTGTGATCGGGGTTGGAGGGGTTTCTGTGAAGCGGGTTGTGTGGCCGCCTGTTGCGAGAGAGAGACGAAGGTGTTGGATTGTGGAGATTAGGTCTGCTCTTGTGAGGGTGTTGCGGAGAGCAGTCGTTGTTGTTTGGTGCGGGTGAGTCTGGAGTTTGAGAAGGGTGACGTTCAGGCCGGTGAAGGTGGTGGGAAGAGAGGATGGAGATTCGGGGCGGGAAACTGCAAGTTCGTCGTTGGTCGAGAGGGCAACGGCTTTGCTAGGTGTGGTTTCATCCTTGCCATCTGTCAATGCTTTCGGTGCTTCTTGCTCATTGTCCGTGGGAATAATACAAGAGCGGGCCGTGGCGAGGAACAGCTTGAGGGCTTGAGCAAGTTCGTCCGGGTTGAAGGCAACAGGGCCTTTGAGGACCATTACCAATCGATCTAAGGAAGGGTCCGAGTCCCTGATTGCCTGGACAAAAGTACCGATCGGAAGCGAAGGGAGGATTCGAGGTTTGTAGGAGCGGCGAAGGGCAGATTCGACGTGACCGGGGTAAAAATATCCCAAGCGAATGAGCCATCTGCATGTGCGAGTCGGCCACAAGCTAACTGACATCTTGATCGATGGTGAGGCAGAGATGTTGTCCTTGGTCGTGACGTCGCCTTCCACGGAGAAGATTAGTGATAACAGAAAGAGTATCTTTTCAGTGTTGACGTATTGTCCTGGTGATGGGAGGACGTGATTATCTCCGACTCCAAAATAAGCCTCGACAGCACCGTCAAAGGCGCTGGCGTCCTTGCGGCTGAGGCATTCACGCAAATTGTGTGCAAACTCGTTCCACTTGTCCGTCTCCTCAGGCGAAGTAAGGTCCAAAGCGGCGGCGCTGTCAGTACGCTGCTTCTTCGACACCTTGTCCCACTGGAATTCACATCCAATACCACGGCCAATCGCGTCGATTAGTAGACCGTCTCTAGAGCGTTTTCCTGGAATTCCTGATGTGGTCTGCGAGCCCAGATCAAAGGCCAGCAAAGAATTGCCCTGTGTCGCAACTACAAGATCAAGCTTCGCAAAATAGTTGATGAAAGTGATGCGTGACTTGTCAGTCGCGGCAGAGGGGATGCCATCGCTCACAATGCTGCGCTGAATTGACTTATATTGGGTATCGTATAAGGCGATCATCGATTTGCCGGCACCGATTACGGAGTGCGGCGAAATGCGCATAAGAGAAGAGAAAGCCTCGTCATCAAGAGTAAACTTCGAAGTCGCTGCGGGCGTATATTGCGAAAGGTCGAAGTTAATAAAGCCCTTGTCAAAGGAGAGGTTCAATCCCGCTGAAGCAGAATGGAACTGCCAATGCAGACGACTGGGCTCGATTTTCTCCTCGAAAATATTGGGAAGAGTGACTGTCGAAAGATGCCGCATCTTCTGGCTCTCATCGGTAGAGCGGCTCGGGGAGGAGGCGGGGACGCAGAATATCTGAACACTCACTTCACTTAAGCTAATCTTTTCCGCGTCAGAATGCGAGACGAGCAACAGAATTGACGGGTCCTCATTTCCTGAGATTGCTGAGTCTCCGAGAGCAAGAGAAAGGAGATCGGGTCGTCGTTTCAACAGTGACTTCCTGGCGTCGTCGAATTCCAACAGGAAGCATCCATGAATTGCGTGAGGCGAGCTGCCCTTGGCGAGTTCGCTGTGCGAGATGCTCCACTGCTGGGTCTCAAGATCGGGGGACAATCGTCGCGCATGGCCATCACGGTGTACGGCTAAAATGTCGAAAGGTTCTTTATCCTCATCTTCTGTGCTTGAAGTGGGTACGATGCCAATGAAAGCGATCGGGCTGCTAGAATCCTTGACAGCAAAAGTTGAGGACGAGATGACGGGTGCGCTTGCCCCGGCGCCGGCACTTTCCTCGACAAAAGCCTTGATTTCCTTTTTGACCGCAGCATAGGTCTGCCTCTTAACACCAGATCCGTTTTGAAGCTTGCGGCGCAACGAGCATGGAGGGCATGAGAAGGACGACTGCGGGGGAACGGCGTAGGAGGTTACTAGCTTCGGATTTTGGATCTAAAAGGTCGCACATTAGGCTTGTCTTGGAAGGTTGAGTGGCTTTGCTTACGTTGTACAAGTTCACAGCTTCACCGTCGACAGCGATAGCGACTTCATATCTCTTGCGCCTTCTCGAATCAGCCAAGCTGTATACCTCGCTGATGTGAGTTTTGCCCGTCGAGGCGTGTAGCGGGCGCGGCAATTGAGCCAGCACAGAAGGTGGCTGCAAATCCATGGCAAGCCGAGTGAAATGAAGTGATTGTTGCTGCTCAGCGAGGCTGTCGCGATTTCCTCGAGAAATTGACTCTGGTCCGCATCTCGAAAAATTTCCGGACCTACAATTTTCCATCCATCGCCCCTATACCCTTTTAGGATTAGTGCAAATACTTACGGTAAGTACGTTCGCCGCCTTGGCAGCGGAGGAGAGGCGGCAATACGCGCGAGTCGCGTCCTTTCGTGTCTCAACTAATTATTGTCGAGCACCAGAGACTCGATTCCAGAGCTCATCTTGCGTACGCCAACTTCAACATAACTAATTACTTTACACTTCAAAATTGCAATTCTTTGATGCGATATTCTCACACCTATTCTGCAATCACCCCCAGGCAATGAGTGTTTGCTATTTGCTTTGCAGCTAACCAATGGCCATGGGACAAGGAGAACAGCGCGCTATACATCCGTTTTTCAGAAAAGGTCACTTTTATTCTCCTAGTATTCTCAAATATACTCACGCCTAACAGAATTTGGAGTATCGACGCCTTCGTTCTCCCCTGTGCCCGCCAATGACACCCTCCTTAATCCCAGTGGTTCGCATCTGTCCAAGGGCTCGCAGCCGACGCCTTCTGTTGCGACCCTCGACCATGATCCAAATCTAGATCGAAGAAAGAGACGGAAGACAGTCAAAGATGCCCCTGAATTGTTGGAAAGCGGGCATTCCTCCGAGAGTGATGAACCGCGTCATGATAACCTTAAAATTGAAGTGCAGAGCGCCGGAACAAGCACGAAGACCCCAGAACGAAGCGAACCTAGGGATCATGAAGATATATTACCGGTGCCTGGAAAAGAGCAGCCTCAGCAAGCAATAGCCGAAGTTCCAGGCGCTACGAAAAATGACCCCAGTGTTGATGCCGAAAAGAAGCGCAAAGTGGTCAAATTGAATGCCAACGGAAAGCTCTTGAGCTCCCCTGTCGCAAACAAACTCGGTGAGAAGCCCAAAACGAGAGGCAAACGCGGAAAACCTGCGGCACACAATATTGAGGATCCTCAATCCAAGATTGTGGTTATCAAATATCACAGTCAACCAGGGTCGTTTGGGAGCCTAGGGAAGCATATCGAGGACATTCTTGCTGGCAGGGAAAAGCACTTTGCTCGCACGGTCTTGACTAACCCTGCTGTGGCGCCAAAGGTGGTCTCCAGTCCATCATCGAAAGCTACACACCCGTTCTTCCTGAAAAAGGCCGCCCAAAAACCAGATGTTCCGATTTCGCAACCCCAGACGCCAGTGCGAGCACCTATGCCTATAGTGGATGAACAGCCAAAGATTAAGCCAGCATATGTACATTTGGCATCAAAGCCATTGATGTCTTTCAAACATGCATTTGCTAAAGTTCCGGATCCCATGCACCCATTGTGGCCTCCGCTTGGACTTTCCCATGTGCGAGGTTCTCAACCAACTTTCAAACCTTGTCACGACAACCATGATCAAGGTTCAGACTGCCGGAAATCAAAAACACCTGCTGTTCGAATCAGTGATGAGGAATGGGTCATCTCCTCTGCCACCGACTGCCCAGATGATAGCGCTGCGGTGCTTAGAGTGCCAGAAAGGCAGCTTGCTAGTGGTCGAGCTTTACAGGTTATGGTTGCAAAACAATTAACCAAAACACCCACGGAACATGTCAGTGGTGGATCTCGCAAAGAAGCCTCCCATCCGGCGATTATGAAACTATATTCTTCACTTGCTACTTCCGTAACTGCTTTCGATCTTGGAGGCTACGAATCGAAGCTCTGGGCTCATAAATATGCGCCCGGCTCTGCGCAGCAGGTTCTCTGTGCGACAAAAGAGGCGCTTATGTTACGAGACTGGCTGAATCATCTCATTGTTTCGAGTGTTGAAACCGGGAGCTCATCGAAGGATAATGAGAAATCGAAGAGAAAAGAGGAGAAGAAGCGCAAAAGGCGCAAGAAAGCAGACAAGCTGGACGGCTTTGTTGTTGACAGTGATGACGAAGCCTCGGAAATGGGTGAAATCTCAGGCTCTGATGATGAATTAGCCGGGGATGTGACCATCTCGACCAAGAAAACGGTTATTCGCACAGGCGACTTGACAATCAACGTACGATCCGGCACTGACCGAACCCGCATGGCCAACACAATTCTTGTGAGCGGCCCTCCGGGCTGCGGTAAAACAGCGTCGATTTACGCTGTGGCCAAAGAGATGGGGTTTGAAGTGTTCGAAATCAACTCAGGTAGCCGCCGCAGTGCTAAGGACATCCTGGACAGGCTTGGAGACATGACTCAAAATCACCTTGTCCATAATGTGCATGCCAACAGGGATTCTGCTAGCAACCAGGTCTCCTCCACGGACTTTCAAGCAAGTGAGGACGCTAAACAAGACAAGCTTATGGGGTACTTCAAACCTACCAGTATCGGTCCCTACGAGAAACTTGGTAAGGGCAGGGCGAAAGCTTCGGTGAAGGAAACAGACACAAACCAGGCTCGAAGTCAGAAACAGTCATTGATCCTCCTGGAAGAGGTGGACATCCTCTTTGAAGAAGACAAGCAGTTCTGGACCGGGGTCTTGACCCTCATTAGTCAATCTAAACGCCCAATCATCATGACCTGCAACGATGAGAGCCTCATCCCTTTTAATGACATATCTTTCCATGCTATTTTACGCTATAGGACTCCTCCGCAGGACCTGGCTGTTGACTACCTTCTTCTAGTGGCGGCAAGCGAAGGCCACTTACTCAGGCGTGAACCGATCGAAAAGCTCTATCGAAGCACGAATAGCGATCTACGGAAATCCATCGTCGAGCTAAACTACTGGTGCCAAATAGCTGTCGGAAGCGAAAAGTCTGGCCTTGACTGGCTAATTGACCGATGGCCCCAAGGCGCAGACCTTGATGAAAGTGGTGACAAGCTTCGGGTGCTTAGCAAAGATACTTACCGCGAGTATATGGGCTGGTTTAGTCGCGATATGCTGATTAGCGGTGGCTCATCAGCAACATCTGAGCTTCAAGAGGAAACTCTAAATTGGTGGGATCTCAGCCTGCAAGATGCCGATACTACAGAGGATTCACGACATCAGTTCTGGGCGTCGCCAAACCCAGGGGCGTCAAGGCTCGAGCTTCTTGATAGTCTGCGCCACCAGTCTGAGCATATGGACTTTAGAAGCGATCTTGATCTCTTGGGTACCTCGTGTTCTTTGGATGCTCGAAAAGTAAGCTTTGTTATGTGTTTTCATTCAAAGAAAAAAAAAAAAACAAAAAAAAGCTAACTTTTGCAGGATTCCGTTGACACTTCTATCCCTCCAATGCCAGAAAGGCAGAAGCTGAGCTACGTCGAAGGCTATCAGGTATTAAGCGCAGAGTGTATCCCCGATTATAGCGCGTTGGCTCCCGAAATCGGAAGCACCTTTGGGGCTATCCTCAACAATTATTCTCAAAAATCCCGAATTTCCGACCCGGAGTCAACGTTGGCAGCTAAGGTATTGGTAGCTACCCCGAAGCCCAAAACAGTACATCCATCAGGAATCGAGCTTTCTGAGGCGCTATTACCAGTCATGAAGCCCGCTTGCACAACTCCCCCGTCCAATGCAAATGCAGAGTTATTGTTTGACCATAGCCTGCGGCATTTTGCCGAAGACATCACTCCGTACGTTCGAGCAATAGTAGCTTTCGACCTCCGGTTACAGCAGTACCGTTTGGAACTCAGCCGCCTTCTTTCTGGCAACGGGAGGGGCACCAAGCGAGTTCGAACAACCCGAGCCAGTCGGGCTGCACTTGAAGGCGGAAGCAAGTCAGAGACTCGGAAAGAAACGTGGTTTTCACCAACTATAAACGTCCCTCGGATTTTAGCTACGGGCCAGAAGGAGTGGCAGGACTTGCTGGTTCAAAACGGCTATTTTACAGTGCCCGTGGCGGGGGAACAACGGACTCGAGAAAGCAGCGAGCCGCTATCAGAGAGCGCAAGTGATATAGCGTGATATCTGCATGTATATAGAATGTATGTATATAGAAACAGTTATACCGAGCCACTTGCATTATTTACCCATGGTACAGCTTGTTATGGTGTAGGGATGAGCCAAGGCCCTGGCGTGACTAGCGCCGCTGCGGTGAGCCACAGAGAGCCACAGCAACTCGATCAGCGACATCATCTCCAGCTCTCGCGTCACTCTCGCCCGTACCATCGCAGGGAAAGCAGGTCCTTTTTCCCAGGGCTCTTCGATTCTTTACTTTTAGTATTCTTAGTCGCGAGGCGCTCAATTCAGTGTCGAACTGTCGCTTTCCTCGGCTACTAGGCAAATCAGTTGTCGCATCTTTGCTGCTGCCAGGTGCCTTATCTCTCGGATCGAGCTCCGCCTCTTCGCATCCTCCCCCTCCGTGCAACGCATCGCTCCTCCTCTATGTCCCTGTTTGGCACGTCGCCAGACGACTCCTCAGTAGCTGATTCAGCTCGGAGATCTAAGTCCTCCCTATTCGCTGACGAACCTTCCTTCGGTGGGGGCGGTGCCGGCTTCGGCTCTTCTTCTCTCTTCGCCGATGACGACGGTCTAAGCTCCCCGTGGAGTAGCAACACTGGCAAGCGAACATCCAAACAACAACTGGTCAAGACCTTGCTACCGGACTCGGATGTCCCTGAGAGCTATATCGATGCCTACGACCTTGTTCTGAGTGTGGGGGAACGAGCGGGCACTGGCATTGGCTTGACGTCCGTCCGGGAACTACTCTCTGGCAGCGAACTCACGGCCACGGATCAGGCCAAAATTCTTAATCTTGTTCTCTCTGGCGATACGGGGCGATCGAACGGGCTAGGTCGTGGCGAGTTCAGCGTTCTCCTAGCTCTCATCGGTCTCGCACAGGAGGGCGAAGATCTTACATTCGACACAGTTGACGATCGGCGTAAGAGTACGAAACACTTTCATCCGGTCACCCCGAGGTTCGAAGCTAACAATGCGCAGAGCTACCAATACCCAGAAGCTCATATTTGGACGCACTGCGTGCGAAACAAGAGTCCGCCATGTCTACCCCTTCCGATGAACGCCCTGCCACACCTCCTCCGTCCGCTCCCGTCCAAGAACCCGGCTCCGTGCAATCGCGCCGATCAGGCAGAGGCTCGATCGGTGGTCTGGAAGCCGACCCGTGGGGCAGCCCCCAGCTACATCGCGGTCATGCGCACGCGCAGAACGAACACGATCAGCGCACGTTAAACGGCTTTGGAACCACTCGGTCGGCGACCAATGCCTGGGGCAGCAGCAAGGCTAGTGATGGGAGCAACTCAGTTGGACATCCTGCTGCGGTTGGTAGCACAAATGATCGACCGGAGACTCATAACTCGAACAGCTCCGGGTTCGGGTGGGGAGACAACTTTGCGCAAAACCCCGATGGTGCAGGCCTCGGAGGTCCAGTCCGAGCTGGGCTTGGAGACTTTGGCCGATCGGGTAGTGACCAGAGCGACGCAAACCCAGGCCGTCGTTCCCTTGGTCTCGACCGGGTCACTAGCCCCCACGTCAAGGAAGTAGTTACGGTGACGCTGCTGCAGGAGAAGGAGGGAATGTTCATGTTCCAGCATCGCAATTACGAGGTCAAATCGGCCCGTAGAGGAAGTACGGTTGTTCGACGCTACAGTGATTTTGTTTGGCTTCTTGATTGTCTTCATAAACGATACCCCTTCCGCCAGTTGCCTCTCCTACCGCCGAAAAGAATTTCAGGTAAGTCTAACGAAGCTTGTTTACGGGCTCTCCTCTCAAGATTACTCACTGTTTGAAGTCAATGGCACTCACCTCGCAGCGGATTCAACATCTTTCCTTGAAAAGCGCCGACGCGGCCTCGTCCGATTTACCAATTCCCTTGTTCAACATCCTGTGCTCAGCCAGGAACAGCTCGTGGTCATGTTTTTGACGGTACCGACGGTATGATCTGAATCCTCAATCATGCGTAGGTAGGGCTGACGATTCCCAAGGAACTTTCTGTCTGGCGCAAACAAGCAACAATATCCGTACAAGACGAGTTTGCTGGTCGTGTCCTGCCTCCGGATCTCGAAGATTCATTACCTGCTACCCTTACGGATACCTTTGATACGGTTAGGAGTGGTGTCAAAAAGTCTGCTGAAGTCTACATCAACCTCTGTACGCTTCTGGAACGGCTGGCTAAGCGCAACGAGGGGCTGGCTGCGGATCATCTGCGTTTCTCTCTTGCCTTGCAATCCCTCACGGAGATGACGAAGGACACATACGCGGTAGACACCAATGATGTGCCTCTATTGAATGAAGGCATCAAGGCCACAGCGAGACATTTATCCTCGAGTCAAAGTTTGCTAGAGGATGAGGCGCGGGCGTGGGAAGACGGCATGTTGGAGGATCTGAAGCGCCAGCGCGACAACCTTGTAAGCGTGCGAGAGATGTTCGATCGACGAGATCGGTATGCTCGCAACAACATTCCGCAATTAGAGCGACGGATTGAGACCAACGAGCGCAAGCTCCAGGATCTCCGAGCACGACCTCAAGGCAATGTCAAGCCTGGGGAGATCGAAAAGGTTGAAGAGTCAATTTTCAAGGTACATATATGCGCCCGAGGTTCGAGAAGGTTACACTAACTATTTCTGTAGGACAAGGAATCGATCGTGCAACAACATGCACGAGGGGTTTTCATCAAGGAGTGTATCCGTGATGAGCTCGTGTATTTCCAACAGAGCCAGTATCACATCAGCCGGCTGCATCAGGACTGGAGTCAGGAGCGAGTCAAGTACTCGGAGCTGCAGGCTGACAACTGGCGGTCACTGAGCGAACAAGTGGAAGGGATGCCTCTAGGGGACTGAGCGGGGTGGAGGGTGTTCCATGTGGTCTGGGCTCCAACCCTGCGATGAGGGATTTGTTGTATTCGATATTGCTTTTTCCTGTCTTTTGAGTCTGTTCGTCAAATGCGCGCTGCAGTTGCCTTTCCGTCTTGTTCCTTTAGCCCACAAGATATCTCGTCAACCATCTACCCTCGTTTTTGCGAGACACGTTTGCCTTGCTTTGATTGCCTGAACCTTCTTGCTGTAACTCCGCATCGAGTCTCTAGATAAATCAGATGCTTTCGAAGTGTCAGCCTGGAAGGGTGTCGGAGCGTTGTGATCTTCCTCGGGGAATCAGCGAATTTCCCGAAAAGGCGATGGATTCCCAAGCCTTTGAAACAGGTTTAGCGGCTGGCCTTGATCCACAGTGTGGCGGACCTGTGCTCGTACTCGAGCCAATGATTGACTAGTCACCTCTTGGCAGCCTTGCAAGGCTGGGCATCCGATCCTGGATTATGAATGCATAAACTGGAGGCTGCTCGCATTCTCAACAGCGATGTAAGGGATAAATCAGCCTGGGGTAGGATGGGAATTCGCCGGTAAAGCCGGTTCTGGGATGTACGGCCATGTGGTTTTCAGCTGTCAAGAGTCGGAGTTTGCACGAGGCAAACTGCAGAATGGCCCGGATCCCAATCAGCCAGTGCGCCTGTGCAGGAGATACGTCACCGTCCGATGACCCTTTGCTGCTGCTTTAGCCGGGTATCCTGAGCATTTTGCGGAGGTCAAGCGGGTACTTTTGAGTGTAGAGCTAGAAGATGCCCGTTAGCAGATTGTGTGATTCTCTCTTGTCCAATTCCCTCTCCCTCTCCGACGAGAGCCGAGCGAGAGGAACAGAGAACAGCGATGCCAAGCCTGACTCCCTTCCGCGACCGACCATGGAAGACACGAGCCGTCTCCGGCCTTGGGCCTGCGTTTCCTCTCCTCTCCTCTCCATCCCACGCCCCAGAAAAATAAGCAAAGACGCCTCTTTCTGCTCTCTCATTCGTCAGTGGCGGTCTTGTCCCAAGACGCCATGCTCCTCTTTGGCTGGGTCTCGCGCTCGATCGGTGTCTTGGTCTTCATTTCGTAATTTTTCGGCCCTCCTCCAATCCCCTGCTGCCGAGACTCTTCTCTTTCTTGTCCTCCTCTTGACCTTCCTTGACCTCCTCTTGAGCGGTCTTGACTTCTCTTGTCCTCTTGTCCTTCTCCAGTTTCGTGCCTCGCCTCGCTGGACTAGTTTTCCGGGCTGAATCAGGTACGTTTCTCGGCGCCATCATCCCTCCCTCGCCGGTCGCTCGAGGCCCCTCTTTTCCTCTGTCCTGCTGAATTCGATCTTGCTAACTCTCGATCGCTCAGGGAATCTTTACCTAGCGATCGCCTTTTAGCCGCTTCTTCGCATTCCAGGCATGCCTACCTCCGTACCTCCTTAGTCTCGTGGCGATTTGTTTGATTGTGATGCTCCGGCTGGTATCCGACCTCAACTTATTTATAAACAACCTCGGGAATTGAGCGATAAGTCAAGGAATAGAGGATAACCGAATACGCATCTCTAAAGGGGGTCCCAATTCGCAGCCGCCATCATGGCCTGGGATCATCTAGATATCGATAAGCCCCACCTGGCCTACATGATCCTGGGAGGTTTCACGGGCTTGTTCATGTTGTGCTCTCTCTTTGTGAAGGAGAAGCTTTACATTGGCGAGGCCTCGGTCGCTACCATCTGCGGAATCATCTTCGGCCCTCATGCGGCGAATCTCTTCAACCCACTATCGTGGGGAAATGTGGACAAGATCACTCTCGAGTGCTCTCGTATTGTCTTGGTCGTCCAATGTTTTGCCGTCGGTGTCGAGTTGCCCAAGGCTTACATGGAACGTCATTGGAAGTCCGTTACTCTCCTGCTTCTACCCGTCATGACCTGGGGCTGGCTTATCACCAGTCTGTTCATCTGGTGGATGATTGAGCCTCTCACCTGGCTGGAAGCTCTCGTTTGCTCTGCATGCGTGACCGCTACCGACCCCGTTCTTGCGTCCTCAGTCGTTGGTAAAGGAAAGTTTGCCAAGCGTGTCCCCAGGCATCTGCGGGACCTTTTGTCCGCAGAGTCGGGCTGCAACGATGGCATGGCGTTCCCTTTCATTTACCTATCATACTATATTTTGCACTATCGTCCGGACACAAACGAAGTAGCACTCCACTGGTTCTGTATCACCATTCTGTACGAGTGTATTTTCGGCGCCATATTCGGATTCACAATTGGTTACGTCGCTCGTCATGCGATCAGATTCGCCGAGCGCAAGCAATTGATTGATCGCGAGAGTTTTCTCGTCTTCTACTTCGTGCTCGCCCTATTTTGCGCAGGCTCTGGCAGTCTTCTCGGTATGGATGATCTTTTGATAGGTTTTGCCGCTGGTGTCGGCTTCAGTAACGACGGTTGGTTTACTGAGAAGACGGAAGAATCCCACGTTTCCAATGTCATCGATCTTCTGCTCAACTTGGCATACTTTGTGTATCTCGGTGCCATTGTTCCCTGGGAAGACTTCAACAATGCTGATATTGGCTTGTCCGCCTGGAGACTCGTGGTTATTGCCATCTTGGTGATATTCTTCCGTCGGATACCGATTATGCTGTTACTAAAGCCTATTATACCCGATGTCAAAACTTGGCGTGAAGCACTCTTTGCCGGTCACTTTGGTCCCATCGGTGTCGGTGCCATCTTCGCCTGTATTTTGGCTCGAGCCGAGTTGGAAACCGGAACGACACAGCCAGTGGTTGAGGCAGATTTCCCTAAACCTCATACTCACAACTATTATATTGTGCAGATTATCTGGCCGCTTACAACTTTCCTTGTTATTTCCTCGATTCTTGTTCATGGCTCGTCTATTGCCGTGTTTACCCTGGGGAAGCGCATCAATACACTATCCATCACCTTGTCCTACACTCAAGCCAACGAGGAAGGCCCATCATGGATGAACCGCCTACCTCGTGTCCAATCTCTAGCCAAGGGTTCAATGTCTTTCCGCAAAGCGGACGACTCGGAGGGCTCGTCCAACGAGCCCGAGTATCCTCCAGGCACTTTGCCGCCTATCGGCCTTCCAGGTAACTTTCTGCGCCGGCAGCAAGAGGACGATACTAGTTCTCCAATCGGCAAGGTGTCAAGTCGCAGAGCTCGCAGACGCCGCAGAAGAGATGATGGAGCCGGCGGTCCGATTAGTCAATCCGCCATTGCGCCCTTGCGTCCGTCCGAGGTGGAATCCGAAGATGCTGAGAGGGCTATCAACGAAACCGAATCGACACCGTCGCCCCCATTGCAAACTCAGACTACCGTTAATGTCTTCCTTGAAGGTACCGACCTGATCTTCGAAGACAAGGAGGGCAATGTTCTCAAAAAAGAGAGTATTGGACATATGTCACCTGAACAACGGCAGCAGCACCTGGAAGCGGAACGATCGAAACTGAACCTAGAGCTAGAACAGACCGAAGAAAGGGTCAATCCCCAGGGCCCTACCCCAGGGGACAAGGCTGAACAGGCGATTGGTGAAAAAACAGACCACCCTGTGGAGAAGGGTCGTAGTCGGTTCAACAAATGGTTCGGACTCGGCAAGAAGCGAGCTGAAGGCGAAGAGAAGGCGGCCGAGGATGACGAAAAAGCCGCTGAGAAAAAGGCTGCTAACCCTCCTAAGGGCAAAGGGCGTTCCGCTCACGCTTATCAATTCGGTAACACCATTATCGTCGAAGATGAGGATGGAGAAGTGATCAAGAAGTACTCCATCCCAGCAAACGACAAACCAGAGGCACATGCCCCTGTCCGACGTGGACTGAACCGTATGGGAACGTGGTTTGGTCAAGAGGAAGAAGGCGAAGCCTCTCAAACCGCGAAGAAGACCGCTGCAGATGAGTGGTTAGCCGATGATGGGCTCCGATTTACTCTGGCCAACGACGAAGAAGTCGGCAAGCGCGGTGTCAATCACAAGGGCCGCCGAATGACCAAGCAGGAGTTTGCAGAACGTCTTCGTGGCCTAGGACCCAAGGCTCGGCAGAGCGTCGTTGAGGAGACGGATGTTCCTGAGCGTGTAAAAGACGTGGCTCGCGATGAGGCTCAGCTTGCGGAGCATCAAGAACGCCGTCGATCCACACCTGGTGTATCGGGTGAGCCTCATAGACGGCCTCAGGACGATTTAGAATCCTTGAGCAGCGTCAGTGATGATGAGTCTGATTCTGAAATTCCCGGTCACAACGTTGCTGCCTCGCTAGCTCGGATAGCTGCTGGAACAGCAGCAGAAGAGCGCCGCAATGATCTCAGCCCGTCAATGTCTCCGTTATCTCCTCGTCAGACAAGCTCCCGTGAACGCAGAGACTCGGAAGATGACGGGACTGAACGCGTTCCTCCTTCACAACTCCGGGAAGCTGCTGGTCTTCTATTGCCGCCTCGACAAGCCGACCTTGATGATACCGCTGAGACTCCTGCCGAACGTCGACGTCGTCTAGCTGCACTGGGTCAGTCGCAAGAATCAGACGAGTCCGATGATGATGGCGCGATTGAAGAAGACTCTGAGAACGAGGACAATGATTTGCGTCAAAACCTGGGTAAGATCTCATTTGCTGACGGCACCAAGCTCGAAGGCGGCAGCACATACGACCGCGAGGGCAATGGAATGAGCTCTCGCTCCCATCGCCGAAGTAGTTCTCGGGTTTCCTGGGGAGGAGAGAAGGGGCGTGACAGTTAGATATCGGGGCTTGCCCGGTAATGGTGTTTCTAAGATATTGGATCAGTTTGGTAACGCTTCGCGTACATATTAGACATTGCATAGAGGCCGTTTGGCTAGTGTGGATACCTATTTCATTGTTCATTATTATTGCATAAATCGTTTAGGCTCTAGTATAGAACATGCACAGTTACAGCTTGAGATCCTTTGCTCTGTCTGGGCTCTCGATTCCAAACGTTACCGCAGTCTTGATAAACTGCTTTTCGTCTTCGTATCCAATGGTTCTCGATACCCGCGAACACCCAGTCTTCCCGATGCCACAGACAGTATCTGTTCAGCCTCATCTCGGTCAGGAGCTTTGTTCCCTCTCCATGCAACATGCGCATCTGGTCTGACAAGCACTAGGTTGTGCTCCCAAAGCCGACGAACATGATCTTCCTCTCGAAGAACAACATGCTTTACCGGAAACCGCAGCTCTTCGGCCGCCTCCAACAATGCTCCCACTTTGACTGCCCCCTTTCCACCCTCATGCATAAACTGCATCAACGTCCACTCCTTCCCAAACAAATCATACACACTGGCACCTCCCTTCTTGAGAAACACATGTGGAGCCCGACTCCCCGGCCGCGTACTCGGAGCATACCCATTGACATCCCACCGCAAAGCCACACTCCGGTCAGGAACAACACACAGCGAAAAGTCGTACCTGAGATCCAGCTCTAGGCCAAAATCTTTCGTATCCGGGCCCGAAAGCGTGATAAACCTCTCTATCTCCGCACGGACTGCCTTTCCCTCCTCGGTGTTGCTCTTTAGCATCTCTATATTCTCAGCACAAAGCTCTCCCAATTTGACATGCTCCATGGAATAGCGGTGCGAGCGCAACAGCGCACGGATCATACTCCGCCAGCGCTCCAGACTATACGCACTCAGAAGCAGCGGGCCTCCATACCCCTTCACCATCGCCGCAAGCCTCCAGCCAAAATCAAAGGCATCTACAATCCCGCTATTCATTCCGTATCCGCCCGGCGGTGGTGTCCAGTGCACTGCGTCGCCTGCCAGGAGAACACGTCCGCCACTCGAGATGTAGCTGCTGTGATCCCAAAGCTGGGCTGCCAGCGGCCGTGGACGAGGAACGAGTCGATGGTGATCTGATGAGCGCCGGCATAGCCGCCTAAGGTTTTGTAGACGATGTCGCGGGGGTCTATAGCTTCAGATGCTCCTGGGTCGGAGGGAGGGAGAAGATAATGTGCTGTGAATGTGTTCTGGTCGTCCTGGTTGATTATGAAGCCGCTGCCGATGGGAAAGGCGTGCCAGAAGCAGCGGAAGGGAGGGGATTGGGCGAGCTGGGCGGAGCGAAAGTGCACGAGATAGAAGCGGGTTGGACTGTCATCGATATTGTCAGAATCTCATAGTGGTCCACATGCTGGGGAAATGGGTTGGAAACATACAGTGACCCTCCAACCATGCGTATCCTGGCGGCTTCCCTAACCCTACTGCGACCACCATCACAACCGACAAGCTACGCTCCAGCAACCTCTTGCTTTTGTCCATGCTCATCTCGAAAGAACGCGTTCCTTCTCGTTCCCTTCCTCCTTCTCATCTTCCTCGTGGCCAATATACTCCCACCCAACCCTAAAATCCACCTCACCAAGCCCCTAACAACATCCCTCATCCACTTTTCAAACACAACCTGCGAACACCTCTGTCCTGGCTGGACGGGAAATGTCCCATCATTCACTCTCCTGCTCTCCGCTTTCTGGTCACCAACACTCTCCACGCTCCACGACCCAAGCACCTTATCCTCAGGTCTAAACCCAGTCACAAACACCGACTCGAATCTTACCGTCTCAGGAACCGCACCAGATTGTGCTCGGTATGCGTCCGCGAGGCCAAGGATGTGGAGCAGCTCCATACTTTCGCGAATTCGTAAAGTCCATCTTCGGGTATGCGGTCGGTGTATGTTATTTCTCGAAGAGTGTACGGCGGACTCCGAGGCGGGAGAGCTGGTAGGCGGGGACCAGGCCAATGGGGCCGGCGCCAACTATGAGGATTTGTTTCTGCTGTGACATAGCCTGGACAGCTCACTGGAAGATTGAGGGCACGATTAAGGTGAGTCGGGTATCCTTGCCCAGGAAGTAGGTGAAATGAGATTGAGATGAACTGAATTGGATTGCAAAGTGCAAGAGACAAAAGTGGTACTAACCTCTCTTTTTTCTTCTCGACCCCATTCTGACCATTTCTCAAACCTAGATAGTCTCTTTTCCATTCACGCCCTGAGCCCTCAGTGTTATTCACAGACCGCCAGGTCAAACGCTACTCCACACAAATCATATCCATGATCCATCCTTTACCTCCAGAGTTTGTTGGGACCTACTATACGAGCTAAGCTTTTTCTTTGTAGGCACATGCAATATAAGCATGGATCTACACGGGCTTTGCCTCGAAATCGGAAATGCGGACTCGGGTTCTCGACATCCAAAGATAGCGTTCTTTGTCTCGCCTTCCCAGGCTCCACATATCACATCTGTGATCTACGATCTGCCTATTCCGTACGTTGTACGTTACAGCCTTACAGGTATGATCTACGGTAGCCCTGTCCTTGAAATGAATGATTTGCTGATCGCTCCTAGAAAATCGAGTGGAGGGATACAACGTACCTAGGCCTCGCCCGCTCAAAGTTGTACTACCTTAGATACTTGTGGACGTGTCCTTTGATGGGTATAGAGAGGGCTGTCAAAAGAAAAAGTGCAGCTCCGCGAGCATTGGGGGTACGTGAGTACGGAGTAGTTCCTGCCGTTTCAGGCATAATACATTACCATAGGGTTACAGCTTCGGAAAGAGCGATCAACCCTCCACCTGCAGATGAGGCGTTCTTTCCTGATTTGTTAAATACCCTGCGCCAGTCCTGTGGGAAGGTACGACCGCGTGCGCATTGCCCCTATGGGTACGACTTCGGTGATAATGATCCTTGCGTGAGGGCCGATATGCCAATCGGCCCTATATCTAGAAGCATGGTCGAGTCAATTGCGTGGGTTAGCCGGGCTTTCTACTACTGAGAGGAGCGAGTACCTTGACCTCGACAAAAGTAGAGAATGATGGTTGTCTCCCAGATGATACTACGAAATGAAGAAGATATTACGTTGTATCCCAAACCAATGGACAGAGAATATGTGTGCATGCAGTATATCCAGAAGAGCATCCTCGCTAATGGATTCCAATCAATCAAATGGCTTTCTTTTCCATAACCAGAGCAATCAATCAATCCTTTCCGACGCCCAACACCGCGCAAATCCAAATAAATAAAAGGGTATGTATGGTCGAAGAAGAAGAATGGCAACCGGGTAGATGGCTCACACGAGGTGAAATGATGTAAAAAATGTAAAGTCAAGGGTGAATAAAGGTTGTGACTCGAACAGTTCAACGGATGGGGTATCTTAAGAAGATCCAAGTCGCTCGCTCGCTCTAACTCATAATACGCCGCCGGGAAGGTTGATCTGCGCTTGGCGAGCCTCGAAGCCGGCGCTGTTTGGGGTTGATCCAACCCCACCACCACCGCCGGGGCCACCAGGACCGCCGCTAGAACCGGGTGGGTACGCATTGGGGTTGTCCAAAGCATGCTGTTGCTTCCGCAGCATGAACATTGGCTTTCGTCCTTCCTTTTCTAGTTGCTTGAAGAGAATGAGTGGTCGTTCATCTAGCCCGAGGCACCGTTCCTGATCGCCGTATACAATGTAAAGTGCATATTGCTTCCAGTCACCGTTGATGTTGTACTTCTTGAGGGCGGCCGGCAGCACCTTGTAACATGGATCATCGACGGAAACGCGAAAGGATTTGAATATCTCCACACTTGGCGTCTCGCCACCGGCTCTAGAATCAGACCGGGATGGAATGTCGGGTCGCGACGCCGACGATGGGGTCGGAGCTAACCGGTCCGGTCTGCTTTGTGGTTGTAGGGTATCTTCGTGATGGTCGTGGTGTGTGCGATTGGAACTGGGTTGATTGTAGGCTCGCGATGCTAGTGTCTGCGGAGCGCCATAGTGATTTCCGGGTGATGTTGGGGAGGGTAGATTCGGTGACAGCTGTGTTTTTCCATTCATGGTGCTCAGATGCGATGACGCAGCAACTGCGGCGGCGGACGGGTCAAGGTTCGAACCATCATTGTACGTGCGGCTTTCGTGTATCGAAGGTGGGACGTGGGTCGGAGAACTGTTCTTCGGCGTAGTCCCTCCATGCACACGCTTGGAAAATGTTCGGGAAATGATGGAGCCAGAGCGATCAAGTATGGTAATACCAGACGACGATTGGCCTGTAAGTGTTTGGCCCGAGAGTGTGCTGTCGTGGTAGTTGTCCGAGGTCGGCACAGCAGTTGGCGGCGGAAGTGGTTGGGATCTATCCTTTGCCATCTTGAACACGGGCAGAAGCTCCTCCCTTAGTCGTCGGTAGTCTTCAGCAACCCGCCGTAACTCAGCCTCCACGGTAACTATTCTTTCGTCTCGAAGTCGTATTGATTGAATTAGACGGGCAATGTCTTCTTGGGTTGCGCTTTCGTTCATGCTTTGGTCCGCGGCTATCTCAGATTAGTAAGACGAAAGATCATCGGACGAAAGGTAAGGGCGTACAAAGAGGGATGTAGTGGTCTGCATCCAGGGGAATGTCTTGCTTCACTTTCGTCTCATATACACTTTTGAGAATCGTCAATCGATGTCCCACACTAGCAATTCCCATTTCCTTCAGTTCATCATGTCGTAGTGCGATGAGAGCGTCGCCAACAATCCCGTTTTCTAGTTGCCCATGAGGTCAGCACCGGTTCCTCACCGGAAGTAGTTAAACTAACCTATAAATGCTGGGCAGTATTGGCGAAGACCTAGAGAGGCGACGAAGCTCGCACATTCTTCCGCGGTCCATTCTGTAATAATGGTTCTAGGCGACTTGGGGTTCTCTTCTGTATGTGCAAAGGTCGGAGTCGGCTCCGCTGAGGGAAATTCCGACTCCGACGCAGAGCCTTCTGAGTCCGTGACCAGATGAGGCGATGTAATGACACTGCGCTCGTACTCGTCGTCCGCATCGGAGTCTGCGTGGTAGGAAGTGTGAAGAGACATGGCGATAGGAGCTTACGACGCCCACGAGGAGGGAGGTGTAGTGGACGTCGAGCGGCTGCAGTCGGTGCGGTGCACGGAGGTCGTTTCCCAACCAACAAGAGCTGAGAATGGGTGTGCTCAGAGGCGCAGAGACAGCGAGTGTGTTATGCACGGTTAGACCCAGATTGGAGGAATGTGCGAGGGCCGGTCGAACAGGCGTGCCACATGGGATGGCTGGCGGCTGGGAAAACGAAAAACTCGGACGACTGTCGGCAAGGAAAGCCAAGAGAAGGAAGTTCGCGGTATAGAGGCGCCGGCGATCGGGTTAGAGAGCGATGCCCGATGAGAAAAGGGAAAGCCGCGAGTTGTGATGGATCTTTAGCGCCAGCGACAATGGTGGTAGGAAGAGCGAAGGCGGGGAAGCTCAGGCAGAGACGCTCTGGTTTAGGAGCGGGCTGGAGGGCTGGGCAGGAAATGGCTCGTGCGGAGGTGCGTATGGTGGGCACGAAGGTGACCAGGAGGAGATATGGCGACGAGAATGTCGAGATATCGAAAAGCAAACGGGGGAAGCGGCAGTAGGCTGGATTTGAGGTCTCCAGAAGGAGCAGTTGGAGAGTTGGATCGCCGCACGTGATGCTGGTCTGGACACTCGAGCTGAAGAACAACGCGACGGGCCCTGCTCTATTAATATGCCCTGCCTGGTTCTCCCTTTATCTCGGTGCTACACCGTCAACAATCTTGTCCTTGCATCCCAGCTTTGCGGCCAAGACGGATCCCCAACATCCAGTGGATCAATCAATCTATCTTCATCCGAAAGAGCCTTCGGATGGCTTCGAAAGGCTTGACAGCAAAAAAAATAGGGGAGCGGAGCAGGTCTGACTATTGTACGCATTCCTACTAGTCCCGGACGTCCACATTCACACACCAGCTTCGAGTGGTGAATGTCACCTTGAAGACACTGGGACCAACGCTGTCAAAATCCAATAGTGCCGGAGCCTTTACTTGTTTGGCCATTTAGGAGACCAGCAATCGTTGACGGCCTACGTCAGCCATCAGGAGAGAGCCCCCTAGACCAGCCGTCAAGAATTGCCTTGCAGACACATGCTCGTCACTCCGTTAAACGTTCAATCCCCCTTTGGGAGTTCGACGCAGACGCAAAGTTGCCGCGTCTCCGCATGCATGGTCAATCCACTTGTTGCTGCCCCTTAGCGCCGTCTTTTGTCGCTCTAACAGTCGGACTCGGGCGTTGTGCGGCCATCCCCACTCCGTCCTTTGGATCCTCCAGCTCCAAGCGCCCAGCGCGTGATGCTATAAATATCCCGCAGCTGGCCTTAATTCTCCTTGCCGCCTCGACGTCGTACTCGAACACTGCACTGTTGGGAGCGCTTAAGCACAGTCCTGCAACATTGGGCATATCACGCTTCGTAAGACATCAAGTCCAATGCATTGAGGGACGGAGTATTGCCGCCGATGTGGAGAGCGCTACGTACTGTCCTAGACTCGAGGTCCCCGCCATACATGAAGTATATCTTGCTTCAGTCTTTTCTACAACGGTATGTAATAGCGATGCATGGCTTAGCAGCAAATCAATGCTGTTAATTGAATACTAAAATAGTTGTCTAGGACTCTAGACGTGATGGGAGGATTATGATACTCTATGAGCATCTATGTACATCTATCTACACAATGAAAGCCCAAAAAATATGTCCTTGTAGTTCACCCCTACAATATATATATAGTCTAAGATTGGAGTCAGCTAGACTATTAGAGCAGAGCCACTCTAGTATCGAAATAAAACAGGAGCCACAGCAGGAAACCTTAAGCAACGAAGTATCAAGCCTTGTGGAAGTATATAGATCTAGTTGCTCATTGTTCTGTTGTTCAAGCACCGTCGGCGGCTCTAATCTTTATTCCGGTCAACTTTCCGAGCCTCAACCCAGAGAACAACTTTTCCACTGCCGCTCCAACGTCTTCACTGTGCTATCGACACTTCACTCTCAAGCTTCATAACTTTCGCAGATCCCTCGGCATGCAAGGGCAAAATATATAACCAGTCGCCTCGATTATCTCCTACTATTGCTGCCCAGGCGCAAGTCGAGTCCTCCGCGGCGCATAATTCTCTACCGCCCTTCAACGACTTCCGCTATACTATCGAACGAAACGACCACAGACGTTTGTCTATACTAATTACCCTGATAGACCGCCCGCTCATCAAGCGCATCACCTCTCGCTTTTCGATCTATACAAGTAATCCGACAATCCTCCGATCGATCCTAGTTCCAATATTCAACGCCGAAGCGTCGAACCTCATCCTCTCCACAAAACCCCAACCCATCCCGCACGACCTCCACTCGGCGCAGACAACACAACAGCGTCTTTCTACAAAAAGTACAACGATAATATACAACGCAAACCCCAGAGGAAACTCAGAGGAATCTCCACCTTCCCCTCCACCGAGCCTTCATCCAACCCACCAACGACCACAAACACAACCACAACCAAAATGCCTCCCTCCCCAACACCAGACACACAACTCGAATCCGACCTCCTCACACACCTCGCAAGCACACACGCCCTAGAAGAAATCCACACTACCCTCCTCTCCTCACTACAACGCCTCGGCTGGACCGAGAAAATCCGACGGCTCTCGCTGGAGCTACTGCGCGCGAACCGCTGTGAGCGATTCGACGAGGTCGTCGAGGCCGTCGTTGCCTCTGCGCAGGGGCGGTCACATCCGTCGCTAAGCGATTCTGGCGCGAATTCTCATGGCGCGCATACGAATGGGGATACGGAGGGTGGCGGAGAGGCGTACTCGTTTGAGGATGTGGATGTGAGGATCCCGAGGAGTGTGGTTGAGCAAGGGGTAAGGGCGATCAAGGATGTTTTAAGAGAGGTTGTGATTCTTGAGGATGATGGGGATACCGATAGGGCGAGTGGGAGTGGGAGCGGGAGCGGGAGTGGTCGTCCGAATGCAGGTATTGCTGTTGAGATCGGAGGGAGTGGAGATGTTTCGACAGGGAAAAGGTCTGTTAATGGGGATTCAAGTCCGGCGAAGAAAGGGGAGAAAAAGTCGAAACAGGCCAAGCAGGCGAAGTGAGTCCGATAGACTGTGCATCATCATGCATGCTGTTTGGTCGTTTCTCTATGACTCGGTTGGAGGTGTGTCATTCTGGGGCGTTATGGGCGAGGGTTGGTGTTAGAACATGGTGGCGTTTTACATCTCGTACCAGGCATTGATATGTATAATAATTGCTGAATATTCATCAAGTAGTCTTCATGTTACTGGGGATGGGCGACTACATCTGGCTACAACCAGAAAAGCAATGAATAAGTCCAAACCAATGTTCGTGTAGTAATGCCGAGGAGGATGCGCTTCACTGTTGCCAGGAATCTATATCCTCGATCTCGGCTAGATCTAACTAAGGGCGACACAGGAAACAATTATGTAAAAGGAAAACAGATTTAGTCGTAGAGGCTGTCATCATTACCGGCATCACCGAATGTGTTGGACTCATCCGCAGCCTCGTTGGCAGAGGGGAAGCGGAAGAACGTGCTGCCGCCAGAGTTCTTCAAGCTCTGGGCGAAAGCTTCGTAGCGGCGGATCTCCACGTCGCTGACGGATCGCCGGGCAGACTTCATGGCCTCTTCGAAGTGAGCCCGTGTGAGCTCAGGAACAGGGTCTTCCACGTCCTCTTCCTCCTCATCCTCCATCTTAACATCCTCACCACCAGCCTCGCGCTGCTTCTGGCGCTCAATTTCAGCAGTGATAGACTCCTTAATGGCAAGCTTGACAGCCCGCTGTGTGACGAAACCAAGATCGGCACCGGAGAATCCGTGGGTCTTGCTGGCAATGAACTCGAGGTCGACATCGCCGGCGACAGGAGTCTTGCGGAGCTGGGCCTTGAGGATACCCTGGCGAGAGGCCTGGTCGGGTAGAGGGACGTAGACCAGCGTGTCGAGACGGCCGGGACGCACCAAGGCAGCATCGAGCTGCTCGGGTCTGTTTGTGGCACCGATGACAAAAACGTTCTTCTTCGAGGTCATACCGTCCATTTCTGTTTACGTTAGTCTCGTATTACATTAGGTTTGAAGAGATTAACTTACCAGTCAGAAGCTGGTTGACGACACGGTCGGAAGCACCGCCAGCATCTCCTACAGAGCCACCACGAGACTTGGCAATGGAGTCCAACTCGTCGAGGAACACAACACAGGGAGCGGCGGCACGGGCCTTGTCGAAGATGTCACGGATGTTGCTCTCAGACTCACCGAACCACATACTCAACAGCTCGGGACCCTTAACAGAGATGAAGTTCGCGGCGCACTCGTTGGCAACGGCCTTGGCAAGCATGGTCTTACCCGTACCAGGAGGACCATAGAACAAAACACCACGAGAAGGTGAGAGACCGAACTTCTGGAACTTTTCGGGGTGGTCCACGGGGTATTGGACGCTCTCGATAAGCTCGCGCTTGACCTCCTCCAGACCACCAATGTCCTCCCAGCGGACGTTCGGAACTTCGACGACGGCGACTTCGCGGAGAGCGGAGGGGTTGGAGACACCAAGGGCATAGCGGAAGTTCTCCATGGTAACACCAAGAGAGTCCAAGACTTCCGCGTCGATTGTGTCCTCGTCAAGATCGATGAGGTCCATCTTCTCACGAATCTGCTGCATGGCAGCCTCAGAGCAGAGAGAGGCAAGATCGGAACCAACGTAACCGTGGGTCTCGGCAGCGATAGTCTCTAGGTCCACATCATCTCCAAGCTTCATGTTCTTGGTGTGGATCGATAGAATCTCCAGACGGCCAGTGGGGTCGGGAATGCCAATGTCGACTTCACGGTCGAAGCGGCCGAAACGGCGGAGAGCGGGATCGATAGAGTTGGGACGGTTGGTGGCGGCCATGACGACAACGTTGGAACGCGCCTTCATGCCGTCCATAAGGGTCAGAAGCTGAGAAACGACACGGCGTTCAACCTCTCCGTTGGTCTTCTCACGCTTGGGGGCGATGGAATCGATTTCATCAATGAATATGATAGCGGGCGAGTTCTTTTCGGCCTCCTCAAAAGCCTTTCGAAGATTCGACTCAGACTCACCAGCCATCTTTGACATGATCTCGGGACCGTTGATCAGGAAGAAGAAAGCACCGGTTTCGTTCGCGACAGCACGAGCCATGAGCGTCTTACCAGTACCAGGAGGGCCATACATGAGGATACCACGAGGCGGCTTGATACCAATGGACTTGAACAGCTGAGGATGGCGGAGCGGAAGCTCGACCAATTCCCGGATCTGAGCCATCTGTTTCCGGCAACCACCGATGTCGTCGTAGCCAACCTCGTTCAAGTTGTTCTCCTCATCTTCGCGTTGGATCGGCTCGCCCTCGCTGTGAATGATGGTGTCCGGAGCAACGATACCGTACTCTGGGGGATCCACCTCGACGACCTTGAATTCGACCTGTCTCATACCTCCTCTTACTGTGAAAAGGTCACCCTGCTTCACTGGCCTGTATCCATCACGGAAGTAGGGGGCGAGGTATACATCGAAGAGAGAGCCGGTCAGGCCCTCAACAGTATCGGCGATGGGGAGGACGGCAATACGCTTGGCCTACGAGAACACGGGTGGTTAGCTGTTGTGTGCAAGTGCAACAAAGTTCACTGTAACTCACATATTTGATATCAGGGCAAGCATGGACTGTGATGATATCTCCGTGCTTTACGCGAAGATTATGTCTGACAACCCTGTTGATGCGGGCGCTTCCATCATCGAGTTCATCATCGGCCAACACAATCAGAACCGTCTCCTTGCGCTTCTTGCCTCGAACAAGGACTGTGTCGCCTCTGAACAGTCCGAGGACGTCCATGGTATTATTGGAGAGCGAGATCGTGGAGTTGTCATCGTTAACGGCATCGGTAACACTAGGCGCAGAGGCATTAGCGTCATCCAGGTAGTGCAGTAGCTGGGTGATAGCTCACATTAGGGAGTTGGGCTTCTTCTTCTTCTTCAAGATTGCTGTAGAGGTGTCGAGCTCCTGTGGGGTAGTCAGTAAGCCACCGGGCGAAGGCGTTGAGGGCATTGCGAGTTTACCTCTTTCTTCTCGGCACCGGAAGCATCACTGGCGGGGAATTAGTCTATGGATTGAGTAGAGACAAATTCAAGGACTTGTTGACATACAGAAGCTTCTTCTTGTGTTCTTCTGAGCTCATACTGATCCGTAAATACGTAGAGTTGTTGAGTTGATCACTTGGTTACGCAACGTAGACTCAACGAGAGTTTACGCAAGAGGTTGAGTGTGCCGGACCTGAAACACCCAGCAACCGAGGAAGATGCGAACGAGAAGCGGATTGCGGAAAGGAAAGTAGATTCAAGATTCCCAGAAGACAATGAGAACGTCTGGGAAAAGAGCAAATGGGAAAGATAGATGGGGATGGTGACAGAGGCAGAGATACAGAGGGTTGGAGGTGAGACCGGAAGTGGACAGAGCAGCTCCAGTTATGAAGAGGTGACGATCCTCTACCGCCAAGGTTGGTCCGTTGATGACTTAAGCCGCCTGTTCAGATTGACCTCCCGCCACCGCCTGGGAGAAGCGAATGGAAGCTGGTCGTAGCAACCGCCTCGACAACCTCTGTCAGCGTTCTCGCCTTCGGTCAGTTTATCTGCAGAGTTTGACTTGCCTGTCGCCCTTGCCAGGCACCAGGCTGCAAAGGAGAGCGTCAGCCTGTGAAATTGCCAGCACGGTCGTGGCAAGGACCCTTGTCCAACATTGCTGCCTCAGGTGTCCTCTCCACCATGGTTGAGCCTCGTTCTGCCTTGAGTAACAATCTCATCCAAGGCTCCAAAGATAACATGTAGGGTGAGTATGAGGTAAATGACTTGCTAGGCTGTCTCTATTATGGCCTTGTACAACAGTCTTTACCAGCTGCGCACAATGCCTTACTCTTTGGACAGTGAATGTTTTCTTCACGTCCAGCATGACCTTGTTTCTAATCACTAACCTCATACCTGTGGTATTTTGACTTCCAATTTATACTCAGTAATACAGTTACAGACAACTCACGAACCAATATGCTTCTTAAAGCATAAGCGTTGGTTCAGGGTTTCCCTCAAATCTCATCTTCTCATCTACTCAAACCATCACAGCTTCTGACAACGGCTTAAAGACCCGAACGATTTATTCAAAAACGGAGAAGTAACGCCTGCAAATTACCTAGGTATCCGCTTCTGGAACAGAACCTTCACACTTTCCCGGGCGGCAGCCATGCAGTGGAAGGAAGGATATCCGTTAGACTTCAAAGAAGCTCTCAAAACCCCGTCAGAGGCTGAGATATCGCGCCTCATGTCGAGGTTCAGCCAAACACCTCGCTTCGTCTACGGGGCCCTGATGCTCCCAACAGTTCTGAAACACTTTGTCTCTATGCCCCAACACGCCAAAGTCGACATGGTACCAGCCACTCTCCGCGGGTTCAAGCTCTACAAAATCGCAGAAGGCGGTTTGCCAACCATCGTTCGGTCAAAGGGAGAGACCTCCGAAGTCGAGGGGATGCTTATTTTTGGACTCGACGACGAGCAACGAAATAGCATCTTTGAGCTCGAGAGCGGAGGCGGCCTGACAGAGTATACGGCTGTCCAGGTTCAGGTTCATCAGAAGGATGTCGTCGGTCGATATCGGGTCAAGGACACGAGGTCTTTTGATGCAGGAACGTTCATTTGGAGTGATCATACTACTCATTTGTTGACCGCGGTAGCGACATCGTCCTGGGATCTGGATGATTTCCTTGCCGGTCAATTTTACGAGAATATCGTGAAGATTCAGAACAGGTCGTAAGACTTCGATGACCTAGACTAGACTTGGTTTGCTTCATAGCGGATACTCATTGCATTCAGGCGTTGGTTGGGATACCTTTCATACCTTTCCGTTGCATGTTGGACATGGGGATTACGTCTCATTTTCGTCATGTCATAGCATCAAAATCATTCTAGATTCGGAGTTCAGCCTAGAATCTACATTTTATCGCTTCTATATGCACTATCCATCTACAAATTGAGAATTCCATCTAGATCTATAGAAAGAAGTAAATATTTACAACCAGACAGAGCACAACAGCCACTAACTATACAAGAACCCAGCACTCTAGGCAGTAGCTGTCCAGATATCATAGAATCCCCAAGCCCCCGCCAGGAAGCTCACGAATCCAGTCAAATGACCAGGGAATCCAATCCCCTTCTCCACACTCCAGTGCAGACACAACGGCGTCCAGCAAGCATTGTTAACGAGACTCTTCTTCCAAGCCCGAACATCTGCGCTCAGCGCAGCCTGTTTCTCCTTCGAAGCGCCCTTGGCCTCGGCCTTCTTCATCAACTCCCGCTTGCGCCACAGCACAAAGTACTGCAGGAAGATGTGCCCGAACCACGCCCTCGTACTCCAGAGATCCCACTTCCCGGCCCCGCCCCAGCGGTTGATGAAGCGTTTCGAGATAACGCCCTTCCTTGAGAGAAACGCAACGTTTTCAAGACTTTGGTAGATGAGGTTCGAGATGACCTGTAGAATCGTGAGGACGTGCAAGATGGAGTCGGAGGGCGGGGACTTGAGTGTGTCGGCGCCCCAAGCGAGGAGGGGGAAGAGGCCGAGAAGGCGCAGCATGTAGCGGGCTTCGGACATGAGCGAGGAGAGGGCGAGAAGTGGCGAGGTTTGTGGTGTTGATTGTGAAGTTGCTTTGGAGATGGCCCGGAGGCGGGCAAGGAGACCTAAGCGCGTTTGGAGGGTAATCCAGGGGGCTGAGGCGAGAATGTGGTGCAGGATGTGGGATGTGTATTGGACAAATGCGAAGACTCGCTCTTGGCCGCCCGCCGAGGACATGATCCTATAGAGGTGATCTTGTTAGCCGGGCGATGGGTCGGACAGGTTGAGATTGAGAGTGCAGGATCGCAGCGATGCCTATGCCGGGATAACTAGGCGCTCGGGAGTTCCTACTTGTTTAGTCGGCCATTGATTATATCTGCTGCCCTGAGTGCTGCCAGTAATCGGCGTTGTGCTGCGTCGTCTTTGGATATCGGAGATGAGTTCCCTCCTGCGGGGCTCGATGGGTTCCCAACGGTGCTGGGTGCTTTGTCGTATGCCATGGCGATGGATGTGGGAAGAACCAGGAGGTTGTTCCAGCTCTGCGTTGGCAAGAGACAGAAAACGAGAATCTCCCCTCGACAAACGGGGGCCGGAAAGTCAAGGCGTTTTCTTTTCCCCAGACTGATCACAATCAACTGATCGGCTTGGTTTGGACTGGTGCCGAGGCTCGGAACGCTCCCCAATTCCCCCGATTACTCCAACCAAATTTCCAGTTCCGGTTCTATCAGTATTCGCAGTTGGAGATTCGAAAATCTCAATAATTAGGCTGATACGCACATATTGTTTATTTGTTTTTCGTGTTAGCTAAAGCATTTTATTTCAAGTCAACAGCGCACAGAATTCATATTCCATTCCAGTCGGTTCATTAATTCGTCCCATGCCAATGCGTTCCTTCAGTCCATACCCAACAACAGTATACGTTTTAGATCGAAACGGGAATTGCAAACAAAAGTTAGAAATATCGTTGCGTCATGACAATCATGCTGAATGTATCATTATCACCTTTCCAAGGTTGAATCCCTCCCACCTCGGTAACCCACTTCAAGCATGAGCGCAACCATTGCCAGTAATACTCGCACATTGCTAACCATAAGGCCAGGTTCCTCTGCATGGGAAAAGCGAAAGATGTCAGTTGCACAGTGAATAGCCGTTCTCTAGCCCGTCTCGATGCGAATGTCTGTCTCCTCACTTGCCTCTTCGATGGTCGACAGCCTACTCATGAGGACGCTAAAGTCTGAATATGAGTCGTAATCGGCAGAGTAGTTTTCAGAGACGCGTTGAGTATGGCCACTGTGGACTCCACAGTACACGTACTGGGAAAAGTGAGGTGGCGGAGGTGGTGGTGGACCGTGCAAACCTATGTTGCTGAGAAGCTTAGCATCAGACACGGGGGTTTCCCATAGATCCCAGGCACTCGGAGGTTTCACATTGGGATCGTTGCAGACAGTATCAATGCTGAGCCAGGTCCGTTCTAGCAGCCTGTGGTCACAGTGATGGCAAGCTCTGTAGCAGCAGCGAGCAGGACGCGGAGGCGTCTGTGGGACGTTTGGGTTCAGGCCAAGAGGGTTATAACGAAATTCGTCCTCATGCCCAAAGCGTGGGCCGGCCTGCGCTTGTCTTCGCTCCCTCTCACACATCTCCATGACTCTCAGCTTCTGCTCGAACAAGATCTCCCTTTCAGCGTCGGTATACTCGCCCGCTAAGATTGCGTCCGTGATCCATGGGCTTAGGAAGGAGCCATTAGGGTTGACTGGGTTCGAGTAGCTCGATATGTCCTCAGTGCAGAGATAGAACCACCTCAGATGTGGTCTGTTACCGCATGAATCGCAAGTTTCATACTCGTTGATCCTCCACTGACGAGAGACGGTGCTGTGGTAGCAATTACTATCCTGGGTTGGGTATGGGATCGCCAACGTGCTTGCGCTAAAAGGAGGGAAAGAAAAGCTGGATGATCCAACCGACGCACCCAATGGCGAGGATCTGTTATGACTTTCCTCTGCCGCTTCCGCGTTCTGATCGTGGAGAGCACGCTCGTTGTCTGGAGCCACGCCCTCCAAGACCTCAAAGGACTCCAGAGGAACGTCCTCGTAACTTGACATGTCTAGGAATCCAAAGCAGACATAAGTGTGAGGTTAGGGTGAAGTTAAAAGAGTTAACACAAGCTTGACACTTGTCATAGCCATTCTAAGAGAATTTCTGTCGCCATTGCATGCAGCAGGCGACTAAGTAGACGACTCAGCACACTCTTAAGCAGAATAAACAGCGACAAAGACCCAGCTTAGCAGCAATTGTCCCGTGCAAACATCAAGGCAAATATGAGTTCCATAGTAGGATCGTAGTAGAATCATCCTTATTCAAGATTCAGCTCCCAAAAACTTGAAAGAAGCGTCTCCGATATGTGCCTGAGGCATCACTGAAGTACAGGCTCCAGCCACGTGATACGTGTCTTGACATAGTCCGAATTGACTTCTCTTGAATAATATCGGCATCGGACTCGACATTTTGGTCAAGTAAAGATTCAGATCGCGTGGAGTGATGGATCCCCTCCCCTCTATAAAGAGGTCAGGACGGCAGTTCGGGGAGGTCGGCGGAGTCCGATGCCGCTGCCCAAAACGGGTTATAAACCGAGCATCTGCCGGCCTCGTGGCCGACTTGACATTCCTCCACTCCAGCAGTCAGCTCCAAACCACATATTCTTACCCTCCTGGCGTCTCTTCTCGAGTTTGCATCGAGAGATCACTGTTCGAGGACGCGCCGAGGGCTATAATCGACGCAGATATCTCGGTGCGTGAGCTCAGCGCCGCGAATTGACCTCCGCTTCCCAACCTCGGTAAGATGCTCCCGATCTCCCAAGGCGATTGTCCAGCCTCTCCATAAACAAACACCACCCCCTGTCCTATCTTACTATTCGCCCAGCCGACCGCCAACCCCATATTTTCCTGTCCTCGTCCCTGACCCGCCACGTCTCGCCGCTCCATCTTCCTTCCCCCATCGCCTGGCATCGCGCTCTCTCTTATTCATTGCTTTTCTTCTCGCTCACCGCGTTTTCGTGTCGCTGCAGGTTTCATCTTATCGCACCTCGACTATCTTCAGACATGTCCGTCAAGTTCAAGGACGTCCAAGATGCGGCTGCTGCCGCGACAGCCAGCACCTCTATCCGCGCAGACACAAAGGAGTTGGCGCATAAGGTCGGCGAGCGCTTGACCGGAGGCAATCCCCAGAATGGTTATCTCGCTGTACGCTGACCTCGCGATGTCTTGAAGTCGGTGGATCCAATTGCTGATTAGGATGACCGCATCATAGATGTACCTCCGAGAACTGCAGGCCAACCCGCTTCGCACGAAGATGTTGACGTCCGGTATCCTCTCCTCCGCCCAAGAGTTTCTTGCCTCCTACCTCGCCAACGATGTGAGCAAGCACGGCCACTACTTCAGCTCCCGTGTGCCTAAGATGCTCCTCTACGGCATGTTCATCAGCGCTCCTCTGGGCCATGTGCTGGTTGGCATTCTCCAGCGCGTCTTCGCTGGTCGCACAAGCTTGAAGGCTAAGGTCCTTCAGATTCTCGCCAGCAATTTGATTGTATGTCCTCCAAATACGATTTCCATGCGCTACTCGCATACTATCGAAAGCGCTAACTGAGTTACACAGGTTTCCCCAATTCAAAATGTCGTTTATCTGACATCGATGGCCATTATCGCTGGCGCGCGCACCTTCCACCAGGTTCGCGCCACCGTCAAGGCTGGTTTCTTCCCCGTCATGAAGGTCAGCTGGATCACCTCGCCGCTGGCTCTGGCCTTTGCCCAGAAGTTCCTTCCTGAGCACACCTGGGTGCCATTCTTCAACATCATCGGGTTCATCATCGGAACCTACGTAAACACCCACACCAAGAGGAAGCGCCTCGAAGCTCTGCGAAAGGTATGCCAAGTATAGCGCCGTCTGATCCTCTTGTCTAACTTTCTATGTAGCATTACGGTTCGCGCCGTAGCGGCCCCGGCAGCGAGTATGAGAAGGGTCCTGACTACAAGGGACCCGGCCCCGACTACCGATAGAGGACGTACAAACGTTTTCCCTATCCACACTCTCAACGAAGCAGTCGAGCAGGAATGATCAGCAGCTTCTCCAAATCACACCATTTTGTAGGCGATCCTGGTCAGTCGCGCCTTGCTTCGAACAATCTTACACTCTCCCCCACTTATATCCTCCAGAACATACTATCTGGTAACTACCATCTCCTCTTCTTCGTCGAGATAAAGATATGCTTTCCCCGTTATGATGAATGGTCGTTTTCCCCTTTTGTCCTACCCTGGCAATCTACATACATAGTTCTGAATTCTATAATGCCACTTGGTGCATTTGCTGTACCTCAATTCCAAGAAAAGATTTGTACGTACCTTGACCCCACTATCATAAAGGCGTGTTATAACCGAAACCCTCCGGACGAAGTGAATAAGTATGTGCCGATAAAGCAGTACAAACATGGCCTTTAATATGGCTCTTCTCATCAACTATCAAGTGGATAATAGCAGTTTTGCTCTTTCTACATCGACGATTATTCAACCTCCATAGCACCACCCCCTCTCTTCTCACGCACCCATGCAACGAAATCATCTAGGGCCCCCGGCCACGCCCCATCTTCACTCCACCACCCAAAGTCTTCATCCTCACGGCTCTTCCGCATAAATACTTCGACCTGTTGCCACAGATCCTTGTTTACGGGGCGCTTCCCACGGCCCTCGAGGAACTCAACCCACCAGTCCAACCAGGGGGTCGTGTGTGTGTTCCAGGCGATTCCGCCCTTTGGGGGCGTGAAGAAGAGGTACCACTGCTCGACGGCGATTTCGAATTGAAGGTTGCGTTGGCCCTGGACTAGGCAGAGGGGAAATGTGAAGCGGTAGATGCGGCGGAAGAGTTCTGGGTCTGTTGGGATGCGTGCGCGAAGGTTGGCGGCGTGAGCGCTCATTTTATCAACGGTGTCACAGCTGATATTCGGATTATTGGGTTAGACAGGCTCCATTTTGGTTGTGCTGCTGCTGGCTGGAAGACTTACCCAACTGATCTCCAGCCGTTTAGAAAGCCTTCGCGAGTGAATTCACCCATGGAGGGCGATTGCAGGAGTTCGGCAATACCGAGGCAAGTCACTTCGTCTAGCTCGACGTTGATGTCCCCAAAATAACGCATAGCTCCCTCGATGCCGATGCCATCAGGATTTTCTTTGGGTGAGTCTGGAAGCGGTTAGCCTTGTATTATGAACACATTTGGCCAGCGTGTTTGCATTATCATACCACGGTATTTATCGAAAATTTGATTGATGGCTGGCGTTGCTCCTCCTCCACCCTGGGGACTCTGAAAGAACCTAGAGTACCATGTTAGCTTCCTCCGACATGTTTTATTGAAATGATTCTGTGAGAATGGTAAATTGGCAGCGCAAAATCTCAGTGCGTGGTGCATCGAGGCCAGCGGGTATGTCCTCCTTCGAGATTTCATAGAGACCTGAGTGAGCTATTGAGCTTCTGAGGCCGACCTCACAGGAAGGGCTCGCAACTTCAATGTACGACCCCGTTCAGCCCGGATGGAGACTGATTATAAGAACATAGTTCTCCACACTGCAGATTCAACAGCGGGATGCAGAGAAACCTAGCGCACTGTAGAGATTCTCGCAACCGGGTCCATGCTCGGTGTGCTCTAAGAGAGACATGCACCGTTGACGAAATGAACCTATAACAGTTGAATCTATGCTTCTCGACCAGCAACTAAACAGTTCATGCTACATGTAGCCTTAACATAGTAGGCCAATGTGCTGGTGTTGCAGACAATTCTGCACGCCTAGCCCGCAACTGATTGGACGGATGCCGACAGGACGCTGTTTGAACAAGGCTCATAACAGGAAACATTCAGGCAACCTCGCGCATGATTTGCAGCTGTGACATGATGACAGGGCTCTTCGTATGCTTCAACTGAACGTCATTCGCTTCGTACTCGGCAAGGACATCCGCGCGCCTGGGGTATAACGATGCATCCGCTCGGCAAGGGGAGTACGACACAAAGGAGGTGATCTCTCAAAACCAACCAAGAAAGAAAACTCACGTATCAACTGCTTCGTCCAGATTCCATCGAGCTTGCCTCAAAAACTGTGCATCAAATCGTCAGTACAATCCATCACGTGATATAAAAATGTCCGGAGTAGGCTGCGGTGGGACACATTAAGCAGCAAGATGCCGGGAGAAAGGGGTTTAAAAATGTCACCTTTGTCGCAACTGAGTTCTCTGCTTGTGTGAAGCTCACAAACTGGGCTATTTGTTGCTTCTGAGCTGCAGAGTAGGGAGGCATGGCGGGGTGTGTAGGACTCGAGGAGGGGTAGATGAAGTCTTATCGATAAGTCGGGATGGCGAGAGAGGGAATGGAGAGAAGGTGTATGTGTCCAAATAATGTGAAAGACGAGAGACGCGCCGGCACCCGCTGAGAAAATAACAACCCGTATCAAGAAGCGATGCTGAAGCTGGACTGGCTAGGACTTGAAAGTGGCCCGCGGAGAGGCTGTTTGGTCACGTGCCAGGGCGCTTCCTGATTGGGAACCTTTATTTCCGGTCGAGCAGGTGAATCGAATGATGCACTAGCATATGATTTATACGGCCCACAAGATTTCTAGGCGAGGATATCAGCGCCTCAATGGCATGAGCTCTCGATACTTTGTCAATCGGAATGCTCCAGACTCTCACCACATCTGGGCTGGGATCTGGAGTGGATCGGCGAGACTAGCGGGATTTCTTGGCACTGGAGAAAATCCGAGAAAAAAAGTTTCCAGGCCGTCGCTCAAAAGTCTCAACTTCCACCTCGAATTCTTGACAATCAAGGCACAAAAAATGGCGCCAGGACGAACGATAAAACGGAGGCGTGTCAGTCCTCCAGACGACGACGAGAATGGGCCCTCTGGCCCAGCCGACTTCTACTCCCACGCCGCCGAATGGGACCTCGAACAAGACTACGAGCGACGACCGCGCAAGTTGAATCAGAAGGAGAAGGAGAGGACTCGACTCCCTATCAAGACTTCGGAAGGCTTTCAGAATGTCGAGGCGTCCGAATCGGAAGGGGAATCTGACAGCTTTATTGGGACCGACGACGACGAGATGGACGAAGATGACGAGGCGCCCGATGAAGAGGCTGAAGATAGCGAAGAAGAGGCACCGAAGATACCATTGAAGCAGCAGATACTACAAGCCAAGGAGGAAATTGCGAAAGCCGCGACTTTGATCAACGAGGACCCGGAGGAACATATTTCTTCGTTCAAAACAATGGCCGAAATGGTAGAGAATGGATCGCACGTCGCAATCAAGAAAATCGCCCTCGCATCGCAGGCTGCCATTTACAAGGATGTCATTCCGGGCTACCGAATTCGTCCTCTGAGCGAGGAGGAGGCATCTGCAAAGGTCTCCAAAGATGTGCGCAAGCTCCGAAGTTTCGAGCAGTCGCTTCTTTCTGGATACAAGCACTACGTTCAGACTCTTCTGAGTTTGACCAAGTCGTCGAAGAAAGATAGCGCAGGCGCAGATGCGAGCTTGAAGAGCGTTGCGATTAATTGCGCGTGTAACCTTCTCCTCTCCGTTCCGCATTTCAATTTTCGTGCCGAGCTGCTGAGGATCCTCGTCAATCAGCTAGCTAGAAGACGCGTCGATGATGATTATGTCAAGTGCCAGGAAACTCTCCAGGAAGTCTTCTACCGTGATGATGATGGGATTGTCTCGCTTGAAGCCGTTCGCCTTCTCTCGAAAATGATGAAAGCTAGAGACTTCAAAGTGCACGGAAGTGTCTTGGATACGTTCCTCCACCTCCGTCTGCTGTCCGAATTCTCTTCCAAGGCCTCAAGAGATCGAGTAGACCGCGATGATGACGAGGAGAATACTCTCGGCAGCAAAAAGCCCAAAAACAAGAAGGAATTCCGGACGAAACGCAACCGCAAACTGGAAAAAGAACGCAAGGCCGTGGAGAAAGACATGAAGGAAGCCGACGCGCTTGTTTCGCACGAGGCCAGAGACAAAAACCAAGCTGAAACGCTGAAACTCGTCTTTGCCACCTATTTCCGCATTCTCAAACTCCGAGTGCCCAACCTCATGGGTCCTGTGCTCGAGGGTCTGGCCAAATACGCCCACATGATCAATCAAGACTTCTTCGGGGATCTCCTTGAAGCTCTGAAGGATCTTATCGGCCACGCCGAGGAAGACCTACAGAACGAAGGCAATAACCCTGCTGATGAAGACGACGTAGCCGCCGACTCCAACCCCAATTCTACAAACCGAGACTCCCTCCGCGAATCCCTCCTCTGCACCGTAACCGCCTTCGCCCTCCTGGAAGGCCAAGACGCCAGCAAAGCAGCGGCAGCCCTTCACCTCGACCTCAGCTTCTTCATCAAACACCTCTATCGAACCCTCTACTCCCTCTCCACGAACCCCGACGTCGAATACAACCCTAACGCCAGTAACGCCCTCCGCCTCCCAGACCCCTCCTCATCGACGCCACAATACACCCGCAAAAACAAAGTCAACTTCCAAACCCCCATGGTCCTCCTTCTTCGCTGTCTCAATGCCTCCCTCCTCTCCCGTGCCAATGGCGTCCCACCCCCCGTCCGTCTAGCGAGTTTCGCTAAACGCCTAATGACGACCTCCCTGCAGGTCCCCGAGAAGTCTGCAATCGCGACTCTGTCCCTCCTCAACCAGGTATCGAGACACCACGCGCGCCGAATTTCGTCACTGTGGTACAGCGAGGAGCGGAAAGGTGATGGAGTGTTCAACCCCTATGCAACAGACATCGATACAACGAATGTATTTGCGGGTACAGTCTGGGAAGGAGAGCTATTGAAGTTGCATTATTGTCCCCAGGTTCGCGAGGCTGTTAGCGGGATTGAGAAGATGATTGTTACAAGGAATTAGCAGCCTTCTACATTTTTGTTTATATATGGGCAGCAAAACAAAGGAGTTATAGACAAGTGAGTTTATCTCATGAATCTGATGTTTTATTATTCATGTTATGATGCTTTAACCAGCTTGCATTGTAGACTACGTAGTAAAGCCATGCCCTCCTTACATTAAGAACCTTTTTTGTTTTCAAAGATGCACCCTGTCTGTCGCCAAAAGCCATAAACTAAGGGCACTTGGGAGAGAAGTGCGACGCAGTGAACACAGGGAAAAAGAAAAGAAAACAAGCCAAACACAAGACCAAATCTCAAAAGCGAAAATCAAAACTCATACAAAAATCCTCCTCGATATCTTTTAACCTTCCATCGCAACATCCGGTGTTCTTATTCTTATCGTCAGTATCCTTATCCATATTCCACAACCGAAACCCGCGAAAAAAGATGGGCGGCGAAGAAAACAGTGCCCTAGTTGGAGGATAACACATGTCCACACACGTGTTGTTGCCACCACCACAACACCGCCAGCAACCCCGATTATCAAGCAGGTATGAACCTGAAAAGAAACACAAGGATAATTGTCACGACTTCCGACTAACAGAAACCAGAGATGACGCAACACACCACCCAACGAAATGTAACGCTAACCGTCCGATCAACCACAAAGCGAATACCCAAAGGACAGAGGCCAGAAACGCGGTTAGAAAAAGTTGTTGATTGGATATCCCGACTCATCCAGAATTGGGCCACTGGCATCGGCATTACCGTTCCAGTCGACACCGTTGGACTGATAGGGGAGATGGTTGGGTCCGTGGCCATGAACCGAGGCTGGCAGAGAAGGCGACCCGAAATAGTGTGGTGGGTGAGGCTGAAGGGGCCCCTGATCGTTCGGGGGGAGGGGAAGCGAAGTGAGCTGGGGTGTCGAGGCTGAATGAGGGTAGTGCATGTTGCCCTGATAAGCTCTCATATCGGGGAAGGAAGACGAGGATGCGGTGGTAGCCATCGAAAATCCCGCAGCATATCTAGTAGCGCTGGGATTGTAAGTAACGAACGATGGCGGGAGGGGTAGAAGTGGGGAATTGGATCTGGCTGCCTTGGTATCGAAATTGTGGTGAGAGTGAGAGGAGCGGAGAGGATGGGCGTGGCTCTGGATTTGACGCTCTATCTGGGCCAAGTGACGTTCACGATCAAGCATTATCTGCTTCTGGTGCGGGTTGCGGAGGGCGGGATGCACTAGACTTGGGCTGTTTTCTCTGTGGATTTGTGACCCTGCGACTGCGTTTGCGGACGACGCAGGGGATGACCCCGAGTTTGCGAACGAAACTGCGAGACGAGGGCAGTGACTCTGCTCGGTAGCTGAGTAGCCTTCTTTCGGGCGCCGATGGGTTCGAAGAAATCTGGAGCCGGAATTGTCACCATTATTGAGTCGACGGAAACTATTGAAAATGCCTTTCTTCTTGGGAGTTTTCGGGTCTTCGCTACTGAAAGCACCTTGAGATCTAGTGTCAGACTCACGCTGTAGGCTCGTTGCGCGGTGTCTCTCCGCGATCTGGTCTCCCTCAACAATAGGTATGGGGCCTGAGATGCTCAACTTGGCGGTCTTTGACTCAGGGCTTCCAGACAATTCTTCGGCTGGATCTTTGGCGACTGTACGCTTGGCCTGGACAGGAGTTGAATCGTTGTTCGAAGGGTTTGGAGTATCAGAGGCAGCAATAGGTGCCGGACCATTGTCAGCTGGGGTTTGTTCGACGGATAGGGCTTCAGCCTGTGGTCCGGGGGCAGGGGTGTCTTCCTGCTTGGAGTCTCCTGCAGGCTTCTTTTGATCAGCTTTGTTGGAGGTCGGTTCCTCCCTTTTGGTTGGCATTTGGCGCGACTTTCTTTTGTTCTGGTACTGCTGGCCTTGTCTATTACCGTCCCTGGGTGGCTTGGCCGTCCATCCCTGAGATCCGTGGTTGGAAGTATCCGCCCCAGAGCGTTTGGAGTCTTGCGGCTGACCGGTAGCTGCCCTAACGTTGGACACTATCAGCTCGCCTAGTTCGCCCTTCAGCTTGGTCATCTCCTGCTGAACAAACACCTTCATTCTATCTTCTAGTTGACGAGTTTCCTGGTGGACCACGTCTACCATAAGACGGGGCAGATCTTTCACAATTTCTGCTTGAGTCACGGTGCGGACGTTGATGACACGAGCAAGATCGGACATGGTCTCGACCTGTCTCAGGATCTGATCTGCGGTCCAGTTACTGCTGTTCTCGAAGGACTTGCTAAGCTTCTGGACCGCTGTATTGACGTGGTAATGCAGCGAATCAACGTGTGCAGCCAGCTGTTGCTCCAGGGTCACGGTGTTCTGGTAGCCAGGATGTGGAGGGGGAGGGGCGTACCCACCATGGCTGGTCACTCCATAGAACTGGTTCTCATCCTTGGGGATCTGGTTGTGATTGATTCTCTGCTCCTCTCGAGCTCTGGCCTTGTGAGGCAAAGCCGGCGGAAGAGGAGGCGCCGCGCGTGGGGCCATGAAAAGCTGGTCATAAACCTGCTCTTCACGAGCTTTCCCTTTGTAACTGGAAGAGGACACGATCAGAGGATGGCTTATCTTCGGTCTCTCCTTCTTTTCGGGCAAAGAGGGTGCTGCCATCTTTGACGTGACCGTCTTAGGCGTGTCGTATATGGACGGTGAGTGTGTGGCGGGATTGGCGTCTGGAGCAAGGGGAGGTGGAGGGGGTGGAGTCTTGGGCGAAGACGGTACTGTGGACTCGATATTTTCAGCTTGCAGGCTGGCGATGCGGTTGTTCACTTGGACAACTTCTGGCTGACCAGTGTTCTTGCATTCGCCTGTGCGAGCCGCAGGGGACGAGCCGCCAAGCAGCAATGTCTCGAGATGCGGGTTAGCATGTTGACCAGAGTCAGTGCTATGAACAAGCAATGTCTCGAGATGCGGGTTAGCATGTTGACCAGAGTCAGTGCTATGAACAAGGCTATGCTGGAACTCCTGTTCCGACTTTGCAACATTAGTGCTCTTTGTTGGAGTGTGCACGGAAGTACAGGACAACATGCTATCCTGGGACTGCTTGTCCATCGTTGCAGACTCGCTGAAGCTTGATGTGTGTGGAGGAGCGGAGTATGGATGCACATCACCCTTCCTAGTTTTGGGAACATACAACTTTGCTTCGTTGAAGTTTTGTTCCGTCAGGCTATGAGTATCGCCATCGGAAGAAGGACGCTTTGCATCATTGCTCGATCTGCCACCAAGCTTCGGCATGCTGCTCAAGGGAGGTATGTCCTTTTCTCTTCGGAATTCTTTACCCAGGTCCTTGAGACTGAACTTGGACCGCAGTGTTGCCACCTTCGATTTCTTCTTTTCGGCGGCTTCGTTCTTGAAGGTCAACTCGGTCGGCAAAGTTGGCTCGGTGGTCGATCTTTTCTTTGTGACGTTAGGTTTGGTGAAAATACTCGTCTTCGAGGTTGGGGATGGAATTCCTTCAGGACGGTCGTGGCGCGGCCTGGGCATGGAGACGGCGAGTTCGGCGTCGTGATCGAGTCCTGAAGTCTTCCCGGTATTGGCTGGTTTGGAAGCTGGCTCGTCACTTGTGTTATTTTCTTCGATTCATCTACGTTCGACAGGTGAAGCCGAAAACTTGCCTCTGTTCGAGTCCTCGGACTTCCGGTATTGCTCTTTGGCCTTGATTTGGGCGAACGCGTTACCCTCCTTGGGAGACATGGTAGGTAACGAGCCCTACTTAGTCTCTTGGAGGATGGAAAGCGAGTGGCTTGATTGCCGGAAACAGAGAGAGAAAGGAAAAGGAAAGGGCTGTTGGCGGGTTGGTGGATTTAGGGAGGAGTGAACGATCACACTACTTTAAGATAGCAGCAGAAAAAGGTGAAGGAAGAGATGTGTTAGGTATAAAAACAAATAGAAAACAAAAATTTCAGAATGATTTTCTCACAGCTTCTAGTCTCTTTAGTGATGGGATATATGGATGCGCACATTAATGGTGGGCTAAGAAAGCGCGCATTCTTCATTTCATGATGCTGCAAACGTGGACAAGGTTTTTGTGGCACAGAAAATCCAGGCAGTGGCATCATCAAGCCCATTGTACTGCGTGTGTTTGGACAGTAATCCCGTTTAAACTTCTTGTTGACTGACCTGATATCAGTGAACCGGGGGCGAGAGCCGAAAGTCTGTATAGAGTCGCAGGCGCGTGAGGACGGACCAAGCTGAAAGCTACTTTGGCGGGAAAAAGAGAAGGTCGGGTAAGGTAAAGTCTTCATTATCATCAACTATCATCAAACATCAAGTCATCATTACATACTCGCGAGGTAAACAAGTGCAATGATAAGCAATTGCACCATGCGCGCAACATTTTGAAGGAGTGGAGTAATTTGATGAAGATGGTCGAAACTTCATCTCTTGATATCAAATACAGGGATCACGTCGGATCAAAAGAGTGACTCAAACATGTAGTTTGGGGGATCAGACGCTTCCAGGGGTATATATGGCCTGCCAGAGGAAGGCTAGGAACGGAGCAGCAACAACCATTAGCAGAAACAGGTCCCTGAATTGCATTAGTTCACGTAAAAGCAAAGCACAAAAAAGCAAATCGTCTCTCCACAATCAATATCAAACGTCAAAACATCTTTCACTGATCTGTTGTTCCGCGTCGGCGGAAAGGAGAAAATATGGAACCAAGGAAATTGACAAACACCGCACGCAGAATATTCCTCAACCAGCTGTCATTCTTGTGATTAAGAGAAACAGCAGTGACTGACCGGTTCTGACTTGGGGATCGAGAGTTCTCGTCTCCCTTGTTGGCTACTGCGTTGTCCGCAGGCCCTTCCGTGGTCGAGGCCGGCTGAGCTGTGGTGGATGGGCCAGCCTCCGTGGCGGTGGTTGTCTCGTTTCCTTGTTTTGCGTCCTTAGAGTCCACAGGGGCATTATCAGCGGATGCGAGTAGCTGATCTGTCGAAGGCAGGTCAAGCTTCCTTAGAAGAGCTTCGCCATCGCCAGCAAGCGCAGCAAGTGCAGGATCCGCTTCAGGCTCTGGGGTTGGGGGCTCCTTCAACGTGCCAACTGCGGTCCCGTTGGCAGGGGGTTGAGACTGCGAAGGAACAGTGAGAGTGTTCTTGTCGGCTTCAAGCTGGCTAGGTGCCTCCTTTGTGGTAGCAGCTTTGGGTTCCTGCTCTTTACTCGCAATAACGGCGGCTCCGGCCGCAACAGCACCCGCAGCAACAACTGCAGCACCGCCAGCGATGACTTCAGGAGTCAGGGCGCTTTCGTTTGGTGTAGAGTCTTCGACTTCCTTGGCCGCTGGGGTAACTTCCTGAGCTGGCTGTTCCGCAGCAGTTGAGGGCTCTTCAGGGTTGGCGGGCTTGTCAGTTTCTTCGCTGGCAACCACGCTCTCGACAGGCTGAGTCTCTGCGTCTTGCCCATCCACCTTGGACACATCAGCCGCATATACATCAGCGGTGGGGTCTTTTGTAGCGACCGACTCAGAGGTAATGGTCTTTTCCCCTGACACTTGGGCGAATTCTTCAGGGGAAGCCTGTTCGGAAATCTCTGCCTGTGGTTCGGACACGTTCGGTTCCTGGACGGGTTGCTCCTCCGATTGTGTTGAAGCAGCCTCAGCAGCAGGTTCTTCGCTCAATGGAAGTGTTTGTGCAGCAGGCTCCTGGAATGAGGGTGTCTTCTCAGTCGTTGAAGGGGAGTCGGAAGGCAGAATAGTATCATCCGCAGACACTTCAGGTGCGGCGGCCTTGGAGAGGGTCGCGGCGTCTTGTTCAGGTTCCCAGGGTTCTTCCTTTGCAGGCACTTCTGTCTCAACCGACTCCGCAGGGACTTCCTTTTGTGCAGGTTCCTCAAGTTGGTTCAGCGGAAGTTGTTCCACAGATGGTGAATCAGTCACTGGATTCTCAGCAACTTCGGATTCTCCCTGGATAGGTGTCACCCCCTCCGCCTTCACTTCCTCTGCTGCTGATGGTGCAGTGGCGGGGATTTGCGAAACAGACTCTATCGGCACAGGTTCTGCCTGAACGACGGGTTCCTGCGCTGGCTCTTCTCTCACAGGCTCTGCTGCGAGAGGTATGTCTCTGACAGGGGCATCTGCAGCTGGCTCCTGGTTTTCTGGCTCTTCAGCCACGACATCGGGCTTCGTCTCTTCAATTGGCTCCGGCTGTGGTTCCGTAGTGGCAGGGGTTGCAACATCGGATTCAGCTACAGCTGGCTTTGATTCGTCGATGACCCTTGCTACGCCAGCTGTGACCGTGCTAACTTCTTCGTCTATGGTGATGTCTTTAGACACGGGCTCTTCTGGCACTGCCTCCTTTGCCGGGAATTCCTCGACGTCGACTGGAGCAGCAGGCTCATCTGGCTGCTTCTCCTTGGCAGGGAGCTCGTCTGCAACAGTTTCCTCACGGGTAGGCTCTGTCTCCTTGACTTCCGGAGTGATCTCGGTGGCTGCGCCAGGGGTATTTTCAGCAGCTTCTGTCTCGTGGGCATCCGTGATTTCGGTAGTCTCGGTTGGCTCGCTTGCAGGCTCCTCAGCAGGCTCCTCAGCAGGCGTCTCAGCCGTTGGTCCCTCAACCTCGGGATTAGGCTCTGTCGTAGAGACTACTTCCACAGGAGCCTCCGTGGTCTCGGGCGCAACTGACTGACCGACCAAAATTTCGGACACAGCTTCTTCTTGTGGGACAGTTGGCTGCAAAGGCTCTGTCGGTACCTCTGCCACGGCTTCGACAGAGTTGTCGGCCTCCACTGTTGGCTGTTCTTCTACGATCGCTCCTGTGGGCTGCTCAGTAGTTGCAGTTTCTGTCGGTTTGTCCGCTGCCACTTCTTCAACAGGTACTTCTTGTAAAACGGGCAATTCCTCTGTAACTGGTTCTTCAATGACAGATTCCTTCACTGGCTCTTGGACCCTTTCAGAAGCTTCTGCGACTTCTTCGGCCTTGGACTCCTCAGGCACAGTCAGGGTTTCCGCTTCAGGTGCTTCTGTGGCTGTCTGTGAGGGCTCCTCGGCCTGTTCTCTGACCGGCTCAGTCGCAGCGACTGCGGGTTCTTCGGCCTTGGGTTCTTCGGCCTTGAGGTCCTCCACCTTGGTTTGTTCAGTCTGGGCTTCCTCAGCCTCAGGGTCCTCTGCAGCAACTTCACTCTCAAAAGCAGGAGTAGCAACAATAGCTGGAGCAACCTGAACTGCGGATGCCTCGACCTTAGGCTCATCGGTTATGGTCTCCTTTTCATCTGCAGGTGTCTCTGCAGGAGCTTCAACAGTTGAAGGTTCTACAGGAGCAGTCTCGACTGCGGTTTCATGAGGCGTTGGTTCCCCGATCACAGCCTCTTTCTCCGGGCCAGATGCTTCTGTGGAGGCCTCAGTGATCTGAGCAGAGTCTTCGACAAGAGCAGTTTCGGCCGCGGTTTCTTGAGACTTGGTCTCGTCGCCGACGATTTCCCTTTCAGGAGCAGGTACTTCAGTAGCGGATTGTGTCGGTGCCTCGATAGTCGTGGACTGCTCGACAGGGGCAGTCTCAATTAGCGTTTCCTCTGGCTTCGGTTCCTCAAATGCAGCTTCTGCTTGCAGGGCGGGTTCTGCAGGTTCTTCCGGTGCTGCAGCTTCCTTTGTCGACTCAGGTACAGAACCAACGGCTGCTACTGTTGCCTCAGGCTCAGCGGCTTCAGTGGCGGTGTCCTTCTCTAGCTCTTCAGAAGAAGGAGTTTCCTCCACAGAGGGCTCGTCAGCTGAGGTTTCTTTAGCCGGTCCGGCAGCCAGTTCAGAATCAACTGAAGTTGTCTCGACCTTAGGTTCCTCATCGGAAGCCTCCTGCACTGGCTCAGCGGCCTCAGCAGTAGTTTCTGATTGCTGGATCTTCGGTTCTTCTGGAACAGCCTCCTTCAATGGTTCTTCGGTGGATGGGGCAGTCTCAAGGGCGGTAACTTCGGCAGCTGGCTCATCGGTAGCGTTGGGTGTTTCAACAGGTTTGGTATCAACAGTCACTTCTTCGGCCTGCGGCTCCTCATCTGCCACCTCCTTATCCGTAGGTATTTCGGCGGCTGCGGTGTTGATTTCCGGCTCACTGGTTTCAGTCGCAAGTGTCGGTTCCTCAGCCTTGGGCTCCTCGAGCACCACTTCTTGTTGCACAGCAGCCACATCTGCAACTGCCTCTGTGGTCGAGGTTTCCTTTACTGGCTTAATAACCTCCGGTTCAGCGTTAGGAATTTCCTCTTCCAATTCAGCAGCTTCAGGCGCAGCATCAGCTGTCTCGGGCTGAAAGTTCTCAGCAGTCTCCTCTACTGGATCAACAGACTCGGTAGCGACTGGCGTTTCTTCTGTTTTCTCAGAGGTCTCCTCAGCTGCTCCCTTGGCAGCTTCCACTGGCTCAACTGATTCAGTAGCCACTGCGGTTGCTTCTACCTTGGGTTCCTCAATCTCAACGTCCTTTGTGGGTTCTGCGACTGCAGCTGCTTCAGCTGGTGTGTCCTCGGCTGCTTTTCCTGCCTCATCTTCCTTCACTGGCTCTTGAGCTGTGGTGATTGTGGTAGAGGCCTCTTCCGCGGCAGGCTGTGTGGCTTGTTCTTCGACGGGAGCATCCGCTGCGGGAGCTTCTGGGGTAGCCTCCTTAGCACACGTCTCATGCACAACTGGTTGCTCGGGAAGAGTCTCGGTCGCGGGAGCTGGGGAATCATCCTTAGCAGGAACGGTCTCGGTGGTCGGCTCCACGGTGGAACTTTCTTTCGCTGTCTCAGTAGCGCTCGTTGACGAGGGTTCGGCCGCCAGGACTGGTTCAGATTCGAGGTTCCTGTCGGGCTCAACAATCGTGTCCTTAGTCTCCTCCGCGATAGGAGTATTTTCGACAACAGCGTCCTTCGCAACAGATTCTTGAGCAACTGGCTCCACGGACTCCACATCCTGCGCCGAGGGTTTTGAGGCCGGTGCCTCTTCCGCAGACACTTCTGTGGCTGTAGCCTCCGCAACAGGCTCGGCGGGTTTTTCTAGGGCTACGGTTTCGGTCACTGGGTCTTCTTTGACTGGCTCCTCAGTAGCAGCACTCTCAGTAGTCGGTTTTTCAACCTCCTCTCGTGTGAGCTGTTCAGCTGTAGACTCAGGGACTGGCTTGTCTTTAGCCGCAGTATCAGCAGGCACCTGTGTGTCCGACTCTGCGATAGCCTCAGAGACAGCAGGTGTGGAGTCGGCGTTTGACACCTGGACGTCAACCTTCTCCTCCACAGGTTCCTTAGCTGGCTCTGCCGCGGGTTCGGTCACCTCTGCACTTTTGGTTGCCTTCGACTCATCGGCCAAGTCCTCGGAGTCTTCGGCAGTCACAGCCTCTTGGATGTTGGACTCGTTTTCGGTCTTGTCCGATGCCTCGACTGTCCTTTCTAGAGCACTGTCAGAAGCCGTTTCTAGAAGTGGACCCACAGCATCAGCACCCTCGGACGTAGTCTGGACGGTTGGCTCTTTGGTGATATCTTTGTCGTCTGTTGTCTCCGCAGGTTCCTCATTCGTCGACTTACTTGGCTTCTCTGTGGTAATTTCAGACGGCTCGACCGCTGCGGAAGATTCTTTGGTGGGCTCTTCAACAGGTTTCTCCTCAGTAGTCGCGTCAGCAACTGATGTCTCGGTTACAAATTCAGTCGGTGCCGGATCAGTGGTTGGTACTTCAACGTTCTCGTTTGTGCCCTCCTTTGACTCCGCAAGGGCGCTGACGGCAGCCTTCTCAGGCTCGGATTCCGGGGTTTCGTTCTCCTCAGTCACCTTCGCAACTTCAACTCCTGAAGAGGGCTCTTGCTCTGTCAAAACTTCCGGCTTTTCTTCAACCTTCTCAGCCTCAGTCTTGGTGGAGACTTCAACCTTTTCGGGCTGTTCCTCCGCCTTTGCGACTTCGAGTTCAGGCTCCGCGAGAGGGGCTTTGTCCTCTGTGGTGGTCTTTTCAACCTCGGGGATGGGCGCCTGCTCTGCAGCCTCAACTCCGTTCGACTCGTGCTGTGCGGGAACCTCCACCGGTTCCGGAAGCTCCGCAGGCTTGTCATCCAGCTTTGTGGAAGTTTCAGACGGCAGTTCTAGCTTGTCTTCAACAACCGAGTCTTGTGTGGCAGCTACCTCCTTGTTCTCGGTGGTGCCGTTTTCCAGCGGGGTCTCGCTCTTCTTGTCATCCGGAGAAACGACTCCATTTTCTTTAGTGGGCTCCTCTGCCTTCGCGCTCACGATAGGCTCAACGCTATCCACCAAAACCGTGGTTGTATCTGCAGTAGGCTCGACGGCGAGGACACTGCTTGTGACACCCGCTTCTTGAAGCATATCAGCAAAAGGAATGCCGGATGAAGGATTTAAACACAGCAGAACCCATGTCACTTACCATTCTTTACCTGTTCATTGGTGACGGGAATAGCGACGGTCTCGCCAACAGGTGCAGCCATTATGGTCGTAATAGTCGTGACAGTCGTGAAATATCAAGGAAAAGAGCAAGTACAACGCCGAGGTGCTTGATTCAGAAGTCAAGCTTCGCAAAGGCTCAATAAAACAGAAGCAGACCGGGGTATTCTTGACAGAAACGACGAAATATTGTACAGAGCGAGGATGCGGGGTTGCAGAAGCACGAGAAGACAATGACCTCCCAAGCTCAACTTGGAACGAGGAAGAGGATAGTACGAGAGGTAGGGGGAGATATGGAGATGGCGGGGGGCAGTGAGATGAAGGCTTGAGAGGATTATGACAGGAAGCAATCGAGGTGAGCGAGGGGGAGGAGAAGGAGCAAGCTTGAGGGACAAGAAGGAGGAGGGAAAAAAAAGTAAAAAATCGAGGTCCCCACAGCAGGCCGACGGAGGGTACACCACCTGCCTGAACTGAGATTAGAACGTCACTTCTAGCACGCTTTAGGCCTTGGCTAGCACCTTCACTAGTGGAGAGCACCGTTAGTGGGCGGGGCAGCAGTTGTTATCACCACAGTGATCTTTGTTGTGGTTTGGATGCATTGGGCAGTCTAAACAATGGGCACTCGAGGCTGCGACTCGAGTCGAGGAAGAATTGGAGGTTTACGGAGTCATCTACACGGACAAACACTGATGATAATGCAAGTTGGAGCATGTTTGCGACCACACTCGACCCAGATTCAACCCAATGGGTGAGTACCTCTGAGTTGTCGCTTGTCGTGAAGTGAGGATGGGTGGTGCAGATCGTGAGCACCCAAGGGAAAATGCGGTGAGTTGGCGTCTTGGAGGGCACCAATCACACAATGGGCAACAACTCGACTTTTTGACTATATTTTCGAGCCCAAGTGTTGTTCGACCCGAAAAGATACGAGAAAACGCCGCTTGAGTCCAGTCTTGAAGAATTCCGCTTGCAAATCAATGACCTGATTCGACATGGCACCATCACTTCTTCCGAGTCCCCTACTCGCGATCATGCTCCAAGGTACCTTCTGTCACCCAAGCAGATGCGCTGTCCAGCTCACAATTCTCCCCGAAAGCCTCCCGAGTCGTTTCAAACCAGTCAGTTCGTCGGCCACATTGCACAGTGTTCCGCAGCATCCTGCAGAACTAAAGCACATAATCCGGCTTGGATTCAGATCTGGTTCTACATACATCGCTCCACAGTATGCACATATACATCGATGGCGAGCATCCAGCAACGCCGTAATCGCAGAAGACTAACGCGCACTGGAGTACATGCCTGCATCACCTGATCCTGAAAAGAAATCTTCAGCGATCCACTGCAGTGTTTTTGCGAGCCGTAACCATGATGTGCTTGCGGTGGAGCAAAATATCCCATGAGCCATGGAACGAGAAGCTATCCTCGGTAAAAAGACCATGGTTACATTAGTCTTCTCTCGGCCCGGGACTTCAAAACAACTGCCCAGAACCTGCTAGTTGTTTGCCTGATGACGGGATGAGTGATCATTACTGACTCGAAAAATGAGTGAGTCAGTCGATGTTGGGCATCACTCTCGCAAGTGTCACAGGGGCATCTCATGACTAACCGCGCCGATGCGCCGATACGCCATCTGGGACCGCCATCGCGAGTTCCTTCAGGCTTCACGAAGTAACCCGCATAGCGATGCCCGAGGCTTGACAAGGTCCCATCAGAGAATAGCCTACCAGGATTAACTTTGCGTTTAGGTCTTCAGAGGAAATGCATGCTTCGTTTAGCGCCGTTGATCAGCGCAGCAAAGATAAGACCTCCAGGCGTTCGTGCGCCGACCTGGACGCGGGGGCAAAGTTTAAAAACCAGCAGAACCGGTTTCGCTTCCAACTCCAAGCTGTTTCTTTTTATCGGTAACCTCACATTGTCTTGACTTTCTGGCCATGTTTGTGACCTTTGGGTTCGCCCCTGGCCTTATATCATGACGGTTTCTGGGGCACGGCGTAGGATGTCTGTCCTATCGATATACACCAGCCGGGATGGCTGGAGATGTCTTTAGACTATAGCTCACTAGGATCAATCGAATTCCCGGAGCGTCTCTCTATCAACATTCACAGTGTCAACCTGCAAAAAAACATCTATTGTTCAATCTTTAGATTTTTCTCAAAGCTGCATAAGACTTCAAGTTGATACCTTGAGTAATGTTGATAGATTTCTCTACGCGTTTGGCGTGCATTGACAAATCGTGCGTCACCATCCCCAGAGCTAGACACCATACTCCGAAGTCCAGGGACCCAGGTGTCGACCCTGGAAGACCTGTTAACTAACCTGCTATTCTCCCTAGAGCTCACTGGAAGATATGTATCATCAGATACACTCTGACCCGGTGAACCCAGAAGAGCCCCTTCTCAAAAGGTCAGCCACCAACGCCGTGTATGCCGCTTATCAAGATGCCAACAGCTTAGACGGGCAGCTGATGAAGCTGGGCACCTGGGCCTTCCTACAACTGTCTGAGGTCAGAGATCCAGAGCCATATACGGGATGGCTTTCTGGCGTCTCAATTTCAAGAAACCCGATACTTGCAAAATAAATACAAAGTGACTAGGACGTTGAGGGCTTAGAAGAATAGAGGCCATACAGGCGAGCAAGTGCTTGTATCATTGCGCCGATTATCACTGGCATAATAATGACAGTATCGAGGATCTCTTTAAAAAATCAGTAGTAGGTACATTATCCCATGGATGAGTATATGAAAGTCTAAGTTAACACAACTCGCAACGTTGATTAAAGTAAATACTGTCGTACGGACGAGAGATAAAATAGCTTAAAAGAAATGCATCGATTCATCGGGACCTTCTCAGTCGATGACCGTGCCAGCCAAGGCGAAATGAAACAAGAAGAATACATGAGAAGGGTGAGACATATATGAGGGATGTGCCGGTAAATTGAGGAAGAGGCGGAAGAATATGGACGAAAACGAAGAAGAAACCACATAACTGAAAACTGAAATCGTTAAACGTCCACTTGGTCATCACGTATGCAAAAGTCAAGACGTAACCTGAAGCCCTAGAAAATCAAAGGACAAGAGAAAAACAAGACATATCACAAGATCTCCAGATCTTCGAACTCTACCACCAAACTATCCCCGACCCCGGGTGGATTAGAGTTCAACCGTGATCGATGAACCATGTCATAAACGGTGCCGTTGCGCGGGATATTCGCCGGTCGACTCGCATAGACTCCCACGTGGATGAATTTGTCGTCTACCCCGTAGAAGAACCAGGTGACTTCTCGCACCTTCTTCCAAGTGCTCCCCACGTCCCCCGGCCTGGCTGCATATGGAGACATTGTCGGTATTTGGTACGAGACCCATAGTGCATGGCCCATTCGTTCTAGCTTAATGCGGAGGGAATGGATGGCTGATGACGGACGATGATCCGGTACTAGGATTTCTGAGCCACACCAGTCGGCCCCATCAGCCGTGGCACTAACTGACGAGAAGTTGACTGTTCCGGAGCTGAATTCCATACCAGCCTTGACCCACTTACTAGATGGCTGCGCGGTGTTCTGCGGGTTCCCACCGAATCGATTGGACCGTGATAAGGGCACGTTGTTTGGAGAATCCGACTGGGGAGCAGCCCCGGCGAAAATGACCAGTCCACCCTGATCCCATTCCATCTCAAAGTCCGCAGTTACGGTCACTTCGGCGACTAGGAAGGAACTGCGTAATGAGGTGAAGACAATAGGAGCTGTCGAGGTATCGCCGTTCAGCGGTTTCCGCCAGAGATCGGTATTCGGTCCCGCGGTCAGGGTGAAGTATTCCATGCATTGTGGAAGCGTGAAATCTGCAGGCAGATTCAAAGCTGTAAATGATGAGCGATCCGGAGGCATCTTGGTTTCCCTATTTTCTGGACTGAAGTCAAGCTCGCGCGCGACCCTTTCATCCACCTTCACTGAGAGAGCGCGGACCTCTTCCTCTATTGCCGCGGATCCTCCTCGGCGGCTGATTATTGAAAACCAGCACAGCGCTCCAATTTATCGTCTCTGTTCGCTTTATATAGATTGTAACCCCCGAAGCTCCGGGTCCGAACAGAAGACCAGTATTTGTCCCCGAGTTGGGTGAACGGATGGTCGCGGCGCAGTAAGTAAGAGGGAAGGGCAGGCGAAAAGGCTGATTGTGAACGAAGACGACTTTCCCCTGTGTGGCCGTGAGAAGTAAGGGAGTCCCAACAAGAATCCTCCACTCGGGATGCTCGATTGTGACCGTGGCGTCCTGCGTCAGCGACGATGGTTCTATCAGCAAGGCGGAAGCCCGCAATTAGTTGATTCGGAAGTGTGAATCGAGCCAGTCGAAGGGAGAAGAAGAGCAGGGGGAAAGGGAAGAAAAAGAAAAGAACGTCAGGTCGTGCTCGAATCCACTGCGGATGGATCAAGGTTGGTGTTGAGCCAGGCTGACCGGAAACGGACGAGGGTTGCAAACCACAAACAAGCGCAGGAGATCGTGTTCCTATTCATATAGAACCGGGCAGAATACAACCAAGTCCCTGGGAGGAGAGCCATCCTCAGTGTCCCCCAGTCATGGAGGCTCCTTATTATATATCTCGGTCAGGGGGTGCCACTTGCGCTCCTTAAAATAACGCTGGGCAAAAGGTGTACCGCTCCGCTGGGACAGGAGGTTGATTCCGAGTTGTTGGATTCGCAACAAAGACCCATCGTGCCCGCTCTTTTTGCTTTTCTGCTTGCTTCTACTTTTTCCCCCGGCCGCGTTGATTTTCTTTTTTCTTTGTTGGCTTCTAGTGTCCCCTTTGCTTTTCCCCAGAGACGGCCGTGATTTGCTCGTCGGCGGCTATCTGTGCAGCAGAAGTGGCGCGTCACTGATCGAGGCTGCATCTTCGAAGGCGAACCACTGAGCCCGTCGAGGTTGATGGGAGAACTGTGGCGAGTTACGCAGCCGCGAGAGAGCTGAAATTCCATGAAGGCATTCAGAATTCAGCACAAGATGATTGGCTGTTTCGCAGGTCAGCACGACAGCTGAAACCGATGTCGCCCCGTTGGAGATTCACCGCCCTGGCTGGAGCTTTGATCGCTTCACTTCGTCACAGCTGAGCCCATCACATCCACATCACCTTCTTCCTGCAGCCCCGTTATTGATCTAGGTCGAAGGATCGCGTTCCCCTCAAAAGTGCGACCCGGCCTAGTCGAGGGCTCGAGAATGCCCGCCACTAGCTAGTACCGTCTGACGGTCTGACTCGGCCGCGGAATTTGATCCCCTTTCGGCAACTCCTACTGGCTCGCTTGGGAAGCTTGGACCGTTCTGATGCTATATTTATTTCAACAATCGCTTTACAAGTGAGACAATAAGATCGGTCATCCAAATATCATGGTGTGCGTTGTGTGTGTCCGGCCTCGGAGGCACACTGTCACGGATATGAACCAACATCCCGGCTCAAACAATCCGATCTTGAACCCTGACCCTTGAGTAGTTCCGGATCTGCAAGTAAGCAGGTACTATATAGATGCACGCTTCCATGTTTGTCGCAAACTCAAAAGAAGCTAAATTGCTAGTAGGGGCAAGCATCCAGATGGCCACGAACCCATGGCTTGAGACACTCCCAGCACCACTCCTGTTTACACCTTGTGCCTACAAACAGGATGGTTAACTCCTCCTCATTCGAGCGCTGGGAAGTACGTATGCACTTACAAGTGATATGCCTGCAGCCTCCATCCCTGTATACGCGATAAGAGCAGCCTCTCCCTGGACACACCTTACTGGTTCCGCGGACTTCCGCCTCCCCAAGGCGTTCTTCATCAAGTCGCTTCTGTCGGTCTCTCTGTCGATCTTCTCTTTGGCGTCTCTCTTGTTCTTCTCTCCGACGACGTTCTTCTTTTGCCTGCCGCGCACGTCGGTCTGCCTCTTGCTTTGCCGCTCTTTTCTCCGCGGTCTTCTTTCGATCAACCTCCCTCCGGCGGTGATTTTTATTGTCCGCAGCCTCCAATTCGCGGGCCAAAACTTCATCTGCTTCAACCTGTTGCTGTAACTCTCTCTGAGCAGCAGCCTCCTCTCGCCGCTCCCTTTCCTCTCGTTCAATGACGACCTCAGGATGGTCGTATTCGTAGCATGTCAGTCCTTCGTGCCACGGACGCTGATGGGTGAAGCATGTCCGAGCGTGACAATACATGCAGGTCATGATCGGTGATTCGGCTCCTGAGGCATGGATCTGCCCGCCTCCGCATTTCGGATTTGAGCACCAGATGAAGTTCGGATCGTCAGCAAGGGTCTTTCGTGTTCGAATGCTGTTATACCGTCGTACGACATCCGGCTTTGCCCATTTCTGAACGTCCCCCTCAGACATGGGCTTCTTACAGATCGGACAGGCGAACCCTTCATTGCCCATGCCCTCCAGCTGGGCTTGCAATGACCGTTTCAAACACGGCTTGCAAATCTGACCTGCAGGGTGTTCACACCAGGGCGTGATTGGCACCCCTGGAAATGAAGATGACCGCAGTTCCTCAAGACATGCGATGCATTCTTTTCGAGAGCTAGAAGGCATAGAAGGCCTTGGCGGCTGGCGTGAATCTACTCTCTCTGACCCGTAAGTGGAGGTATCGCGTCCCTGTACAAGATGTTCACTCCGCGCAGTGTCAGCGGTGCTTGCAAGTGAGACCGACCGTGAAGTAATCGGTTTCCTCGTGATCGCGCGCTCTTCTGGACCTCGTGCGACGAGCGAAGACCCCCTTCGACTCTGTCCCGCCCCATGAGCAAGGGAAGTATAGTGGTTGCCATCACCTCTCGCTCTGTTTGCATAGTACTCCGGCACCGAAAGCGATATCGTTGTGCTGTTAAAATCATCCGACTGAAACGTACTCCATCCGACAGAGGATGCAACATCGAAGTCTTCGCTATAGGTGCTGGAAGTGCTGTAACTGCCATGTACCTTACACGTTAGCTGATTTAACATCCTCAAGGATGAACCCGTCGTTGGCACACACCTTGGGGTAGGGAAAGAGGGGCAACCGTGAAGCTTAGGCCTTCTTTGATCAAAACCATTTCCGCGACCTCGCACTTTGGAAACCAGGTTGCCCATTTTGAAAGATCATGCTACCTCACGACCGCGCAAAATGCAATCAAAGGCAAGCGATGATCAGAAAAGGAATGTATCAGATACATCAGGTACTAGCCTTGTCCCGGCTCTTCATCAACGCAAAGGGTTCGCACAGGTGCTGGGATGAACAGTACAAGAAGCGTGAGGAACCGAAACTCGGGAGCAGGACTTGGGAGGGCCATGCAGTAATATCCAACAGGTTTGGACAAGGCTGGCGCGGCTGTCAGACATGGTTTAAGACAAGGCTCACCTGGCTGCATCCCGCCAACGGAGCAGCCCATCCGATGCGACCAGAATGCAGGGCCAAACGGGGCCTCCAATCCAGCAACGAGAGGCTTTACGGATACGAGGAGAATGGACAGGCAAAGATTGATAAGAATAGGGGCCGTGGTCAGTGCCACCACTTCTTTGTAGCGAATCCATCGACGCAGAGTCAAAAACAAATCCATTCTCGCCCCATGTCGCGATACAGCGCGAGAAAAAAAAGAGACCACAAAAATCAGCCTGGTATTTGTTGTCGCGTTTTTCCGAGACATGGATTGGCCAAACGGGGCTGTTTATCATCGGGCAATGTAGGAAAAATCACTTGCACGACATGGCCAACCCTTCCTGTAAGCAGCCAAAAGGGTCTGGTTCTATGCAGCCAAGGACGAGTGCTGATCCTGTCAGAAGCAAGCATTTGCACCATGGTGGGCGGAGCACATCTAGTCTATAGACTCTCACAAGGCGTACAGTGGTATTGCATGTGATATCAAGATCCTCGATGTACGTGGAGCTTAGGTATTTGCCGACCTTTGTGTTGAGCATCGAGCCTGGGATGAGCCTCAATGCTTTAACGTCAGAGGCGCTGAAGGACTCTGAGGTGGCGGTTGGGCCTCGTGTACCTTGTTCCGTTTGCCGGTTTACAGTCAGCGCGAGTATCTGGAGAGCCCAACAGCCCAGGGAAGTACATAGGAGACTGGGGACGCACTAACTGCCCAGCCCAAAGTTCTAGCATGTTGACAAACTAGATTACTAGAATATTTTCGGCGCGCTCAAAGTTCCACGGGCATCAGACACCAGCGGTTAGAAGCCCAAAACTATGTACAAGGCCAATTTCCTGAGCATTTGAGCCATCAACGGTTAATGATCACAGCAAATTGCAGTGGCAAATAGCTCTTGAATTCGAGGATCAAACATAGAGCCATGAGGTCTGGAGAAGGCGCATGGCCGATCTGGTTAGTGGTGCATGGCGAGGTTCCAAGGATAGGGGTCGTAAGCACATATACAGGGTCCGCAAGTCTATACGAGACAGTCGGTGGGGGATTTTCTAGCTATGCAACTTTGTCGTCTCTGTAGTAGAAAGTAGCTTTAGTCTATTGTGATTCGATGATTCACGATATATCTTGACAATATATAATCCGATTCCCGGGTGCGTTGTCGGTTGAAACCTACGAATAATAAGAGGTTATACCGATGTACTGCACCTTCCTGATACGAGATAGGAAAGAACGATTCATCAACTGAGGGTCGCTCCTTCCCCAGTATTTCAGCTGGATGGCGAGGAAGGCGCGACCAGGACACGCACCTTCCCCGTATGGAATAGGAAGGAGCGATATGTGAAGGTGACGGTCGCTCTTTCCTTCTATACTCGGCTGAGCCGCAGGGAAGGTGCGACCTCGAGATGCTCCTGCTTAGTCTGAGAGAGGAAGGGGCAGTTAGTGAATGCAATGGTCGCTCCTTCCCTTCGGGTTTAGTCGTCATGTCTGTATCGGAGTACGATATGGATGCTTTGCTTGATGTTGAGTTGCTGCGTGTGTTGCTTGTCAGGCTGACAAATAGTCCCACAGACTCCGCACAGGCCAGCCCAGCCACAGCCGGAAGACACGCGTTGTGGCGCAATGTCCCCAGTTCAGCCACCCCACCCATGCCTGCCCATCGCCATGACATCGAGCATCAACAATCTCCACTCCAGCATCACAAAAGCCACCTGAATATATCACACGTAACGCGGTACGACCTGAAACCTACATCCGACTATTAGCCCCACCTGAACAGCCGCAAGAGACGAAGAAAATGGTCTGCGCAAAATGCCAGAAAAAGCTCAAGCAAACCGAACTAGCCACCCCGGGCGTCAAGCGGAAAAGCGAAATGTACTATGGCTCCCCATCGACATCGCTAGGTGGTGGCGGATCCGGTGCTGGAGGCGCAGGGTCGGCGACGGCGGGTAAGGCGAAGCCGACGTTGGGAGGGACAGGGATCTCAAAGGTTTGTATGCCTTGCTGTTCTTCTGCTTTCCCATTTTGAGAATGTGCGATGTACATAGAGAACCGCGCTGACCGTGGTGCAGAATAAACTACTCAGCTCCAAGGCGAAGAACCCCTACGCCGCGTATTCGTCTTCGTGCGATATGTGCAAGACCAAGACAGAGCAAGGGAAGAAGTATTGCCAGCGGTGTGCTTATCAAAAGAATGGTGGGTTTTCTCAGCTGCGCTCAGTTTATCTTCGGTTATGTTTCTGTGCTGACGGATGTAGCATGTCCCATGTGTGGGAAGAGCTTGAGTGGCAAGTCCTCGAAAGACCAGCCAGTCGTACAGGGGCAGAAGTTCAATCTAAAGTGATCTTAGTCCTGACATTGTTGATGGGTTTGGTTTGCAGGTTGGCGTGGCGTTGGCTATGGGTAAATTCTTGGGTCAAAACTGTGTATAGAAAAGAATGATATTGAGGAGCTAGTTATACATGACATGATAAACTCGAATATATGCAAATCTCCCGGTGACCGGGTTATCCTACAGCTTCCGATCCGTACAATCCAATCGTCTACACCACCCACACACCGATTTAGATTACCGCTCGGCCAGCATGTTCTTGATGTTGGCATAGTACGGCGGCAGTACGTACTTAGCAATCTCCTCCTTGGCCAACCACTTGAAGTCCTGGAGGTTCTGCACGTTGTTGGAAAGGTCCGCCTGTCCGGCCATGATGCGTGACTTCATGAAGAAGGTCTTTTCGCCGGCAACGGTGACGCCGGTCGTCTCGTCGGTTTTCGGCTTTCGCGCGTTGTACACGTAATGGCCGACGGGGTGGTATCCAACCATGAAGGTGTTCATGTTCACACCGGCAGACTCGGCAAGGGTGCGCTCAGCGGCCTGTAAAGAGCATATTTAGCAAAAGTCCCAGCACAGAGGAGTAGCAACACATACCAAGCGAAGGGTTTCTTCCGCGGCGACAGGAGAGCTGGGAAGCTTCCAGTACCCCTCCTTGGACTGGACAAGAAGGTAGAGGGTTCTCTGGAGAGCCCGGTTAAGACTCTGCGTGTCGCCTTTCCTATCCGCCTCCGTGACCCGCGGATGCGGCCGCGGGATCTCCTCCTTCTTGCTAGTATCTTGGGAGGTATTATTGGCCGTGCTCTCAGCATCCGAAATCAATGTTTCGACAATGTGTGCTGGTTCCGACTCGGGCGCTCCAACCAGCAGCTCATCGTTCCACGCGTCTTTCGAGTACGCATTGTATTTGCCAATGTCACGGGCGGCCGTCTGACGCTCACGGACTTTACGCTTCCAATCCTCATCCGCGGGCGTTCCGCGCTTGAAGTAGAAGTATTTCGTGAACGGGAGGACGAGACGCTCGTTCAGGCGTTTCTGGTAGAAGTAGTACGCTTTCTCGAAATCGGTGAGATCGCGCGTGATCTGGGGCGGGCGGGAGAGGAGAACGCCAGCGTTGATGGTATAGGTAGGGCTCACGACGGGGAAAGTGGGAGAGTTTGAAGAGGAGGATTTGGGGTTGATTGGTGTCGCGGCTGAAGCATAATTGCGGCGGACAAGTGTCTCTTTACAGCTCCTGCAAACTCGCTGTTCGGCGATTGAAGGTCCTGCAAACAGTCATCATTAGCGGTGAGCCCAATGTATTTTGGCCTGTCTGGACGTACGCAATACTGAGACTATGCGCCTGGCGCTATTGGATCCTGAAGACATCTCCTAAGTGCGGCGTCGCTGGTCATCAACAGGCCTTCGCTCTAGTCTTTCTATGCAAGAAAAGTTGGCGGTCACCTGTTTTGCTCCGGTTCAGGGCCAGAGACGCTAGCCCAAATATAGTTAGACTCATCACGTGATATTTTTATCTCTTCCGCTTCATATTTTCCGATTTCTCGAGTTTTTTTTTTCTTTTCCTCTTCACAGCACCATTCCTTATCATCTCTGGGCCAGCATTTTCTACGACCAGTGATCATTTTTCCGGTGCTCAGAGAGATGCCAAGCAGCCTTTTTTCGCTAGCGATACCTTCTTGAAACCAAGGCGTATTGTTAGATAGACGCTGCCAACATAACCAACTCGGAAGGCTTTAGATTTTCTATCAGCCTGCTAAATAGCTACATATGCCTGTAGCCATAATCTGCGGAGTAGAGGCCGTCCAACGCCGGATCGACACCAAGCATGCGCCTATCCCATCTCGCAGACCCTTTCTACTGTCCCAAATACGCGTAGTTTGTTGCCGTAAACTGTCCAAAATCGAGAGCCTGGTCCTGGGATCAAGGATTTTTTGCTGGGATTTCGTATGCCGTTGGCGATGTCATCCTTTGTGTTGATTTCCGATCCCCTACTGCTACTAGTGGCGGCCGAACCGGAAGACCCCTCGCTCATTACTGCGATTTGAAGTTGAGAAAAACGGTTGTTGAGGTCGTGATAGACGGTTGTATGAGATCGTCTGTTCACATGTGGGTCCGGACCGAGTTCGACCTGATCCATGCCACTACGCTGTGCCGAGAGCTTGATGAACACTTGTGCTGTGAGCAGACTATCATAGCCTGCTTCGTGTTCGGTTTTCTGCGTATTATATCTGGCAAAGTGTGGATGAATGCCTAACGGCTGTCAACTCAAGCTCGTCAGTGAAATGGTACTCGCACTTACTCATTAGCGGCGTGGCAGTCTGCATCAATTCGTCATTGATCTCCTTCAGGGAAGATGTCGGATTGATCGAACCACAATCATGAGTGGCAAGGTACTTGGTGTCGATGAGCACAGGAAAGTGCTCGTGCACCATTGACTGGAAGTCTTCCAACTGATCCGGCAACGGCCCAAAGAAACACCGGAAAAAGTATATCAAGTCCATGAAAAGGTTGTGGCCGACGAGGATGGGTCTGTGAGCCTTCAATCGCTCCTTGAAGGCGTCAGCAAACTCCGTCGTCGATTTAACCAAATCCGCGTGTGAAGAGTTTGACTTGAGTCCTGTGAAGTAGCTAGGCCTAAGATTGGAGAGGTCGCCACCAGCGAGTGCTTCTGCCACCCATCTGAAGCCTGTCTCCCTCCATGCTCGCTCCCGTACCCATTGGACTCTTCTGTCCCGAACGGTCTTTTCCCTGGCTTCGTCATAGTCGATGATTTGCACGAAAGTAGGCTTCCCGATAGTGACGAGGGATGAGTATTCTACCTCAATAAGTTGATGTACCAATCTCTTCTGGAATCTGTTCAATAAAGATGGCATGCCGCTGAGCCCCTGCGACTTGATTCCACTAGTGGGGGGCGGAATGTTGAGGAACTTCTCGCGCTTCTATCAAGATGGTTAGGTGGGTGGGCGTAGATCGGCGGGAGGATAAAACATACATCACCAAGAGCGAGCCACCTATCGACAAGCTGGCGGACGACTCGCAGAAAGGCTAGTGATTCATGGTCGGTTTCCTTGACATCCAACGATGTACTGGCCGTGGTCTGGTTCTGCCTTTCAATAGCTTTCGCAATGGCTTTTTCTTCTTCTTCCCGAGATATATACGGGACACCGCTTCTGTACAATGAGTCCATGTTGAATTTATTGTCCAGAAGGAACTCAATCGCTGTCAGAATCAGCGTTGTCACCACAGAAAGGTGCAAGTGCCATACCACTGCTTTGGAACGACCAATTTCGCTCAACTTCCAGCTTGCGATCAATTATCGGGCTAAGGTACAGGTTATATGGCCTCAGAGTATATTTTGCTGTATACCTCTCAGTAACCCATCCCAGATTTAGCATAACGAAAAGGTATTAGGTCTGACCTTTCTCGGTATCCTCATGGCAAAAGGTCAACCCAACTTGGAGGATCTGGTACTTGTCAGCTCCTTCTTTTACTTCCTGGTACCTCTGTTGGAGGCTTTGTGGTGGACCGGCTCTGCCCTGTGTAGCAATTGCGATACCAGAGAACTCGAGGTCGATGGCCACGAAAGTAGAAGATGCGAGATCCTCTAGCATCTTTGGTAGGTGATACGGAAATGTCTGCGCAGTGACATCCATGGTGAAAGTGGAAGGAAAGATGAAATGCAACAAGAGCGGGCGAGGTTTAGTAGATGTGAATGTAGATGATGTATTCCAAGCTCTGAACTATTACACTGGCCTTGTAGGCTTGCAGCGGCATCAATTCGTTGGACGTGGTGAGTGCGTGTATATAGGCATCCGAGTATTTATCAACTTCCTCCTCCCGATAAGTAGTCACATTCAAGTGACTGATGGACATTCGAAAAGAACCCACTTCGCGCACCGGCTCAGGCACGTTGTTGACGTGAAGTTGATGCCAAGGAGGAGCGCCGCAGGAGAGGCTGGAGAGCTGTCCCGTGTTCAGGTGACTTCAACCCCAGACTGAACACCGAGCCGAGGGAAAAGTGACCAACAGGAGCTGCTGTCTCGGCCTAACTTCTGACGCTTCCAGAGCCAACTGCATTTCGACTCAACTCTTCCAAAGCTCCAAATTACTTGCTCTTCAACTTCACCTCACCTCAATTCGTCACGAACATTCTTATCTTATCCTCGCCACGGCCTCTTGGTCAAGCCCGCATCCTTATATCCTACGTACCCCAATCTTTGGCGGTGAAACATGGCCGACGATACATCCTCCGTCGCGGCATCCACATCCACGCTCTCTCCCTCGAAACTTTGCTCAAAAACCTACAAGAAAGCTTCACAGCTATTTCTAACCCGCCGCCTACAAGAAGCGCTCGTTTCTCTACAACCTGTTATCACTGCGAGCCAGGGGAATGATGAGCATGAAGTAAATGGTGATAGCTCGGGAGCGCCAATTGCGACAGTTGCTCCGACATGGCGGATCAAAGTTTGGAACTTATACGTTACGCTTCTAAGCGCCATTATTGACCTGGGCCCGGAAGAGGGAAAGAAGACAATTGGTCAAAAGGAATGGAAGACGATCTCCACACAAGTTCGCGATGGAGGTATATGGGAAACAGTCGTTCAGACCGGCTACCAAGGGCGAGAAGGATCAGTGGATGCAGAGGTTGTATACAACTTGTGAGTAGCATCCCTATGAGCCCAAGCTCAGCTTAATTGATTCCCTACAGAGGTACTCTTCTCCTCAACCATTCTCCTTCGCAAACCGTCAATCAGCAACGTCTTGAAACATATCTCTCCTCATATGGACAACCAAACCTTGATATTGAAGAACACCTAAACTCCCCCACCGCTTCACAGAGATTGAATGGCGGCACAGACACACCCAAAGACCTTGCCGCGCGTGTTCGACTAATTGAACTATTTACCCTCCATGTCCTTCCCAGGAATGAAGAGTGGGACTACGCTCGCGAGTTCATCAATCTCAGTGAGGTTCTCGATGAGGAACGGAAGGAAGTTTTCCTTCAGACGCTGGACGGACTCAAGGAAGAGAAAGAGCAAGGAAAGCTCCGTGCCGCAGCACTGCAACGCGAGAAGGATGCCGAGCTAGAGCGGCAAATACAGGAGGCAGAACGTCAAAAAGCTGAGGACGCCGCAGCAGCAGAGCGAGCTGCTCAACAAAAGAGCCATAAGCGCAGCGGCAGCGAAGTGGACTATGGGATCGAGAAACCCCATCCGAATGGGACTGCAAGGGGCAAGAAGAGCGCCGATAAGAATGGAAGCAGCAAATCTGGCTCATCATCATCGCGAACAGCCGTCTCGCCTCCCAGCTCGAAGAACGTCAAGAAAGCAGAGAAGCCTGAGACTCGGGCAAGGCAGTCGCAGGCGCTCGCAACCGTGCTCCGGAACCTCGTTCAATACTTGGGCAAATCAATATCAAACAATCCTCTGTGGTTCGTCCGTTCGTTGCTCTTTTTGCTGGGTCTCATCTTCGCCCTCAACAGACCAAATGTTCGTGAACGGATTCGGAAGATAGTTGGGTCAGGCTGGCAGAAGGTCAGAGGGACTGTCGGCATGGGCGTGAAGGTGAGCTATATTTGATGCGCCTTTTGCCTTCTTTCTTTCTTTTGTACCGTGTCACGCTTCTATTATGCAGTTCGCTTGGATAGAGCCTCTTAGTCGGCCAGAGCTTGTTGTATATATCCTTTTACATGTAGATTCTATAAACTCTGGCTTCAAATGATTCGAAATGAAAATGTCATGAACTATTGAATGGGGTATCTTTTGCCGAACAACTTGGAAACAAGCATTAATCGATGCATCACGTGTCACTGCATCACGGAGCATTTGCATTACCCGTCTGAGACTCCCTCATATCACTGCTTTTTACCTCACTCTGTGCTACCTCAGAGGGAGAAGCATGCGATTGCTGCCTATCTCCAGCAGCTTCCTCCCAGTCGCGGCGTTTGTCAAGACGTCGTGTCCACCATCGAAATGCCTGAACGAAAAAGTGGGCTACAAACATTTGTTCCGTCGTATACAACAGAACAGGAACTGAAGTTTTTGCTTTCAAAAACAGATCGACTGGTGTCCACATTGCATATAGCAGAGGGATGCCGAGAGCCGTACTCTTTGCAGGACCGCAAAAGCACACTGCAATGGCCTCCACCGGAGGGATCTGTTTGAAGATCTGCCATCGGTCGAACGTGGTCCTACGACACAGGCTTTGAGGCGGCCGAGAGAGAGCAAAGCATACGGCTGTTAGGAAAACGTATAGGGCAATGTTGAACAAGGTGACAAAGACAATGGTTTCGGTTGAGAGGGCCTCGAGGGCTCCTGTTGCAAAGCACGATGAGAACGTCGTCCTGGTAACACAAGCCATGAGTAACCATATCCCGCCACAATCCTCATACATGAAAGCTTACCAGATCATGAGAAGCAGGCATGCCGACCCAAGCTTCGCAATCCTATACTTTTGCATCACATACGCCGTCTGTTTAGACCACAGAAATCTCACCAACTGCCCCACGGCCAGAGGCAGCAACACCGCAAGACCCAGCTGTTTGAACACATCGCGATACATTGACGTTAGGTCCCCGTCTCCATCCCGCCAGATGTCGAACTCCTTCGACTTTGGTAACAGCGTCACTGTCCACCCTGCCGTCACAAACGGTCCCAGCAGATTCGCGATTAAAACTTCCACCAACGCAGCCGCATCGTCTCCTCCCGCAGACCTCGTCATAACCACATTCGAGGCGATCGTCGTCGGAATACATGCAGTGAAAATGTACCCTGCCAACACCGCACGATCAATGCGTGCATCGTGGTCACCGGCAAGAATCGCATGAACGACGGCTAGGACGACTGCAGGGACGAACAGAAACGAAGTGGCCTGCACGAGAACGTGAAGGCGCCAGTTGAAAAGTTGCCGGACTAGTTTCTCCTGCGAAATGCTCAGGCCCGAAATGAGGAAGACAATCGCAACGGCGCCGTAGAGAACGCTATATTCCGAGCGGATAATTCCTCCGTGTTTAGCGACGTTCGGAAACAAGTATGCGAGGAGGCAAGCTATGCCGATGCCGATGATGAGCCATTGGGCAATGATGAATTTTGCAACTCGTTTCCATGTTGGCTCGGCAGGGGTCATTGCGGATAGAAATGTGCGTATTCCTTCATCTGGACCGCTAATTCATTCCCAGATGGCTTTGGGCTCGAGATTGTCTTTTTGAGTCGGCCTATGGCGAATATATGATCGGCGAAAACGCCGATAGAAGACGGTGAAAAGCTTGATAGGAAGAACGATCAGCCGAGAGGCGCGCCAGATGTGTCAGCCTCATATACCATTTCCCTCTTGAAGTGCATTTCCATTATTCCAGCTGTTCATCCAGTCTGATTCTGATGTCGCAGGTGAGTCACCCGTATGGAGTAACTAACTATACAGAGCCCAACTCGGTACTGATGCCTGAGGCATTAAATGGAAAAATTCTGGATAAATCATCGGCCGATTGGCTCTGGTTCTGGCTTCGATCGGCACTTCCCAGAGCGGTATTTGCCTCGGCTTGAAGAATCGCTGGGAACGTCATTCTTCCTGGGGTCCGGGTTTGCCCGCAACGCCATCCCTTCACTTCGCAGACACTGACTGCCTGGAACGAGGGCTGTCACAAGCTAGCAAGCTATACGATTCTATAAAAAGATGCTTATGGTCACACATGACCTGGTCTTTCACATGCAGATGCCCTGTCCTGAAATCGGGCAAGTCTCGAGTTGAGTTTGTCTTCGTTCGGTTGATGAGATCATGCTCCCTGGAGTATGGGACCGAATGAGGGACTCGCAAGTATGAAGACTGGAGGTTCTGGGGTTACAAACGGCCTTCAGGGACGGAGGGATGACGACGAGACTTAGTCAACCGTTGGATTTAACAGCTCGCGACAGAAAGACTCAGTAGATAATCTGATTCTCGGCTGTCCAGCATGTTCCGCTCGTCCAGCTCCCCGTCTCCCGTCTCCGCTTCCCCGTTCCACCTCCGCGGCCTTGCCCTCAGCTTGAGAATTACCACCAGAGGAACCGAGTCCCCGGGGCTATGATCGCCTTATCCGAGAGCTCTGACTCCCAATTTCCTCTTGGGTCCCCAGAGCTCTGACTTCCTCGGCCCAGCCATCGCTACTTATAGTTCCGTATCTCTCCGTACTAATTCCTGGGGAAACCGCCTTGTGAACTTCCGATATCGTCGCTTTTGTCCTCGTGACTTAAATTTATTGGTCTTTTCTTTCTTTTTATTACTGCTCTTCTCTTTCCTTTCTCTTGGTTCCTCATAAGTGCTGTCGAAGTGTGTGAAGCCTGTCGCGCGTTGAGAGCTGTTGCCAAACCAAGAAGCAAAAGATACCTACCTACCTACTAGGTATACGTAGTTGAGCTCACAATGTCTGCTAAAGGAGGCGATGGCAAGAAGCCGGCTTCCCCAGCTGTCAATCTGATCGGTAGAGTGCCTATGCCTTGCCAATGCCCACGTCGACAGTACTAACTCGCAGCAGCTGGTGGCGGTGCCGGTATGATGGAGGCGCTTGTATGCCATCCCCTAGGTAAGGATTCACCAATTCAGCTTTGTCTTACGATCATTGCGCTGAAAATTACCCAGACACAATCAAAGTCCGCATGCAGCTTTCGCGACGATCTACAGCGCCGGGCGTGAGTGTTTCCTTGTCCAACACCTAGTATGCAGCATCTAACCTAGCACGCAGATCAAACCCCGCGGCTTCGTCGCTACCGGCGCTGAGATTGTGAGAAAGGAAACGGCAATGGGCCTGTACAAAGGTCTCGGTGCCGTCCTGGGTGGTATCATCCCCAAGATGGCCATCCGTTTCACATCGTACGAGAGCTACAAGCAGCTGCTCGCGGATAAGGAAACCGGCGCCGTTACCTCAAAAGCTACTTTCCTCGGTATGTCCTTTGGCTCTCAGCCAGCATATGCTTCTTTCCCATAAAAGCTCAATTGATAGCTTAAAAGCTAACAAATCCATACAGCTGGTCTCGCCGCAGGTGTCACGGAAGCCGTCGCCGTCGTCAACCCTATGGAGGTCGTCAAGATCCGCCTGCAAGCACAACACCACTCCCTCGCCGATCCCCTCGACGCACCAAAGTACCGCTCTGCTCCCCACGCCCTATTCACCATCGTCAAGGAGGAAGGATTCTCCGTGCTGTACCGTGGTGTCTCCCTAACCGCCCTGCGCCAGGGTACCAACCAGGCCGCCAACTTCACGGCTTACACAGAACTCAAGGCCTTCCTACAACGTAGCCAACCCGAATACGCAAACAGCCAGCTCCCTTCGTACCAAACCACAGTCATTGGTCTGATCTCCGGTGCTGTCGGACCCTTCTCCAACGCACCCATCGATACCATCAAAACGAGACTGCAAAAGACAAGGGCTGAGCCCGGACAGAGCGCTGTGTCAAGGATATTGGTCATTGCCAAGGACATGTTCAAGCAGGAGGGTGCGCGCGCGTTCTACAAAGGTATCACTCCCAGAGTCATGCGTGTTGCACCTGGTCAGGCCGTCACATTTACCGTGTACGAATACCTGAAAGGGAAACTTGAGGCCTCAAACTGGGCATTTGTTGGTGGGAAGTTTGAGGAGTAAAGTCTCCTCTTATTTCTCCTTTCTCCTCCCTCCAGTCCGTCGGTCCCTTCCAGCCTTGGACGAGTTGGCCCTGGAAAAGCATTTTGATACCAGCATAATGGCGTTATATCTTTGTCTTTTTCCTCTTCTTTCGTTCTGTCTGCACATTTTCAAATGTTCTGTTGCGCCTGTTCATCCGGTGCAGATCCACTTGTTAGTTAGGGCTTCGGAACCCAGAAACCCGACGGTGGATTGGGCTGTATATAACTTTTGTTTTCTCTTATATGTCCTTTTTTGCTTGGATATACAGTATACTATAGATCCACAAATCCACGAGATGCAATACTTCTCAATACTTCCATCGAGAGACCGGTCGTTAAGACAATATGGTGATGCGCTCGCCTGATTCTTGCCATGTTCGAATGCCGCCTCTAGACTTATCTTATCTGACCATCCCAGGAGTCGAGTTGTTGATTCGCGGGTTCCTGATTACGACAGCATCTATAAGCATCCGTGAAGTGGGTGTGGGGATGCTTATGCTTATGCTTATGCTTATGCTTACCCCAATTTCAACTTCATACTCTGCTTACCTCTCAGACTAACAGGCAACTAACCAAATCAGCGATAAGGATAGCTAACAAGTAAAGCAGGCATTAAAACATATCCGTAGCACGTACTATAGACCGTAGTAAGACTTCTGCAAGGTAAGCTATATAAGCGCTCGAACAGAAGATGGTGTATTACTCTTCCCTATATAACCGCCTCCTTCCCCTGTATAGAATCATATAGCTCAACAGATACAATCTCAATTCCAACCCCAACCATATCTATCAGAGATGGCCCAAACAACCGTCCTCATCACCGGCGCGAACCGCGGTATCGGCCGAGGCCTCCTAGAGCGCTACCTCGCCAAACCACATCACACCGTCATCGCCGCAAACCGCGATACAGAGGACCCAACGTCAAAGGAGATCCCATCCCTGCCTAGGGCCGAGGGAACCACCGTGAAGGTCGTCAAGCTAGACATGACCTCGCCGACAGGGGCGGCCGATGCAGCAAAGGCTCTAAATGATCAGGGGATCGACGGCATTAATATCTTGATTGCGAACGCCGGTGTTGCAACGGTCTGGCCAAAACTTGACGAGGTGAAGATTGAGGATATCAGGTTGCACTATGAGACGAATGTCTGTGGATTTGTGAGGGTTTATCAGGCGTTTTTGGCGCTGTTAAAGGCCGCGAGCGAGCCGAGGCTCGTGACTATTGGATCGAGTGCGGCGTTTCTGACGGTTCGTTTGTCCTCTTTTCGTTCGGGTGTACCCTAGCTAATCATTGGTAGTGAGTGGATCTTGCTCAACCTAGCCAGGGGCCGAGTTGATCGAGGGTATAGGAACATGATCGCGTATCCGAATGCCGCATACGCGCCGACAAAGCTCGTGCAGCATTGGTACACAAAGACCGTTGCCATCCAGGAACCTTGGCTTAATGCCTTTCCGGTTGATCCGGGGTGAGTCATAGCAAGTTGTCGGATCTTATGCGCAGCTAACTTCGAGAAGCTTTGTCCAAACGAATATTGGGAACCGCGCTGCCGGGCTACTCGGGATTGGAAAGGCGAGTATCACGGTCGATGAGAGTGCGAGTGGTGTACTCGGCGTGATTGATGCGTCGACTAAGGAAACGCACTCTGGAAGATTGTGGAAGTGGACTGGGGAGGAGGAGCCTTGGTAAAGGTCTCGAGACCAGTGACTAGTGGTCTTCAGAAGCTACCCGATGGGATATACCTCCAGTAGACGGATGTCGGAGGTATTGCTCATAAATCTAGCATTAGGTCAATCCATTGTCATCTTACTAGGGAAAGTGAGACGTCTTGCTTACCCTGAGATAACTCTTGGACAACCATCTCAGTCCAGCTGAAACCAGCGGTAAGCCTCAGTCATGTCCCTCAGGCAAGAGTAATTCAAGGTTTATGAAACCAACTGGTTGAGGTCAAACGGAATAACCCTGTCCGTCAGCCAGCATTTCCTCGCCTTCGCACACATATCAGCCCCAGATTGAATGAGCAGAAGAACTCCCTCTTCAAACCCTCGTTCGACCGCCAAATGCAGCGGCGTCCAACCATGGTCATCATAGGCGTCAATGTCATACGACTCTCGCTCATGTTCGGCCCAGTGTTCGATTAATGTCTGGAGCACATCTATACGCTGATAATGCGCCGCCCAATGCAGTACAGACCGGTTATCACAGTCAACATGCCCAACACGTGCCCCATTACTAAGGAGTAGTCGCACAACGCCATTGTGGCCTCCCACGGCCGCGTGGAAAATGGGGGACCGCCCATCGCTGTCGGTGATATTCGGGTCTATGTTTCCACGTTCGAGAAGGACACGCACGATTCGCTCGTGGCCTTTTTGCGCCGCGATGTGGATGGTGCTAATCCACCCCTTGCTCGCATCTCGAGTCTTATGGTCCACGGTTTCGGGTTCAACCGGGGGAGTGAGGCCAGAGGTAGCCTCTCGATGGTTCGTATGAAGTGGAAGAGAACCAGTCTGGCTTTGAGTATATCGGTTTTGTGCCGGTGACAATTGCGCTGCGTCCGGGGATGCGAGGAGGAACGAGGGGAGCGGGGCATCTAATGGGTTCGAGGTGTAACTGCCCAGCAGATTGTCGAGAGTCCCCAGGTCCAAAGCGACATTGTCGAAACGGGTGCCAGCCGGCGTCAATCCCGCTGCTACGGTATCTGGTAGCGCAAAGAATGGCTCGTCTCCTACGAATGGTCTGTCTATAGGAGTCGCGTTGTCATGATTGTTATTGGTATCACTGTGCAGACGATCAGGCTGGCTGTTTGGGACACGATCAGCGCTTCGTTCTAGCAGTTTCTTCTCTGCAGGCATGAAATAGAATATTAGAAACAATTTCCTAGAGCCAGCAATGGTCCCTTTTCATTCCGGAGACACTCACGCCGAAACCTGCGCTGTGCGATGCGGTTCTGTAGTCGTCGACGCTCGGTTGGATCAGTCGGCCGCTGGATGGAGTCCATCTTGATCAAGCATCAATTGGACCAGAGACACAAATTCGGGGCCTGCCCGGAAACAGAAAGGCATTGTTGTCCTTGGCGCACACCTTCGTCTGGACGAAGAATGGAGTGATCGGCCTTATGGCACTACACGCTTTAGCGTAAGCCTCAGCCCCCCAGGCGCGCCGGCTTGATCTCGATCCCGCCAGCTTCAACACACCGCTCCTGCTTCCTCGCAAAGACAACAATTGGGCTGAAAGTTACAGGTCATATCAGAGGCACGGCTGCAGCCCGAATCGCATCAAGATGCAGTCCGGAATCTCAGGTACGCTGTCGCCTCTCCTCGTCATCGTGATGAACCCCGCCCGCTCGAATCCATCAGCGAGACTCGGAATACATGCACTAACTCTCTCGCAACCACAGTCTCGCAAGAGCTCCACGATGCCTTCACGGCCTTTGCATCCGACAACTCGGCATTTTGCCTCCCCGTGACAATCACCGGCGAGAGTCTCACGCCGCTCGCAACGCTCCGCTTCTCCGGCGCGGGAGCCTTCTACCCCTCGCTTTCGCAATTGTCGTCTGTCCTTGAACCCAAGACCCCGATCTACCTACTTATCCGACGGCCCGAAACTGGCTCGTCTTCGCTCATTGCCTTGACTTATATCCCCTCCAATGCGGGCGTGCGTGCAAAGACTCTCTTTGCGGCTACGCGGGCGACCTTGGTCCGGGAGTTAGGAAGTGAGAAGTTCGGGGAGACGGTCTTTGCTACGGATGAGGATGAAGTCGTCGGCGAGAAGGCTTGGAAGGATAGGGAAGCTGAGAAGAATGGGTCTGCTACGTCTGGTGGATACCGGCGGGAAGACTTGATGGGTGAGGAGGAGAGGGAGTTGGAAGCTGTGCGCAGGGCAGAGGAGGTGGCTCGGAGTGGGACGCCTCGGAGGGATATTGGAATTGGGGGTACATTTGCGAGGGGCCCGTCTAGAATGCGCATTGAGATGCAAGTGGATGAAGATGCGAAGAGTGCCTTGCAAAACTTGCAACAAGGTGGTCTAGTACAACTGGTAGGTTCTCTTGAGTTTCAATTTGGGAGCCTATCGAATCATGCTAATAGTGAAATCCTTTATGATACAGGCCATTGACGTTCCGACGGAGACACTTAAACTTTCCGCCGCTGAGTCCGGAATTGACGCCGATTCCGTCCAGACGCTCATCCCTACCTCCTCGCCGAGATACACATTCTACCACTATCCCGACTCCGATGCAGTAATCTTCATCTATACTTGCCCAACAGGCTCTTCGATCAAGGAACGTATGCTGTACGCGAGTTCTCGGATGCACGGGCTCCAGGTGGCTGAGGAACAGGGTCTCAAGGTCTTAAAGAAGGTATGGCGACCAAGCACGTGATTCATTGCGATAACCTGACAAACAATGGCAGATCGAGGCCGGCTCGCCCGACGAGGTCTCAGGCGAGAGACTCCATGAGGAAGTTAATCCGCCACAGAACGACGGTCTCAGGCGGGGATTTGCGAAGCCTAGACGACCAGGCAGGTAGAGCACATTCGGCGTCGCTCGCAAGTATTCGCCATGGGTAGTTAAGCGTAGACCAGCCATGGACATTCCCTTGTAGTCAAAGTTCCATTTTTATCAACCAACCACCACATCGAAGTAGAATGTCTTCCGCAGAACAGCGTTATCGGACAGAAAGCAGCCAGTTCTCCCAAGACACTCGTAGACCCAGCCGCATATACCAGCGGAAAACACGCTAGAAAGCCGGTGGATCAATGATTCCGAAAACTCTTCTTTTGGTAGAATAAATCCGTCCTGGAACTTCCCAGGTTTATAATCTTCGGGCAACCATCGCGATCCTTCTCTAATCGCGTACATTCAAAGCAGTAAAAGGCGTCACTGATTCCCTCGCCACCGCAAACGATGCACTTGTTCTGGTAGTTGCCAAAAGAACACTCGTCGCAGATGCGGACTAGAGTCGTAGGGCGCACGTAGGAGTCGCACACGGGGCATTTGCCGTCGCATTTGTCACACAGTCGACCGATAGAGATGCCAGGTTGCTTGCGGCACATAACAAGATCGGGGTGATGGCGCGACATGTTGCTAGGTTGCTGTGGCTGTTGAAAGGAGAGAAATATAAAGGAGGGCGAAGAAGAAGGGAATATAAGCGATCAAGTATGGCAAGAAGCTGATTATAAATGGCCTTGAGGTGAGCGATCGAAACCGTTGGAAAGCGAGCGTGAGAGGAGAAAAGAAGTCCGGCCAGGAACGGGAACAGTGACCTTTTTAGCCAGCCACTTCGGGCAAGTGGTCCGTGCGGAGAGTGCTGCAACTTTGCGGCTCCTTTCGCAATTGCAACACTCGATTGAGTTCGCTACTATTCTTGAAAGGCATCGCATCAGGCGTCTATTTCGCATCTCGAGCTTGTGCTGCAGCTATTCTTGGCAGGTTGAACCAAGTTATCGTTCAACATGGCAGACGGGTATGCGAACAATTTGAGTTCTCTATTGCCAACCCAGTGAGCTAATTGAGAGCTGCTATAGAAACCTCGCGTCCGCAGTGATTGCCCCCGAGCAAGAGTATATCGAACGCTCCCCCGAAGCTGGACTGAAGCGGAGACAGTCGTCAACCACGGAGCTCGACTCAGATACCAAACGCCGCCGTCTCAGTTCTCATGCCGAAACCCAAGAGACTGAATCTAGTACAGCGCAAACACAAATGTCCCCCAAGAGAGTAGAGCAAGACTCGGATCGGAAACGAACCCGTCGCGATGAGGAGCGGAAACGTGGGCAACGGTTATTCGGATCACTACTAGGGACACTATCACAGAGCTCGACTTCGGCCGCGCAACGGCGACGGGCAGACATCGAGCGGAAACAGCAGGATAAACTCAAATTGCAGGATGAGGAGTATGGGGAGCTAAAGAAGAAGAGACGAGAGGAGCGTCTTGCCGTTCGGAGGAAGGAGCAGAAGCTCTATGAGAAGGAAATGGCAAGTACACCCCTCCGGACTCAGCTTGGGTCATGCAGTGTGTTAATGAAGTTGATACGTTTAGATGGAGACTCGGCACGCGAACCTTCTAGCAACAGCTCATTTTCTCAAGACGAAAACTGAGCCTGTGCTGTTCTATAAGCCGTGGCAACTGCGTTCCGAGGACGAAGCCATAATACGAGATCAGGTACGGGAAGCGGAGGCGACGATCGCGAGGGAAGTCGAAGAGTATGAAGCACGTAATGCGCAAGGAGATACGGAGCCGGAGAACAACCCGAACCCGCCCACGGAGACTCCACAGCAAGCACAGACGTCAAACGAGGATATGCAGAAACCGTCTACGTTGCAGACGGCTAACGCCGACGCTGGAGCAAACGGCACCAACCGCGATAAAGACTCTAAAGAAACCAAGCCCGAAAGTCCTCCAGCACCCAATAACGAGGTGCCCGTCAGATCAACCCACGAAGATGACCATCGAGCAGAAGACGACGGAGGAGAAGTCATGGAGGACAACGAAGACACTGTGATCTACTGAGCGAAATACGAGCTATTTCCACCTTCCACGACTTCCGGCCTTTGATCCTTATTTCTACTCTTATGTATGGTTTATGGCGACTCAAATCTCAGAATGTTCTTCCGAACCGCCTTCCAAGAGTGTATGCGAAGGTTAACGAGGGCCGAGGCAACTCGGAGAAATCAGCAGGTGGTCAATCACCTCCGCAAAAAGGATCGGGGGATCAGCTCCAGGGAGCTCTAGGCTAGCTGCTTACTGTAGAATTCTCCTGCCAAAGAATCATCATCTATTTCCCCTCTCCAACACACAGGCCGGCTTCACGTGATGGGAAGGGAGGGGGTGACGTCGACCAGCTCCCTTTAAGAGCAATCAACGTTACAATTACTCACTACTTTCCAGTGTTATCGAAACTTCCTGAATATCTCAGCTCGGAAGATCTGAGCAACTGTGCCTGTCGCGACCATGGCCGTTGACAAGATTACCGTATCTGGGGATCCTCGGATCGAGCAACGCTCCGCATTCGTGCGGGGAAAGACGTATGGTATGAGACTGATTCTTGCTTTTTGCCAACTTTATGCTGTTCGACATTTCGAAGTTTGAGATACTGTTTTATACCGGCCTAAATGGCCCGTCGCAGTAGAAATCTGCTAACGATCTATTCAGGTTACCTATACAGCGCACCTGAGTCGGGGAAGTATAAAGGGACTGTGGTGTTGGTGAGGGCTTCTGGACTCACAAACAACCCAACCCGAAGCTGACTGGGCGAATGCAGCTACATGGTTTCCCCGATCTCTCAATGGGATGGCGATATCAAATACCCGTGTTTGTAAACAAAGGCTATCGGGTCATAGCACCAGATTGCCTTGGATACGGCCGAACGGTATGGACTCAAAGTCAACGCAATTCAGGTACAAAAAGACTGACACAGATCAGGATGCGCCAGCTGACCTCGCTGCGTATTCCCACAGGAATTGCGCCGACGACCTCAAAGAACTAGCTGTGCAACTCGGCGCATCCAAGATCATACTCGGCGGCCATGACTGGTAATATCTCTCCAACCAAGCCTAATGAACCCACATAACAAACTTTCTAGGGGCGCTTACCTCGCCTACCGCGTCGCACTCTGGCATCCAGATCTAGTCGAGTATCTCTTCACCGTGTGCGTTCCCTACAGCGCCCCAAACAAGCGGTACATGTCCATTGAGGAGATGGTCGAAAAGGTCACACCGCACTTTGCCTATCAGCTACATTTCATTAGCGGCGAGCTTGAGGAGGTGGTGCATACCAAAGATGATCACAAGCAGTTCCTTATTACGTTGTATGGTGGGCGAACGGAGAAGAGGGAGTTTGCGTTTGATGTTCACAAGGGTGTGGATTTGGAGCTATTGCGTCGTGTCAGGCCGTCCTGGTTATTGAATGATGATGTTTGTATACACTGTGTTTTTTTTTTTTTTTTTTTTTTTTTTTTTTTTTTTTTTTTTTTTTTTTTTTTTTTTTTTTTTTGCATTTGTTCTGGTTCAACGAAAGGTGGCTTCACTGACATGATCTCCGGCATAGGAACTCGAATACTACGCCTGGGAATTCGCCCGCCACGGCCTGCGTGGACCCTGTATGTCCCCCCCCCACCAACCCCAATACCATCAGACAACATGAAACACAACTAACAAGAACCACAACAGTAAACTGGTACCGCACCCGCAAGATCAACTACGACGATGAGCTGGCCCTTTCCAGCGGTACAATCAAGGTTCCCGTGCTCTTCATTCAGGCGCTCAAGGACGAAGCGCTCCCACCACACCTCGGCAAGGGGATGGCGAAGCATCTGCCGCAGTTGCAGATCAAGCATGTGGATGCCTCGCACTGGGCGCTTTGGGAGAGGCCGAAGGAGGTTAATGAGATTTTGGATGTGTGGGTGGATGAGGTTGTGGCTGGAGGGAGGAGTGCTAAGCTGTGAGTATGTCTGTTAAGAAGGAAGGATAAGCCGTGTATAGGTATATTTGTGATTGTGATGTAAAGTTATATGTATTTTGTTCTGTATAGGGCATGTTGGTGAGTGCTATATATCAAGCATGAATACGAGTTGGGGCACGCTAGGCATCTCATCAAGTCATCCGGATCATAAACGAACAAGTCGTAAAACAAATGAGGCAATGAATATCAATTGTCCAGCACCTGCGTCTCAACTGTGCATCCAACCTTCTCCAGCCGATCAAGATATTCCTGCCCTAAGACGGCCGAGGTAACAATACCGCCTCGAGAGACCCTCTTGACCTTCTCCTCATTCTCCACAATCACCATCGCCGCTTCAGCCAGCAACAAGCCCGTGAAGATGTACATCGACCCCTCGAACTTCAGCTTACCAAGGACACGCTTGGACGTGTTCTGGTCCGGCGTCGCAATCGCACGGTACTCGCAGCGGTCATTCCGGCCGCTCTCCTCGGTTGGTCCGCTACCGGGGGCGTAGATGACCTTCTTCACCAGCCAGCGGACAGGGGCAAAGAGCAAGAAGGACGTCCCGAAGAGAAATGCGAAGCGGAAGAGAATTCCAACCAAGGTGTTGCGGACACGCAGGAATTGGCGGAAGTAGAAACGCGGCCCGTAGAATTCGCGCATCAGCGTGCTGCTTCGGTGGACGGTGGTGATGTCGCAGAAATCTGTTGGAGACTTGGTGAGCGTGCCTAAGTCGCGGATGGTTCGGACACCCAGGACCCGTGCCATGATGGGCTCGGGGGGAATGTTTGGTGTTGGTGTAGAAGCTGCGAGGGAGAAAGGCTTTGTTGAGGCGAGGAGGTGGGCTTTTGAGAAGTTCTCGATACACGTGAGAATGGTGCTGAGGGTACCACCGCTTGCGCCGGACGATCTGCCGGGGTTAGTGAGGCTTGGTCAAAGGGCGATGCTCGGAGACGGCATACTTGAAGTCATAGATTGCACCGGTAATTTCCCGTGTATGGCAGGATAGTTTCTCGCGAACTTCCTTCACGACGCCCCAGGCCAGCATATCTGCGGGAGCACTTTCTACTCCGACAGAATGGATAATCTGCGCCAGGTCAGATAATAGCCGTGGTTATGTACCAGGGACACGTACAATAGCACCATTTGACTTGGCGGTCTCGTGGTACTTTTCAATCGTCTGCTTGACCCAAGGGGTTTCTCCAGTTCTACATCAGGGGTTAGCGAGGATACAGCCCATTGAATACCGCATTGACGTACGCATCAAGGTAATGAGTCCCGGTAAGAGCGCACGCCTCAACCACCGGTGTAGAGTATAAATGGTACGGGCCAACAGCGTTGATAAGGACCTTGGTTCTCTCAGCCAAAGCCTTCAACTCGGTTTTGTTGAGTTGGACAGCGAGAATCTCTATAGGCGCATTAACAGTGACATACAAAATTTGGTCTCACGAGTAGTACCTGGTTCGGCGCGATCAGGATTGAGCTTCTTCAATCCCTCAGCAACCCCCTCGATCTTCTGCGGAGATCGTCCTGCTAGCGCCCATTTCAAGTTCGTGGGTAGATACTTGACGATATGTTCTGAGCAGAGCTTCCCGGTATACCCTGTGGGACCGAGGACCACAATGTCGAATTCCCTGCCGGCCTGCATCGTGGATGCTTGTACGATGCTCTTGGCGAATCAGGAGCTTTGTTGATGTCGACCGGGAGACAAACGCCTACGTCTGTTGAGTGTATACCTAGGTATAGATATATGCGAGGACAGCTTGATACGTCAAGCAGAGCTCATAGCCTTGGCAATGGGCAATGAGCAATGTTCAAAGTAAGTGTCTTAATGGAGAAATCAGGACTTGCAGGTGAACGACCTTGGACCGCGGCTCATGCTTCATATCAGTTGGTAGACATCATTGTTACATAATCTATGCAGGCACCATCTCATTTATCCGTGCATAATGTTCATTTCAGGTGCTAACTTCGAAAAGCTAAGGGAATTCCTCGGCCAGCACCAGTTGACCCCGCTCGGTGAATTCCTAGGCCTCGAGGACATGAGCTATGTGGTATTTAATGCAAGGAAATGTCTCTCAAGCCACCAAGTAAAGTTCTATATAAAGCTCTGTCGGACTCGAGGGGCTGGTGTTGGACTAAAATCTGATCTGGAGATCTCGATTCTTGGCGTATTACATAATTTTCTGCCTTAGGATCCCATCGATCTACTCCGTATAGTCGAACAGCTGCACACAAGAGACATATTCAGTGCATAAAAACTGCGTAAAATGTTTTGTGAGATAGATGAAAAGAGACAATGAATCGCTTTCTGCTTTAGGTTTCTATTCATTCCCGACTGTAAAGCATCAGACACTGGCGAAGCTATATCGTTGAGCTTTGATCACATGACCGCCAAGGCTGAGCCCTACTGTGAGTAGGGTAAGCGAGCCCGTTCCCACAACTGGTCGTCCCTTGAAAGCCGCAGTCTCGATTTCGACTTCCCGCACTGTATCCATCTTCGATCTCAACAGCCGCACACAGACAAGATGACGAAGCGCACTAAGAGTGAGTATAACGCGATCCGTCCATGGACTCTGGATTATGGCAAAAATGAAGAATAAAAGCTAACTGGATTCGCAGAGGTCGGTATCACCGGTAAATATGGTACCAGGTATGCTTTCCAGTTCTCTTCCGCAAACACGGTCAAGACATCGAATACAATTCGACTGCGACTTTCCACGGAAACGGCGATATTCGATGATTGAGCGATCGAGGATGCGAGCGATTGGACGTTTTTCTGACATGTTTCGACGATAGATACGGTGCCTCCCTGCGTAAGCAGGTGAAGAAGATGGAAGTCTCGCAGCACGCCCGCTACATCTGCACCTTCTGCGGAAAGAACACCGTCAAGCGCCAGGCTGTTGGCATCTGGGAGTGCAAGGGCTGCAAGAAGACCGTCGCCGGTGGTGCCTACACCGTCTCGTAAGTCGAATGGCACTCTCTCTCTGCTGGGAACGACCTACTTTGCACCGGCAACATGTGCACAACAAAAGACTAACTCGCTGGACGCACTCTAGTACCCCGGCTGCCGCTGCTACCCGCTCCACCATCCGTCGTCTCAGAGAAATCGCGGAGGTCTAAATGTGATATGGGATTCCTTTTTGTTCACGTTAATCAAAAAATGAGACAAATTCAAAATTCGGATTGTCATGAGCACGTCCTCGTCACGAATATCCTATTCGGTGTTGATAGCGTCGTCTGCGTCATCGAACACACTTTTACCACATAGACATGAATACCACCGAAAATTCCAGATCAGTCAACTTCTAGTTCACATATTTCATCGATATCTTGCACCGATATCTGACTTTTGGCGATATCAAATTTGGCGCTTATCATATTCTCTGATAATGGGGACGAATGCCCTGACCTGACAGCACGTGAGGACCACGGGGGCCAAAGCAAGTACTCACTGCTAGGTACCCATTTACTTCCAAGGTCAAGGGCGAGGATAGTCGCGAGTGCCCAATAGTCTGAAACGAAATATGCAGCTGACTGTCTTTTTTATCTCCTTCCAAATATTTCTGCAATTATTTATCTTACTAGTAGGTTTGCACGTTTCGCCGACTCGGGAACGGGCGATATACCGACACTGTCTCCTCAATTCCATCATCTTTTCCAGCACGATCTCTTCCAACAGTCTCCCGAGCACCAGCTAAAGAGAGGGGTCAATCCTTTTCGAGCGCGCTGCAGGAACATCCTCTCCCTGGCCGCCTACAGGGCCAAGCGGGATCTGGAGGGCCGTGATTCGCCTTGCGTCGGGAAGGTCACGTTGGCAGCCAGACTGCTTTGCGTTAGACCGGACCTTCAAAAGGCGGCGCTGCGGTTTCTCCACCACATCTCTCGTCTACTACTCCCTCTCTCTTCCTCCCTTCTCTCTTCACCCTCCATCCTCCACCCTCGTTATATAAGTAGCTGTTCTTCATGCCTTCTCCCAGCTCCCCTATACACAGCTCTTCAACATCTTCGTCCGTTAATGTCCGACACCTGTATTGTGTGCTTAGGAGACCTTGGCGAAAGCGCCAGTGATCCTCTTGCCGTCTCCGCCATCCCGGCGCCAAGACCCGACCTTGAACATGATGGCAAGGCGTCTGATAACACCATTAAGCCAGGAGGCTTTGACGACAATGAGGACACAAGTCTCATCGCTCAGCTGCTACCATGTGGCCACATCCTTCACAACAACTGCCTGAAACCCTGGGTGGAACGAGCCAACAGTTGTCCGATATGCCGCCGCAGCTTCAATATAGTGGAGCTTAGTGACCGGGTAGGAGGTAGGCCACCATTTTTCTCTCTCCAATTTATTGTCGGCTACATTTATGTTGCACGCTTATTTCTTCGTCTGAGTGTATGCTAACATGTTTCCCACTATTAGGCCCCGTCCTTTCGTCCTACGGCGTGGAGGACCGAGTCCAGGTTGCAGATGTCGACCCATCTATGGTGATCGAGTATATAGACGAGGATCCGGCCGACTTCCAGCCCTGTCCTATATGCGGCGACGCCGAGAATGAAGACCTCCTTCTTCTCTGCGATGGCTGCGATGTCCCTACACATACCTATTGCATTGGGCTAGATGAGGTGCCAGCGGGACCCTGGTACTGTTCTCGTTGTGAGACCCAACGTCCCATAGCGCCCACTTCTGATGGGGTTGATAGACCCTCGAGAGCCCAGGATCGACAAGGCCACCGCACCAGGGCGCAACAGCGCAGAGTCCAGAGCAGGAACCAGATCAATTCGCTCCATTGGGCTCGTGTGTGGCAATCCGTATGGGATCACCTCAATCTGGATCTAGATTTCCCCTTCAACGATGATCGAGCTGTCGAGCTCGCTATGCAGCAGCAGCGTCGGGAATTAGCAAATCAAAGAGAGTTTCGCGCTTGGCAGCGTCGTTTTGAGGTCGCAGAGAGGCAGGGCGGCAGCAATCGATTTAGAGACACTGCTGCTTTGCTGGACATCGAGGCACCCCGACCGTCGCGGCCTCGAGTACCAAGGGAGCCAACGCCTGAACCTGAGTCTCTTGAGGAGATGCGGGCATGGAATGCATTTGAGCGCGCTCGTGAGATTGAAAACGACCCAAGCGCAGCAAGGAAACGGAAGGAGCCTACCCTATCTCCTTCACCCGAGCCTTCTGAACCGCAACGGAAGTTGAAACGACCTCGAACCCGCAGGGCGCAGGACTTGGCCGCCTTGGCTCTGCAAAATGGCGAGTCTTCAAGGGCTGCTACTGCCCAAGTAACTGCTCGGATCAACGCTGATAATGCGGCTGAACCAAGTTTTCTCTCGTCCCTTTTGAAGGAAGTTGAAGACGCGTCAACGCCACCAAGTGTACACTCACTTGGGCCTTCGGCTCAAGCCTCGGCTGCTCTTTCCGAACACAATACACCTGGTCCTTCGTCTCCATCTCTCTCCCCCGTGACCTCAAACCAGTCTTCTCCTCGGTTATCCTCTGCAACCCCACCACCATTCATCCGCAGCAGGCCAATATCCCCAATGCAACTCACACCACCTGACGAGCCTTCATCTCCCGCCTTTTCACCCGATGTCTCACCAGCTGGGCCCCAGACCGAGACTCGTGACGAATCACCATCGCGTCCGGCCATCCGACTTCGGCGAATTCCTCGTGCAGCATATATTGCTCGAACGGCGCGGTCAAACGAAAGTTCTCCAACGCGCGCAGGGCTATCCCTGGCAGTCAAATCCGACATCCAAAGATTAGTCGGAGCGGCCTTGAAACCGTACTATCGAACAAAGGTCGTCTCCAAGGACGAGTATACCGACATCAATAGAACCATTTCTCGAAAACTATACGACCGTGTTCTAGGTCTCGAGTCGCTAGAGCCGACCACGAAAGCGCGTTTAGAGAGCACAGCCAAGGAGGAGGTGCAGAAGGCGATTGATGCTCTGAAACAACACAGCAAGGGAAAAAAGGTTACCGGTTCCTCTGATGACAGCTCCTAATATATGACTTTCATGTAGCATATATCGGCGTTTTCTAGCGACTTTTTGCTTCGTTTCTTAAGAGGTGGTGGGCGATTACATATCTACTCTGGCGTTGGTTGTATTCTATCTTGCATTGTTCCTATGGAAAGAGCGGCAGGCGTATACTGGTTCTGGCTCCATACTCATGATGATGATCTACGGCATTTTGCTTTGTTATATTAGTTGTCATGGCTCATGAGCATCTTTACAATGATACTTAGAAGGCCACCTTTGCCGGTGGTCGCAATGCCGACTCGCCGATCGGTATTCCGAGATTCCGGTCTGAGATGCTCGTTGCAAGTTAACTATAGCCGTAAGCTGCAAAAGCGGGCCGTGGCTAGGGTCAGTGGTTACCATACTCTAATAGGTCTCACAGCAGAAGCAGTTCAGTGAGGGAATGTGCCCGGGCCCTGGGGCCCGATCTCTCTAACTGCGGATCTACCTTGGTAGAATCCTAAAGCTCTAGATGCCTGACACTAGTGGCTTTGATCCAGGCTTCTACATGATTCTCGAAGCTCGCGGAGAAGGATTTGGTGGATAGCACCAGGGAAAGGGGACACTTCGGGGTCGGAATCCCCGCGCCGACAGCGAGGCACATCAGGATTAGTTCAGGACCAGGATTGCTCAGTGTTCCTGCCCAGATGAATGACCAGCTGAAAGTGAAATTATGGTACGTGACGTCCTGTAGGGAAACAGCGCAACAGAGGCTCTTATCCGACGAACAATCCATGGGTATTTGGCCAGAATGTTGACGATGACTTCACCATGAGCTTCACATCTCGGTAGCTGAAGCTTTGAGGACTCCCGAGTAAGGACCCACGAGGCACCGCAAGGCCATGGATTTGCTCACAGCTAAGACTGGAAAGTGGGCTTTGCTTGCAGAAAATTTTACCCCCCGGCCAATGGTTTCTACCTGATACATCATGCCTCCGATTCCTAAGCGTATCTCCGAAGCACGTTTGGCGGCATGAGTCAAGATGTCGTCTACGGAGTACTAGTCTATTGGGATTTGGTAGGGAATCGGATAACCGGCATAATCGCATAACGCCATCCAGGCCGATGAGCATGTCGCAAGGGCGCATTCGCGCAGGATGTGTTCTGTCAGCCTCGCGATTCGGTATCAGCGAGGAGTTCGGATCGGAGATAAAAACGGACTATCGGGGTGGGAATTATACCCAATGTCGTTTCGACGGCCATGCGATGGAGTTCGCCCCTTCTGAGATATGGTGGAATTATAAATCCAGATTCTTGATGGCCCACTTGTTGATGGTCTATGGACGTAGTATAATAATGGCTTGGTGCAATTTTTTCTCCCCCTTCACTATCTACAGAGCTTAGTTGTTTCTTACCTTCAAGGTTTGGGAGGGTTGTTGAACATACCTTCCAGCTTAAAACACATATTTCCCCCATTATACGTCCTCTCCGAGCCAGTAACACAACGAGGACGATGAGCGAGACGAACAGCCGCCGCTCTGGCCACGGAAATGGGCTTGAGCTGCCCTCATCTGGAACCACTTTGCGATCAGAATCTCTTTCTAGTTTAGGAGAGGCAGAGAAAGCCTCACAGCCATCGCCGAATCGGGACATGGAGAAAGAAGAAGAGGCTCTTGATCTTGAAAGTGGCGACGGCGCGCAACACCAACAACCACCCAAAGAAGAAGCGCCGAAGGAACCGAATCTTGTCGATTGGGACGGGCCAGATGATCCCGAAAACCCCATGAACATGCCGCATTGGAAGAAGTGGCTTATCACAATGACCATGTCATCGATGACAATGTGGCTCACGTTTGCGAGCAGTGTGTTCTCCACAGCGACGAGAGTTACAGCACAGCAGTTCAACGTGTCGACCGAGGTCATGATTCTCGCAACGAGTCTGGTTGTGTTTGGTTTCGCTTTGGGTCCTCTAATGTGGTCGCCGCTATCCGAGCTTTACGGAAGGAAATATCCGCTGTTCGCCGGATACGCCTTGTTTGCGATATTTCAGATTCCCGTGGCTGTTGCGAAGAACGTCCAGACTATCCTCGTATGTCGATTCTTGATGGGGCTTCTCGGTTGCTCTCCCCTCGCAGTTGTGGGAGGCGCCATGGCAGATTTCTGGGATCCAGTCGATCGTGCAATAGCAATCGCCATGTTTTCTGCTGCCACATTCGTTGGTCCCGTCCTCGGTCCGATCGTTGGTGGCTTCCTGACGGATTCGTACCTTGGATGGCGCTGGACGGCTTGGATTACGTTGATTGCATCCGGATCGTTCGGTACGATTGCCTGGTTCATTGTTCCCGAAACCTATCATCCTGTTCTTCTGAAGAGACGCGCCGCTCGTCTTCGCCGCGAAACAGGTAACGAAGCTCTTCATGCATTCCTCGACAACCACAAGCCAACCCTATCCGATATTGTTCGCAAGTACCTTTTCCGACCCGTTCAGATGCTCTTCCTAGAGCCCATTCTCATCCTCATCACACTCTACCTGGCGTTGGTTTATGGAATCCTTTACCTGTTTTTCGAAGCCTACCCGGTCTCCTTCCAGGAGGTTCGCGGGTGGACCAATGGAGGCGTGGCCGGTCTTCCTTTCCTAGGCATCATGATTGGAGTTCTCTGTGGCGTTGCCCTGATCATTTGGCAAACAAAGACTCGTTTCGCTCGGAAATTGGCGAAGCACGGCCGTGTTGTCCCCGAGGAACGTCTGATCCCCATGATGATTGCATCTGTCCTATTGCCCGCAGGGCTCTTTTGGTTCGGCTGGACGTCTGACAAGAACATTCACTGGGCGCCTCAAGTCATTGCTGGTATCCCAATCGGCATGGGTATCCTGGTCATCTTCATGCAAGGCCTCAATTACATCATCGATGTCTATCTCATGTTTGCCAACTCTGCCATCGCCGCCAACACTCTGATACGCTCATCCGTAGGTGCTAGTTTCCCTCTGTTTTCGATGCAGATGTACCATAAACTTGGTGTGGATTGGGCGTCCAGTCTGCTTGGGTTCCTCACCGTTGCTATGATACCCATCCCGATTCTCTTCTTCATCTATGGCAAGAAGATCCGGGCCATGAGCAAGTTCTCGCCTAAGTTTTAGGCTCTGATTTCTGGTTCTTGTTAGCATTGACAGCGTTGTCCAAAAGCACATGGTATTGCTCACTGCATCATAACTGCATTGCATCAAGCGTTCGGTAGATTCGGCAGATATATGTAATCATAATCAAACTGGAAAAATATCAAAATTAATCTGAACATTCGATTCTCAAGATTGAACCAGCAGTACGGAGTAGAACGGAAAGAAAAGTGGATGGCGGCGAGTAAGACACGCGACGCGTCTGCGGAGGCGGTCAACGCTGGATTTCCCTTTCAGGCGGAGTTGATTTGATCCCAAGACGAGACGCTTTCCCCATTGCACCTGCCCATCTCTTTCCGTTTCAATCCAGTCAAGTCAATCCCTTGTCTCACTGGGAGACGACGCTCGGCTCTATTCACTCAGTCGTCGCCTTCCGTTCCTCATCCGCGCATGGTGCCCTGAAAGCCTGCAAGCCCCTTCTCCCCTCGGCTTCCCCGCGCTTCGTCACGATGCCTGCGCGCACTCGTCGAGGCCCCTCCGTCGCCACGGAGGCCGTGGAGCCTGAAGAGCCCTCTGGCGGTCTTCGCCGCCTCAAATTCAATGAACCGCTCTCATGGCGCGTCGGACGCTCCGCCATCCCCATCGCGGACCTGCTACAGCGCTTGCAGACCCTGGCGCAAGAATTGCGCAAGTTCGAACAGGAAGAGATCGAGAAAGAGTCTCTTCAGAAAGTTTCGCAGGAGCTGGCTACGGCGCAACTCCTAGGACATAAGGATAGAGGCGTTCGAGCCTGGGCAACATGTTGCATCGTGGATGTGTTACGTCTCTGTGCGCCTGACGCGCCTTTCACGGCGAACCAGCTCAAGGTGTGATTCCCTCATTCTCGCGTTTTAGGCTTTATTAATGCTTTGTTATCGCGACTAATAAATCCCTGGACATCCAGGATATCTTTACTTGCATAGTAACGTCAATCATACCCTCATTAGGGGACCCTTCGAATCCGTACAATGCGCAACATATCTACGTTTTGAATTCGCTAGCGGAGGTCAAGAGCGTTGTTCTTATGACTGACCTAGATCATCCGGATACACTGATCGTTCCGCTATTCACGAGCTGTTTCGATATTGTCGCTGGCTCCGCCAAAGCCTCGACTGGAGAACCAGTCGCCAAGAATGTTGAATATGACATGACTCGCCTCCTGGTGACTGTTATCGATGAGTCGCCGGTTCTCGCGCCTGATGTGGTGGATGTGATAGTAGCACAATTTTTGCGCATTGATCCCCGCGTCCTGGAAAGCTCAGGGAGAAAAGGCAAGAAGACAGAGGCCCAGGTGGACGAGAAGCAAGAGACGCTGCTTCTCAAAGACTACCCACCTGCTTATAACATGGCTAAAGCAATCTGCCAGGCCTGTCCAGAGAGAATGACTAGCCATATCAGTCAGTATTTCAACAACGTTATCATTGATGCCTCCGCGACTGGTGAGGCCGCCTCATCAAGAACTTCACATCGCAAGCCTAACCTCGACGATTCAGACGATGAGGGCGAAGACATCAAGGAGTTGAACAAAGCACATCGTTTGATTCGGGAACTTTGGAGAGCGTGTCCCGATGTCTTACAAAATGTGATCCCGCAACTTGAAGCGGAACTCTCCGCAGAGTCGGTATCTCTGCGCTTGCTAGCAACACAGACTATTGGCGATTTGACTTCCGGCACTGGAATTGCTGGCCTACCTCCTTCCCCACCTATGGACCCTTCTGCCTATCCGCAAGTGACGTTAGACGAATACGCGCAATCGATCCCGCAACCTTCTGTTCTCCTTATGGCCTTTGCTCCCAAGCCGTTCTCGCAAACACATAGCTCTGCGTATGAGAGCTTCCTGAGCCGTCGTCTAGACAAATCGGCTTCTGTGAGAGCTTCATGGGCTACCGCTGTGGGTCGGATTGTTCTGACCTCTGCGGGTGGCTCGGGATTGAGTGACAATGAGGAGCAAACTCTCATAAAACATCTAGCGTCAATGCTTCGGGATGCTGATGAGAAAGTTCGTTTGGCAGCTGTTGATGCAGTTGGCAGCTTCGGACTGTCCCACATTGTGAACAAGCTAGGAGTCAGCGGTGGTTTCTTGACGCAGGATTCACTCCTCTTCATCCTTGCAGAGCGCGTTAAAGATCGCAAGCCTCAGGTTCGCGAGCATGCTATGAAGATCATCGCTCGAGCTTGGGCGGTCGCATCCGGTGAGATTGAGCAGGAAAATGAGCAGGTATCCTTACTGTTGAAGGACGGACCCTCGAAGATTTTCGATGCGTTTTACACCAACGACCTAGATATCCACGTGTGCATCGACCGTGTTCTATTCGAAGTTCTCCTTCCGCTCGGTTATCCTCCCATTAAGCCTAAGTTATCCCGAGGTGGTTCAAGCCAGTCTCAAAAATTGAAGGATTCCCAATCGTCGGAGCCAGAGAATGAAGCCGACGTTGACAAGATCCGTGTCCGCCGCATACTCACTCTACTACGGGGGTTGGATGATAAGGCTAAGAAAGTCTTCTTCGCCATACAGGCCCGGCAGATATCCATGAGAACGCTCATGACAATTTTCCTACAGGCTTGTGAGGAATACAACGGTGGTGTCATGGAGAAGAACAAAGACCAAATCAAGGCTCAACTAACCAAAGTAATCGATACGCTGGCGAAGACGTTCCCCGATCCTGCGAGGACATCGGCCGATCTATGGAAATTTGCAAAGATTCATGACCGACGAAGCTACCAATTAGTCCGCTTTGCCATGGCGGCTGTCAGTGACTATCGCACCGTCACCAAAGCTACCAAAGAACTTACAAGACGGATACAGTCCAGCAACAGCACAATCCTACACGAGACACTGACACCGTTGTTGTATCGCTGCAGTTCGATTGTCTTCAACCGAAGCCATATCCCTGCAATCATGAGCTTGTCACGGTCAGATGAACATGGTCTAGCAAACCCTGCACATGAGATGCTACGGGAGATCTCGTCGCGCAACCCCGAGGTTTTGGAGGCCCAGGTCCAAGAGATGTGTAAAGATCTCGAAGCCCAGGCCCCTAAGTCCGCCACAGCCAATGCTGCTGGTACCGAGGAAATCCTCAAAGCTTGCTCTGGCTTTGCTAAGAAATTGCCCTCTAAGTTACCTAAGGAGCGTAAATTCTTCCAAGCACTTGTTGACTATGCCCTCCACAGCCGGTCACCCAGGGCTGCCAAGCATGCAGTCTTTATTCTTATGGCTGTGGCCGATAAGAAGGAAATGTATGCCAGAGATCTCGTGCAAAAATGCATTTCCAAATGCACTTACGGCTCTGACCGGTTCCTCACCAAGCTAGCCACTTTGTCACAACTATGCCTCCTGGCTCCCCGCGTGGTTGACGACCAGTTTGATGCTATCTTCAAGATCGCCGCCAGCGATATCTTGCCAAAGAACCGATCACCGGCCCCGAATTCAGAGTATTCGTGGTCAGATGAGGTCGACGAGGAGACTGCTGCCAAAGAATGGGCTCTCAAAATCATTGTCAATCGTGTGCGGGCCAAAGATGGCTCCGCCGGTGACGACAGTTTCCGCGCTCTTGCACAGCCAGTTTATGATACCCTGAATAAACTTATTGTCAACTCGGGCGAGTTATCGGAGAAGCAGAATACTCCAGCGACGCAGAAATCCCGATTACGGCTCTTGGCTGCCAACTCAATGCTGAAACTTTGCGCCTCGCACACTCTATGTGACCAGTTACTCACCCCCAAGGATTTCAACTCGATAGCTCTTGTCGCTCAGGACCCAGTTCCAGAAGTGAGGAGCGGTTTCATCAACCAGCTGAAGAAAAAGCTTGTTCAGAACACTCGTCTGAGCCACCGGTGGTATGTCGTACCGTTCTTGCTTGCATTCGAACCTCAAGTCGGATTGAAAGAGACTACCTTGACCTGGTTGCGATCTCGAGCCGCATTTTTCGCTCAACAAACGAACGGCAGCAAGGGCGAGAAGCAAACTGTCATGGAGGCCTTGTTCTCACGTCTTTTGTCGTTGCTTGCGTATCACCCCGACTATCCGCCAGCCGACCTGGACGAGGCCACAAAGCTAGACGACTTGGCGGACTTCGCACGCTACATTCTATTTTACCTAACTGCAGTAGCTAACGAACATAACCTTTCACTCATTTTCCATATCGCACAGCGTGTCAAGCAGACGCGGGACGGTATCACCAAATCCGACGCGATATCTTTCCGCCTCCACACGCTTTCTGATCTAGCACAGGCAACAATTCGACGATTTGCAGACATCTACTCCCAACAGCGCAGGTTCGGTGGGGGAGCTGGTGGTGTCAATATTCTCCAAACATACCCCGGAAAGATGGGTGTTCCCAGCTCCATCTTCGCTCCAATGGGCAGTCATCGAGAGGCACAGGAAGTTGCAGACAAAAACTTCATCTCGGAAGATGCGGAGGATCGTCTCGACCGGATTGTACGGTCCGTCATGCGGGCGAAGAGCGGGTCAACCAGCCAGGGTGCCCAAAAGAAGCGAAAGACTGATGGTACCCACGAGAGTAATCGGGAAAGTATCGCAAGCAAGAAAATCAAGAAGGAAAAGGAGAGTTCCACCAGGCGCAAATCCTCCTCATCTGCGGCTGCTTCTAAAACACCCAAGCGCAAGAAGAAGACCGAAGACGACTGGTCCTCTGATGGCGGCGAAGTGGCTGAAGGGATCTCCGCCTCTGCTCGGAGACGTAGTAACAGGGGCGCCTCTCGACGAGTCAGTTACGCGGACCGTGATAGTGACGATGACGACATCGAAATGGATGAATGGAACCAGGCCCAAGATGATAAGAATGAAGAGGCTAAGAGGGCCAAGGACGAGTCCGATGAGAGTGAACTCAGTGAAGCCGATAGCGACATACTAGAGGAAAATGAGAAAGGATCAGAAAAAGAAAGCGAGCCTGACGAGGAGCAAAACGGCGAGTCCCCGGCTCCCGCAGCGAAGACGAAGTCCAAAGGCAAACGACCAGAAAAGGCATCTGCACCAGCCCCAACAACCACGACTCTTCCCACAAGGCGATCATCTCGACGGGGGTGATTCCGACATGACATGCCTCTCCTAACCTCCCTTCCCTCCAACTGTTTGTACATTCAAGTGAATTCCATGTCAATCTGTGTGTCATATGCTCTCATGTCTGTGTCAATGTTAATTTCGATCAGTTGAAGTCCAACTATTCAATCTCCCGATCTTCTTATCGTTTATTCGTCCTTCTATGAAGCCAAGTCTTCCTCCCGCTGCCTTCCTTAAGGGAATTGGCGTTTTATGTTTTCTGTCATCTTTATCTCTAAACTCTTTGGCGCCCATGCTGTTATGTCTTATGCTTCAAATGCTCGGACATAGTTGCTTCACTTATCTCCATGCTCCTTTCAAGTCGAAGGCGCTGCTGTCTTTCCTTTTTTCTTTATATGCTGAATTCTTAAGCTTTTTTCTAAATTTGAGTATGTATACCCGGTTCATTTAGCTAGTCCTTCCTCTTCCTTTCTATCATTCTCGATCTGTAGGACTGCAAGTACCACCACCACTAGCTCACTGTGCCTAGTATCTAAGGCAGGAATGGAGGGCAGTCCTTCAGGCGCACCATCCTCAAATGGACTTCTGTATCAACCAGCTACACGGCAGGCGCGATCGAGGTCGAGTCGGCGAGCCGGACTACGCTCCTTCCTCGTTAAGTTCTAACCATTCTTTGGTCTGCTTAACAGTACTATCAGAGGAGAACAACCTGATAGTACTATAAGACGACTCCTAATGTAAGAGGATGTAGTACAAAATTCCATTCCATATGCCAGCCAGTATATTCAAGGAACGACATAAGTACGGGTAGTCGCCTAACCTAGTGTAGTTACGCCGAGCATGATACAGAATGGCAAGGAGACAGCTAACCAGGAGACTTGGAATAGACGGAAGAACAAAGCACCAGAATAGTAAGTAATAGTAGGTATTCAACACTGAACGGGGCCACTGATTCGCTAAAATCATATACACCAAAACGCAGATGCGGGTAGTGATTCAGAAAAGTGCAACATGACATGCTTAAAGAATACAGATTTTGCAGAACCGAACCAAGGTGGAGGGGAAGAGTCAAGCACTCGATAAATGAGTTCGAGATGTGGAAGTATTTATTGAGAGGGTGGTGGCGGGTTGCCTCCAGCGGCAGCAGCAGCTTTCGTAACCCGCTCTTCCACGCGTTCTTTGTGCTGACGGTTCCGCAAATGAACCTCGAAGTTGTCCACCGTCGTGGCTGGACCGGGGGTATAAAGTTTCCCTGGGCAATCGTGGCACCGGATACGGGGGAGATATAGGTACTTCAACTTCAGACCTGGTTGAGCGTTGGCGTTGGCTACGGGTTGCATGGTTTCCGTATCAACAGCTGTGTAACGCATCACTGCCTCGAACGAGTCGTTGGGATTCAACCGTTTGAGTCGAGCGAGCCCAGCTACAAGCCAAGTCGGGGGCGAGGGCTAGTTCAGATATCATTAGTATGCTGTTTTTGGTTCAGCGATATCCTCTATCATTTACGTACCCCGGGGACACCTGGCTGAGGAGGATTGGGAGCGTCTACCGCCCCAAGATGCTGGATGGGACCTGGGCGACCGGAGCCGGATATTCGTGTTTGTTGGGGGTTTTGCGAGGGAATAGGAGTTGAGTTGAGCGTCGGTGTGTTCACCTGCGGTGTGCTGCGCTGAGAGGGAGGTTGAGTGGCGGGAGTCGAGCCTGGAACTGGAATCGTGCGGTTGGGTTTCCAGCCATTGGTGAGGAGTATGCGGAGCCTGTCGTTGGGTATTTTAAGAATAACAACCAGCTTCTCTGGCTCTTCTGGAGTTTCTTCTCGGTAGTCACGCCTGCGAGCCGAGACTCGAGGTTCGTGATGAGGCTCTGGAGTTGCTGACTGACCCAGATTCGCCCGCAGAGCAGCATGTGCAGCGGTAGCTGCTCCTCGCATTCCTCTTGTGCGTGCAGTACCTTGAGCCAAATGTGGCCCAATTGCAGGGGATCCAACCATTGACGATTCGTCGCTGTCCGACTCGTCCGACTCATCACCTCCGTCTCGCAGGCTCACTGCAGCACGGCCGCGACGACTTGAGCCAGATCGCTTGAAAACGTTGCTCTCTTCCAAGGAAGGAGCGGTATTCGGGATGACAGATGATACAAGCAGTGTGCGAATAGTTCGCTGGCGGTCTTTGAGATCCGGCAAGGCTGGACCACCACGGCGATTGACTGAGCGTTTCTGTCGCCGCTGATCTCGTTGGAACGATACCTCTGTCCGCTCAAGATCTGCTTCGTTGAGTTCATAGAGATAAGGCGTGAATTCTTTGGCGGCCTGGAAGGGTCGAAAGGATGAGAGAAGGGGTGTGGGTAGGAATGAGGCTTTCAAGTCTGGGTCATCAACCGGACGTCCGTCAAACGGATGTGAGAGAATATATAGCGATTTGGTGAACAGCTGCGATTGTTCACGGATCGAGTGGGCAATCGCAGTTGTAAACTCGCCGGAGAGAGAGAGATCATTCGTCATTCGTGTCGCGAATTCTTCAGGATTATTGTGAGGATCGTTGATATCCCACTCAAACTGGTCAACAAGAGTATTTTGACCAATTGTAATATTCAGCTTGACCACAATTCGCATTTCATCGTTCTTGTATGCGTTATACGGAAGATGAGGATCGAGCGGTTCCTCCTCTATGTGCAGGTGAGGATAGAAGTCGCACAGTTGCTCTTGTATGCTCTGCGAGATCATTCTCACTAGCGGAGAGCAAGACTCGAGCGGCAGACCCAGATCCTCCACGAGTTTCTCCGCAAACAGATCAGGTGAAACAACATGGTCATGAAGGTTCCATGTGAATGTGTCTCGAATCTTGACCTTTTCCCAGTCGATGTCTAGCCGGATGGGAACTAGGTCTTCAATTTGCTCGCTCTGGGATTTCAAATCTTTTCGTGAAACCCGTAGTTCTCGCGTCTTGCGATTACCGGGGCGGCGTCGGTGAGCGGGGTATAGCAACTGCGGGTTTTGATTGCGCAAGTCGGTACGGGCGTTTCCAAAACCTTCATATCCTACGCCGTACAGCGCAGCAGGATTCATATGGTTCTCTCGGCGTAGGTTCAGATAGTAGTCACGTTCGGCACGTTTTTCTTGCTGAAGCTGTTGGCTCGGGTTCTGCCAAGCGGCTAGAGCAGAATGTCGGAATTCTCGATTGACATATTCTTCCAGTAATATTTTCTCAACCGGTGTCTCTCGTACACGAACAGGCAACGCCGAGCCAGACGGCGGCGCCGGGATGAAGGCGCCGTCTCGAGATCGCTTTTTACTGGAAGCAGCTCCGTTTGCGCTGCCACCCTGCGCATTCGGTGAGTGATTCGCATCGGAGGCCCCGTAGACTGGTTCGGATTGTGGTAATTTCACGCCTGACGCTGCGAGGACGGCTTTCGCGTTCTGCTTCCCTTCGGCGATTGGGTCCGAACCATCTGTCCCCTGTTCCGTCATAAACGCTGCACCAACGTCATTGTCGAAGTCCGCTGCTCCATCCAGCAAGTCTGAGCTGTCATGGGTCGCATCGAATTGCGCGTCAGCCATCCCAGGCTGAGAGGGGTCGGGAAACGCCATTGTTGAGAGTACGTGTCAAGTCGGTGCTTCACTTCCTTCAGAGGCGCACCCGGTGTCACTTGAATGTACAGAAGCCTGACAAGAGAGAGGTGAATAGACTGGTTATGGCAGCATTCTATAGGGAGGCCGATCAGAAGCTATGACAAAGTACGTTAGTCTCAGCGCATGCATTTCCCGCACAATGATCAAATCAGAGACGCGACAGCACAGCTATTGAAATGTCGCAATATGTTGTCATCTGGAAGTAGCGGATTCAAGTCGCCGGGCCATGCTGATGCGATTATCGTCTGCATAGCAACCAAATCTGGCGTCGTAACAGCGTTGGATAAAAGTTGAGGTCCAAAGCCACGTAAAGATACCCAGCGAAGGAAGATGACAACCCCGAGGACGGAGATATGCTGAAGCAGGGAATGGATTGAAGCAAAGACAAATGGGAGCGAAAGAGAATGCGAATCAAGAAGAGAATACTAACCGCAAATTAGAGTATCAAAGCAACGAAGTTCCAGGGCCAAACGAAGCGCTGGATGGGTCTTCGTGCCGGGTCTGGTCTGGGTCTTCGCGAGAGAGCAGCAGCGCCCGGAGAGCAAGCGGCGGAATCAGCTGATGGCGCTCCCGGGACGTATCACGGCACGTCTCTGAGCAAAGCTCCCGGCCTTTTTTCCTCCGAGAAGAAACCTAGCAAAATTTAACTTGAAACGCTGTGTTCAACTTATGGCTTTGGCGTCGCGATGGTCAAGTCGCGTTCGATGACAGCAGGCAGCATTAGCGGAAGGGAAGAGGAAAGGAGGTCGGGAGGTGAAAATGGCTGGAGCGGACACAGAAACGCCCGTTACAAGCGCTTCCCGAGTGAAGGACCAGAAGACAGCTGGATGGGTAGTAGGGGAGGGGGGAGGCAGCCCAAGGAACATGTCTGACAAAGTACGTCCTCAAAAAATCATCCTAGAGTCATTTTGAAGCCTTTCATCACTTCCTTTCACCCCATCTCTCTTCAAAAGAGGAGTTGTCCACTTACCAGTGTTACTGTTATGTGCCTGTAAATTACGGCAATTCATTACATATGACTAATGGCTCACCAGGGTTTTCCTCACTGTCATGTGATGCATGCTATACCATACTTGGGATGGTATATGCGAATTAGGATCTGGTGTGACAGATAATATACTAGCTGAAAGATACAATACACTGATGTATCTTTGTGCGACGATATGGTTTTGAAAGGTACAAACATCTCTTGAAGGAGGCCCGAGTCATGCGTCATGGTATGAAAAAGGAAATATGTCCACTCAAGCCAGATCTGGCCTGACTTGAGAATCATGGCGCAGCACACTCAGCCGCGCAGGAGCGCATCGACCACTACCGCGCGATGGTCCGAGTTGTAGACCCCATCCTCGAATACGTTTTCCAAGACGGCATAGCCCTCGATTTTCCAAGGCAGATCACGACTTTCAGCCCTATTAGCCGGCCCCAAAAGGACATAATCGATGCGTCCAGGCACCAATCCTTCATATCCGAAGCCTGACCAGGTCGTGTGGTAGCCGTAGCGGGCAGCTGGTTTCACGAAGTTGATAGAATCAGCCAGCGACGACTCTGGAGCTGTCAACACCGAGTACGCTTCTTGATTCTCTTGACTGTTCAAATCGCCCGCCAGGAATATGCCGGATATCATATTACCGTACCGCCCATTCCGATATTCCTCGATCTTGCGCAGAATGATGTGGGCCGCTTCGAACCGGGAGCGGGACCCTTGGTCGTCCAAGTGTGTGCTCATCGCCAGGACTGTCTGACGACTAACATGGTGGGTGAAGACGCCAATCGTCACTATGCGAATCGATGCAGCGTCCCAACTCTTGGAGGGAACCTCTGGCGTCTCCGAAAGCCAAACGGTTTCCCAATGCCGAAGTTCCCAGACCGAGGGACGGTAAATTATGGGCGAATATTCACCGGCTTTGTAGCCATCATCGCGGCCAACTCCAATGTAGGCCCAGCTTGGGCTGGATGTGTTGTTTTCATCCTCTGGCGTGCCCGAATTCAAACCGGACAGCACATCGATCAACTGATTATTGAGGACTTCTTGCAGGCATATGAACGAATCCTGGTTGCGTGTGTTATAGAGAAGTTCATTGAGTAGATATGGTGCCCGCTCCTCCCAGGGTCGCTCGCCCTTGAACGGATGAGATGTTGCGTATCGAATGTTGTGTGTCAGAATTCGCAATGGAATACCTGTAGCACTTGTCTTCATCATGTATCAAAATGCTTGTAAGCTTTCAATAGGTATATCTTGTGGTAGATATATTGGGTTATCGACTTGAGGAGGAATGTCAGCTCCAAAGGATCGCCAAAATGCGGAGAAGCGTGACGCAACCCCGTGATGGATTGATCCGAAAGGCGTAAGAAGCCCAGAGCCTTGGAAGGGCGCTTTCTTTCAAACTGGATAACTAGTGGGCTACGTATAAGTCAGTTCGAAATTAGTGCATGTTCAAGTGAAACTACAATATCGTGAAAAACACGGTCAAGCCTGATGCCCTCTATATATATGCAACCGGACCAATCATAGCCCACATGGAGGTACAAACATTTTGTCAAAACACCGACACTGAGAGGGGATTGAGACTGGAAGTGACCCTAAGAGGATTCATTTCAAAGTCAAGAGGGGTTTTTTGGGCACTCAGATAGCCATTGACCGACCTGGCCAGCCGCGTCTGCTTGTGCTTTGTTGACCCCGCTTCTTTGCCCTTGATCAACCTCAGCTAAGAGCGGCTCCCTCACCTCCCTCTTGCCTCATCTTGAAAACGTTTCTGCAGACATAATGCCCTGCTATCCTGACCCTCATACTTATCCCATCAATGGATCCGACCCAGATTAGTTCAAAATGCAAACCCATGTCAATTTTTGCGAACACCAATAGGAATTCAATAGAGCCGCCTATACTGGCAAGTCAACTCCGCGGCGGGCATTGGTCTGTTGCGCGTCAGCTGCATCCATGGATATATTCCCCAAAGACCGAAACCGATAGCTGGAAGTTGTTCCTAGATCAGTTTAATATTATAGATTTTGAGCTGACAGCTCCGCATTCTGCACTTAATCAAACTCGAAGAAGTATGATATGGAGATGATGTCATGTTCTTAGGTCTCTGTCTTCGCCTCGTTCTGTGAGCGATTTTGTACTCCGAAGTAAGCCCCATCAGCACATGGGAGAAAGATCAGTCTGCCCGAGCTGTCAAATCTAGAAGCCGAATCCATGGTACAGTCGGGCACTCCTGGTGGCATTGACTTTTGTCATCGCGACAAGGAGTAAACGGATATGGCGGGGCGGTCTGGTACGTACGGGATGGTAATTGCCTTACAAAGCCCTACTCTGAAGACTGGGCAAAACAGCCCCGCTAAAGCTGTAACCATGATACGTAATTACGTCGTGGTGCACACGACTCCAGCTCTAGTGCGGACGAAGCTATCTGATTTTGCTCCTCCTCCACCTCCTGCTGCTCCGCACGACTGCTGATTCTGAGCCCGTTGACTTCTTCTCTAGTTGCGTTGTTACGAGGAATATCAACTGCTTCATAATGGCCGAAAACCAGACTCCCGAGGTTGGTAAGTGTTGACAGTCTATGCAGTACCCCTCTTCTGTTGCTGTGCGAAAAGCTCCGCGTTTGTGGGTTCCCGCTTGCTTCATCGTCACGGTTTGTGAGACGATCTTCTGCGCAGGACTCGAGATATGACTAGTCTGCGGTCCATGAATCGCTCTCTAGCTTCACAAACCGCCGTCCATGTTTCAACTCTCCTTTCCAAGTTGCAGCTAACCATTCCTCTGGTTGTTTGTAGATTACACCTTGAACAACCCCGATACCCTCACCAAGTACAAGACCGCCGCCGGGATCTCGCATAAGGTCCTTGAAGCCGTCTCAGGTGCGTTTCCCGGGTGTGATATCGCACCTAGCCTCAAAAACGCCAAGTCTAACTCGACCGTCTAGCGCTCTGTGTTGAGGGAGCCAAGATTGTTGAAATTTGCCAACAGGGTGACAAGCTCCTCGATGAAGAGCTTGCCAAGGTCTACAAGGGCAAGAAGATCACAAAGGGTTAGCTATGCGTCTACCTCGACAAGGTTTTACAAATGTACTAACTACGATTCACTGAAAGGTATCGGTCACCCAACGACCGTTTCCCCTAGCTCCTATGTGACCCCGTATACCCCCTTGGTATCGGACGCGCAGGAGGCCGAGACCACCTTGAAAGCCGGCGAGATCGCCAAGATTCAACTCGGTGCCCAGATTGATGGATTCGGTACCATTGTTTGCGACATGGTCGTTGTCGGCGCTTCCGAGGTTACCGGCCGCGAGGCGGACCTCATCCATGCGACTCACTACGCCAATGAGCTGCTTCTTAGACTGATGGTTCCCCCCGGTCTCCTCGCCACTGGAACTGAGGAGGAGAAGAAGAAGGCCACGTCCGAGAAGGCTCCCACCCAAGCTCGCATCACCCAGCTGATTGAGAAGATCGCCAAGACATATGACTGCAACGTCGTCGAGAACACTACCAGCTGGCTTTTCGAGCGCAACGAGATCGAAGCGGAGAAGAAGATTATCATTGCTCCCGGGTCCGGCGTCAAGGGCGAGGGGGTTCCCGATGTTGGTGAGGTCTGGGGTGTTGAGCTTGGTCTCTCCCTTGGATCCGGAAAAGTCAAGAACCTTCCCCACCGTGCCACTCTCCACCGCCGTACCACGACAACATACCAGCTCAAGAGACCCAGCTCTCGCCAAATTCTGTCGGAGGTTGTCAAGAAGTTCGGCCACTTCCCCTTCAGCTTGCGACAACTGGATGACGAGAAGGCCGCCAAGGTCGGTGTCCTGGAGTGTGTTCGCGGAGGTGTCTTGAGGCAGTACGAGCCAGCTGGCGATGCCGACAACGCCCCGGTTTCCCGCCTGCTGACGACCATCGGTGAGTTCTAGCCCCATTCTATCTGGAGACGAGGATATTACGTTGTCAATGCCCACTTCTATTTAGTCATTTTGCTGACAGGTCTTTAGCTATTACCAAGAATGGTATCACCAAGCTAGCAGCTCCTGCCACCCCAGACTTCACCAAGATCAAGTCAGACAAGAAGATCGAGGATGAGGAGATTCTCAAGATCTTGGAACAGCCCCTGTCCAAGTCCTCTGGGTCGAAGAAGAACAAGAACAACAAGAAGAAGGCCAAGAAGGCTGATGAGCCCGCTGACCAGGAGTAAATGCATTTTTTTTATCGAAGACCTCGCTATATGCACCGGACCTCTCTCAAGGTCCTACCTCAGACAGCTGCCTGAGAGACTGTCCTGTGGTTGCTAAACCACTGACACGGCCTGTTAGGACAAGCCGGAGATGGAGAGTTTTCTTACTGTAGGGGATGGGACTGAAGGGTCGACCAGGCCACTGGTTTAGGTTCCTCCTCTCTGTCGATTGGAAATCTTTGTCACATAACCTATACATTCTTAAAAGTCACATGGAAGTCGCACATCAGCAGACACTAGCAGAAGGGGACTGGGTACCACAAGTCTCCTTCTCAACATGATATAACCTAAATGCAATGTAATATTGCTTGTGCCGTGCCAAAACTGCTTTTGCTGAAAGTTTATCTTCTGGCCTCCGCTGTAGGCTTGAGCTTGATGGTTTCTTTGATAAAGGCTCTCAGGGGGTGCCGAAGCGACCTACTCTTGCGTCACGCGCAGACAAGGTTCGATCTCCTTTTGTATAAATGCATGCCATCCAGGTTTAGATATTTCATGCGTCTTCAAAGGGCTCTTGTAGATGGTACCAATGATTTTGGACTATCATGAGTGGACTAACCACGGCTTCTCCTGGAGATGCCTACCTACTCTCTACCTTGACAACTTCGTCTATCCATCTTCAGTAGTTAGAGTACCGTTTAGATGAAGTCCTTGCACGGAGTAACACTTGCTATAATTGGTATGCATCCAGCAGTTAACCTGGGCTTCGGGCATCTGCCCCAAGGGGTTTGCCGCCAACCACGAACATAATAGAGCAGGTCAATCGTAAAAGAGCAGAGTCTCTTCCAAAGAGGTAGCCAAGTCTGTGAAAGAAAAACAGGCCAAACGAAGCGTTGTGGCATTCGGAGTGGTGATTGATGGGCTGGTGATCAGAGGGAGTGTGGGCCAACGAAAAGGCTCGTCTGCCTCTTCGCATCCTCTTTCTCCGGCATCCTCCTTTCCCCTCCACAAAGGACCTGTCACCCTTCCCATCAATCCTAAGATAGCCGGGAATACCTTGCTTACCTTAGTCTGCCTTTACTGTTACAACTCTTTTCCTGGCTTCTTTTCCCCAGCCATCAGCCCATACCTTGTCGTTGGCAGCCCGAAAAAGCTTCTGCTGGCTGTCGCCTATTATCAGCCAGCCCAAGGGGGAATCTGTCACTCTAAACTGTTATCTTGCTGCGACTGGTCTTGCGAAAGGAGGCTTTCCGACTCTTCTCGTAAGATAAGGGCCATAGTGGAAATATCCATTATCGGGTGCTGAAACCCCTACTTTCAATCTTCCTAAGAGCGCCACACAAGACCATTCGCCTGTGCTGTGTTCGCTGAGCAGACCCATCAGTAACACATTGAGCAGCTACTCTGCATACCACTTCCTTCTGCAGCCTTTTCTCTATCTGCCAACATCACCCCCATCATCTTCCGTCTTTCTTTCACTCCCCTGGTTACCTCCGAACTTAAACTCCTGTGCACGGATTCTTGCAAGTGAGACCTGGCCATTGTCCGTCAACAGGACTATCCCACTGGTGACTTCCTGCCAGGCCTTCAAGTACCGGCTCGTCATATTTGAATCTGCGGTGTTTTATCCAAACCCAGTTGCATCCAGTTTTGGCAGACCTGTTCGTCTCGGCCTGAACAAAGAATACCAGCAACTACGCTCATCTTGTCTGCAGGATTATCCTGCTCACATCCCATAGTAAGTCTACGATTTCCGTTGATATATCTGAGGAGAAGCTCCCTATTTGTCTACGCCTGGTGCTTTTGCGTGCCGGGATGCCCTATCGAACTGTGGTCAGATATCTATGGTCTACAGTTGGACGAGCAAACAGGCACTCTGAACCCTTCCTAGCATTGAACAACTCCTGTTAGCAGTCTGGTGCCGCATTTTACATCCTGTTTGAAGCCGACACATGCTTGCTGCATCAAGTTCATCTCACTAAGCGGTTACTGGCTCTCGTGCTGACTTGTACAAGAAGTTCAGTTTTCTTACCGGGCTTCTGAGATTTTATTCTCTTCCTGAAGCCGCAGGATTTCTGATACAGCATTTATATCGCGGTCTTACGTGGTTTGAACACGCTCGTTGTTGCTGCTCGCCTGCATCACTTGGGCAGTAATCTCCGGAGGTGCGGTACGTGAGCATTCGGTAAGACCACATATCCAGGCTATAATCAAAATCTCAACCACTTAAATCTAAGCCATCATTTGATTTAATTCCGAACTCTGACATCTAATCCATTTCATCAGGTTTGAAGGTTCTGGTGGTTGGGATAATTTCCGCGGGGAACCCCTGGGAATTGCTGGGAGGCGTGATTGGGGCTTGGTCCTCGAAAACTCCCGTTACTCGCGACTCCGCAATCTTTCTTCCTTCAACCGCGCGGGCTGGCTACGATTTCAACCAGCCACGCCGGGCACGGTTGCTGAGTTTTTGAAGCCTGTTGATCAGTGAGTTTTCTTCTATCCTAATTACCCAAGAGTAAAAACAGAATTTGTCCAGGCTGTTCTAGGAACTAACCGTATCCGCTCAAGGCTTCGCGACTGTCGTGCCCTGCCTCTGCAACAATGTCAATGCGTTCGAATCTCCGTTCGTCGTCGCACGCAATCTCGAACGATTCCAGGCCGTCAACGCCAGTTCCACCCATGGCCAGCGCGGCTTCCTCTTTCGCAGAATCTACAAGACCACGAAAGCAACGCCGGACTGGCACGACGTCGCGGGTGCCAACCGATCCACTCCAGGACACGCCGGTCTCAAATCACTCGCATTCGGATCAGCCCGAAGAGACCTCAACAAATGGTGTCAACGGTGCACAGCTGCTTGGGCAAGATACGGAATGGACTGAGCCGGAATTGAGGGTTCCTGTCCCAAGTTACAATGACACTCCATGGTCAGCTGTATCAAGTGAAGCAAATCCTGTCCTGTCAACTATGCGCCCACTCGGTGTAAGGCCAACTGGGGCAGACATGCGCAAAGTTGGGTTGGTGCCATCAAAGTCGAGTACTCCCATCATCCCTGCCAAAAAGGATCTGCAGCATGCGCCAAATGGGGACAAACGTGATGACAAGGTACAAACTCCCTTGACTCCTGCCGAGGAACAACCACCCGAAGTGATTCCCCCGAAGCCTACCGTTGAAGAGGATCTTACGTCATTTACCATATTACCCATTCCCGTATCTGAATCTGCCGATGTCGAAAAGCTCAAAGGTGCGATGGAAAATGCCATGCGCTTAGCCTTGGAAGATGAAAATTTGCCGGTTATGAGAGGATTGCGTCGTTTTTGGGACAGATGTGCCGATGACAAGGGCGCATTAGAGATCCTGGATGGAGTCTGCCAGGACACCCCCGCGCCCCCTGAGAAATCTGTCTTTCAGAAGATGATGCGAGATGCCTGGAAGGAAGCGCAGTCAGAGCAGATTGTACTCAGTGAACCGACTACGATAGCTGTCGTGAGAAGGGCGCGCTCAGCAAGTAGCGATTCTTCTTTGTCTACCGCTAAATCTCTCGACGCTGAAACATTCGCGCCTGTGGCACCAATTGCCCGGTCAAAGAAAGGAAAGCAGAACAAGAATGCGGCGCAAAAGAAGAACAAAGTGGAGCGTCGCTCCGCGTTTCCTTCTGGTGGCCTTCAGCGAAAGTTGGCGTCGGGAGCCTCTGAGCTTTCAACCGAAGCTGTTCAGGCAAAGAGGACCCGACTGCAAAGAACTCTCCCAAAAATAGTGCCTTCTGAGAGTGGACTGCGTTCTTCTTTGATCTCTAATTCTCCCTCGAGTCTATCTTCGCCCGGTCCTACTCGGACGAATGCAGTTGCTCCTTCCGTGGAAACGGGAAGGGAACACAGGGGGCGTTCAGAGAGCGTGGCAAGCAGCGATGCCGGTGATAATAGACGTCTTACCCCCTCCCCATCGTACGTATATGCCTATTTGTCCTTTTGATTCTTGTGGCATTGGATTGCTAACCTATTTTAGTGATGACGAACGGCTCGAAAATAACGACTTTTGCCGGAATTGTCACCGCAGCGGGCAGCTTTTGTGCTGCGATGGCTGCGTGAATTCGTTCCACTTCTCCTGCCTGAAGCCACCCTTGGATCCCGCGAACCCGCCAGAAGGCGATTGGTACTGCCCCAAGTGCTCCGTTTCAAGATCTCTGAACACGTTAATGGGGGGCCTGGATAAGGCATCAGGCAAAGATTTTACCTTGCCTTCTCGCATACGAGAATTCTTTGCGGGTGTTAAGACTGGTGATGATGGGAAATTCGAAGAGGTCGCGCCATTACCACGCATAAATCCTCGTGCCGCACGAGGTAGTCGATATGGTCGGTATGACGACCCGTTCTTGTTAAGAACCGTCGATGCAAAGGGGAATCCCATCTTCTGCACCAAGTGTGGACGCACCACCAACGGCCGTCGGCCTATCATCCAATGCGACTATTGCCCTTGCGCTTTTCATATGGATTGCGTTGATCCTCCTTTGGCTGTGCCGCCAACTCAGCGGCCTGGTAGCGACCGCCTTCACCACAACTGGATGTGTCCAAACCATGTCTTGCACGATCTGTACCACGTCTTCAGGGACGACGAAGGTCACGAGATCATGAAACGAATTAGACGCCCTAAGAATCCTCGCTATGTCGATATTGAGGTTCTCCCAGACGAGGATGAAGAAGAAAACCTCGAGGATCAAGAAACAGAAGGCGTCACATATCGTGTCTCGGAGAAGGGTGTCAAGCTTGACTTTATTGAGAGAGTTAAAAGGTCAGTAGCATTCCCGATTCGCTTAACAATTCCTAACAATGCATTAGGGAGAACGAAAATGCTGCGACGAAGAAAGCAGCGGCCGATAGGTATTTCGACTATGCGAAGGCCAAGTTCGATGAACTTACGTCTGAGGCGCGCGCGTTTTACGCATCCCAAAAGCCAGATATTCCGGAACTAGATGCCACGTCCACGATCTTGAGCTCACGATCAGTTGCTGAGCGCGAAGCTGCTGCAAACTTGATTTCATTTGCTCAAAGTAACACAGTGAACTGGCAAGATGACGACGGCGGCATCAGCCTTTTGATTGATCAGCTCAAAGCAAACGCACCCAACGACCTCCCGCTTCCTGAAGACGAGATTACTTCACTACGCAATCTCCAAAAGCTCATTGATCAACGCATCAACGTGCTCAACCTACAGTCCAGAGGCATCCAATCCTCGGCTGCCGAAGCCGAAGCCGGAAAGGGTGAACAGCGGGCTAAGTCGGCCTTTTAAAGACTAATGTCTCCAAAATCTCTACATAATCTCCTTCAGTTTATTAGCTTATGATGAACGGTTTCCGTTGGCTATGGACTATCCTGTTTTTTCCTGTTTCCAATTCCGGATTTGGCTTTGGCTTTAAAAGGTTCCCTGGCGCATAGAGTATGGCATCTTCTAGCGTGTTGATTATTGCATCATCAGAGTTCTGCCTACCATGGATGGCTGTCTGGGCTTTTCTCTTACGTTTTTCTTTTCTTGTTACATTGCTGGTTTTCTTTCTCCCTTTCTCCCTTTCTCCCTTTCTGCTCCCTGTCTTATCGCCGAACTATTCCCGAATTATCTGGCCCACCTCGGACCTTTTGTTTACAAAAAATTGTCGAGAGGGCATTTACACCCAAAACTCTTTGCGATGCTTGGTCTGGGTTAGACGCTGTTAGTGCTATAGCCGGTCTTCCGTGCTATACTGTTAACCAAAGGACGAAATTGACATTTCGCGCCCACCACACAGATAGCATTTTTGAGTATTGAGATACTGGGCTGGCTGTATTAGCTCTGAGCGATTCAAACCGCATTACGCGTTGTACAATATAGACTTCCTTTCTACAGTTTTCTTGCTTTTACTAGTACAGCTGAAGAATGCATCAGGAGTCATGAATCCATATTCTCCGCAACACCTACACACCCGATTCTCGCTTGGAATGTAAGTGGCACGAAACCTCAAGTAGATTGCTCTATACACCTCTATAACGCATGGCACTACACTATGCAGTAAAATAAACAACCATAAACCCAATCCAGCTCCCCACAACCCCAAGAGCCGAATAACTGCTCATAAACATCAGCGGGAGGAACTGATACCGCTCGAGCCCAAAGACAAGCTGATGAATAAGCGAGCAGTAAACGATCAACGGAATCGACACGGTAATATACAGAAGCGAGAAGCGGTCGACGAGGAAAATCCGCGGCCGTTCGGGGACGGGTGCGATCCGGTCAAAGACGAAGAGGAACAGGATGAGCCAGAAGAGTGTGTAGACTGTTTTGAGCGGGAACTCGGCTGCTGTGAAGAGGAGAGGGAAGAGTGAGACGTGTCCTGCCACGGCGAGGGGGCGAAATGCGCTGAAGTAGCGTCTGTCCTTGAGGGCGATCAAGCTGAAGGGGATGATTATTAGGAGGATGGCTTTTTCGTGGACGTGCCAGCCGAAGAGGAAGGAGGCGTAGCCGCAGAGAGTCAGGGCTCCGATGAAGGTATTCGGGTATGGATTGCGCCAGAGCTTGATTAGAGGGAGCTGTGGCGGTTAGTTTGATGGCTGTTGAGCATAGAAGAAGCGAAACGTACCAGTTGAAATAAGAGTGTCAGGGCAAAGGTGTGTTCTTTCGATACTTCGGGGAGGACGGCGAAGGAAGTGTCACCAACAAGACCGCGAGTGACGCTTGAGAGGGCCTCGTGATTGACTGGGAGCCCAAGTCTTGGAGCAACTGCGAGGGTCAGTGAAGCTGTAGGGCGCCAGGATGGCTATACATACGTGGAATCAAGATGCGGTCCGTGAATGAGTACATCGCCCAGACATTGGGCGCCCAATACGCATGGCATAATCCCCGGGAGAAAGGGAACAGTCGCTCTTTGAGCTGGAGAAGCTGGCCCCAATAAGCGAATGGTCCGAAAGCCAGTCCGAAAACTGTAGCGACGCTGACGCCCAATTTGATCGTATTCCAGATTCGGGGCCGGAAAACCGATTTGGGGTCCAGGCAGTAAGCTCGCAGCAAGAAGACGAAATAGGCGAGAGACAAGTACAGATATATGTGCTTCAGACATAGCAGTACAGCGAAAGCAATTCCACTGTAAAGTAGGGTTGATTGTTTCCGAGCCCAAACGATCGACAGAATAAGTATGCCGTATAAAAAGCCATTATATTGGAAGTGGATGTGATCGATGATGAGTAGGCCGGGCGAGAGCAGGATCGACAAGCTGGTGGCGTGTGCGAGGTGTTTATTGGACGCAGGCACAGACTTGACGAATCTATTAACAGTCTATCAGCGATGCTCTTGCGTAAGCAGAAAGAGGGAGTTCGAACTTGTTTAGAGCGTATAGAAGGACAAGCTCTGTTATAATTACTGTGGCCCTCTGAAAGTATATAGTTTGCCAGGAATCGTACTCGAGGTTATTGACAACCAGTATCGCGGGGTCCGCATATTGCGCTAGCTGGGAAAGCACCCACTCGAAAGCAGCGAAAAACGGGGGGTAATCGAGTGTCCACTCCGAAGTTTTCTATACACAAACTGGTCATTAACCTGGTAGTCGAGTGGAGAGGACGTGCTATGTGTTGTGTACCTCGTAGTACCATTCTTTGATGGGAAGCGAGTATGTGATAGCGAGCCAATTGCGGTGAACTTCAAAGTCGGTTGACTTACTAAATCGCAAGCCGCCAAGAATTAGCATAAGACGCACGGAAAATAAGACAACATTGAAGCATAAGGGTGATCGATGGCCTAATAAACATACTAGGCGGGGAAAAGGAGGATTTTGAAGGCCGTTGCGACAATGGCGCATTGCGCAAGGGAAGGATACGACTCAGCCATTGGAGCTATCCCTTGACATCACGAAGATATTGTCACGGAAGGCAGAACATTCGGAGAGCTTCTGGAAGCTATATATTCGTCAAGCACAGGATGGGGAAAATGTGCGGAGATTCGGAGAGCTTCCTGGGATGATGGGGAAAGAACACGTGATCGCGCGTCTGGATCTCTAGGCGCGGTGACAAGAAGAAGCCAGTGTGTCCTTCATTTTGAAGATCGCGGGGAAAGCTTCAGCTCGTATGCTTTGCCTGGCTGATACCTCCCATTTAGCCGACTTTGTCCTGCAACATCCTCCATCGCAAGGAATAGGAATATCCGCTTCTGTGTTGCTGCCCTTGTGGGATCGCCATCCTTGTGTGCTGTCTCCACGCTGTGCTCCCGCGGAGCTTGGTTCGGCACCACCTTTGCCATATAGACCTTTGTTTCCGATATCAAGGTTTCTGACTATCTCGGCCGCTTAATACCAAGTCCCGCGATCTTTGTCTTATTTGGATACCCCTTTCCCAACACGCCAATTTCCATTAATCGCCTGCCGAGCGGGCTCAATTCATCACAGAGCTATACCAACACAATGAAGATTCCCGCTTGCATTTTTCTTTTCTCAGCTGTCGCTACGGCTCAAAGAGTGATCGAAACATCAAGTTTTGGCCATGGCGCAATGTACTTACCCACGTTCTTAACCTCATTGCCTGCATTGCTTGAACTGACTTCCGACTTAGGGTGGCCCCCAGCCGAGAAGGCATCCCAGGATGGGACTTGGGAGGAGAAGGACATTTCCCTCAGATTGTATGTGCTTGGGCCCATGAATTACTCGAGAGGCAATTTGATTCTAATATCCGCAGCTCTCCAACAAAGTGATATTGACACCACCGTACCCTGGCAACACAAGAGGATTTGCCTGGGCTCAATCTCCGTATGTTAGCCGCATCTTTTACTAAACCGTATATCATGAGTGAAGACTGATTTTTGCCAGATTATCTGAATCGGAATGGACGGCTGAGTTTCAATTCCGAGCCACTGGCGTGGAGAGAGCAGGCGGAAACCTGCAATTATGGTATGCGAAGGATGGGAAATCCCAAGTCGGCTCCGCGAGCATTTACACTGCTGGTCAATGGGATGGGTTTGCTCTTGTTGTAGATACACATAGCGGCAAGGTACGGAACCCATTCCACCAACACTTGCCCTTGCTGACTTTTATTTAGGGAGGTAGCGTTCGAGGCTTCTTGAACGACGGAACCACAGACTACAAGCGTCACAGGAGCGTTGATAGCCTGGCATTTGGACATTGTGATTACTCTTATCGTAACCTTGGGCGCCCATCCGTCATCCGCATCAAGCATACCAGTGCTGTGCTTGAAGTCACAGTTGACGAAAAGCCATGTTTTTCCACGGATAAGGTTAGTAACTCCCCATTGAAAGCTGATATCGTTTGTTGATAATGTCAGGTTACCCTCCCCGCTGGAAACACGATTGGCCTTACTGCTGCCACTCCCGAGAATCCCGACTCGTTTGAGGTTTTCAAAGTCGTCCTGGAGACTGTCGCTCCAGGGGTTGGAAAAGCTCCCCCAATCCAGCAACAGTCCAGCAACCAACAGGCTCCTCCACCCCCTCAACAGCGCAACCCACAGGGTCAGGCCGGGTCTGGCGATCTCAGCTCAATCAACGCGCAGTTCGTGGATCTCGGTAGCCGCATCCAACTTATTAACCACGCTACCAACAACGTCCTGCGCGAGGTTGGAAACCAAGCGAACAAGCTCGACACAAAACAAGCCGAACTCCTTCAGAAATTAGCCACGAAGGAACAAGTCGCCGGTCTTGATGCTCGTCTCCAGAGACTCGAGCAAATTCTCCTGTCAATCCAACGAGACCTCGAGGGCAAGGATTACCGCGACAAGTTCAACCAGCTGCACGAGACTTTGAGATCCTCGCACCTTAGCCTGGCAGATAACATCAAGGACAATTTGCTCAGCGGTAGGCTCAAGCAGACACCCTTTTCTTTGAATAATCTTCTAACATGCCAAAAGTCATCACAGCCTCGACACCTCGCATGGGCTTCTTCATCTTCCTTGTTATCGCATTCCAAGTCCTCCTCGCTGGTTCATACATCATTTATAAGCGGCGCCGTGCCAACATGCCCAAGAAATTCCTTTGATCAACTTTCGACCGACACGCGTAATGGCAGATATGACATGACTCCCTCTTTCTCGCTCCCGTACTGAAGACACTAGCCGGAACTTGTGTGGAGGGTATTTTTTGGCATCTTTGTGATTTTCCTGTTGTACTCCTTTGGCGCCTCTGTATTCTGCAGCCGAGGTTTATGTGCAACTTTATTCACCCATGTACATTTATATCTAGACTTCAGTTTGTATTATGGAAGAATTGTGTCTATCCCACACTGATTAGCTATGCTTCATTCCTACCTGGAAGAGCACCATTGTACTCCGATATAGAACCCCTAATCGAGTCACTACTTTGACTTCAGAAATATATTTCAAAACCAATCGTCTAGAATCTAGATTAAAGATGATGTAATGCATGTCAATGTTTGCTCTGTTTGATTTATCCACGTGTTTCCGCCCAGAGTTGAAGGACCCACTTGGCCAGCAAAGTTTATCAGCGTCATACACTAAGCCTAAGAGGGCTAGCCTATGAGCTAAAATATGATCCGCGACTCCATACTTCGCCCCAACAAGGGCAAACCTGGGCGAACCAATCTTGCGGGTGTGTGGGTGTAAGTGGGAAATATGTATATCTGAGCTCTCTGCTCTAGCTTATTCATTTTATGTATAGACTGAATATGGCAAAGACTGGGTCGAATTATTCCGTGGCTGAGTTATCCTGCGGAGTATATTCTGCACAGGGTCCGTCAGGCACGGCAACTTGCATGCATGGCTCGAAGCAGGAAAAATTGATACCTACAGATTTTCGAAAATAAGATGGAGATTTATACAAGCTCTAACCCTTGGATTCGCAGGACAAGGGGGTAGTGTGGTGGACATTGGACTATACGACTGGATATACTCCCAGGAACGTCGCACAGAGTCCGTCACTAAGAACGAAAAGCCGCCTAGCCGAGTGCTGTAGCTGAAGGATAAAGTTGATGAAGAAGATTTCGAGACTAGGAGCATCTTGGGATTGACAAGTCTTGGACCACTGTGATCGATTTTCGAGTGTATATAGAAGGCAGATCTCTCGCCATCCATTGCCGCGAGTCACAACATGGTGCTGATCTGCTATGGTGATGGAAGGTCTAGCTTTAGAGACATTCTTTTTGCTCATAGCAGAACTCTTCTTAACTAGTAATAGCATGAGCGCTGATGCTCATCTGGATTAGCTGTCCAAGGGGATCATCGGCAGCTGAGCCCTCGAAGTGGTGGTAGTGCTCTCGGCAAGGTGAATATACCAGTTCAAACAGCCGCCCGTATCTCAAGGCTAAAGCTAATAAATTATGTGGTACAATTGGTTGGTTGATTAGAGAGGAGGGCATCTGCCTTGCGTAAAGATAGGACCGCTGTGTCAAAGCATACTACCTTCGGCCAGCGAGACTAATCGTTGGAGAAAGACTGCAGACTGCGGCAGAGAGACACGAGAAGTCAAGCAATAGAATATCAAATATGTTAAATTGTGGTGATTAAAAACTGGACTCTGGTTTGTGGACCTGAGTATGGTTGGGAGGAGTCTGTGGCAACGATACTGCTGCTTGTTTGCATAGAATAGATAGACTAAGTTATCAACAGCCCAAAGTCGATAAAGACAAAGAACGGATACAACTGAGAGTATTTATTTTTTTTATTTTTTTATTTTTTGCTTTCGCTAGAGGTTATTCAATACCAAGTGCTCAAAATGAAGATTCGGGGATTTACCCGATGGGGTCTAAACATCAAGACTGGCCAGAGTATAGTTTTTGAAGTAGTTCATGCCAACGAAACGAACAAGGGAAAAAAAAAACTCGAGTCATTGTTGATAAGAGCCAGTTAGAACAGAGTATAAAAATAGCCATAAATTAAGCATGAAAGAATTCGCTGAGGCGCAAAGGTAGACACATTCAAACGTAGGGGTTCTTTGTCTACAGCATGAAGACATCCTGTATGTCGAGCATGGATATCATATATCGGATAAAAAAGTTTGCAACTGCAAAATAAAAGGGACTATTTGGCAGAAGAAGAATCTGCAGAAAAAAGCGAACAGAACGAGTGCAAATACAGGGGCTGTTTGTTGAGATGAGGAGTGGTGGAGGCGCAAGAAACGAACAACTCCCGCAAAGCAACAAGAAGTTAACTGACTCCCACCATGGCAGGCAGGGGATTCGTCCCAAAGGGGAAAGGTCTCTCCGCTCTTTTGTCCACTGCGTTGAAAGCCAATCATCGGCAGCCCTGCCTCGGCGGCGGCCCTCCTCACGGAGGCCTTCCTTCACGCCGGTTCTGCCGTCTTTCCTCCTCCACTGTTCGTCTTTGAAGCAGCTTCTTTTTCCTGGAGTCGCTTTCTCTCCTCGCTGCTCTTTATCCCTCTACAACCTGCGTACTCGCTCCGCTGCGCATCTACAATCTACTATACATCCGCACTCTCCGCTACCTCCCATTCCTCGAGTATTTACATTTTGCTGCCCTCAAATCGGCAGCTCTGCCCTCGACGTACTCGCGCCACAGCCTGTTCACCATCGTTTTTTGGTCGTCTCTTTTCCTGTACCAACCCGGCTGTTCAAGGTGCGGCGCGATTGGGACGCGTTTCTCGAGGTAAGCTTGCCTGTGCGCATGGGCCGCGGTGGTTGCAGAGTCGCAGATCGCTCATCATACTGACGAGATATGTTATAGATATCCTATGCGGTTGTCCTGTACCACCCCAAACAGTTAATGAGACTTTGACGCGTTCCGTCGCCCGCAAAAATATAATGGTATGATTGAGAGCTTCGAGGGCTCGCAGAGAGACATTGCGGCGGCGGGCCATATGCACGGTTTAAAATTACTTACTATTTTTAGGTGCTGTTCAAACGAAAGCCCGTCCAGTACCTCCCCCGGCCCGTTATCGAGGATGACAGCTCTGAGGCATGTATACTCCGGAGAGGACTAGGATAGAGCAAGGAGTACTGACACGCACTGCGCGTAGGTCTGGGTCGTCCCGGAGACGAACGAGGTCTTTACCAATTACGAATCATATCTCCAGCGCATGGATTTCTACAAACAGAGAAAGTTTATCTGCGAGATTACTGGACATTCAGGATTGACATTTTTTGAGGCTCATCGGAGTGAGGTACGTGGTGCCGGGACCGTTCGAGCTATTGAACCTGCAACCTGACACAATGGAATCTCAGATGGAAGAATCGCGCGAAGTGAACAATTCTTTCCCCGACGCCCTTAAAGGACCTATCCTGCGTAGGACGCAGTTTTCCACAGTATCGCGGGTCGATAACCTAGGTCCGTTTGCCTCGCTACACCACAATGCATACATGCCTGTCTAACCCTTTTGTTTCGATAGTGGACGAAATCTACGAAGTGGGCGACTTTTCCAATCATTGTGGTATCTGAATACTAACACTAACCCAATGTAGGAATTCAAGCAAGACTTTTACCCTGGCGAACCGGTCCTCATTTTACTCGATGATAATACACGCTTACACGGAGTGATCAGAGACAAAGCGAACTTCGCCGAGCAGCTTTACCCCGATGGAACCGTTAAGCAAGCGGCGTACGCGACATATTTGGTCAAAGTGTTGGATCGTCCAAATGAGGAGGCTCTGTTGGATCAACATCACATCACTCGCGACAGGAAGACTTTCACTAAGCAGATGCTGCGAGCATTCATTAAGAACAACGTGACGAGAGAGTCTTGGAACGGTGCCCCATGGCTGGTGAAGCCGTCGATCGCTGAAGAGTTTAGGATATCAACTGAAGTACCGAAACACTTGCAGTACGGAGCAAGGGTCGCTGAGAAAAAGGCGCAAAAGAAGGCCGATCAAGAAGGATTCTTTGGATTTTTCGCATCACAGCAGCTTCCTGAGTTGAAGCCAGCTGTCAAGGGTCAAAAGACAAAACCATCACCCCAGGACTTGGCTCGATCCGAAGAAGCGCAATTCCTGGAGTATAAACGGTCCCTCAACGGCAATCCAAGTTTTCTTGTTGGCAACAAACCCACCAATGGACCTTCACGACCTCTGAAGCCCCAGGATGCTGAAAAGATATCCCCGCCTACCCCTGCTGTTGTAATCAAGGCCGAGCCCCCAAAGCCACCTACGCCTCCGCCCATCAAATATCCCATTGAAGATCTTGACATTCCCCCGAATCGTGACAAAAAGAAACAGCGGCCGCCGTTGAAGTTTTTGAAAGCAAATGAAACCGATGATGCCGATGATGAAGATCTCTTGCAAGACAGTATTGCGAAGGAATCTGTGGGTCTTTTCCTAGAGACTTGGAACACTCTCAACGTGTACTGTGAAGTTTTCCAACTGGATTCCTTCACCTTTGACGATTTCTTTCAGGCAATGAGATTTTCATCGGATGAGGTTGACTGCGAACTTTTCGTCGAGATACACTGCGCTGTGCTGAAGAAGCTGGTCAATGAGGAGAAGGATAACAATGGTGCGATTCAGATCTCGCTTCCTCAACTTCCGATCGAAGAATTGAGCGAATCATCAGACGACGAGGGCGAGGAAGACGAGGAGGGAGAGGAAGATGAAGCTGAGCCGACGCCCGAGCCTGTCGTGACACGAATGACTACCCGTGGAAGCTTAGCCAAAGCAGAGGCCGAAAACCTAAAAGCCCAGGTGGGCGGCGTTTCTGAACCGGAAGAAGTCAAAATCCACCGCGCTACCGAAATGCTGTCTGAGTATGGGTGGATTGACCGTTTGCGCAAGCGCGATTTCCGAAATGGCGGATGGGAAATGGTAATGATCGGGCTCCTGCACCAACTTTCGGCTCGCCCATCTATGGAGAAGATTTGCAACCAAATCCTGGAACATCTTGCCCCTCTGGATCAAGAACCATCGCAAGAAACCGCCCGAAAGCAATATTCAACCCTTGACGTCAACCTCCGAATCAGAGCTCTTCAAATAATCTGCATGTTGAGCCTTGAGACCAAGGCTATTCGCAATTATCTGGAAGAATGCAGCAATCAAATGACAGAATTTCGAAAAGAGAAGATCGAATATCAAAAGGCTCGCAAAGCAGCGTAAGTAGACGAAAGATATACACCGCGGGTGACTCATGTTCTGGCTAATCATGGTCCCTAGACTCGAGGAACTTCGGCGTTTACACCAGGAACGCAAAGCCCTCCAACCTGAGCTTGAGAAATCGCCAACTCCCATCCCAGAGCTTGAACCCACGGAAGACACGAAGATGAGTGGCATGGATGGGGACTCACAACTCGCAGATTCCGATGTGGATGGTACTCCGCAGCGAGCCTTGCGTGGTGGTGTGGATCGAGCTTTGGAACGGAAGCGGAAGTTAGACGAAGAACGGGAAAGGAAGGAACAGCTTGCGAAACAGCCAAAAGGTTCAAAGCAGTACCAACGGGTGCTCAAGAAGATCGAGGAACAAAAAGCCGCTGTCAAGAAGCTCGAAGAAAAGATTGAGGTTGTCGACAACGATCTTAGGGAAGCCGACTGCCCACGGACCAGGTGCCTCGGAAAGGACCGCTTCTGCAACCGATATTGGTGGTTTGAGCGCAACGCGATGCCATATGAGGGAATGCCGAACAGTTCGACTGCGGAGGCGAAGTATGCCAACGGGCGACTCTGGGTCCAAGGACCCGATGATATGGAGCGACTTGGCTTTATCGACGTTCCAGACGATATCAAAAAGCTGTATCAAAAGCAGTTCCATGTATCCCCAGCGGAGCGCAAGAAGCATGAGGAGGGCTCAACGCGGCTTTTACGCGCACACGAATGGGGCTACTACGATGAGCCGAAATTGTTAGAAAAGCTTATAGACTGGCTTGATTCTCGAGGCGAGCGTGAGGCGAAATTGCGCAAAGAGCTTCTGCTTCAGCGTGACAACATCGCTAAGTCGATGCAGACCCGACAGGCGTATCTGGAACGAACGGAGGACGATTCGGAGGAGATGCCCACTAAGCGAGTGACGACGCGAAATAAGACATATGTGGCCGATAATAAGCACCGCTGTTTGAACTGGCGGAACTCCACTGCTCTGGCAGAAAATGGACACCTTCATCTCGATGCCTCACGGCCAGCCAAAAGGGCGAAGAGAGGTGCGGTTGAAGAGCCCAAGGAGATCAAGGCCACCAACCGGCAGGGCAAGCCACTCACACGACAAGGCGCCCGATACAGTTTCTGACACCTGATTGTTGTTTGAATCATTTATCCCATGGGATTTCTGCATTTTCGGTCAACGGCGTTGGGTCCTCTGCTGGGGGAGTTTGTTCGCACATTTCAGAGCGCCCAGCACCATAAAAAAAAGGGAGGGTTTTCTGCACTACATTATGGACGCGACCATGAATATTCTACAACTGGCTATACAGTGTACATTGCATTAGAGAGGAGGGTACTGGCTCTGGTCGGGGTGTCTGGACTTCTGAAGAACGTTGTACATACTTCGCTTATCATGTGATTCTAAGGTAATGGAAGGTCACTTGACCTTGAATCAAACCAATAGAGAGCCCTGAAAAAGTAAAATCGACCAGTCGGATGGCCCATCGTAAGGTGACGGTATGCAGCGGCTTTCTTGGTGGTCGGAAGGGGTATCGGCACGTCAGGCTGTAAATTCCGCTCTGTTGCGGCAGGCGCCACTATGACGCTGGCCGTCGCTCGGTCCTCCCCCCCAGTTCCCAGCGCAATTATTCATATCCACACTCTTTATCATTTATTTTCGGATAGGCTTCTCGGTTTTGTCCTAGCTTGGTGTTGCCATTTTGCTATTTCATCACTTACCAACTCGCGACTCAAGAAGAGACTGTTGCGAAAACTCCGCCTCTCGCTTCTTCCCTCGCAGATCGATGGCCGCGTTTATCCGGTAGTCCGTCGGCCCCAGATTTCAGATTCAGATTCAGATTCAGCCGAGCTTGTCTGTTAGAGCGCCCATGTCTGTTGCCCCTACCGGCCATGCTCAAGCCGACGACTCCTCTATCTCACGTCCTTCCTCTTCTCCCCACATCATAGCAGAGCCCCAGCCGTCACGCCAACCCGTTTATCAGCAGATGGAACCGGCTGCACAGGCGCGTCTGCCAACATCACATAACGTTAGTAGCGGGGCAGTGGTGGCTGGCTCTCACGCGACCACCACAGGCGACGCTTCGTCAATCCTCCCGAGGCAAGGAAGTCGGAGTGGCGTGAAGGAGAAGAAGACTAGAAGTCTTGACTATGTCTTGAGAAGTGGACTAGCGGGGGGCTTGGCTGGTTGCGCTGTATGCCTCCCCCTCGAGATGTGTCCGCAAGTATCTTGGGACGTTCGAAGCTAATATATTTTTGCCGTTACAGGGAAAAACGGTAGTAGCGCCCCTTGACCGAGTAAAGATTCTCTTTCAAGCGTCAAATCCGCAGTTCGCCAAATACACAGGAAGTTGGTTTGGACTCGTTTCTGCGGTCCGGGATATCAAACGTCATGAGGGTGCAAAGGGCCTCTTCCGAGGCCATTCAGCGACATTACTTCGAATCTTCCCCTATGCCGCCATTAAATTCCTCGCCTACGAACAGATCCGCGCCGCTGTTATTCCGTCCCACGACAAGGAGACGCCATTCCGCCGACTAATTGCGGGGAGTATGGCTGGCATGACATCGGTTTTCTTCACATATCCGCTCGAGTTGATTCGTGTGCGGTTAGCGTTCGAAACCAAGAAGACATCTCGCTCTTCGCTGTCCGGTGCCATTCGGCAGATCTACAGCGAGCGAGTTTCTGTACCCCAGGATTTGTCGGCCGCAAAGGGACCGTCCTCAATGGCTGCTGCTGCCGCGGATACTGTAGCGTCCACGACCAGAAAGGTTGTTCCTAGTTCAGGGCTGGCGAACTTCTATCGTGGATTCACACCAACGCTCATCGGAATGTTTCCGTACGCGGGCGTTTCTTTCCTGACTCACGACACAGTCGGCGATTGGCTCCGTCTGCCAGCATTGGCTCCCTACACGACGATACCGGGATCGGAATCCACCTCTCCGGGCCATACGCACAGCGGATCGTGGAGACCGCAGCTGACAGCTGCGGCCGAACTCTTCTCCGGAGCAGTTGCTGGTCTCGTCTCCCAAACCTCCTCGTACCCCCTTGAGGTGGTACGTCGGCGGATGCAAGTCGGCGGTGTAGTCGGCGACGGACGTCGACTGGGAATTGCCGAGACTGCTCGGACAATCTTACGGGAGAGGGGACTCCGAGGGTTCTGGGTCGGATTGGGGATTGGCTACCTGAAGATGATACCCATGACGGCTACTAGTTTCTTCGTGTACGAACGCGCGAAGTGGTCATTGGGGATCTAGACTGTTGGCTCCTTCTTTCAATTCTCGTTTGTTCTTCTCATTATCATTATCAAAGGTGTTCATCGGGGTGGTTTGTTTTACTTGATTGACCTTGGTATCTTCTCATACCCATTCTGTGCATAACGGGCTTACATACATGGCTGTGATTGGGCCGCTGTAGATGAAGATTTTTTATTGAATATAAAGACTAGATATCTAACACGATATTTATTGGAGCATCCATTAGGTCAGAGTATTCATCGAATATCATCGGATTGACATTGAAGGCTTCCAAGATTTGGACAAAATGCTCACAGCCGGTTTCATTTGACGTTCTGCGGACACTGTGAGTGCTTGATGCCTAGCTATTGAGGCATCAACGCACGGGCCAACTGCGGAGAAAAAAAGTTGAAGATGGGTAGTCCAAAACACTTCAAGGTTGCACAACAACTACTAAATTCTGCCGCAAGCCCTTCACACAAGGGAAATCATACGACAAGGGCGCTAAACTTGGTTATTGTCTCCCGCAAATTCATAATGACCACGCGGAAGAGGAACGAGTTCCTGGACATTGTCGCCAGTGACGACGAAGAGAACGACCGCGGGTATGATTCGGAAGCCGCCGAGGAGAGCAAGGGAAGAACCGTCAAGCGGAGAAGGACGCAAACACGCCGAGGAAAGCTAGGGAGTGAATCGGAAGCCGAGGATACCGATGCCTCAGAGGGCGAGGGAAGCGACGCAGAAGCAGAAGATCTTGTACGATCGAAGACGAAACAGGGACGGAGCAAGAAGGACGAGGATGAATCAGATGATGCACATGGCGAAGAAGAAGAAGAAGATGATGATGATGATGAAGGCGAGGAGGATGACGGCGCAACCAACGAACATGGAGACCAATACCTCGACGTAACGGCCGAAACAGAAAAAACAAAGGCAAAGACGAAGGGACCGCTGGACAAGCTCAAATCCAAACCGGCCAAGAAGAAGAAAACGGGCGTGGTCTACCTCTCGTCGCTCCCTCCTTACCTCAAACCCTTTGCGCTCAAGTCGCTCCTCGAAACGCGCGGGTTTGGACCCATCACAAAGGTGTTTTTGACGCCAGAGGTGCGCTCCGCCTCGGCACCTCGACGGAAATCGAACAAGCGGAAGATGTACACGGACGGATGGGTGGAGTTTGAGTCTAAGAAGACGGCGAAGATTTGCGCAGAGACGCTGAATGCGACGACTGTCGGTGGACGCAAGGGCGGGTGGTACTACGATGATATCTGGTCGATGAAGTACCTTACGGGCTTCCGCTGGGATGACTTGATTGCTACAGTCTCTCGTGAAAGATCAGAAGCCTCAGCGAAGCGACGGATCGAGGATACACGGGCCAGGAAAGAGGAGAAGGTGTTCTTGCAAGGTTATGAGAAGGGGAAGATGCTGGATGGGATTCAGAAGAAGAATGAAGAGAAGCGAAAGCGCAAGATGGAGCAGGCTGGGAATGAGGCTGGAGAAAGAGAAAAGCAGCCAACTGTCAAACCGCGGAGACTGTTCAAGCAGAATGAGGTCAAGCACGGACGGGATAAGGTGTCCACTGATGCAAGTGGTCTGGAAGATGATACGAGAAGGGTACTTGGGAAGATATTCTAATCTTTATGTTCTCTATGTACTCTATAGCTGTTACAAACAATACCCTTGATTAGTCTTAAGATCTGTGTTACATTATCTGCAGCGCATTGTGGGCCCTGTTGCCCTGGGCTTGGCATTGAAGTATAACTTAACTTACTCCATGGAAAAGCTTAGTCACAGTTTGTACAGTTTGCACAAGATCATCCAATCTCTTTTGCAGCGGCAGATTCTCTCTCAGAGTCTTAAATCTCCATCACTGCGTTTTGACTCGATATCAGTCATGATGAATAGGGCATTGTTCAGGCTGCCCAGATGCCAAAATGGGGCTTTTCGAATATTTACCTCCGCGACACGTGGCCCAATTCCTCGCCATTCGTTCCTGACGGTCGATCGCATACGGACATTGACCTCCACCTCTCGCCGCGCTTTAGAACCTTCTCTCTCACCTCAGTCGGCGTCTGGAACTCCCTTGCCGGAAGTGTCGGAGAAGGCTGAGCAAAAGCAATCCTCCGAATCTTCACAGCACATCCCGTGGTATCTGCAAGAAGAAACCACCGTTCCCGAAGTGACTGAAGTCTCATCAAAGGACCATCTCCCAGAGCTCCCAGAGAATCCTCCGAAAATCTTGCCGGTGCTGCTTGACTATGTCTACAAAGACCTTGGTCTTGATGAGCTAAAATTGTTCGACTTGAGGGGATTGGAGACACCGCCGGCCCTTGGAGCCAATGTCATCATGATCATGGGGACCGTGCGCAGCGTGAAGCATTTAAACGTCTCTGCGGACCGCCTCTGCCGCTGGTTGAGGAGCAATTACAAGTTGTCCCCGTACGCCGATGGATTGCTGGGACGTAACGAGCTAAAAATCAAGCTGCGGCGCAAGAATCGGCGTGCTAGACTGGCGAGCAGAACTGGCGCAATGGTTGATGACAAGGACGACGGCATAACCACAGGCTGGATCTGCGTCAATGCTGGCGTCGTGGAGAAATCCCCCGTCCAAGAAGCGTCCAGCGATGCATTCGAGGGCTTCGGTCATCTCGGCGGAGGCACGCGGCTGGTGGTGCAGATGTTTACAGAGGAAAAGCGAGCGGAGTTAGATCTGGAAGGCCTTTGGGAAGCGAGGGTAAGGCGTGCTCAGCGGCAAACAGCAGAACACTCCGATGTTCCCGCCGACGCACCCGCAGAGGTTCGTTCTCCCAGCTCATTAAGCCCGCCACCATCTGACTATGAACCGCCGGCTATTCCCAGATCGTCCGTGAGTCTTCCACTTGAACAGAGACGACGCTTTCATACTAGGCGTTGGCGTATCGAGAATAGTCCTTCCCACACGCGACACTTTATGTCATGGTCGAGAAGCACCCCAAACAAAGGGAACCCTCCAGATATAATTTGGCCCATGCTGCAGGATTACCTTAAGAATCTGCCACATGAGCAGTTCCAGACTGCAATGAACCGTGATTTGGATGAGAATGGTAATAACGACCTCAACACTCTCCTTGAACAATCTCTGGAAGGCCTTAGCGAAGAGTCTAAATTGGGGGCTCGAATGGAGCTTGAGGTACTTGGTATGATGCGAGGACATCCACAGTACAGCAAACAAAAGCTATTCGAATTATGGGAAGGTTACTTGGCTCTGGGATTCCTGACTGAGCGCCTCGACATACTAGATTTCGTGCTTAAAAATCTGGCAGCACCGCGTCGTCGCCCGGATTCGGTTCACAATTCGCAGTACCTTCCAGAGTCAGACCGGGAGTTGATACTCAGGTTTCTAGAAAGCCTCTCGCTTTCCGGACTAGACCTCATGAATATGGAGATGTGGTATCTTATTTATACTTCGGCGTCTCTACCGTTGACGCCTGAAGGAGACGACAGTACACCCGCAGAGAGAGGAGCGCATGTATTGCGAATGATTGAGTCGCTTGAGATCCCTTTCGACCCAATGCACGCCCGGCTTCTGATGGCGGCGATGTTCCGAAATGGCGACCAAGAATCATTCTGGAAATGGTGGCGTAAGCTACCTCTCAACAACAGCCCTCGAACGGACAATGATTATGCCCAGATTTTCGCGCTGCATGCGGATGTGGCCACCGATGCTCAAATACGGGAATGTCTCAAAACCCAGATCCCGTTGATGCGATCAGAGGAGCCGCGGGTTTGGATCCAGGGCCCTCTGGCCGAGAACATCATGGAATGTCTCGTAAAAGTGCAACCAGATATCAAGAAAGAGGCCGACTCCGGATCCACAACCGCTTTTGCCGATTTGTGGCGGGAATGCGAGACGGGCCTGAAAAAATGATGGCCGGGCTTTGGCACCATCTCTGTACATTACCTGATTGTATCTATACCTAATGAAACAACACAACACAGCAGCGGCTTCTCATCATTAAACCCGCCTGTGCACCATCGGAGTTACTCATAAAACCCCGCCCTCAATTCCCGGTGGAGTATGCAAAGCTGAATGCTGCACGAGATCAAGTATCGCCGGTCCTGGCATATCTCCGAGCCCTGACTGCTCAAGCCTAGGAGTCCATCCATTGCATAAGTTATGCAAAATCAGAGTATATAGACTCGCTGCGTCCCTTGTCATTGGCCAACAACTCATCATTCACAATGACTACAAACCGCTCCGTCTAGTCAGACAAGCGTGGTGCCTCGGGAACCATCTTTTTCAAGCCCTGTCCCGGAGGTCCAGCCTCACCAGGTTAGTAGAGGTCTACGCCTGGGCCTTGAACCTCTGCGATGCCTTCCTAAATCCAACCCCGCCCGGCCCCTCATCGACAGAATTCACTTCGGAAGACACATCTTTGGCTTCACCTGCAATAACGGCTTTGGCGAAGACGCCGTCCTTCACTCTAGTTAGTATTGCCGCCCTTATCTTAGAGACCTTCTTCTACGCACAAGCAGCCGTCTTCCCGTTAATACAACCCCCTCCTTTGGCGTCTTTGCAAAGAAACACCTAGCCCTCCATTCTCCGACTCTTAACCCTACGCCGCTAGGGAAACCCTCCTCGTCTGGAGCGGCAGCTCTTCAGTAGGAAGCAACGCCAGACGCCTACGAGTCCTGATTACCTGCTCCACGCACAACTTCGACACCGCCAAACGTCTCGGCGCAGAGAAAGTCTCCAACTACAATGCACCAACCATAGTTGAGGACATTGTTCCGGAACTTGACGACGCCTCGTCTTTGCCCTGCGCAGGTATCATCGTCGCCGCGGGAGACGTCTCGATGGCCTGTCAGGTCTCGCTGAGATCCAAGCAGATGATCCGCGTCGCATCAGCTAGGTTGATGCGAAGAGGATATACCTCCATGGAGATGATATGGCGCTGGGGCTCAAGGTGACGGTGGCGGCGACCTTTGAGGGTTCTTGCCTGAGGCGTTGAAGGTGTGTATAGCAGGTTCCGCCCGAGGCTGGGGTGGTTCTAAGTATCGGTTGGAAGGGATACAGGGGGCTTTGGGCTGATGAAGATCCGGGTTTTCGGGGAAGAAGCTTTTGGTGAAGAAGTACCCTGAAAGCTTACGGGTATGGATTAGGCCTGGTGCGGAGGGATATTCCGGATGTATATATGATTTTGACTCTGTTCAATTTGAGTTTACATGTTGACTCACTTAGACTTTTTCGACTCACCTGTTCGTCTTTGAATGCTGGTCTTTCTTCATTCCGTTACTATTCCTCCATACCTTTTAACATCAGTGATATCAACTTTGGCATCTATCGCATGTGCAACATAGGAGGCTTCTTCGTCATCTGAAATACCCAGAAATCCACACTAGCAGTGGTATCCACGTTAACGCCTTTGCGTCTATCACGACTGGACTTCTCAACTTACGCACCATGCCTACAGCGCCAGCTTCACCGCGAGGGCATCTAATGCCTTTAACGACCCCTACTACCACTACGACCACTACGACCACAGTTGCACGGCAAAAGCACGCTGCAGGGGAAACGTCTGCAACGCCTCCGTCAGACCCCGGTTTGGGAACCTTGTCCAGACTCCCACTAGAACTGCGGCTTTGTATCTATGACTGGCTTCCACCGTACAAATGCAAAAACTTCGGGATGTGGGGGCCGTGCTCAGGCAAAAACCCGCTCGCTATTCTTCGCGCAAGTCGGAAGCTTTATGAGGAGGTTTCTCATCACATCTATCATAACATTCACCTGACCTTCCGAATATGGCCGATGATTGACCAGGATTGGGCTAGTGCCAGCATTCCAGAGCTATGCAAGTGGCGCTGGAAGTTTCGAAGACCTGGATCAGCTATACGTCGTGGGTTTGGCCACTTTCCTTACCATAGGACGAATGTGTCAATCGAGGTGTATCCACCGTCCTTCAATGCGGAGGTGGTATGCCTTTGGCAGAAGGTTAATCATCTGGTTGATCTATTAGCAAGAGCAGCCTCGGTCAAAAAGATCACATTTATCTACAAACCCCTTCATGGGCGCAACTGGGTTTCGAATGGACAAGGCATCGACACCATGAACCTTCTTGACTGGAGATATCCCAGATGGGAAGGAACCGTTCTGAAAATGAATCTGAAACGAGGGGTGTACGACCATGAGGCCGTACTTCTGCCACTATGCCGTCTACGGAGCATCCAGGCTATAGAGCTGATTCCTGCGTGGGATCCGTCTGGCGACAAAGCTTTGGGCTTGGACAACCGCTTGCACCGATTTGTCTCGCTCTATCTCCCAGAGATGCCGCGGGATGATCTCTCAGAAGAGCAAAGAGTCATAGCTGAGGAGAGGATTGATCTTCTGCTACGGTTCATTTCGGAAATCAACAGCCGCTATCATCATGCTTTGTCAGATTTGATTTCAAAATCGGGTGATCTTTTGATCGTTGAAAAGAGGTTCCTGCCCTGGAATAAATTCAAGAAGTTAGAAGGCCAAAGCAATGAGGCTACCGAACAGAAATATGGCAAATCAACGACGTGGCTCTGGCCAACTTCGATACTGGGCGAATAACCGTCACAACTCCCGGGCCGAGGAACTCCTCGCAGTTTCCTAACTTGGTGATATGGATGCGTTGCCCAGGCACAGTCCAGTATAGGGGGCTCCTTCCCATTCTAGGAACTGCAGAGATAGACTTCATAGCACACAAAGCAATCTAAGAATCTTCCTCACCAACATCGTACCCATTGGGATTTTGTACTTCGACCATCGGATTTTCTTTTTTTGGCTTTCGAGGCCCCCGACTCCCCCATTAAGGACGATGTTTTATAGTAGGACTTCCTCGAACGACAGCCGGCCCACCTTTTCGGGTGGGTCCGGCACACCGGGCGAGGAGGAAACAGGTATGTCCCCCTCCCAGACTGAACTGACGACCGACAGCAGTGAAGAAAGCCAACAGTCGACTGAAGAAGGCCCCGAGTCCACGGAGCAAGCTAGCCTGAGATCAGCCCGGGCGAAACTGGACAAAGCGGACTACGACAACGTAGGGTGTACTCTGACGGGGGCGGAATTCCGGGCCCTTCTGAAGGAACTTGCGCGAATTGAAGGCCACCCTTGCCCGGCTTGCCTGCAATCAGCCAAGAATATATTGCAGGAAGCGGGCCAGGTCCTGACAGCAGCGAACGTTTCGGCCATTCTGAACGGACTTCAGCCACCGGTAGAGCAATCCTCCACACCCTCGTCCGCCGATTCCATGGACTTGGAGTATTCTCTGGATTTCCTTAAACTTCTTGGGGACTATGCAGGCCGCCTGTGGAAATGCCTGAGAAAATCTGCAGTAATTCTGGACCTGGACCTGCCAGATCGAGTTGGGACACTTCGCGACTTCCTGCGCGACGACTGTGATATGGATGGCCTGTGGACCCTTGACCTCCAACACTGTGTCGATTATATGCGCGAGGAAGGATGCCAAGTCACTCTCGAAATGGCAAGGTTGGCAATCGACATCTATGCGGCAAGAAATGAGGCTTGCCATGCAAAGATCGGCGATCCCTCTATTGCTCACGACCGGCGGCTACTGGGCCGGACTATCGATGAGAATATCAGGGAGCTCCGCCGAATATTGCCAGGGAGACTCAAAGACAGCCGCAAGGATTTGGAAGCGCTAATGAACTTCTACAGAGACAGTAGAGACTGGCTTGCGGAGCTCAATGACCGGGAGGAGTCCCATCGTCAGCTCGCCCCTGCAGAGTTGCCGCCGCCCGCCGAAACCAACGATGCCTTCAGGGGAAGAAGGTCCGGTTACGTGTCGCCCGTCAAATCACGGTTTGTCTCGCCGAGTAAGAGGACGGCTTCCGGGTCCTTGAAGTTGGCTCGAGACGACCCGACGAGTTTCCGTCCTTCAGATCCTGTCGACGAGAGTCTTCATGTCAGCAATGGCATTCGCGAAGACATAGCAAAGTTGAATTGAAAGGCGACGACTTCAGGGCAATGGATGCTCTAAGGAGAGCCAGGGAGATTCTTCAGGAGGCGTTGGTAGAGTATGAAGGTGGAAAGACTGTCATAGAGGAGGGCTCTCCGGGGAAGAGGGGCCGGGGTGGTTGAGTGACGGTGGTTGTTGGGTGGTGGTGGTGAAGGGGCGCCTCTTTGACAGTTCCACCATTCACTCGTTTGACTCTCTCCCTGTCCGCTCCTTTCTGCCCCCTGCCCCCTTTCATCATTTTTTTTGTTGCGCCCAAGGCTTGGCCCTGGTTCCTTGGGAGGGAAACCATCCAGTCTGCCCGTTACCTCTCCTTTCTTCCACCGGGTGTTTGCGATATGTTGCCATATACCTGCCACTTACTCCCCAGCGAAGCTCGCACCTCAACGTGGTGCTGGGGTCTAGTAGTCTGGATAATTTCCTAGGCGAAGCTAAGACGAGCGTACATCAAGAGTTCGCGATTTTTTTTTTTCTTTCCCCTGTATATAATTGTGAAGTTCGGAAGATGACCACGTGCCGAAGAGCCTCGGCCCCAAACACACCGGAACCAGCTCCTCATCGCAACTTTCATTCTTGCCTGTCTTTCTATTCCATTGCCCTTTGAGTCGTTTCCTGGAGAGACAGATTAAGCCCAACTAATCATCACAATGGAGTACCTTCCAAGTCTCCAGCAAGAGTTCGATGAGCTCAAGCCTTCACTATTCGGTAAGCCTGACCGCGCTCAATGCGGAGCAAACCCCGGTCTCACCACTGAACTATTTCATCCAGAATTGCTTGCGGAGCAACAGCTATCAGACCTCCTCCCTCCGTCACTACGCTACATCCTTGCCGTTGCTACACACCGTCATCCTCGATACTTGCTCCGGGTTTTGAACTCCTTCGATGAAGTCTACGCCGTCCTCTCACTTATCGTTGAACGGTACTATTTGCGCAACTTCGGCGGCTCGTTCACAGAGAACTTCTACTCCCTCAAGCGCGAACGCGTTCTTTTGACGAAAAATGGCGAGATTCCTCGAGCCCAGCTCGGTGCGCCGGGCCCGGTCCGCGACAGCCTCAAGCTGCGTACACCAGATGTGTGGAAGAATCTCTTGATTATGGTGGGCGTTCCTTATCTCAAGCGCAAGCTCGATGAAGGCTACGACATTCACGCCGCTCCACAAGCGTCGCTCCTAATGAGCGGCGGGCCGCGATATAACCCAAGTGATGACCTACCGCCTAGTCCGACAATTCGTCAACGTTTTATGCACGCCTACAAATGGTTCCTGCGCAACGTCTACCCCTCCGTCAACGCAGCGTACTACTTCTCCATCCTCGCATTCAACCTCGCTTACCTCTTCGACAACACCAAATACTCTTCTCCATTCCTTTGGTTGATTGGCTCGCGAATACGCCGCCTCAGCTCCGCGGACCACCATGCCATAGCCAAGATCCTGGAAGGAAACCCTCAGAACCCGCGCGGGGCGCGAAGCCGCCCCGGTTCAGGCCTACTAGGCCTCCTAAGCCCACAAAACATCTACCCCCAACTCCTTACATCCCTCCGCTACTTCCTCCCCGCATCTATCTTCGCCCTCAAATTCCTCGAATGGTGGCACGCAAGCGACTTTTCACGCCAACTAGCCCGCAAAGCCACCGACGCCCTAGAACTCCCAGCGCCCATAACCAAGGGGATGGTCCCGCCCTCAGAACGCAAACAGACGGCCAAGAGCGAGAAACAAGACCCCACCACAACATCGCCTTCCCGTAAACCAGCCCTCAAGTCATCACCGGCCAAGCGCATCCAGCCACCCATCTCCGCCTCCTCATACCTCCCTATTTTTACTGTTCCTCTCCCACCGGCCGGCTCAGACGCTGCCTCATCATGTCCCGTCTGCTTGAACCAGTTGACGAACCCCACAGCCTGCCAGACCGGCTACGTGTATTGCTACGTATGTATCTTCCACTGGCTTAACGGAGAGCACCAGCGCCAGCTGGACTTCATGAACGGGGACGGTGCTGGCGCTGCATGGGAGGATGACCTTGTCGATGGCGAGGATGGAAATGGAGAGCGGGATGATGCAGACGCTGCGCGGCCGGGGAAGAGTCGGCAGGGAAAGTGGGAGAGTGGGAAGGGGAGATGTCCGGTTACGGGGCGTAAGGTGTTGGGCGGGACTGAAGGGTTAAGGAGGGTCCTGATTTAGACCCTTCCTGAACATTCATGTTGCTCTAGGGCGTTGTACACCCACGTGAGCACATTTCGCATATGTCTTACAATGTATATAGCAATTAGACTCTGCCATCAGATACAGAGTACGCAGCGCTACTTTACTCTGCAAATTCTTGATATCCACAGCCAAGATTTACCGCATAAGGAACTACAACAGTATGTGTGCCACATATCCCCTTTATCCAGGAGCCAGAGCCTATAAAGTGATATCATGGGACATACGGCTCAGCCCCCTTCCGAAAAATCAAATGCGGCCGCTCAGTGGCAACCTTTAGGATCGCCTGCGCAAAGACCGAGTTCGCCCACGCAAACCACGGCCGTGTGTACGACCGGATATTATTCACATCGACAGACTCATGGATCAGACCGAGAAGGCTCGAGTCACGGACGAGGTTGATGCACCGCGTGATCTCGTCGTCCGAGTCAGAGGTCATGGCTTGTACGAGGAGAGACATGGGCCAGGCGTTTTCGAGGCCGACTATTACTCTTAGTTAGATTCTTGCGTGATTTTGGGGAGAAGGTTGGGTGGAGGGGCCGGGCTTACTATGTGGTCCGCCGATGCCATGGAAGCCGGACCCGGTGAGGTAGTAGGGGTTCCCTTCCTTCGAGAGGATCATCTTGCGTGTATTCTGATAGACTGGGTCCTCCTGATCCACGAAGCCAAGGATAGGCAAGGCGAGAAGTGAAGGGACGTTTGCGTCGTCCATGAGGATCTGGGATCCGTAGCCGTCGACTTCGAAGGCATACACATTGCCATACTTAGGGTGCTTGACTATAGCGTAGTCCTGAATAGCCTGCCGTAAGTCGGTAGCGCGAGTCTCGAGGTTATCTGCGAGATCGGTGTGTCCACCCGCGGCGCGGAGCATGTCTGCTGTCCGCTGGAGCTGCACGGCCATCATGGCGTTTGCGGGAATGAAGAAGCCCATGATCGTTGCGTCGTCGCTAGGGCGGAAGGCGCTGCGAATAAGGCCTGTGCCGCTGTTAAGCGGGTTGCCGATGCCTGCAAGGTTCAGGGTCTCGGTTCCTAGCGTTGTTGTTCTTTGGAAAGTGTACTGGTTCGTGATGTATTGGCCTTCGCCGTTGAAGGTTGGCCGGGACTGTGCGTCTAGGACTTGGAGAAGGGTATCAAGGGCTGTGAGCCAGCGGGTTGTGAGGAAATCGGTTGAGCCTGTGTTGCTGTGGAAGTCTGTTGCGAGAGCGAGGAAATTGGCTAGGGAATCGAGCTCGTATTTGCACTCAAATACTGTGGATGGTTCATATGCCGGGTGAACTTGGTCATTTTGCCCGTGGCTTGTCGGAGGAATATTGCTTGGAGGTGGAGGCTGGAATGCATTGCAGTACGGAGATTGTATAACAAATTCGGCCTGCGTGTTGATAGCTCCGAGGATAAGGTTGAAGAGCCCCTGGTCCCTGTTTGCGAGAGTCTGATAGTTTGCCAATTGGTTCGTCGAGTCGCGTAACCACTCAGCGTTAATGTCTCCTGTCACAACAAAGCTTTGCGGACCCTCCCATTGGCCGTTTTGTTTCTTGCTCTTCCTTGTCGCTGTCGTGGACCCGTCCGTGTGCCATCGGATCGTGGTATCGAGAGTATTGGGGAAAGCGTTTCTGAACAGCTGGGCGAGATCCTTATCCACCAAACGGGATGTGACATCCTCAATAACTTGCTCGACGACGGATGAGTGGAAGGTCCGGCATTCCAAGGCGGGTCGTTGAAAGGGTAGCTTTAATGGGCCGTCACTGTAGGGAGGACTGCGGGTAGCGGAAGGAGATTAGCGCGGACACTGCCATCCATGTAAAAGAAATACTCACTGCGGCGCTGAAGCATATGAGACATAGTCAGGACATGCCTGTCGAAGAAGTGCAGCATCATCCTGCAGGCCTGTAGCTCCCCTTGCTCCCAGACTCGCGAGAGAAAGGGCCAGAACCAGTGGGGAGAGCATCGTGGTGTAGCGAGTATACTTGGGGGACTGTCTATCGGGAAATCATTGTAGAGTTCAAGTTGGAGGTCACATTGGGAGGAAAGGATAAAATGGAGCTGAAGCCCCTGTTTGCTGTGGTATTTGGGGAGTTGGACATGGCGGGTGGACTCGAAATAATGCGGAGTCGAAAACGGAGACAGCAAGACTCCACTGCACAACGCCGCCGGCGATCTTCCTTCCCCGCTTCCCGCTTCTCTTCTTCCTTGTTGTATACATACATTTATTACGGAGTACTGAGTTCGGGTTATAAACTATACAACTATTCATAAAGTTCTCGTAGCCCAGTGGCTTGTAGGGTATTTGGTGGATCCAAAAGCTAGTCCATGGTTTGTTTGCCTTTGAGTTTCTACTACAGACCCCCGCCCCTCTGAGGTGCCTCGCCCTGCCTAGTATACTACTTAAACAGGATTATCCCGAATGCTACAGCCCGTTGTGACCACGAGGTCATCAAAGTCATGATGGACTGCGTGACTACCCTCGATTGCTTCCCATGGCTCATCTAACCCGCAGAGTGCAGAGCTAAGAATTGCGCATAACAGCCACTGCTGATCACCACACCCTTTCACTATTATAGAACCAACGTTCGAGCTTCATTTCTTGCCAAAAAACGACATAATATTCCCTTGTCCCGCTTTGGCACCAGCTTTTCCTTTTGGCGCACTGACCACTGGCTTCTTCTTCGGCGGCGGTGGTGCGGGCTCATCCTCTGAGAATGACTCCCAGCTGGGTTCCTCGACAGTAACTAGAATCTCATTAGCATGGTGCTATTCTTTCAGAGGCAAAGGCGCATGGTCTCACCAAGGTATCCTTCGCTGTCCTTTTTCACTGCCTTCTTCATGACCTGTCGGCGTCCTCTCCGGCGGCCACCCTTGACGGTGGCTTCGACCTTCAGGTCTTCTTGTTGGGGAGGCGGTTGGTCAATGGGTGCGCTGGGTTCTTCAGGCTCTGCAGCATCTGGCATTTCTTCATCCTCATCTGTACTTCATTAGCGTGGCTCTGAGAGGCATTGCTGTTGATCATACCATCGTCATCCTCCATCATTTTCCTTAACCTGTCTTCACGCTCCTTTCTGCTTTCACGAGTCTCGGCTGATGCCGGCTTTTTGGACTCGGGGAAGAGCTCCTCCTGCTCTTCATCGTCATCGGAGGCGTCACCAAGCACAACTGTAATTCGTTAGCTGATGCCTAGAAGCAACGCTGTTAGGAAGCTCACCATCTTCAGGACCGCTGGGTTCGGCCTAGGCAATCGTCAGTTCACTGAATAGAAATTGATTGGGCCAATGCTCACCGACTCAGCGCCGGAAGCAGCTGGAGTAGATGAATCTTCCTTCTTGAGCTTTGGCTTCGCCTTGGCAAAGGAGCTGAACAAACTTCCCCTCTCTTTCTTCGCCGGCGCGGCTTTCTCCGCTGGCTTTGTTGATGAAGTATTCTGGCGCTGCACTGGTTTGGTATCTGATCGTTCCTCCTTAACCTCGGGCTTGCTCTGCTGCGAGTCGGACTGTGCGGGCCGTTTCGCAGGAATGGTACTCGAAGGCGCGGGAGGGGTTGGCGGCGGTCGTACACCTGTTCTCCTCTATTCGGATATCAAGTTAGCATTGCGTAAATTGGAGGCGAATGGTGATATCCAGCCATACCTTGACATTCTTGTTCTGAATCATACCCCATTGCTTCCCATACTCTAAGGGGTCCTCCTTGGCGTGGGCAACGAGCATCTCCCTGGCCACATCGGTAAGAACATTCAGATCCTGAAGTAACGTAGGCTGGAGACTGTAAATGTAGATGGACGATAATGACTCGAATGTTGATTTCGCATCTGCGTGCCTCGTTAACAACCAAGCCACATGTATATTTCAGCTCAGAACTTGCCCTCAAGATCTTCTTCGCGCACTAGCAACACTGAGGAAATACGGACTTGGTCCGTGGCAGCCTCCTGATTCGGCATCGAGCTGGGGATGTAGGGGCTACTCGGCATAACTTCATCTCCATCACCGGATGTACCGTTAGCTCCTGCGCCCTTTGCAGTATCTTCGGCCTTCTGTATGCCCGTAAGGATATAGGTCGCGTTCACACTGCGAGGTTTCTTCGCATTCTCGGCGTGGTGGAAGTCATATAGCATTCTTTGCCAGTCAGCATCGCATTTCACTTGCAAGCCACTGGGATAAAGGAGAACTAACTGTTTTGCCAACGTGCTATGAGCCCTCAATGCCCGACCGAGCGAGCGATAAGTAACCTAATGCCGCGCAGTCAGTAAGAGCTCATCAGCAGGGCGGGATCTCCTCAATACGCACAGTACGTCGCTCATTGAGGACATTTTCCGCCAAGTACTTCTTATAATCAGCGCCCGCCATTGAGATCAACAGGAATTCAACTTTGTCAGTCGTTCAACAATAATTCTGTTTGCGATCGAGCTCCAAGAAACATGGTGATCGGCGACGCGTCGGGGGCCTCCGCCGAACCACTTTACGCGTATCAGTCAGCTGCAGGTTCGGTCTTGGCATCTCAATCCGTCTCTTCCTGCTGCTCAAAAAGTTGCCTCACTCACGGACGAAGAAGACGCAGGCTGGAGCACCGATCGCTGCCTCGGCCCATCATTTTGAGGGTTAATAGTGCTCCGATCCGGCACGTCTTGAAACGCAAACACCCATGGAGCCGGCGTTCGATCTCCCCGATTCCACGGACTGGCTCGACACGCCATTGAAGCTGCTCGCGCCGCTCGAGTCCTCGCTGCGATGTCAAGTCTGCAAAGACTTTTTCGATAACCCCGTTATTACATCCTGCAGTCATACATTCTGCTCGCTGTGTATCCGGAGGTGTCTAAGTTCAGAGGGAAAATGTCCGACGTGTCGGAGTTCGGACCAGGAATTAAAGTTGCGGCGGAACTGGGCTGTTCAGGAGCTTGTTGAAGCTTTTACAAATGCGAGACCGAGTGTGCTGGACCTGGCCAAGAGGGCCACGAAGAGTGGGGGTATTGCTGCTGGGATTGAGGGGGCAGATACTGAGGAGCCTGTTACTAAGAAGCGCAAACTCGAGGACGAGGTCAATGGAACAGAGACGAAGTCCGATGAAGGTGTGCGCACTCGGTCACAAAGTCGGGGGATGTCGCGGTCGGCGCAGCCTGCTGCCATAGAGATCATTGACGACATTGAAGATGAGGAGTATATTCCAGGTATTAAACACTCCGTTAGCTGTGTTTGGAGAGAGTTAACTCTCGGATCAGATGACGGGCTGGTCCCGTGCCCTATCTGTCAACGGAGAATGAAGAACGAGGCCGTGTTCCGACATCTTGACTCATGCACAGGCAAGCAGGGCGGTTCAACTGAACCAAAACCGGCAGCTTTCGGGTGAGACATGTGCAGCCAACCTTCAGCGTTGTGAGCAAAACAATTAACTTGTACCCGATAGCTCTTTATCGACCGTTCCACGCAGACCATTCCAAGATGCTACCCAAAAACCGCCTGAAAGACTCCCAGCCATCAATTACTCGCTATTAAAGGAGACAGTGCTGCGCAAGAAACTGAAAGATCTCGGTATACCGCACTCGGGCCCACGAGCCCTGATGCAAAGGCGGCATACCGAGTGGATGAATCTATGGAATGCAAATTGTGACTCCAAAGCGCCGAAGCCGAAAAGCCAATTGTTGCGTGAACTTGACGTCTGGGAGCGCACGCAAGGTGGAAGCTCGTCGACCCCAACTGACACAACAAGCACTGTCATGCGCAAGGACTTTGATTCAGCTGGATGGTCGGCGAGCTATGATACCGACTTTAAGCAACTAATTGCAAATGCGCGAAAGAAGAGCGATGCTGTCGTCCGCTCGACAATACCTAGTGCATCACCAGTTGCCTCGAATGAGCCGCAAAGCTCCCCAGTCGTAGAAGCGTCGGGGAAGGTGCCAATGCCCGAAGCCCCAGCCAGTCCAGCAGCCCCGGTTTTGAATGCGAACCCACCTAATGGTGTCGTCCTTGCATCGACCCCTATGGAGAGTGCGCCCCTCGAATGGATTCCTGGAGTACAACAGAACCCAGAGGACCCTGATCTCTAACAACAACTGGTGACTAGCTGTCGTTATCGAAGAATATCTTTGAAGCCGTTCGGTGACGATAGATGTTCCAGAAGATATATCCCGCGTGAAGTTCTGTTCATAGTGAGCGTAAGCTCAAGCATTTTCCTCTACTGACATCCGCGAAAGTTTCTCGATACTTTCTTCCAAAGCGGAGCCGACGTTCTGGTCAAGCGGTGCTTTTCGTATAGCTCCTTTGGTCTCCAAACCGAGGTTGTCGAGTTCGGCGAGCTGCTTGCGGGTCTTCTCTGCCTCCTCCTCTTCCTTCGCTGCACGTTCCAACGACTCCAACTCCTGAAGCTCATCATCGATTTCAGTGTCATCGATCTGAGGACCAGCTTCTCCCATGATGTTACCGATCTCATCCACTTTGGACATCTCCTCGTGCAGCTCCTCAACCACATCCTCGACCTTGGACACATCTCCGACCTGGGCATTGAGACCTCGAAGGACGCCGGTACTCGCTTGCATGACCTTGACATACTCAACCTGGTCTTGCGCTTGTTCGATCTTGAGATAAACCTGTTCCAGCTGTGCCAGAGTATCAAGTCGCTGCTGCAGATTATGCTCCGCGAGCTTCTTAGACCGCACTGCAGCGAGAGCTGAAACACGATTCTTATTGTTTAAGGCGGCCTTCGCTGTTGTGTTAAGCTCGGCAATCTTTTTCTCCAGACCCTCAACCTGTTTCGACATTGTCGTTGTCAGAGACCGAATGGAGGCAATCGTCGTGTCTTGCTGGGTAATCTCCTTTGGGGAGTCATTTGTGGGACGGAATCTGATCGTCTATGACCTAATCAGCTCATATCCATATCCGAAGAATAAGTTGTTACTTACCTTGCCATCATACGCAATGGCTCCCTTATCACGGGATAGATATAGCAATAGAACATCAAAATCAGCATTAGACAGCTCACTTTCCTCATCTAGAATCGTCGCGAAGCTCTCCACAAAGCCCTCTTTCGTATAAATCAAGTCCGTCCTCGACGGATTCGAACCCATAACTCGCCTCACCACCTTATCCGCAGCCTCCTAAACAAGTATCAGCAACCCTCAAGAACGTTACTCACCCAGCGCATGTCAGCACATACCTGAAGATTCTCCACCAACACCAATTCCTGCGCCTGTAGCTTCCCGCCGTCTGACACAGCTCCAACCACAATGCCGCGTATTTGCTTCAGGCCCCAGACCATGACATTCCAGGGACTCAGCGCCGTTGTATCTATAAGACCCCATTGTGGCTTCCGCAAACTTGTCCCGCTAGCCTTGAACAACTGAAGAGGAACCATGACGCGATTCCAGACAGCATCCTCCTATACACCCCCGAAAAAGCCCAAGAGTTAGCACACTCCATATCAGAGCAGTAGTGCTCGCACCATAACCTCAAAAGCAAGAGAAGAGAGGAGCGGAACATACAAAAACACTCCCCAGCGCAACGGGCCTCCCTAACTGCGGACTCTCCAGATCGCGCACCAAGCCATCATCAACCCTCAGCACCAAATGATTCGACTTGCGCTTCTGCGCCGCTTCCGAACCAGGGCTACTACCACTCGATGATGCAATGTATCCATTCCGCGCGGCCTTCACCAAGGCTTGTTCCCATGCCGTGGCATTCACGTGGTACCCGTCGGGATTTGTTTTCTTCTGAGTCGAGAAGTCGGAGTAGAGCGAGGGAAGGCGGTTTCTGGCGTAGCGACGGTTGGTTAGTTGGTTCTTATGGAGTGCTGGAGTGTGTTTACTGTACTTTCTGAAAGAGTCTTGGGTGAGAATATACTTGAGAAGGTCGCTCATGGTTCGGATCGGTTGTTCGCTAATTCGGGAGCTATGAGAAGCTTCGAGGTAACGAGTTGATAACAATTTTTGGTTGACTACTTTTAATGATTTGAGGTTGATCGCAGTGGAGTTTAGTTGCGATCTTGGAAATTGAAACATCACCTGTTGGGGCTTATCGATAAGGATATTTTGTCACGTGCGATTATTCAAGGGCACTGGCAACCAAGCTTCCGTCCATTAGAGAAACGTCGTTCCATGTTGTACCCCGTACATACAATGAATGAAACACTGGAACCTCGGAAAACTGCAGTTTGTACAAGTCTCGCGGGAGACAACTGTGAATCTATTAAACTATTTAGCCTATGATACGCCTCATATCCGTCATCGCCTATGATTATGCTCGTTCAAAATCGTCATTGCCCAGATTATCTTCGTCCCTCGCTGGCTGAACCGGCGGAAGAGCAAGACTTCCCATGTCCAGCGGGTTGACGATCAAGGACCTGCGGTTCAACCGTCTGTCCAGCTTCTCACTAGTTTCCTCGTTGTCCAAGGGATCCGTGCTGCCAGTTTCCTCCTTGATATCCAGCCCGCGGGCCTCGAGATACCCGACTTTCACTGAGAGCCGCAGGTTGTCGACCAGTGTCTGCATCTCCGGCATTGGAAAGACACCATCGCTCCCCATGACGTCCGCGTAGAGACGCTCAGCCTCTTCGAGACATGCAGAGGCTACCGCTGGCTTTCCGAGTCGAAGCCACATGTCAGCTGCGAAGAGACTCCACATCCCGGCCTTGCGGCGTCGCGAACCCCATCGCACACCGTTCACGGGAGCCCGAGAGGCATAGCATGCTGAGATTCTTTCGCTGAAAAGGGCCTGCCCGATAGACTCTATTAAGCCCAGGTCCATGGCCCGCATGGCCCACTTGGCTGCACTCTCGGCGGCCGAGCCGCCACGGATTTTCAACAACTCAACAGCTAGGGTAAGGCAACGCAGTGTGTTGGGGGCGTCTGAGCATCGAGTAAGATATGAATAACATGCGGTTTCGAACATCTGGTCGATGTTCTCAAGCTTCGTCTTTGTGCCCATTCCGAGAGGATTTAATAGTAAGCTCACGGCGCACATCTCGTAAGCACCAGCGTGGTGCTTCCAAGCTTTATCATTGGCATAATCTGAGCGTAGCAACTCATACGTAGATCCGGAAAGCTTCCAATCGCGGAGCATGAAAGCATAGTCTGCCATTTTCCGTAACAAAGCTTCGTCGTTGTCATAGTCGTAGAAGCCATGAGCCACATTATAATTCCCACTCGCCCCGCCACCAGCGCCTGTCAAGCTGGAGCGAGAACTAGATCCGAACCCTGCCCATTTTCGTGACATTGACATGAACCTGCCACTAATACCACGCCGTCTTGACGCCACTCGATCATTCCAAACGGCTACTTTGTTCTCCATGAACGGGATGACCGACTGGGCTACCAGTTCTCGGACAAAGCTTTTAATTGCCATGATGTCAGATTCGAATAGATACAAAAGGCCGTCCGAGTCAAGGTCGACCAATGGTTCTACATGTGTCAGCAAGAAGAGCACAAGAAATATGCCAAATTCGGGTCTTGATTCAACTTACCCGCGCGGCCGAGAAGCCGCTCCGAAGGCGACAACCACTCACACTCCGGCACCTGCACGCTATCGTCATCCGTAACCACACATTGATTACTGCGTAACCGCAACAAGTGGCAATGTAAGCCAAAATGGCGCTTCATTTGATCGTAGAGCTTGGTTGACTCGGATATGTCGTCGCGGTCTTCATCGTGCACAAGTACGTAGTATCGAAGGTACTCTGGGTGGATCCAGTCTGGTGCCCTCCTGCTACCATTGTTCGTATCTGCGTAGAGTTGCCGGAGGGACTCGAGGGGAGCGGGATTGCGCGAGCTGGTAGCAATCACACTTGCAACAGGATGGCGGAATGCTTCGTGGGGAGAGGCAGTGGCAATCGACAGCAGTTGGCGTAGGTATAGTTTATATAGAGGCGAGGTAGTGGAGGGACCCAAAAGGTCGTTATGGTGTAACGATCCGCCCAGCGGAGTATCAGGCGATTCTAGCTGCTTTTCTAGAACGGACTCAACCTGGGCCAGAGACGAATTTCGCCCCTGATTCAGACCGTCAGGGGGTTGGCAGCTTTCCTTCAAATCCACGAACCGCACTCCATAATCTTCCCAGCCGCGACTTGACCCAACGCTATCCCGAATGACAAGCTTCCCGGGCACATTTTCCCCAAACGGCCGTATCAGTTCCCAGAAGCCTTCCTTGAACCCTTTTTGCCGCACCAGCTCATCGGTATCAGGCGAGGCGTAAACACCAATAACAGGAGAAAAGGAGCGAATGATGAGGGATCGCGTTTCTAGCGCGGCATCTGCCCGTCCATCTACGGGTGAACCCAGCGACGACCTCCCTGCTTGCGGAGTTGACGACCTGGCAGGCCGGCCGTGGGGGGACGCAGTTCGGAGCGGAAGCTCGGAGGTGGTTCGCGATAGCGGGGGTGTGGGAGACGTGCCTATCCTTGACTCAGCCCGGTCCGACTCTAGAGATGCAGTTGAGTCGCGCCGCTGGCTGGGGTATCTCGTCTTGGAAGCGACACGCGGCACGCCGGGCGAGAAGGACGGCGGAGGTTTGACCGGAGCAGCATCTCCGGGCGATGTCATGGACCCGAATGGATTCCGAGAAATAACAAGGAATGGTAACTCGGAGGCTGTAGGTCTAGCCCATGGACTGATGGTATGAGGAGTACGAGGATATCAGACGTCGAGAAAGTAGTAAAGAAAGCAACACGGCGTGAAGATGCGGAATTGAGGTGAAGCAATGACGATAACTTGAAGGTGAGGCGTCAGGCGGTTGTCCGGACAAGGCCAAGTCTCAGACGCCGAAACGTGGAGCAGTTCAAATCGAGCGAATCGCGGCGGATTTGCGCATCCCTCAACATGTGAACCACACAGCAGCATCAAGCGACTGGCTCGGGCAGGGAATAAGGATTGTTTGAGTCGTGCTATTTCTTTGACAGAGCAATGCTAGGTAGGATGCGAAGAGCGCAATTGGCACAGCCAATAATGAAGGCGGTGATCGTTCTCGCCGGCTGAGCTTCGCCATCTTCTTTGATGCCATGACTCAAAAGGCATATCCAACCCTGCTATCACATAGCTTTCCCTCGTTCTTTCCCCTCCATGGGATCGCGCTCCCTTCATGTTTGCGTCTTCCTTCTTATTGACTCATAGTTCTGTCAGACTCTCTCAATCAGCGACATACTTCTCCAGACCCCCACTCTCCGAACCCTTAGCCATTCTTTCAAAGCGCCGTCCGACCCAATCTACTCCCTACAGCCGTTATATGAGCCGTCTCCAGGTTGTTGACTCTCCCTCCGCGCGAGCAAGCAAGAGGAGACGCACTTCTCAAGCCTCTCCTGTCGAGATACCTGCGGCAGTCATGACCCCACCCGAAGACTGGGCTTCGCCGCAACTTCCTACTATCAAGCTCACGCCTCTCGAAAATACCTTGAAGACCCTCCTCGTCGATGTTGCTCAGTACATCCGGGAACACAACTTAAAAGGTGCGCGCAGCAATGCCGACACTCCAGATACTGTGCTCCGATTTACGGGGGGCTGGGTACGGGACAAGCTGTTGGGCGTGCAAAGCCATGACATTGATGTCGGAATCAATAACATGACTGGCTACGAGTTTGGGACGAACCTCAAGAAGTATTTGGACAAACCTGGGATTCTGGAGAAGTATCGGAAAAACCATGAAGAAGGGGAACTACAACAAGCGATCATCCGTCTCCACAAAATTGAGGCCAACCCCGAAAAGTCGAAGCACTTAGAAACGGTGACAACGAAAATCTTTGGCTTTGATGTAGATTTAGTTAATCTGCGGAAGGAGTCATATTCCGAAGACAGTCGAACTCCACAAATGGAATTTGGAACGCCGGAGGAAGATGCTTTGCGCCGTGATGCGACGATTAATGCTCTTTTCTACAACCTGAACGAGTCCAAGGTCGAGGATTTTACAGGGAGGGGCTTGTTGGATATGAAGAATGAAATCATTCGAACTCCGCTGGAGCCGTATCAGACTTTCAAAGATGATCCGCTTCGAGTGCTGCGGCTGATTCGATTTGCTAGTCGACTGGGTTACCGCATTGACACGGACACTGAGACTGCGATGCAGCATGGCGAAATTAGCAGCGCACTCACGCATAAAATTAGCAAAGAGCGTGTCGGTATCGAGGTGGAAAAGATGCTCCAAGGCCCTGACCCCCGCGGGGCTCTTCATATTATTGATCGACTGAAGCTTTATCCAACGATTTTCGCCAATCATCAGGATGATGTGGTGCCGGAAACATCATCTTGGTCCCTCGCCTACGATGCCCTCCATCGCTTATTGTCCTCGGATGAGGAGGTAGAAGCTATGAAGCGCGTCCGCACCCTGCTCGTGCGCGACACGCTCGAGAAGTACTATGCTTGGATGATTGCTGCGCACGCTCCATGGTCGGCCGTTTCTACGCGGGCTGCGCCTAGCGGCAAGAAGTCATTTCTACCCCGGATGGCAGAGGTTGCTCGGGATAGCCTACGGGCAGATAATAAAACGGTTACAATGCTGGGACAGACCGCGAACCACTGGCGTAACATCATTGACGTCAAAGCCGCAGTCGTTGAGGGTCTAATGCAAGGGACACCAGCGGTGATCCGACAACAGGTTGGGTTACACATCCGATCCTGGGAGAAGGACTGGAGACTTTGCATCCTCTTGTCTCTGCTACAGGAGATCATGCAGGGGGGTGAGTTTGTCCAAGGTAAGCTTTCCTCTAATCAAAATGTCATTGTTGCAGGATAATTTTGCTTACTTCGTCCACACAGTGGTGCAAACCTATGATCGATTCCTGTCCTACATTCTCGAACAAAGACTTGACAGTGCATTTGAGTTGAAGCCCATCGTAAATGGGGACGAGGTCAAGAAATTCTTGGACGCGAAAAGCGGCCGATGGTTGTCTACGGCCTTGGATTTTGTGATTCAGTGGCAGTTGCTACACCCTGAGAATCAGGACAAGCAACAGGCACTAGAGGAGCTGGGTCGCAGACGAGAGGAGCTAGGTATTTGAGTTAGCGAGAGGCTAAAGTATCAAATAACATGGCCCTGTTGCGATACATTCCTGGTAGCAGATCTTTGACATCCATCACCAGAGGGTCGATCTATTGAGAAGTACTAGCAATCCAGCCCCAGTTATGACAAGGGCACTAGTAATCATTCTTAATCTGTAAAGTGAAGAAGAAGCTGCGTTGCTGCCTACGCGCCTGGCTTTTGCCATCAACAGCAAATATTTTTGCCAACATATTGGGCCCAGAAAGACTGTCGTGAGCTCTGAAGTTTTTCAGTCATTTTTTTAGCAAGCAGGGACGCGGCGTTTCACAAAAACGGTAACTAAAAAATTTAGAACAGAAAATAAGCTCCCGGCGGGGCTCGAACCCGCAATCTTGGGATACCTCTACCGCGTACTTGAGACTCCTCTCAATTAAGCGATGTAGAAGTCACACGCCTTACCATTAGGCCACGGGAGCATGGTTGTTAATTACCTCATTTTCCTTTAAGCAACACTAGGCAACGTACAAGATTTGCCCCACTTCTGCCATTGAGCTCCTTTTACTCTCAATTGGCCTGAGGAAACCACCCAGCTTCAACGTGGAATGATGGAAGAACTTCGCAACGAGACACCCAAAGCGCTTCAGCCCCCAGAGTCACTTTTAACTTCTGATTCAGCCATTCATAAACAAGCTAATCCTCAGAATCTGGATCAACTCTGGCAAGAAGTATCCACCAATTATGGTTCGGATAAATCTGCTGTATGAACCTCATATTTCAACGATGGGTGGCTGTTGCTAACGTTCGATAGACCTGCGAGGCTCTAATGATCGCGCAGGGATTCCTGCGAGATTGGAAAAGGGAGAGCCTGTCAGAAATCGATAAAGCAGCTATTGAAAATCTCTATAGCTGGGCGAGTCAATTGGCTATCCCGTCTTCAGTATTTGCCGAGTCTCTCGACGGATCTTTATCGCCACGTGGGTCCCCAGTGATGCCAACTTCTGACTGAGCTGACCGTGACTTTAGTGCTAGACCAGAGCCGCCAGATATGCACTCTCGCTGTGTCGGTGATTTCAGCCTTGGCTGGTTTGACACCCTTACACGCCGTGGCCGCTACAGAGGACATTGTGGTTGCTCTGGCAAGTGTTACTTCTGAGGACGATGCCTGGACTACACACGAGGCGTGCTCTACCTCCAATGAACTGTTGAAGAGCTTCTCCAGTGACTCAGAATCATCAACATTTTGGCATATACTGGAATCCATCCTCAAAAATCGGATCAAACCGCTTTTCGCAAAGACCAAGAATCCTGCAATAACAGCAACCGGCCGAAAGAATCTTCACCCCATTCCATTGCCTCGGTTTGATCTGAGTGTTCTGGATCCTGAGACAAAGCCATGGAAGATACACGATGTCCATATCACTACCGTATTCTCGTGGATTATCCATCAGTATCAGGTGTGTGGTGGTAGCTACATGCATACGCTTAACCCTACTAACTTCGATTCAGTCAACAGATATCACGTATCTGGAAGCACACTTCCCTCTTCTAGTGCCGCCTATCCTCACGTTAATTGACGATGAGAGCGTCTCCGTCAAACGACGTGGTTGCCTCCTATTAACTCAACTCCTAAACCCAATTCGTGAAAGCAAATCTGACATTCTCCGACGAACAAATCTTTCCTCCGTGTTTGAAGATGCTATCAGACCCTGCTTCCACTCGCTTCCAACAATTACACCAGAAGATGATTCCATCCAGCTCCTCGCAGCAGCATACCCAGCTCTGCGCGCCCTCCTTCAAGCAAGCTACAAAACACTCATCCCTCCAGCTAACCAAGCCCCTTCAATAAGTTTGAAAGAGGAGGATATGTTCATATCAACCACAACCAAGACTTTACGCGATCACCTCATTCCCTCCTTCCACCATATCAGCTCCACAAACACCACGTCAGATTCTACCTTCGCTTCGTTCCCTCACCCCCGTCTATCGACTCTTCTTCTCAATCAAATCTGCGCTACGTGCACGGATCTAGGAGTTCATACTACCAAATATCTTCAGGATATCGTTCCCCTCCTCTACAGTACCCTCTCCAACCCTTTTGGAACTGCACATCCACCCTTCCTTCTTTCAGCGGTCTCAGTCGCAAGGGTCATAATCCTAAGCGCACATCCACGAATTTGGAGATGGCGAGGCGAGCTCCTAGGTGCAATATGCTCCTGCTGGCTACACATCTTGGGGGAGGAATCCGATACCGAACACAGAGGGTCAAAATCTACATCAACGCCTTCTCCAGAAGAATCTAGAAGGTTACAGCTGGAAAAGCTACATATGGAACTCCAGGGCCTCGCATATCTTTTACGATATGCACTCGAAAACCCCATCCACCTAGAGGGCGATGAAGGGCAACGCGAGGCGCAAGACAACATAGCGAAAGAGATACAGATGTTGGTCGAGGCGGACGACAATGTTAGAAATTGTCTTCTTCATGAAGTAAATCCGGATGATCCAGGTTACTTTGGGTTGAATGCCTGATGATACGATACCTAGACTGGAGCGCTTTTCACCTGTCAGACAGCCCTTGCTCAAATGCATTACGTGCATTAATTGAACCTTGGCGAGTAAATGATATGCTTGGTAGCAGTCCCGGGACAAAGCAACCGGACACAGCGTTTCCCCAGGTATACGAACCCATACGAACCCTATTCTGTCTTTGGACCCTGCTGGAAGTGTTTCGCCCGCTCCAAGTGGCCGACTCCCTCAAAGCTTGCGTTTTATGCTCGCAGCCGATTTCTAAGTCTTCCAGCCTCCATAGACATACGCCGGTCAATGAATGATTTGACCTTGGAAAAGCAACAAGTGCTCTAGACATCTTGATCACGCGGAAGCTTTGTATCTGCCCTAGTTCTCTCCAATCCCCTCATCCAATCGCAATTTCGCAGTCACTTTCTCTACGAGAGCAGTAGAACTGGCGACAAAACCCAAAAGGCGTTGTATAAAAGCTCTCATGGAAAGCAGCGGATCATGCCATTTGACCTTCTGGTCCGTTCACCGATCGTCTTCCCTGTCGCCATATATCTAGCCACGCTATACGGCTGCCTCTACCTGCTCTTCACCACAGTAACGGATATCTCGAAACCCCATATTGCTGGAGCACCGGAATCAACGGCCTCGCATATCTCGGAGTCGGGGTCGGCCTCATCGGAGGCCAAATCGTCTTCGCACTAGCCACTGACCGCATAATCAGGCGACTCAAGAAGCGCAAAAAAAAAAAAAAAAAAAAAACCGAGTACGAGCCTGAAATGCGGTTAGCAACTACCATCCTCTTCGCCCTATTCGTTCCCGTCTCACTCTTCTGGTCCGGCTGGTCTGCTCAGCAGAAAACGCACTGGATAGTCACCATTATCGGCCTCGCACCTTTTGCTTTCGGCATGGTGGGTATATATATTACTCTGCAAATCTATGTGATTGCTTGTTATTCACAGTACACGGCGTCGTCGGCGACTGCCACGGTGAGCATCACTCGCTCGCTAATGGGTGCCTTGCTGCCGCTGGGGGCTGGCGCGTATACGCGGCTTGGGATATGGATGGGGCAATTCCCTGCTTGGGTTCGTTATACCCGGTACGCTCATTACTGTTCCATTGCTATTCTCCAGATATAGCAGGAAAGTACGCAGGTCGTCTGAGCATTGACCTGTGACGGCCCTACAACTTGGAGGATCATATGCCGTGTTCGACCTTTCAGTGGCTCAATCCACTGTTGAACCTGGATTTAGGGCACACTTGACCTAAACCGGGGGCAATACCTGACTAGGAGGGTGTAGACTCCATATTCGTTACTGGCCTGCACAGTCTTTATGGCGTCTAGAAAAGCATGAAGTAGCTCAATCTGAAGCGACAGACAAAGAATGGGTATCTATCTAGTAATCACGCAGTAATCATCATATCGTAACCTCATCATATACACAAGCAATAACCCAGATGCAATCAATAACTCTACATATCAACCCTCTGCTTGAATAGACTCTTCCCTCTCAACCACTGCCGATACCGCTTATACCTCTTCTTCTCATAATCCTCCGCGACAACCGTGAGCCCCTCCTCAGAAACATTCAGAAACTCCGCATAATCCGCCATATTCTCCTCCGCGTTCGCACCGAGCGTATACTCCTCGACGTTGCACTTGTTCACGTACTCGAGAAGGTCGTGGTTACTTTCATTTTCGCGAATCGAGGCCGCTGCCGCGAGCTCGTCCTCGGACGTGACGACGAGAGGGACCTTAAGCGGATGGTTGATGTAGCGCTCGTACTCCTCCGCTTCCGTTGCTGTGACGGAGGGGTTGAGCGAGTCGGAAACGAGGTGGCCGAGAGTGAGCTGGGCGATCTGTGCTTTATTTGGTGTCAATGCAGTGGTTGAGGAGTCCATGGATGGGTGGCTGGAGTTTGTGGAGCGGAGGGTGCTACCCAGGGAGAGTAGTGTGGTTGGCTTCATGATCCCCGGTCTCTTCTCAAATGTATATGGCTGGTGCGGTTCCGGGGTTGCGGTTGGACGGGCGGGGTCTGGCTCTTTAATCTTGACGCTGCGTTGCGGGCGTTGGTCGCGGGGGATGGGCTCATGAGTGGCGGAGATACGGGGAACAAAGGGGCTAAGGTCGAGATTGCCCTGGTGGAGTGGCCGATAATGCATGGTGCTGTTCATTTTGTAGGGGAACATGTTTTTCAGAGTTGAGACGGCTAGTGGGCGGTAGTACTCGAACCAGTAGTCGTCGTAGCGGGAGAGGGATTCTTTGGGGGCTGTGGGAGGGACAGGGAGTTCTCTATCCTTCAGGTTTTCTGGCGTGTACCATTGAATGTAGTTGGGTTTGATCTTGTTAGCCCAGAATCGAGGGTCGGCGTGGTGGAGGTAGTAGTCGGTGGAGAGATCCCAGAGCATCGGTTGGCCCTGGGAGAAGATGTAGTTACCTAGGAACAGGTTGTAGGCTTCTTGGCGTTGTGCATCCAGGAATGAGTTGTTGTAGTATCTTTTGAAGCTTTCCACCATATCGCGTGAGTGACTGCTCCACTGGTTGATCTTGCGGTAGGTTGCCATAGTATTGACAAGATGAGAGCCGCCATATTGGATCGCAATGTTGTCACCATGGTCATGCCACATTTCTGTGAACATGTTGATGATATCAGTGTCATACTCTACTGTTGTTCCCTCGATAATGCCCAACGCATGGAGCTGGTAGCCCAGTGCCCGCTTTCCAATCACAAACTGCGCAGCATTCGTACGGTCGAGACAATCAATGCAGTTAGTTCTCGCAATTCCATTCTGCACCCGTAATCCAGACTCCACATCGTGAGCATTCTTGAAGAACCCAGTCTTGGGAATGATTTCGCCTGCGATATCTTCCAAGATTCCAATCACATCTTGATCTCGACTCTTCGCTGCCCTACTCATGTCCCATGGCTTGTATATGAGTTTCTTGTCTTCGGGCAAGAACTGATTGAGATACTGGATCGCATTTGTGTATTCTTTGAGGAGCTTCGACTCTCGCGGAGTCCGTTCCCTTGATTTGATGAGGTTCAGGATATAGATTGGCGCGCCATATCTCTCAAACAAGTTATCGAAGTGTAGGGCAGCAGCAGAGTAGAACGGATCGACCAAGTTAAGTTCGATATCCGGCTTGGGACTGACTCCAGAGTTTTCCTGTGTCCAATAAAGCGGGATACTTCCGCGGTGTTGCACATAAGAGGTGTACAAGGGGTTAGAGTAAAGATCCGGACCAGCGGAATGGAACGAGGTCGTGGTCATTTCAGCAACAATTTGTTCAGTTTCGACATCATTCGCGACGTAACCCAGATCATTCGCGCCTCGCTTGAGGAAGCGCGCGCCGGCGAAGAAGCGAGATCGTCGGGCGATTATCGTTATATAAACAAAGCGATCATACACAGCCATCTTAGCTTGATTCACGTACCCATGGATGATGGGCAAACACCATTGATATGGGTTTCGGAGAGTCATAATGGCGGGGGCGAGAAGATGATGGTTCCATATAAACATAGTGTTGTAGTCTTGTAAGAGCTCCCTTGGAAGACCGTCCTGATGAAGCTTGCGGTCTCGGTTGATGTTGTGCTGCAGTGTACGCGTGACGTCGTAGGAGTAGCTAAAGTAGAAAGCGCGCGTGAGGTCGAGGTTGTTTAGAATCGCTATATACCGTGCTTCCTCGGGATTCTTCTCAGGCTTGAATCGAGACGAACTTGAAGGTGTTGTGAGCGATATAAGTTCTGTTCCGTCGATCTTGTAGACGTAATGACCCCCAAGCATAGCTACCTGGCTGCGTTTCGTCACGAGAAGCATGTAGAATGCTCCAGTGAACCGGATAAACCCAAGTAGCGCCCACGCACTACATTTGAGCTTCAAACCACCAGAACTCTTATTTCCATCATCGATAGCATCCAGCAACTGGCTCATCTCCCTCTTTGTGTACACGATGTCATCCTCTATAATGTTCAAATCATCGGTTTCGGAGGTCCGGTCGATCTTCAGAATTCGGAATCTTGTATCTGACAAATCCATTCCAACCATGTAGAACCAAGTAGCCGTCTCATATAGCGAGAACTTGTGCATGCGGTTTATCCCATCTTCACCTCCAGTATCCAGATACACCTGCCGCTGCTTCCGTGTGGAGGTCGGTTGAGGCTCCCGCTCGAACGATGTTGCAATCTGTGGCTCCTCATCTTCTTCGCTAAAGTCTTCACTGACTGAGGGAGGGGCGGCCAGAGGGTTATAGGTAATCGGGGAGAATGGCGATCGTAATGGGCCCTCCTCGTCGTGGTGGCCGTCGGGGGTCGTGTCGGCCTGGCTCTCGGTGGTTTTGTTGCTCGACGAAGAAGCGAACGACGTTCCGGGTAGCGCGTTAATCGTTTCTGGGGCTGACTGTAGCGACCCGGTGTCGCCGAGCGAGGCAGTCCTTGAGGAGCGCCCAACAGACGCTGTGCTTCTCTCATCCGCGGCGTCCGCTAGTTGGGATACGTCGTCGAAGCTCTCCATGGTGGAATATCAAAGCTGAAACTTGATTCCAGCAATAGGCTTTCTAGAGCTAGCCGATGCTATCAAGCATCGTCATGTCGCCTGCTTGACAAGGTAGCAGGAGAACTGTTTGTGACGCGGTGGTTGTTATTTGGAGCTATCCTCTATCGCTCCTAATGCCTGAAATTCTAGGCTAGAAATACCCCACATGACGTCAGTCACATGATGCCCGTCAACACAGCAGTTCCAAGAGAGTCGCATGCAACATAAACGAGGTTTAGGGCATGACGGGAAACCGGCCCAATCTCACTAAGAACATCAACATGCAGAATTCTAAAAGAAACAAATCATGGCTGCATGCTGCCTACTGTGCTCCATCAGTGGACACAAGATCCCAAGGATTCCTAGTGGTCTTCTTTCTCTTTTCCTCGTCAAGCTGGTTAATCCTTGCCTTCACGACTGCAAGGTGCGCCGCTAGATCTTCAGCGGCCTGTTTGAGCAGTGGAAGGTTACCAATAGTCCCTGGATCGAGAGGGAATGGGATAACTTTGCCGTCATGGCGAGAGGGGGTTCTTGACCCTTCGGCTTTGAATTTCGTGCGTTTGGTACCGAGAGACGTATCATCACCGTCTTCCAATTCAACAATTCGTGGAGCGGGGCTCTGAGAGGAGCTTGAACCGGAACCTATCGCCATTATCTCTGTCAGCTATCACGCCGGACAGAAGCAACGGACAGTACTCACGAAGATTGCAGGCCGAACGCCCACTGAAACGACAGTTTGCACACGCCTTGGTCATAGGCCTTTCATCCTGCGTATCTGACCCGATGACACATTCCTGCCAGATTCCCTTTCCCTGTGTGCAAAAAGTGCAGGGAGTCTCGGCGAGCTGACCCCGAGTCTGAACGTATCCTGCGATCAATGTGCGTGTATTGGCAAGCTCTCGACGTATCGGCTGTCCATTATCGTCTTCACGCCAGTCTAGTTTCCTAAGCACAGGGAGACGCTTGTAGTAGTTCAGCACAGGCTGTGTGGCTTCGAATGGAGCGTCCGGAAGGTCAGCGCTAACACCGGCAACTGCGTCAGAGTTGGTCAATTCTAGACAATGCAAGCCAAGCCGTTTACTTACAGCTTTCGGAAGACGGACTCGCCAACTCCCAGGTCTTTCGTACGTAGCCATTGACCGAGCCTCGAGTGAAGTAGTAAGGCTCCTCGTCGCTGTCCTCCAGAGGCCGCTTAACGGATTTCGGCGCAGTTGGTGGAAAGGTTCGGAAACCAGATGTATTGCCGTTCAGCAGTATAGTACTGTACGACATCTTGAGATGCTCTCTTGAGACTGGAGGACTGAGCTCTTGTAAAGAGTGCGTAGAAGTTGGTTTGAGCAGCGTGGATGATCTTGGAATCTCGACACCGATTGCATGGGACTGCTTTATGAGCGCTGGAATTGTTACCAGTCCGTCCATCTCAATACTGCCTACTAGTCTTCTATTCACTCGTGTGCAAACGCGCCTAACCTGGTCAGTGTCCACACATTTCCCCCTTGGGGCCCATTGTTTCCCAAGGACAGACAATCATGTCAATAGGAGAACGTGCATCAATAGACAATCATTAACCACTAGCAATCAATGCCTAAAAGGGGTTTGTCTTAATGTACTTCATGTGGAATACCACTTCAAGTTTCAACTCAGCCGGCCTCGACAATCCCAATCCCTTCATTGAGAACGCTTATTGTTCTTTGCAACCCACAGTGCGTCCTTATCAAAACACAACGCACTCTTCTTGAAGCGATAGCCCTTTCCAAGGATCATAGTAACTACCGCCATTCCAGCTCATTCGAAGATGCCACTAAACCCAGAGGCTGGATTACAAACTCAGCGCCTCGGCTACTATACACACGGAACCCCATTCAGTGTTACGCCACACGACAATTCGATAGGTACCACTCGCGAGTGTCGCCTAATTTGACATAAAGAGAATGAGACTGAATAAAGTCTACAGGACATCTCGATGTATCAGCCATACCCACCGCCACTGCAACCCTCAAGCCCATCAATATTCCTGTTTCACACTGTTTAGAGCCACGGATCGTTTGATTTCTCTCGACCGGATGAGCAATCATACCTTAGATTGGAAGGTGCGACTCGACCCGAGCGTACCTTCCTGATGAAGAACTTTCAAAAAAGCAGGTACAAATCGGCAAAGCCTCGGTCGTTCCTTCCTTACAGGGGGCTGCACGCACAAGACATGGAGGTACGACCGGACGTCAACAGCGGCTCACCTTCCCTATCAAGAGATTGGGAGATAGGAAGGTGCAATGCAGGAGGTTGACACTCAAGTCGGAAGGCACGACCTTGTGGCTGTAGGGTAGCTACCCCTGGCTAGGTAAGTCATCAAACCTCTCTATTCAGACGAGCTCATAGGCTACTAAAGTTGTACTCCCCATACTTTCAAACGGAAGGAACTGCCGCAGGACATGGTCATGGAGTCGGCCATCCAGCTCTGATGCGTCTGCAACACAGCGCCAAGTATATCCTGACTAAAGAGATGTCCACCTATGGCAAGGAACAGTTTTCTGTCTACTTCTAGAGCCTCAAGGATTCTTCTATACACCAGTGCATTGTCGCGGACGTTGGCCACGGGCACACGTTGTATGAGCTGTGCCAATGGGGGTGTCGTGGTAGGCTGCAGCAGTCTTATCGCCTTTCTCCGATGCTCTATTGATCACAATACCGAACTGGTTGCGCTCTTTGAGCTGATATGGGATGTGGGACGCTGTGAACTCGCATCGTCCTATGGTAGGCTGCGTGGGTTAGGGCTAGATGAAACTGCAGGAAGCAAGATCATCTAGCTCCCATCATCTCACCAGGCCAAACAAACCCGAGAAACAGGTGTAACAGCTTTTGAACCCATGGGCTCCATAATATATGTTCATCATGCCAGCCAGCTTGTTTTGTCAGAAGCTTCTCACACTCCGGGGCCGGACGCCGAACACCACCTTGTACAACCTGCCTTTCACTTTCGCCTCTACGTCCCCTGGGATTCGAAATGAACCCCCTTCATTGCCCATGAAATGTCTTTCTCCCGCCAACTTACGGACACGCTGGCTGGTAGGCACATATACCTGAGATGCGGGACCTTTGATAGGCTAAGTAATGTTAAACCAGCCCCCTGCTCAACTCCTAGCTAATTCACTATTCTTAAGCATTTAAATAGATCTTGAATGACCCAGTGTCCCATCTTCAGCGGCTGGCCCTGAGCTCCAGCTCGCACCGTACTCTGTTTTCGCTCGCAAAAGGAGTCGCCGTGGCAGTTACCACCTAACTTAGGGCTCCCAATCCCTCAGCAAGAGCCTGTTGACGAGGAAACATGTCCGGGCTACCACTCTGCAAGCTTCTACCCAGCAAATCCCGGGGGAATACTGGTTAAAAGCTGTCAACTACTTGCCAAAATCGGTCGGGTCACATTCGACCGTGCGGCTTGCCCGAGATATTTCAAGGTATTAAGCGACAACCGTGACCTGTTTACCGAAACGCTGACCTTGGCCCTTACAATTGAGACTCAAATGGCAATCTGAAAGAACAGTTGCCCGGAAGATCATCAACAGTAATAATCTCAACGATGCTCAGCATGAGAAGGAAATTTAAGAACACATGACGCAGCAGAACCCAGAGCCTCGTGGCCGTGTCATTCTACGAACATGCCTAGATGACTTCGAAGTAACTGGTCCGGAAGGAAAACATGTGTGCCTTGTTTACGAGCCAATGAGAGAGCCCCTCTGGATTTCCCAGAGGCGGTTCGTTAATGACCGGTTGCCTTTGTCCATTGCGAAGGCTTATATCTACTTCCTCCTTGTTGGTCTTGATTATCTTCACTCAGAGTGCAGAGTGGTCCACACGGGTAAGTATTTGTCGCCTTCTTTTGTGCCTATCCACGAATGGAGAGATCTAACGTACGTATCAGATCTAAAGCTCGGGAATGCCGCCATGAGCTTCGAAAACGACAACATTCTTACCGAGTCCATTAAACAACAACAGCCGATGCATTACAAGGTTGACGGCAAGATTGGTCGGGCTATCTATCGCTGCCATAATGACTTTGGTACTCCTGACGGAAGAGAAATCAAGAACATGAGTCCCATGATTGTAGACTTCGGGCTCGGAACAAGACTCGACAAGCCGTGTACTGGAACCGCAACAGTAGGCGAGCAACTTGGAGTCTATCATATTCAACCAGACCATTCCCGTGCCCAGAAATAATTCTCGGCTGCGGTTGGGATTTCAAGGGCAGATATTTGAAATCTTGGTGTGCTGGTAAGGTCTTTGTCACGGCTCTTTGCACTTTTGTTTCACTTTCATCTGGTTACAATCGTTATTTTGTGCTTGATACTAACAGTCCCTCTCAATCAGCTGTGGAATATTCTTGGGAGCAAGGAATTGTTCCCAAGAGTACACGACACAAATGGCCATTAGGATGCAAAGTCACCTCGCGGAAATGATTGCGCTGCTCGGTCCTCCTCCGAGGGCACTGCTCGCCGAGTCCAAAGCCATATCGAAGTACGACTGGCCTCGGCCTGCTACCAACGAAATTGGAAAGCTTTGTAATTATGCTCAAAAATCCTTTAGCTGCCCCTTCTTTGACGCAGAAGGTCAGCAGACAACTATATCACCCGTCATATTCTGGAATTCTGACTTCGTTGAAGATGAATTCCTATGTAGTAATCTACTGGAAGAGAAAGATCATGAGACATTCTTGTCTTTTGCTCGACAAATGCTTACGTGGCTCCCGGAGGAGAGGAAGACAGCTCGCGAGCTCATGGGCCAGCCGTTTCTCAAACTTGGAGGGTGAACAAAAAGCCTAGGTTCCTTGGGTAATAAAGCAAGCCCTACAGAGAACAAATCTTACGGATCAAGGGGCTTACTGCTTTTTGTGTATATAGCAGCCACAACTGAACTTGCATACCATAGAGCCTACTTACGACACGGTCACGCACGTGCCAGGCGTCTAAAGATAGGATGGGGTAGGCTTGTATGACAAGGGACCGGTGGCTGTTTACTTGTTCAGGCGATGACTAGTGGAAGATTGTGGGATATTGATATTGAATACAAGTGCATGAAGGAAGAATCTAGCTGGGGGGCAGTGAGGCCGTTCAGATGCAAGCTCGCTTAGATAGTATCTATCGGGCACAGGACTGATGACCTGACGCCTTTACCGGGAGTGCGGTGGCGAAGGGGGATGCCATTGTAGATAGGATTTAATGAAGGTAGGATAGGCGTGGTATAAGAACAACACAAAATGCTCGGCCCTTATAGAATCTAATAGAGATGAAGTAAAACTGTGGCTGTAAGCAAGCCTCCACATTTCATTTGTAAACTTGTGAGATATGGAGACCTAGACTGCCAGACTTGGCGGATTATGCCTTTCTGGGTTTGCTTATTGCGAGTACGAAATCTAGCAATCCACATCTACGGATACGAAACTGGGGACCGGACTGGAGACCGCAAAGCCGTTGAGCCCTAACAGTAATCTCAGGAACAAGAATGGTCAATGCACGTGGTTTACGTTGCGCGTAAACAGGCAAAATATCTTATCGGTCAATGCGCTCTTCTTGAAATCAACCAGCTTTACGAAGGCCGAGGTTTCCTCACAGCTTGCGGAATGCGCTTCCATAGGCACCATGTGGCTCAATATAACAAAGAAATGCGGTTAGCTCGGACAACAGAAGAGCAGTTGGATAGAATGAGAAAGACTGGGGATAGGAATCCTTGGCAAGGTTCAGTCGCTCTTAAACGAGGTCCCAAGGGTCCATCTCCTGCTCGCGTTTCTTCTCTTCAAGCTGCTTAATTCTTTTGTTAACAGTCGCGAGGTGTCTAGTCAAGTCTTTTGATGCTTCTCTCAGAAAAGGGAGATTGCTGATTACATCAGAGTCAAGGAAAACTTGACCACCCTTCCATCGAGTTTGCAAGGCGCTCCAGATGCGACCTGTCGAGCCGCGGCAACATTGGAAGGTTCCTCATCACCTTGGTGCATCGATTCTGCTGGGCGCTTTTGCGGACGCGAGCTATTTGAAGCAAAGACTGAAGCTGCAAGGGTTTTTCTTCGTGTAGTCATAGATCCGCTAGCTGTTTTCCGTGGGCGAAAATCTCGATGTTGGTGATTTCCCTTCAATGGATTATTACTAGCTGATGATGGATAAATTCAAACTCACGGTGGCAACAGTCCCACTTCCGAGCAAACCGACAGTTACCACAGACTCCACGAGTGGAATCAGACTCTTTGACTAAACTTCCGTCCTCCACGGTGCAAGTTTTCCAGACCCCTTTCCCCTGCGAGCACCGAAGGCATGGAGTCTTCGCCATGGACCCGCGCGTCTGGATAAACCCAGCGCGTAGTGAAATTGATGGAGAGGCTTTCGGATAGGTTGGCCATTTCCGTCGGTCTGCCAGTGCAGTTCCGACGCGCGGGGATTTCCTCGTAGTGATGCAGAGTAGAATGGCGCTTTCCGGCAGGGATTGTGGGCAGATCGTCGGTGGTTACACCAATTGGAGTATCTGGAGGAAAGCCCTGGTTATTGAGTGTCTTGAAACCGGCATTTGTGAAAACTCACTTTCATACGTAGCATTTGTTTGACTCTCCTGCGGGCTAGGATATTGACCAGCGGTTGAGGTTGGTTGGCGGCGAGGGCTGAATGAAATGTCGTCGGCGTCTTCGTCTGTCTCAGAAGGTACTTCGGCTGGGAGGGAATCAGAAGAAGGAGAGTGAGCAGCGGCTTTCGAGGTCCCAGAGTCCTCTTGAAGGCTCTCGAGCATAAATCCCAGAGGGTCGCTGATAGCTGGTTCCTCGTCGATGCTGAAATTGAAAGACATGATCGGCAATAGCTGGATCTTCTAAAAAAAAAAAATCAATTGTAAAGATGAGGGATGATGGAGAAGAAGAGGAGGAGGAGAAAGACAAGAACGAAGAAGAGGGGAATGGCAGAGGAAATTCAACCTCGCATGGGGAAGCGCTCATTTTTCCCTCAATAGCAACAGGCGACACTACTAGTACTGGTAAGAATGTGAATGGCCACGCCCTGCAGGCATATAACCTTAAATTTAGCCATCCTTTTACAATTCCTGATTTCCCGTACTCAGTTCAGGTCGAGTATAAGAAGTTGATCATCTTTAGCAATGTAAGTACCGCGTAATTGAAGCACCTTTTGATCTGAAAGTTAGCTGACCTATCATGACCAAGTATTGCGCGCCAGTTCCAGCTGGATGTCATGTCTTTCGACCTGGAAAGCTGAGCTTCCAACTCCCGCCTTTGACAAAACAGGAGTAAAGTGCCAGGTAAGCTATGGGATGGCCGAAGCTCAATGACTGAGCAGCTATTTGGTGCCTAGGTAGGTAGACAAGGCAGTGAGGTACACTGGCATGAGAGATGGACGTAGATGGAATAAAGGAACCCAGCTCTTACTTTTATTCCCATGTAGTCTCCCTTGAAGAATCAAGAACTCACATGGATGGACCTTGCCGGAAGCAGAGAGCCCTCCAAATTATTAACATGCTGTGGCCCGTGGGGAATTCTCAAGAAAAGTAAAAAGAGAAAGAAAAGTAGAGATATGACACACTAATCTAGCTTTAGTAGTGTTCCTCACAGACTTGCCTTCCTCTCTAGAGCCTTCCTCCTTGTCCTAAGTGCCTTTGTCTCTTCCTGCAACGCCAGCCCCATCATAATCTCCTCACTTCCACCTCCCACAACGTGGACTCTCGCATCACGGCTGATCTGCTCAATCCTTGCCCCCTTTCCAGCCTTGTTATATCCTGCTCCTCCAAGAATCTGCTGAGCCTCACGCACACTCTTCTCCAGCGCTCTAGTCGACATGACTTTGAGCAACGCCGTCATTCCACCAATGCGCACGTCGTCGGTGGGCCGATCTTTGGTTTTTTCAATGATATTCACGAGCTGCTCCATGAACGCATACGCGGGCTCGATCATGAGTCCGAACTTGAAGATCTTCGCCTGGATTGCTTGTTTCTGGATCAGCGGGGAGCCGAACGTTTCGCGCTGGATGGCATAGTTGAAGGCGTCTTCGGCGCATACGCGGGCGAGACGAAGAGATGCGCAGGCGAGGGATAGGCGCTCAGGGTTGAAGTCTGTTTGTTAGCTCTCCTTCCACGACCAAGATTATAGCTGACATACTGGACATGATGAGAGGAAATCCCTGGTTCTCTTGCCCGATCAGATTGTCCACGGGGACGCACACCTCATCGAATTCGAAAAACGTCGAGCCTGCACTGCCCATGAATACACCTCCGAATAATATGGAGTTACTGGAAGTAAGGGTATCGTACCACTCGCATTGACCCCAGAATTATGCATGCGGCGCCTCGTCACTCCCTTCGCCGCCAGCGGGATTACCAGCAGACTGATCCCCCCTTTTCCCGGTCCTCCAGTTCTCACAGCCGCCGTGCAATAGTCCGCCCAGATTCCATTCGTGATCCACTTCTTCGACCCGTTGACAATATAAACATCCCCTTCCCGTTTTGCCGTTGTCTTGATATTCGCGACGTCAGAACCAGCTAACCAGTCAGTTAACCTCTCGCCTCATAAACAGCCACAATGGTTGGAAAAAAAAAAAAAAAAAAAAAAAAAAAAAAAAGAAACTCACCATCTGGCTCCGTAATCCCCAAGCAAAACCTCACCTCCCCCCTCGCAACCCGCGGCAACCAGCGTCTCCTCTGCTCCTCCGTCCCAAACCTCGCAATGGGCGGACAGCCAATCCCGTTCCCACCACCCAGCCCCCAAATGACACCAACGAAGCCCACCCGATTAAACTCATCCGAGACAATAAGCGAGCACCACGTATCCCACTCCTCAGGTCTAACACCGCCAGGCAAACTCAGATTGCCGCGGTCTTCAGGCGTCGTGAGCGGGTGGACGATGGCGTAGCCTTCTGCGCAGTGCCGCGCGTAGACCTCGCGTGGGACCTGCCCTGCTTCCTCCCATTCTTGACCGTAGGGCTCGATGTGTGTGGAGATGTATGATCGGACGTGTGCGCGGAGTTTGTGATGCAGGGGCTTGTAGTATGGGGAAGGAATGTCCAGTTGTGGGAGGAGAGGCTCGGAGTAGGGGGCTGTTGGGAAAGAGGCCAGGCGTGGGTCGGGCATTGTTCCAGCTCTTGTGATTTTCTCTGTAAGATTCGCGGCTGGTTTTCTCCCTGCTTGTCAGTTTTAAGATAGGGACAACGGGGTTAGTGCCATTTATGATGTCCGATATGCGTGGGCTGATGATATTATTGTATTTTGTTCCGAGGCTGGTGCACCACTGCGCCGATCACTCCTCATGCGAGCGTACAGGCGAGATTGCGGGGAAGCTATGCGGGGCGGCCGAGGCCCGCGGGCGTTGTTCCCAACTTGCGAACCAGCCACTACCAGTCAACTTTCAAGGGTCAAGCATGGCTCGAGAGCTGACAACCGTTTGTGTGACAAGGGAAGATCGGCCCGATAATGTCGGGATAGGACTGTTATATTGTAGTATTGAAAGTATCCTTCTCAGGTTAGGAATTTGGGAGCATGGGCTTTGATACTCAGTTTTGAATCTGTGCATAGTAGCGAAGTGCTATGCCTGCACATGGGATCAGCAGGTGGCTTGAAAATCCACTTGCTTGCAGGTGAGTTGAGATTTCTGATTAAGGGTATGGTTCCTAGGTACATATCCTGCTTTTTCTGCCCTTATTCTGCTCCCTTGAAGAGGATCTCAATGCCACCCGTCGTTGCGATATCCTCATCGAAGTGATGATCATGGCACTTGGTGAAGGCTTCGGGGCTCCATAATACGTCCGTCAGGTTCGATGTTTAAACTAGGACGGATATACTTATACTATGACCCTGATAAATTTAATGATGTAAACGTTTTCAAGTTTTTTTAGAGCTTTGGGTAATAATACACCATGAACACGCATATCTTCGCCGATACACAAATCAAGAACTCCGGCCGAATTTATCTAAATATATCGCTTGACATGAACCGAAGAAATTGCTCCGAAAACATGTTAGCCGAACGAAAACGACATGCAGAATAGCAAAGACGATATGCATAATAGAAAAGAAAATGAAGAAACGAGAAATAAAAGAAACAATGATGATTCGTCGTGGGTACCATCAACAATTTTTCATGACCAGCCATGCATAGGCAGATATATTGTTCATGTAGGCTGAGGTGAATATTCGCCTCCACTTAGTCTCCGAAGGGCTTTGCATGATTTGTTTTTGATATGAATGGCGATGCAGCCAGGTCGCGAGAATGGTAGGAGACAATGGGGACATCTGAATCGACCTGCAGATCTCGGACGTCGTTTCTTTGCTGATGGATTCAGTGCCAAGCAATGATTGTGCTTGATGTGCTTGGCCAAAGTATTTTGTAGGCAGAATGGCCTGCCACAGTGTGGACATATCATAGATGTCTCCGTGATGGATTCAAGACTGTGAGTTGTAGAGGAACTGCCTGGTAAACACGAACCCGGTAGTGCGAATAAAGGGTCGATACCGCTGCTCAAATACGGCTGGGAAGGAGCTTTGGCTGCGGTTGGAGCACTAGTATTCAACGAGCTGGACTCCAAATGTGGGTATGAAAAGACCGATGCTTTCGGAGACGGGGTGGGATTGCCAGCATAGTCTGAAAACCTGTAACGCGAAGACTAAAAATGGAAAGTAGCGTCCATTTCTTTGTTTTCCTACGTGCCAGACTCGTCGAGAGATTCCACACTGGCTGAAGTCTCAAGTTGGCGAAGATATTTTTGTCGTATTGCATTGGCTTTGGCGATGAAGCAATCTTGGAGATACTCACAACTGGACGTCTCATGTCGTCTCAAGGATTGTGGTGACAGAGGCACACCGCATCCCCATTTACACTGGACTTCGTGTGCCGAGGGAGCGCCGTAGCTTGCTTGTTGCGCCCTTTTGTGAAATCTCGGGTATTCTTGCTCGTGCGACATTTTGCAACGCCCGCCTTTGCTAAGGCGTCGAGGAATGTAACAAGGGAGGATCGGCCCGATACTTTCGGGATAGGACTATATTGCAGTCTTGAAAAAAACTCTTGTCAAGTTGGGAGCTTACACTTAGTTTGATCTGTTGTCTAGTAGGGCTCTCTGTGCTTGCACATGGGATCGGCGGGTAGCTTGAAAATACCCACATGCGTGCAGGTGAGCCGAGACTTCTAGTTAGGAGTAGTACAAAGTATGGTTCCTAGGTACATGTTGCTTGTATGTGATGGATGAATGCTCTGTGTCTTACCGTCTTCGCCAACGGTTATATAAAACTGCTCGAATACTCAAATCAAATCGTCTCTCGTCCGCCGTCGTCCTTCATCGCTGGTGATGACATCAACAGGCAAGTCTGTTGATGGCCGCTGGCCTCATGGCTCAAACGCGTTCTGCACCGCATCTGCTAACCCCTGTAGGTACCTCTGAACATTGCAGCACCGCCACCGCAGCTGCGGCTGCAGCTCCAACATCCCCCGTATACACGTCTTCAGGGCCTCCGCAACAGTGAGTCCACTCGGCAAAACCCCCTCGCCATGGTCAACCTTCTGGTCAAAGTCCGACGGGAAGACCGGGCGCTCTCGAATGAACCCCGTCGGCGTCGGCCGCTGAAGACCCCTCGTTAGTTCTGTGAGGACCAGTTGCCGCTCCATCTTGGTGTTGAGGCGGTAGACGAGCTCGAAGAGGATGACTCCTAGGGCATAGACGTCAAGGGATTCGTCAATTGCGTAGTCGAATAATTCTTCCTGCGAGGGGATTCCGTTGAGGGTTTTGTTGCGGAAGAAAGGGGGGCAGTAGAACTCGGTACCGACGACCCGGTTTATTTTCTGTGGGTGGTCGGATGCTACAGGGGTTCCTGGGACACTGTCGTTCAGGTGTGATATGTCTGCGACAAGGCCGAAATCTCCTATCCGCGGGTGAGAGAATTTGGAACAGGTTCCGATTTTCTCCTTGCAGGGTAGGCACTCTTTGAAGTTTCGGTCGTCTGAGCAGGAGAGGAAGATGTTTGCTGGCTTGAGGTCTCGGTGTACAATGCCCTTTGAGTGAAGATAGTCGACGCCGGCGATGATGTTCAAAATGAGTTTCAGTGATGGTAAGAGGTGATAGCAGTGGTGTCGTAGTGGAGCTTCAACGTCAACACTTTGCTGCGGCCGCAGGTACGAGCTGAGCGGGATTGGATGCAACGACATTTGGATATGCAGCACTACGGCTGGAAGATCCCCAGGTCGATGTTTGCGCTGTAGCTGAAGCTGTGATTGGTCATTACTGAAACCATCCGTAAAAATGTCGCCGTCGGTACCGCCAAACGTCGATAGCTGACTGTATGTGGGCTCATCAAAGTTACGCGGAATTGACTCAACATCGTCTTCAAGGCTGCGTGATAGAGGTTTTTCTGAGGAGTGCGAAGCTTCTCTGTTGCTATGAGAATCGACCGATTCGTCTTCCGTAGAGGTCAGCTGATGCGACACATCTTGTGAGGCTTCGAAAACAATGCCAAAGCTGTCATCGACAGAAGGCGCATCAGGTCCCTCGGATTGGTCTTTGGTCTGCTCAAACTCAATTTTCTCCAGACTATTCTGGCCAACGAATGGAAGCCTCGGAAAGTGAGTCTGTTCCAACCACGCCCCAAAATACCTAACAACATTTGCATGCTCTAGACGAGCCAGTGTCCGGATCTCTTTCATTATATTCTCGAGTTGATTCTCATTCCCGCGCTGCAATTGTTCAAGTCGTTTCTGACTCAACGGAATCTTTTTGACTGCATAGTCTTGACCATCCATATGGTTCTTAACGTGATATACTTCCCCGAACGACCCTCGTCCAAGGATCCGAATCTCAGAAAACTCCACCGCATACCTAGACAAACGACTTGTGGAATGTGCAGAGTTGGCGTCGAATAATGGAAAGCTTGTCGGCGAGGTACCAGTCATGGGTAATAAAGGACGTGGGATGCGTCTCGGGTCGAGCCGAAAGTCTTCCAGCGCAATACCATGGTGCGCGCCAGGTCGTCGAAAGTCTAACGGGCCAATGTCTCGGCCCTCTAGGCGGAGGTTCGTCGTAACCTCTTTTGTCGATTGCGTTTGCATAGTTTTCGTCTTCGATGCCAAAACAAGTTCACTCGTTGCTCGTATCGGCGCTGGCCTTGCGTGGCTGTCCCCCAAATTCAGCCCTTCCAGGGCCGACAGCCCAAGCGCATCAAGGTTGTCGCGATAGTATTGCCGCGTCGAACCCCACTTATCCGTATCGACACCGTCCTGAAGCACGCCATGGGATGAAAGAAAGTTCGATTTGTACGCGTACATCTTCTTCCCCAGGAACTGCACCTCTGGGGAGTCACGAGTGTACCGAGCACTAGAGCCATGCTGTCTGTTGAGAATATCAGCCGCACGCGTGAGACAATAGAACTCCAGGAGAGCGGCCGTCATAAGGTTGGAATGGCTCTCGGTATCTGCATTGAGCAGATCCTTTATATCGGCATTGTCGTCGACTGTCTCGTCATCCTCTATAAGCGGTTGGCCAGGAGGTTTGGCCTTTTCGTTTGCAATCACCTCATCGTCACCGTCGTTGGAGTCGGAATCAAAGGAAGGGATCTCTGTAGGCGATCTGAACATTGACATATTGAGCGAAGACGAAGGGAATATCGTCTGCGACCACTATACGGCCCTATTGTCGAAACGGGCCAGCCATCTAGATATATGAAGAGAGTTCGTGGTCCGAGCTAATTCCAGCGGTGCATGAACCTCAATATCGATCCGAAGCTTCGCCAGATCACCCGCTGGGCGAATTTCTAACGCAGCCGTTGACAGAGATGAAAAGAGGAGATGAGGCGATACTCATAAAAGAAAAAAGAGTCCAAATGCAATACTCAAAAGGCCACGACGCTCTTTTCAAAAGTAATATTCTATTAGAAGAATCAACAAATAAGCTTAAGCGGCGACCAGGGACTGACTGGACAGGCTGGGCTGGGCTGGCGTAGCTTCGATCCGATTCTATCAGTTACCCAGATCATCCAAAGGGCGTCCACTAGACAGTGATCGGTCCTAGTGTATCAGCCTCAATGTCTAGTCGATGAATTCAATCGCAATTATCTGTTCGGTTCGTGGTCTTTTCCCGCAGCAACGCCGCTCTTCAATGGTGGTTGCAAATTGGAAGGACGACGACTGAGATTGGTGGTCGCCACCACGATTTCCGTGAGTCAGGCCTCAGTCCGCGTTGTTGCTGCCTCAGGCCATCAATCCCACGCCCCACTCCATGGTCAATACAGGGTCAACAACAAAAGTCACAAGATGAGAGTTTCCGTATATGTCAAGGTAACTTGGCTAGTGGAAATAGACTACTAGTAGCTTCTGATGTTCTGGACAAAATTGGGTTTACCCACAGAGGCTCAGGTACTTTGTAGCTCTTCCCAATTCACGACCGATATATAGATTTACTACCGGTCAAGGGAAACATGCTTTAGTATATCACGACTAATAGTGCTATAAACTTGCTGCAAACCTTATATGAGTCGCTGCAAACTGAAGTTGCCGAGTGCTCCCTATACGAATAAAAATCCAAGCGGAGAACTTGAAAATCAGGTGAATATGATCATGACCTTGAGACAACAGGCATCATCCGGTAAGAGTTGGGCCTCAGGTCATGCTCCTTGAGTCTCGAACTTCTGCGAACCAAGAAAGCGGCGGAATTTGGTATGAACGGACGTGAATCCCCACCGTCCAGACAATAGGGCTCCAAATCCCATTAGCGAGGACTTGTCTGACCATGGATGGGCGTGGTATGGTACCAAGCTAGCCTTGCGGATTGAATAAGAAAGCAACAGACTGTCCTAAACTAGAGAAAGTCATTCTTGTTTACATTGACATTGACATTGACTATATACTACGATTATACTTCATGAGATGTTCATAAAGACATATATTCCTCAGCCGTTTCATCATTCTCATCAAGTCCATCGCAACCGTCGTATCCCTGCAACGTGCGGGTTACCTAGAGCGAAGCAAAAGCAAGCTCATCGGATCTTACGGAGACCATACGAAGACCCCGAAGAGTTGTCCGCCGTCGGCTTGCCTGCCTCCTCAGCAGCCCAGTCGACGTTCCTCACGGACGTCTTCTGGCGGAGTGAGCGGTACTTCTGCAGAAGTCGCCTGTATCCGAAGAGGAGGACAAGGGCAATGACTAGGGCAGCGACGGCACCAACGACGATACCGGCAATGGCTCCGCCAGAAAGGCCGCCGCCGCCACCACCGCTGGAGCTCTCAGTCTCGTTATTGGAGCCGGATGATGCAGTGCCCGAGTTGTTGTTGCTGTTGCTGTTGCTGCTGTCACTGCTGCTGTCGTCGTCGGAGTCTGTCGAGTTCGCAAGAGTGAAATCCTCAATTGTGGCGTTGAAGCAGGGGACTTGGTAGGTGAACCTGCTGGCCGCGACGTATGTGACATCCGCGCAGGCATAATAGGTCTCGTTCTTGTCGGTCTCAAAGTCGGCAGTGTACTTGATTTGGAAGGTGGCATTCATGCCTTCTTCGGCGTCGACACCCGGATTGGGCACCGGATAGCACATGTGTCCTGGGTCGATGTCCTGGATCCGACGACCTTCGACGACGATGTCGAAGTCTTCGTTGGTGGTTGGGTCTGGATTGAGAAGTCAGAGGATAAAGGGTAAACGAAGGGATATCTGAGATACGCACTGTTCTTATGAGAGATGGCGATCTGAACGTTCCAGGACTCATCTTGAGTGACGAGGGCGAGATGACCGTTAACTGGGTTGGGGTTAGTATCTTGCATATCAGAAGAGTACAGTGAAATCATACTGAGAGGAAAGTCAGTTCGGTTGACGACACCAGAGTTAGAACCACATGGGGCGTTGTTGTCATATGCAGCACCCCAGGCACGGTCCGGCGGCCACATAAAGGCGACAGGGCCCATCTCCTCTGCAGCTTCTTCACCATGAGCCTGGCCACTCACGGCGGTGGACAAAGCCACAAGTAGCGCAAGGGAGCCCTTCATTTTGCCAAATTTGATAGACGAGCTGGGAAAGCGATGGCTGGAAAGAGTGAGAGGAAGTTATAGATTGGTGTGCGAGAGGCAGGGATGCTGGGGATGCCGGTGTCGTTTATAAGGCTATAACACTCTCCAGTATTTTCCGGGCTTGGATGTAACATTCTCTCGGTTAGGATCGATTGATAATGGCATTCCGTCCTTGCTCCGACAGCCAAGCGACTAGAACGAGTCATGAGAGGTGTGACGGGGAAGAGTTTTCTCGGCTCGCAGGCTGGGAGTGCTCATGCCACCGCCTAATTTGGAGTTGGCATCCAATTGCAGATCCGGATGGCAAGCGAGGAGCGATCCTGCCAGCTGTGCCAAGAGTGATAGATTAATCTGACTGGAAGAACGAGTGGACATCACGGTTTCCTAGTGCCCAGCGCTGGCTCTCCGGTCATCGGTATCAATCTGATAAGATGGCGCGTGGGTCGACCGTGCAAGACCCAGCCAATCACAGCCCGCTGCGGCATTTGTTTCCCCACTCTCGGCTGGAATTTCCCAGGGTCATAGAGTGCTGCAAGCGACCAGCTTTTGGTTTGAGTGAGACAGTTGATATTGGCGTTCATTAATCCTGCTCCGACCGTTCCATTAGCTCCAAAGTCTCGACCAGCTCGGGGAGAAGGCATGGCCCCCCTTCCGGAGGGCTAAAATGTATAAAGCCGGTCGATGTACCTTTCTTTCCCCTGCATCTTCATCACCATTCGTGCTAGTACCCCGACCTCTCTGCTTCTGTCACTCTTTCAACGTATATCACTCGTTAATTCACCATGAGGTTCACTGTCGCTTCCCTTGCCTGCATCGTGGCTGGTGCTAGTGCCTTTCAATACCCAGACTTTGTCCCCTTGCACAAGCGTCAGGCACCTGGCACTCCTCAGTATGACTGCCACGCCAACTGCGGTAAGCTTTGATAGGGCCAACTCAGATTCTTATTGTCTCTGACAAGCCTAGGTGGTGTCATCACTGCTTCCCGTCAGGACGACTTCTGTGACTCCAGCGACTTCGAGAGCATGCTAAGCGCTTGCTTGGACTGTGCCCTCGTGTATGATATCTGGAGATACTATGGCAACTCCGTCGGAGCTGCTGCCGAAGAGTGTGGCCTTGATGGTACCCCGGTCGAGCCCACCTCGTCGAGCACGACCACCACCGCTACCGAGACCACCACTGAGACGACGACGGAGACCGAGACTTCCTCTTCTACTGAGACGGAGACCGAGACGGAGACTGAGCCCACCACGACCGCCACTTCTACTTCAACGCAAGAGCCTACCGAGACAGTCTCTTCCACCACTGTGAGCTCCACCTCCACCCCTGTCATTCCGACTGTGACCACCACCACCACCACCACCCCGCCCCCGGGAAGCACGGTAGGCTTCTCTCTCTCTTCAATCTCTTCGGCAATACCAGAGATACTGACCATCGTTCTCAATAGACCTCTCCTACCCCTGGACCCGAGGATCCTGAGGACCCTGCATTCACCGGAGCTGCTGCCCTCAACACCCCAGCCGGACTATTCATGGGTGGGCTCGTCGGCTCCCTTATTGCGGCCTTGATGTAAATTGAGCGAGACGATTGTACTTCATAATCTTAGGCGTACCACGGGGATGAGATATTTTCGTTTGTAAGGTGATCCGGCTCCTGTTCTGCCTCGGTAGACTTGTTCCTTTAGACCGATAACCTATTTATTTAATACCCTACCTTGCCAAGTTCCTCACCTTAGCTACGTCATGAGACCACAATCCCCGCGTGGCTCGCGGAACGAAACTATTTTAGACAATTGGTTCCGCTCGACGGAGCTGAACCAGAACGGTGGGGCCGGTGTGAAGATGGGCCGAGTTCACCTCAACCGGACCAGAGCAGTCCTGCGAGTCCTGTTGTGACATGAATCCAATTGGACATGGTTGAGTATATTTAAATCTCAACTGACTCAACTGGGTAATTGATCGCGAAGTGTCGCTGAAGCCCTTGACGGATACACTTCTTGGCACTTCGAGATGCATGCGAAGGGCGCAACTCGTATTGCAAGCTGACCAGTGCCACCAGTCAGTTTCATCATCACTATATTGTCCGCAAATAACCGCTGCGCTAAACAGCTTAAAATATGGCCATTGAAGATGTCAACGTACGACTTTTGCTTGGCTTCGGTGGAGTAGCCTTCTTTGGTTGGACTTTTGAACACTTCGAGATGACTGTGGGGGTACCCCTCGTATTCGGTTGAGCAAGTTAGGCTAGTTGTTCCATCATCACTCTGTCGCCCGCGAATAAGCGTTGCACTCGACAGGTTCCAGGTTGGCCATTGACGATATTAACGCGTGGCTTTTGCTTGGAAATAGCTTAAGAGCTAGCTCTTTCCTCTTCATGGGGATCCAGGAACACTTTGAAGTGCCAGCAGGAGACAACAGCAGAATGGCAGCGCAACAAAAGTCGGACATCGTCATCATTGGTGGTGGCATTGTTGGGTCTGCTCTGGCCTACTTCCTGACCTCATCTAATGATGGAAAGAAAGTGACCATCATCGACCGTGCTTTTGCACAGCTTAAAGGCTCAACTGGCTACGCCCCAGGGTTTGTTGGTCAGTTCAACGAGTCCGATGTTCTGACGCGTCTGTCAATCGAGAGTGTCAAGGAGTACTTGAAGGTCCCTGGAGGATTTGAGACTGTCGGGGGGCTTGAGGTTGCGACAAGCACTGCAGGACTTGAAAATCTTGAATGGAGGCGTACGACTGCGAAAGAGAGAGGCCTCGACGCTGAGATTATATCAGCCCAGCAGGCGGCGGACTTAGCGCCCGATCTCGTCAAGCCGGACAATGTCGCAGCGCTGTACTTCCCTGGAGCCGGAACCGCCAATCCTACGGTCATTGCCGCTTTCTTCCAGTCGGAGGCTCAGGCAAAAGGTGCGGAGCTCCTCGAGGCCGACGTTAACGATATTCAGCAAGCCGAGGGCCGCGTAACCGGCGTGACAACTTCTGCAGGGTTTATCGAGGCTCAAACGGTCATCCTCGCTACCGGCATTTGGGCCCAGAGCCTTGCCGACTTCGGTTTTCCCGTCCCAGTTATCCCAGTCGCGCATCCGTATATGTACGGGGAGTACCACGAGCCTAAGGCAAACAAATCTCCGTTCGTCAGATACCCCGAATATCACGTATATGTGCGGGATCACGGTCCATTCTTTGGACTGGGGTCTTACGACCATAAGCCTCTGGCGGAGAAGCCCAAAGGAACTGCTATCGGAGATTGGATGGGTGAATTCGATGCGACGCTGGACCGCGCTCTGAGACTCATTCCCGAGAAGACAAAATTGAGCGTTCGAGAGAAGTTCAACGGCATCTTCTCAATGACTCCAGATAACCTGCCCTTGGTGGGAGAGATCCCGACGGCAAAGGGATTGTATATGGCAGCAGGTGTCTGGGTCACGCATGCAGCAGGATCCGCCAAATTCTTGACCCAGATGCTTAGAGGTGAACAAGTTGATGCGGCAATGCGGAAGGCTCTTGATCCGACTCGGTTCCAGGGCCGAGATCTGGAAAGTTTGGAGCGAGAATCTCTCAACTGCTATAACAGCATTTACTCGACATACGAAAACTCATGATGGAAGCGGTGGCTGAGGAGGGTCTTGTGTACTTATCGAAGCACAGCAGTCCTCGAGTCGCGGTGACGTCATAGAGCCGAGGCAGTAAGATAGATTGAAATTCAAGAGGACATCCTTCAAGTAAAGAAAACATTTGTGTATAGCGCAAACTTGATTGGCATAGTACGGAGTAGAGGCAATACTCTGGAGTAGATGACAATCGACTGGGCCAGATCCTCCGGTCCTCAGTATTTGGTGTTGGGGAATGCCGACACGTGACAGCTTTACGCGTCAATTGGCGTCACGTCAGGCGCGACCGAGACACGAAACTTCTAATGATCAGCCCGCAATAGGCCGCGCCGCTGCAAGGTCTCAACAAACATTGATCTGCGTGTATTCTCTCTCTCTCAGCCGAATCCATAACTTCATCCTATTTCATGAGTACCGACAATGCCTGAAGCTGTCGCCATGCCCCAAAAGCGGGTTCTCGGCGATGCAACCAACAATCCCCGCGGCGTCGTGCAATCGCCCGGCGCGTTGAAGAAGCGAAAGATCGATGTCGACACTCCAGCCAAACCGAGCCCTCGGACCCAAAATGGGTTACGAAAAGTCGGCTCAAGTCAGCCGCAGAAGAGCCAATTCGAGGAGGAGGTTCTGGAGAAATTGACCCAGGACATCAGCGACTTAAAGCAGAACAACTCGGAGAAGGACCAGCAATGGGAACGGCCCCCGCTCGGTGAATTTGACCCCAAGAAGGAGAACATATGCTTTCAGCAGATTGATGCGGAAGATGGCATGGCTATGGGCAAAGCGGCTATCAGGCTTTTCGGTGTTACAGATGTATGCTTCTCGCTGAAAGTTCGGCGCACTCATTCTAAGTCTTGAGCAGGTTGGCCAGTCCGTGCTTCTCCACGTTACAGGATTCAAACATTATATCTATATCGCCGCTCCCGTCGGATTCACGAAAGATGACTGCAATTCTTACACAAGCTTCCTGAATACGAAACTAGGACAATTCCCTTCAGTCGTCGACACGGTTCAAATAACGATGAGGGAGAACATTTACGGCTTTCAAGGAAATAAGAAGAGCTACTACCTCAAGATAACAGTGACAGACCCGCGGCACATTCCGAAACTTCGATCCGCACTGGAGACGCAAGCTCAGATGCTGAATTACAAGGGCCTCTGGAACAAGTCCGAGCCTGGGATCTTGACATTCGACAACATTCAATACTTGCTTAGGTTCATGATTGATACGGATATCCAGGGCATGTCGTGGGTCGAGGCGCCAGCAGGCAAGTATGATCTGCTTTCCCAGCAGGATAAGGTCTCAAACTGCCAGCTCGAAGCGCGCATTGATTACCATGACCTTATTGCCCATGCCCCAGTTGGCGAGTGGGCCAAGATGGCGCCCTTGCGAATTCTCTCCTTTGATATAGAGTGCGCGGGACGAAAGGGAATTTTCCCAGAACCAAATCAGGACCCGGTCATCCAGATTGCTAATGTTGTTACGCGTTACGGAGAGTCCAAGCCATTCATTCGCAATGTATTCGTTCTGAACACGTGCAGCTTAATCGTCAACACGCAGATCTTGGAATTCGACAAAGAAGAGGCAATGCTCATGGCCTGGCGCGAATTTCTTCAGAAGGTCGACCCCGATGTTATCATTGGATACAACACCGCCAATTTTGATTTCCCGTATTTACTGGACAGAGCGAAACACCTCAAATGCCAGAATTTCCCTTACTGGACCCGCCTCAACGGCATGAGGTCCGAGGCGAAGGAGTCGAAGTTCTCAAGCAAGCAAATGGGCAATCGCGATACGAAAACTACAAACACCAACGGCAGAATCCAGCTGGATTTGCTGCAACTTATCCAGAGAGACTATCAACTACGAAGCTACACACTTAACTCCGTGTCTTACGAATTTCTCAAAGAGCAAAAGGAAGACGTTCACCACACCATGATCACCGAGCTGTACAACGGAACGCCTGATTCTAGGCGTCGTCTCGCCGTCTACTGTCTGAAAGATGCATATCTACCGCAGAGGTTAATGGACAAGCTCATGTGTCTGGTCAACTACACTGAGATGGCAAGAGTCACAGGCGTTCCATTCAACTTTCTACTCTCCCGTGGGCAGCAGGTCAAGTTCCTCAGTCAGCTGTACCGCAAAGCATTGGAACAGCAGCTGGTCATTCCAAATATCAAGTCAACAGACGAACAAGACTATGAGGGTGCTACTGTTATCGAACCCGTCCGTGACTACTACAAAGTGCCGATCGCCACACTTGATTTTGCCTCTCTTTACCCTTCGATCATCCAGGCCCACAATCTGTGTTACACGACCTTGCTCAACAAGAACAGCGTTGTTGGTCTGGTAAAGGATGAAGATTATATTGTCACACCAAACGGTGATATGTTCTGTACACCTAAGGTGCGAAAAGGTCTTCTGTCGCAGATTCTGGAAGAATTGTTGAGTGCAAGAAAACGCGCGAAGAAGGATCTTGCCGTAGAGACCGACCCTTTCAAAAAGGCTGTCTTGAACGGTCGACAACTTGCTCTGAAGATTAGTGCCAACAGTGTCTACGGTCTTACCGGTGCCACGGTAGGAAAACTCCCCTGCTTGCCCATCGCCAGTAGTACAACCAGTTACGGCCGTCAAATGATCGAGAAGACGAAGCAGGAGGTTGAGGCCAGATACACTATCGCGAACGGCTATTCGCACGATGCAAAGGTCGTCTACGGTGATACTGATTCGGTCATGGTGAAATTCGGCGTTGCGGAACTCGAGGACGCGATGAAACTCGGACAAGAAGCTTCTGAGTACGTCTCGTCGAAGTTCCCGAAACCGATTAAGCTCGAGTTCGAAAAGGTCTACTTTCCGTATCTTCTCATCAACAAGAAGAGATACGCTGGACTTTACTGGACGAACCCCAGAAAGTACGACAAAATGGACACGAAGGGTATTGAAACCGTGCGTCGAGATAACTGTCTGCTCGTGCAGAATGTGATTGAAACCGTGCTACATCGGATTCTAATCGACCGGGATGTCGACGCCGCTCAAGAGTATGTTCACTCCCGTTGCCTGTATTGATTCAAAGCTCGTCGATGACACTAACTTCCTTCAGGTATGTCAAGGACACCATCTCCGATCTCTTGCAAAACAAGGTCGATATGTCCAAGTTGGTCATCACAAAAGCCCTGACCAAGGAGTCTTATTCGGCCAAACAAGCACACAGTGAACTGGCTGAGCGTATGAAGAAGCGCGACGCAGGTTCTGCTCCTACTCTTGGTGACCGTGTCGCGTACGTCATCGTCAAGGGGGCTGCTGGTACGAAAAATTACGAGAAGTCGGAAGATCCCATTTACGTGCTGGAGAACAATATCCCTATCGACACGAGATACTACCTCGATAACCAGCTCGCGAATCCTCTCGGACGTATCTTCGAGCCCATTCTTGGTGAAAAGAAAGCCAACCAGCTGCTCCATGGTGAGCATACCCGTTCCATCGCGATGGCGGCACCCACGATGGGTGGCCTTATGAAGTTCACCAAGAAGACGCAGACTTGCCTGGGCTGTAAGAAGCCGTTGACTGGAAAAGAAACCTCAGCTGGAGCTGTTTGTGAAAATTGCCGTCCCCGTATGGGCGAACTTTACACGAAAAGCCTGAACAAGATGTCAGACCTCGAGGTCCGGTTCGGCCGACTCTGGACTCAGTGCCAACGATGTCAAGGCAGTCTTCATTGCGAGGTCATCTGCTCATCTAGGGACTGTCCGATTTTCTACATGCGGATGAAGGCGAAGAAGGACGTGGAGGAGGCCCAGAAGGAGTTGTCTCGGTTTGATTTTGATGCTGGGGCGTGGTAATCTCGGATGCTGTATTATTACATATTTTACCTTTGGCGTTGATGGCGCATGGCGCTTGGAATAGCATCGTATGGATACACGACGATTGAATAATCTTGTATTTTCCGGTATATAGCTACTTTCACAATTCCTCAACAGACCCAAATAATCTTTGACGATATGTATCGATCGTCGATCTTCAAGGCGCATTTGGGAAATGATTGGCGGCGGGCCAGGAACACCGGGCTTGGCGCAGGGATCGCTTCTCGAAGAATCAAAGAATTGCAGACTCTAATTCAACCTCGCCTTTTAACACTTTTTACAACTCATTCCAAATATGCCACCATTTCATACTCGACCACCTTTTAACCCCTCCGTGGAGGAGGTGCGCGATGAGACGGAAAATCTTACCAGCTATGACGCAACGCCGTCCGATTCTGGATCTTCTTGGCCTGAGGTGTGTTCTTGAATCCTTTCTATTCCGGCCGCAGCCACTTCCAATGTTCCCGAGAGGTGATGCTTTTGCCATGTCGTCGTCTTCTCTTTGTTATTATTAGAAGTCTCTTTGTAGTCAATTTCGAGTCATGTTTGTTGGTTCGGAACAAACCCAAATGCTTAACGGAATACTTTATTTATGGATTAAGAAAAGTTCACTAACATGGACCTAGCTATGCGCACAACACGAGTCAGTCCTCTCGTCTCATCTGAAGACGCTACGGGCTCTTCAAGAGCAGCTGCGGGCTTCCTCTGATCCAGAGGGATCGAAACTAGTATCCTCGATGGTTGAGAGGACGAATAAGCTCTGTGTGCAGTTCGAAACTGTCAAGAAACACATAGTACGTCATACCACTACCTACCCTCATAGTCTAGTCTTACTGCAAACCCTTCTCGATATGCCTATTCGTGGACTAACCTGGAACTGGCCATGTATGGCCTATGATCGGCGGAATAGATCCCAAGTGAGTTCGCAGATTTTTCGCTTTTGACTTTGCTGCAAACTTTGCGCCGCAAGACAGAATCGGCAGAAAGATAGACTAACGTGCAATAGGAATACAAGGAGGAGTCTCTGCCTCTGCTTGGACGGCGCGCACACCGCCAGATGATTCCTATTCGTCCCGATCTTCCTCAAAGCAAGATGACCTCACTGGGTCGAAGAGGAGAAAACGGGCGAGGCGTTCCAACGACAACGAGCCGAAACCGGAGCTCGGCGAAGAACTACTGCCAGAGGCCTTGCCACTCTCCCAGCGCTCGAAGCGCAAGAGGATGGATCTGGCTATCCCTGGGAGCAATGAGGATGTGCGAAATGCCATGCCAGTGGCACTTGAGACGGAAGATATCTCTGATGAGGTACAGAGGCGGCTCAAGATCAAAGAGGAGCAACGCAAGAAGCGAGAAACGGACGTCAAGCCTGGGAAGCGGAAGAGAGACCGCGATAGTCTCGCTTCGAATGGGAGCTCCTCGTCTCTGTCACTAGGGGTGAAGCCCAGAAAGAAGTTTAAGCTCGGCGAGAGAGCTAATGGTTGAGCCACTACGGAAACTAGATCGACATCGGCCATTATGGACTGGAACGGAAGCAGGTACATCAAATCCCGTCCAGCGGTTCCTACCTGTCGGAAACTGTCAGGGATGTATTTTTTAGCTTCGGCCAATCGGAAATTGGCGTTGGCTAATTAAACTCAGCTTGCCCCAAGGTTAAGCTTTTGCATACTTCAGCCCTACGAAAAACCTGGCCGTCGTCTGTCAGTAACTGACCTATAGAGCTTTCACTCTGCTCAAAGTTAATACATACTTTTCGGGACTGCTGTCCGCAGCAGCCTGTGGCGGACTCTGCAGGTATAAGAGCCCTGCTCTCAACTCGCAGCTCCGCTGCCTCTTTCTTTCTTCTCCATCTTCCCTCCAGAGACCAGCTCCATTTCTAAAAAACATCGATCGAAGACTTCTGCTATTCCGTGTCTTTAACCTCGCGAGAGACGTTGATAAGACTTCAAGATCATTCCTCAGACATCCGAATAACCCCCCAAGCACCCACGAAACGAACGTATCTGTGGAAAGCCCAAATTGAGACGTTGCTTTAATTGTTTTTGCTTTTTAAAAAATTCCTCCCAGGCCCACCTCACAGGCCGACCAAATAATATATTCCACTCCGCCAAAAAAACGTTGCTTTTTCGCAGATCCGTCAAGAAACTAAGCCTCGATACCGGTGCCTCGTCAAGTGCTATCCTGCCCTCCACCAGTGTCTGATCTTGCTGCCCCTGTCTTCGCCGCTCCACCTAATCTACAACACAACCAACACCGCTTCCCCAATATGCCGTCCTCAAACAATCGATTCTCTTCTTTCAACCCCGCTGGTGCCGTTACAATTCCCAGCGAAGGACCCTCTAACTCTCGCCGGGGTTATGGTCGCGGAGCTAGGTCTCACCCACCCCACCGTGGTAACGTGAGTGTCCCCTTGCACCAAACGACTTAGGCCTGGTAGACTGACAAGCTGCCAGGGTCCGGAACGTTACCCAAACAACTCAAACCGAGGTTACGTCAAGTGGAGGGCCTCTGCTCGTCGTGGAAGAGCTAGCAACCACCGGGGGAGGGGAGATCACCACTTCGAGCATGCCTACCCGCCTCATCAAACCCACCATTCCCTTACTCAAGAGGACAACACCACCAGTCACTACCACCAATATCTCTCTCAAAACCAACATCAAAACAACCCGCGGCTTGGGTTTGCCCGCACAAAACCCCCTCGACAAGTGAAAAGGGGTGTCGACCGTGTATGTCCTGCCTTTGACGGTGCATACATGCCTAACAGACGATGCTAACGGCTCTATAGGAAGGAGACTGTCATATGACAGGGACGCCATTTATTTATCCTCGCCCATTATGGATTCAGATGCAACGGGATATTGAAGAAGAGGAAAAACTGAGACAACGACAAGTACCACAGCAATCAGAGTTGGAGAAACAACTCGACTACATCATCAACGAAACCGGCTTCGACAAACCACTCAATAACGGCTTCGGCAATCCAATCAGCAACGGCTTCGTCAATCAAATCAACAACGGCTTCGTCAATCAAACCAACAGCGGCTTCGTCAATCCGTTCCCGCAAGGCTACGGCTTGCCGATAGTCGAAGACCTCATCGATACGCCCATGTCCGACGCACCTCAAAACCACGCCAACTACAAGCGATACAACATCCGACGCTTCTCCCGCGCAGCCCTCCTTTACAACAACATGGGCTGCAGGGGCCGCCGCAGCGGACCCCGCTTCGACAATTACTTCTAAACACCACACCGGATTGACCCCTTGTATATACGTTACCGTTACATAATTTGCAGCACTTTGAATTTGTACAAACGAACCCCTTGGGTGGAATGGCAGCTAAGGTTGAGGATAGCTTCGTGCGCCCCTTCTTGCGGTTCGCTGCAAGTCGGGTTGATGGCCGAGCCAACCATTGTCGGTACCACGCAGCTGGCAACTCGTGGTCACACCCTCGGTGGGGAGTGCGGGCATTTTCCTAGTGTGAAGCGACTTTCCTTTCGACAATTTACGACAAAGCCGTTCCGACAATTCAACAAGCCGAGCCGATTTTCGACCTTTTTTTGGTATATATGCGTGGTGTTCGGGGTTGGCCACCCTGGGCATCGCAGGACTTGGGGGGTTTGGACCCTTTTGTGGGTCATCGCCTTTGTTTTTTTTTATATGTTTCATGTATCGGTCCCGACACAGGTTTTTACCGGCCACGCAGACCGACTAAAGACTGCAGCCGGAAGTTTCCCTGTCGTCTTCTCGTCAGACACCCAAATGGGGGGACTCGAATATGGCTCTACGGAGCATGCTTTCCTGTTACCACCATTAGGGTGATGATTCTACATACCCTCTGCGTTGTATGACTTTGTCTTGGATACATTGTCTTGATTGTATTTTGTATTATTCTTTTATCCGCTCCGTGCTTGTTGAAGTAGCCACGGCTCAGTGCACGGGGCTCGTGGCTACCGATGCAGGTTTACCCCCTTCTTCCATTCTTCATTCCGATTTTTTGGGCGCTTCGGATGTCTTCTATTTCTTGTATTATCAGTTCTTATTATGGGTCGAGACATAAAATGTCCGCCTTATGGATTACAATCCACGCGAATATGATATGAATCATCAATTGTTATCCGATTCCCCTCAGCGTGTAGTTCGTGTTTAGCCGTGAACGTAGAAGGTCAAGTGCAGCTGCTATTCCCGAGGTGTAGGGAACTCAAACGCTTGTATTGTAGAGATAGACCTGGGAGTACTTTGTGGACACGTCATGGTCACTTATCAAACTACCGATGCAGCCCATCTGATGATGAGCAATTGACATCTTATACCTGGCTCTGGGTATGGCTGTGATGCAACCGACCACACCACGACTTTGGGCGAATATTTGAGCACTTCTATCCATGACACTTTTGATGTATATAGAAATATGCTGCATTTGTAGTTCATGTATTCATTGAGTGGTCTCGAGTTTGTCCGCTTGGCGTTTCCTCGTGCTCGTACTCTAGGTGTCTGCTAACCTCTCTAGGGCTGGACTAACCGGACTTCCCGACGTTGACTCATGCTCAACCAGCCTCCAACAACTCACGATCCAGCGCTCATGTATGAATCCCAGGGTGCATAAATAACGTCGTACTCGCAAATTGTAAAAGCCAAGTGCCCCAGAAGTTTGTTTCTACCAAAGAAAAATGCGCTACGCTCTCCTCCTCTTTCCCGGCTTCGAAGCCCTCGACGCCTTCGGCCCCCTCGAAGTCCTCAACGTCCTAGCCGAGCACAGCAAGATCGACCTCTCCATCCTTGCGGAAACCCTTGATCCCGTCTCAACCCGTTCCCCGGATCCCGCGTCCCACGTCTTGGGATCAAAATGCACCCAGGAGATCGTGCCAACAGGGACGTTCGCTGATTATCTACCGACACCTACTCAAGCTTCCTCTCCAAACGAAGAGGGCGAAGGCGAAAATGATGCTGGGTTGAAGCGAATCGACGTCCTCATCGTCCCCGGCGGCGCCGGAACCCGCTTCCCCCACATAATCACCCCAGTCATCTCCTTCATCCGCACCATCTACCCCTCGGTGCAATACGCATTCAGCATCTGCAACGGTTCCGGAGTGCTCGCGCGAGCCGGGATCCTAGACGGGAAGCGGGCGACGACGAACAAGATCCTGTACGAGAGTACGACGGCGTTGAGGAGGGAGGTGCGGTGGGTAAGGGAGGCACGGTGGGTGGTTGATGGGAATGTGTGGACCGCGTCGGGGGTCAGTGCGGGGATTGATGCGGCATTGGCGTTTGTGCGGAGTGTGTATGGGGAGGAGCTGGCGAGGGCGATTGCGAGGGAGATGGAGTATGTTTGGGATGGCGGGGATGGAGGGGTGGATCCGTTTGCTTGAGCTGAGCTTGAGTTTTATGGGGTACTGGGTCTAGTTTTAGTTGCGAGGCACTTTGTACAGTAATTGAATACAAATCTCATCTCACCGGGCACTATGATGACCACCGTCGGATGTCTTCCCGCGAGAGGTTTCTCTAGACCTTTCCAGGAGCAACCTTGGAACACTCGGAGTGCTGCCTCTACAAGTCTTTGGGATAAAGCTGAAAGTTGAAGACGATAAATTGTAATATAAACAACGATCTATGAAGGTGCACAGAAACAGATGGATATAGAACATTTCAAGCCAAGCCCAGCAGCAACATAGGGAAAGAGCAGAAGCATCCATCTCTCATAAGCCCAGCATCTATACCATCCAACTCTGCATTCCACATTACCCCTTTATATTTCCTCCAGCCCATTTCCCCAGCAGAGCCAAATCCATCCCCGAGATCTCTAGTACGGCAAAACAGCTGCAACTATAGCCGCAGCCAACGCAACCCCAACACCAGGCTTCAACATCCCGGCGGCATCATCATCATCCCCATCCCAGAAATCATTCCAGCCATCAGCAACATCATCACCAAAGTCCTCAATGCGATCAAACAACCCATCGTCGTCGTCATCGTCGTCATCATCCCACGAGCAGTCCTCGCCCTCGGGGCAGCATCCCCACCGGTCGTCGTCCTCCTGGCACTCCTCGTCGCGCGGGCATCCGCCGGAGACGTTTGACGGACAGCAATTGTAGTCCTCGGGGACGCAGGCGCGGCCGCAGACGCGTTCATCCGAGGCGCACGAGACGTTGTCTTGCGGGTTGGGGGAGCGCGCGAGCATGTGAGCTGGGGTTGTGCCGGGAGTGCGGACCATGAGGGGTTTCATGGGTGTGGTGGAGCGCTTGAGGAGTGCATCGTTAGATTCGGCGGCAAGGTTTGTTGCTGTTGCGAGGGAGAGGGGGGTGAGGAGGAGGGTAAGTGAGATTGCGGAGAGGCGCATTTTGGTCTTGGTTTTGGCGACGGTGTGGTAGAATAGATAGAGACTGTTTTCGTTTAAGTCGGGTAGTGAGTTTTCAGGATATCGCTTTGCGTTTCGATTGATCTGTTTGAATGGAAAGACTGTTTGTTTGTGATGATGGGGAAAAAAGACCCTGATGAAGGGCATCCCCAGGTCCCTTATATACACCTCTCACCTCCAGCTCCAAGCCCCAGCGGCCGAGCCGAAGCCCATCCAAGAACCATCGCATAAGCAAGCGAACAACCCAAAATCGAGTGTCAATAGACGGTCCAAGCCGCTGAAGCAATCGCATCGGCGCATACATTCGAAAACAGCGAAAACCAGCGCCAGACTAGCCCTAAAAAGGAAATTATCTTGCAGGCTGTGCTGCGACCCGACTCTCGACAGCAGCCACGCCCAGCATGCTTCAGCCCCGGTGCCAAGTGTCAGACCGCCAAGCCAAATGTGCTGATCTGCTGTCCTTTCCCCAATGACAATGTGCAATTTCTCATACTGTCCTAGCGCTAACAGGCTCCCGGTTTCTTGGACTACGGTTCGTGTGCAACGATCGGCCGCATGGCTAGCTGTTTCGGGCGGGTTGGAGCGCTGTTGATGTCAGACTCAGGGCTCAGTGAGAACTTTCGCTGAGTGAGGAGATTAAAGTATTTTGGGGGCTGAAACGAACCCTCTGTGAAAGGATGGTTCCATCTCACAAGTCACGACCCTGGCCGCCTGGTGGACTGTAAGGCTGACTTACGGAGTAGGCGGGTGGCCGGGCCCTGAAACCCTGCGGAATTCCGCTAAGGGTAATTTTATCGCACTCTATCGGAGAACCGACCCGGTCCTCTGGCTAGTCAATCAGCAAATTGATTAGTTATCGGGTTCAGCTGAGTGTGTAGCACGTGGGTCGGTTGGTAAATTGAGGGTCGGTGCTGGCTGGAAATAGAACGGCGATAGCTGCTCAGCCTTGCTAGAGTAAATTGTGTTCACTATGAATGCCAATGGGCTCGATCCGAAAGAACGAGAAAACGAGAGGGCTTCTTCCAAGAGATTTATGCTGGTGCCTGCGCTGTGACGTTGTCCGAGTAGTTGGTGTAGTATGCGGTCTTGTGACGATAACCCCAGCCAAGGTCGAGTCTCTGTACGAAGTTTCGGCGTCCGCCGGATCACAGACCTTGTTGCTCCCTGTATCGAAGGAGAAGGCGTCTCATCTTCGAGGATAGATTAGGGCAAGGCCCATTCTTCGTGAAAAACAGGTTAGCTAGCTATTAGTAGCTCCCCAGGATCGTGCTGCGCCTTCCTGACGAGACTAAAAGCTACCTTAAATCTATATTCGGTCTATCAGCGCCAAGTTCAACATGGAAATAAGCCGTAGCCTACCGTTATTTCAGACCCGACTGAGCCAAATAATCGATGGTGCCTAGTCGTATTCGATTCTCACCTTCATTCCCTCGTTCCCCAGTTCGTTTATCAAACGAATGCGACCTGCAGGCGAACTAACCTCCCCGGTAACCTGTGAAGTCGTGCATCCTGTTACCAAAGTGTTCCTATAGTCTCATAAATGGCTTCGTATCCATTCATCCTCTGCCAAATCCCCGGCAGAGCCTCGCTTGTTCGGCTGCACGGATTTCGTCTGGTACTCTTTACCAATCATCGTGGAACCAAAGTCACATAAAAGCGGACGCCCTACCTTTTTTGGTAGCTTGAGAGCCCGGGACATACAGATTGTTCTCCCTTCCGGACTGACTTCTTATCAGAGGACAGGGCGCTCGAGCTCTTTTTCTTCAAAGTCGCTGAATACCGAATCATTGTCGAGGCCAAGCATGATACTGTCGGCCTTGATGTCCGAAATGGAGGATTTGTTCGCCTCAAACTAGTAATAGATTTAGTAGGAAACAAACCAGTGTGTACAATCTCGCACACGGTGTGTAGATGATCCAGTGCGAGAAATACTCGCCAGAGAACCATTGCTAGGACCGCCGATGGTAGCCTCTCCACTGGGGTACGGCGCAGCAAGGTGAGAGTACTTTCCCATAGTGGAGGATGCACAAGGCAACGGTGCCTATCACGAGGCCCATGGATATCAGATGTATCAAGCAAGGTCCGGATTGTGGCCCGCCCAGGATGCCCTTTCGGAGATTGCTCGATGCGGCGGTACAACTCGAGTTCGTGACCGACATGCTGGCCCAGAAAAGAGGTCCGGGCAAAAATCTTGAGCCTAGCATGGCAGCGCGCCCTGAAGCTCTTGTTTCACACTCTGCGAACAAGCCTTTCTGTAGTAATTCGGAGTCTCACGTCAAATCCCAGGCAAGCCATACCGTCGAGGTCGAGCCGAATCCTAGCTTCCCAACAACTTGGTATCGCTCTTTGATTATTTCGCCCATCCGAGTGGGATAGCGTATCGAAGCGTCATGGTCTGGGAGAGTCTCCTCTTCGGTCTTGTGGTATTCGGGGATGCGGGCAAAGCCGTGATTGGGAAAATCGAGGGGCTACCATTCCCGTCCAACTGAGGGAAACAATATTGAGCAAGCGCCCAGAACGTATTGAAGCGCTAAGTATATGTTTTCTGACTCCGCTTCTGGCACCTCATAACTTGTGTGAGAGTTCCGCTGTTAGGGCCTGTAGACTAAATATATAATCTCATCGAGTATTCCTGAGGAATCTCTTCAAGCTCTTGCCGCTGGCCATCTACCATATCTCCATCCATGTCTGGTATACAGAGAGCCAAAAGAAACCACAAAAGATTTCATAGGCCCTCAACAAGCGCCGGTAGCACCACCTCTTCCGAAAACCTCCAAAGCAAGCTACTATCCTCCGCTCTCCACGCAGCCCCGGTCCAATAAGTGTTGCGCTGCCCCTGTAGCGCATACAACTGCTCGTAGAACCCGTCTCTAATATCCTCCCCGCTCACTTGAAGAGAATAGGGTGCATGCGGGTAGAAGGCAACAACTTTCGGGTCAGTGATGTTATATAGGTTCGGATTTTGCTCTTGAATCCTGCGGACCGTGTCGATGACGTGACTTTCAACCTCGTCGTCAGTAAGTGGGAAGGTTTCCTCGCTTTGTGGAGTGCCATAATGAAATATTTGAACTCCTCGAACGCGTGATGGGGAGAAGTTATAGGCGGCTGGGAGGGCGGGGAGGTTGTATGGGGCGTCTTGGATGGCATTTGAGTGGCTGGTTTCCTCGGAAAAGGAAGTGTCGACCAAGGCACCAGCGTAGTAACCTGCACTGATGAACTTGGAGAACAGGGTTGATTCGTCGTCACTGAGGTCGAGTGGTCTGACAATGTCGAGCTTAGGAGGGACTGCGACGAGGAGTTTCTTTGCGAGGATGAGTTTTTTGCCCGTCGGGGTATCGACAATGAGGGTTACTCCAGCCGTGCCTTCTTTTCGGACTGCGGTAACGACTTGAGAATTGAGGAGGACGCTTCCAGTCTCGGAGAGCTCTTCTACCGCTTTAGCGTATAATTCACTGCTGTTGCGTCGCTCAGTGATCAGGAAGCCGGTTGCTATGGACTGAACCATGCCGTGTAGCGACCAGTATCGGAATGCCTCGAGGGTAGGGTTGTCCAACATGTTTCCGACGCCAGGGTTGTAATGGTACATGCTGGGGACTGCTGCTTGGAGTCCGTATTTTTCCACGAATTCGCCAAAGGGTAAATACAAGTCCTCGGGGACGGGGTCTGGCAGGTATATGCCATTGTTCAGTCCAGGATATTTGGCAAGCTGTTCTGAGTAGGCTGCAAAGGCCAAGGAGACTTCACTTGCTGAGGGAGGAGTCAGAGTAACCCTTTCCCCAGTGCGGTAGTCAAAGTTGTTCCCGGATGGATAGAATCCGGGTGAGTTAATAATCGGGATATCGAATCGCGCAAAATAGTCCTTGACAATGGTGTAATTGTGATAAATCTGGACTCCCACCTCAGTAGTCGTGCCGGTAGCAGGATCAACATATGTAGCAGTGTGGCCGCCTAGCCTGCCTTGCTTCTCAATGACAATGACCGACCTGCCTTTGTCGACCAGGCTGATAGCTGAGTAGGTGCCTGAGGAGCCGCCACCAACCACAGCCACATCGCGTCTGATGATGTCTCCTGGTTGGAAAGCACTCAGGTCAGGGGATTGAGGCGTAGGTGAAGAAAGCGCAATCGACGCGAGATAAGCCAATACGCCGGCGAAGAATGATTTAGGGAGAGGCATGGCTGGACGAAGTAAGTAGAAACGCAGGGATGAGGTTCGAGGGACACTTGAGAGCCAATGCATACTAGTAAGCCCATCTATATACTCAATGCCACATAGCGCTAGTGCCGGGCATCGGTAACTGGCCGTATTCGGCAATTCCCCTTTAGGTACCGGATGTCAGCTTGCTTTTTGCTATGCCGAAATACGTACCCTGATATTCTAAGAGCAAGGGTATCCCATCAAAGACTTATCCATGCTCCCATCGAGGTAATAAGTCGTATTACCTTGGAATAGTCCCTTAGGAAGTCTTTCTTAAGAAGATCCATGGTAGTCAACTATACAAACAGAGAATCTGATGCGATCCGACCGTGATCTACCGTGGATGACTTGAGAAACCGATGCTCGGCGTAACTTGATGTATCTCAAGGACCGCGGTGTACTAGCAGAGAGCATCCACCAGCAAGGTACTCCAGTTCCGGAGTACACAGGCCAAGCATGGCGTAATCGCTAGCAAACGCAAGTTTCTGCGAGAACTCTCATAGTTTTCCAACGTGAGATCCGCATCCACCAGATTGTTAACGGGGGAGCACGGGACAGAATTTTTGTCAGCTGAGATGAGAAATAGAGGAGTATTAGCAAGAACTGACTAAGAATGGGGGGAAGGGGATCGCATAGAGAGAAGCTGGAGGTTGGAATCACCTGGACTGGCAGCCATTGCATTTAAGTGCCAGCACAGTGGATAATTGATCAAGACGACAGCATAATGGATGAAAGCTGTGCGGTCTCATGGTAGGATCTTGGTGTAACTCTCTATCGCGCCTGCAGTTGCAGTATGGATGTCGTGTCCAGGTGAAATTTAAAAGCTGGCTGGCCGTTCCATCGACTCTCACAGAGGACGAACCCACACTGCGTATGAATCGCGATTGTTTGCGTCCTAGCCTTCCTCGCCTTGACCTCAGCACAAGGGGCGCTTCAGTGTTAGGCTTTGTTGGCCTGTAGCGAGCGGAAGCCTGGTCTGGGATATGTTGAATGGGTTGCGTGTATCGCCCAGGTCTTCATTTAGACTTTGCTTGATGATGGGGAACACAGATCAGATGGATAAATTTTGAGGAGAAAATCAACAGTTCCTGCGCATCTTCGGTCACAAGTGCCTAGTAGATACCCTAGGTAATAGAGCAGAGGTATTTTGGTACTCGGAAAGTGGAAGAAATCAGCTCTGCAGAGGATATCACAGTCAACGCCGACATATAAACCCAGCCCATATTATACACCCTTAATTGTACAGCATAACTTTTTTTTTTCCCGAGGACACGCCTCACTCATCCTTCTTCTCTTCATCAGTCTTCTTCTTGGCATCTCCCCAGTTCCAAACTTCCCAAATGTGCTCCTTGATCATATCCCCATAACCCTTCCCCTCATCCAACGCCTTCTGTTCCTCCCTCAATCTTCTCTCCTTCCACCCTTCCTCCTCGTTGCCCATCCAAACCCTCTCCAGGACACCCTTCTCCTGCCGTTGTCTCGCCTTCAGCTTCTCCAACTCCTCCTTCTCAATGCCCACCTCTCGCATCCTCGCCTCCTGCGCAGCCCGCAACCGCGCTTGAATCTCTCTCGCCCGTTCAGTCGGTAGCCCCATGAGCTCCGACGACGATGATGAAGATGCTGGAATTATGCGCTCCACGATACTCCGACCCGTGCGTTCCCGTGTAATGTAGTTTGCGGAGATCGCGAAGGCGGTAATGTGAAGGACAGTGAGGTGGTCTAGTCTTCGGGGCGGAAGAGCAATGAGGATCGGGGACGCGACGAGGAACCCTATCGCTGCGTACTTTTTGAAGCGCTTGAAGTCGGCTTCGCGGGTTTTTTGGATAGAGTCATCGGACATCTTGGTTCGTTCGCCAATTCGCGGATTTGAGTATAGCGGGCTGCTTGTAGGGTATGTGGTGTTGAGCTCGTTATTCGGATATGGCGAGGTTTTCAAGGCCCGGGTGTTGATTGTTGCTGTGCTTTTTGTGTTGGCGATCGGACACAGGTCTCATCTCTGGCGCTGGCGGAGCTGCCGCCGAGATGTCATGTGACTTCGCATCTGAAGCTGCAGAGCCCCCAACCCGCAGACTGCGCATCTCTTCCACCGCACATTTCCCGAGGAAAACGAAAGGAAATGGAAAAAGTTGATAGACTCCTTGGCCTCACTAATGATTATATTTAGGATCCTTCACAGCACCGCAGCAGGCCGAATACCCCCTGCAAGATTACGTTACGCCGTCAGACCGCGCGCCACAATTCGCAATTGCCCCGAACACCACGAAGAATATCCCACAGTCACAGACACCGCTATACGACTCGAGGACAGGGTGGACAGCTGACCCAGAATGACCAAGCACGCAGAAAATCCTCCGTGAAGACCCCAATCGCGAAGCCCCTCACATAACCGGTCGTAAGCAGCCTCGTCAGAGAGAATCCTCCGCCGAGCCAGTGCAACGCCCCACACCCGAAGCTTAAACGAAGCTTAGTCGTCCACTCCTTTCGCAACCAGAGATTGAAATTGGAAAAATGGAGCCGGTGGACACTGGAATCCCGCTGCCTAGGCCCCAGCTAGCCTTATGCTTCTATAATTATCCCTTGAAACTGTTCAGAATTTGATGAGTAACGATGCCGTTAATACCCTCTGGTATTATAGAGTTTCGGGCGAGGGACGCGCAGGATGTGATGTCACACACCAACAGCCGTGATCGACGGTTCTTCATGTGCGTCGTTTCCTACGACGTCAATCGTGGACTCGAGAGTCAAGATACGAGGGGTAGCCGTCAGTGGCTGAGGATCGGCTTCACTAGTGACTAGTACTACTGACAGAAGTTTAGAGAAGTCAGCTGTTGGTGGAGTAGACGTCGTGGTTGTCGAATTTTCGATCCATCCCAGCGTGCCGTTTCAACCGCGTGGCTTTGCAGGTGGCTCGCCCACTTAATCTAAAAATTAAATTGTAACTGCCTGGGCTGAGCTGAGGGCCAGGGATTATAAAAGCGCCGCGTCCCTGATTCCACTGCTTCTTCTGTCCTTATTATTATATCATCCTATACTACCTACTCTCACTCTCCGCACCATCAGGCCTGCAACACTCACCTAATTCTAACCACCAAACCAACCAACCAACCAACCTCAGACAATTCAAAATGGTCTCCTTCAACCCTCTGAACCTCTTCAAGTCCACCAAGGCCTCCGATTCCACCGAGGACCAGAACCAGAACCCGACGTTCGACCCCAACACGCTCACGATGGTTCAGCCGGGGCGCACAGAGACGCCCTCAATGGAAGCGAATAATGGTGTCGTGAGCGAGCAGCCGGTATGACTCATTTCTATACTGTACACATCACAATGCTCGGTTATCTGGGTGCTGGTTGGATGGGAAGACGGCGATGGCTAACTGGGCGATACAGGGGCGTCAAGAGCAGATGGAGATGCAGCTGCGTGGTGGTGGCGGCGGCGGTTTCTGCTGCGGAGTGTGAGTTGCTTTTCCCCTTCTGAAAACGGCACTGCATGGTAGGGAGATCGAGGCTAATGGTTTTCTGATAGGTGCGCGGGTCTTGCTTGCTTCGAGTGCTGTGAGATTTGTTGTTAGATAGCATGGCTATGTTTGGTTATAACGTCGGTCATCAAGAGCGAAGAGCAGCGGACGGGGACAAATGGACGAAGAAGAAGGGAAGGGCGTTGAGTGCGTAACGGATGATGCCAAGAGATAGTACTGGTTTCACGAGCGTTTATTGTATACCCTGCGTCTGCTATTGCCGAATCAATCCTATTTAAGCTTCAAATTCTTTCGCCCTAATTCGAGAACACGATCTGAGCCGGCCTCCGGTAATATGCAGGGCAATCAATCATCAACCATCTGACACCTCGTATCCCCTGTATGATGCTGAGTTTCCCCTTTGCCTTGGTCTAGTTCTTACCATTTCACGCCAATGGTAACCTTCTCTTGGATCTTAACCTTGCCACCCTCGTATTTTAGAGTTCCATCTTCATTGAGTCCCGCCATCTGGATCATACCGCCCGAGACTTCGTCGATGATCTGGGCGTACATGTTGCCTTCGTTGACATCGCAGCGGGTCGTAGAAGATTCACAGTGCGCAATTAGGGCAGCAGTCGACTTGAAGTTGCGAAGACAGCCGGGACACCTAACGTGTAGTTTTGTTAGTATTCATGCATAACTTAGCGAGTCACGACAAAGACAAATACGTACTGGACTCTGCGAATCGACTTATTTTTGGCGAGAAGATGCTGCTCAAACCCCTTTTTGCTCTTGAAGCGTTTTCCACAGGGGCAGACATATTCGTCGGTGTATTGGTCAATGTACTTCTCCGGTTTCCACTCCGCATACATTCTGCGCAGATGAGTGGCTGCGTCGGTGCGGGCCCCAGTCGCGCTGGGGGTGGAGACTGAGGCAGGCTGGGTCTGATAGGTGAGCTCAGTACCAACGACAGTAGGCACGCGGCCTCTATCCTTCCAGGCATTGCTCGTTTCCTCCTCCTTGTCCTCCTTCGGTTCGGCATCGGTGAAGGTCATCAGGTCTCTGATATCTTCCTCTAGGCCAGTCTCATTCTCCTTCTGTTTCAATGAGGGCCAATGTTTTGCTGCGAGTTCTTTATCGGCACTCCCTTTGCCGTACATGGGCTGGTTTGCCATGGCCTGAATGTTCTCCTCACAAAGAAGATCCACAGGGAGAGAGACCCCGCCCTGCTCATAATCATCATCAACAACCGATCCCCCGTGAATGCGGAGACCAGAAGGTGAGGAGAGCTCGAGGGTCTCCTTGAGCATGAGCCTCTTGTTTTGTTCGTAGCGGAGTTCTTCCTGCGAGATGATGCGGCATTCACCGTTTTCAATGTGCCGCATGAGGCCAGAGGCGCTTCTGAAGGTCAGTTTGCATCCAGGGCAGACGAGGTTTTGGGCCGTGCGGTGGAACTATAGGCAAAGACATCGTTAGATCTCAAAGTAGTAGAGGCTCATAGTATTGGTCTTTGCTTTTACGTGAAAAAGAGAGAAAGGTGAGAGGGAGAAGGGTGATAATCACCTGCCGAATATGAGAGTCGCGACCTCCCTCACTACGATACTCGATTGCGCACACAGGACAGACAGTATGATCCTTGCTTTTAATCTTGTGAATGAGTAGCTGCTCCTCGGACATGAAGTCGAGGTCGCACTTGCGACAGTACTCATGATCGGGGTATCGTTCTTTATGAAGCTTCATGGCTGCAACTGAGTCGAACTCGAAATTGCAGCCGGGGAATGTGCAAGACACTCGCTCGGCTGGCCTGAGGCTAGTCATTGCGTTGATGGCGCGGAGGGGTGCCTGGATGTTAGAGGTGTGAGTCGATAAAGGCTGCAGAGCTGGAGATGGGCGTCCGGATGACTCAGTGGCGATTTTGAGGTTGGGAGGATTCTTCATGTTGGGTGGGTGAGAGAGTCTAGGAGGCAGAGGAGGCAGAGAAGGCAGAAGAACCGGAAGAACCAGAAGAAGATGTGGGGGAGGGGGCAAGGGACCGTGGGAGGGAGGGAGAAAATGTTGGTCTGGTGTTGTGGGATCAATGAGAGCCGCTGGAGTAAATAGTTGCTGCAGGTGGTTTCAGATGGGCCATCATTTAGGAAACTTAAGTCACATTCACTTTGCTACTAGATCATTCCAAAACATTCTCCAGATATGTCACGTACAAATAACTCAACCTCAGTTCTAAAACCTGGAGAAGGGCAACCACTTGCCTCGCAGCGTAATAACAGCCCAGTTATTCCCATCCTTATCCGTCTCCTTCTCTACCTTCGTAGAGAACGAAATCGCGCTCATGATTCCATCACCAAACTTTTCATTTAGCACCGCCTTATACGCATAACCATAGTTCTGCACAATCTCGTAAAGACGGTAAATCAAAGGCTCCTTGGGCGGCATCTCGACAGAGCGACCACGATCCGGGAAGCCCGAGAGCTGCTCGTTGAGATAATTGGGCGAAATGTCAAGGAGGGTAGACAGCTTCTCGATATCCTCCGGGGAGGCCTTGGCTTGGCCGTAGAAAATGGCGGCGGTAGCGACCTCATTGCGGCCAATGTGTTCGGCGATTTGCTCGAAGCTCAGCGCCTTTGTGGCCTTGGCCTTAAAAAGGGTTGCCGAGGCGGCCGGAAGGTAAGGGTGTTGGGTGGTCTAGATGCTGTCAGCATGGTAGGCGACTAATTCCAGGAGCCCGTACGTCAAGGGTCGCCAGAGACATGGTGCTGGTAATTGGTTCAATGGGAAAAGGTGACAGAAAGTAATGTGCACATGGAAGTCCAGGGAAGAGGTCTGCTTTATATCTGACGTTATCACTTCTCCAATTGCTCTGTGCGGGGTAGTTCCCCGCTAATGAGGGGTGATAGATAAGGAAATTGCCCTTTGTTTACTAAGTACCAGGAGTAATACTTAAGAGTCTTTAATTCTTAGAGGAGTCAAACAGAGCAAATGAATTAAAAATTCCATTATTTCTTGTGTCGTCTTCTTCTCCGTGGGTTGCGGCGAGGCTAAATTAGGTAGCCCCGGCCCAAAATACTATACCAAAGTTACCAACAAGGCCCATCTGAATATTAAATTCCTAGACAACGGATACTCCAACAATCTAGTTTTGTCACGAGCTTTGAGAACAGATCAATGCTACATAGGCAAGAGCTTCTGATGATGACTATTCAATCAGGGCTAGTGCCTTTGATTTAAGCCTCCTCCTCTTACGGATCAGTGAGTGCCGCTTCAGAACCTTTCTATCGCCTTATCCAATGATTAGCGATGATGAGTTCAAGAGTGATTCGGCCCTCTTAGTCTTGCAGCTTCATGCTCAGAAGTCCGTATAGGAGGTACTTAGTACTGCATATTTCGAGTCTTCCTGAAGTATGCAAGCTCCCATAGTGTGACCCTGACTCCGGCGGCAAGAAAGCGCATTCTGTACGACCCGAAAGATTTGCCCGTTCGCATGGAGTTGTATCACTGGTTCCTCATGGCTATGCGATCGTGTCTATTTCCCCGGATGCACCGCTCCATTGTTAGGAAACGATATTCTAAATCGTGCTATAACACGTTAAGAGCATCTAACTCTCCGCTGATAAGACAAGGTACCTACCTAGTGCAGCTAAGGATTTGATTGATTCTTCCGGGAGGCGGTTCAAGTAGCAAGCTGGAGGCGCAACTGAGGATAAGGCTTCATAAAATAAAGTACCCCCGGGTATCAGCTCTAGCGAGGAACCTCCGCGCGAAATTCAGGTAGTGATAGCACAGGTTCTTGTGCGTTTTCCCATGATTGGTGTAGACTCGCTCTCTAGGCTCGGGATCCCGTAGGATATTATATACCCCTGAATCTGTAGAACCTGATCTAGTGGCCACAACCAACACACCGCTGCTCTATCGTTTTGGGATGTATATCGAAACGGGGCTTACGGAAGCGATCCCACATGGTGCACTGCTCGTCTTACAGCCGATATGTCTGTGCTAAATCCTGTGAATCGAACCGACGCATAGCTCAGCCGCACTATTATCGAGTTGCCTAAGAAAGATATTGTTAGTCTTTTGAAAAACTCATTCAGCAGCCTGCTGCTCAGCCACACGTACCCCACTATCCACCCGCTGTGAACATCACTTGGTCGACTAACCCGAGGGAGTCTAGATGGCTAACTAGTGTGTGGTGGGGTGTGGCTACGTTGTTCAGCTCCGAATCGCGGATGCTAGGCTGCCACGTACCTTGAGAAGATGTGACGGTCGGTTCGAGAAACAGCGGGCGCGCAAAGGTTCCATTGCAGGAGGCCGGCCAGTGGAGGACATGTATTTCGTAGGGCTCCTGTCTGCAAGTCTCCGTGCGTTAGCGGCCTCGCGGTCAATTTAGCTGGGCGGTTGGTGTTGGGATCCACGAGTCAAGGATGGCGGGGCAGTTGGTTTCGGAGGGGAAAGGAGCTGACGGTCGGACGTTTCCACGTCCCCTCATCTAGCACCACTTGCCAACGATTGGTTTGATCCCCTTAGGCGACTCACTGCTTAATCCATAAGAGGAGCGATCGCTCCTTGTCTGACATTTTTCACCTTTTGCATTCTCTTTCTCCCGTTCTTCAGTCATTTCCAGCGACCGCGGCCTAGCCATGTCTCACAACCAGGATGATCTGGCTTACGGCCGGTACCATGGCGATTCTCAGCGTGCCGACGAACAGGGCAGCGCAAGGAGCCTCGTCGGAGACACTTTCAACATGCTGAAGAGCAAGTATAAGACGCACCAGAGCTCTCAATCGGGAGCTCCGCCAGGCAGCCAGAATCAGCCGCCTTCGCAGGGCTATGCACCACCAACATATGGCGTGAGCTACATTGATCTAGGACAATGGGCTGGCATGAATTGAGCGCTAATTACTTCCACAGAGCCCGTACGATCAGAACCCCGTACAGAACCCCGGGCAGAGCTACCCGTCGTACAATAGCCCCGGCCCGAACCAAAGTTCGTCGAACCAAGGAAAACCCCCGAAGCAGGATAAAATGTCGGGTTTGTTTGGGAAGTTCCAAGGCGTCGTCGCGGACCTTGGAGGCGAGGTCGCTCAGCGTTTGGGAACTGCTATCGACCCGCAAGGGTACGCGGAATACGGCGCAAAGCCGCAATCTCAGCATCGCTTCGGCAGTTTTGCTCCCCATCGTCAGGGAAATGATGTTCAGTGGTACGTCGATGGGTGCTCGTATTTCTATGCTGTCTCCAAGGCGCTGGAGACTGCCAGGGAGTCAATTTGGATTCTGGACTGTAAGTTATCCGCGGAGGAAAGCTGGGCAACCGGAATCTAACGTTCTTAGGGTGGCTGTCACCCGAACTGTACCTCAGACGGCCTCCAGCGAAGAATGAACAGTATCGACTAGATCGCTTGTTACATGCAGCGGCGCAACGTGGAGTCAAGGTCAATATCATCGTCTACAAAGAGGTCACGCAGGCGTTGACTCGTACGTTAACCTGATTTCCTACTGCGGAGCCACGCTAATGTGCCCAGTTTCGTCTCACCACACGAAGCATCATCTAGAGGACCTCCATCAGAACATTGCCGTCTTCCGGCATCCCGATCACCTTCCCGACCGACAAGGCTTGGCCGCTTCAATTACATCATCCCTTTCAAACCTGTCTCTAGACGCGCTGAAGCTTGGTCAGATGTCTGTAGACGCCATGAAGGGCGTTTATGGCATTCACGAGGGCATGATATTGTACTGGGCTCATCACGAGAAGCTTTGTCTCATTGATGGCGCTGTTGCTTTTATGGGTGGGCTAGATCTCTGTTACGGGCGCTGGGACACCCATCAGCATGCCCTCTCTGATGTTCACGACAACCCCAGCGACATTGTATTCCCTGGCCAGGATTATAACAATGCCCGAGTCCTTGACTTCACCGACGTTGCTCACCCGGACCAGAACAAACTCGACCGAACAAAAACATCTCGTATGGGCTGGTCTGATGTAGCTGTGAGCTTCCATGGTCCCGCCGTGGCAGATCTGAGGCATCTGTTTGTGGAACGCTGGAATTTCCTCTATGATACCAAGTACCAGTCCCGAAATAATCCAAGGTTCTCGAAGCTGGTGCTCTACGGCCACCCCGGTCAACAGTCACACTCTCAGCAACAGCAAGGTACCCAGCAACAGCCTCCTTATCAGCCTGGCTCCCAGCAGCAACCGGGGCAGCAATCGTATTCTCCGTCTCCACAACCACCTGCTCAGTCGGATTACTCGACTCAGCCGAGCTGGAATCTACAGCAACCTTCGTATCAAACTGGTCAGCAACCGCCTTCGCACCAGTCGTACTCTCCTCAGCCGCCTGCTAGCCAATCGCCACAGCCAAACTATAGCCAACAGCACTCTTATCAGACCGGTCAGCAGCAGCCCGTCCCGCAAGCATATACACCTGGACAGCACCCTCCTGGCCAGTCGTCCCAGCCCAATTATGCGCCGCAGCAGGCTTCTTATCAACCGGCACAGCATCAATCTAGCGCTCCATCGTATCCTTTATCCACTCAGCCAGTAAATCAGTCGCCTCAAGAAATCTATAGCCATCAGCAGTCTCCTCCTCATCAACATGGCCAGCAGTTCCATTCCCATTCACCACAGCCAAGCTGGAATCAGCAGCAAGCCGATCAACAGTCACACCCCGGAACCCCACAGGCCTCTGCTCAAACTTCCCAGCAATCCTACTCATACTCGGCTCAGTCGTTCCCTCCACCTCCCTCAGGACCGCCACCACCACAGAGCTCTGGTCTAGGGCAGTCGCCGTACTTCCCTCCTCCGCCTTCTCAGCCGACTCAAGATGCTTCATACTCTAGCTCGCGAGGTGCTTTCGACTACTACGACGATGGGCAAGGTGACCGTGACCGGGCATCTGGCGGGAGACCAGGACACGGATCCGGAGGTCACGGGTCTGCAGCCAGTTTTGTGCCTCGTCGCTTCCGCGAGAATTTTGATTCTCTTCGTGGAGAATTGGCAGGCCAGATTCATCAATATCAAGACAAACTCACTAGTGGCGCCTTGGGGCGACCTCAGCAGCGCGGCAACATGACCTGCCAGATTCTGCGTAGCTGTGGGAAATGGAGTAACGGCACTCCGACCGAACATTCCATCGCAGATGCATACTGCGAGATCATCCGCAACAGTGAACACTTTGTTTACATCGAGAACCAGTTCTTCATCACTGCGACTGGTGACAAGCAAAAGCCTGTGAAGAACCAGATCGGTACGGCGATTGTTGAGCGTATTCTTCGGGCAGCTCGCGCTGGTCAAAAGTACAAGATCATCGTTGTCATCCCCACCGTTCCATGCTTTGCTGGAGACCTCGCAGATGAAGCTGCCCTTGGCACTCGGGCCATCATGGAGTTCCAGTACAATTCCATCAACAGAGGGGGCAACAGCATAATGGAGCTTATCGCTAAAGAGGGGTACAACCCCATGGAGTACATTCGGTTCTACAATCTCCGCAACTATGACCGGATCAAGTATACCGACCCTAGACTAGCCCCTCAGTCCACTGGCAGCGGGTTCGGACCCGCTCATCGCCCTGCCTTTGATACATCTTCTGTCTACCAATCGAATACTCCATCACCAGCCCCAGGTCCCAAATCGGGCGCTGGGAGATGGGATACTGTGAGCGCGTGCTACATGCTCAACGGTCCAGACCTTCGGAATATTCCTTGGGACGGTCCGAGCGAAGCGGAGATTGACGCTTTTGTCACAGAAGAACTCTATGTCCACTCTAAGGTCAGTTAACCTTTCCCAAATCACAGAATCTTTCTAACCGAACAGGTTATGATTGCCGATGATCGTGTTGTCATTTGCGGATCCGCCAACATCAATGACCGGTCCCAGCTGGGAGACCACGACTCGGAAATCGCGGTTCTCATTGAGGACACGACCCCTGTTCAGTCGGTGATGAATGGAAGGCAGTGGATGGCCAGCCGTTTCGCCTCTTCCCTTCGACGCCACCTCTTCCGAAAGCACCTGGGCCTGCTTCCCCCGCAGGACTACGAGCATGTCAATGACCATTTTGACTTTGACTCCCCTGAAAGCCAAGTTGTTGCTGACCCACTGGCGGACACGTTCCTCAGCCTTTGGAACACACGGGCCCATACCAACACCGAAGTCTTTAGAGAAGTCTTCCACTCTGTTCCCGACGATACAGTGCGCAACTGGACCACATACAAGGAGTTCTATGGATACTACTTCAAGAATGCAGACAAGCAGGCATTCGGCGAGAAGATAGATGGCGCGCCAGCACCGTACAAGTACGGGCATGTAGTCTCCGAGAAGTTCCCAGGCCTTGAGGGTGTACAGCGTGTCAAGGAACTTCTCAGTCAGGTGAAGGGAACATTGGTGGAGATGCCACTAATGTTCCTGTGCGAGGAGGATGTGGCTGAATCGGGATTGACGCTTAATGATTTGACAGAGCCTCTCTACACTTAGTCTGCCATTCTCCTGTCGAGTATTTCTTTGTTCATTTAAGATCCGTGGCGATTTTCTTGTTTCCCTTCAGCCATGTCTTGGCCTTCGCGTTGGTATTGTCGACGAGGAACAATATGAATTTCTCGTGCTCTGATTGGTCAATGCAACCACATCCCATCTATAATGTTTTGCTCGAGTACTGCCAGTAACACAACAATCCAGCCTGCAACCTGCAGTTGTCCCACATGGAAGGGTCGCCTATCTTTGTCTTTAATACTGTTCACTATCACTGATTGCAGCCTCGCACGTGGAGACTAATTCTTTATCTCCAGCCCAGGGGCAGGCCCTCGATAACGAGAACCAGAGGTAGAACTCGTAGAGAAACTCAAGTCCAACTTGAAAGATCCGAGACTTAATATTGTCTTCTTTTACGCAGTCTTCGATCAGCGTCTGCAATTGGCCCTAGCTCTGAGGAACAATCGTAAGCCTCTTGCCTACGCCACCCGGTCTGCAGGCGGGAGATATTCATGTCTGCAGGCGGGAGACATTCATGTCTGCCAGAAGAATACCACATGGGAGAACCACGTGCAGGTGCTCTCTCGTGCTTTCATTCACCCTCTGCAGCTCTGGAACCTTCGTCTGCACCCAAACAGGATCTCTGTCTTAGTCTTCCGCTTTATCCCGGTTCTTCAACAATCTGCTCAAAACACACGCATAACACACTACTATACTAAGCGAGACTAAGGTCAGCCTAAAAACCTATAAGTACCCCCTCGAGGCCCTCCCAAGTTGCCTTCTTCTTCTCCTCATCATCTCATAGTTTGATTCCACTTTCACTTTCAAATCTACTTTACAATCTTTTGCTTGACGCAAATACCAATCTCTCTCTCAATCAACATGTCTCCCTCTGAAATCGCTCAGCAGTCCACCATTGTCAAGGGCATGACTTCCTATCTCCTTCTCCGTCTCCCCTGGTCACTCTGTGTTCCTTCCCTCTTGTGACCAGCCAAGCTAACCATGTCTCTTGTTGTTCTACAGCCTCCCCCGGCGCCGGCTGCGTGGTCATGTAAATGATCCCCCGGATCTTCTCAAGTCTCGCAACCCGGATCCCTCCTGCCTCTTTGAACAATGATTCCAACCAAGCCAATCTCGATATCTGCCTGTTCGCCTCGTTCAACTTTTCCTTCCTGAACCCGAATATCGTCCTCTCCACCGCGCCATGACCGCGAGCTTCTACAACCTCTTCACAACCAAAAAAACAAACACAAAATCCACAAAGACATGAGGAGCACAGCACTTGTGTTTGTGTCTTCTCTCTTACTCCTCACTTGGCGTCTGCGACTCGACACTGTCCTCATCGACATGACCTGACGCCATCTACCTGACGAGCTTACTCTCTTTTACGCTTTTACGAACCGAATTGCAATCCGAATCCGAAATGTCGCCTATCTTCGTTTATCTTCTGGTGGGAAAACTTGTACGTTAGTTTTTTTCCGCCTAGGCAGACAAGAAGCGGTTTGGAGATGGTCTGTTTTCTCTCTTGTTTTCCCTTTGAGTTGAAAACCTTGGCTTGGTTGAGTGGGAACTGGGGGTCGTGTTTTTTCTTTTCCTCTACTATGAATGTACTTATTATCTTGCTGCACTAAGATATGGTCGGCTGAATGAATCCAATGGGAACTTTCTCGAAACTTGTCTTTTCCTTTCTTCTCTCGTAGGTTGTTGTAGCCTGTAGACTGGTGTGTATGTGGACTTGGTGTGGTTGCTATCTCGATCTTGTTGTGTTTTCGTTTGTGGTTCGGCTTCGATGAGGGGTAACACTCGAACTTTCTTCCATGGTATTTCGCCATAGTTAAAGGGTTCTGTTCGAACTTGACGGTGCCGTCATAGACTTTCCCTTCTTTTCCTTCATCCCTTGTTGTTCGGCTACGAAGCGTAAGATGAGGTGTAACGTAACACTAAGAAGTTACGAATCCAAAATCCCCAGTCCTAAAAACGACGACGAACTCGTTTTCTCAACATTTCATTTCAAACGCTGGAGAACCAACATACAAATTCATATCGAGCGTCCTTCCCATCAATAGCAGAGATAAATGATCCTAGGAGCACCTAAACCTTCGTCTCCCTCCTCAACGCATCAACTCTCGCAATGTCATCCGCACTCGGCTCCTGCAACTCCGCGTCTCCAAGAACAAAGACATCCCTCGCCACATCTTCAACCTGGTTCACGAGATGCGAAACCAGTTCTACGGACCGTGCCATTCCAATCTTCATCATGTCTTCGCCGACAGCGGCCTCAATCTTCCCGTCTCCGCCATTTGCGGGGAGGTCAGCGGTAAATGCCGCCAGGATAGCCTTGAGTGGTTCGAGGAAGCGGGTGCGGAAGTAGATATAGGTTTTTTCGAGTTGAAGAGCCTTTCGAAGGTTCGGCGAGGAGAGCAGAATGTAGTAAAGGGTTAAAGCGGAATGAATTGCGGGGCTGGCGCTTTGTGTGAAGCGATTCCAGGGGCTTACCAGGTCGCCAGGGCCGGTGGTGAGGTCAAGTGTTAGAACTGGGGAGGTGTAGAGGAGGGGGAAGAGGACGGAGAAGTAGTGGGGGTTGAGGAAGATGTTAGTGGTGGAGTCTCTGGCTGCGGCCAGGATTTCGTTCTTGAGCCAGTCAATTGCGCGGTCTTTGAGGGTGCGATAGTAGTCGTCTTCAAGGACTTTGCGGATCACTTTGAACCGCGCGATTTGGGAGGGGTTGTTGTGGATGACTGTTGCGGGGACTCTCCGGACGGTGGTGTAAGTTTGGCGAACAGTGCAGGCTGTTAGCGACACGACGAAGTCAATGAATTCAGTTTCGTCGGCAGGCGGGTAGACGGGTTGTTGTAGGGATAGGATCGTCAGCACAAGCAGGGAGTCTAGTAAGACCTGCGGCTGTTCAAATGCCACCTCGTCTAATGTGCAGAACTTTCCGACAAAGTTGTTGAAGATGCGTGCCAGATCGGGATAAATTTGGATCGATGAAGGCTTCCCAGACGAGAACAGTTGCGAGACTGCACCTCTGGCGGCGAGTAGAAGCAAAGATCCATGTCTTTCCAGTGGAATGTCCTCAACTTTCTTAGGATGCTCTTCAAAATCCAACGGCGGTGGCTGTGTTTCCGGGGATTGCAGGACAACTTTGAGAAGGTCGGCATCGGTCAAGCCAATGTCTTGAGAGAGTGCCTATTCAGGTCAGTGTACGGAATCTCTGAGAGAGATCCAGAGTACCTACAGTAATCTTCGCGATGATCGCGTCCCTCTCTCCCAGCTGCTTAGTCTCTGTGTAGACAGTTGTAGGAGAGCCTGTTCCAGGCATACGTGTCTCAGGCTGGAATTTCTCTTGCAGTCGGATAGCCCACGACATCCCTGGGTCCATCGGACCAGAGCAGCTCAACAAGTACGACTTCAGAAGCTCGATCAAGCCGAATTGCAAGAATCGCTTTATGAGCAATGTCTCTTCGCTAACACCCGGCTTCGGCGAGCTAATCTCTGCTTCGGGATCTGGGGCAGAAGCTTCCGCGACTCGGAGCACGGTCGAATCGCTTGGAGCTCTAGGAGGCGGCGGAGGTCGTTTCGTGGGGGAAACGTCTCTCATGAATTCCAGGAGCGCAAGGGTGGTTTCATTCGTTGGCATTGAGGTATATGCTTCGAGGGCGGCCTGAAGGGAAGTCGCAAGGAATCGGCTTGGGGATTTCGTCTGGATACGAGTGTGGAGGACCGAGAGCATTGCGACGAGTGTATTGAATTGGAGCACGTGAAGAGGGACGGATGTGGTCTACGGAGCACCCTTGTTATCAGCACTAAGCTCGACGCCTGCAAGTTGTGTCCCTAGGTCTTTTACCTCGCCCTTCTCCTCGCCCTCGCCCTCGTTCTCGACTTCATCGTCCGCGGGGTGCAAGTGCATTAAAGCATCTGCGACTCGTAGGATGACTTCTCGTGGATTTCCGAGCCGCGCCACGTCCTGAAGACACTCTGAGGATGCCGGGAGCATAGGAAGTAGCATCTTTACTAGGTCCCAGCCGATATTCGTTGTTAAGGTCTCATCTTGAAGCAGTCTGTGGAGGATCGGTAGGCGAGCGGGGGTTAGCTGGTACTCCAGCAAAGTGAGGTAGGTGAGGTAGTCGGTTGCCGGGGGGAGGGCCTGAATGAGAGGATCATCCTGGGCCATGGAGACCGATCGATTCACAGACGACATCTTGATTGAAGAAAGTTGCAATGGCAAGGGAGTGAGGGAATGAAGGTGAGGTCAAGCTCTAGAAAAGAAGGGTCTCCTGCTCTTGGCGTCCACGACGCGTGCCCCGCAGATGACATCACTGGCAGCTCAGGAACAATTCTATAATTAACTTGACACTCACACAACACACAACTATTTAGAACCGAAGATTCTGCATCCCAGATTCGACTAGGATCTGCTCTATCTTTCTGTGTCCCTTAGTTCCCGCAAGATCAACCGCAGTTTGTCCTTGATCCGTCTTCAAGGTTTGGTCTGACCCCGCTCGCAACAGTGCTTGAACAATCTCGATATGTCCCTCGTTAGCAGCACAGTGCAAAGCCGTCCATCCACTCTCCTGGGCAGCGTTTGGGTCTGCTCTCCACGAAAGCAAGAATTGAACCATGCTTGTGCGGCCGTTAGATGCGGCGATCGCTAAGGCAGTCCACCCAGCGTTCGTCTTGGCCGAAATATCTGCGCCGTTCTCTAGGAGGACGGTTGCCGCTTGTAGATTACCCTTTCCAGCTGCTCCGTGCAGTGGAGTCCAATTGGTGTTGTTTGTTGCATTGATGCTTGCACCACGTCGAATAAGTGTCTTAATGGTGTCTGTGTATTCCTCTCGCGATGCAATTCCCAACGAGGTCCACCCAGCTTCGTCGCGTGCTTCGATGTCTGCTCCCCTGTCAAGAAGGAGTTCCGCCACCGCAGTATGCCCGTTCGAGGCCGCTAGAGTTAGTGGAACCCAGCCATTGTTACTGCGAGGACCAATGTCCGCTCCCCTTCTCAGAAGCAGTTTCACTATCTCCAGATGACCATTTTCAGCTGCAGAGCTCAGCGGTGCCCGGCCTCCCGAGTTGCGAATGGTTAGGTCCGCCCCACAGGCGAGAAGAGACTGAACCACCTTGATATAACCACGGTAACATGCAATATGCAGCGGTGTCCAATCATCTTCAGCTGCCTTGTTGGGGTCGGCACCTAGCTCGAGGAAAAGGTCAACAATTTCGTGGTGGCCCTTAGATGCTGCTCTATAAAGCGGCGTCTCCTGTTCGTTGTTTGCGGTAGACTTATCCGCGCCATGTTTGAGCAGTGCCATCACATTATCCAGAGATCCATTGCTAGCAGCCAAGTTCAAGGGAGTCCAACCCTTTGTGGTTGCAATCGCATGGTCTGCACCTCCAGCGAGCAGCAACCTCGTCACTTCGACGTAGCTATTTGCGGCCGCGGCGCCGAGCGGGCTCCAATTTTCCTCTCCCATAGCCTTATTGGGATCTGCCCCACGGTCGAGCAGGAGCTTCACCGTCTCGACGTGACCGTTACTCGCTGCTGTGTACAAAGGTGTTGTTCCGCTATTCGCGGTTGCGTTGATATTGGCACCATGGCCCAACAAAACAGCTGCCACCGCCGTATAGCCCATGTCAGACGCGGAAATAAGTGGCGTCCATCCAGTCGAATTAGGTCGATCTACATCCGCCCCCTGCTCGCACAAGTACTGTACCACGTCCAAATGATTCCCTCGGGCCGCCATGTGGATTGGGGTCCAATTTCCGTCCGGTAATCCTTCTGATTTATCCACTCCATGCTGCACGAGCACTTTGACAGTGTTCAGTTTCCCTTCTTTGGCTGCGGAGTAGATTGGTGTTTGTCCATCAACTGTGGGTTGATTTGGATCTGCCCCGTACTGGATCAAGAGGACTACTGCGCCAGGGTGGCCATACGTCGCAGCTGCGCTGAGAGGGGTAAACCCGTGCTCGTTTCCTGATGTGTAGTCCGCTCCGTGATCTATGAGATACTTCAAAATCTCTGTGTGTCCACTCACCGCAGCCGAGTATGCGGGCGATTGCCCTATCTCGCCAGTCGCAAGTATATCTGCTCCGATCGAGACAAGCCTTTTTATCTCTTCAAAATTGCCTGTGCGAGCTGCGATATTGTAAGGTGAAGGTTGAGGCCCGTCATCAACGGACTCCGAGTCAGCATCCGATTGCATGGCCTGTGCGTATGAAGGAGGTGGCGCAGAACTATGGCCATCTTGCTCTTGCACTACAGGTTGAGGTAAAGGAGAAGTAGCCATGAAGGAATGAAACGACCATCCAGCCTTCGCCATGCCTTCCATAGAAACCAGCAGTCTATGTCTTTCGGAATCCTCCTCGCTTGACACGAAAGATAGCTTCTTAGCAGTCGCAATCCCCGCCTCGAGCTGCTTGATCTCGATATCCAATACAGAAAGATGAGACTGTTTAAGCTGTATTGCTGTCCCATCATGAAGGCTCATGCACCTGACTCACGTTCGCTTAGCCTTCAGCTGCGCCAGTTATATCGCCGGAATATACTCACATTTTCATTATAGTCGCACCGACTTTCAGAGTCAAGTAATTGGCCACGAGCCAGCCTCGGTATGTTGAGATGGCTCGTATTTTCAAACCCAAGGTCCAAGCCTTTGCATGGACCTTGAAGACCGTACGGTTACGACCGCTATTCACGATCGGCTCTATCTTCTTCTTCAACTGCCGGAGCGCTAATCCGGTACTGTCCAGCACGCCCTGGACACTCGGCCACATACCGAAGCTTGCAGATGGGTGGATCATCAATGATGACGAATGAGACATCCATGTTCGGTTTATCTCATCCAAGACGAGGACCGTGTTCTGGAGGTCCCGACCAAGCCCTGCAATCGTGAGGTCCGAATCTGGAACCTTGTCATGGATGATGCTGTCTGTGAAGCTGTTGATCTATCACAGTGTTGGTTTCACAATCTAAAGGTATTTCGAGCGGAGGCTCACCTCAAAACATAACGCTCTGAGAGCTGCTGCAGTTGCAGCGATTGATAGTGGATCCATCGTGAGTATTGCTTGATTCGAGCAACCTTTTTCTACGAAATAGCACTGAGGAATCAGCTGCCATTTCTATTCGGGGAGCTGAATGCCGTGAAGAGGGGATCTCGTGTCCAGCCTCTCCTGGAGCCACGTGATTCTGTGATGCTCCAGTTCGTATTGGCAGCAGAAAAAGAAAGTTTCAGCCCGAAGTGATTCGCGAGGCCACTTCCAACTTCTCTGAGAACGGCAATGATCGATCAGTCACTGTCGCATCGTTGATATTGGTTGGCTGAAAGTCAGCTGCGGATGCTTTATCCATCCAGCACCGCTTGATCTGTCTCGATTCCCAGCCAAGCATGTGCCAATCGAGCTCAGTTACAACATCAGCGTATACCGCTTTAAATGGCATTTTCTTAATTCATCGTTGAATTCAGAACCAGGCGTCTTTGGATTTGGACCGAAGAGCAGGTAGAGCTCAAGCTCTCATACCATTCCCGTGGAGAAAATCGTTGCATATCACGGAGACGGAGATATATAATCGGCCCCGGCACATGCATAACAGATGATTGCACTCATATTCCCAAGACCACTTGGGGCGGTTTTCTGCTAGGCAAACCATTGTTATTGCACGGTTCCCCAAGAGCAGCGATAGTCTCCTGGCCTTATTGATCCAATAAAAAGGAACCGTGGCTGAGTTATGTGGTCTTTGATGCTTCGTTCTGTGCCTCGCGAGACACGAGTTGCATCAAGCTTTCCCGCATTTTCCTTGGCAGTCCTTTTCCTGACGTCGACTCGACGAGAAATTTAACCCAAACACTTCGTAAGTCCACGAAATATCCCCGTGGTCGGATCATCACCAGGCGATGATTCCGCTTTTGCTGTCCTGCGAAGCTTTGGTCTCGCGCAGCCATTCCACTTCGCTGAATGTCGAGCAGAGGTGCTCTCGAAGATAATTGCCGGAGTGATGCCCCAGTCTCTGCACGAAGGCAAGGATCCGGAGGCCAAGAAGGCCGGAGTTAAGGACAAAGAACCCCCGCTGTGGACGGAGAAATAGCCACTCAATTTCCGTTACCTGTGAGAGGAGCACAACCGAACTTTGCGGGCTGCCGGTGTGGACATTTTCAAGCTGAGATATGCATGATGGTGGCAAACACATTGGTACGGCGCTAAGGGTTGACGAAGCTACAGACGCAGGTGTCTAGTCGGCAGTGATCCTCCCGCAGCTCCATGCAGGCGCCACAAATTGTGTTTCCACTTTCTAATCCGGCGGACCCGATCACACTCTCTTTGGCGTTTTCTAAAACGATCTTCGATTCACAGTTTGAAACCCCGCTTTGAACCAGGCAGTGGGGTGTCTTCTGCTGACGCCGATTATGGACGAGATGTCCTCGCGTTCCCTGCCATGTATATCTCGATGGCAACAGAAATGTGTCGCCTGGTCAGTCACCGTGCTATCTTAGGCCCCATTGGGAAAGGGTATACAACACACGATGTCCGTATACTAATGGTCCTCAGGCACCAAACGCTCCATATTCTCCATGACTTCCTTCACCTCAGCGAGAGAAGCTGCTCGATGCGGGGCGACAGGGATACCCTGGGCTGTACGATGATGTGTTTGTGCGGAGTCCGGACAATCTTGAACCGCCAACCTGTCTTCTGTTTCATTGGATATGAATGATCAGGCTTGCCGACCTTGAAGATAGCTTGTGACAGAATTGCTTTTACGGAGTGTGAGATGCGGAGTAAGAATACCGCGTTATCATTCATACTCCCAGTCGACTGCCTTTGACTCTGCTATAAATTGGGTATCGCGCTCAGTGATTCTCTATCAGTTCAAAGCATCAGTCAGATCTGGTTCTGATTTCTGCTGAATCGTCTTCTCCGTTCGATTTTTCTTGAACCTAACATTTTGCTTCATCTCACTGTCTTTGCTCAAAGCACCATCTTACCATGGCTTTCAACTCCATACGACCAGTCTTTTCGCTGGTCAACCAGGAGGGACAGACATTTACCAACTCAGATCTCCATGGAAAATACTCTCTTGTCTTTTTTGGCTTTACCAACTGTGCCGTCGTCTGTCCCCGTGCGCTCAAGCGTCTGTCAGACGTTCTTGCAGGCCTTGGACCGGCTGCCGAGAGGGTCAATGTTTACTATATCTCCGTCGACCCTGCCCGTGACACCCCCGGTGTTATGAAAAACTTCATCACCAAGAGATTTCCCAAGTTCATTGGCCTAACTGGAACCAAGGAGCAGATTGACTCCGCGCGCAAGGAGTTCCATGTCTTCGCCAAGGCCAAGCATGATGCGAATGCCCTCGGAGGCTACGTCGTCCCTCACACAGCTATTACTTACCTTCTGGACATGGAAGGTTACATTGTCGACCACTTCAATGATGTTCTCACTTCCAAAGTTGTCACCGGGCGAGTTCTGGATAAAATCAAGAATGGACCAGACGCTCCTAGCGAAGGTGTACCCGAACCACCCAGCACTGGCAAAGTTGAATACGAGCAGGAGAGTCTGAAGCCCCTGGATGTCAAGATGGTCCAATCTATCAGACATATCGGCAACCTGGCACGGCAGCTGAAGGGTGACTGGGCCAATATGATGGGCGCATCTGACCTTAACGACGGGTTTGGTGCATACCGTTACCAACTGGCATTCATGTACTATGCACTGTCCCTCGCACATTTTCATCGTCTGCCAGCTGCCCCCGGATACTTTAGAGAGACCATGGAGCGTATGATCAAGAAGATGCTCGAGCCGGATGTCTGGTTCTACTGGCACGACGCAAGCACAGGCGGAGGTGCCATGCACACCCCACCAAAGCCAATGCTTTTCGACCCCATCGAGACAGACAACATCATGTACTCAGCCTACCTCCAGGTTATGACAGCCATGTACAACAGTCTGTACGACGACGATCGGTACCAAAAGCCGGGAGCGCTGACGTTCAAATACAATGTCTTCCTTTGGGGACCCCCTGAGGGCTACGAATTTGTCTGGGATCAAAACAGGGTGAATGACCAGATTTACCGGAACATGGTCAAGGAAGGCTACCTGGGTGTGGCCTGCGAACCTTGGTGTATTTATCAGGTCTGCAACCAGGTTCCGATCCTCGGATTTCGCCTGAACGATGCTTTGAAGGAAGATAGTGATGTCGCTGGTGAGGTCACCAAGGGTTATGTGGAAGCCTGGGAAACGAAAGGCGATGGTATTATCACCGACCAAGGTGTGTTCAACACGTTCTACATGACGCACCTCAATATGCCTGTCGCAGTCCCTGGTGGTAGCGGTGAGGCGTGGACGGGCTTCATGATGAATGCTTGGAATCACGAGCTGGTTCAAAAGAACTACGAATCTCGCCTTGAGGAACTTTTGTTCCCGAAACCGGACGGTTCCCTGTCTGTGAACGTCGGGCCCCTCGACACCATGGAGACAAATCAGCTCTACCTCGCGACCGGAGGAGTTTGGGGTTGGATCGCTGCGTGGGCAACAGAAATGGGCGATGACGAGACGAGGGATCGGCTACTGTCCTACGCAGACAAGTACTTCAACCCTCGAGTCCAGAATGGTGGTCTGATGTATCCTCGCAACGACACGCTCTGGGACAAGGATCACAACTACGTGATGGTGTCGCCCATTCTCTCGAACGCCATTTTGCCGCTGACGCGATTGAATGTGAAACACGGCTTGAAACGACTCTACGAGAATCCCTGGGGCGCAAAGAACCGTGCACACTACGACGAACCCGCTCTTGTCGAAGTTGACTTCAACGTCGACGTCTACCGTGCCGTGTATATCGCCTCGAGCCGCACCCTGCTCTTCGACGTTGCGGTTTTTGAAAACGGTGTTCATGGCAATGTTGCATTAGGCCGAGTCTTCGGCAAGGGCAACTGGACCCTCTTGCGTGATGGGCATGAAATCGCAAGCGGCACGAGCGACGCGCTTTCTGATCCCTCGCAGAACAAGGGCTTGCCCCGTATCCGCCGTGGAGGACACAACCTAGCATCTCCTTTGGGTTGGGCTTACATGGGTAAGACCGATTCGGGCCTCAAGCAGGAGGGTGACTTACTGCGCCTGTCTGTTACAGGCACCAAGGTGGTATCTTATGAGCTGAAATGGGACGCTTAAGAACGAGCTGTTTGAATTGACCTCTAGCGACAGAGTCTACCGGGATCTATTTTTGTATGTTTGTGTTAGTTGCTATGAGCAATCAATCGTTTTACTTGAATATCTAGAATCATGTCCCTATTTGTCGTACTTGCAGTACAACTTGCGCGGCCGAGTTTTGTCCATTAAAACTTGAAACTTAGCCCTCGAAGTGGTGACTCGGGAGTCGGCGACTGAGCCGCGTGACTTTTTCCTAAGATGGTGACCACTTGACCACGGCTTCTTTCGCCGGTGATGTTGCATGGCGCTGTATATATAAATCTGTCTTTGCGCTCTCTGAGGAGCTATCTACTCACTGCCGCAAACCAGCCATACCTTCGTTGACCTTGAACTCTCCATCCCGCGAGTTGCGGGGAATTGATGGGCTCGCGAAAACACATTTAGCTTTTGCCTCTAGCTATTTAGAGACACATATACTACGGAGTAGATGGTTACAATAACAATGGCGGTGACGGTGCAGACGCCGGCTCATGAGCGTATTCCTCCAAAACAGTAATACGACGATGTGGACCATGGGTGGTCTCGGCTTGCGGCCCGAGCGATTGCGGGCACAGGCAGGGCTGAAGCAAACATTCCCAATGCCAAGTTTTCCATGGCTTCGGAATTTCACATGTCCTAGACAATTCGATGATATTTGACCAATATATTTTGCGGTGACTTGGAAACACCGCACCAGACTGTGAGGTCTTCAGCAATCAGGAGAGGCAACCTGAAGAGATTGTGACCAGTCACAGACGGAGATGTGCCGATCATTACGGTAGTTAATGCACTATGAAGATGAATAAGGCTTGGTTCCTGGCGCCGTCGCACCCAGTTTTTGGAGAACGCGATCGGCAACCCAAGTTAGATTGAGGTTTCTACCATAAACCAACCACAATCCAAGCCCAACATCATGCAATCTCAGTATTCAGGTGCGACAGCGACCTACGGCGTCTGGTATTGACTCTGATGTCATGATTAGATGAGTTAATATACTTGCAGACCCGAAGAAATTTCTTCCACCTGCGAGAGAATGTGGGCCTTGCCGGAGAGCCGAGAGCCATCGTCATGCTGCCGTTTGCGGCTGATGATTGGACTGAATCAGCAAAATGATGACTCGAGCATTAAGAATCAAGCAGCTGGAGCTGGGCCAGCTTGAGCGGAGAGTTTTTCTCGCCTGGGGCTCCATCAGCAAGGCCTTAGTCCCTGCCGCTATTCCATGAACAGTAAATCGAGCATCATGCTTGATTTTCACGAGGCGTTTTCCCCCATCCGCGCCTTACCGATTTTCCGTGCCCCCATTTGCAATCAGGTCCATGATGCCCTCACCTCCACTTCCTTTTCTTCCTCTCTTTCCCCCTGCTTCGCTGTGTGCTCTTCAGACGTTTTCGTGTACAACAAGTCCACCAAGTCCCGCGCCCTTTAGCTCCGTTGTCCCCTGTCTTATATAGCGACTGCCGATCGATCTACATATTCGGCTGCTTCGGCTTACTTCTGCATTGTCTCCGCCGGTCAAACATTCAGAGTCCTCCATACACAAGTTTCTTGGACCGGCCGTTTGCAAAGCCGATTCTGGCCCCTGTCACCTTCTAGAATCCGCGTCTGCATATCACCCCGGTTGGCTATAACCCTAATCCGCCGCATCCGAATACAACGAACCCCGGTCTCTGATCTCCGACCACGAGTTTGATCCCCTGAAGCGCGCAGCGTTACTCGGAGACACGCCCGTTAGTTCGCGATTGATCCGGGAAGGAGAAAGGTACACAAGAGAAAAGCGATAATTTGGGAGGTGCGACCTGTGATAGGTCCTGTCTCACCCATTTCATCTAAACGTGGAAACGGCAACCGAGATGCAGTCCTTCTACACGCCCGCGACCTCAACGCATACCATCTCCTCCCATGCTCCAGCCGCAGTCGATGAGCTGATCAGCAAATACTCCTCCACCATGTCCACCGCGACATCGTTTGGAAATCACACCCTGCCAAAGACGCGGCGGAATGTCTTACAACGGGCCACAGACCGCGTCCGGCTGGAGTACTACCGGTATGAAGTTACGTTTGGCCTCTACGTCATGACTCCCGGCGAGAAACTGGTCGCAAACACGTTTGTGCTTGTGGTCCTCGCGCTTCTCTTCTGGGCTTCACTCGTCTACTTCCCGGCGTTGCTCTACCACAAGCTCTCTCGTCTAGTGTGGCTTTTGACTGGCCAAAGCAGCGAGGAAGTTGGAGTTGCATTCGGCATTTTGGATACACACGGCGGCTCGATACCACCTTTCGCCGACTCAACGGTGCCATGAGATGCGTTGCACCAATGCACGATCTACCCGCCTTCTAGAATCTTCCACCTGGGTCGGCGCCCCTCTTTTGGTACCATCTCATGGATTGAAATAATGCAGACGCGGAGCATAATGACAAAGGTGAGCTTGGATACTGGGTAGATGTGTTGTACGATGTTGTTTGCTAACCATAGCGCTTCTCTATAGACCTCGCCTGTTGTTCTTTACATTTTGGAGTTTGGAGCTCTTGGTTTTCTACATTTACAAACGGCGAATCGAGTTCGTCACTAATGATTTGACGGGAAAGACCGCCTATTTCGCGAGAACGACTACCGATTATAATGATACACGATGCGTCCGCGTCCTCGAAGCTCGAATGGTCCCCCAGGTGGAGTACTTGATCAAAAGCAGGAACGTCTGTTTACTCCACGCCGTCTTCTTTTTGTTCTATATCCTGGTGTCTTCTTCTTTTTTTTTTTTTTTTTTTTTTTTTTTGGATCCTACGGCCGAGTCAGGCATCGAATGCTTCCCAGAGTGTTTGTTTTCGGGTTCCTGTACTTTGGTTGATGTATAGAGCTGGATCCGCCATGTTGGACTGGCGATGATCATTCTTAGAGATCGAATAATGCTTAATGAACCTTGAATACATCTGAGTCTACCAAGAGAAGTATATCGTGACATCAGTCGCCAAGCCCAGTCTAGCTGAAGATGGATGAGCCTCAAGTGCTCAGCCACTTTGCACGATCGCGATAAAAATAAATTAAAACGTGTCTGGATGACAGCATGAGCCATGTCTGCTCAGCCATTTGCATAGCATCACTAGCATCATTTGACCCGTCGTCTCCTCGTCTGAGATTTGGCTCCAAACAAGTACAAAATGTTGCTGGCCGATAGACGCCAACGAAGATGCTGACGCAGCTTGCTCGATCGGCACCCCAAAAATAGTCCGCAAAACGACTGCCTATGCCTAAGCCGCGCAAGCACAACAACAATTTCTTTCTCTGTCGTGCATTTTCCCCTCTTCATCTCTCGCTTTATTATCTTTGATAACCTGGGCTCTCGTTATTCGCTTGCTTGTACTCCCTATTCCTCACCCTCAACCTTGCCTTACCACGTTTCACGTGGTGCCTCTCGTTTATCCGGATCAGGTCCCATCACTTGGAACCTCGGGAGTTGTTGATTCCAGCTCCTGAGGCCCCTGCCATCGTACGCGATCGAGGCGTTTGTACATCGACCGGCAGAAACGCGATCCCGATCTCAATCTCACTCGCATAGTTTGTTATCGGACACTATATCCTCTCAAAACGCTCTTGTTTGAGGTGGAACGAACCCCCGAGATCCCCCCATCCCTTGCCGCCCGTCCAGCACTTCCGCGATCTTCAAGATGGCCGCGCAAGGCTATTACAACGGCGCGTACAACAACCCTCCCGCATACGAACATCCGGACCATGCCACAGACCCATTCAATCGGGGCTCACCACGCCCAAGTCCAGCGGGATATAACGCCGGTCCTTACCAGCAAACACCAGACTCTGACCCTCATCACTCCCGCTACAGCCAACAATCCATCGGCTCGGACAATGGGGCATACGTTGCTGGGGGGAGGATGAATGAACACGATCAGTATTCCGAGAATATCCCCTTGAAGTCACCGAATCCGTACTCGAACGATCACCCCTACGCCAATGAGCCTCCTCAGAATAACTGGATGCAGCAACCGACTCATTACGCGCCGGACCCTGGGATGATGGAGCCTCAAGCTCCTCGTGCGCACAGGCAGAAGCAGCCGTTCTGGAAGAAGAAGATTGCGTATGTTACGTATATTTTAACGGTCGCTCAGATCATTGTGTTTATTGTTGAGTTGGTGAAGAGTGGTAGGTTCTCGGGCATTTCAGGAAATGCAAATGCAAGGACAAGTGCTAACGGATTAACTTGTAGGGCAACTTACAGGAACGCCCGTTCAGACCAAGCCTCAGTTTAACCCCATGATTGGCCCATCTGCATACGTTCAGATCAACATGGGTGCGAGATATACACCTTGCATGAAGAACGTACCTGGGGTGCAGAATGCTACACAACAAGTCAACTTCCCTTGTCCCAACGCTACGACTACGGACTCGGACTGCACATTGTCTGAGCTATGCGGATTCGACGGCGTTCCCAACCCACACCCTAACGGTTCCCTCGATGACAAGCCCGAGCCCAACCAGTGGTTCCGCTTCATCATCCCTATGTTCCTACACAGCGGTTTCATACATATTGGATTCAATCTGCTTGTACAGATGACAATGGGAGCAGACATGGAGCGGACGATTGGCTGGTGGCGCTATTTGCTGGTTTACCTGAGCAGCGGTATTTGGGGATTTGTACTTGGAGGTAACTACGCCGGTCAGGGTGAAGCGTCCACAGGCTGTTCTGGTGCTCTTTTCGGCATCCTCGCGCTCTTTGTCCTAGATCTTTTGTATACATGGAACGAGCGTCAGAACCCCTGGGTGGAGCTTATCATCATGGTCCTTGGTATCGCTATATCCTTCGTTCTCGGCTTGCTTCCTGGTCTGGACAATTTCTCCCATCTTGGAGGGTTCACCATGGGACTTGCCCTCGGACTCTGCATCATGAGATCTCCCAACGCGCTCCGTGAGCGAATTGGACTTGCTCGCAGCCCGTACGTGGCGATGAGCGGCGGTGTTGCCTCTGAAAACGCCCAGCCCGACCCAACAAAGGTGCCATCTGATTCCAAGTTCGGCAAATACAGTCCCAAGGGCTTCTTTGCCGGCCGGAAACCCTTGTGGTGGGCATGGTGGCTGGTTCGTCTCGGTGCTTTGGTCGCTGTCTTGGTCGGCTTCATCCTGCTCATTGTGAACTTTTACAAGTACCCGAGCTCGAACTGTTCCTGGTGTTACAGATTCAGTTGCCTGGTGAGTTTTCCTCTATTATCCTCTTGAATCATGGCTAACGTTTACTTCCAATAGCCTGTCAACGGCTGGTGTGACCAAGGGAATCTGTTCCAGAGCAGCAGTGACTCCAACTAGAAGCGTGCTGCTATTGTTCTCCTCATATATACTTGAATTATCGTTATCTACCATATTCGACACTAGTAGACCTATAGTCACTGGTTGGTATCATTTATTCTGTTTCGCACATTTTTTGGGCGTTTAAATGGGATTGGTAACTCTGCGTCCAGGACAGCGAATGTCCTACGATTGTATATATGACGAATCAATATAGTCCCGGTTTAATCGAGGACTAATACATGATGAACTTTCCAGGCAGCATTCATCAAAGTGGTGATCTTAAAAAAACTGTAGACGTGTGCTGTGGAGTCTATTTCGGGTGCCTCAGCCGCGTGGCTGTGTGGCTGTATGATTTCCTGACGCGGCCGCTGGCGTCAGATCACAAATTGGATTTGACCTGGGGAATCGACATGTGCTCCGCGCCGCTCCCTAGAGAACCTGGAATTTTCAGTCTTGCATCTAGCCTCTTATCTGCTCGATCATCGTTCTATCTGTCGTCTTTGCGCACTATATTCCACTTTTCCAACCTCTCTCTGGTCGGTGCCTAAACATCCAACGCCGCTCGGTCCCGAGAATGCGCTTCCCGCAATGAGAGTGCGCCCTTGTTGAACCACGACCCTGAGATCTTGCTGCAATTAGCGACTGGTTCAACCCATAATACTGTGATGGCCACTCTGGCCATGTCGGAGCCCTCATCACCCTCATTTCCAAAGCACCGGCCCAAGGCATGGGCCCTGCGCTGCGAACGGTACTGCTGCGTAGCCGCTACCTACTTCCCGCTCGCCTTTGTTTATAGCTTGACGACATGGGCGGTATATGTCGAAGCGAGCGTGGGCTTGCGACCGTCAGATAGTCCTTGGATCGGTATGATACCCAAAACTCCAACGGGTGTGCCTGTGCTTACGATCGCTTTTCTCTAGGGTTACCAAGCTCGATCCTCGGAGTCGTCCTTTACCTATGTCTCAATATCTCCTACACAACCGCCGTCTTCACGGACCCCGGGTCACCCCTCCTTGGCCGGTCTCGAGGGAATAGCCGGCATCAATACAGCGCTTTGCCGATCACTGAGCTACCAGAATATACCTCATACACGGTGAACTCCACGGGCGGATCTCGATTCTGCAAGAAATGCCAGTGCCCGAAGCCGGATCGGGCGCACCACTGTTCGACGTGTAAGCGATGCGTCTTGAAGATGGATCACCATTGTCCATGGCTTGCTACCTGCGTGGGAATGTACAACTACAAAGCGTTTCTGCTTTTTCTGATATATACATCGCTGTTTTGCTGGGTGGATTTCGCGGTGGCGGCGACCTGGATCTGGACAGAGGTCTTCAATGAGACGCACTATATGGATGGAATTTTGCCGGTGAATGTGGTATTGCTCTCGATTCTAGGGGGTATTATCGGGATAGTTCTAACGGGCTTCACGGCTTGGCACATCAGCCTAGCTGTTCGTGGTTTGACCACGATCGAGTGCTTAGAGAAAACACGCTATGTTTCACCGTTGCGAAGGGCGCTGGACCGCCCTCGCCGCGAGCTCAATAACGAGCACCGGGAAGGACTCGGCGGGCGACTACAAAGCTACGGCAATCAAATCCTCGACGCACACGCGAATGCCATACCGGGAGTAACGCGCCCGGAAGAAGGCGAAGACCAAACTCCGGATATTGAGAACATGACACCCGCACAGCAAGCCCTATCCCGGTCCTACGCAGACCTAGAGCGTCAACGCGAACATGACCGATATCAAGACTACCTTGCCGAACTCGACAACGAAAAGATGCCCAACGCATTCGACCTCGGCTGGCGCCGGAACCTCCTCCACCTCTTCGGCGACCGCCCCCTCCTCTGGTTCGTCCCCATCCCCACAACAACCGGCGACGGCTGGGTCTGGGAGCCGAGCCCGAAATTCCTCGAAGCGCAAGAACGCGTCCGCGAGCGACGCGAGCAAGTCATCGCCGAACAGCGCGAGAATGAACGTGACATGTACATGCGGAACATGAACACTAGCCGCGCCGCATGGCTCGGCTCGGAGCTGCCGCAGGGCTGGACGCCCGATCAACCGCTGGGAGTTTTGGCTGCAGGAGGTGGTATTAGGGACCCCGAGCGGCCACCGACGGGGGTATCAATGAAGACGCTGCCACCGATGTCGCCGAGACCAAGACCTGGGGAGATTGATTATGGGGATGATTCTGACGCAAATCAGGATTTCTCGCTTGCGTCTAGTACGGGGATAGTAGAAGCGGGAATGGGGAATCATGGGACCAGAGAGGATGAATGGCGCGATTGGGATTAATGCATGGCACGATTATGGGTATAGGCGCCTTGGCCACTTTCTTAATGAATATATATGATTAATCAATTCAAGATCCCACCTGAACGGAAGCGATACTAGATTCCCAGTCTTGTTGGAGGCTCAACGCTCTTGGTGTGCCTGCTTGCAGCCTGGCTACCAATCACTGTCACCCACTAATTTCGACCTCGTATTCCTCCAGGCTTCTCCTCACACCGGGTAGATCCCTACCTGACCTAAGCTTTTCTCCTGACCTTCAAGCCTTCGTCCCTTCCTTCCTTTCCCTCAGTTTTGGGAATTCGCGCTCATTAATTGTTTACCACTGCTCAATCCAGACGCCTATACTTGCTTCACAACAAATATTGCTCAACAGAATGGGCAAGATAACCTTCTACTGCAACATCTGCGCAGGCCCACTCTCCGACTGGGAGCTCCGCAAGCGCTCGATGTTGCAGCCCGGTGAGATGGCGGACGTCTGTTTTGATGACGATTGTGATTGTGACTACGAGGGCGGGGCAGCAAATGATGAAGGTGATGGAAGTGATGAAGATGACGACATTGTCGACGGAGACCGAGCGCAGAATAGTCAAGAAGAAGGAGAAGATGACCCAATGGTAGAGCCAAACAGCGAAGAAGATCTCGCTCGACACGACTCGTACTGTAACTACAGGAGGGGTTATTGGGGGGATATTTTGGCGGAGGGGGATGTTGAGGTACGTTGTTTTCACTGGCCCATTGAACAGGTTCAGGCCAATAAACTAACATATGCGCTTAGTGGCTTTCCGAAGCTTGCATGCTGCGTATGAGAGGATTCGACGATGAGAGTGGGGAGGAGGATGGAGATGCGCCGTCACGGTATCCTTCGGGTGTCAATCCAGGCGACTGTTATATAACGCATTGTGTAAGTGACTTCGAAACCTCTACCCGTTTCCAATCTGATCTTGGGAGAGTCAAAAGATTGATTAGGTATTTAGGGCAGCTACGATGCCTATGAAGGCCTTTCAATCTCCAGGACAGGCGAAGACTACTACCCCAACCAGGATGGGTTCATGCTTCACTCGAAATGCTGGAATATGCTGCATTTCGTGTTTTCAATTACACGGCCGGAGGATGGGCGGCTGGACCATCAGCGCTTGTACCGGACTATGCTGGGTAAGCTCGCAGACCAAAACGATATCTACATCGACTGGGACGACGAGAGGTTGTATGGTGGAACTGAGGAGTTTGCGGAGCAGGAGTGGGTTCCTGTTCCAGGGTACGAGGTGAGTTTGCTGGAGCCCTCGAGGCATCGACAGGAAGCTATTTGTTTATGGCTGACAACGCCCTGACTCAGTGGCTAGTTGCAGACCCGCATAAGGACGGTGGTTTTTCTGAGCTTGTCCGTGAATCCACGAAACAGGAACCTGACGTGGAACCGGGATCTCTATGCTTAGGCGGACACACTCCTATCGCTGTCTCAGATGATCCATTCGCGAGGCTCCCTATAGAAGTGCACCACATGATACTGGAGCTGCTCCCCGCGAAGTCCGTTCTAAACTCATTCCTCAGCAGCCGCGTTCTATGTGCGTCTTCTGCCGGCTTACCACAATCGTTCTGGAAATCCCGAATCTTCACTGATATACCGTGGGCGGTACGGCCATCACTGCTTACGAGCATATCACAGGAAACCGGAAGAGTCGACTACCAAAATTTGTTAAAACTATTGAAGAAGGCTGGTGCTGCACCTCCAAATGGCCGCAATGCTCGATACGAAACCTGGTTATCGTTGAAGAATCGCCGCCGGATATGGACGTGCTGTGAAGGCATCCTCGAGGCCATGGATCTAGGGAGAAAGGAATCGGGATATGTGTCACGCGAGCTTGAAGCGTTGACCAGCTCTCGAATTGCACGTATCCGTCAGCCTGAACTGAGAGAAATGGGGAAGCTGGTCAATAGAGAGACCTACTTTCGCCCGACGACTCTGGACCAGCCTCCTCTCCGCAGCCTCACGGTTTATTTTTCGGAGCAGATGTCAGTTGTTGGGATTGAATGGCAGCTGAAAGGCGAGACTGCTGGCCGACTATTTGGGAATAGGGGTGCCGGTATGCAAAGCGTTGCGCTTCCCCAGGACCTTGTCATCACTGGGATCGTATTATCGCTGGGATCGGCATCCCGATCAAAAGACAAACATCGAGCAATCCGTGGGTTGGTTCTCTTGTCTGCCGATGATGATTATCGAGCTTGCGTCAAACTGGGAAGATGGGCGGATGGGGATATCGTCCACGTCTTTCGTCCAGCAAAGACACAGCCGGATGCGACAATAGTAGGCATCGCCGGGCAGTACAGCGTTCGTCCTCTACTTTCATCTCCTTCTTTCTACACACAAATTACTTACTACCACAGAACACCTCTATTACGCAATTTGGCATCTTAACTGCCGACGTCATTAACAGGACTCCCCCAACAGTCGCCCCTATCGTCTCAAATCTGGACATATACACCCGCTGGTACTCCAATTACATCCTTCTCCCGAATAAAGACATTCAACTCCGGATCCGCCACGGCATATTAGGCTTCCACCTTCGGCACATCTCCCCCTTTGACCCGCCTATCCTCGAGAACCCAGCGCAATACATCGATCTTCGAGACCGCCAAATTGCATCCATACAGACATTCTACCCGCTAGGCCAGAACAAAGAATTCGGTGGGTTCCGAATGGACTTTGCAGATGGTAGTCACGAAGTCGTGAATAAAGAGGAGGAGGACTTCGGATTTCACTATTTGAAAGAGGTTGCGACATTCGACGTGGAGGCAAAAGAGGTGATTACGAAGCTCATTTGTTACTTCAACAGTAATCGGAGCAGGACTACACCTAGTGTGCTTCATGGTATTGAGGTCAGCTTTTTCCCTGTGCTATATGGTCTGGCATTATGAAAAGGCTAACATTCGTTGTGACTATAGTTCATAACGTCTAAGAATCGAAAGCTGAGTCTCGGTTGGCTGGATGCATCCAGTGAGGACTATAGGCGGGACTCGTATGTACGGCGCGGTGAGAGGGTTGTCGGTCTTCATTTCGGCATTAAGTCACCTGTAATTGAGAGTATCGGGCTTGTTGTGTCGTCGTCTTAGACCTTGGTTGATGTTCACAGGTCGAGAGAACTATAGAACTGGTGCCTGAGATATTAGGCATGAATGACAGGTATACCTTTTGGCGATCCAGCCACTCGCGCTCTTCCAATTGTTCCGTCTTCCTTGCACCTGTCCTCGAGCATTGGCTCCTTTACCTCCTTTTACGCGCCATCCTAGCTGGTCTTAGGAATTGCCAACTATTTATTTCCCTCACGATACAATATCTGATCCACGTACCAGCACTGTCGTTCTTATCATCCAAACCAGTTCAAGCTCCAGCTGCCACGCGGCCCGCGCGATTCCAAAACTGAACTTCACCAGATAAGAGACAACCCTTTGATTCCTCTGTATCGACTCGGAAACCTTTGAGCCTCCAGAGAAGAAGAGGGAACCCACCAAAATGTCCCGGTCCGTCCGCCGCCTAATGAAGGAAGCGTCCGAGCTCTCCTCCTCGCCCTCCCCGCACTTCACCGCAGCCCCCGTCTCCGACTCAAACCTCTACGACTGGCACTTCACAATTGCCGGCCCACCCCCACCATCCCCTTACGCCGGCGGCATCTACCACGGCCGTATCGTCCTCCCACCCACATACCCTCTCCGCCCGCCATCCTTCCGCTTCCTCACCCCCTCCGGCCGCTTCGAAGTCAACCGCGAGATCTGCCTCAGCATCTCGGGACACCATGAAGAGACGTGGCAGCCCGCTTGGGGGATCCGAACGGCGCTGATTGCGATTCGCAGCTTTATGGATGGGGATGTCAAGGGGCAGGTTGGCGGGTTGGATGGTGTGAGCGATGCGATTAAGAAGGAGTGGGCGGTTGCGAGTCGTGGGTGGCGCTGTGAGGCTTGTGGGGAGGGGAAGAGCAATGAGCAGGTGTTGAGTGAGTGGCGAGGTTTCTGTGTAGAGCAGGGGGTTAATGTTGAGAAGGAAGAGGAGGCTGAGGGGGTGCCGGAAGAGTTGAGGCTTGGGGTTAAGAAGGCGGATGGGAATAACGAGACTGATACGGCAAAGGACGCGCATGCAACAGCTACTCCGAGCCCTGGTGCGGGTCAGATGGGAGGCGGGTCTACAGAGGTGCCCGTGAAGACAGGAGGGAGCGTGCCGGTGCCTGCTAGTTCGACGAGTACGACTACGTCTATGCCTCCATCTACACAAACCCTGGTGCCCCCGCAGAGCAACGGACCAAGACCAATCACGTCTCAGCCCCGTCTACAACCGCAGCAAAGACAACCTACGACGACTACTAGTACAGCGCCAACAAGGAGGCAGACCGCTCCACCTGCTTCGCAAGATAGCCCATGGCTGGACCGGGCGATCTTCGGCGTGCTGATCGCGCTAGTCCTGATGATCCTGCGGCGGTTTGTTGACATCGAAGATTAAATTGACTGTTTCATATTTTGAGATTCTCTCAGTTGGATACGTTAGCGGGCGTTATGTTTGTGGTTACATTCACCCAAATGTTTCTTTTCGTGTTATATACCTCAATGGGGACTCTTTTTAGCTTTGTCTAATGTTCACTGATCCTTGCTACCTAGTACTGAACTAATCTGCTCAGAATGATGGAGGCTTCTTGTCTGAGTTGTCTGATAAAGGAGCGAGGCATTGTCCCAAACAGACCGATATATCGAAAAACACCTTTCTCAACGGTTCCCGACTCGGTCAGCTTCGAGGTGCCTTTGCTCCCATCGGAAGACCACCTCATTTTCTCATCTGCTCCGTTGCCAATGTCCGTGGCCCTGGATTCAACCTCATCGTTGCTATTCCCGTTGTTATCTTCGGTAATTCCATGAGATGCGAAGTCGACCTTATGTTTCCCCCAGTGATTCAACGGCCTTTTCAGGTGTCCCAACAAACTTGAAAGCCTCATGCCTGTCTCAATGCCTACGAGGAGGTCATTCATTATCAAATCATGACAAAACCATTATCTATGGTTTCCCAGCACCCCCGAGTAACACGGCCTGGCTTAAGGTCCGCGCCGCATCAGAAGTCACATCCGCCCTTTGTGGTGCCTGGCGGGGTCTTTTGTTATCCCAGCGTACTGCTCCTACTAGCCATCGGTATATACTTCCTCAGTTCGCCCTGGATGACCTCCTAGTCTGCCCCATCCACCACCGAGGCCGTCCCGGAACAGATCAAGACAATGAGCCGGAGACTAACTACAGAGAGGTGAGTGCTCACCATCCACACTACGTCTGGAATAGTCTTCAATAGACTAACAAGCCTCTAGGCTTTAGCTAGGTCCAACTTTTATGTTCTCCGTCCACCATCTAACGTATCCCATGTCGCAAATACCAGAGGGTTTCGTCCCATTTGGTAGAACTACCACCCTACGGGGCTCCAAGTGAGCTACTCAGTGAGTAACTGAGCCAGAGTGATTCACATACGCTAGGAAACTTGCTCGGCAGCAAATCACTATGGGCATTTTGCTATCATGATGATCCATTTTTTCGACTGCCAGACCAAGAGCTATCGTCTGTTACAGGACGTTTTGACTCGTCTACAACCAACATTTAAGAACAACTGCTCCGCGATAAGCGTCAGACAAAGCTTAAAGGGCTGGATTCAAGTAGAATCCACGGCACACCGCGATGCTTCTGGATTGGCTCTATTTGTTCAACCTCCGCGTGCGACCAAGCATGGCAGGCACGAGGGCTGCCGAAGTCGGTTCCTACCTCATGGATCCGAACCGACAACTGTCGCAGCTGCCACTTTTGAATACAGTAATGAAACTTCCCTGTGCCAGCCTCTTGCAACTCTTCGGCCCCGTTCTCGTTGACTCCTTTCGTGTCGCGGGAGTATCTCTAAGCTTCCCATCAAGCATACGTTACGCCTCCCTAACCACGATGGCTCCCGTTTTCTTGAAGCGCGCCAAACAGACTGGTCCTCCTCGTGAGGCAGCGACGTACAAATTGAGCGCGCAGCTCACGCAAATCTTCCCCCCGCGCCCAGCCTTCACCGAGAAGGACATCCCCTTTCAAAAAGGCAAGGTGTATCTCATCACCGGCGGCACCTCTGGCATCGGCCTCGAGCTCGCTAAAATTCTCTACGCTAGAGGCGCAGCCGTTTACATCACGGGCCGCACGGAGGAAAAGGCGAAGAAAGCTGTGGAAGACATCCAGAAGACCGTCCCTGAACGTGAAGGCCGAATCGACTATATCCTCCTCAACCTCGACGATTTATCCACCATCAAAGCGTCCGTTGAAGCATTCAAAGAGAAAGAATCCAAACTCGATGTTCTCTGGAACAACGCCGGCATTGCCCAGCCGCCAGCTGGTAGTCTTACAAAGCAAGGGTTCGAACTTCAGCTAGCAACGAATTGTCTTGGTCCTTTCTTGTTGACGCATATGATGCTCCCTCTACTCGAGGCGGCTGTGGAAGAGAACGGGCCCGCCTTTGCCGGTACCGTGAGAGTTGTCTGGCTTAGCAGCCAGGTTGCTGAACTCTCCTCACCTCCAGAAGGCATCGTTATGACAGAGCTGAGCAACGCCCCTCAGGATAACGTTCGCAATTACCTCAACTCCAAAGTTGGTTGCTGGTTTTTGTCGGCGGAGTTTGCGCGTCGGTACGGTGACGAACGCAGAATTGTTAGCGTTGCTATGAACCCTGGCAATGCGAACACGAATCTCTTGAAAGACGCCAGATGGACGAAGATTTTCACATACCCGCTACAGCATAGTCCTAAGTTGGCTGCCCTCACCGAATTATATGCCGGCCTGTCTTCTGATGTCAACCTTGACAACAACGGTTGCTACGTGATGCCATGGGGCCGCATTCATACCACTGTCGCACCGCATCTGTTGAACGCGATGAGGCTCAAGGAGATTGGTGGGACTGGTAGAGCAAAAGCGTTCTATGAGTTTTGCGAGGACAAAACCAAAGATTATTATTAGCTGTGAGAGAATTGGTTTGCGTTTCTTCTATTCTTGCCCTAAAACTCGACTTTTTGTATCGGTATTCCGCCTCTCGCCCGATGTATTATTGTCTCCTAAGTCAACACCCTGGTCAATGAAGGAAGAGCTCTCCCTCTTGTGTTTTAAAACAATTCCAGAAGGTCTCCGCCATTCAATTGGAAGAAATACTACAAGAAATGCTTTATTTATTCTCAAATGAATCCCTATGTGTACGGAGAAGTAGATTCATAGGCGCTCTCACAGAGCTGCACGATTTGCTTCCAGCGTGACAGGATCAAGTCAAGCTTCGCCCTCGTAGACTCGTCCGCCACTGTCTTTAATACGTCTTCCGTAGCATGTACGGCGAAGGTGCTCTCTTCCAAATACCTCTCTAACCAGCCACGATGGATCTCCCCTACTCTTTTCGCGTCGGATGCCCGCTCTGATCCATCCTTACTATTGGTAAACTCCCGCCAGTTCTTCAGACTCATGTGCTTGATTTTGGCGACAGCTACCAGACGTTCATCTAAGCCACTCGAAATAATCTCGTAGTTGCTGGCAAGAAACATATTAGTTGACTTGCCGATATTAGGACGCGATACTGGGATATCAAGTTAGTACGAGCAACATACCCAAGGCAGTCGTGCGCATCCAATGCTTCCTTCTGTTCTGCTGATAGATCGGGGATGATTAAGTCGTCAAGGTAGACTGCGTCTGAGGGGTTGTCGTCGGGGCAGAAGCCGTCTATCATGTATGTCTTGTCAGTGTCGCGGTGCGAGTAAGAGAAAACTATGTGGAAACCGACATTCGACCAGGAGGAAGTCGTTTGAATGCGAACCGTAGCTCATGTAGACTTCTTCGCCTTTTTCTATACCAGGGCTTCGTTAGTTGCGGCCGCGGCCTTATGGTGCATACATAAGACCCGAAGGTGGAAGTAGAGAGATAGAAGTACCATAGCGCCTCGTAGCCTTGAATGTATACTTTCTCCCATCGAATTTGACCTCACAGGCCTATACCAGATCAGCCATCTTTTTCTCATTTAACCAAAGTACAAACATCCCCGATCAAAAAAAGAGAACTCACCGCATCATCAACATGATTGAAATAATCTGCATACGGCACCATCCCAATCGCATCATTCCAATCCTCTGGCTCCTCCTTCCCCGGGGAAATATAGTAGAAGCTCCGCGAATTGATAATCGACCAGTTATATGCAAAGGTCTTCCACTCCGTTTCCGGGAAAACAGACAAAACAGAGTCCCATGCAGACCTTAACCGTTTCCCCTGCTGCGCGAGAAGATTCTGATAACGCGTTTCGTACGGTTTTGTCGCTGACTGGGATATTGAAGGGAGAGAATTCCAGCGGCCGGATATTGAGGGAGGCAGGAGTACGGGCGCCCCCTCTGACGGTTCTTGTTGCTGGTCGTCTTCGGAAGGAATCTCTGATGCAGAGTTTGAGACTCGTAGATGCTTGGGCCAGAAAATTGGCATGCTGTTCTCGAACTCTTCCCAGTCTGGCCATACACTGCGCCATGTGTCGAGCTCGGAGAGGAGCTCCGGATCCCCGTGTGTAAGAAACGCAGCGAGGATCCCATGGATTGATGCTCCCTCTGGGAATTGACTGACGAATTCCGTTGGGATTGAGTCAATCGTGAGCATTAGCTTCATGGGGATAGAGAGCATGATCTCATTCTCCTGCCTTCTGGTTAGCCACCACCTTATCAAGCGTAGTAACATCCATACATAGACGATAAGCTAAAATGAATGGCAAGACATACTCACTTTGATATCCCTCGTCGCAATCATTCCCAATCGCCGGCCCGGAAATCGGGCTGGGGCTACACCCTTGATTTTGATACCGTGAGCTACCGCCCATTTTGTAAAGTTTTCGTGCTCTATCCCTGGCGAGTCTGTATCTGACATTGCAACACTCTATACGTAATAAGCTTAGATTGAGAATTGAGAGAGGAAAATATGTCCTCGAGGTGTTCAGTCCAAGGACGTTGTGAGCTTTTTACCTAATATGGTTAGCTCGAAATTGCTCCAGTGGTTTATGTAAGACAAAAAGAGCCGGATGCTTGAGCCAAAGGTTTCCACCGCTGCGATCCGCAGAGCAAACGACAATCAAATCGCAGAAAATTCTTTGACCACAGACATGGCAGACTCAAATGGGTCTACAGACCCCACAAAATCAACATCCGACAACCCCCCACCCGCCGACTCAAACATCAACCACGCCGCCTCCCTCTCCTACTGGAACGGCGTCCCCGCAACCTCCAACGCCATGCTCGCAATGCTGGGTAACTACCCCTGGTACACACGAATCGACCTGCGCGGCTCAAAGACATTCCTGAATAAGGTCCGCCGAATGATTCCAGGCGGCTCAGCGGAAGGGAAGCTCCAGAATGCCGTGGACTGCGGCGCGGGGGTTGGACGCGTTACAGAGGGGTTCCTGAGCCACGTGTGCGAAGTCGTCGATGCCGTGGAGCCCGTTGAGAAGTTTACGGCTGTGTTGGCTGCGAGTCCGCTGAAGAGCTCGGGGGCTGTAGGGAAGATTTATGTGATGGGGATTGAGGACTGGGTTCCGGAGAAGGAATATGATTTGATCTGGACGCAGTTCTGTGTTGGGCATGTTACGGATGCGCAATTGGGGGTTTATCTACAGCGGTGCCGCGATGCGCTGAAGGAGACGGGGGTGATTGTCTTCAAGGAGAATATCTCAACGGATCCGAATGGGAGGGATATGTATGATGAAGAGGACAGCAGTGTGACGAGGACGGATGAGAAGTTCAGAGCGCTATTCAAGGAGGCCGGTCTGAATGTGATTGCGTCCGAGTTACAACTGGGGTTTCCGAAGAACTTCAAATTGCTTCCCGTGAGATTCTATGCTTTGCGGCCTAAAAGCTGAAGAACACAGAACCGAAAAAAAAAAAAGAAAGAAAAGAAAAGATACTAGGATGCCTCCATCGCCACGACCCTCTAAACGCCAAAACATGTGGGATTCGCAAATCATAGGAGCAGCACGTCGCTCGAAACGCAAGATGGGACCCTCCTCTTGACAGTTGCTGCAGAAATGGACGAGAATCATGGCATGTCCCTTGAAAAGCAATCCGCTTCGCACAACATTCTGAAAGATATAAACAGATTATAGGGTACATTCAAAGATCGACTGGGAAAAGACGTGGGTATCTATCGCTGCTCATCAATAACTCATAAAGCGACGGGCCCTAGCAAACTTGCTAGGGTGGTAATAACGATCAATCCTCAAGGCGTGGCGCCTATATATCTCCCAAGGCGCACGGTGCTGAGCTGGTTTATTGTATAGTGTTGCAATTGTACTGACTGCTTTTGTGCATGATACCCTAGGCTGTAGACATGGACGTTGTCGATGACTTTTCTCGAATTTGCGGAAAGAATCGCGGAAAATGAATAGACTCTAGGCGAGTCCTGGCAGTTGGGGCATTTATATCGTCGACGTATGGCTCGCCTCCTTGAGGCCCGTTGGTTCTCCAGGCCTCCTTCTCGCGACGTAGATCGCTTTGAACCCAGGGGATTGTGATCAGAGTCCAAAGCCCGGCCCATACGAAGGGGACACACCACCCAATCTGCAGCGATGTTAGTGTGAACTTCAAGACGGCAACAGGGCTAATGCTTACCGCAAATGCAGCATCCTGCGGAGTCGTAAAGATCATTGCAGTAATGGCAGCAGCCCATATTATCGAACCTCCTGCCCAGAAGTAATTCATTTGCACAAGCATCCGTCGGAAATAAGGGCTAGACAGATAGCGTGTTCGGAGGGCGTAGCGGTACATCTGACCACCGCCGCCATCGACTGCAACCACGTCTTCAATGAGAACATATAATGCAGTCGGCATGACTGCGCCTTTGGGCGTCGACGAGATCCGGAACGGTGCTCGAAATCCGCATGCACGAAGGATGTCCAGGGTCAGGTAGACAACTCCGAAGTAGAACATCACCGTCGGCAGGACCATAGCGACGAGTCTCACTTTATGTCTGGTTAGTACACATATGAGACTGGTTTAGAGAAGGTTATTCTTACCATACGGCTCCTCAGGGACCGTTCCTCTGCAAATGAAGTTAGTATATTTCAGTTAGGGCGGGCTGGTCCACTTACGTGATGAGCTCGACCGCCAATATCAGCCACACAATGGTGAAATTGATGTGAAAGAAGTCTAGCTGAACTGACGTTAGCATCCAGGTTGTCCCTCCCTACCGATCTTTGTGCGCTTACCCATGACTTGCGAGCGTTCAACGGCCGAGTTGTAGAATCGGAGCGGAAGAGGTTGTAAAGTCGATAGAAGTATTCGAACACAGAGATACCTCCCAGCGCGAGAGTCACGATGGTAAAGACTAATGACAAGAAGCGCATGTTAGCGACTATTCATCACGATAATTGGACCGCTCGATGCCACCGCACATACCCAAGTTATGCGACAAATTAGTGCCATACCAAAGTCCGTAATATAAACCGAGAGGTTGAGCGGTGCAGTCAAGCACAAATAAGATCCAGAAAAACGCAATGGACTTCTTCCGGTCTCGCAGTGAGTATGGGAGGGGAGGAGGCTCTGATGCGTGCGTCGTTGTGGAAGCCGGTGCAGCGGACTCTGGAACACCAGACTCTGGGATAGCGGGCTCTGGGGCAGCGGTGGCTGTGGCGGCGCGCGCTTCTTCGTCCATCGATAAAGAGATAACGGATCGATTTGAGTCAGCTGTAGGTTTGTTGCTATTCGGACTGTTCAGACATTCGGCGATCGAGGGAAAAGTGGAAGAAAACAAAGGTCGGCGAAAAAGCGGAACAGGGTTTTTTTATGATTTTGGTCCGAAAATAAGTTTCAAGAAAAGAAAATATGCCTCGTTAGCAAACGGAAATAGACGGGACGAAAACATCAAAGGGTCCCTCGACCTGCTGACGCTGTGTTTTTCTAACCATTGCAAAATGCATAGCCTAGGCCTGGTCAGGAATTGTAAATTCTGACGTAACGTTCGCTGATGTCAGTGCCGAGAATTCGCCACAAACAGATTCCCATTCTTCTTCTTCCTTCACTGGACTTCGTCCTTGATCAGCTATGATCTTCAATCGAACTGTCAGCGCCATGCATATCTTCTCGAATTACCCATGCCCACTGCAGCAGTGCTCTCTCAGTCGGCCAAGCAGACGATGAGGATGTTGTGATTTCAGCCCAGGACGGCCAAGTTTTCCGCCAAGACTTTCCCTCGGCGTCGGACGCTTTACCATGCCGCTGATGTCCGGAGGCACTGGTCCGAAGCCAAAGGAGATAACCATGGGGCGTGGTATCAGACGACATTGGGTGGTAAAGGCCATCATTGGTGCTGGATTCAGCTCCACGGGACACCTGTCCGGCTTATCTCCGGTCAAACTGCACAAAGGATCTTTCTGAATGTTGGTCTGGGTGCGCAACCGCCAAGCTTCACGATCTGCGTTGCATAATTTGAACCCTTTAGACTAAATCGGAAGGAGTTTAGTTGCTTGCAGGACATTCAAAATTGTCGAGAAGCGCCTCTAGAATTCATTAGGGAGAATTATACAATGAGTACGCATTGTTTTGACAGCTGTTAGTATATCATGGTAAGCAGCATCCACTCTTTAGGTAAAGAGATTTCCGATTCGTCACGATCTCGACTCAGCTTTCAAGCTTAAAAGTAGGTATGGAGACCCTGAACGTCAGCATTATACTAGACTCTGGGGTAGCCATACTCCACGACCCTGCCTCTCGGATACATGGAATGATACAAAAGTCGGGGTCGACTGCAGGCGGGAAAATGCCTCAGGATTTCCAATATTCTTGTCTCCGATTGAGAGAGCCCTTCACTGTCGTTCATCGCAGGAAGAGTGGGATCAAATGCTTTACGGTCTGGAACTTGAAACCATCATAGCCTCTTGCTTAGCTCTAGCTACAATAGTACTATTTGTACTATTAAGCGAAGAAACTGACACAGCGATACTAGAGGAATGCCTGGGATACTATCTTTATGCCTGAGGCACAAGTAGTCTGTAGTCACGTGATATTCTGTCATCGTTCAACTTTTTTTTGCCCATGACGCCGGTTCGAACCCGCCTCTCGCTCTTTGACATCAGACTACGCCTTTTTTCCATTCACTTTCTATTATACCTCTAACATGACTTAATTGGACAGCAAAATTAGCTCATCCTTATTCCAGTAAAAGTATGGATACACCATGGCCCCGAGCCTCCGCGATCTGATAGATTTCCTCCTCGCAGAGATTGCGCTTTGCGGCAGTCAAGGTCAGTGAGCTTTTCTTTTCTTTTGCGAAACGGTTCACGATTATCCACCCTGCATCCGCCTCGATCCAATAGCGCTCGTGCCTGATAGATCCATTGGAGCTCATCTTGACATACAGGTGCTGCCGAATCGGGCTAACACGGACTCTAGGCGCCTCTCCTGCAAATGTGTTGTCCTTCATTGATATTTTCTATTCGAGATCTGCACGTGACGAGTCTAGTCGCAGTCATGTTGTTGACAGACGGTTTCAGGAAAAAGTATGGCAGTGGCTGATGGGGCATCCTGAAGTCTCCGTGGGAAAGGACCGAGAAGGAAACCATCTGACCCTTGAGGAAACCGAGAACCTCTACCTAAATACCACGGCCGCAGCAAATACTGCCATGGAATCTCAAACACTCGAAACCGGCGGTGGTAGTCCCGTTCGTGTGTTTGTATCTGAAGAGCGAACTTGGCTCGCAATTACTGGACATGGACGCGACGACACCAAGGTCCTTCCCATGGAATTTGCCCTCCTCTCTATCATTGCTTCGCGAGGGTCAAGCGGAATCACTCAGCCGGAATTGATCAAGCTCAGCGGACAGGACAAACGATCTGTCCCCAAGCGTACCGATGTTCTGCACCAAAAAGGATATATTGCGAAGAGAGCTATCCAAATAAAAGCTGCTCGTACCAGCTTGTGCACCTTGCGCAGGTTTCTAGACCCAGAGTATCTTGCAGTCGGGAAACCCGCCAATGAAGCCGGAGCAGATGCTGTCAAGATGATCGATTTCGGGGCTTTTACCGACAAACTCTTTGGAATTCTGCGAGAGCATAAGATCATCTCTCGCACCGATCTCAAGGAATCGCTAGGGTTTGCTGATCACTGGCGATGGAAAGTACTGTCCCGTGCTCTCCGGAAGTTTGAGCGTATAGGTGTCGTCAAACGTGTTCGGGCTCTCTCGCAATATGCTAATACCATGAGAAAATACCACCCTTGTGTCATGCTTGTCCGAGACCCGACCGAAAAAGACATCGCGATGTTTCATGATTTCAGCATCCATATGTACTCGGACATTGAACAAAGTGGAGATGTGGAATTTGACGACGACGCAGAGGCCGACGACTCTACTAGGGAACCTTCCTCCAGTCGAAACTTCGGGGAGGTTAAAGCCGAGCAAGATGTTGAAATGTCTGGTCGCATCATTCCCAGTTGGACTCCTGATCGATGTATCCATAATCAGCTCTTCGATGCGATCGATCGCACAGGAACAGCTGGATGCACAAACTCCGTAAGTACACCTCACAGTCGACGTGCGTTCTGGGCTGACGCGAATTGAAGGACGTTATAAGAGCGTGTCTTGGAGTGTTCTACCGTCGGCCTTTGGAAAATACAATGGCTCGTCTGGTGGAATGTTGGCAGGTATCACAACCGCCGCATCTCCGTCATCTAGCCATCGTACGCGATACGACCATTAATCGCACTATTACGCATTATATCCACTACTCCTCCAGGAATTTTAGTAAGCTGGTGGACGCCGGAGAATCATCCTGGGAGGCTGTCGAATTTGTTGCGCGCAACGCCAAAACAAGCACCATTGCTGTGCCACCCATTGATGAACAACCGAAGCTAGATGCCTACGGATTACCCTTGGATTTGCCTAAAAGTGACCTGCTGAACAGTGGCGATTGTTCCTTGATGGATTGCGTCTTAGTGGCCAGGCCTCAGAATTATCTTATGTCGAGTAGTGATCCAAGAGCTGTGGAGTTGGAGGATGGCACTTACTGTAAGTACAAAAGCTCGGTCTTTCCAATACTGTACGGGCTAACTCTGTTTGTCTCCTCACAGCAATCCATTATGGAGTCAGGAGCTCTCACAATCAAGCCGCCCAGCTTCGAACCCCAACTGGCAGACGGGCGACTCCAGATACACCCGCGTGGGTGAAAGCTGAGGGCGCCAAACTTGGAGTAACGGATGCACCAACGCATAGACCTATAAAGAGATCAAAACGGGATACCTTGGACTTGACTGGGTTGTCCGAAATAGAGAAACTCAAGGCCATGGGTTTTGACGAAACTTGGACAGAGTACAGCGTTCATTTAATCGACCGCAACGGCCCTGGAGTCTATGTCACTGCAAAAGGACGACGGAGAGCAGCTGGTCGACGGCAAGGGCGGCCACGTATCAGTCGAGTTGCAGTATTTAAGTCTTCAAAATTGCGGGCAATCCCCTGGTTTACGGAAGAGGGTGGTCACTCAGAGGGGAATAGTCTGGACACGCAGTCTCCTCAAGCACGTGAGGTCAGCGAGGGTCCTTCAGCAATTGATCCTCACCTTACCACCGAGCACGATGGCGCGCAATCAAATGGTGTTACGAAGCGGAAAAATCCCGAATCCGAGTCACTTTACACACCAATGAGGGCTTCAAAGCTGCGGCGAATTGATAGCGTGCAAGAGAACTCGCAACAGGGGCCAAGTCATGAGGACGATGTCTTGGACGATGGCACGCAAGCAACGCACGCGAAGGAATCAGAAATACCTTTTCGCGGCAAGGCCAAGAGGAAGAGAGTCCCGTCACCCGAGGCAGGGCAGAAGCGAATTTCCCATTCGCGAAAACGAGGCGCAAAGGCTTCAGAATTGGTGAATAAGGGGGTAAACCAAGATATCAAGCCAAGAGATGATGAAGGCAGCATACCATTTGCAAAGTCTATCGACCAAGTGGGGAATGAAGACTCTGAAATGTCGATGGACGGCATAGAAGGTGCGGAAATATCAGGGCCACCGGCACCCGTGAACATTCCTCCACATTCTGCCCTTGATGAGCCTCGAGCCACGAGTCTTTCAACTCCCGCGCCAACAGGCTCGGATGTTTCCCATAAGGTGGGCCTTAGCGCCGGCGCTGGGAATACACCGGTCAGTGGTATCCGGACGATGGAACCCTCGACTCCTGCTGCATCCCGTAATGCGAGTATGGTGTCCAACATGTCGCCGACTACAGAAGACTCGTCCGCTAGAGGCAACAGATTGAAGCTTCTAGAGAGAGGAGGCTCCGTTTCGTTTTTACGCAGGAAGATCGTACTGGACATCGTAGAAAAAGCAGGAGGTGCTTTTCCCATGGGATCCGAGATCTGGTACCCTTTCATGACGGCTTGGTTGAAAACAAAATATAAAGAAAGGCCTGATATGCGCACGCTTAGATCAGCGGTCAAGCAGTTGGTAGATGCTGGGAAATTGCGGCAGCAGACGTTTTGTGGCAGAGACAGCAAAGGGGTCATGGTTACCAAGAACATCATCTGCAAGCCAGAACTACCGCCGGATGATCCCATTATCAAGGACTTGCAGGCGAATATTCTGGCATCAGACGCCAGATACTACTTCCCACCTGGTGTTGAAATTGATCCGAGCCTTACGAGGCAGACAATGACTCCTAAAGGGTTTAAACAACCCACAAATGTACCTGTCGAGCCTACCATCACTGTGCAGCTGCATCAAAAGCCGGCTTCAGTCGCAGCGCTGGAAAAAAGAAGGGGTCAGAATCTCCAGCGAAGGCTCCTACGAAAACTGGAAATGGAGGGTGCACGCGAAAACATGCAAGAAACACGTCCCTCCGGCGTCATCCGACTCCTCTCAATCCAGCGTCCAGAACCCACCTTGCCACCTATGCATAATCTCATATCCAGCTTCGGCGATGCGGAAGCCTGGGCTAGAGAGGAAGAATTTACGGGACGAAAATACCGTTCAACTAACGCTAGTGCGCGCCACTTGAAGCGTTTCCTCTCTATGATGGCCTCTCATACAATGTTAATGAATCCGAGGCAGTCATTCAACCCTAATAATGGTACCTTTTCTACCGATGCGGGTATAGCAGTCATCGCCGCCGCCAAGGCTCAACCTCGCATAGTGCAGAGGCGAGAGCCGCATCTGCCCGAGTCACTGGATGACCTGTTTACGCAAACGAGGAAACGCGATATGCCCTTGACTGACGACGTGGATCCGCGCTCGAGAAACTTTTTCCGAGACACCAATAGGATTCTTAGGTGGGAGCTTCAAAACGAAGAGCTCCTCCAGCGGAGAAGTGGCACACTACACTACATCAATCAAGGAATTCAAGATTCGTTTGAAAGTGCCCCAATTGAAGGTGGCATTCGTTTCGATGATGGTGACACAGAAATTGTTCCTCAATCCTCTGTTCAGACTCGCGAACAAGCACACTCCTCACTGTTCATTCACCATGAACATCCACCCTTCAAAGCACAACCTACCTATGAACCCGCCATCGACTTTGGCAACAGTACGGTATACTCGAGGGCTCACCTGCCGTCCTCCAGCAACGTTACTCCATCGTCTTTTAGGCATTCTTTACCACAACATCGTCGCATAGAGAAACTAAACGAAGTCCCGAGTGTTGCAACTGACCCTATCATGTCCTCGCAGAACCGACAGCATGGCCGTCGCAATCGCCTCAATGCGCAGTTGCCACGTTCGGCACACCAGAGGATTACGATGACAATCGTAGTTGTGCGTGCACTGGCAGGAGGCGCCGACGGCAGGATGGTCGACTGGCCATTGGTGTCGCACTGTTTCCCAGATCAAGATCCGAAAACTGTACAGGATAAAGGCAAGGGTATCCTTAGTAGGAACCGCCTGCAGATAGCCAAGATGCAAAGTGACTTTCAAGAGCGATACATTGAGGCGTATGCCAACGATGAAGTCCCTCCGATCGACTATGATGACTTGTACGCATATGACTGGAATGCGGTCATTGACTGGGCTAGCACACAGCTGGATATCCCCAAGTCAGAGAGAGTTCCTGACCTTCCCGCGACGCGGCAGCAATTTGATGAGATATTTGAGCTCCGCGAGGAGCCGCTGGGATCATTGGATGAATACTATCAGCATTCCGGAGTCACCGCTCTTCGCAAGAAAGCGTTAATATCAAGTGTGGCCTTCGCCACTCCGTTGTCATCCCAGCATTCACGTCGACCCAACACTCAGCTTTCCCGCTTTGATACGGTCAAGACCTGGATCCGAGCAAATACCATCACACCTGCAGAGGTATACCGTCCCTCAGACGCCAAAAAGGCACTGTCATTCATTGACGGCGGTACTTTGAACGCTGCTCTGCAATCCTTGGTCGTGGACCGCGTCATCTACCAGAACGCCAAAGGCCGATCTGTACCTGGCCGCAATTACGACATGACAGACCACTTCCTGCAAACGCTTAGCAAGCGTCGACCGATTGAACTGGCCGAACTCCGTCGCGCCGTCAAGTTCAAGACCGAAACGCTTGACCCGACGCTCACAAGCCAAGGGGTCTGCAGTGTCGCCTACGGCGCCGAAGACGGCGATATCCTCGCCCTCATTAATCTTCTCTTCCAGGGCCGGATCACTCTCCGGCCACGAGACCCGCCCCGCGACAAATTCGGCCTCACCGAGGGCGGTTACCTAACCCGGATGATGAACAAGGATAAACTCCGCTTCCCTGTAGACGTCTACCCGGTCAAAGATCGGTATATTCGCGGAAACCCTATCTCCGAGAAAACCTCTACCCTCCCACCACCATGTCCGCCACTCGTGGCAATAAGCGAAACGCTCTCCATCCCTGAGACAATCCCACTGTGGTTCGATATCCATGGTGGATTTATTCGGGTCCTCTGGGACCAGGCTGTTAGCGCTGTTCTCGGGTGTGTTGCTGCAAGGCCGGGAATCACGGCATCGAATGTTGCCAGCATGGTTAAGCCCACTTTGGGTGCTTGGGAAATTGAATTGCTGCTGGAGTGGCTTGTCGAGCTTGGGGTCATGTGGAAGACAGGCGATGATGGGACCGATGCGCACGAGTCTTGCTGGGCTGTTAAGGAGTGGTGGTGGATGGTTATGTGTTAGTCTTTGCTTTGCCATGTACTCATATATTTGTAAATACATGTGTACTCTACAATAGGTTCATTTCAAATCAGTTCCAGAAGGATATTGCACCTTCGTTTCCTACATCTTTTGCTCTCGTTCGCTGGCTCCATCCTCATCCCGAGAAGAGCGATCAAGTACGTGTATGGAAAATCAGTCAGCTGCAATGTTGATGTGTTGCGTTGCGCTTGAGATCCAAGCCCAAATAAAATCAGATGAATTCTATATACAGTGTAAAAGCTACCCTAATATCAAAAGGAAATCCCACCAGTATGTCATACCCCCTATATGTACGGCATGTACGATAGCCATGCATGTTTCTCTTTCCCACCGCAGCACCAACAAAAGCTAGCCAACCAATGCGAGCCACCCCATTTTGAAGAAGCCACACGCCGCGCCAAACCAGACCAGACCAGACCACAAATGCAAACAAGTAACACCAAAACAGTATGTGATAAGGGGGTACCAAGTGCAGTTACACCTTGGTGAAATAACTTTGGAACGAAAACAAAGAAACAAAAGTATTTATGGGCTAGAACAGCAGGAAGATAAGGCAACGCTCAATAGGACAGGAGGTGAAAAAGTAAAAGTCAACAGGGCAAAACAGCAGTGCGCGAGAAGATTCAGGGGTATCGGATCGTGATCCAAAAATAGAGACCCTGACGCCTATATACCACTGCGGTTGCGCTTGGGTATATCTATCCGTAGATGAACGAGATTCGAGAATATTGCATGTGGGAAAGAGGTAGAGGTGAATTGGCGGGATGGGGGCGTAATGAGATGAGAGTATCACTTCCGACCAGGAAGCAATTTACGGCCCAGATTCCGAATCGTTGACTTGGAGCTATTGTTTGAAGCTACGAGTCAGCATTCTGTTGAAGTCAAATGCCACAAGCGAAATTTGCTCACCTATCCTCCGAGATGTCTAGCTTGCGGGCTGTTTCAGAGCGTGTGATTGCAGTTCCCGATGTCATGGGCCGCGAAGGAGGATTGACAATTCGGCGAGATTGCTACCGACTAGTTAGCTTTCGTTATACCACAACAGGTGGGCAAAACTTACCTCCCAACGAGCATCAACATCAACCTCACTCGCAGAGCGCGAATCAAACAACCCGCTCTGATCCTGACCACTATACATGCTAGACCCTAGAGAATTCGATCGAGCAAGCGGAGACGACCGATGCGACTGCGGCTCTGAGTTATACCCACTGCTCGAGTCGGCACTGACCAAACTAGGGCTTTGCGTAGCATTGTCGGCAGACGAGGATGGATCCGGATAGTGCATGATCTGGGAAGAACTAGCCAGCTCGCGGTATTTTCGCAGTTGCTGCTTCGAGGGGCGGTGGTGGGAGAATTTGTTGCCGAGAATGGCAGGCGCGTGTGAGATCAGGGCCTTGATGACGTCCTTCTTCAGCCGCAGGGCAAGGTCGAGATTTGACCACGTCTTATTCCGGTATTCCAAGATGGGTAACCGGAAGACAAAGTCGTGGAGGTCTTCGATGTTGTGTTCGGCTCTACCCTTGTAGCTGACGCAGAGGACCACGTCCTGTACTCGAACGTGGGCCAGAGTCATGTAATTTGACGCACGGGCCATCATCTGCGCGAAATCGTCCACGCGATCCTTGGATTTTCCGTTCTTGTTGCCTATGATGGCCAAGCCAAATTTCTTGCCCTTGTCATCGTTGACGCTAGTAGTTGAGAGTGAAGTAGCTTGCCGCGAGAGGACTCGGAGACTATCGGTGGACTTCTTCTTAGTGACCGCCAGAGAAGGTCGGGTTTGCGAACGATTATCCTTGTTATCCTTGTGAATCGGCGTCATGGCCAGGCCCTTGAGGTGTGAGGGGCGACGTTCAGCGTGTGGCTTCGCAGCCAGCGATAGGGTAGGTTGTAGTCGTAGCTCAAGAGCACTGGGTCCCTTCGATGAATGTTCGCTGTCACTGGTCTCTCGGGGGCTGGTGTTAGAAACCGCAGAGGATTCTTCGTCATCAGAATCCGTCTGCTCAAGTGGCTGCATGTTCTTGATCATGAAAGGCGAGAACCCGCCGTTCTCAAACGCGGTTGACCCAACATTTGGGAACATGTACTCGAATACCTTCTGCCCAAGCTCATGTTCCAATTGAATCTTCAGAGGGAACAGCGATACCTCAAAGTCATCCACGACGGGGATACCGGCAACAGCTTCGAGCATATGCCATTTGACCTTGATCATGTAGTCATCGGGGCCGTCCATACGCCGTGTCTGATCGAGGTACGGCACAATGATCTGTGGATAAACTGCGTCGGGCAGAAGGTTCAGACCGTACAGTCGTTCAACAGCAACTTGATTGTGGTTCGAGCCATCGCTATTGTCAGTGCGGTCATATTCAGCATTGCGGAGCTGGAATTCAACCAAAGGCTCCGTCTCATCTTTCATCAAGTGCCAGACGATTTCATTTGCTGAAATATTCCAGCGCAGGATACCTGTAGCCCCTGTGGCAGTAGGCTCAACCTTGCGTTGCGAGGTTGTAATTGCCTTCATCAAGAAGAACAATTCATCCTCGCACCGAGCAATATCCTTCTCGAGAATCAACCGATCCTCCCAACCGCGCTTATCCAAGTACTTGGCATGGATCTGGAAATGCTCCTTGATCTCCTCTAGTTGCCGAAGGCGCGACTGCAACTTATATACCATCTCCGGAGCCCCTCTCAGATCACTGAAGTCTGAGGTGAGCATAATCCTCTCCAGTCTCTCGTTTCGAACCTTCTCAAGCGGCTCACTGTAAAGCAGCAGGTCAAGGACAATGATATACAGCGTGTAGTACTCGGCAGAGTCGCAAATAGCGCGGAACTGAGGGAAATCGACGCTGATGCTGTCCATCCTGGTTTCTTGGCCATCAGGGTGTCCTTGTTGATCTGGCTGGCCTTTGGCGACCTCGTCATTGTATTTCAAACGGAGGTTGTTGTACTTGTCATATCGCAAGCTGGCCGAAGTCTTCTGTATAATTCTCGAGAAGCCGAATGGGTTGAGCTCGAAATCGAACATGGCCTCAAGAGTCAACCACGGCGGCCATGCAGAGCCTGGCGCATTGCCGTACTTGTTCCCAGCGTAGAATTGCAAGTGCGACATTAGGTTCTTTTGCGTCGCAACGAAGAACTGAGCGCCATCCATGTTGAGGGTAAAACGGCGCTGAACCAGGCCGCTTATATCATCAGAGACGCGCTCCTTGTCCATAATAGACACCACCTTGAGTTGCATGCCCTTAGCAGCAACAAGAATGACGGACCTAGGATTTTTCTCGCTCTGAAGCTGGATCTGAGGCGCAATAAGTCGTAAGTGGTAACTATTCTGCGCGGTAAACTCGGGCGATATCTCGTCACTGGAATCAGACCTGAACGTCGGCGGATCCTTATGCTCAGGCGGATCTTCTTGCTCTGCACTGACAAAGCGTTTGGCGTCGTGGAGCAACTGCTCGATCCGATCTTCCACGCTATCGTCTTCGTCGGGAACATCTGACGGGCGCCTTGTGTTTCCCTTGAAGAGTTTTGAGTAGCCTCCTTGGTTCTTGCTTTGTTCTTCGACGATATCCAAGATGAACTTGACGGCTCGACGGGACATGTAGTACACGAAACCACGCCGTTGACTAACCTGGTGGATATACCGTAATAGGATATTCCTCAGGGAGTTGTTCCACTTCAACTGAATGCTATGGATCATGAAACGGTTGTTAAAATCACTCGTCAAGTCATCTTCAGGAGAGGCGTAGAAGCCGTCGATGTCGGTTTCTCTGCCATCACTCGCAGAATCGGAATCAGCATCTGCCCGGCTAGCCGCATCACTTTGGTACTTGTCGTTGCTCTTGCTACGCACCATTTGTCTCTCTAGCCGCTGGAGGCCGGATGAGAGGAAGGCGCGTCTGCGAGCGAGTGACGCGGCTTGTCGGAGGTACTCGTTGTGTTGGACTCTTAACTGAACATCGTGGTCGACATCCTTTGCCATCTGCAGTTCCTGCTCGCCAATTGCGCGAGTGCATTCCTGCATTTTGGCCTCAACAGTAGCGAGTCGGTCTCTGATAAGTTCGATCTGCACCCGACGTGGCTCATTCTTTTCCGACATGACACAGTCGTGAGTATCTTCGTTACCGAAGCTACTATACCCCGTTTGATCGGGGGCAATTTGACCATGGTCCGTCTGCCGGAAGTATGTGAAGCGAGGAGTAAATGCCAAGGGCAGGATTTTCGTCCGAGGATTTGACTCTTGCGGCAGGATCCAGTCGAGCTCGACAAAGTCATCCATATCAACCCAATCAAGGTTTTGATCAGGAATAGTAAATCGGGAGAGATCTACTGGTGGGACAGGTTGTTGGAAGGAAGACAGTATATCGTCCCTTTTTCGCTCAATATCATCCATGTTGGTACCTTCGATACTCGCCGAGACAGCCCGGAAGTCTGCAGCTTGCAGATCCAACTCCGCCTTGTAGATACGGATAGCACTGGCCTGAGGCTGTCGCAATCTACCTTTAGAGGGTGTCTTTATCTGTTCTCGTCGTTGATGGATATCCAGCTTCAGACTGTCCAACCTAACCTTCAAACCCGTGGCGGTGACGACATCTTCAGAATAATCCTCGGGATCCTTGTGCTTATAGATGTGAGCCACAAAGAGAGGAGCTAAAAGCAACTTGTACTTGATGGTAGCCAAGTGGCGGTTGAACTTCTTGTTTGTCTTTGTAATTCCTGGCCATAGTCGCCCCTGCCGAACAGGCAATGACATTACGCCGGAGAAGAGCGACCACCAGCTGAAGAAGTGGGTGAAGAAACGTGGCGTAAGATGGACCGTGTTGTAACTTGTCGTTGGCTGTTCAGAATCGGAGCTCCAGTTCCGACTCACTGGAGCAATAATCGCGACTGAAAGGTGGATGTGATTGCTTCGGAAGCCGCGGTAAGCATCATAGTCTTTCCGTGCATCCGAATCAACATATATCGGATTCTGTAGAACCACATCATAATGATTCCTAAACTCCGTCGACCGCTCAGTCTCGCTGACATTGCGCTCGAAGACCAGCCCCGCACCCCATTTGACATCGCCAGACAGTTTCATGATGACTTTCTTGAAATGAGCCGCATTCTTGATATCGCTTGAGGCCGAACAAGTCTCAAGCTCTTCAGCCGTGGCTTCAGCCAGATATCTGGCTTCGTGGTTGTAGTCTGGTATAGCGAGGACATACTCTCCACTCGTCACGCTCATGAACTCCATTGGATCATCGCTTGTATGGATGTTCCACTGAACGTCCTTGCGCCAACACATGACAAAGCCGCATCCGAACCCGGTAACCACGTACGGGTCTCGTGAGCCCTTCAGGCGCAGGTGAACATCTCCATCCTCCTTCCATTTGACGCGAATCCGGGAATGGAAACTGAGTCGAATTTTGTCCCAGAAGCCAACCCTTTCAGAGGGGTCGATTTCCATTTTCGTGAAGCCTTCGATGATCTTCATCATGTCCTGGATGACAGGTTGGTAAGACATGCCCCAAGATATGCTTGTAGGAAGGTTTGTGTTAATCTCAATGACAGGGTCCGAATAAGTTTTCACAGGACTGACAGATCGCCACACATTGAGCGAGAAAGAAGGGCTTGTCGTTCCATCAGGAAGCTCACTAGAAGGGACAAGCTCCACCTGAACCTGTCTTGAGGACTTGTAGTTGCGGTACTCTTCAGCAATCACAAAATTTGTTCGAAGAGACCAACTTGGCAGTCTAGGCGACTGGCCGGGTCGAAGCGCTGGGATGTGCAGAAGATCCAAGGGATAATCCCTCAGGTTTACACGGGCCTCACCCATATCCAACTGAATGCTCATAGGAATGAGTAACGCATATTTCGTAGACATAGGCATACCCTTGCCGATATTGTGTAAGAAAAGAGGATAGTTTTCGAGGGGAAACGTCGGTTTGTCAATAGTCAAGTTGACATCACTAATCAAAGCTGCCATGAGACCAGGTCGATTAGGAATGGAGAGGACTGTTTCCGTTTCCTGCACATCCTCTGGGGGCTCATCGGCGCCTGAGAAGAGATTTCGAACCTCTTTGATTGATGAGCCCTGGAACTGCAGAGCAGCGTCAATCTTTTCCTTCCAACTCCGAGCATTATAGTGCTGCAGTCGATACCAGGCGCTTTCGGCGGAAACCTTAGCTTCACTAGAGAACGAAGATACACCTTCCGTATCGTAGCGAAACTTTCTCCCACGTCCGCGCTTATCATCTCGTGCGTTGTTTCGTGGTTTCGCCTCGGCGCTCTTGCTTCGTCTTGTATCTTGACTAACGCGCTCGCTGCGCAGCGTTCGATGACTGGACCTAGTCCGCAGTCTAGAAGAAGCTCGGCGCTGGTCGGTTTCTTTGAGCTTTTGGAGCTTAAGTTGGAAAGCATCCTCTCTGGCTTGGCGCTGGCGCTGTTCGATGAGACCAGTCCGGTATATGCAGCCGAGCTTCCACTCGAAGGCGTCGTCTTCCAACTCGAATAGGAGTGCTTTGCTCCGGAAGGAGATTTTCGGAACTTTCTTCGGCTCTTCCGGTTCCCTCACTGAAGTGAACTCGGATGAGTGGGTCTTCAAGCGGTGGTGCAGCTGCTTGAGAGACTTGGAGGTGTTGATCACGTTGTCAAAAATACGGTGCATAATCATATGATGAGGGACTCCTATCCGGATAAAGTCTGTCCAGATATCGATGGACTTATCCTCCACCAGGTTAGGGCCTTGCTTCAGCTTCATCGTCCGCAGGTCAAGCCGGAAGTTGTTCATGCTGACTATCCTTGCCCACACGCCTTTCAGCTTGGGTGCCTCGGCGTGTAAACGGACCAAGCGGGCTCGAGCAAACGGAGCGGCATGTCGATGGTAACCAGCACTGACACCATAAAGCTGCAACAGCATTGGTGGGTCTGCAGGCATAAACGCCTTGAGCTGAACAACTGTAGCTTTCACATCTACTGTGATGAGCTCACTTCTCTGAGTGACAGGACGTGGAGGCGGAGGGTAGAAATCTTTGAGGTTTCTCTTGGCCTCGGCGGCTTGCGAAGGTTGTAAAAATGCCTTTTGCAGCACACCCAAGGCGACGCTGAGACAGTAATATCGGTAGAGCGAGTATTGGAGGTAAACGCCCTTGATGACAGAGTTGGCGTGGAAAATCGGGCCAAGGCGATCGCTCGCTGTGCTTAGGGCTACCTCGAATCGAGGTAGTGAAAAGAATGGTTCAGACTCTAGATAATCTTCGGATTCAATAACGAAACCCTCAAAGCCGCGAGCATGGACAGCCAATCGTCTGCCATCTGCTGCTCCGACTTTCGCGGTTTGCCTGGGAGGGGACGTTGGAGTAAACCTAAAGGGCGATTCGTCACCAATCGTCGAATGGCTGGGGGTTCGTCGACGTGCCACACTGACGACGGTTGGTTCAGTCTTCTGAGCCCTGTAATCAGCGGTCCATGACTGCAGCTGTAATGAAACACCCCGAGACACTTTCGACACAGGTTCGTCAACTCCGGCGATTTCCAAGCTAAACCCAGTAGCTTCGAACTGAAATCGCTGCAGCCAAGGTGGGAGTCGGCGGAGGACGCTAGGCTTCCGTTCTTCAACTGACATGGAATACCTCCGCTTCGGTCGAATTTGAGCGCGGAACTGCTCCACGACTTGCTGGATCCCGCGGTTGACTTCGCCGTTGACCATGTGTGCTGAGAATGTATTCAGAGTGCCTGAAGCCATGACACACAATTCGGGTGATGCACTAAGCAGGAATTTGAGTTCCATATTCTCAGTGGTAAGAAGGTTATGTTTGATGCCAGAGGGTGTTTGATAGTAAAATTTATGGGAGGCGACCCTGTATATAGATGATAGGGAATAATGGGCGCCTCCCTCGGATGAGTGAGATGATTCGATGTCAAGGGATATAGATGATATTGAGGAGATGAGGAGGTTGTAGTCGTCCTCTGGGGAAGTGGTGTCGGAAATGGGAAGGACAAAACGGACCACGGGCTCGTGGACAGAGAGCTTGATATTCGTCTTGGGAAGCAAACGGGATATCAACTGGCCCCTGGCTCTCTTCTTCCCACGCGAAGAAGATGATTTGCTTTGAGCTAAATCGAGGAGCCGCGAAACGTGCTGCGGCTCTAAATCAAGGGCAGGAGATGTGACCACCAGGTTGGCGAAGAGAATGTTGGTGTTTCGCTCCTCTGCATTGTACCCGTCATAGGAGCTGATAGTTTTTGACGGCAAGGTTGTCTTTATTGTGGTAGTCGCCATGGGAATATAGAGGATATTGTCTGTCTCGCCTGAGCTGTCGTCCAGACTAACAGAGAGGGATATGGCCGCAAGGAGGGCTTGGTGGGCAATATCATTTCGCTGGAAATACATCCGATGCGCCGGGCTCGTCTGGTCCATACGGTGGAGGTCAACTCCGATTTCATGAGACACAACATTCAGATATACGGAGCTCTGGCCAGGCGATGGAGGCTGGATGGCACGAGATAGCCTGAAAAAGCTCAGTGCCACCTGTATCTCCTGGATCCCGCGGAGGAGTGAGCCTGCAAACTCCTTTGAGGCGTTGACGGTTTCGACAATAACCTCATCTCGGCTTCCTGGGTTGTCCAACTCCTCCACAAAGTCAGCAAATGTGACTCCATCAGCTTCGGCAGAATCGGAGTCGACCGTCGGTTTCCGGGAGTGTTTGATCCGCCGCACTAAAAGCGTCAGGTCATCGTAGGGAACATGCATCCTCCCGATCTTCAACGCTATTGATGCATCCCTCAACCCGTCCAAACTCTTGTGCAGAATCCCGTGAATATTCATTGCCACATGATCCAAAAGCTCAATTGGTTCGTTGCCGTCAACGACTGCTAGGACATTGCGCACGTTGAGAACCCACTCGGCAGGGCGCAGTTCATCGGAATCTCCCTTCTTGCGTCGAAAGACCTTCCCCCTATCCACCATCTTCCGCCTCGTGTCCACCGCCAGCGATATTGTGCCAACTTGAATATGCCCAGCTTCGAGGAAGCTGATAGTGGTATTGACCGCGACAACGTCCACCAACCTCAACCAGTGGATTTTCCGATGTAAACGCTTCACACGTTCCTTAATACGATTCAGCGCAATCCATGTCTTATTCTTCCGCGTCGTGCCCTCATCACTTTCCCCGTCCTGGTGTTGTCCCGGCTCCTCCTCCGACTGGCTCTGCACTTCCTCCGCGTCGGATTTATTCTCCGCGGTCCCCCTTTTCCTCGAAACTGACGGATCCAGCGTCACTTTCAAGTCTGTTAGCCGCAGACTCAGCCATGTCGGTTGGGCAAAGGACGGAGGGTGTAAGGAGAGTCCGAGTCCGCGGAGTTCGATCAGCACCCCCTCCCTGGGAACGTAGGCGATGCGGCGGAGCGAGAAGTACCCGATTCGCTGGATCGATATACCTGTTGCGATGCGGACGATGGCGAAGATGAGGAAGGACGCGAGGTAGAGGAGGAGGAACCCGACGAGGACGGTTGTGGGATTGAATAGCGTCATCGTGGCGGCTCGCGACCAGCTGAACTGATCTGCTGTACGGGGCGGCGGGCTGGCTCCAAATGAGGCACCATCGAGAGGGAGCTTTTGAGAATCCTGTAATGTAGCTCGTACCGATTCGTTGCCAGCGTCAGTTCAACAGCATCCCCGGGCTGAAGTATTCCTGTGTCAGTCGCGGGACCTTTCAAAGGGACAAGTCTCAATTAGGAGAACGGAGCACCGGCGGCGGAAACAGAGGCGCGGGAGAATCGGGGAATTCGTAGGACAGTCATGCTCGAAGAATATTATTAAATAGAATTAGGTTCAATAAGATAGAAAAGGCGAAGCGATAACGAAGCTAACAAGACAGAGTTGGGGTGGATGAGGAAGACAAGACAGCGGGAGGAGTCCGAAAGGGTGAACCACAGCACCGGAAATACTTTGGCTGAGTTCCAGGTCAGCTTCGAAGAGGAGATACCATCGATTGCTATGACGCGGATGGACAAATCAGGTTTACGCTGGACAATGCTCCGTAATCATGCTCCGACCTGTCAGACAATCGATAGTTCGTCCACTGTTTTTTTTTGCATGGATGCCAAATGGGCCGGAGTTAACTGCATGCGGAAAAAGTCGCCCACTTTGCGAGAGTCGATCGGCTGGCTCGGCAAACTGCATGCATGCGCGACATTTTACTAGTTCTGGATTGATTTTGGTGCTTGAATGCATTTATACTTTCTCTGGTGTATGGTAGTCTAGATGGATGGTCAGATAAATTTGGATAAAAGGCTCACCCAGCCCCGTGGTGAGGTCAAACAGCCTTAAGGGTGCGACTATATATTCCGTGACACCACTAATACGTAGGACTGGATGTAGTTCTGAGAGATCAACCAGTCATACAATGCATATGTGAACAATGAATGCAACATTCCAATAGGACAATCGCATTGACTCTGCAGCACCTTATGCACCCTCATTCAATTAACCCACTTTCTCTCCTACTAGCCTATAACTCACCACTCTACCCCACGAGCAAACCCCATATAGATAACGCCAATCTCCTCAATACACAACCGCACAATCGCCTCACCTCGATCATCATGATCCCACCAGGTACTGTCGACCAGCTCCTCAAACTTACTCGTTGGATTGTGCGAGACGACCATGTGGCAGGTGTACACAAACATTCTAGCAAAAGCGGCTCTCTACTGCGAATTTGAAAGTAGAGAGGAGTGCTAGGAACTCTACTCTTGAAGCTTTGAAATCACGAGGAGGTGTTGGGTCCTTGTGTCGAAAGTCAGGTTGTCGTACCCTCGGATGAGGCTCGCAAGGCTTGCAACTGGGTCCCCTCCCACGCTCAGAAATCGTAAGCTATTGGCCAGTATTGTTGTCCAGCTGGCGCCGCTCAGAGTCACCAAAATATAATTTGACAAACTTCGCATCCTCCGAGTTGCATGTTTATTGGTGTAGACTAAGATGGTGATTGATTGCGGCGAGGAGTGCCCCGCGTACTGAACCAGGACTGGTGGTAGCCCAAAGAGCGGTATTTTCCCGTATTAGGTTATATATAATACATAAGAGCGCGATCCGCATAGCGTTCGCGTCGGTGATAAAGTTGAGCCTGAGTGACCAAGAGCTGGTTCGGTATACTAGCAGTGCTGCCTGCTAATGCAACCACCTGAGAGGCATGCGGAACTTTCACTCTGCTTACCCATCCCGGTTTTGAAGCTGATAGTACTGTCGATATAGCACGGCAATCACTGTGTTCGTTGTTCAGTAGACTGCTTCTTCGACTCAACCACTTTATCCCTCTCAAGCTCCTCGATCTTATCATCGATAAGCGCAATCTCCGCCTCAATGCTTAGCAGTTTCTCGCTCAAGATGTGCCGATACTCGTCGTCAGACAGCGACTTGAGCGGAACCCATTTAGACTCCGCTATGCGGTCAAGGAATGGCTTAGACGGCGTGTTCGCTTGTTTCAGCTGCCATTGATCGATGGTGTTGTATGAGGCCTGCCCAATACATCCAAGAAGCGAGAAGATAACGAGTCCCGGGACAAGCCGACCGCCTGTAATATCGTCAGTAACGTAAAAGAATATGACCCATTATCAAAAAAATTGCTGGAGAAGAATTACCCATTAGTCTGGTAACAACACCTCCAGCAACACCACCAGACACAGTACTGGCGTAGGTACGTTGCCTGGGAGTGGCTTTATCCTCATAGTATTTCTCGAGAATATTGCTTCTCAGCCCTAAATTAGAGCGTGAATAAGATATTCTGTCAGATTCAAGGGGGGGGGAACAAAACTGACACCAAAAGGAGGTTCCACAGGCAAACCAGTGGATACCGCAGGAAATGGAATGAATGACAGGATGGGGTGATCGGATCACTCCTGAGATCCCGCCGTAGACGAGCCCGGCTGAGCCTGTTCGATGGGTCAGAAAGCAGTTTTTTTAGACCGATGAGATCAAATGCTATTGAGGTGGTTTCTGCAAAGGCGAAAAGCTCGCCGGATGCTGATGCGAAAATTGTTGAGGGCAACCTACCACTCAGCGCTCCCACTTTCAAGGAGGCCCCCAGTACATTGTATTCGGCTTTCGGATATGAGCTGCCACTCATCTTGCCAACGATCCGCGTCTGCCCATGAGTGAAGATGATTTGTTGGTTGCAAGAGGGAATCGTCCATTCAATCTGCTGGCTGGGCGGAATGGCACGTGATCAATGTTATGCGCATTACATAGCTGTATATTGTATTTTATGCAGAGGAGGGATAACATATCCATCACAGTCGCGTCGCATCCATCATCCAATTCCATCATCCGTGGATCAGCATTCAAGCTACGTGCCACAGAAGAGAATCGACCGTTAGCCGTATGGCGACTTGTGGCTCATACCTCATTTTTCTGCCTCATAATTATGGAAAAAGATACGAGTCGTTAGATGCCTGGCCGCGTTTCTCCATAGGTCTTCTTACGACCGCTCACCACGCTCTATCTTCAAGCCAGTGCTTGCTAATCATAACTATTTTACAGAACTCGGAGAGGTGAATTGGACAAAGTTCTTCCTCATTTTCTCAGGTCACCCGCCACTAACCGCCCTTTTTCCCCACGAGACTCTCCAGAATGAACAGTTACAGACACCTTGCTCATAGTGACCGCTGTGCTGAGGAATCTCACTCTGACTTTCGTCCAAAGGCCAGCGACGGGTCTTAAGAGTCGCTTTCTCCCAGCCCTCTGATCCGGCGGCCTGCGATAAGAAGATTTTCCCAGAGCGCCAGGCGCTTCGCGTTGAACCTATACGCCACCGATGTTGCTATAGAATGCGTATCAGATCTCATTTCCATCGTTATCCTGAGTATAACGGTCCGACTTCCAGATGGACGAACGTCTTACACACCCTACGCCCTATTGCGGTGGTTTGCAGATACGACCCACCAGCAGGGTGGACTTTCGCGACAGCACCACGATAACCTATGCAGTCGGGTTGCAGCCCCCTTCAACAATTTTACTTGCTCATCACTGGCCGCTTGACAATTACTGAACAGCATCATCGCTTCCCGCAACTCATTCGCCATCCGTCCTTGGAGGCAGGTGCAGGTGCAAGGATAGGTATAAAAGGCCTCATCACATACCTCGAAGTCCGGATATCGCTCCATTTATCTTCCTCTACATTGCCAACAGCACTCAAAACTTGATTATAAATTGACTCATCATAATATATCATTAACAAAATAGTCGCAACTCGAGAGTACCTACGAGTTATGGACTCTAGCAACAACCCTGAAATCACTGCGTCCTGACCTCTGCATCTTCCTCAACCCGCTCAACATGAGGATGCCCATCGAAGGACAGCACGGAGACTTCGGGCACAGTCACGCTATCACCCGGAAACAAGAGTCAGCCCCAGATAAAGGTAGAAGGAAGAAGTGTCAAACGCTGGGTAATATGGCCACGCACGCGAATCCCTTGATCAAGCTATACTCGTGAGTGATGGTGCCTCCGTTTTTGACCGCTTGGTCTTTGACGCTGCATTGGGACGAACATATTAGTATGGGTGAATCGATGAATGAATTGCGGCGTAGCGGGGTCGGGGTGAGGGCGTACGCTTGGATCTCCTCGTCCGATGCGGAGGATTTGCATTTGACCTGTTCCAAATGCTGTTAGCAGAGGGCTCCTTGGATGGTATACCGAGGGTAGGAGGAGCAGGCGCTCACGATGTAGCTCGGCATTTTGGCTGTGGTGTTTTACTCAGGTGGCGGGTATGGGAAAGGAAAAGAAAGGTTGGTACTGTGAAGAGGATGAAGAAATCAGAGAACCTGGTGCAGGAACCGGACTAAATATTTCGTGGAGTTGGCTGATGAGGTGGCTTGAGCTGGAGCCTGGAAGAAACATTTCAGCTGAGTTGCCCCTCTCTTGGGGTTTCGTGATTACGCTACGTCATAAGCTGCGCGATCTCCTCCGTGCGGAGATGCGCCGAGGCTGTTGATCTTGGATCTTGAAGAGCAAGATGTGATGGAATTATGGCACTGGATTGATGCAGTGATCCATGATCCTGACCGGTAGCTGATATACCTGGGAGTTGTGTAACGTCCGTTGCTACCCTAATAGTCATTCCAGTCGAGAATAAAGGCAGGCCTCAGTCAAACAAGACTACAAAGGTCCTTCATTTCTCCCATCTGTCTCTTCGAAATTACTAACTATCTACAGTAAAGTACAACCAAGTGTACTTGATCAGTCCAAGAACTACCTCAGCTTTTCCACCATATCAACGATCTGCCGGTCTCGTCCACAGCTCATCAGCAGCCACCTCACCACCAACCAACCCGTCCATCGACCACTAGAGAGAGCCTACATAAACATTGTAATTATAATAATCACAATGATCCACCACATCCATCCCACCCTCTCCCCAAATAAACGTATACCCATTCCTACTAACCTCAAAATACTGAACACCGACCCCCATAGGAACCCGACTAGTAACAATCCCCGCACCAACCTCCACCGAAACCGCCTCCCGATTCCCACTCCAAACAGTCAGCGTCGCCGGCTCCGTCAGCAGTGTAGTCACAAAGATACTATCCGAGAGCATCTGGTATCCGCTCGGCTTACCGAGGGGGTCCTGGGTGCATGTCACCTCCTTGGGGGTTGGTCTGTACCAGTAGACGAGCTGCTCGTAGTCGACGACCGGTTGGTGGGAGCCGGCTTTGTAGGCGGCGATGTAGGGCTTTGAGATTATGCGCCAGGCGTCGTGCGGGAAGTCCTTTGTCCATTGGGCGGAGCCGTCGTCGGAGTGGGCGGAGGAGTAGGGGCCGATGTAGTGCGATTCGCCGTAGTCTAGATGTTGTATTGTTAGAGGGCTGTCCTTTTTTATTCTTGTTTTGTTAGGGATTGAGACGTACCGTTCCAGGAGATGATCTCAATCAGCTCCGGCTGCATTTCGAGCATCTGCTGCCAGCGAATGGTAATCTGTTCCTCGCAGATGAAGACCCAGTTCTTGGTGTTGAAGTGTGTCGAGAACCAAGGAGAAACAGCTGCACCTATCAGCATCCATCATTCGTCAATGATATAATGTAGGGAGACACCCACGAGCCATATACGCCTTATTGCCCAAGCTCTTGAGATATCTATCATCCCAAACCGTCGTCATCGGCCCAGGAATGATACTATTCCCTCCATCCGTCGGCCAAGCATACCACGAGAACGCGCCGTCAATGCCCGTGTTCGCGGTCCCCGACCACGCCGGATCCTGAATCATGGGGACGGCAAAGAGCGGATGCTGCACGGCGCTCTTGACAGGAGTCCAATTGAAGCTATCGCCGACAAACGTGCTCACCAGCGCTGCTCCATTATACTGGAACTGACCCGGGTGGTTGGCGTACTTTTGCATGATGGAGGTGATTCGCGGGGAGTCGCCGTTGGACCAGTAGGCAAAGTCAAAGGAGATGAAGACCTTGAAGTTGACGGCCTCGGCGGCCTCGTAGGCGAGGGCGAGTTGCGGGTCGGTATACTTGTCGATGCTGGCGCAGTTGAGGGCAAAGGCGTCGATGCCGATTTCCTTGGCGAGTTCCATGTCCTCTTTCCAGTCGTCGAGAGTGTAGTGCTCGACTATACCGACCTGGTTCCGTTAGTCTTGATGAGATAGAGGGGTGAGATGAGTAGCATACCATAAAGTGCGCGGTGACATATTTGTTCGTGTCCTGGCGAGTGACGAGCTCAGTGCTTGCTCCGGGGAGAGCAAGAGCGTGAAGTGCATAGGCCAAAGTAGCCAGCACTGCACAGCAGCGGACAAAGATGTTCAGCATCATGCGGCTCAGCTGTTGCAGTTATCCCAGCTTGAAAGGCAAGTTTGAGTCTGGATATCCATCTTATCGAGCGACTTCAAGCACTCTATATAGCGCCTTCGTCAACACCACTTTCAGGAAGGATCAAGATCTCTCACTCCATATCTACTGAATGTCTACCATTTCGGCGAAAATGTCGCGAAAACTGATGATCGCCTGACGGCATCAAAGCCCTAAAAAACCGTGACAGGGGTAGGGTTGCATTCTCCCCGCAGTTATACTCCTAGTCTCCCCTAGTGTGTCTTCACGATGCCCCTGCTAATTTCTTTCAGCCAACGGTGGCAGCCACAGCACTGTGCCAATCCTGCAACAAGCTTCTTTCATCCTTCCATGCGTCTTGAAGGAGGCAGCGCAGCGAAACGTCTACCCCAGATTAATTCGAGCGAGGAACGGCACGCCATCGAGCCAACCGAGTTGACCTTGAAGAATGGCGCCCTACCTACTGCTTCGATATGGTTTTCCCGGCTTGTGGCTTACAGAGTCTTGTCTTATAGTCTCCATACACCTCTTCCCGGCAGACCACTCCGACCCCAGACTAGTCCCCACAAAACCGAGGAATGCCCAGCTCTTCACGAGGCTAACTGACGAGCTATATACCGATATCGTGCGGCTGAGGATTGCCTGTATCACGATCTTCGCTCCTGTGCATACACTTGATGTCTCGATTCACGTTCTGTGCTTATATCCCGCGCTTAGATCCGGACAAAGTAGAAGGAATGCAATATCAACACTCCATATGGTGCACCGGTGAGCCACGCCGAATCGAATCGTCATAGTCCAAGACCAGAAAACGCGAAAATTGTCGCGACTGATGTGTTCGGTTTGGGATGTAGGGCTAGGTACAGCATTGTCTCAATTCGGCAAGCACGCCCCTAGCACGCCTGGGCAGGCGTCCATCGCACCTTCCTTAGCTGCGGGGAAGTTGTCGCCACGGAAAAGGAAGGAGCGGCCCAGGGCCACCTATTCGTGCCTTCCGCATCCGATCAGTGCGCGGGTTGCTCCTTCCTGTGTGGTTTCCCAGATATCTCCGGGGCAACCAGCATTGCCATACTTACCCGTAGAGCCTCGTGAATGTTCTCCTGGTCCTAGTAGTTGTACTTAGAGCCTCACAGAAGTAGAGTACCTTCGAGTTGAATTCCAGACCGACGCCGCAATGGTAGGGTAACCTCGCGTCTGACCAACGAGAATTCAAGCGAGAGCTACGATATGACTATCTGTCTGCCTATCTGCATCATATGGCGTTGCTTTTGCTTGCCTTTTCGCTAAACGCCTCATTTGACCTAACATAGATCGAGATCGGGATTGAGATCGCCATATATTGAGTAGGCTTCACCCCAAGATCCCGCCCAGAGCAGCCCCCTCACCACTATATATCTATCTTTTCCGATACAGAAACCGACACCCCATATCCCGGATAGGAAGAACCAAGGAGAAAAATGCAAGCCTGCGACATCTGCCGCAAGCGCAAGGTGAAATGCGACCGACACAACCCGTGCTCGCGTTGCCGCCGCCTCCGCCAGCCGTGCACATACACGGATGTCCTGCGCAAGAAAGGGCCCAAGTTTGTGCACAGCTATCCGAGTATTTATACGCCTGTGCTTCCGGGCCTGCAAGCCCAATTTCAGATGCAGAGCGGGAAGCAGACGGACCTCGCTCCAGAATTTACTAGCAGGAGTGTCCCGGGATCGGAAACAGCGATGGGGACGGGGACTGCGAGCGGGACCGGGTCGTCGTCGGAGGTGGGAGGGAATTTGGGACGGGGCATAGACTTGGATCTTGACCTCGAGTTGGACCTCGGTTTGGAACTTGGCGGTCCGGGAGATTTGTCACCTGTTCAACGGCCGCCGGCTTGTCTGGGACTAAGAGGAAAGGCGAGCTCAATAATGAGTGACCTGACTATCTACGTGGAGAGGTTGTATCCGCTTCTCCCTGTTGTTGACATCCGGGACTTGCGGCTGCAGGCTCATGCTCATATCTCAGGTGCCGGGCACAATCCGATCAGAGCTGCTTTTCTTTTCTCGCTTCAGGCAGCGGTACATACTTTTGACCCCTCGGACTCTGAACAGAGCCAGCAATACGAACGTGAGCTGGCGTGTGAGAGGTATCTGCAAGATGCATCGAAAGCCCGAGAACAGTGCAACGTACCTGGGATTCAGACTCACTTTGAATCACCCTCCCACCTCGAGTATGAGACCAGACACAAGCTGCTAAGCTCACTCTTCCTCTTCTTGGCATACTGGAACCTCCGCCGAGAGAAGCACGCATGGTGGTATCTGCGTGAATGCATTGCCCTGGTTCTTTCCAGCCGAATGCACAGAGAGGGCGAATACAGTCTGCTTGAGCCGCGGGAAGCCGAGTATAGACGCAGGCTATTTTGGGGGTTATTCGTTGTGGAGAGGTAACCTACCCTTCCCATCCCGGTGCGCGCAGCCTAACTTAGGCAGGACGTTCTGTTTGCTCCATGACAAGCCGATGACGCTTCGCCCTTGGATAGAGCTGCTGACCCTCCCGAGCGTGCTTGACGAAGAGGGAGTCATGGCCGGCTTCGTGCGTCTTGTGACTCTATTCCTTGGTGTCGACGTTGACATCTCCGGGTGTTGGACAACGGCTGGATTCGTGACACCCGTTACTCTCAGCCTCGCCACTCTGTTGGGGCACGACTATGACGGCACCGGGGATTTTCTGCCAATCCAGACACTGGACCTCGCAATTACAAGGGACTGGCTGCGGGCGAAGACGTGGAAATTAGGGATACCGCAGGGGCGATCTGCCGAGTTTGTGGCGTCGGGAAATAATTCTTTATGGCGGCTTGATGAGCCATTAATCATTGGCCAAAGTCTCCTCGAGACTCTTCAGGGGCCGCAGGATGCCTTGGAAGAGTTGTGGAGTAGCATAGTGGTACGTGCTGGTCAGGAGACGCATGATCTGAGGCTGACGAGAATAGGATCACAAGCTGTGCGACATCTGCGAGTGTCTGTACGACATCCTGCCGGTCATGCAGACGCGGGGACGGGCTGCAGAGGTTGAACTCGATCAGCTCCTCCGGGGGCTTCTAGAAAGTTTGTCGAGGTTCCGAGGGCGTAGTGCTTATTTGTTGACGGAGGCCTGCACATAAATCACACGCGATGTAACTTTAGATGCTTACAACAAAGCCAAATCACCAGCGAGTGGTCAATCATTTCCCCGCAAGTCTGTTAAAACAGCCCTAAATCTTATTTCCCCGCCCTCTCTTCGGGGATAATCCTAGCTGAAGAGAAACAAGGTAGGCGGCAACCCCGATGGCTTCTAACGTAGTCAACCCTCGTAAAGTCCAGCGAGAATTTCAGCGAAACTGCCAGATAGAGTATAGCACGGCTCATGCTGTCCCACGTAGCTTCTTGTCCCCTCTTGGCCTGTCACCCTGGTCCAGACCCATGATTTTCGGCTTCTCTTTAACAAGACCGGGTCTCCTAGGCTTCCGGCCCTGGGCTATAGAGAGCCGGCAGATGAATGGACATACTGAACGAATTCCGAACCCACCTAGACGGAATCTCGGATACGCACTTTCACCCATCGGAGTTCCTGCAGGCACATACCCAGGATAACCATTGAACGACCTCGGAAATGGGCGCTGACATGGACTCGGATCGAGATCGTAGTCGAGAACGCAATCTCGGACCTGATCTCGATCTCGAACAGGCCCGCCGTGCAACAGAGCAAGAGCATGCCCTATCCTTAACCGACGCACTGCGAGCATACCGAAAATCCGTAGCCTGGTCGATGTTATTCTCCCTGGCAATAATAATGGAAGGATACGACACAACGCTCCTACCATCATTCTTCGCCTTCCCGGCCTTCGTGCGCAATTACGGCTCCCCGATATACACCACCACAGCAGCTGGCAGCGGAGCCGTTGAACTCACCCGCCACGAACTCACCGCAGCCTGGAAATCGGGTCTCAGCAATGGCGCGTACGTTGGGGGAAACTTCGGCCTGATTATCACGGGCCTTCTCTCCGAGCGCCTGGGCTACCGACGCACAATGGCTGGTGCAACGCTCTCCCTTGCGGGGTTCATCTTCGTGCTGTTCTTCGCCGAGAACCTCCCTACGCTCCTTGTTGGGGAGATCCTCTGTGGCATCCCCTGGGGTGTTTTTCAGACTGTGACGGCGGCGTATGCGGCGGAGGTGTGTCCCGTTGCTCTGCGCGGGTGTCTCACGACGTATGTGAATTTGTGTTGGGTCATTGGACAGTTTATTGCGACGGGTGTGCTCCGAGGTTTCTTGCAACGGGAAGACGAGTGGAGTTACCGAATTCCATTTGCGCTGCAGTGGGTGTGGTTGCCATTCATCTTGGTTTCAGTGTTGCTTGGGCCCGAGTCGCCGTGTTGGTTGGTGAGGAAGGAAGAGTGGCTGAGGCGAGAGAAGTTCTCACCCGTCTACACCACACCTCCTCAAAAACCCCGGCCGCCGCGAAGAAGGCCGAAACCGGGCTCGACAACACTCTCGCCCTCATGGTATACACCTCGGAGATGGAGAAACGGCTCTCAGTCACCCAATCATCCTACACCTTTCTCGACTGCTTCCGCTCGACGGATTTGCGCCGCACGGAAATCACCTGCATAACATGGGCAATTCAAGCCCTCTGTGGATCCTCGTTCATGGGCTCCAGCACGTACTTCTACCAGCAAGCGGGGCTAGACGTCTCTCAGTCGTTCAACATGTCCCTAGGGCAATACGGGTTCGGGGTCGTGGGCACCGTCTTCTCGTGGGTGCTCATGACCCGGTTCGGGCGCCGCTCGCTGTACGTTTCTGGTCTTGCTACACTGGTAACAATCCTCTTTGCTGTGGGCTTTACGTCTCTTTCAGATACCACGGCCGCGAGTTGGGCGATTGGTAGTCTCTTGCTTGTGTTTACGTTCACGTATGACTGCACGATTGGTCCGGTGTGCTACTCGATTGTGGCTGAGATTCCGTCGACGCAGATGCGCGCAAAGACGATTGTCCTGGCGCGGAATGTGTATAACATGTTTATGATTATGAATGGGGTGATCGTGCCGCGGATGCTGAATCCGACGGCGTGGGATTGGAAGGGGAGGACTGGCTTCTTTTGGGCGGGGATAACAGTTGCGTTGTTTCTATGGACGTACTTCAGATTGCCCGAGACTAAGAACAGGACATTTGCAGAGATGGATATGCTATTCGGGCGAAAGATCAGTGCGAGGCGCTTCAGGGATACGCAGGTGAGTATTGGTGATGAGCAAGCTAGGGTTACGGACTAGTCTATACTATTCTCTTTCTACTCTGTTTCCTCCTATACAATATGTTTCTTGTACATTCTCCCATGTGTCCTATATGGACCTATCTCAGTTATGAGATCTATGTGAGATCAACACTTCCAGGGCCTGTAAGAGGCAGATCAACGGCAATTGAACGTTGACCATCCTCCTCACCTAAAACAGTTACCGACTCAATCTTAAGATTTGTTTCGAGTGTAAACACCCCGTCAAAGCTCAGCCGGCTATTCTCATAGGTGAAAGTCACCTCCAATGTTGCGAGCTGTTCCAACGACTCGCCATCGTCCACGTATAATTCTCCCGATGCCCGATCATCCAGGTCCGGGGCGATTACCAATTGGAAGGGCCGTCTCCTCAGATCAGCGGTCGTAACTGCGCTACTCGCGCGCACGGGGATGATACTCCCACCCCTAACATGCAGCGGGATATCAGTGTACGAGATGTCGGCTAGAGTAATCACCTCCCCTCGGCCACGGACCGGGCGTCCAGTGTACCAATCGTAGAACATATCGTCAGGAAAATATGCATCGACCGAAGTACTATCTTCCTGGGTAACAGGACTAACGAGCAGCGCGTTGCCGTAGAAGAATTGGAGGTCGATGCCGTACGTCTGAGGATCATCGGGGTACGCAAAGAACAGCGGCATGAGCCAGGGCTCGCCAGTTTGCGTTTGCCGGTAGAAAAGGGTATAGACATAATCAAGGAGTTGGTATCGAAGGGCAATTGCCTTTCTCGCGGCTTTGGCAACTGATTCCCAGCGGTAGAATTCCTGGCTGATCATACCATATTCATTATGATTGCGATAAAAGGGGTTGAAGGCACCTAGCATGGCCCAACGAGTGCAAAGCTGCTCCGTCGTGTTGGCCGAAAAGCCGCAGACGTCGCTTCCAACAAAAGGCACCTGGAAAATTGAGGCAAAAGCGAGCATTTGCGCTATCGAGACGCGATATTTCTCCCAGGTGCTGGCGTTGTCTCCGAGCCAGTGAGCGACATGCGAGCCGGCACCAGCAAATGTGCTGCGTGTAATTACCAAGGGGCGTTTATTGGGACGCCGATGCAGCATGGCCTCTCGAGAAAACGAGCTCATTACTAGGTAACGTTAGCACCCAATCGAACGAAGGGTTGCCAACTTACGAGTTCCATATAGATTGTGGGTATCATATTCTGCGAGCCCATTAGAGTGGATCAAGTCTGTATTGATTGTGTGGTTACTGATAGACCCAGCTGCGTTGGCGATCTGATACGGTGGATTGATCAAGTCACGGCCCTGGAGGCCTAGTTTTTTGCCGGGCTCTTGGTCCCGGCGACGAGCCTTTTTAGCATTGCCGTGTCCGGGCTGAAACACTTCAGGGAATCCTGGCAAACTGCTGGGATTCGGCCGGGCCGCGGGCGGTTCGGGAGGGAAATTATGCTCCTGTGCCCATGCAACAGGGTCTGAACAAGGCCAGTCACAGAAGTTGGCCGCTTCATTCATATCAATCCACAAGGCATCGATATCCACTCCGGTCTTAGGATTGAAGAAGACGGCGAACTCGTTAATCCAGTAGTCCGGAGTATTTGGGTGAAACCAGTCTGGAAAGACGGTTGCGCCGGGCCAGACAACAGCTATTATCTTAGCCCCAATCCAAGAGTTTCTGGGAGAAAAATACCTTGATATAATTCGCCATCCTCCCTGCGTAAGAATACATCCTTCTCGACTCCGCGCTGGAATGCTGGGTCATTGGTACTTGCAACCGCTGGATCAACCATGACGATATAGTGCATATTGCGTTGATGAAGGTAATCCACTAGAGCACGGACACTCTGCAGAGGAAAGCGCTCTTGGTCAAGTGTAAACACTTTTCTGTGATCCATATAGTCGATGTCCGTCCACATAGTCTCAAGAGGAATGTTCGCTTGGCTATAGTTGTTCACGACGGATGCGACTTCGAATATGTCTTGATATCCGTAACGGCATTGGTGGAACTAGAAGATCAACATCTAGTCTCCAGTGTTTAGTCTAGAAACTCACCCCAAAGCCCCAGTACGGTACCATGGCTGGCAAGCCAGCAACCTCTGCATACTGTACGCTCACATCTTTTGGACTAGGTCCAGCCAGGAAGTAAAAGTCTAAAACGCCGCCAAGAAGATTGTATTCGAGATACTGGACACCATCATGATCTTGGTCAATCTGCACATCCATTCCATTGGAATTCAGAAGGAACACGCCATGGGTGCCTGTCTGGCGGTGGTCGATATACACAGGGTGAGCACCATATAGGTTTGTCCCAGCCGGAATAGTATAAGCATCGCGGTTCCAGAGCGTCCGAGTATACTTGGTCGTGTTGAGCCGAAGAGAGTCGCTATGCTCTCCAATGCCGTACAGATTGGGATTTTGAGGAAGCGAGGTACGAAGGTTCACGTATTGTGATTGAAAGACGAGATTGCTCCCAGAAGAATTGAACAGGGTTTCTCCAGTGCTGGATCTAGAGATCGCAAAGGAGAACGGACTCTCTTCGTAAGTGAATATGAGTTCTGAGGTACCTTCGGTGTTGCTCGGTCGACCGCCCACGGAGGGTCTTGGAAAAACCGACTCGGGAACCTGATAGACATTTTCGTCGGCATCGTAGATGATAACATGGAGGCGTGTGTCTGAAATCCCGGAGACATGTCAGATCCATAGCTTAATGCACTAGAGTGACCAAGAATGATCGCTCACCGGTCTCGTAGTCGACCTTCAGCTTCAAGTTCACAATATCAGTCCCGTACGCGTCGCATGGCGAGCCAGCCAGAGTCAAGTCAACAACCAATCCGTTAGACTGATTTTGCACATTAATAGCCGTGTATCCTGGACAATTGGCCAGCGGCTGCTGGACTGAGCTGATGTCGGCCAGAGCCAGAAGAGGCCATAGAAGTAGAGCCGTAGGAACCACCATTCTCAGAATGAGAAAGCGCTGTGATTTTCAACACAAAACACGTCAAGCACCTCCGCTTTATATAGCTTGCGCGTCGAACAGATTACCGCATTTTCGTTGCCCCATTGGTACTCCAACACGGCTTTGGCGTCTCACTCGTCCGATGCGTGAGTGTTCCCCGAGCTGCAGAATCTGTGATGTGTCGAAGCATTTCCCCTTGCGTGGTGCCCAGCATTGAGTTCAATTGACCCTCTTTGAGGTATTTCCAGTGCTCCGATGGAATACCGTTACGGGCCAACAAGGGAGTCGGACGTGTCGCATGGCCAGGAGTGCAAAAGGGAGCGAAGATCAATTCAGCGAGATTTTCGGCGAGTGTAACCGCGTCCTGCAAACCGCGTCCTGCTTACACACTCGACAGACGCCAAGAAAAGTCACTGGGTACACAGATTGATTCATTTGAGATCGACTATACGAAAAACATGCTGAATGAGACTAACATCACATTGAAGTGGACTGATTCTATCCAGAAGCACCAGGCCTCACACTTGCCCTGGAAACCCAGTGTTACATAGCCATATTTCGAACTGAGCTGGTAAACACCCCGCTGGGTGAGATATGTGATCCGAGAGCGAGAAAACCAGCGGAGAGTCCGTAGATATCATGCCCTCCGTCTCCTGCACAATTATTCCCGCTCCCTGGCGAAAACGGTACAGAGTCAAACTCGGGGAAGAACTCGGAGAAATCGGCCGCTTCGACTCGTTGCATCGCATGGTCTCGAGGCATTGTGTCAGGCCAGTGACATCCGGTTTGACAGCCCGAGAAGTTGTCTGCGTCGTCGCATCCGAGCATTTCATCAACCGCCGATGGCCCATCGGACTCTGACGACCTTGGGGTACCCTCATCGCTTTCATGTTCCAGCAGAGCTCTCCTTGGAGAGGGAGTGAGGTTCATCTGGGCCATACGCATGTGCAACTTGTCCAGTCTCTCGGACTTTCCTCCAGCGACAATGCCAAGTAAGTTATGCAAATCTACCACAGCATGCTGTGGGCCCCAATCAGTGCCATCGTATGCTTTTGCAAGTGAAGGTACAAAGGTCAAAACATCTATTAACGAATTTGTCAACTGAAACAGTTTGATTTCCTGCGATTTATCAGCACCAACCATATCTCCGGGTGAGACGACGTACCATTCCATAACCGTGTGGTCGAATCGAATCAGGTGACGCATTGCATATCAGGGAGAGGAAGTTCCGCGCAACGAAGAACGGGTAGCTTGGGGAAAAGAACGGGTTTGATGTCTCCGGCGTCAACATAAAATGCGATGCTGAGTACTGCCAGAGCAGCGAGCTCAGCCAGGCCAAAGTGGCCCAAATATCAACTCGCTGGACCTCGTCAATGATGGGGTTCTTCGTGGCTCCGGTTTGAAGAGCTTCTTGGATGTCTGCTATTCTGGCTCTGGAATAAGTCGAATGCGGCGTTGACAGGTAAGGTGACTGGATCAGAGGTCCATCAATCCGCGTGAATAGTTGGACCAAATTGCAGAATCCTGTCAACAAAGCCGGGTCCGCGTCTCCATCATCGATTGGAACTGGTAGGTCGTCTATCGTCTGTAGAGTGATTGGGAGAGTATGTTGCATACAAAAGGTACTGCAACGATTAGTACACCGAAGTATCTTGAGGATGTATGGCTCTCACCGTTCTGTGACTAGAAGAATCCAGTAAACGCGGAGTCTGAGCTGGCGGGTCTCCGGTTGCGAATCCTTGTGCAGCTGTCCGTTCCCAAGGCCGAGAAGGTGCGCATGTGTAATGGCATCACGCAGCGCAAATGTAGCAAGAGGAATTTGATCTACATTGGCATAATACATATGCAGGAACAAGGACGTGAGCAGAGAATCCAGATCAGCGGTGCTCTGGTAGTCAAAATCGGCACGAAGTCGGATGCACTCGCGTACAAAGTCGCTTGAAGAAACGAGAAATGGTTCTTGCGGTTGGTTATGGCCCGGAAGACGCAACTGGGCGAGAGTCGCCGCACACAATGCCGCGGCCAGGGCGTAGGACTCGGTGCTCTCAGAGTCAGTGAGCCTGGCCTTCAAGGTATTGATTGAGACAATCGGCCATACTGTGTAGAGTTGGCTCCTGAAAATGTCGATGTACGTATAGTAAGTCGACAGCGAGATCCTCCGTCGACCCGGCTGTGGGCTATCGCTCGGTTGAGGAGATGCTGGACTGTCGCCGGAAGCCGACAGAGAGCTGCCTCGCATTCTGAAGCTCTTCTCAATCCCCAAGTCCTTCTGCATGGCTTGGACCCTTGCGTTCGTTGACCTGCGTGGGCCTTTTGGCCCGCGTCGCTTTCGGACCTTTAGATAGGTGCACGGCTGCTCCCGACGCACACAGGTGCTACAGGGGTTCTTGCCATCGCATTTGACTCTTCGAAAGGAACACGCATCGCAGGGAAGAGTGAGTGGCATGGCGAGATGGAGATGATAGTACTTTTGCTAGCAAGAGTGGGCAGTGATCGGGTCCTGTTCATGGTCTCATTGATGTTAACCACACCCCACGGAAGAGGGACCCTGCAGCACTAATACTACTGGCACGACTAGACCGAAGCAACGAGGGTGGCCTAGTCTCAGGCCCGTATCTCCACGTCCCCTCCAGGGTATCCACAAACCGCCCACAGCAAGTATAGCCCGCGCTGCTGATCGTCTGGGGCAACGTTCTCGACGCCCATCGGGACTTACAATATCCGACGGCCAAGAAAGCGGGGTATGCAGACGAGGCGAATAATAGCAGAAAATCTCCGGTCATTTGTGCCCTGGAAACGTCGCCCAAACTCTGTTCGTTTTGAGATCGTGTAACCGAAGACCGGGCGATGTCTTCGAAAAGGAGCGCCAACGCCGAGCTTCGGCTGGTCATGCCCAAAATGCGATGCACGTTGATCACCCGGCTCATACGGGGCCATTGATGTGATGAAGTTCTTCAAGGATATGCCTGTCTGTTAGTACAGGGCCGCTATGCCACAGGATTAACTGCCAGGCGACCACATCAGCATGGTGCCTAAGCCTGGTCAGAAATAGCATTGGGACGACCGCCCATGCATCTAGAAATCCTCTAGAAAAACAAGGAAAGAGATCTGGTTGCCAGTTTCCAGTCATATGTCTTCGAAGCGTGTAACTGAGGTCTTTAGGCGTCGGCAGTGGGGATAGTAGAAGTTTCAAGTTGGGACCTGGTAAGCACTTGTCACGAAATGGACTGGAATCCTTTGGATGTCCCTAGTCACTGCTAAGACTTAGGTGCTCCATCTTGGCACAGAATGCAGAATTCCCTCCAGACTGATATCCTAAAGAGGATATTGCATGTCAGACTCTTCGTCCGCTTGACTCTGTAGTCATTTCCTTCCGTCACTGTGCCAACCTTCATGGCTTGACAGGCCGTTTCATTCTCGCCTTTTGCGAGATGGTGACAAGGCTACTCAAGCCATTTAATTTCGCTAACCAAACCTAATTTTTAGCGGCATGTCAAAACCGGTGATGAACGCTCCATGGTTGCAGTCGGCATCCTCTGGAGACTCGGGGTCGGAACTTTAGAGCCTTTAACTCCGTCCGATTCACTGCAACATCTGTTGCTACATACCTGTTTCTGTCGGGTTATATGGGCTCCACATTCCCCGGTGCGGCGTTACTAGCCCCTTGAACATGGAATACTCAGAGTCTCAGACTTGCTTTTTTGATCGATTCATTTTCCTTCTAAAGCTCAGCCAAACCAGGATACCGCGACGAGAAGGCTACCTCTTCGCCGTATCCTTGACCTCTCCCCACTGCCTCACAGCCCTCGCAATGTAAGCCGCCGCGTCAGTTCCCAATTCTTCAAACCCCCTGATAACACCCTCCCTGTCGCCCTTCGGCTTCTCCTGGCTCATCTTGAACTTGCCCTCAATGCGATCAACCTCAACCTCGATCCCTACAATGCCTTTCTTCAAGATATTCATATAGTTCGCCGGAACATCATCAATATTCCATGGAGCGTCCCTTCCCTTCTCCCCCGTGAACCCCATAATCCTCCTCTCGGATTGGTCCGAAAGCGCATAGAGCTGGCGCATAAGAAACTCATCCGTCTCTTGGCTCTTCGAGTCACAAAAGACCCTCGCCCGCCCGTACACCTGCACGGCAGAATAGTTCCACGTCCCCGCTACCTTGGCCGACGCGGGGGCCGTCTCCGCATAAAATTTCGGTGGCACGTAGTGGTGGTAGGGCCCATTGAAGAGGATGAGCACATCGTGCTCTAGCGCCGATCCCGATGGCAAATTCGAGCAGGTGAGCGACTCGATCATCGCCTTGGCTTGTGGATTTGCCCGCGCAATGTGGCCGCGTAGCTTGACCTTGAGTGGCGATTCGGTGGCCGAAGGGCGATCTAACACCCACGGGATGTGACTGCTGTGCAGGTGCGCGTGGTTTGTCGATGGGATGCCCGTCGTGAAAATCCCTAGCGGGTTTTCTTCGATGAAGTCCAGCAAAGCGGCTGGAGAGGGATCGCTGTATACAGATTGGATAAGCATTTTTTTATGTCCTGGGTGGTTTGAATTATAATAGTGCTGATGTGGTTAGTATACAAATAAGTGGTTGTGTGCTTTTATATGGAGTCAACTGTAGGCTGGAACTGATAACCTGGGAAGTCCATAGGCTATCCATATGGAATGAGTTGCCGATTGGTCCGCGGATGCGGCTTTATTGGTTAGATTCAAGAGCTGTGATGTACATGCACTCATTCAGGTAGTAGGCGTAGGCTTTCAGAGAGCCTAGGTCTGATCTCATGCTCTTCCTGCACGAGGAAGCGCAGCGGTATTGCTTGTGATGCCGGGTCAACCGGCAAGGATATTGCTCGGGAAAGAGAAAACTGACATCAGATGAAGCCTAAAGCTAATTGGTTTGAAATCCACGCGTAGCAGAGAATCCAACGGAATAAGCAGCCATCCTAATTGCTATACCGCATGGTCTGGACCTATACTCGTCGTGCAGTGGTGAGTGGAGTTGGTTCCTGAAAACCAGGGCAGCTTAGTAGTCACGTGAGAGATTAGTAAGGACAAGGGGTCATCCAATCAGAGCGACTTTGAGTGCGCACTCCACACAAAGAATTGTAGAGAGCGCAAAACTCAACATTAACAAGGAAAGCTTTGACGGGAGTGCTCAAACAGATGTTGATGTGTTTATGGGGGCTGTAGTAGAGCTGAAGAGGTAGTTACTGAAAGTTGAATACCAAGCGGTTCAGCCGGTCGGTTGGAACCGAGAGATTCAAGCGACAGAGTCAAAATCAGATACAACGGCCAAAGAGATCAAACTATCGATAAGAGCACGGCAGAATAGATGATAGAGTTAGAGCGAATGTTAAATGTCCCGCGGGGATGTTTGAGACGCCTGGAGACTGGAGAGAACTGAGCGATAGCCCTGGGGTTGAGTCTGGGTCGAGACACGGATGGAGGAGCGCACCAACACTTTTAGAGGCTGACTTTTCTAGCGTCATCACTAAAATTTATCCTCAGCATTAACCGTCCGACTTCCCCCTCTGCTCTTCACCGCGGAGCTTTCTGCACCATCTTCCTTTTCAGTCCACTCTCAACCTTCCTTCGTCGGAAGTCTCTTCGCTTATTCTACTACTCTATTTCTTGTGAGGCGCGCGCAAGTACACCCTTGGCGCGTTTCCCATTTTCGAACAAACCGCAATCATGGGTTCGTCTCGACCCCTCCCACTGCCCACCACCCTATATCGGCGGCGTTTCGCCATGACATTCAGTTGGGACTCCGGATACTGACAGATGACTTCGTGTAGCGCCCGGAAAGCAAAAGGCCCAGAAGATGTCCCTCGGGAACTTCTTGGCCGACGAGAGTAGGCTCCGAAACTTCCCCGCGCACAGGAACATGGCTAATCGCTGCAGACTTTGGCTCTTGGGCTGACGAGATGGAGGACATGCCTTTGCCTGGTAAGTGCTGGCGCCGCTCTCCTGTGTCAATATCGACGTGTGCTAACATTACTGCCTTGTAGCTGGTAAGCGAACCGCCTCCCTTCGCACGCACACATCCTCCGATTCATATATGCCTCGATCTAACACCTCACAGCTCCTTCCTCGTCCGGCTTCGGATCCGACCGTCGCCCACCTCCCGCTTCGTCTGCTGGATTCGGTGGAAGTGGTGGCTTCAACGGTACGATTGTTCTTGCATGTTCCGTGCTGGCATTGAGAGAACATATATATTGACTATTTGGTGAAAAGACCGCGGCTATGCGCTGAGAGAGCCACTCCCCCTGCCCACCCAGCCCCCGTATACGGCCCATATCGGAAACCTCTCTTTTGATGCGACTGCCGATGATGTCTCGGAGCTCTTCGCCGAGTGCAGTGTCACGAACGTCCGTATTGTGGAGGACAAGCTGACAAAGAGCCCTAAGGGTTTTGGTTACGTTGAATTTGAGACTGTTGACGGTCTGAAGAAGGCTCTTGATCTTTCTGGAGCGACCCTTCAAGGACGTGCTATCCGTATCAGCATCGCCGAACCTCGTAAGTCTTGAAAGCATACACTTGAGCATGGGTGCTAATAACCGCTGCAGCCAAGGAACGTGACGTGAAAGAGCTTGACTGGACTCGCAGGGGCCCTCTGCCATCTGCTCCGGAGCGCGAGCGCCGGGTTCCTGACCGCTCCTCCTTCGGGCGCAACCTCGACAATGTGTCCGATGCTGGTAGCGAGCCGCGACGTCGCAGCAACTTCGAGAGCGACGGCAAAGTGCGCGACTTCTCCAACTGGGAGCGCAAGGGTCCTCTCTCTCCCCCGCCTGCAAGAGAAGGCGGTCGTCCTCGCACCAACGAAGGCCCTGGTTTCAGAAGAAGCTCTCCCGCCTGGGGCGAGGGACGCTCGCAAGATGGCTCTCGCCCTCCTCGCCGCGAATTTCAAGAACGCGCTCCTACCGCCGCTGAGCTTGACAACCAGTGGAGAGCCCGGATGAAGCCCGACCCTTCGCCAAAGGAAACCAGCAACCCGCCCTCGCCCGCGGCCGCTCCGGCAGTTCCTGTTTCTCCCACCGCTGCGGCACCTGCACCCGCCACACGGCCGAGGTTGAACCTGCAAAAGCGTACCGTGACAGAGACATCCAGCCCCACTCCCACCTCTGAGTCCAAGTCGAGCATCTTCGGTGGTGCTAAGCCCATTGATACCGCAACCAGGGAGAAGGAGGTCGAGCAGCGCCGCCAACTCGCCCTGCGTCAGAAGAGAGAAGCCGATGAAAAGGCCAAGGCCGAGAAGGCCGAGAAGCAACGGGTCGCCAAGGACGCGGTCAAGTCTGAGAAGCCTGGTTCTACTCTGGACCCCAACGGCAGGGATACAGCTGAAACTCCCCAAGGCGGTACCAACTTTGAGATCCTCCGGCGGGCCGGTGGCGATGAGAGTGGTATGAGTGCCGATCAGGATCAAGAACAGCAGGCTGAGGCTGCCGCTGCTGGGACCACCGAGGCCCCGAAGGCGGACAAGGCCAACGGTAACTGGAGGCAGCCCGCACCCACCGAGGGTGCCGCGGACGACGAGGGCTGGAGCACCGTCGGCTCAGGTCAGCGCCGCAACCGCCGTGGTGGCCGTAACTAAGCATAGATTCATGGATACCCCCCTCGACATTCACCGTCACTCGACCGAAGCATCGCGCTACCTGCAGAGAGACTCTGTTTCCGGGATGCAGTGCGCATCAAGCCTTCGACGCCGTTGAAAGCATGGACGTGGTTGCTTGTCGCCCATCTTCGCACTCGATCTTTGCACCGCTGGGATGTCTTTTGGTTAGAATGATGGCCATCTGTCTCTCATTTTGCCTCTATCATACCGCTCGCCCTTTCCATCCATATCCTACCTCTTCAGATGTTTCTTTGGTTCCAGCATCTCTTCGTTGCGCAGGCTAGATCTACGATGTTTACGTCTAGCTATTTGTACCGTTGTTACGCATGCAAAAAGTTTGTCATCTCTCTTGTCCTGTTGTTTTCCAGTCCAGTGCTCTGCTTTTCCCCGGCGGACTGCTTGTTTATGCGCCGACCCATGTTGCCGATGTGGAGGGAAAACTATGTGTTCCCCTGGAATGAATGGTTTCATAATTGCTAGAGACAGTGGCTCCCTAGCCTTCCCCTCTCATTTCTATCTTGTTTGGGTCCTGGTGGGCGTGTGGAGTCTCCTTTTTTTGTTCTTCTATCAGAGATGTCCCTTCACGAGGCTGCCATGCGAATAAGGTCACGACTCAACGCGATGTGTAGAGAGAACGAAAATAGCACGATACGTTAATTTGACATTTCTTCACTCTTATTCCTGCGCTTATATCTTCTCTAGCCGAAGCTGTTATCATTTTCCCAGCCTAGATTGCTGCCACTTGTAATCCTACAAGATCCTGCCAAGATTGGAGACCGCGGATCAGAATCGTCTGATATCGGCAAGGTTATCTAGTGTTTCCGTTCTTCGAGAAAGGTTCGTGACTCCTGTAGCTTCCTGCAGGCCCCCAGTCTGCCTAAAGAGCGATGGATATGGAACGACGAAACAGGTGAGCCTCTGTTCCCTTCACAGATTGGTTCCCCTAAGGTAATAAGTTTCAGCGTCGTTATTACTTCCTATTTTCTAAGATCCTTCTAGATACATCTTGCCAGCGTATGACTGAGCAGAACTTTGCTTGAACCTTCGCCTGAACCTTCGCTGGACCTTTGCTTGAACCTCTGTTAAATCTCTCTCCCCAGGGGCGGTGCCCCCTAATCGCTGTTCCCTTCCTCACCACTAACTGTTTTTGCTCACTTTCCACCTACTTTTCACCAGCCATGGATTTCCTTCGATCCACCTTAAACGCGTTCCATCCGTCATCTTCTGATCTTTCACCCTCGAGATTCTGGTCGGGTGGATCGGACCCTCTTGCGCGACTGGCGCAGGGACTGGAACAGCGTCCATTCACCACCGAGGACAGCTTACGAAAATCCTTGGAACAACATTGGCAAGCACTTTATGACGGACAAACTCGGGATCAATACCTCGTCTTCAAGCCTGTCCCCCCGGCGGTAGCCTCCGAACTGAGTGATGATGCGTCGCCAACCAGCAAGTATTGTCGGTTCTCCTTCAATGCAGAAACGGGAATTTTGATTGCGAGAATTTGCCCAAGTAATGCTCATGAAAGAGCGAAAAGAACCTTTGATATGTTGATCTTCCGTGAACTACACGCTATGCACGTAGACGAGGAAGTGACGCCTCTCGGTTCAACAACCGTGACGGTTGGAGACTGGACGAAAGAAGCCGACTGCTGCTGGGCCCCCGATTCGACACCTACCAGGTTGACTTTTGTGGTGGAAGTAGGATTGTTTGAGTCTGAACAACAACTTGCTTTTGATGCAGATAGTTGGCTTGAGACGCTCTCCTCATCTGTGAAACTTGTGGTCACGATCAGCATCAACCGCGAAAGCCCAGAGATCATCTTGAACCGATGGGAACTCATTCCTCGCCGCAGTGACGCCTGGATGGGCTCGCCTCCCTTTTCGGTCTGCCGTACTGCGTTCGTCAAGATTATTCAAAAAGATGATGTGACATCTGTAACTGGGGAGTCGTGCGTTGATGGCACGACCACAACCATCACCCAGCTGAACCTACCTTTCGAAAAGATTGTTGACCGCTCCCCTTGTCAGCCCCTGGAGAGAGATCTGTCTATATCCGAGCACAGGCTTAAATATTTCGCGGAATGCATATGGATTGGGCAGAACCTGATACCATAGGGATTTGACAAGATCAACAGCAATGAACAATGGACACCCGTGGTGCAGTGAACTGGGATGAGAGTGAGTTGAAAAAGCAAGCAGTGAAAAATCAAACGCGGTCAGCTTATGCGAGGAGTATTGGGGCTGGCTGGTCGCTCGTGTGGTGGCAGTGGGAGGTAGCAGAATAGAAAATCCCATTTAATATCGAATGTTTTGACCTCGAAAATGGTTCGTGTACCTCTCCAGAAGATGCTTTCATCAAAAGCTCATCTTCACTTACCCAACCTCCAACTGCAGCATCCTCCCGCCACCATCCGTATAAATTTTGGAATAGTTCGAATGCATGTCACTACTTCTTGATCTTTGCAAGATCGATAGACCATGCACTGGCCTGGAGATCGCTGCCACTTGCAGAAAGCCAAGTCGGAGTCCGCGGATCGGATCGTGTGCCAGCCCCTCCACACCGAGACTGGGAAGCAGCCAGGCTCAGCTGGGCAGCTCTCCAAATACCCCTCGCATACGATGTCCAGCTTCTCGCTGCCTGCAGTTCTATCTCAATCCCGGCCCGGCTTCCTGCGATAGCGAATGCCCTTCATTCTAGTGCTGTCAATTTTGTCAAATCTGTCAAGGAAATATGGCGGGGTTGTCGCAGAATGAAGCCTGTCGATCCTGTCAGCATCAGGAGGACTCTGGAGCAAGACCTCCGCCGTGGAAGGTCGAGTTTCGCTCCTCAAAGGGTTTCGTCACCTGGGTTGTGGCGATTGCTGTCTTTACGGTGTGTATCCTGGGATTGCCGTGCTTCAACAGCTAACCACTGATTGCAGGATGTGTTTATATATGGCATGGTCTGGTGAACTCCTCCGTCTTCTATAAGAGATAGTATCTGACGGTGCCAGATCATCCCTATTCTGCCTGAAGTGCTCAAAACTCGGATAGTCGTCCCAGCAGATGAACGTACGCCGCTCCATACGACACGAATCATCCAAGGCTACACCACTAATGTCATCTCCAGTACAAAAATGGATGTCGATCCTCCTCGCAGCCTACGGTGGCGCCCTCTTCGTTGGCTCGCGTGAGTCCGCAAACATCTTTCGCCCACGAACAGTATCCAGCACTAAACATCAACAGCTGTGTTCGGTTACTACGCTGATAGAAGCTCCTCCCGCCGAGCGCCCTTTCTGATCGGTCTCCTAGCACTAGGCGGGTCAACGGTGATGTTCTGGTTTGCGCAGTCAGCAACCGCTCTGGTCATTGCGCGCACGCTCCAGGGGCTGTCCGCTGCTGTTGTCTGGACTGTCAGCATGGCGCTGATCGTGGATACAGTGGGTAAGGATCAGGTTGGGGCGGCAATGGGCTTTGTCTCCATGGCTATGACGGTTGGTACTGTTTCGGGGCCCTTTATTGGAGGACTTGTGTGAGTATATTCTCCTCCATGTCATGCTACGTTTAATAAGAGAGATAGCTAACGGAGTTTTTGAGGGACAGCTTGTCGAAAGCAGGATACCATGCTGTGTTTAGCATAGCTATTGCACTTATTCTCCTGGATATTGCTCTTCGTTTGGTGATGATTGAGAGGAAGAATGCTTTGGAATGGCTACAGGATCAGCCTGCATCTGTTGAAGAAACTGAGAGGCTTCTAGAACCGGTCGCGCCGGGCGACTCTTTGCATAAATATGCTGCAATACCACGAGAGGCGGAGCAAAGTGCCTCAGAGGGTGGAAAGGTCGCAGATGATGGCCTTGAGGAGTCTTCCCCCAGTGAGACTAAGGCGAAGAAGAGATCTGTGCCAGGTATAGTGCGCTTATTGTGCTCCGGTGCGCTACTCGTCGTCCTGGCCGCCGCTGTTCTACAGGCCGTCGCGTACTCCTCTTTTGACACGGTACCCAACTACCCTCTACCATATAGCCAATAGAGATAGCTCTAACAAACCAGGTCCTCCCCCTCTACGTGATGTCCACGTTCAAAATGGGCCCCATGGGCATCGGCCTCTGCTTCATCCCTCTCTTCACCCCGTCCTTCTTCTCCACCCTAATCGGCTCCGCTGTCGACCACTACGGCAGCCGCAGAATCACGCTCCTCGCCTTCCTCATCGACGTCCCCTACTTCCTCCTCCTCCAGCTCGTCGCGGAAAACACAGCCCACGACAAAATACTCCTGTACATACTCCTCTTCTTTGCAGGGCTCGCCGCCGCCCTGAAGACCGTTGCCCTCATGGTTGAGGTCAACCACGTCGTCGGGGAGAAGGAGAAGGAATGCCCTGGGATTTTCGGTGAGCAGGGCGGGACGGCGCAGGCGTATGGGCTGTATAATGTGGCTTGGTCGGGGGGGCAGGTGCTGGGACCGCTGGTGGCGGGGTGGTTGGTTGAATGGAAGGGTTGGGCGACTATGGTTAGTGTGTTTGGGATTGTCAGCGGTGGGATGGCGGTTGTTTTGGCTGTTACGTCAAAGGATGTGGTGAGGCTGGTTGGTCGGGGTAGGCTGGGGATGCAAGGGTGAGTTCACTGGGCTAGGTCACCAAGAAGGGTGCAGGTGGCCTTGCTGGGGTTTATACATACTTTCGGGTGAGGTTATACATGAGAACATGACTATATATTTCGGTTTAGACAGAAGATGGTATGATCAGGAGCTTTCTGGTCTATAATTCTGGAAGGGAATGCAGTCTCCCTTGCAACCGGTTGGAATGATTGGGAAATCATAGCTCGAGATGACAAATTTTGCAAAGTGCTGGGAAACTGCTCCTACTTAAATCTCCTTGCTTCAGCATCTCTGGTGGCTCGAGTGCGGAGCTCCACACGTGCTGGTCCCTGAACATCTCTCCAGTCAACTATTGTAAAGCCACCAGTAAAGTCATTGATGAAATCGCAAGAAATCGCAGTCAGGACAATCCCGCTTTCCAGCCCCGATCTACGGTCATCTGGAGATCCCTGTTGGACCCTCATTGACCGGTTGCACGGGGAGCTATAATTAGTGGTGTTATTAAGGCTCCTCCTGGTGTGTTCCAGATCCATACTCTCTTCCATTGTTATTTCCACTCCTTAAATCCTTCCCTCCTCACTCTCCACCTCTGGCTTATTATTCTTACCCTCACGAAATCATTACGCGATATCTTATTACTGAAGCGATTTTCTATGGCGTGACGCAAATTTTATACTACTAGCATGGCAACAACCACGACTCTCACATCCACGCTTGTCGGCGTAAACGCAACGTCGTTTGAAGCGACCTGTCCAACATGCGGCCAATCGCAGGACCACTCTCACCCCGCAGACTTCTCCCGGCGACGGGTCAAGGACCTAGAGGGACAGGTGCATCTGCTTAATTCCCAGGCCGTTCAAATGGGTATGTTCTGTCCTATCGCTTCTCGCCTCACCCCTGCCCGCAGCTCTCGTCCGTAGTGAGCTGTCACAAAATCGCAAAGCGTATCCACCGACTAACCCAGCCTCGTCTCTACACAGCGGAGAAACTGGCCGAATACGAAGAGGAAATGCGACGGCTGCGAGCGCAATCCGCGACATCGGCACTCGTATCGAGAACCAACGCCTCCATCTCCTCTACCTCGTCGGGACCCGACGCGCACTCCCAGTCGCAATCCCCGCCGCAACAGGGCGGCCGCCTCTCCTCGCTCGCCTCCCTCCTCCCCTACCGCCGCCCAAGCACAGCGAACAGTACCCCGCGAAGCCAGCTGCAGACATCGCCGCCTCCGCTTTCCTCACAGTCCCAGGCCCCAGGGCTATCACAGTCCCCTCCGCCCCCGTACCCGCGCACGCCTGAACCCCGCCCGTCGTTCGAGGAAACGCTCGAGCTGCAGAACGCGCTGAACCGCGAACAGAACCTGCGCAAGGCGGCTGAGACGCAGCTCTCGCAGGCGAGTACGGAGTTGGAGGAGTTGACGGCGCAACTCTTTAGCCAGGCCAACGAGATGGTCGCGCAGGAGCGCAAGGCGAGAGCGCGGCTGGAGGAGCGAGTGGCTGTGCTGGAGAGACGGGATATCGAGAAGAGGAATCGCTTGGAGAGGCTGGAGAAGGCGATGGAGAGGGTTGAGCGGATTCGGGCGTTAGTGGGATGATTTTCCCTTCACAGACTTCTTGGATGTCGTTGAGTTGGGTCTCGCTTCATATACCCGGGGTTGGCGTTTGGGCTTGGATTGCTTTGGATCAAATTGGATACGATGGGATGGAAAATGGGCATGATTTTACGATATGCATGGTTATGGATACCTATACTTTTTGGTTGCACCTGCTTTGGATATGGGTTGTTAGCTAGGCGTTTACATGTGTCAAGAATATACGAGACGATACATTTTCAAGCTTCCATTCCCCAAGCTATCCTTGGTTCCTTGATTTCTTGAGATATTCCTGCATGGTCCACTTGAGTCCGGGGCCTGGATCTTCTACGATGATGACACCCCAACCCCACTTTTGCTGGTCCCTCACCGGACACGAGATGTCATCTATGTAACCTGCCTTCCTGGATATTTTCATTCCTGGACTCATTCTCCTCGATCCAAAGTCGCAGTCAAAATGTCCATCGGAGTCGCCATCATCGGTAGCGGTATGTTCCCGTTTAATGACTCAGTCGATCGTTATAGAGCTAACGATCCAACCAGGAATCTTTGCTAAGGAGCAGCACCTTGTACGTCCCAGGCAACGGGTATCGAAATTAACCGGAAATCACCGCTAACTATGGAATGTAGCCCGCGGTTCAAGCAGCCTCCGACCTCACCCTAAAGGCCATCTACTCGCGCTCCCTGAAATCCGCGCAGGGTCTCGCCGATGGACTTCCAAATGTAGATCTCTACTCTGACGACTCCGGCGCGGGCAAGTCGTTCGCGGATCTTCTCGCCCGCGAGGATGTTGCGGCTGTTATCCTGGCGTACGTATCGACTCCATCTTCCCTTACTGCCTTAGGCTAGTGAAAGAGGAGACAAAGCTAATTGTCCTACAGCCTCCCCATCCCGGCTCAGCCAACATATATCAAGGCTGCCCTAGCAGCAGGCAAGCACGTCCTCTCCGAGAAGCCCATCGCCAAGGACCTAGCAACAGCGCAGGAGCTGCTATCCTGGTACGGCGATAGTGCCAATGTTGACAAGACCAAGACGCTCTGGGGAGTTGCTGAGAACTACCGCTTCATTCGCAAGTGGCTTCGCACTGCAGAGGAAGTGCAGAAACTTGGTGGTGTGAAGGCGTTCCGCGTTTCGGTGCGGAGTAAGACTTCGTCGGAGTCGAAGTATTATCGTATGTCTCCTCTACTTCCCTCTCCTTCATCACCGCTGTTGCCATACAGTTAGCCCAGGAAGAAAGAGTACTAACGCACGCAGACACATCCTGGCGCAAGACCCCCCAATATCAAGGTGGGTTCGTCCTGGACGGCGGAATCCACACTTTGGCAGGTCTTCGACTCATCCTCGGTCGCGGTGGCAATGAACTTAAGACCCTCTCTGCGCATACCTGTCAACTTCAGGAATACCTCCCGCCGATTGATACCGTCGACGCAGTCGCCAAGACGGCATCGGGCGCACCGGGTGTGATCTCGCTGTCGTTCGGGTCCGAATTCAAGGAGTTCTCGCTAGAATTTACGTGCGCCAATGGAGTCGTAACCCTTGTTGATGATCGGCTTACGGTCAAAGGTGATGTGACCGATCTTCCGTTTGAGGGCGTTGGTGTGAAGGAGGAGGTCAAGGCTTTCGCGGCGTCGATTGTTAATGGAAAGCTGAATGAGATGTTACGGCCTGAGGAGGCGCTTGCGGATCTTGAGATTCTCGAGAACATTGTCAAGAGCGGAGAGGAGGATGGGGAGAAGAGGACATTGAGCTTGCAATAGTAAACATAGTCAGAAAGTACACTATTCCTAAATCAGATTAGCCCCACCAAGTCAATCGCTCTTTCCCAAAATTCATGCCCGCCAAGACCGTAGGGTACCTTCCTGAGCAGCCCTATCACGTGCCCACAGTTGGATCGCTTAGGAAGGGCACTAACCAGCGTGGGCGACTGTTCGGGCGGCCAACTCAGCGCGAAATTTCGAGACCGATATTCGACCGTTCGACAACTCCCACGCCAACGCGAGCCGGTACGACAAGGTATGTTTGAGCAGCCTTCTTTTCTCTCCGTCAAGTGAGAGTCTGACATATTGATTGATTGCTGACTCTTTGTCGTGAAGATGGTTCTCGCTAAGAAGCACGTCCCTATCGTTAAGAAGCGTATGTCACCACTACCTGCCTGCCTATCTATCCTGCCCACATTGCATTGTCCTGAATTTGGAGGAGAGTGAACCGGGGAAGAGTTGAACTGGAAGAGAGGGGTGGATTTTGGGGATCAGAAGTTGGATGAATTGGAATATTTGAATCGGAAACGGAATCGTTGGAAGGTCACTCGACATCAACTTGAACACGACAAGGGATATCTGGGACACAATCTCATTCCACGCAAAGTCTTCTCATGATCATGTCAAACTGACTGGTCCCTCTGTCTGCAGGCACCAAGCGTTTCTTCCGCCACCAGTCCGACCGCTTCAAGTGTGTCCCGGAGTCATGGCGCAAGCCTAAGGGTATCGACAACCGCGTCCGCAGACGCTTCAAGTCGAACATTCCTATGCCCTCGGTGCGTTCCTCGCCCTAGTTCTCGAATTGAATATCGAAACCGATCCTTCGACTTGAAGAAACTCATCCGGAATATCCTTGCTAATACATCAACAGATCGGCTACGGATCCAACAAGAAGACCAAGCACATGATGCCCTCCGGCCACAAGGCTTTCCTCGTCCACAACCCCAAGGACGTTGAGCTTCTGCTCATGCACAACCGCACCTACGCTGCTGAGTGCGTCCCCCGCTCTTTTGCTTGACATCCCCGGAGTCGCACGACTAACAAGAGATCTTGTAGGATCGCCTCCGCTGTCTCCTCGCGCAAGCGCGTCGACATCATCGCCAAGGCCAAGGCCCTCGGTGTCAAGGTCACCAACCCCCGTGGCCGTGTCACCACCGAGGCCTAAGCTCATCATCCCTCTTCTTTTGCAACGAAATCAAAAAAGCGAAAATGATTCTCTGGGACATGAATTGATAAACAGCGCGGGACGGAACAGGTTCGGATCCCATCGATCTGGGAAGGACCGGGACAAGGGGTGGTTTGGTGGTCTGTGTGTGTTGTGGATGGATGATGATAGGGCCGGGATGAAATCTATTCACTCTATCTATAAATACCTTTTTTGCCCGACAACATCCGACGCATGCATGATTTCACCATTCCTCCATCCATCTTCTATATCCATTTAGATACCATCAAATGGGATTCTTTGCGGTTAATGAATTCTTGTTAGGGTTTCGTGGTTATGGCTGCTTTCTATTTGTCTTTTTATCAACTCGACGTCGTAGATGCTTTGGTGTATAAGAGTCTATATCTAAAACAACGACAAGTGACAGATACGCCCAACACCCTCAGCGAAATGCCATGCACCGTCCAACTCGGCTTATGCAACCAACCCAATATTCCAGAAAACACTTTTAGACGCCATTTGAAGCAGCAGCAGCGGTTGCCCTCCTCTCCTGCTCCTCCACTTGCCTCGCTTCTGAAATATCAACCAATCCCACTCCTTCCACCAACGCCGTCACCCCCGCACTCGCAGGCGCATCATCATTCCCAATATCAGGAACCTCTCCCGACCCATAGACGACCTCCTCATCCTCCGGTACATCCTCCCACTCCGGGACCTCCGTCGGCCCATCAACCCCAGCACTCGCCGGCGGAAGCGCCCAACTCGGCATCTTACTGCGGTAAGACCACTCGCCGTCTGAATCCGAGTACGACACGGCATGCAGGAAGATACCGAGTTCGTGGACGCCGGGGTCCGTGTACAGCTCCGTCCCGCACTCGTCGCACTTCTTACCCGAAAGTCGCTCGCCTTTGCGCTTCTGGTACGCTTCCACGGCGGCCTCGTGCTCGCGGGACAGGATTGTCTCTACGACGGAGGAGTCGGTGCCCTTGGGGAGCACGGGGGGTGTTGTGAAGTGTGTGCGGTAGCTGACTGTCTCCGGCAGCTCGGTGCGGCCCATTTGCATGAGGCGGTCGACGATTGCGTCGTCGTGATCGGCCGTCGAATCGTCCTTGCCCAGGTCTGGTCCGAAGACGCGGCGGTTCGAGTAGATCGGGTCGTTGCTGATCGGGTGGCCTAGGAACTGTAAGTGCACGCGAATCTGATGCGTACGGCCGGTAAGCGGGAGGCAGTGGACCACGCTGTAGCCTTCGCTTTCGTTGATGTAGGACGGAGGCGGCGTCGCTGGGCGGGCATTGGGGTCTGTCGACTCTTCTGTAGAGGGAGGGTGTGCCGGCGCAGACGGGGGAGGGTAGTATGCCAGTCGGCGGAATTTGGTCTTTGCTTCCTTTCCCGTCGCCCGGACACGGTTCAGCCCGACCTTGGGAGCGACAGACATGATGGGCTGGTCGACGACGGTGACTCCGTCAGGGAACTTGCCCTTCACGCGCGCGACGTACTCCTTTTGCACCGTACGGGCCCTCAGCTTGACGGCCATCGTGTCCGCGCCTTTGGCCGTCTTTCCAACGAACATGACGCCCGATGTCAACCGGTCGAGCCGGTTACACGGCCGCGGTGTAAAATTGTCTTCATACTTGTAGCGCAGGATCTCAATGACGGAGTTGTAGTGGTATCGACCGGTCGAGTGGACAGGGACACCGGCAGGCTTGTCAATGGCCAGGAGATCGTCGCTCTCGTGAATGATTCCGATATCGTTACCCGTGACCGGGGGTTCATGTCGGTGGAGGGTGTGCGAGATGTATTGACCGTTTCTGAGGATGGTGTCAGGGCCGGCCGATTTGCCATTCACGCAGACTTTGCCGCTTTCGAGCGCTTTTTGCTGGACTGGGGTCAATTGCTGTCCTCTGTGCCTGAGAATTTTGTGCGGAAGAGAGCCATACGTAGTACCCCGTCTCACGGTCGCGGAACTCGGATGTGAAAATATCCAGCAGTGTTCGGTCCCTCCATCGCTCCTTGCAGTAGGTATTGTACGTATAATGGTAGGGCCGAACGCGACGCAGTCCACCTTCGAAGTAGTACGGGCCAGGATCGGTGGTGGATGGTTCTTCAGCGGCGACCGGAGTAGGCACTGTTGGCATGGTATCGGCAGGATTCGAAGACATAATGGAAGCCGCAATCCTACCACGATTGTCGAGATTCTCGGCGAGTCGAAAGGGCAGCCAGGGGCTTTTTACTGGCGTTGTGCCTTGTTCGCGTGTCAACTGTCTGGTGTGCGGAGGGGCAGTTCTTTCAAAGAGGGGCGGATTCTTTTTTTGCGGCTGTTCCTGGCGCCACACTTGTCTCCCTCCAACATCCATAGACTGGCCTACGTTCTCAATCTCTTCTCTCAATCTATCATTTTATTAATATGGAGACTAGGTCCTAAGGATAATCAAAGAATACAAGGACCACAGGTCTACTCCGAGTCGAACCCTTGAGGAATTGGCGCATAGTACGAGAATCTGCCGTTCGGATCGTACTTTCTCTTCAGCTTCGAAAGCCGCTCCAGTCTCCATGGCTCGTACCCGTACCAGCTTTTGGGTCCTTCATTTCCAGCAGCATAATTGACATACGCTCGCAGCTCATTCGAGGCTGTTCCTTTAAGCAGGATCGCTCTCAGACTATCTCCAAGTACCATTGCCTGGAACTCCGTCTCCGGATCGGCCGGGGACTTATATTGGATATTAGGAGAAAGGAGCAAATCATCCTGTCGGTGAGGGAAGGCAGTTGACTCTTCGGGAACAGCCTGGACGCCTTGCACAGAGTATTGCTCTAGCAACACTAGAGATGTGTTCAAGGGCGAGTCGCCTGCGGTTCCTTCTGCGAATGCATCAAAGAACTCTCGCTGCGCTTTAGGGTTATACCGCGAGAAGCCGATTGGGAACCGGATCTTGCTTCCAGACCTTGCGCAACCCCTCCCGGCCAGATCGGTGCCGATCCACTTGGGGATGTCGGTATAGAGTCCTGTAGCATTGTCCATTGAGCCACCTGAAAGCTCGCGGAACGGCTGGATGATCTCGGTGTCTATTTCGGAAACTCCTCCGCGCAAGAAATGGGACATGATGATAGGCTGCGTGAGTTAGCTGTGCTCGTCATGGGCAAACGATGAACGTACATTTTTCGGATCAATGGTTGGGATGCGCACGATATATGACCAAACCAGGAAGTCAGGCGGCTGGTTATCAGCGAGTTTGTTGAAGAGCTCAAAAACCTCTTCAACCTGGTCATGGGTGAATAAGAGCTGTTCCCACGACCACATGCCGTATTCAACAAGGTCGTAGATTTTCGAGGTGATCGAGGTCACAATTCCGAAGTTGTGGCCTGCGCCTTGCATTGCCCACCATAGATCATTGTTCTTGTTGTCTGGTGCGACTTCGAGGATCTCGCCCTCCGCTGTGACCATACGCAATGATAGATACTGATCGGAAACGAGCCCATGTCGGCCTTGGAGAGCACCGTGGCCACCTCCCAGACCTGGTCCGAGATAACTCGTGCACTCACAGACGCCATGTACTGCAAAAGTTACCCCTATTGTTCTATGTCAAAGATAGACTAGACTTACCAGCCTGCTTTCCCTGATCGAAGAGAGTGTGCATCAACTCGTACGAGCGGACACCACCACCGAACGTGGCGGTACGGCCATCCTCTGAGATCTTAATAGAGTTGAGCTTGCGCAGCCAAATCTGGATACCGTGTTCTAGTCGTCCAAGACTCGAGATATCGCCGTGTCCATCATTCACCGCAAGGAAGGGAATTCCATTAGCGTTGGCGTAACGAACCTACTCCGTCAGCTCTTCTCCTAATACCCATCGACATCGACTCACTGTCTTAGCCACATCCTCCTCCTCGGCTACTTGAACGACGACCGTGAAGTTCGGCGAGTAGTAGTCAGACCATCTATCCGTGGCCTGCGTGAACTCTTCGGCGTCAGGAAAGTAGATACTCGCCGCTTCAGAGAGCTGCGGGCCTAGTTCACTGCTGATATTCGCACGGCTCGAGATGAACGCATTGCTGCCGATGCTCAGGAGCGCAATCAAGCAGGCCAGGCTGAGCCAGCAGTGAGTTGGGCCCATGCTGAGTAGGCGTAATCCGGACCCAAACCCCATAAACGCTTGTTGACTCCTTGCGGTGAGGGCGTCGGGGCGTCCGTCTGATGTATATAAATACAGGGGGAGTGTTGATATGGCTAAATATGCAGCATTTTTGGTAGTCGAATGGCCTGCATTCTTGGGTAGTGATGCATTCCTAGAGGCTGGTGAACGGGTGACTGGCGGAATCTTTGCAGGTCACGTCACGCCTGCAGATATCTTCCGAAGCCTGAATCATCAGTCTCGCTCGGAGAAAGAGCGAGCCACTGCAGTTTGCTATTGAGGGTGGCGGAGCTTACCCCGTAGGCCTCTTTCCAATCCCGAGCACTCCCCAACATTCGGCGCCTTGGGCATGGTCACGCCTTACTATAACACTTGGCTTGGCGACTTGAGTCTTGAATAAGTTCGACCTGGACTCATCTTTATCTATGCTGTCCCGAGAATACGGCTAGAATGATAAGTGACATGAACATATTGACTCACTTCCAAGTCTGGCAAGTCCCGAAGTATATATTTCAGGAACCGCTATACTCCACAATAGATCTATCCCAACTTTCCGGAACATGTCCACCAGTCATTATTGGAATAACGGTAGCAGTAGTAACACTAAGAAATGAACTAAGCGGTAATACTTACTACTAGAGACTGAATCAGGAACCCGAGTCAGATACCTACGTAGGTAGGATCTTATCAATCCCGCAGCACAGACACGGCATCTGGACCTCGGCTGAAACCCACCGAGGGATCGCAGTCGCAACTGAACGCCGATAATCTTCCTTCATCTCACTTCAACCGACCAGACTTCTTTTCTCTCTTCAGAAGAAAGGCTTGAACAGTTGATTTCTCTCGGAATTACTCCTAGAAGCACACTCCGGGAACCTCATTCGTCCACAATGCCCAAGGAGATCGACATCAAGCGCCGGCGCACCCGCAAGGACTACGTCCTCCACCAGACATACCGATCACGATGGTATCTTCTCTCCCTCCAAACCCTAAATCCCTAACTCGACTCAATCTTATGATTGCTAGCTAACATCCATGAAACAGGTTCGACAACGACATGTACGCGCACCTAAATAACACTGTCTACGCCCAACTCTTCGACTCGATAATCAACCACTACCTCATAACTGACTGCGGCATGGACCCTCACAACCACAACTCCTCCTCCGCGCCTGGTCCCTCAAAACCCAAGAACACAATAAACCCCTCGGGGCAAGTTGCTATCATGGTGAATTCGTACTGCGACTACTTTGCGTCCGTCTCGTACCCAGATGTCATTGATCTAGGCCTCCGGGTGAACAAGCTTGGGTCGACGAGTGTGATGTATGAGGTGGGTGTGTTTAAGCAGGGTGAGGATGATGTTAAGGTCGTCGGGGGCTATACGCATGTTTGGTGTGAGAGGGAGAGTATGAGGCCTGCTAGGGGGGGCATGGAGAAGGGGATCCGAAGTGCGCTGGAGAGGTTGATGGTTAGAGAGGAGGCGAAGATTTAGATTGAGCTCATTTCGTACATAAGGTTGGGCCTTACCCCGATGATCTAAAAGATGACCCAAGTTCTGTGAGGATTGATTCAATCATGGTGATATTGGGTATGTTGTAGAAAGTAAGTCCCGGCTGTTTCGGGGATCATCATATTAAAACCAATGGTAGAAGAAAAACAAATGGCATCACTAGAAAGTACTTGGGAACATTTTATCGCTTTCTATCCCGTGTCCAACGCCGTAAAACACAAAGTTGCCCGATATCGTCACAGTTGTATCCGAATAAGAAGTAATAGTTGAGTAAAGTAGAAGGTAGAATGTAATGCTTGCCAACCAGCCCTGTATCGCTAATGGCTTGTCGATAATAACTCAAATGTGATTTTTTTGGATTGTCGCACTCAGTTCACTTTGTCCGCGACAACGCTGATGCGAGAAACGTTCGAGCTCGGAGGGAACAAAACCCTCTGCATTGTCTTGGTCTCCAGGTCAAGGTACCAGCGCTGGTACGGGCCGGGGATGAATCTTCCCTTCGAATCCCATCCTGGGACATAGGTGTATTCGTCGTCAAGGAGGAAGAATAAAAGCTTCTCGGGTTTGCCTCCGTCAAGGCTGACAGTATGCCATTGGCATCGGTCCTCCATCTCGTCCTCGAAGATGTATCGGTGAAGGATGCGGCAGTAGACTACCGGAACGGGGACTTTCTCATCGTACTCGCTGCCGTCCCTGCAGACGAGATGCCATCCCTGGCTCGGGATGTACTTGTAGATGCCGGGGACTGGGGAGTCCCAATGTTCCTCCCTATGGATGGAACCTTGAATGCGCTCTCCACGCTGGAACCAGTACGTGGGGCAAAAAACAGTCCGTAGACAGAGAAATAGGTTGGGCGCCATGGCGGCAGGCAGGTCGGATCGAAAGAGCTACCGGTAGCTCTCAAAACGCGCCTAGGGTTGAAGTCGTATAAAAAGGTGGGTATCGTATGTGCGTAACAAGAAACTAAACGCTCACTTTTCGGAAGGCAAAGAATAGTGGAATAACAACGAGAACGGAGCTCGAGCGGGGGCTTATATGTCGATGTCCATCTTGAAGAAAATGTAGATGAAGGCTTGATATCACGAGACAACAAGTAGGTATGTTTCTGAAGGGACTCGGATACCACGCTGCAGTGCTCGCGGTACTTCCCAGGGTTCGAGATGTTCGATTTGTTCGAATGGTCGCAGGTTTATATGTAAGGAAGCTGAGTCTTCAGCCAAAGAATCTGCTGTGAGACTGAAAGGTTGCGGTGAGAAGCAAGGGATATAGGGCGAGAAATCGTGGCCGGGCCGAGAACACGGGGTTCAAGGTGGATATCGGGACAAGAATGCTGGGAAGGAGGTTCGACTTCGGTCTTGGAACTCGGTCTGTCACACGAGTCCAATAATAGATCCTGATGGGATGCACGGCGCACAGGGATGCAGCAATTCTTAGTGCTCGTCAGGGGCGCATGATAGCATTCGGGCAGCTAACTGGAGGAGGGAGAAAAAGAGCATGCTGGTGATCTTCAGGGAAAAAGCAAAAACAGGAGGAAGAAAATGGGAGTCAGCCTTGAAATACAAAACGACGCGAGGAGCGGTCTGACTCTGAGGGCCTGAGGTTGTCTGACAGAGTCTGAGGTCAGCTCTAGCCTCTGTGTGTGGTGGAGAGGAAAATTTTGCTGTGCACAGTTGCAAGCTAACGGGCGGAAGAACAAATCCGCTCGGGAAGACCCAGCTTTCCTTTGCACACAACCCTTGGGAAGGCCAGGGAAACAGTCATGGATGAGACATCCAGACCCACTGATCCACATCGGATATTATCTCATTTCTGGATGCATCTGTGCTGTTTTGATGGTTGATGCCTAACTCAACCTCGAATTACTCCGGAATCCTCCTTTGAGCTCGAGATGTGATTGTCGCAAGACACGGAGTCCTTCCGCAGTCTCCGTTGATCCTGACACAGCCGTCGTACGGGGAAAGCTGCTGCACTCGACCGATCATCGCGTTATCTGGCCACAGCTATCGCCATGTGCTGGCCGTCGCGGCTGATATTGGCTGGCCAAGCCACAAGCTCTGGTCCCAGTCTCCCGGGATTCGAACGCTAGCTCGATCCTGCCGGCACCTCGCTCGCAGATTCATAAGTACGAGACGTCGAGACCAAGTTCAAGACACAAGACCTGAGCAGGCTGAGTTGAAAGAAGAAACGGTCTCCATCCTTAGCTCCCTTGGCGCGTTCTCATCCTGCAGGAAGGCGAATTCGTCTGGTGTGCTCAGCTTTATCAACACCATGCAACTAGCCATCCAACGCGACCGCCAGTCCTGCCCAGGCCGGTTTTTTATCTAAACTGTCCCGACTGGGTAACTGATGGCCTGTGCGCCTTGTTCACTTCAACCTTGAAAACAGGGTCGCTTTGGATGATAGATGGAACTTGGAAGGGATGGATCCCGGGCCTCGTCTTCATCCTGTTTTTATTACCTACAGATTTCTCCGAAGCACCGCGAAGTGACTGGACGGAGCACTGACGACCGGCCGACACCTCTGCGACCTGCACTTGACAGGGAACATGAAGCTTTACAGTTTTTCAGAGTACCGAGTGCGCGCTAGAATTACTATCTAGAATACCTATCTAACTTTCATGCTTTTCGACGACCCGACCATGCAACAGACACAATCAGGAGACGACAAGCGATCACTGCATGAACCAGTAGACTGGTGACTCAATGATTGTGGCGGGGAGTCTCACCTCGTTGAGCCAGTCGCTGATACTTGACCGCCTCGCGAAGAACCATCCCCTCGTTCAACTGGCTTGTCTCCTTTCTGAAGAGCTCCTGCCATGGTGTCTGACTTTTGGGCACACTGTAACCACCCGTGGCTTCCAAGCTGGCCCTTCGTTTGTCCAATTCCTCCTCCGGGAGCAGAATATCAACGCGACGCTTGTTGAGGTCAACGCGAAGCCTGTCACCAGTTCGGAGAAGTGCCAGATTGCCACCTGCTGCTGCTTCGGGGCTTGCGTTCAGAATAGAGGGTGACCCGGAAGTTCCCGACTGTCGACCGTCCCCAATGCATGGCAGCGACTTGACCCCCTGTCGCAACAGATGTCCAGGAGGGTGCATATTGACGACTTCGGCCGCACCAGGGTACCCTAGCGGGCCAGTGCCGCGCATCACCAAGATACTCTTGTCGTCAATGGGCGTGGAAGGATCCTCCAGCCTGCTGTGGTAATCCTCCGGCCCGTCAAACACAACAACTGCGCCTTCAAAAGCATTTGGATCTTCAGGATTCTCCAGAAACGCTTGCCGGAATTGCTCTGAGATGACACATGTCTTCATAATTGCTGACTGGAACAAGCTTCCGTGGAGGTGCACGAACCCAGCATCTCTCATGATGGGCTCATCGTATGGCTTGATGACTCGTCGATCCCAAGTGTGTTGTCCCTTCACATTTTCAGTTACAGTACGCCCGTTGCAGGTCAGAACGTCGGGATGCAATTTTCCAGCATCCAACAACTCTGCCATGATAGCTGGAAGGCCACCAGCCCTATAGTACTCCTCGCCCAAATACTCCCCTGCTGGTTGCATGTTGAGTAGAAGCGGGATGTGAAACCCGAGCTGATCCCAGTCATCTAATGAGATGTCAACTCCCATGTGCTTCGCAATGGCGTTGATATGGATGGGGGCATTGGTGCTGCCACCAATAGCAGTGTTGACAACGATTACATTCTCAAAAGCCTCACGCGTCATAATATCGCTCGGTTTCCGGTCTGACTCCACCATTTCGACGATCCGCAGTCCTGTCTGATAAGCGCATTGTGCTCTTTCGCGATAAGGAGCGGGGATGGCAGCAGATCCTGGCAGGGCCATTCCGAGAGCTTCCGCTAACGCATTCATTGTCGATGCCGTACCCATCGTGTTGCAGTGCCCTACTGATGGCGCACTTGGAGAATGTCAGCAACTGCCCCTTCATTATGTCTGTCTTTGAACATACCCTCGAGAGATGTAATCAACCAAGCCCTCCTCATTGATCTCTCCAGCGGCATACATTTCTCTTCCCGTCCACACGACCATGCCTGAGCCAGCAAGTTCGTTTTTCAGGTACCCGTTGATCATCGGACCAACGTTCATACAAAGGGCGGGAATATTCTTATAATCATCAGCTGGACGCCACAAAGAACATGCTAAATCCTCAGAGCACTTACCATTGTGGCGGCAGCCATCAAACACGCAGGGGTTGTCTTGTCGCAACCGGTCAGAAGCACCACGCCGTCCAAGGGATAGCCGTGGAGGACCTCCACGAGGCCGAGATATGACAAGTTTCGGTCGATGCATGCTGTTGGCCGTCTGGACGTCTCCTGGATAGGATGCGTTGGAAATTCAAAGGCGATACCGCCCGCCGTTCTGATTCCTTCACGTACACGCTTCACCAGCTCCAGATGATACCGGTTACACGGAGAAAGGTCGGAGCCAGTCTGCGCGATTCCAATGATTGGTTTCCCTGCCATTAGCTCCTCTCTTGTGATACCGTAATTGAGGTACCGCTCGATGTACAACGCAGTCATCCCCGGATCTCCGGAGTTGAACCAGTTGGTCGACCGCAACTTCCGCCTGCTGCCGGGCACAGAGGTGGTACTTTTCGCCGAAGCGCGTGCTCGCTCTAGCTCAATTGTTCGCTTTCGGAGGGCTTCCAATTCCTTGTCGAGGTCTTCGATGTTGCCCACGCCCTGATTGCCACCCGAGCTACAGGCGCAGCCATCGCACTTTGACTCGCAAGGCATGATTGATAAAGTGTCTGAAAGGGTAACTGTCGCTCTTCAGTATTTGATCTCATCAAGCTTACAAACATGCCCATCCATTGTGGTAGGTGATGCGCTACCTTATTTATGGGGAATCCCGGTTATGGCGGGGTTAGGATGCCGAAGGGCGGATAAAGTCCGATAGATGAGACGAAAGCCGCGGTTCCGAGAATATGCGTTTCTGTCGCCGAAAAAAACCAATGCGGCGGGGAGCAGGACGCTTTAAATAACGGAATGCTAAGTGGCTAATGAGCATTTACAGATCCAATCCCACAGTTTCCACTCCCTCAGGTCAATCTCGGCTCGGGTTGGTGCACAGAATCTGGGACTCTGGGTGAGGTTCCGAGCCAGACCCTGTGGACGGTTCAGCCCCCCACGCTATGCTCGATTCTGGAGAAAAGCATGGGGGTCATCCCACGCTCTCGAGTGTTGTCAGGTATACCATATTCTAAGCGACTGATGACCTCACAGGATATTGTCTACAACTTCCTTGATCTTCTCCTTGCCAGGTAATATTTGTGATGGTGCCAACCCAGCACTGCTGCCCTCGTGATTGTCCCTCATTCATTAGCTTTAACTAGAAAAAGCAAACAAGTAATGGATCAATCAAAAGACAATCCCATCGACGATCGATCAGGCTGAGAAGATCCGGCCGAGAGGCTGAAACAGACGCCCTTGATTCAATATGGGGAAATGACTCAGGGCACCGCAGGAAGAAGTAACATACCGCATCTCGCCATCTTCTCCCCACGCCACTCGAGGGTGTGCGGCAAAGAAGCAATTCTCTGCCCAATCACGACTTGTTCATTTCAACTATCAGCAGCTCCTGAGGCTTCCTTTTGTGAGAAACAATTCTTTGGAACTATCAAGAGGCAGATTTGCGTTATTTTCCCTTGTGGTCACACAGATCAAAGTTGTCGGTGGCTTATTCTGTCTTCAAATCCATCATACAGCCAGGATGCCCTCCTGCAATACAAAGCATCGAAAGCAGTATTACCTACTTCTTGTCAACCAGCGAGAAGCTTTCATTTCAAATTACTACTACCTTCTGAGTAACTCACAAACAAGCCCCTCCTGCTGCACAAACCAGGCATTTTTCGTCTTCCACTGCTTGAGCGGCTGATGCAGCTGGATCCTAAACTCCCGCAGCAATTGTGGGATGATCTTGTGCATTTCAATAAGAGAGATATTCTTTCCCACACAAGTCCTTGACCCAGCGCCAAACACGAAAAAGCTCTGTTCCATCTCCTTCAACTTTTCGGGTGAACTCTCAAGCCAGCGCTCTGGGACAAATGCTTCCGGATCAGGGAATACTGTCGGATTGTGATGTAGAACCCAGGCGTTGATGCCGACTGTCGTGCCAGCGGGGATATGCTTACCGCAAACCGTGATTCCTCCCTTTGGCACGTGGCGCTCTAGAATCAATCCAACAGAAGGATGGAGTCTCATTGCCTCTTTGATGACAGCTCCCAAGTAGGGCAAATGGGCGATCGACTCTCGATACGAGATTGGGATAGTCAGACTTCCCCGGCGATCAGCCTCATCGATTTCCGCAACAACCTTGTCCAAGATTCGTGGATGGCGGAGCAAGAAATAGATGATGGCTCTCAGCGCGATAGCAGTCGTATCAGATCCAGCAAAGACATTCGTCGAAAGGTGAACGATAACGTCTCTCGTGCTCATTTTCCCCGGATCAGCATAGTGAATTGCCATCCACCGTGAAAGCATATCCTTGCCCGTCTCCAGGCCAGACTTCTCCAGTTCGCCATCCCTCTTCAGGGACGCTCGCGAATTGACCATTTTCAACGTGAACTGCAGCACCTGATTCCAGCTCTCCATACTTGGCATCAAGAGCGGGAAAAGAGGGTTTCCCAGCAGGGCTTTATGCATCTCCGGAACCTGCCCGCAGAGACTGGCATACGCCAATATACCCTGAATACCCTCCATCATGCCATCGACATCACGACCCTCCTGCAAGAACCCAAGTTTCTTCCCAAAGGTGAATTCCCCAACAACATCAAAGGCGTAATACTGTAGCCAGGTTCCTAGGTCGACGGGTTTCTTCTGGTCTGCAAAGTCGCGCAGGCGCGAGAAGAATATTTCCGTGCAGGAGTCAACTGCAGGCTCCATTTCGAGAAGCGAGGTCATACTGTACGCGTTCGCAACGGGGCGCTTCTGGTCTCGATGGAACTGCTCGTCACGGGTGGAGAACAGGTTCATTTGTGGTTGCTTGTTCCATGATATGCACTGGATGGGGTAGAAGCCCGTCTGCGACAGAGTTAGCTCGCTAAGTCTAGCAGCAGGCTTTCTGGGGTTCGACGTACTTTTGTGAACCCTTTGTTCAGACCATATATCGCGGGGATAGCGGCCGGGTCGCTGACAGAGACGTGTCGAGGACCAATACGCACAAGTGGGCCATATTGACGGTGGAGAGCGATCTCCGTGAGATGGTGGTTTCCTTTCCAGACACTGCGAAGCTTCCAGAGACGTGTGCACTTTGCGAAAGCTGGGCCTGGGATACCTGATAACCCACCCCCGAATCGCCGCCAGATCAGCCGAAGGGCAATCAAACCCAAGAATACAAACAGCGCATTGGAATGAAGAACATTGGAGAGAGTTGTGTAAGCCATTTGAGGTATATGGTGAGAAGTCAGTCCGATGGAAAGAGACCATGACATCTCCTCTTAAACGACGGTCTTAAATACCACCTCAACTCAATCGGACCGACAGATCACCACTCTCTTCCGATATCCAGTTCCACGACTTAGGACAGCCCAATAATGCGTTATCGACTGCACCCTACTGGCCAAATCCATCCAATCTATGTCCATCACGCGGGGGATGCGGGGGAGGATCTTGCGGGGGAAACTCCGCTCTCTTCACCTTTCGCCCGGATACACCCCAATATCTTGCCTCATTCAGCAAAGAGTCGAACTTTAATACGTCGATCTAACTACAAAAGAAGTTTAGGATCGATAACCTTGTGAACGCTTCCGATATGCCTAAACTAGCCGATTCTTCTGGGTTGCTTCCGACTATGTATCCGATAACTTGGATCGGCGCTTTAGGTACTACTTAATGGATGCTGAGAGATATCCGACTTCGTGCGGGGGATTCCATAGTCCACCCCGCACATGTCATGGATAATGGACCACATACCTAGGTATCTGGTTCGACCTGGTCTTCTGCATGGCGAGGAAACTAGGAGGCGCAGCCAGGAGACGCAGTTCGTAAAAGCAGAAAAGGAAGGAGCGATGGGTTCAGCCGTCAGTCGTTCCTGCCCTCGATACAAGGTTGAGGCATGTGAGGAAGGCGCGACTACGGCTGCACCTTCCTAAACTAGAACAGGTAGGAACGAAGTACATGTATAGGTCGTTCGAACAGCAAGCTGACTTTGCGAGGGAACAACCGGGGATGTATCTTCATAAAACAGGAAGGAACGTGGAGCACATTTTCAAGTCGCCGGTTGTTTCTTCCTCCTATATTAAGGTAAGATGAGTAAGTAGGGTCTGAAGATAAGTGTCAATGGGAGATGTCGCAGATCTTCATTCTCAATAACCCTTAACGCCAATATGCCGGAGAAGAGTGTGTCATGTGCATCTAGATCTATCATTTCATGAAGAGGCCCCAGTGAACAGAGACACTCGGGGAATGGTATCTGGTACAGCTGAAAGAAACAGGAATTAATCAATAGTCATCACTGAGTCGCACATTGCGCTTGTCCGCCCTCTTCTTCGTCGTCCTCCCAGGCGGACCCTCCGCTAGGATCTTTGGAGCCGAAGTCCTCCAGTTTGCCATTGGTGTCATATTGGACGTCTTCGGCCGTGTCAGCTTGAACGCGCACATCGGACTGGGGAAGCATCTCCTTCAGCCGTTCCAGGACTGCGGCGCTGGGCTTCCACTGCTCGTCGGGGAATTTGATGTTCACGACGAGGTATAGATCACCGCGAGCATCGGAACGCTTGATTGGCATGCCCTCGCCGGGAACCTTGAGCACCTGACCGGGTGAAAGGACCTGGCCTGGGACTTTGGGGTGTTGAATCTCGATGCCACGGCCGTCGAGGTGCTTGATGACTACTCGGTTGAAGCCTGTGAGTGATTCGGCCAAGGTAACGTCGATCGACGCCATGAGGTCTGCGCCTGCGCGTTGGAAGATATCATGTTCTTCTTCTACTAGGTGGAAGATAATGTCGCCCGGTTCTTGACCGGGGACTTGATCTGCCTCGCCGTGTAGGACAATGCGGTCGCCGTCCCTGTATAACGTTAGCTTGTGTCATGGTATAAGATTGGAATCCACGTACTTTGCCCCGCGAGGAATGTACATCTCCAGCATCTTCTTCTCCTCGCTTGTCTTCTTGCCCTTGCACTTTTTGCACTTATCCTTAGCGGCGAAGAACTGGCCGTCGCCGTTGCACGTTGAACAGACAACAGTAGACTGGGTCAAGAACTGACCCACCCGAGTCAACACCTCTTTGAAACCTGTACAACAACGTCTTGTAAGTCCAAGTCCGATATCTCAGCCCCAAAGACTCAAAACCATACCTTGTCCATCACATGTCGAGCACTTCTTGGCCGTGGCCTTCTCCTTCCCACCCTTCCCCTTGCAAAGACTGCAAATCACATTCTTTGTGCTGGCAAACTTGACCGTCTTTCCCTTATACAGATCCTCCAACTTAACCTCGTACTTCTGCTCCTCGTTGGGGCTCGCCCGCGGTCTCCGCTGGCCGCCCATACCAGGCATTCCACCCATACCACCCCCGCCCATTCCAAACATCTGCGCAAGTATATCATCGAGATCCGGTCCTCCACCCATCCCCGGCTCACCGGAACCGTTGAACGCGCTCATGCCATGTGTATCGTAGAGGTGTCGCTTATCGTCATCGTAAAGGATATCGTAGGCTTGCTGGACGGCTTTGAACCGGATCTCGGCGGTCTCGCGCTCGGCTTCGGGAACTTTGTCCGGATGGCTTGCTAGGGCTGCCTGTGAAGTGGCATTAGTATTCTTTGTTTGGGCTTTGGGTCTGAGGCGGGTGGGCGGGCGTACTTTGCGGTAGGCCTTTCGGATCTCGTCTTTGCTTGCACTTCGCGGGACTTGGAGGACCTCTGTGATTCGGAGATTTGATTAGATACGATAAAAGTGTGCGAATAAAGCTTCAAGAAGACAATTACCGTAGAGGTCGCCGACAGCTTCCGACACTGTTGAGTCAGTTAGCGGGTTGCCCAGAGCTTCTTGTGAGAGTGGGATCATACTTGAGAGAGTAGAAGCGAATAGAGCAATACAAGGGCTTTCTTTTCCAGATATAAGAAGACCACGAAGAGCAAAATTCGAAAATATACCGAGCGTTGGAGGAAGCTGAAAGGGAAAATAAATTGGTCCCAATCAGAAGCCCGAAAATTCGATCGGCCTGCTTATCACTTTTTTTCTGGCTCCGAATTTCTCGCCGCCTCCGCCTTCTCCGCAAACATTTCCTGCTCCTATGACAGCTTGCCTCATTGAAGCTTTTGTTCCGCGGCTTTTCGTTTGGTTGTAGATTATTTTCTTCTCTTATGCCATGAGGAACCTTCAATCGGGCCTTCTTGCCCGCCGCTCGTGGGTGTGCATGCAATGCCGTCGCGCTAGTTCATCCCCCGTTTCGGCAGCGTCGCATAACAAGAAGACGAAACTCCCCGATTTCCCAGCCAGGACTCGTTTCGCCCCTTCACCAACCGGATACCTTCACCTCGGGTCACTGCGAACAGCATTGTTCAACTACTTGCTGGCGAAACGGACCGGTGGTCAGTTCTTATTGCGGATTGAGGATACGGATCAGGTGCGGTCGCATGACTCGGGATAAGGCGCGCCGCTGATAGATTGGTTTAGAAACGGACGATTCCCGACGCGGAACAGAGGCTTTACGATGATCTTCGATGGGCTGGATTACAATGGGATGAAGGTAGGGCGGAGCGCGTGTGATGCCCGAGTGCGGTGCTGATTGAGGGGACGTATAGGTCCTCTTGTTGGAGGCTCTTATGGTCCGTATAGGCAGGTGAGAGTGCTTCGGGCTATTCTTGAAGATCTGAGCTAATATATTGTCTTGTAGTCCGAACGAACAGCTACCTATCGCAGCCACGCCAATGACCTGATCCACAACGGCCACGCATACCGGTGTTTCTGCTCCGCGGATCGACTCGACACACTTGCAAGGCACCGTAGCCAGGCAGGTCTTTCTCCGGGGTATGATAGAAAGTGCGCGGATATATCAGCCGAAGAGTCGGAAGATAGGGCGGCTAAGGGAGAGTCACATGTTGTTCGACTTAGGGTTGAGGGATACCCAGCGTTCGAGGATCTCGTCTATGGCAAAACGGGGCAAAATCGTTCGCCGAATAAGTTAGACCTCATTGAACGTGTCTACGACGATCCTATCATGATCAAGTCCGATGGGCACCCGACCTATCACTTGGCCAATGTTGTGGATGATCACCTCATGGAGATTACCCATGTCATTCGAGGCACTGTGAGTGAATGGAGTGTATAATCAGGGTTTCATGAAGGCTTGCTGACGCAGTACTTAGGAATGGATGTCTTCAACTCCACTACACGTCGCCTTATACAATGCATTCAAGTGGACGCCGCCTCGTTTTGGGCATGTCCCGCTGCTAGTGGACAAGTCTGGTCAAAAGCTGAGCAAGCGCAACGCTGACATTGACTTGACATTCTTTAAAGATAAACAGGGGATATTTCCAGCTAGTCTAATCAACTTCGCAGCCCTCTTAGGGTGGTCTCATACCCAGAAGTCGGATATCCTTAGCCTAGAAGAGCTGGAAAGCATTGTACGCCTTCCCTTTTCCCTTCTGAACAGTCCATCTGGTTACTAACTCTTATTTACTAGTTCAACCTGAAAATCACTCGCGGAAACACAGTTGTCGCCTTCGAAAAGCTCTGGTTCCTTCAAAAAGCGCATGCACAGCGTTTCGCCGCAAATGGCGGCGCCGAATTCGATGACATGGTCTCCAGCGTCTCAAAGGTCGTCGAATCCTCAACAACTGCAGAGCAATTGTAAGCACTGCCCCCTTACCCCTTGATTCGAAAACAAATATTTACAACAAAACTAGGAATCAAATCCTCCAATCCCGCCCCTTGTCCGGAATAATTGCTCCTCTCCTCCAAGCAGACGCCAAATCATTCACCAACGCCGACGAATTCGTCTCCCGCAACGCGACCTTCTTCCAAACAACCCTAGCTCGCCCACCTTACACACCCACAAACCAAACAACACAAATTCCCATCTCATCCCTTCACACAGCCTCCGTCGCACTGACACTAGTCCCAAAACAACATTGGAACATCGCAACTCACAAATTCAACATCAGCTCGTACGACGGCGCAAGCGCGGTTCTTGAAGAGAACCCGGCGCTCGCTGAGGCAGACGCAGATGCGGAGAAAACCCGCATCGCCGCGGACAAGGCCTTCAAGAAGGAACTATACCACTACCTCCGCTGGGCTTTATCCGCTGGGGCGCCCGGCCCGGGCATTCCGGAGACGATGGTGATTCTTGGGAGAGATGAGACGCTTAGGCGGTTGTCAGAGGCAAGAGAGTTAACGATGAAGAAGGGTGCCAGGAGTCCTGTTGCTGAGAGGCTGGTGAGGGATAAGGCGAAGGCTAAGGGGCAAGCACAGGATAGGGAGGCGGATCGGTCGTGGATGGGGTCGCTTGCGCCGCGCACGTAGGCTTTGTATACTATAGAAGCTACTTTCTACGCCTGTCCATGTGCTTGCGTCAAAATTCGTTATAGATCATGTGTCACTATAAACAACCGTATGAAGAGCATTATTCACAAAGACTTTCAAGTCTATACACCAGGGGTGCACAGTCTAACCAATCAATCGCCGCTACAACCAGTAGATCACGAGGCCATTCATCTCATCCCTCTAAACAAGTCTGCGACCTACCCCATCCAATTCCCCGTACCACTTCCCATCCCCAAAAACTCCATGGGGGCCGGCTGCCCATTTGCCCAACCTCCCAGGATAGCAGACATACCCTCGGCCTCAGAGTACGTAAACTGATCAAGCATGTCAACCTCGGTCGTGAAGTAATCCTGCAGCGAATTCGGGTCAAAGACTGATGTGTTCCCCGTATCACTAAGCAGAAGCAGCGAGTCATCTTGCCTGTTATATGTTCCGAGAAACGACGATGCCCGGGACTCGATGAGGCTGCGTGCAACGCGTGCGAAGATAGTGCATATCTGGTAAAGACGTCCGCAGGCTTTTGAGGTGTCTTTCACCGGGTAGAGCGTGCGTACGACGTCTTCGAGGAGCTGAGTGTCTTCTAGACTGCTAGAAGCTATGGCGTGCAGGAAGATGACGATGAAGGGGGTGAAGGAGGAGTAGAGAATTACCCTGTGATTGTTATGAGCCTTAGTCAAGGGCTGTGAATTGGAACGGATTGTTGGGAAGATTACCAATTGGCGTAGTCTCGGACGGTGACAAAGTTGGATTCGCAATACATTGGGAAGGAGCGCAGGTGGTTTTGTAAGGCGGAGCGGGCGGCTTGGAAGCATTGTGAGGTTATCTCCGGGGAAGTCGTGGACGTTGACGATCCTCGTAGCAATGATGCCAGGAGGGAATAGTACATTATGTCCCAAGTAGGTCTCGATACCTCCACGAGTTCGGGAAAGGCGACGGGACTCCAGTCTATCTTTTGCGGCTGTCAGCGCTGATGACGGCAAAGTCACTACGGCTAATGGGATCATACCTCAGCTAGTCTACGGCGCCACTGATGAAGTTCTTCGGCTAGGATCTGAATATTCTGGTTGCGGACTTCTGGTGGGAACTTTAGTGCGGCTGCCGAGTAGACACGGTCATATATTTGACCTTGTAGTCGACCGAGAGTGACCCAAAGAACTAGGCATTCGTCCCAGGGCCGCACAGTGATGTCCTCCGAGCAGGTTGGGTGAGGTGCGTCGACGTCGTAGTCCTGAATACACGGAGCGCGTCCTAAAAGGAGGGACATGTTTTTGTCAACCAGATACACCGACCAGAAGATCCGGTTGATGTTGTGCGCCATGTTTGGCTTCTGATCTCGATATGTCGCCGCACGGTGATAGCCGAGCAAAATGCAGTGCCTAGCTGCCGCTCCAATGATAGTGGTCAATAATAGGGCATTGGCTTCTTCTTGCGCTTTGACTACCTAATAAAATGTCCTTAGTTTACTCCTCCCTCGTTTGAAACAAGTGCACGTACTGCCAATACTAGAGCGAGCACGTTCTCAAAGCTCGGAACGGCGAGCATTTCATATGTTTCAAGGCCGGCATTGAAGTTCTTTTCGATTGTTGGCATGTACGAGGGGAGGTCGTACTTTTCTGCGAGTGGGTCCTTGAACGCTATAAACTCCTTAAGCAGACACAGGAGTATTCCATGCATCGCAGTAACATGGCCAACAGACAAAGGCTCTGTCGGGAAGTATACCTTGCGGAAAAGGTCTTCAACCATAGGCAGATCTGTTAATGGATTGGAAGTTAAGCAAAACGGTTTGCGAACTACGTATGTTAGCTCAAGTATAAAACGACGTCCCAAGCCAGTGAAAACAAGAAACATACCCTTCATGGAGCGCACAATGTCCACAATAAGCCCAGATGGCACTAAGTCCATTGCAGGTAAAGTCCGTGAGGCATCATTTCTCGAGAAGTGAAAGTCATCTAGGGTAGTAGGAGGCTGAAGCAGCGATTTGAGATCGTCGAGAGATGCACTTATATTGGCCCCACCACCGGAGCCCTGTGAGTACGCAGTCACCTGGGCCACCTTGGTCGCTTGCACAGATTGGTTATTGAAGGAGGAGCCTCCTTCGTACGTCCGGGTAGGCTGCGATTCAATCGTGAGTCGCTCCGGGGTTGTGTGACGACTTTGATCAAGTTGGATCTCAATTCGACCCAGACGCTCATCTAGGCGTTCAATCAACCCCTCTCTGTGTATATAAGTCTTCTATATATTGATCTTGAAGAGCTATTGGACGTACAAGCGTGATACTTTGTTGGGCTTTGCTGGACTGTCGGCTTTAGCTCCAGCTTGTTGGCATACTATACCGGCAATTCGACAGTTCGCGCAGGGGTTAGAACGATCACAGCGAACCTAGACCCATGTAAGCTTGAGAGTGATGAAATATCGGCAGCTTGGAGAGCGAACCTTTCGAACTCTGCAGCCCTCGCACTAGGTAAGATCAGTATGTGTATTTCAGACCGCATCGTGCCCGCTAGACATCATACCGCTTTGGGAATGGAGGATAGGCGATGCCGCCTATCCTGAATTGTCTCCTCATTCGCAATCTCGGACATGACTGCACAGTGCACAAGCGGATCCCGTGGACGCGAGAGGGTGAAAGGAGAGAGAGGCTTGTAGTGATAGTTCTTGGAGGCTCGCTCCCACGGGGCGGCGGGAACACGGACTCCGCGCACCCGGAGCGACCCCCACTATCCCCATTAGACAAAGTCGATCTTCGATTTCATCTGTCTCTGCCAGCCTCCACCATCCTTCCTGCATCATCGTTGGTCCCAACCTCCAGTTGGACCCACGGCGCCCCTTCGGCGCCATATTCAGCCCGATGTGGACTAGGGGCTTGGCTTAAACAGCCTCATCCCCCTTTGGCTATGTGAGCACTGGCCGGTATATATGGCCAAGGTACCTCTTGAAATCGGCATGGCGTCCATCTCCCTATCCTGCACACTGTTCTGGGCAGAGCAAGTACTTGCCATCTCACCATGGGCCGCCCAAAAATCGAGGAGAAAAGCGACAAAAATGACACCGTTGATGTTGCGAATAGTATGGACGCCAAATCGGAAGAGAATCAGCCCGAATTCAAGGACTTCGTGGTAAGTACGTTCCAAAGATATCTTCTGCATTGCTGGTCTGACAGCGCAACAGAGAATATTCCATTATGCCGATCGCCTCAGTATGATTCTCAATATCCTCGCATTTACCTGCGCTATCGCGAGTGGTGCCGCCCTGCCATTGATGACCATTGTGTTTGGTCAGTTCGCAAGCAAGTTTACCGACTTTGCTGGTGGCTCTACAGACCCGAGTGATTTTGAGGGTATTGTGAACGAGTTTGTCCTATGGTTCATCTATCTGTTCGTCGGAAGGTTCGTAGTCACTTTGACTGCTACCTTGTCAATCACAATATCTGGCATCCGAACGACCAGGTCCCTCAGACAAGCTTATTTCGAACACCTTCTTCGGACTGAGATTTGGTACTATGACACCGCAAAAGACAGCTCTCCTGCGGTGCAAATCAGCACGAATGCCACCCGTATCAACCAGGGCATAGCAGAGAAACTTGTTCTGATAGTCCAAGGGCTGTCCATGTTTTTTGCTTCTTTCATCGTGGCAATTTCAGTGCAATGGAAACTGGCATTGATTACCTTGAGCGTGGTTCCCGCTATGTTCATCGCAATTGGAATTTGCATTGCCATCGACGCTCCCATCGAAGCGAGTATCGGCCGTGCCTATTCCAATGGAGCTTCGTTGGCCCAGGAAGCCTTAGCGTCTATCAAGACAGTTCATGCATTTTCGGCCCAAGAGGGCATAATTCAGAAATACGATGAATATCTAGCGGAAGCCCACCGGTTCGGAAAGAAGAAAATAATCCCCTACGGGATGTCGTCTGGAATGATCTACTTTTGTATATTCTCGGGAAACGCACTGGCCTTCTGGCAAGGCTACCGGATGTTTCTAAGCGGAGAAATAAGCGCAGTCGGTGATGTCTTCACGTATTTGGCTCCACTTTCCCCTCATGGTACTAGTGAATCATGGCTGACTCCAATCTAGTGTCGTTATGTGTACCGTTATCGCATCTACGTCTATCAACATATTCTTCCCTCAAATGGCTGTGGTTTCTACGGCAGTAGCTGCAGCGTCGGAGTTCTTTCGAACCATGGATAAACCGTCTGAGCTGGACCCTCTATCCGACGCTGGAGAAAAGCCAAATCAATGTACTGGAGACATTGAGTTGGACAATGTCTCCTTTTCCTACCCATCACGACCATCAGCCAAAGTGCTGCAAGGATTCACCCTTTCTATTCCGGCAGGGAAGACCACCGCACTGGTTGGCAGCAGCGGATCGGGTAAAAGCACACTGGTCGGTCTGCTAGAGCGTTGGTATCAACCTACCGGTGGATGTATCTTACTTGACGGCACAGATATCACCAAGCTGAACACAAAGTGGCTTCGGAGCCAGATCTCCTTAGTTCAACAGGTACGATACTAATTTGATCACACCGTGCAAGAGACCACTAACGTGTATCAAGGAACCCGTCCTGTTTCAAGGCACTGTTTTCCAGAACGTGGCCAAGGGATTTCTTGAGACCCAAAAGTCATTGTCCTATGACGAGCAGTTGCGTCTCGTACAAGAGGCCTGTAAATCCAGCTATGCCCATGACTTTATTCAGGCTTTACCACAGGTGAAAACCAATAATCTTTTCCTGCTTTACACAACTAACACTTTCCAGGGATACTCAACATACCTAGGGGAACGCGGTGGCACACTAAGCGGAGGGCAGAAACAGCGCGTCGCGATTGCCCGTAGCATTGTGTCCGATCCCAAGATTTTACTCCTGGACGAGGCCACAAGTGCTCTAGACCCTCAAGCTGAGCGAGTGGTTCAGGAAGCTCTGAACCATGTGTCCAACAGCCGAACAACAATCATGATTGCCCATCGCCTCTCAACTGTGAAGGATGCAGACAACATCGCCGTCATATCCAATGGAAGTTTGGTCGAGCAAGGGACACATGAAGAGCTGATTGCCCGACAGGGCAGTTATGCAGCACTAGTCAAAGCGCAGAACCTCCACGGCAATTTCGGACAGTCAGAAGAAGGGCCCTTGATCAATACTGAAAAGGGTGGTGACGTTCCTGATGAACATCTTCTGACCAACCCCAATTCTATCATAATAGATGAGAAGCAGGCCTCCAATGACAGAGACGAGATCCAGTCGACAAAAAAGCGCTCCATCTGGGGTATCCTGTACCTCATATTGCGAGAGCAAGAGACTATCTATCCTCTCCTCGGCATCATCTCTTTCGGCTGCGTTATTGCAGCTGCCACCCACCCCGCTCAAGCAGTCCTGTTCTCCCGACTAATCGAGGTCTTCACTCCCAATAGCGAGCCTGACCCGGATGCAGCCAACTTCACCGCTCTCATGTTCTTTGTTGTAGCTCTGGGTAACCTTGTGGCATATACCATTGTGGGAGGTCTATGCGTCGTGGTGTCCCAGCTAGTCACCCATAACTACCGATCAGAGCTCTTTAAGCGCATCATCAACATGGACATCGAGTTCTTCGACCAGAAGGAGAACACATCTGGGGCGCTAGCGTCGAATCTGATGACGGTTCCAAATAACCTGCAAGAGCTCATTTCCATCAACATTTTCATTCTACTCATCCTCATTATCAGCTTACTGGCGAGCTCTGGTCTCGCTCTTGGATACGGATGGAAACTTGCCCTGGTGATGATTTTCGCTGGACTTCCCACTTTCATTGGGGCAGCTTTGGTCCAACTGCGCCTCGAAGCAAAAATGAATGATACCAACGAGGCACGGTTCTCTGACAGTGCCAGCCTGGCCGTGGAAGCTGTTGGAGCCTTGCGAACTGTCTCTTCGCTTACTCTTGAGGCGGACTTGCTGATGGAATACGCAGAGAACCTTCGTGTGATACTGCGCCGGTCCGCAAAAACCATGGTGGTTTCGATGTCTGTTTATGCATTTGCTCAATCTGTTGACTTTCTAGTCATGGCCCTTGGCTTTTGGTACGGATCACGTCTCCTAGCGTCATCGGAGTATACCACCGAACAATTCTTTGTTGTTTTCATGAGTATCCTTCTGGCAGGCCAGGGCGCAGCTCAATTTTTGGCGGCCGCTGGTAGCATCACTAGGGCAAAAAGCGCGGGCACATTCCTCCTAGACTTGAGAGACAAGATCCCGCGGATCCGCGAAACCGATGATAATAGGGATAACAGCCTGGATGGCCATGAGGGTGTTTCACTAGATAAAGTCGACTTCACCTATCCAGGTCGCTTGTCGCAAGTGATTCGAGGAGTATCAATGCAGGCAAGTTCGCTCCTCCGACAAATAAGCCCCCAGCCAACTAACAACTACCAGATCTCCTCAGGCCAATTCGTGGCATTCGTCGGCCATAGCGGCTGCGGAAAATCAACCCTTATCTCCCTTCTTGAAAGGTACTATGACCCTACCTCTGGCGAGATTCGCCTTGGGGACGAAAACATCCAAAACTTCTCACCAAAAACCTACCGCTCCCAAATGTCCCTCGTCCAACAAGAACCCGTCCTCTTTCAGGGTACAGTATCAGAGAACATTGCCCTAGGCGCCCTCCAAACCCCAACGGAAGAAGAAATCTACGACGCCGCGAAGCAGGCCAACGCATACGACTTCATCATCTCTCTTCCACAGGGCTTCAACACCCCAGCAGGGAAACATGGAACATCCTTCTCCGGCGGGCAACGTCAGCGGATTGCCATCGCGCGAGCCCTCATCCGTCGGCCCAAGGTCCTCCTTCTCGACGAGGCAACCTCCGCGCTAGACACCCAGTCCGAGCGTCTCGTTCAGGCGGCTCTAGATACAGCGGGTAAAATGGACGGCCGAACAACTATTGCCGTGGCGCATCGGTTATCAACAATCCGCGACGCAGATGTAATCTATGTTTTCGCAAATGGGAAGGTTATTGAGGTCGGTAGTCATACAGAGTTGCAGCGGCAGAAGGGTGTTTATTATGAAATGTGTTTGGCGCAGTCGCTAGACAAGTCTGTGGACACGGATAGAGCGGATATTTCCAGTTAAATTGTTCTTATATCATGCAAACTGTCTACATATATGCCATAGTTGTAATTCTTAGGTAGATTATCGGTCTCTATATTACACACAACTCTTCTCAAACCAAGATTTAATGCCTCATAAAAACTACAGTCCTACGCTTGATATCCCTACAGTATCGCGAGAATACAGTCACCTTATACCGAATTCAAAAATCCATTCCTAATCAAGATTGACAACCAATAAGACGCTTGCTGATATCGAACAGAAATGAAGAACACGAACAACGACGACAGAAGCCCTGGCTCACGACTCGCGCAACGCCCACGGGGAATCAATAAAAAGCAGAACCGCGCCACGAACAGCCAAAGAAAAGGGAATCTCAGATAATAACAGGAGAAGGAGAGCATGTAAGGAAGAGAGATTAAATCATAGAAGAGAAAGTACAGAGCATTATTCAAGCATAAAGACCAAGAGCATAGTACAAGAAGACACCAAGTCTTTGCTTCCCAGGAAGGAAGCGCGACCCTGAATCCGTAGTTTCGGACGAGAAGGTCCATCATCCCCGGGAGCGGCACAGTGGACAGAAGTCCAATCGGTGGTATCAATCAACTGGGTATTCCAGAATTTGAACATAGAAAATTAGCCGCGAGGCGTATTTTTGCGCGGGCGTCGTCAAAGTACTGATGCATAGCTAAAAGCTAAAGCAATCAGTCATTATAGGCTGAGATTTCGATAGAGACCGAGATGGGCCTGTCATTCCTGGGACCAGGTCGTAGAGTCATCAACGTCAGATGTTCTCATATAGTCATATCCTTGAGGAGATGAAAGCAAGGTGCGAGCAACGCAAAACGAGCGAGTAAGTGAGGGAGACGAGAGCGAGTAAACACTTTTAGTAAGCCTCCATGTCATCGGTCCAGCCGGCGTCACTTCCAGCTACTCGAACCATGTGGTTCCCAATCGGCTCTTCAGGGCTAACGCTTCGGATGCCCTTCGCCTTCTTTCCTGCAAGGGAAACAGGTTGTTGGTGGTCCTCTGGGGCTAGCCGCTTTGCGCTCGCGGCACGGAATTTGGCGTAAAACGCCTCGCTGGGGTCACCATCGGAATCCGAGGCATCGTCAAAGGTCTCCCAGTTTTCTGAGCCCGTGGTGACTGTGTCGACGGTGGAGGTATTTGACACTTGCCTTGGTGCTGGAGGTGGTGGCGCATGGTTCAGATATGGGTTTGGTCGAGGGTACGTTCCCTGCAGCGATGATTTGAGTGACAAGGACGAAGAAGAGGATTGCGAAGATTGAGAGAATCCGGTTGACCGTTGGGAGAAAATGGAAGAGCTCATAAAAGAACGCTGGCGATCATCGTAAACATCCTCAGGGCTGACTGGCCGGACGAAGGAATTTGACATGGCACTCGCGCAGCGTGGAGGCTCAAAAAGATAGTTTCCTCGGTCTTCTTTGTCAGTAGTTGTAAGCGCCCTCATCCTCGGTGGCGGGGCGCGAGATGCAGGTAGTTTGCCGTTCACAGTGCTAGAAGAGTATGTACCTGGGCCACGACGGTCAGGAGAGTTGTTCCCGTGCGGCATATTTCCGAGGGGCACACGACCTGGGATCTTCGTTGGTGACCTTGCTCCTGACCTTGATGGCCCAATAGTGTTGTACTTGACTGGCTGGCTACTGGTGGGTGTTTTAGTACTGGAGCGAGGAGGGGGAGGACCTCTCATAACGCTCCCAGGCCGAGATGGTGGAGCATTGCGCTTCACGCTATTTGATGGTGCAACCGACGGTGTTTTAGAACGTGGAGGAGGCTTTGCAGCAGAGATCTTGATAAGTTCTTCAAGATAGCTCTCTCCATGGACGAGGAACGGGCGTCCGTACTCATCCTCAAAGTTCTCCAACTCTCTTCTCAAGTCCGCCTCAACCTTTGGCAGCTCCTTGGCGATTCTCTTCCTCATCTTTTCTTCTCTAAGCAGCTTGCCCGGATCCCGTCTCTCGCCCTTGTTCCCGCGGCCCAAGAGACGAGACGCGTCTTGGCTGGAAACGGCCAATGCTTCCCGCTCCGCAAGGAGGCTGCGATGTTTATCAATGAGCTGTAGAGTTGGCGCACGTTGCTCCTTCAAGGTCTCTAGGCGCGCAATCTCTGCCTCGTGAGCCTCTAGAAGAGCGTCGCTGTAGACGTCAGAAAAGGCAGGTGTGAAGTCCAGCATCTCTTCTTCTGAGAAATACAAGCTGTCCCAAAGCTCTTGAAGTCGGCAACGAGAATCTTCAACGAAGAGATGGAGATTCTGTCGTTTGAGTTCGTTAAGGCGGGAGAGCTCTTCTTCAAACTCATTGATCGTGCGTAATCCGCACCCACGGTTCGAAGCGAGGAATGTCTTTCTATCAGACTCCTCAACCCCGAAGCGTTCCCAGAGCCCTTCCACAGCACCCTTAAGATCTTTCAACTTACGCTCGCGCGCTCTCTTCTCCTCCAAAAGCTTCTCCCGTCTCGCGAGCAGGTTTGCCAAGTCCGACTCATGAAGCCCTAATTGTTCTGGCGATTCACGATAATGCTGGACAATGCTTGAATCTGTCTGCGCCTGAGGTGTCCCAAGCTCAGCCCAGAGCTTAATGATGTCTTCACATGTAGTCTTCACAAGCTCAACACGGCGATGGTATTCTTCGTAAACTCTTGTAAACTCTGCATCAAGCGCAGTAACGTATGTCGGGGAGAGGTCGAAGCTTGGTGCGATCGATGACCCAGGTGCGGTAGGAGGGAGTTCAATGCTAACGAAGGATTGCTCAAGATGAGAAGAATAGGACTCAAGAGCTTCGACAAGCTCTAATAGTTGTTAGTGAGGATGTCCTTCTCAATGCCAACCAGCTAATACATACTCCTAACTTGCTCATATCGCTGGCGGTGTAACTTGCTGACTGCGCTGTGTTGCTCCCGCAAAAAAGCGAGACAGCGATTCAGCGGGTACGTGACACGGAGGTCGTTGTGGTCGAGGTTGTATTGGCCATTTGCTTTTTCGTCGACGAGAGATTCCTCCATCTGCTGAATCGCGCTGATAAGCTTCTGCGCTTCTCCTGTCATGTCGTTCTTCTCGCTAAGTATGTATCAGTAACCACCACAACATGCTATGGTTAGCAGCACAAGGGAGTAGGTACTTACTCGTCAACCATCTTCAGGTGACTGTTGAGTGTTTCCGACAGCGCATTGAAGAGCTGTTACATAGTCGTCAGCATTGAGGTAACAGCGTGCTAAAAGGAACAAACCTCTGCTTCCCGAGAGTCGCGCTCATGGTTTGGAATACCAATCTCATCAAAGATACCATGGAGCTGTTCGACGATATTGTTGACCTGAGTGGTCAGGTAGCTTGTATCGACCGCCATTGCGACTCGAGTCCCCAAGTAAGGGTGCTGACAGCTGTCAGAGCAAAGAAATCAAAAGCCTCGATAATCTCCGAAAATGAGACCTGCTGTCAGTCATGTACAATTGGGGCGGCAATGCGCCTGAGGGGAAAGCAACAGCTCAGATAACTAGCTAGAAGCCACGCGAGAACAACGAATAAACAATGGAAAGGAATTCCAGAACGAGAGGACCCGCTGGGGCTTATATGCAGAGGGCAACCAACGCAGCGAGGGAATGGATGCAAGGACAAAAAAGGGATCAATCGAGGAGGAGTATTGTTTCTTTTTGAGGATCGAGGAGGAGTTCAGGTACAGAGATCGCATCAATCAAGTTTCGCCCTGCAAATCCGGATTCGCTGTTGATCGACCGCGTCCCTCCGGCAACCGCTGACTCAGCCCTGCCCCGCCTGTTTCTGCCGGCTGATTCCCTCACCGCCAGGGAGCTTCTCCGCAACTCCTCTTGACATTGACAGCACAAAGCTTGAATCTCCACTAATTCATTACCTTATAAGTTTCCCCAAGGGCTACTTTGCCATCTTCCTCAATCCACCCGTTGAACTCAGCCTAAATCCACCTAAATCCCTGTCGCGTAGCCTCATCAGATCGCTTCCCCTAGCCTTTCGGACTGCGCATTTTCCTTCCCCACCTCTCACACCATGGAAGCTGCTCGAGATTCCTGGGGTCAGTACCACAAAGATCGTCCCCGCAGTTAATACAAGACTGACCTAATATCTTATTCTCTACCACAGAGATTGAGAATGCCATCACTTTGATCGACCCTCAGCGAGATGCCCTCTATCAATACGATGAAGAAACCCACAAAGCCCTCAGCAACGCCCGGCCGTGGCAGAAAGACCCTCACTACTTTAAACATGTCCGCATCTCCGCCGTCGCTCTTCTGAAAATGGTCATGCACGCTCGGTCGGGTGGCTCCCTCGAAGTCATGGGCCTAATGCAAGGCTACATCCTCCCAGAGACATTCGTCGTAACAGACGCCTTCCGTCTCCCCGTCGAGGGCACAGAAACCCGCGTGAACGCCCAGGATGAAGCGAACGAGTACATGGTTTCATATCTCCAGGCATGTCGCGATGCAGGACGCATGGAGAATGCGGTGGGATGGTATCACAGTCACCCCGGGTACGGCTGCTGGCTATCAGGCATTGATGTCACGACGCAAGACATGCAGCAACTCGGCGGGGCATTCGTTGCCGTCGTCGTTGACCCCGACCGAACCATATCGGCAGGTAAGGTAGACATTGGTGCATTTCGGACATACCCAAAGGACTACGTGCCGCCAAAATCGGAGCAAGAAGAGGAGGAGTTCCAGACGGTACCCCTTTACAAGGCTGAAGACTTCGGAGCGCACGCCGGCCAGTACTATCCGCTCGAAGTGACGACCTTCAAAAGTGCCCTAGACACAGAAATCCTCGATCGTCTATGGAATAAGTACTGGGTCACCACACTCAGCCAAAGCCCTCTGTTCACTACCCGCGATTATGGAAGCAAGCAGATGCTCGATCTCAGCCAAAAAGTCCGCCGGGCAACCCGAGGCATGGAAGGCTCCCGGGGCAGCGGCTTGGGCCAGGCCAAAGACCAACAGCTTGATAAAATAGCACGAGACAGTCAGCGGATTGTGTCTGAGGAAGTAAAGGGGCTGCTGGCAGCCGAGGTGAAGATGCAGCTTTTCCAGAATGTCGGCGAAGAGTCGACGGCAAAAGTGAAATAGCTATGTATTTGGATCCCACAATAATGAAAGGCGACATTTTATAGCCGAATGGAACAATGTTATGATCAATCTCAACTTCCATTGATAAGTTAGTAAACATGACGTTGGACGGCTACTTCTCGAAATCTACCGTACACGTGTCTCAGAAGTGGCGTGCATGCGTCGTTCTAGATTCATGAAATAAGCTATCGGAGCTTCTGCTAGACCTCGGAATTCCCAGGCAAAGTATGTTGTGTACCGGGATTGTGTACCTCGCTGTAGCGTATAGTAACAGGAAGGAAAAAATAAAGATCCACCGATTCAGTATTATGCACGACGACATATGTGAGGTAACGTATATGTAACAGAGAATCGAAATAGCACAAACAAAATCATAAGCTTTGGGACAAAAGACAGCGCAGTAAGGCGCTAGGTATCCTGCGTCATAAAAATCATTATCCAAACATGAGAAAGAGACAATTGCTGGTGCTGCGCATCATCAGATGAGGGTAAAAGGGAGCCCTGGCTGGGAAAGAGAGAGAAAGATAAGGGAAGCGGCAAGGAGGAAGATTTTACAAGTAAAATCGGTCTAGTATACGTCAGCCACTTGGGACGTGAATATATCCAGAAAGAAAATAGGTCTAAGCATATCAAAAGGACCTTTTGGAGCCGTCGGGGTTGGTGATAGGATGGAGGGGCAAAGGAATCGCTAGATCGCGTTCAGACATGGTTGAGGTCTTTGAAAGGAGCGCATGACCGTGGGTGAGATGGTGATGGTGAGAGAATGTACAACATTGTATGGCGAAATCTCCAGCACCCAAGCGAGGAGGTGGGATAAGGTGAAGGATCGATCTTCGTGAAGGAAGCTGAGCAAGAAGGAAGCTCCTGGGTGAGAACTTGGAGCGTCGCGTCACACGATCAGCAAGTGACAGGTCAAGCACGTGGCTCAAGTCGCCCACTTGGCGTAGCAACGAGGTGACGGTGTGGCGATGGCGTCGATCTAGGATCCACCTAGCAGATACGCCCTGTTGGTGCAAAAGAGTGGAACAACCCGATCCAGGCCGTGCAATTGATTGACGGAATGTTCTTTGGAAGCCGCCCTATGCGCAAGGTTGCAGTGCTTCAACTTGGAGAAATGCTCGGAGACGACATCGAGAATCTCTGAGGAAGCTGATAGGCTGATCATGTTTTCGAGCCCATTTTCGGCTTTCCGATGTCTGGCACGTTCTCATCCAGTCAAAGTCGACAGGGTCGCCCCGTGTCACGCAAACCGGAGTTTGGCGCCTTACAGGAATCCCGATTCAGAAAGCAGTCTACGTAACAAAAAAAACATTTCGTTAGTCTTCAAATCATTCCAAGATCCTCGATAGACCGGTCTCTTTGAGGGCAACAGAAAAGGAGTGGGTATCGCCAAGAAAATAGATTCGAGACACAAATTTGGGAGCGATAAGAGGGACTCGGGGGCGGGAGAACAAGGGTCGAGGGGATCAGGGGAAGCATGTGCAATCAACGCGATGACATGACTAGGGTTGCAAGGGTCAGGGCACTCATATCTCTGCCACCGGCAGCGTACCTCGCAATTTTCTCGTCTTCTCGTTCTCGCGGCTCCACTTCCAGGCTTCGTTCGTACATGTCGTGCACGTCGCCTGCACTCTGCAAGTAACTAAGGATGTAATCCTGTAATTCGGAAACCGGCGTCAGAAGGTACGGTGAATTCTGGTATTGTTGAATGTCGCGAATAACTTCGGCGGTTTTGGTGCGTTTGTTGAAGTTGATCAGCTCGGACGGCGTGAGGGATGGGATACCATCTTCGATGAATGTCAAGTCTGTCAAGTACACACCTGCAAAATATGTTAGTTCGTTACAAAGAACCTTGCACTTCCTTGAATGTCTGCCAAAGTTGAGAGCAATAATAGGTTCTTACCGAAGAAGGGAATGCAGGGCGGGTTTGCAAGATGCAACGCTTCGCGGTACTCGCCGAAATTCTTCGTGCTAGCCATGAGTCTGCGCATCTGTTCCAAGATTGCAGATGTCCGTCCACTGACTTGAGCCCAGGTACGACCAAGTCGGTGAATGGGCGCAGTTCCAAGGGCAGAAATGATAGAGGTTAGTGTAGAGTAATTATTCAACGCCCGACATTTCTAATAGTCATTAGCAGTGAAACCCTGGATGAAGGCGGCTCAATGAAACATACATCTGCGACATTGACGAAGTGTTTGATCACAACCACTCTCTTCTTAACATCGCTTTGGTTGAGGATCATCTCGGCAACCCAGTTGGTGAGCTGGTTCGAGTGCAGGATCAAGGCCTTCACATTAGCAGCCGGTTCGGGCTCATCCGGCCCAACCTTCTTCTGCCACGTTTTATTCAAACATTCTGTAGGTCGAATCTTAGAATATAGCCGTGATTCAATGATGGTCAGCTGGCGTGCAAACTCCGTAGGGTCAATGTCCAGGAACTTCAGCTTCTTCATGTTCTTCGGGATGATGGGAGTCGGCGCGGGAGTTGCTTGCGTGGGTACTAGTCGTTTGACTGTGGTATCCTGACCCCGGAGACGCTGCTCAATAACGGTCAACAACTGAGACGAACCGGGGGTCTTAGTCGTGGCGATTGAATCCTTGGTAAAAGAATGAGCGCGTTCAAGTAGTTGCATATGCGACTCGTCGTTTGGCTCCATCCAATAGTTCTCAAACCAAGTCTTCAGAATATTGACCACGCGGAACCGAATGGGTTTCTGCTTCCTGTCAACCCACATCTGCATTTCATCAGCATTTAGGCCGAATGGGGGCTGAATATTGAAGCGCTGCATGATCATCTCAAAGAGCTCTGCCGCTGTAGTAAAAGAGCGATAGGTGAGGAGGAAAGTGCTGTTGAAAGACGGGTCAGGCTTGTCGTGACGGGTCAAATGTTCCACCAACCCAGCCAGAGTTCCACACTTCAGGGCTGGCACATCAGTTTTAGTGTCATAGAACACTTCGCCTTCGTGATCCATCTTCAAGAACCACGGCGTCTCTTCTGGTTCACGGGCCAAATCTCGAATAGGTTCTCTTGTGATTGCGGCGGGCGGAGCCTGTCCGAAGAACCTCTGGGCTTTGTCCATGTTGCGTCGCACCTTTTCTGTAGAGTTCTCAAGAGGATGTGCGGACGGTACCCCGATGGTTTCAGTCGCTCGTGATTCGGTGCGGCTATGCAAGCCTGTAAATACCGCACTCTCGCCACCAACACGACTTTCACTGCGGGGGGCGTTAGGATCCGGAACCTGCTCAAGGAGGAGTGAGAGGGAGAAGCCAATTTGAGAAACGTAGTTCTCAAGCTGTCTGGCAACACCTCGGATGGCATTTAAGCGATCATCAAGCGAGTCGCCACGTAGTTCCGCCCACTCGTCACCAAGGGGCGCAGAAACAGCTTGACAGCTGACAACAAAGTCAGCTATCGCGTCGTAGACGCGCTGCTTCTGCAAGCTAAAATCCACTAGTTGGGGGTTTTGGAAGCTGGTTCCAAGGGGTCCCAGGTTGATTGACTCAACTGCTGAAACCCACGGGCGGAACTGTTCAACGACCTTGACAGCAGCTCCGGCAATCGCTTCACCAATTTCCTCGTGCTCTGCAACGGTAACTATTTTCTTCTGGTTGAGTGTCAAGCGTTCCTCCAATCGACGAATGGCTCCAACAAAGGACCTTCGGAGAACATCGATGTGGTCCAATACGTTAGGCTCAAGGGGAACAGTTGGCTCTGGTCGCAAATCACCACTATCCTGGTTCAAGAACGAGGTAGGTCCAGAGTCGTTGAGAGAAACACCATTGTTCTGCCAAAAACCGCCCGAATAGCTTCCCATCAAAAACCCTGGTACAACCCGACGGATATATTCGCCACGTTGCTGTCTTGCGACTTCAACGTAGCCGTAAACTCCCTGCATGACACCATCCGCTTCTTGGAGGCACTTGTTGACGGCATCTACGCTCGGCCAGTCCGCCGCAGCCATATGCGACGAAAGGACCAGCTTGGAGAATTTAGACATCATGTCTCTGAAATGTTGATATAATGGCTTGTTGGTAGATATTATGGAAGGATTTCCCGAGTGGTTATCGGTAGTATCAGAACCGGCAGCCAGGAGCATGCGTAGGTGGTCAGATATATCTTCGGCTTTTCTCACATATTCTGCGCGATCGCCGCTCAACAGCGTCTGGCGATAACTCTCAACAGCCTGGGACATGTTGTCCACAAGCAAAGGCCAAGTAATGGGCGTCGAGGTAGGTTCGTCAATGAAATGTTGAGAGATGCCGGATGAGGTAGAGGGTCTGTGCATTGGCTCCGATATTGACGTGTTGCTACCTGCAGCTGCAGAGTCGTAGAGCTGGTGGGGATTCCGCATGTTAGGGCTCTTCCCCTCATTTATGGATTTGGTAGCAGACGGTGGATGCAGAGAATCCATGGATGTCGCAGGAGACACGCCGTCAATGAACGATTGGCGTCTCCGGGACATGGAGTCGTGCGAAGCCAGCATGAGGGACTCCCCTTCAGCCTCCGATGCGGAACCATCATAGTCGTCTTCATCCCGCTCAAAGCCGCGAGCCATCATCTCCGGCGGTGGTCGAGTCTGATCAGGCACAAAGAAGTTATTCCGATCGTATGGGCCGTTCTCGTTGGCGGATGGGTTTTCGAATGGAAGCTCCATTGTGCTATAGCCAGTGAGGGTGTTAAAATAGAATAGACGACCATCCGGGGTCGCTTGAGGAATCCAGAAAGCCGCCTCCTCTTGTTCCTTTGGAGGGTCCATGCCTTCAATGGGAAGGATGGGGTGTGAATCACGGGTATTGGCAGGAGAGTTAATCTCATCATCGTGCTCGTCCTCAAGGTCTTCGCCAGCACCCGAATCCGCGCTGATATCTCCATCCTCATGAACGTGTGTTACCTGGTCTTCAACTTCCCGCAGGTCCGTAATCACAGCGCAGTAATTACTAGGGAACCAGCCCCGTACATTTCCGTTGATGACGCCGTCCCACCAACCGGTCTCGAGCTGATTGAGGACTTGAATAATATCCCCTCGGCGAAAGCTCAGACTAGTGTGATCATCGGCATCATAATCATACATGGCCCGGACAAACAACGCAGGCGCGGGCTCCGGGCTTGGTGTCTTCATGGGGGATATGTGACGCTTAGGCGAACTGTCGGTAACGACGTCTCTCTGCGAAAATGACAGACTGCCCCCGCGACTCCGGCTTCGGGGAGCGGCCATAGAGGTAGCCATCGGCTTCTCAGTGTATTCGAAAGTGGTCACAAAAGCTTTCGTCTTGTTCATCGGCGCTGATCCCGGGTCAACAGCCAATGGGTCGAAGACGCGGGTTCCGTACATCGGACGGCGGTACGTAGCGATTGGCTAAAGCGAGGGGAAGGGGAGTGAATCGTGTCTTTAGAACAATCTGGGACCGCTGCGTCCCTTGATGCTAATGGCGGGACGAGCTCAACCAAGGGCGTGGCTCATGACGAGGCAGGCAACCGACCGTCGAGGTGTTTTGAGGGAGGAGGGGCGGTAAACGGGGAGGAGTCAAGGTGCGCCAGCGGCGGCTGAGAATGGGTTGGAGCGGCTCCTAGGACGTGCGTAGGAAGATGGCAAGGGGCGATAAGCGATCAATATCCTCGCGAAGGAAAGGAAGGACAGAAGTAGGAGTCAGAGAGGGCGGCGAGCGATAGACAGAGATGGGAGGGAGAGTCAGGAGCTGAGGGTTTTAGGGGAGAGTCTCCAGCAACCAGGGAATCTACCCACTCGCCGTCTCTGCTCCTCACTGGACTGGACTGGGAGCGGATGAGGCACTTACTTTGGTGGGACTGGGACTGCCCCGAGGTGCCAGGCGGGCGCTGCGTGACGATACAATACGTTTCTTACGCCCCGGTAAACTTCCAACAAGTCTGACCACAGCAACCTCGAGTTGGCAAAGTCCAAGCTGCTTACTGGAATTCGCATCAGCTTCGGGATCTTGCATTTTCGCCACTGAAAGTCTAGGAGGTACGAAAGACCCCTCAAAACCGCCCTGAACCTGAATTGCCGCCGCCTCTCGCCAGAGACCTTGCTAGGGGTGCGTCTTCCGACAATAATGCATGGGCCAGGACTTACGTACACTCGAGTCTCGGGCTCCGATTGAACAGTGCTCTCCCAGCCCCAGTGCGAGCCCTACCCACACAGAGTCGAGATCGGGCAATTATAGATCTGTCTGACCAAAACGGAGGAAACGGAGGATATCCATGTCTTCCCAGCGCGAACGAGGGTTCCAAGTTCCAACCGTTAGGACCAAGAGCCTCGAAAGCCGGGAATTTTCCAGACGAACAAATACGAGTAGCATGACAGTCGTTGGTGGCAGCAACTACTCTGTACTATTCAAGATTGATTAACCAAGCTTACTCTCATTCGTCGCTAGTGAGAATCCGCGGCATATCATGACACAGGTTCTCCGCACCTTGAAATGTTCCTGAAGTTTGAACAGTCGTGAAGACAGTTTGTTCCATCTGAGTCGGCCGAGTCTCGACTGTCTCCAGAGTCCTGCTAAACTGGTTTGAATGATCCTTTTCAGAGCGCCATGTCTTGTCTCTTCTCCATCCATATGCTGATCCTGACCCGTTTGGCACCCTTCGGAACTCGAGCATACGGAGTATGTGCTAGTAATGGCGAGGAGTTACCCCATACATGCGTACTTTTCTTTCCAGGATTATTGCTTGGATAGCGATCCTGCCTAGACCCAAGGGTGGGGAAAGCAGCCGTGAGACCGCGACCCTCCCAGCAGACTTCCCAAGGATATCCCGCGACGCGATGCCAATAACCGTGATGCGACGTCAATATCAAAAAGTATCAGAGCGCGAGCAGGGAGATTAAGATTAATCTTCTTTTCATAGGCCCGAGATATCTAAATCTGAGTGTCCTTATCGAGGCCGGTTTGCTCACATGCAGATGCCAGACACTGAGGGCGGAGGGATCCGCAGGAAGGACAATGCAGGTCCATCACCGCGGAACTGTCAGATTTCTGTGCATCTGTGTGTCAAATTGTCCTTTACCCACTCATAAGCCATCCCATTTCCCATACAACAAACAATACCTGCCATGTCTCCATATTATTTCCATCAAGCCGTCGACTCGACAAAGCCCAAGCTCCACCTATGGAGTATTCGCTTTCATCTTGATTTAGACTCTCCGTTCGAATTTCGTTCGAGCTTACAAACCACGGCCCTCCATGTCAGGCCACTAGTTACCGATGACCGACCAGATGCAGACAAGATCCCAAAGCGCCTCACCAGGAATATCATCCCTGTCCCGTTGATTATCTCCTTAAGCCATCAATTCCCTCGCATCATCCAGTTTGGATTGGCTGAATATTCACCCTATGCCCGCAGGGTAAGCTCGATAATTCCTGATATTCAGTGTGACCAATCGCATCGAGAAATAATTGAAACCGATCAGAGGTCTGATTTCCGCCATCCCTCGAAATCAGTATTACGGTTTCCTTGAGTCTTAACCACCAATGGCCCTGTCGAGTTTCATGTAGCGGCAGTAAAAATACCATTGGTGGACATCCAAGCCTTGGTTCCAAGTTGTTTCAGACATTCACGGTTCCTCGGTACTACTATCAATAAAGGCACTCACGCTCAACTTCGGAGACGCGCCCATCAACCTTATTTTGCTCTGAACAGTTCTATGTGGTCAGAATGGACAAGGCTTCTAAGCCCCTTGCAGTACAACAGCTGCTCAAAGTCCAGGCACCAGGTGACCTCGTTTATCACAATTCTGGCCCAGGAGCCCTGACTTCAAGTCGGAAGTACGGAGTACCATCGATCAATGCACCTCTTCGACCAGCATCACACTTGAGCTCATGCCTCATACAGTTATTAGACGAAATCACTGTTATTGGACATGCCAATCCCTTGTTCCTCCATTTCCATACGTCGTGCGATTTCAACATAAGACTACAGCAAGGTTTGGAGTCAGCATGTCTAGGGCGAGTCGATATTTTACAGCCGGACAATCTCGCCTATAATAATGTGACTACATGCTCTGGGTTATCTGAAGCGAAGACATTTACCATCATCACTCATCGGTGATATGATTCCAATGCTCGTTCGGTCTGCCATAGAAGGGCGTTCTACCTTATGTCACATTGTCAGGTCTACAATCTCCTTGATCAAGGTGATCCAGCAATTCCACTTTCCTGCTGAGAGACATGCCTTCCATTCCGTTCAAGGCATAGCCTCCCAGAGAGCTTGGGTGTTCCAGCCATGGGCTCTCCAACCAGCACTTTCTCTGCGTTTAACTTTTCCACCCGAAAGTATATCTCGAGGCGGATCTCATGGCCGAAGTGATCAAGACGTCCGAGGGGGGTAAAATTAGACCTAACGACAGTCGTGGTCGAAACGCTACTTACGATAGACACACAAACGAGATAAAGCTGGATATGTATACTCCAGACGCCTCTTGGGGGCATTCTCATCGTTCATAATCAACATATCATTCACTAATCTGGTCGGTAAGATTCGCTTCTTCCAGAAAAGCAGAGCGACTAGTCCTCTCCAATAACCCCCAGGTGAGCACCGACTTCAATCATTGTCCGACCGACTCTGCGTTGTCAGTCTCCAACTAATCGTGACTTTACCGCTATCATGCATCAATAGGCCATAAATCTTAGACCTCTTGCGAGCTGAACAGCACATTTCGCTTCTCACAGCTTCATCCTCGCTTACTTTGATGCCAAATAGTCCCACAGCCAGTCCAGTCGGTCTCCACTCGATACCACGGAGAGCGTGTAACGTTCTGTATGTACCGGTCACGTCCAAATCAGCCCGAGTTCAGGTCAGCTCGCCTGTCACTATCCCGACGATCCTTGACACTCGAACGATTTTACTGCATTTTCATATTTCCGAGGTATGTTTAGCCGGGCTGGCCAAGAAAGTCATACCAATGGTGCTATAATGCCGTGCTACCTACCCATACATCATAGAAGAGCCCGCATACGATTAACCATCATGCCAATTCATTCCTCTCTTATTCTCCATCTTCAGACTCCAACCAGCATTCAGGACGACGTTTCTACATACCTTCCCATTCCACCAAGCCTCACGATAGAACAGCCATACTTTACTGACCAACTCACATCAGATCCCATTCCACCAGATGCGCATTGCCTCTTTTCGGGCTGCCTGTATTCAGCTCTCGACACGCAGATATATGCAGAAGGCAACCAAACTCCATCGTACAAATTCCATACGTCTGTGAACGACCACATCCGGGGTCAATGGCTAAAGATACGATAGGAGGCTGCTCTACGATAGCAACCCGTAGTCTGATGCCCTCTGTTCGGTCAACGCAATATTCAATGATGTTGTGCCTCAATTCATATCCCTTATCCGTCTCTCGGGCATTTATAGTTCCTCTGCTTCTTAGGGACTACGATCGAGCATAAATATGCATCCTATGTTTGCACTCGGCCACTCGCTTAGCCCTAGCAAGCAGGAACGTCGTCGTTCTATATCTGCACATGTCTGTCACATCCCCTTGACTGCTGTTCTGTGACATGGAATCAGAAACTCGCCAACTCTCTATGCCAAACCATCCTCGAGAGATGGTGCCCTACCTACATGATGTAGACACATATGCGAGTATCCTCTGGGCTCTCGTTACTGCTGCTCAGCATGTCCACCCCAATCAACCATATACAGCAACGGCCTTCGTTCTGTACCTCCACTACTTCATACTTAACAGACAGGAAAATCAGAACAGGGACCGTGATCAAGTCCATCAATACAGAATCTAAATCCTGCCTCTGTGAGACTGATGCTTTACATGCAGGGCCATTCCGTTCAGGTTGGTACCCGTGGAACTGCCTCCAAAATGGCTATTCCTTTCGACGTCTACCAAGTCTTTTACCTGGATTTCGCTGTTGAGTCTATATACCTCTTGCTGGTATCGATTGCCTGTTCGTTCACTAGTTGGACTGTTTACTTTACTGTATGTAATAGTGACTATATTGCTATCACAAGAACTGGCCTGCTTCTACACGGGGAGACTGCCTCTACATGCAGCTCGGATACCGCATGATGACCAGCTACAGTACAGTACTTTGCTATCAACATCCAACACTGGATTCAGTTTCTGTTAAAGATCATTACAAATAGCAAGAGGTACACTAGGTGATAATCACTTATCATTATCTTAAGATCTATGTGTATACCCCCATCGAGTGGCGTTGTCATGAAGGGCATCGGATCTCTCCGCGTTACTCTTCCACCAGAAATATATAGTAGGTGTACAAATATAGATCCTAGAAAAACATTGAAATCATTAGATATAAAGAGGGGTTATGGAATTCCACTCTCTGATAGAAAGATATATTTAATCAATCCCGAGATACGCGAGATAGTTTCCTTTTGCAGTGGCTGTTGTTGCATACTGGAATAAGCAAAGAGCATCATGCGCCGCCGCAATGCATACGTATTACGGAGTATTTGGGGCACATAGGCCATATTATTGGTGATCGCGGTAGGTCGCAAGTCGGCGACTCGAGATGCTAAGTGTCATTCTTTGTCAGAAAAAAAGCCCTAAAAATTGCGAGAACACGACGCGACGGAGGCAATTGATCGACTTGGTGATCTGCCCCCAATGATGATTGATCAGGGACGTTCTTGGTCTGATAGGGCGCCACTGCAGGTCCGGCTGTTCCCTTGAAAGAACCAGAAGAGATACATCGCGGCGGATTTTTGGGATACGTCAATGTATCTCAATCAGCTGCGCGCCGTCAGATCACAGAATATGTATCGACACCTCAATAGTGCCCAGATGATATCGATAAATCGGAGAGGCAAGGATTGCGTCGTCACTGACCTCGGAACAAGGTTGACTCGGCTGAGTTTTACTCGACTCGTCCTAGTGAGTTCGCTCGTCAGAGGCGTACTCCGTAAATGTGCCCCTCCCCCTTTTCCAACTCTCGTTCCCACACCAACGCGAAATCGTGGCCAAGGTTCCAGCTTTTTTTGCGATCTGGGTTCAACGGCCCCCCTTTCCAAAGTTCCGGGAGGCAGCGGTTGGCCGAGAGGAAACACCGGCTGTCGCAGAGTTGGCCAACTTGGTTTTCCATGGCTTCGAGAATCCTTCTGGGAGGCTCCGGTTATCCCAAGTATCGGGATGGATGGGTTCCGGCGGGGCCTGCACATCGGTCGTGACTTTGAACCAGAAGACTGGTTCAGAGTTCGTCTCACGTATAATCGCTGTCTCATTCTTATTACTACTATTGTTTCTCATCTCGGAAGTGCCGAACGATACCCTACTTACCACACATGGTTTCGCCATGTGGCGGAATACAAGTTGTCAGAGTTTCTTCACGTGGTCTTATTCGAGTCTCACGGAAGACTCACAGAGCTTGTGCAAGTGTTCTCCGTATACGCCGGACCCCCCGTCGAGTCTCAAGAGGGTGACAGGGTTATACTTCGGAAATAACTTGCAGGTCCAGACCGGACGGGCCACGGAGTCACGGAGTACATCGCGTGCGGTTCTCAGGCTGTCTGAAACCAGCGTGAACGCGGAGCTTGGTGTTTCCATTGGATAAATTATCGAAGTTGATTGCCCTTTCTTCTGGATGCTCATTCGACTCTGGATGTCGGATCTATGTTGTGGATTCGAAACGGCTATGGGGAACGAACCATGGAACAGTAGTTCAGCCTCGATTTCCTCGTGGGAGCACTGGGGTAAAAGTAGTATCCATGGCTCCAAACGTGAACCTGAGATCAACGGATTGGCCCGACAAAACAAGAACCTCCATTCTATGAAGAGACGCGGAAAAATAAGCAAATCTGTTCTTGTCACTTGAGACTCCAAGGAAAGTTGCAAGAGGAGCCTGAGACTATACTGAGTTCACAAAGGGTCCGCAACTCCGAATCCTCACAGACTCCAGTGTAAACGGTAAGCGAGCCCACACAAATTTTATGATCATTTCCACTCGGAACCTGAAATTTTGAAGAAATTATTGTGGAAATGGTGGTGCGGACCCCGATCGTTGTGAGTTACGATTACCGAGGCGGTCGAATCTTCAGGCTCCAAAGTCCAGCCCTATATATGGGCCGCTTCTGTCAGATCATACCTCTGTGCAAGCTGGAGGTATGCAGACGCCCATATCAAGTTATCTGGAAATGAATGTATATAACAACCGGAAAAGTAGGCCTCGTGTGCTTGAGGAAGGGATGAACGCCCAGCAATCGAAGAAAGGAAGTGCCTTCACTGGAGGGTCGAAGTCTTTGCATGTGCCGGGAAAACTCGGATCAAGAGATCCAGAACCTGCGGTTCTAGGCTCGAGAGGATTTGTTGGTGTGCTCATCCCGTGTTATCAAGGTGGGATCTCAGTCCAGGAGTGACAGCTTGAGCTGGGTTAGAAATGCTCTCTGCCGTTTGTTGAGGTCGAAGCGGTCAAGGACTGAACCTGAACTTGGAGGAATATTGTCCTCTGTCCTCTTTTGAAGTGCCCTAAGTCGGGACAGGGCCTCACCGACTGTCGCCAACATCTTTGGGCAGTGGACTCCATCGCAGGCTATCCGGAGCTCTTGCTGACTTCAAGAAATTCCAGACCTTCTCCACTCCAAGATAGAGCAATTTCGCGACGTGATAGTGGGGCCAAGAGGCGCGTCGCGCTCCTTTGATTCCTTACCGTTATTGTGGAAATAGTTGCGGATGGCTTCATCCGAGTCAAAGGTTTCAATTTTCTGGGAAAATGGAAGGGGGCGCCAAGACGGTTTGTTTGGGCTTGGAAACTAACGATGTTCACTAGTGTTGAAACCCGGGCTCGGGGAAGTCGTTCCTAGAATCCTGCAACGGTATGGTGGAGAATAAACTTCGGGAAAAGGAACGGAATGACGACCGCGAATCAGTTGCTGTCTTGGACATCGATATCTGGATTCCGGAATTTGAAGCGCCCTTCGGAATGATCGACTTGGTCGGAGATCGATGCTTCGGCCAAAAGTAAGGAACGGGACGGATGGCTGCAGGAAAACATTGAGATTTGCAAAACAGCTAGAAGTCAATTATCAATATCAAATGCGGCAAGTTCTCATCCCTGTCAAAGATTGGTAAGGCTTGCAACTTGCAGGTTGCGAATCTTGCAGCCCACGGCCCCAAAACCCATCGTGCAGTGAGGGACCTTAAAGGGACTGATTCAACTGACCGCTCAACGTCAAAGAAAGAAGTACGTACCTTTGTTGATCATCACAAGGCACGGAGATTTTCACACTATTGCTCACTTTCCTCCCCGTGCGCCAATCTCCCAGAATGACACACGGCCTGCATGATCGTTTCAATAGTTATAGATCTGTTGACAATCCTGGTTCGATGTATTCTCCCTCGCAGTGCCCTTTAGGCGAAGATGGTAACGAGCAAGAGAGAAGTGCTGCTCGACACTCCGGAGGACTGGCCTCTTCTCCTTCAGTTCGAGCCTTATTCTGCAAGAGGCAATCTTGGATAGTACACGATTGGCTGGGCCGGACCGCTGCATGGTCGGGAAGTGGATCGACAGAAAGGTCCCTTCAAAGTTGAAACCAGAAATCGAAGAGGCTGGACCTGTAGAGTCGCAGAAATGGCCCTCACCGCTCACCTTTGGTTGAGTCCTGCCTAGGCAGATAAAAGCGGTCAAGATGATGTAAATGTAGCTAAGCCGGAAGTGCATCTGAGATGAGGATGCAGAGTTGGAGGTCAAGGACAGCTGGAGACTCTGGTGGAGTTGTTGGTCTGATTGAGATGAGATGTGTCGATGGGTGCCTCCGCCTCGCAAATATATGATCATGACAGCAATCATCTGCCGTTGTTTCTAAGCGTTGGATGACTGTCCTGATCACATTAATCGGGGACGTTAAGTTGGGATGGAGGGTTCGAGTGCTGTGAAGGCTCTTTGGTCAAAAACCTCGATATCTTGTGTGTGTTTCCCGAGTAACTCCCTCGCTGATCATCGTTGGTGGATTCGAGACCCATTTCGAAGGTGGGTTGCACCCCACTTAAACATATCGATCATTCTTCTTTTTTGATCACAGAGCGAACTTGTTCAGATGATTGGATATCCATGGATGGTGGGCAGAAACGCGGAATCGCCGAAGAGAAGGACACAAAGACAACCTTAACCGCACTGGGGTCTTGAGCAAAAGCGGTTCCCCCGAGCCGTCATCTGACCGAAGCTGCTGCACACTCGTTCCTCCAGCCCTGGGTCGAGTGCGCAAGACACCAGACGGAACGAGGGCGCGTCTCCGAGCCAGACTGGTACGACGCCCCTCTTTGTGGCAGGCACTCCCAGGCAGCCACACTGCCAGTGCCACACCTTTGCTTGCCGCCGACTAAACCTTGTTGGTCGTAGTGGGTAGACGAGCGACAGGGAGACTTCGCAGACGGGACACTGCCAGGACAGGGAGTTGCTTGGTTGATGCATTATTAAAAATAAATACGGAGTCATCCCAAAAAAGGCAAGGGCAGAGAGTCAAAACCTATCCATCTGCCATCAGGCGACGATGATGACGATGAGCTTGCAGGAAACCTGCATCTGAACCCTTGGGCCTCCTACGACTACAGGACGGACGATTGAGCCATAGACCTGCAGTGCCTTAACACGTTTCCAAGCTCTTTTACAGAGAGTTCCTGGGAGGTTATTTTGCGCGCCCAATCATGAGTCGACGGGAAACTCCGTTGAAGCGCGTCGCAAAGGTGGCGTCATGAGGGCAGAGGCGCAGTCGCGACGCTGGCAGTGGGCACCCTGCGTTGACCGAGAGTTGGGGGTGCGAAGACTTCTATTATTCTCCTGTTTGGCCGAGAGGCTAGTCCTAGTCCGTTTGTGACACTACAATCTTGCGTTTTCGAGAGATCATATCATCGCTTCCTCCGGGATGGTGGCGGCGGCTGGATGAGGCAGTGAAGCATCGGATGCTCAGATGCGTTGGTGGTCATTGATTAAACCTTCAAGAATGAAAGTAAATTGGTTCCTGGGGTCAAGGTCGAATTCAATTCCGACTCCCGAATGGCAATACGCGGGGGGTCTGGAACCATGGATGAGCTCAGGAAAATGATGGGGTGTTAAAGCAGACGGGGGTTTGGATCGGTCCATCCTCTCGGGTTCAAGTTTAATATGTGGTCATAAGGATGCATGCAGCCTCGGGTCACGGGTGTTTAGTTCTACTACGGGGCCGGAGAGCGACCGCCCACGTCGTCACGACCGTCAACTTCATGAGGGGTGAGAGGAGGGGTCGATACTCAACCCATGGAACTTGTGGCCGCAAAGACAGCGAAAGTGGGCGGCAGGTTGAGGGGAAAGGAGGGGTTGACTCGACCCCCCTTTCTCTGAGATCAGGTGTGTCTGACAAGGAGGAAAGGGGCTGGAAATGAAGATCAATAAAGGATGCAAAGATGCAGAATGATTGATAAAAAGGAGATGAGATGGACAATAATCCAGAAACGCAACATGGTTGCTGCGTGGGTGGAAGAATTCGCAGGTGGAAATGAAAGGACCGCACACGAATCATGTTGGAAGCTCATCTCCGTGGCATTTGATTCCTCCAGGCTCCTTTGAGTTGGAGGGGCAAGGGGGGCTGACGAGGGGTGACAGAAACTGGAAAAAGGGTTTTCGAGGGGCTGCGCGTGTGGCTGTTGTTGCCGCAGAGGATGTGTCGGAGTGTCCTCTTCCTGAGCTCCCTATCATCATCATCATCATCACCTTGGAGCTTGATCATCATGCCTCTCAGGTACAAGATGCGCGCTGTCATCATCGTCTTGAGCTGCAACGGTTTGGCTCTGAACGGCCCCGCAGCCGATGACCAAGTTTTCCACTTTTTTGTGTCGTCAGATGGGAGTCTCGCCCGCGGCGTGGGCAAGATACCATTTTGGGTAAAACTTGGGATTGTTATTAATACAGCAGTCCATCTTGAATCTTGATGTATACCAGGGGTTCATTCTTGAGGGAACATGCTTGGAAGAAGCTCAATGAAATGACCTTAGCGCATACCACCCTGGACCTATAGATTGGTGCGCCATAGCTGCTCAGAACTTGATCCCAGCTCGCAAGACGTTTTGGGAAAGTCAATAAATAATGCAGAGATATGGTGCGATCCAAACTCTGGACAGACAGGGATAGACAGATAAGATGCACCTTGGAGGGAAGTCCGGATCTGCTATTAAAGTGGACTCCTAATTTCGATCAAACTAAGCAAAGAGTCAAAAGTACTGCTTTGTTTACCAGAAAGAGGAAGAAAGGGGAAAGATGTGCTTGAATAACTTAATGATTTGGTTGATTCAATAACCAATCAAACCACGGCTCTGTCTTTCAATCTTGAGGAATACCTTATTTTCTCAAGGGGCAAGAATCGAGATTGCATCTCAGAGAAAAGATTGATCGCATGCTTGCTTTTTCCTTTTTGTCTGCTATTTTTGCTGTTGCACCTGGACCTTGAATGTGTCAGTCTACTTCGTACAGTTGCAAATGTGCCCTCAGCAGCTGTCAAAAGTGATGAGAAGACTCGACCAACTTCGGGGAGCCACCATTTTAATCAAAAGAAAGAAATTGAAAGTGCATCCTAGCCTCCCACATGTTTCGCCCAGCAGGAGGTGACATGTTCATTATTCGGCTGAACCGGGTTGATGGGTTGGAAGAACAGCCGGAGGAGTCAGGACTCCATGTGGGCTGAAGTGGGCTGGGGGGTACTCAGCCTGGGATCATAGATGCAGTGCTTTGTTTTGCTGTCCGTCGGTATTTTACTCGTAATTTGAGACGGAACTAGCTGAGGACACCCGCTCTAGCCTAAGGAGGCTTAGTTCTGTCACCTAGTTAGTCAGAAATGACGGGGACGGTTTCCATTGGCGACGTGGCTCTAGCGCGGGAAGTGCGTTGGGATTGCACACTTCGCTTGCTCCCCCTCCGTGCTTCCCGGCAAAGCCCCTCTTTTCTTGTCCGCCAACACCGAGACTGGACACGACCGCCTCACTGTCACGACCAAGCGATCGCCCCGAGTCGACCATCGGCTTCTATCCACGACCTGGCGCGACTGCTCGCACCGCACCCCCCTCGCTCGCTCCCTTTCTTTTTGACCTGGCCGGCCTCCCACTTCTCGTGAACCAACTTTCTCCTCATCCATTCAATATCCCCCTCTTCTTCTTCCTCCTCCTCTCCTCTCCCTTCCCCTCCTCCCCATCTTCCCACTCTATTCAACACCTTTCCTCTCTTCTCTTTCTCTCTTCAACAGTCCTTCAGAGTTGCTTGTCCTTGCGCTTTTCTTCATCCTCCACATTCTGTTTGCTCCCCTCGTCCGCCTGTGGCTGGACCCTACCTAGAATAATCCCACTACACAAGTACCTCTGCGCCCAAGGAATGATCAGACATCAACTCGACTACCTATCGTCAGCCCGCCTACAGAACCGGTGTGAAGCCACTAACGGGACGATACCACGCTTTTCCGCGCCGTCATCACTGTGCTGAGAAGATTCCGGTTTGGCCTACTGTTGCCGCACCGTCTTGAGCAATGGCTCCCAGCGCATCCAGCACGGCGAACAACTCGCCCGCCAAAAAGACGTCCGCTCCTGAGAAGAAATACAAATGCCAATTCTGCAACCGCGCCTTTAGCAGAAGTGAACACCGTAGCCGCCATGAACGATCGCGTGAGTTCCTCCCCTCCCCTCTTTCGCTCGTCGAGGGCTTCACTAATCTTCCTTGATTTACAGACACAAAAGAACGCCCGTTCAAATGCTTAAAATGTAGGAGTACATTTGTTCGCAGAGATCTTTTGCTTCGACATGACCGAACTGTCCACGCCAAAGATGGCGGTGTCCCCTTGGTTTCCGAGGGTCGCCGTCGAGGAGGAGCTGGTGTTCGCAAAGCCTCTTCCCCTGCCCCCTCAAAGCCCTCGGTCAGCGTCGATCCGACATCGTTGGATCAAATGGAAGTCGGCAGTGAGGGTATGGTCGATCTCGAAACCGCAGCCATGCTGATGACAGACTTTCAACACAAGGCCGCAGCCGCTGCTACTGGTCAGATTCACGATCGTGCCGAGTCGGATCGCTCCTTTTCGCCCGGACGTGGTTCTATCCTTGACCCACCTCACTCGTATCTATCTGGAAACGCGACTTTGCCTCAGATGCCATGGGACTCGCTGGTTTCGCCCACTGACTCCAAGCATCACATGTCTCCTTTTGTCTCGCAGGATTCAGCATCCGACTCACACGGACTGCCAGGCATGGACCGACATGTGGGCGACTCTCTCGCTCCCTCGCTCCATTCGCTCGTCAACTCGCTTCCAGTTTCTGGGAACTCCACGCCGAACGCGCTGTCTCCATACCCCTCAATGACTGGACCTGTCAGCCCCGTCAACTACCGAAGGTCCCCGGGTCCTAGCCAAGCTCTAACACTGCCGAGGGCACCCCAGATCAACAATGACTTGGAGCGGGACATGATTGTTGAGCGCATCCGCAACGCGGACGCTCTCGGTGTTCTCCCCGAGTCGTTCCAGCTCCCCACGACGATGGCTTTGAACAAGTACCTGTCAACCTATTTCAACCTGTATCACCATCACCTCCCGTTCCTGCACCAGGAGTCATTCAAGCCTACCACAGCCTCGACACCCCTCTTGCTTGCTGTTCTCTCAATTGGATCCCTGTATACCTTTGAGCGGCAACACGCATTCATGCTCCACGTTGGATCCAAGATGCTCGTCAACCAGTTCCTTCAGCACAAGGACAACTTTGACTCGAGGAAGTGTCCTCTGTGGGCCATGCAAAGCACTCTACTGAACATGGTCTTCGAGAGCTGGAGTGGAGATCCAAAGGGCTTGGAATGGACGTGCTCGATCAAGAGTTTGCTTGCTAACATGGTCTCTGGCAACCGTTACCAACTGAAGCTTCGCACTGAAGCTCGTGAGGGGCGTCAGCCTTCACGAGAGGAGTGGATCGAGGATGAGTCTTGCCGCCGGACTTACTACGCCGTGTACATATTCTTCGGCATGCTCACCTTGACTTTCAACCACACCCCCGCCATGAGCTTTGATGAATTTGACAACTTGGAATTGCCTTCATCCGAATCCCTGTGGAACTTGGATGTTGCGGACGATGAGTCGTGGCGCCGAAGCTTCGCTTCTTCCACTACAATGACAGTTCGCGAAGCGCATGACTGCCTCTTCCAAGGCGAGCAGACACGCTACAGCGCATTTGCTACTCGTGTTCTCATCAATGCCCTGTTCTTGCAGGTCTGGAACCACAAGAGGAGCTTCGAGGCCCTTCAGGATGTGGTCACTGAATATAAGCTCCGCTTGGCTTTGGAAACCTGGGAAAACTCCCTCGAGGTTTGTGAGCCTGAGACGATTGTGGTGCCTCTCAGCACTCCGCAGAATGGCCACCCACTTATCTTCAACTCGATGGCTGTCTACCGCAACACTCGTGCCCGCCTGGAAGTTGACCTCAAGTCTATCCAGGAAGCCCTGCGTTATCATTCATCGTATGAAGTTGCTGCGGCCATGACCGTGGCTCGTGAGAAGGTCAAGCGGTCTCAAGAGATGAACAAGGTCATCAAGTCGTGCTTTGAGTGCATTGAGATTGCCGCAATCCGAGGAATCAACTGGGTTGCCAAAACCTCCGCCACCAACTGGAGTGTTGAGCACCCGCTCTGCGGGCTGGATCTTATGGTCATTCTAAGCCTCTGGCTCTATCGCCTGGAACACGACGAGGAGCCTGCCACTGAGGCAGAGATGGCCATCTACAACAAGGTCCGCAATCTGTTTGACGACGATGCCCTCGACTCGTGCGGTAAACTTAGCTCCACCGTAGCCCGTGTATGGGGTAACATCCTAGACGGGGTGGTGGTTTGGGGGTAAGTCAAGTTCTTTCCGCTCTCAATATCAAATCGCTGACTTGAAATAGAATTACCAAGCTCATGGGCGAGTCGTTCAAACTCCACTCCCAAGCCTTGGTTGGTTACGAAGACTCCCTTCGAGTTGCCAAAGACCAACCAATCCACGCAGTGCCTCCGAAGTCGCTCGCTTCCATTGGCACCGCGTACTAGCTCGACAGCATACTAACTAGAGGTCACAATCCTCGGTCTCCCGACCAGTCACTCGTTTAATCTCGGATACGTCTTTCTTTTACTACCGCGTTGTCTCTCTCTGCTTGTTTTGGTTTTGCACCCTCGGATCATTGGGTCGGGAACGGATGCAAGACGTAGGCGGCAAATTTTTGGTTTCCACTTTGGAATTATATGACCTGGACCGCCGCATAACGCTTCTTGCTGGTGTTTCCCGACTTTTTGTTTAATGTTTTGGTTGGTCGTCTCATTTTCTTGCAAGAGCCCACAGGAGTCCCGGTGTGATTTTCATGTTTTTATGGGCTGTTCCTTGTCGGCAACATTCCAACACCCGGCTGGTCCTGTGTGTTCTTCTCTCGCACATGATGGAGTTCTTCCTTTCTTCACCTTCTACACCTAATATTTGGGACACCCCCTTTTGTGCGCAACAGCGTTTTTTGAGCACTTTGCTAGTCGAGGTCCCATCCCGACTATACCTTGATACCTTATCTGTCTCTTCTTGTCATATATTTTTGCATTCTTCCCATTCGAGTCATTCCTTCACCCACAACCCTTTTTTGAAATACCTTATACTTTGGAAATGCTTGGATCATTTTGTTTAATGTCTGTTAGAGTCGTTCTGATCGTTATGTGTCTATGTCATATTCCCCGCCCTGTTGTTATGTTTGAACTTTGATCTTGATTGTTGATATTTTGATTGTTGATATTCATCTTCATTTTTTTTTTGTTTCCTTTCTCTCCTCTCAGTCTGCTTATTGAGTTTCTGTCAAGTCTGCTATTGCATTGTCTTGCATGTTGATGCGTTGCTTAAAGATCTCGTTCTATGTTTATTTTTGACTTTGATCTTTTACTGCACATGTCTGCGTTGTAGTACCCCTGTACTATAAGTAATTTGATCACACAAAATGCAAGTTAGTTTGGCGGGGACTGTCGTGCCTTTTCTCCTGGTGTGGATTAGCTGGCCACTCTTGGTGCGTTTACAAACCGTACCAAAAGCCCGCCCATGTCGTTGAGCCCGTAGTTGGCTCTGGATGTCCTAGGCCCTAGTGTATAGTCTAGACCTCTGTCGTCCTGCGCAGTTCGTGGCTCTAATCTAGTTGCAGTATATCCTAGTAACTGAGCATTACCATTACCATTATATGATACTAACATTATATAGCGCTTTAAACACCATTATCATTGACATACGGGCTCTACAAACCCAACCGTCCACTTCAAAGACCCCGCAACAATCACAAAGAACCCCAGCGCAACCCCCACACTCGCCGTCCCATAAACATACGCATGCAACCTCCTCCCCAACCCATTCAACTCCGCCACCCATGTACTGACCGTCGTCGCACACCCACAGAACCCATCCATAACCCCTTGCAACACCTGACAGCTCACGAGCGCGGACGCCCCGATCCCGTCGACGTGCTGTAGGTCGTAGCACATTGCCAGGATGATTGTACCCAGGATATTCACGGTGAATGTTCCGAGCGGGAACGAGGGGATGCGCGCGTTTAGGGCGAGGGAGAGGTACAAGCGGAGGAGGCAGCCCAGGGGCGCGAAGGTGATTGCGAAGATGGCGTCGCCCCGCCAGGTCTTGTGCGGGGGCCAGATGGCCAGGAAGATTGAGCCGAGCCAGCTGCCCCAGGCTAGGAAGGCGAGGAGGGGGTCGAGGATGCGGCGCATGAGGCGGAAGGGGAGGGTCGGTGGGAGGGAGAAGCGGTCGAGGGCGAGGGCGCAGTGGGAGCCGAAGATTAGGCCAGCGAGGCTGAGGGAGACGGTTGTGAGGAGGACGGCGAGGAGGGCCATGAAGCTGTAGCCGCCGTTTCGGGATGCGATGGAGGGAGAGGATGGGTCGGGGAGGTCATTGGCGAGGGCGAGGAAGATGTCGCGGATGAAGGAGGAGAAGGAGGTGAAGGAGCCGCAGAAGCCGGTTGTGAGGCCGATGTAGAGCGGGATTGTCTTTTTGATAGACTTGTGGCGTTTCGATACCTCGGCCGCATCAGGGTCTTGAGGGCTAGTAGTAAGTTTCCGGGGGTTGCCCCATTCTTCGCGAAAAATGTTCTTATCTTCTAACAGAAAGCCCATGATGAGAGAGCCGCCAACATTAGCCCATAGCACTCCTGTCACGACAGGGGCGCCAGGGTAGAATGTGAGCGCTTGCAGGCCGAGACGCGCAAGAGTGCCGAATATTGAGAAGAAGACGAGGTACGAGATGGTGTAGAAGTAGGTCAGGGACGACGATAGCGGCTCAATAACGGGTCCATCGCGTTCTGGATATGGCTCCTCCTGCTCTTCTGAGGGTTTATCGGTGGCCGAAGCTCGTCGTTGCGGAGCAGTCTTGGTAGGAGGGGGCGCTTGTGTCTCAGGGAGGCGACTTTCCAGGGCATCAGCGTCAGGAGGATTGTCGGAGGACATTATGACGGCGTTTAGTGTCGCGCAATGGCGTCCTGACGTTAGGTTGCCCTCCTTTGCACGGAGGGCAGATCATGAGGGGAAGCAAATGCTTCGCTCACTAGCTCTTGCGACTAAAATCGGTCGCCTGGAGCAAGTGGGTCAGGACATTTGGAGTCATGTCGCGGCTTATCAGGGAGATAAGAGCTGTTCCTGTCGGACTGCTCCGTCGAGATGAAGGTATGTTACCCAAGTGAAGATAACATGCGATTAGCTGGTACTTTCGAGGAGAGGAGGAGACATTCTTGAGGAGAGCAGGTGACTTGCATTGCTACCCCTCACCGTCATCTCCATCTCGCCTGCATCATCACCGCTACTCTTCCTCCTAAAGCTACCCTACCTAACCTTCCCTCCCTTCTCCTCTTCTACCAACAAGCACTACCTATCTGTCTACTACCCTCACCATGCCAGTCGCTGCGAACGTTCACGTCTCAACCCACCCCCTCCTTCAAGCCAAGCTCTCCCAGCTCCGATCCTCCTCAACAACCACCCGCGAGACGAGATCCCTTGTCCACGAAATCGCAACAATTCTCGGCGTGGAAGCTTTTGCGGGCTGGAAATCCACAAGTACAGGCAAAACAGTACGTCTTTTTCCCAGGTCTCCGAAGCGCCATATCTGATCCATGGCTAGGATCGCACGCCGTTAGACATCGAGTATGAAACGAAAGGCATTGACCCCGCCAATGTCGCATTGGTGCCCATTCTCCGCTCAGGCCTGGGCATGATCGAGGGTATAGTTCACCCCGCACTTTTCTTCCCACTCAAGCTCGTCTCGACACTGACAAACAAAAGCGATAAACGACCTCCTCCCTGCGCCCGTACCAATCTACCACCTCGGCCTCTTCCGCGAAGCCTTCTCCCTGCAGCCCGTAGAATACTACAATAACCTCCCCTTCAAGCGCTCCGGGGAGTCCGCCGACACCAACACCGCCGCTGCCTCCGTCGCCGTCCTCCTAGATCCTATCATTGCAACCGGTGGTACAGCGGAAGCGGCTATCCACCTCCTCCGCGAATGGGGTGTGAAGCGTGTAGTAATGCTTAGTGTTCTGGGCTCGGAGGGCGGCGTGAATCGTGCGGCGACTTGTTGGCCTGAGGGGGTCGAGGTTTGGATCGGGGCTGTGGATGAGGGATGTAATGAGAAGGGGATGATTGTTCCTGGGCTTGGGGATATTGGTGATCGGCTATTTGTTGCGATTGGGAAGTAGATTTCGAGGCGCTTCTCTGGTTGACTGCGCCTGCTTGCTTATTTCTAGTAACGAGAAATGCATAGAACACATTGACTCATAGATCTCCTCCCATCCCGACATCAATCCACATATATACCCAAAATCCCAAATATAACCCAACCTCAACACCGTATATATCACAAAACCTCCCTCATCCTCGACCCACGCCTCTCCCTAACCCCCTCCTCCCCACGCCCCCGCCTCGGTATACTCCCTTCCCTCTCCCCAACCCTCGAGTGCGACCTCGATCTCCCCCCAAGCTCCCCTATGCTCAACCCCGTGTGCCCCGGCAGCTCCGCGCGCGCCCTCAGCACCTCCTGATCGAGCATCTTCTCGTGCAACCCGCCGCGTCCGTGGTGTACGCCCCGCGCGACGAGCCGTTCTTTGCGGAGGCGGTCGCGGTCCTCTTCGCGGCGTTCGAATGCTATTGTGCCCGGTCAGTATGTTGGCTGGAGTCAGCGGAGGACAGAAAAGTAGATTTGTGAGGATATAGGAAATTACGAAGGAATGATTAAAGAAAGGAAGTAATAAACGTACCGCGCCACAAAACAGTATAAACAACCATGATGACCAACGAAGCGAGCAGGAAGCCGAAGAGGATGCCAAGTTCGCGGGCGATGGGGACGGAGGAGGGATCGACGTAGGGGGGGATGTTGTCGCCGGCGCGAGTGGACATTTTGAGTGAAGTGATGCGACGACCAAAGTATAGAGGTTGTGGTAAGATGTAGGCGTTCGTTGAGTGGCTTTAGGTACCGTATGCCTCTGCTGCCTTATGTCTCGAGTAGTTATGACCAGGATGGGTATAGATCAATAGAAGAGAAGAAAATGGGCTCATAAAATAGTATAGATCGAAGGCGTCTAGGTCTATCACATCTCATCCAGCCCATCCAGTCCATCTCACATCGAACATCAAAAGAAAGAAAGATTGAAAGACAAAGACAGAAGAGGTCTGCCCCCTACAAGGTCAGCACAAGAAAATCCATAAGCGTCAAGCGTGCCGCGCCCGACTTCCTTTTTTTTGACCCCATTACACCCCAATTTCCGCAGTGCACCATTCACATTGCAGGGCGTGTTGAGGCTGTACTCGTCCCCCATGCACAACGCCCAGTCGTAGTCGGAGCGAGCCGGTATTGAGTTTTGTTCCAAGGGCTGTGCGACAGGATGAGACTGGGGCGGCTATTCGTGCCTTATCATTTATCTTCTTTTCCCTTGTCAAGTTTAACGATGTACGAGGTTAAGAGGTTCGCTAAGAGGATCGCTTGTTTTTGTTCTTTAGAGCTCGTATTCCATGATGGACTGAGACACCGACGTATCTACTTTGCAGGGCAGCGCGGGCAATACCGGGACCCAGACCATCATCAAGAACAAAGAAGACGCAACAACATCGGTTTTGATTTCCACATCGCAGCGAAGGGCTGTGATGATTCGTAAGGCTGAATGGAGGGTTCGATTTGGTTCCAAGTTCCTATCTCAAGGCTCTCAGTCCGCGAATTTGATCCATACCCAATCCTGATTTGCTCTACGACAGTTGGGGCTAAAGGATCCATTCGCGGACCAGGGCTAAATCCCTCGTGCGGAGTATGCTGCTGCATGATGGAGGTGGATTTCGTCATCAGTTACCAAAAGCCAAGGCTCCAAGGTCTTGTCTGTCTCCAACTTGCGCCTGCTGCTTGTTGCCTTTTGAGCCTTCGAGGTCTGTGTCTTGAGGTGGGATGGATATGGAGGGGTGAGTGAGTTGGTGGCTGAGACAGGCGATTCGCAATGTCATCCCACCTTGCCTTTGATTTTTGAGTCTTGGGTTTCGATATGGGTTGGCACACCGGCTTGTCGCAACTATTCTTAGAGTATACAGTCTTGGGGAATCGTATGACTTATTGTAAACTTGATTGTATATTCGTATGAGCCTGGCATAGCATGGTGTAGCTAATACAGGAGATGTGATATCGTGTACACGTACAAAAAACCGTCAGCAATCCAGTCTGTCTATACATGACCTGGTGGGTATGTGGTGGTATGGTATGGTATGAATGCAAGCATTAACTCTGCAGGGGAAGAAGTGGCTGCAGAAACGAAGGGGATCAAAAAAAGTCATAAAGTTCTTCCCAGAATTAAGCGTAGTCAAGTCATTGGTAGGCAGGTGGATGTGAATGCGCGCGCGCTGTATGCAATCCGCTCATGCAGCAAAAGAAGAAGAATAAAAGGTTAAGGTTCGAGGTCCGGTCCCCAGGGACCACGGACTGCGAACAGCAGCAAATTGCATAATTCCAGATGCAGATCGGTCTCAGACTCTCGAAGAGTCGAAGTAGAGTATGGTGGATCGTGGATAATATTGTGGTTACCCTAGCATCACTGCTGCGAGGGCTGTGCAGGTTAACCCAATGGCCATTCCGATCCATGGTGTCTGTCCCAGTGTACCTTCGCTCCGTTTCGTGAGCTCTGCCGTTGTCCTTCGCGTCCGGCGAGAGCGTCTGCTTCTGCTGAGGAGGGGAATTGGTATTGTGTCTGGCTTGGTTTGTGTGTCTGCGACTTGTAGGCGGAGCAGCTGGTCGGCTTCTGAAGGTATTTGCGCATCGTCTTCCGGGATTGTTTGTACGTCCGGTACAGGTACCGTTGGTGATGTATTCGGCACAGATGGGCTATGTGTAAAGCTTTGGACGCGTTCGGCCTGCACAATAGCTATCGTAGGTGCTAGGCAGAGGAGAATTGTGGAGGGCTTCATTGCGTGGTGTTGTATGAGGTGACCGAGAGGTGACCAGAGGGGAAAGGCGCGTCGTGGGAAGGTGTAGGAGCAGTTCAGGTGTCTGAGAATGCAGGTCGTCGCGATTGAGTCACTGTCGAAAAGACGACGAATCTGAGATTTAAATCGTCACGATTGAGGGCAGAATGAGCAGAAGCGAGCGGCTGGTGATCTCCTGAGGCTCCACGGGATACCGATGCAACTACAAGATATCGAACGACTCGACGCGCGAAACGAAGGAAGTTTAGGTGGCAACCTGGGAACCCGCAACAGCGCTCGCGGTTTTTGTGTGAGAGTGAAAACGCAAGTGTGCGAGAAACGAAGCTGGCGAAGCTGGAAAATTGGCTCAAGGAGAACCAAAACAGCGTTGCAACTGGCAAGCAAAGGGGCATCGGTGGATCGGGGGGCCAGCGACGCTCACAGGCCAACCAAGCTCGACCCTCGCCAGGGAAAACCGCAGTGGAAATTTCCTCCCCAAGAATCGCTGCTCGCCGGTTGGCCGATGGCCTGCCGTGGTCCGCACGGGCGAGTACTTCTGGAGACTAGAGCGGCCGATCGCTGTCTCTGCCAGCCTTGGCAGGTGCAGGGATTGGCGCTGTCATCCAGTCGCATCGCGCAATTACGGGCGGCTCCACGCTGTGTGACGCAACGCACCCAATGAGCCAAGGGCCCGCTATAAATATCAAGGCAAATGTCCAATGCTTATCGTTATGGCTGGTTCAACCAGAGTCGTAGGAGGAGTAGTACAGTACACTGATGCCTTCCCGGGCTGATGACGACAATGTTTTGGCTTTCTACTTGCCGCGGGGCTACAACATCTTCCCCCAGTCGGGCATCACAGTAAACTTGCCGCTCAGTTGGCCCATCGCCCACACCTTATGCTCGTCATCCACCATCTCCTCCGTCGCATTGGGCGGCGTTGAAACGATTAGCGCCTCCTGGAGGAAGTCAACCGCCGTTGCGCGATCCAGTTCGAAGCTGATCCCTCCCCAGTCCATCGTCACCCGGCCCGAAGCGTGAACGTTAAGTTTCCCTGCCCGTCCGGCCTGCAGTTGCCAGTCGGCTGCCGTGACAACCTTGGATGGCGTGCCTGTGGTCGCCGCATCTTCAGTCCCATCTAGCACTTCAAAGTCATCTTCCCGTTTCAGACCAAGATTAGTTGGCTGTTCGTTGGCACCGTTCTGTGCGGCTGCTTGTGACGCAGCGGGGTTGGGTACTTCCGTAGCCTCTTCATCCTTGTTCCCACCTGCGGTGGGGATAACCAGGTTCGGTGTGATGGGAGGGAACTGCATTAGGAACAATTGTCCAGACAGCTTGCCATCGTCCGGCTCTTCCTCTGCGTCTTCCTCTTCCTTTTCCTTCTCTTCGCCCTCGGTGGCAGCGTCGGTAGCAGCCTCAGCTCCTTCTGTAGTTTCCTTAGTCTTTGCTGGTGGCTCCTTGGTGAACAAATCCTTGATCATCTCGAGATCCTCCGCATGTCGGTCATACTCTTCAATATCCTCTTTAGTGCGTAATAAGCTCTTCGGGTCCTTGACTGCAGGCACAGACGGTTCCCTCGAGCCGAGCTTCCGCCGCACCTTGACCTTTGGTGCTGGCAATAATCCGTCATCGGTTGTAACAGCCTCGTCCGCATGAGGCACCTCCGCCATTGACCGTTCATTCTCATCCGTAGGCTCATCCTTTACCCGGGGATCTGTCTCTGTCGGCGTCTGATCGTCGTCCTGTACGAAGAGTGCATCATCCTCCTTGGCCTTGTCCTTGGCTTGTTGCCGCAGCTCGGCCGACTTCGTCGTGCTAGACTCCATGTTTACACTAACCACCCGTTCTTCATGCTCATGTCTCTCCACGCGGATTGGGCGCAATCCTGTTTCGCCTGTTCCTGTCAGGACCATCTTTCCTTTCCGCTGCTTCATTCTCTTCTTATAATCCAGCACCGCATCCTCCTCGTCGTCATCGGCATCGCTTTCCAAGTTGATGCGGTCAATGCTGACCCGAATCTCGCTATCGCTCTCATCCGATGAGATAGAACCGCCGCCAGCACCTGTTGTCATAGATTTGCTTCGTCGTGAGATGGACGTCCCCCGAGAATCAGCAGTGCCAAACCTTGACCCGCCGCGACCCCTCCGCCCAGCAACTCCAGAACCCAATGGACCTGCCGCACCCATACCAGCCATACCGCCGCGTCCACGTCCCGAAAAGCCAGCCCGGCCCCGCGCCGCGAGATTTGCCTTGCCGCGCTGAATCGCCGCCGCCTCTGCCAAGCGCTCCGCATGACGTTCCGCTTCAAGTTTCTCGATGGCCTCTCGCTCTTCCTTGCTGCGTCGTCCCACGGCGCGGGGCTTGTATTTCAATGTTGGTTTAGCCGGTTCTCCTAGGCCTGGGACTGGTGCTGCACTTGTAGGTCTCCCTGAAGGCCCAGGCCCGATGCTCCCCGACGGCGCACGCTTCTTGAGGGATTGTAATCGTTGCACCGGTGCTCGTGCCGTGCCTGGTGTGGATGTGGTAGATGTTGGCGCTGGACTCGCGGAGGTAGCGGGGGCATTGGAAGTTGTGTTTGAGCCGGTGTCGCCGCCATTGTTGCCTCGTGCAGCGGCCGATGATGCTCCCCGGCGAGAGCCCGCTTTGGGAGGCATGTTGTCGGAAGTGGTTATACAGGAGCTGATGTACGGTAGGGAGGAAAGGAGGAGGTCGAAGATTAGACGAAAAATGAATGTTCGTGGACAAGAAAGGTATCTGGTTTTCAATGCTTTGGCAAACGCTAAGGCGAGAAGTGTTGAGTACAAAACTGAAGAGTCAAGAGTCAGGGCGCATCAGTTGACAAAATTTGGCGGTAAAGAAAAAGTTGTCGCGGCTAAAGGCGGAAACGCGGGGCAGATAAAGATACTATGCTAAGCCTTATCGAGAAAGTAGGGTCTTTCCACCCATCGCTCTTTCCTTTTGCGACAACTAACTTTCCCGCCTCCTGTTGCCCATTATTGTTTGACTCTCATTCTTTGTAGTAAACCAGGTATTTCAGCTATTTTAGTAACTTTTCGTTGAGATTGATACATACTGTGTAGGTAAGTCTTACCTGGTTATTACTCGTTTTAACCTACAACTCCTTCTCATCCATAAGTTCTCTCTACCCATGAACCTCCTCATCTACGCACTCCCCTTCTTCTTCCCCTCAACCAACTTCGCCAGCTTCACCTGCGTCAACAACGACAGCTCGTCATACACATCCCACTCATCCACCACTTTTCCGCCCTTGACATGATAATGCGTAATCCCCATAACCTGCAGCCTTGCCCCTGTCGGCTTCCCAAGCTCATACAAGCCCCCATATCCCAAATGGTGGCCCTCCATCACCCACCGCACCGCAACCTTGACGCCACCCTCCTCACACGGGTTTGAGCACACATGCTGTGGCATCCAAATTGCATCCGGGATCGACCCCAGCAGCGCAAGATGCTGATGCAGGACAGCCGCAGGCCCATAAAGCTCAACCATCTTAGGCCCGTGATACTGCGCATTTGGCGCATAGTGCTTCTCAACACGACCAAACATGCGGCAGTTCCACATGTCATGCAGCCACTCGAGCGTTGTCGCCTCGATCTCATTATTCGCAAGCGACGAGAAATCCGGCTTCCCCATCTCAGGAATAGTCTGTCCAATAATCCTGCGATTCTCACCAATATCCACACTTTCAACCCCCTTCTCAAACAGTCCCCTCGCCGCCTCCTCCGCGAACACATTCGGATCAACGCCCAGTTGCTTCAGGATGGCCATGGTATCCGCAACAACCCACTCACGATAGATCTTATTGCGGTAAATCATACAGTCCGCAATCGTCCGTGAGGTAAAGGTCTTCCCCGTCGCAGTCCCATATAGCCCATCCTGGCTATGCCGCCCAGACCCCGTCACAAGATGCGACGTGTAGAATCCCTTCTCGTCATCGCCACACCAGAGAACCTGCGTCGCCATTCCACGGCGTTCGGGGAGCGAGACTAGTCGCTGGATCGTGTCGCGCACGATACTCTCGCGGTCATATACTGTCCCCATCGTCCCGTACAGGACGCAGTTGTGTGTGTAGTGTGTGTAAATGAGGCCGATGTCGCGCTCGTCCCAGATTCGGTGCGTGCATCGCACGATATAGTCGACAATGTCGGTGTAGATGGGGTCGAAGCCGTTCATGGAGTGCGCGAGTTCGCGGGTTCCGGTTGCGGGCGCAAGGTCAGTGTAGTCGTGGCGCTCGACTTGCAGGACGCTGCTGGATGGACTTTCGGAGGAGGTGTGGCCGTTCATTTTGGAGGCGTTGGGGGGTTCTGTGTTGTTTTCGTTGGTTGAAGCGGCCATTGTAGATATGGCTGTGATTCAACTAGGTATACGTATAGACGCGACAAAGAGGTCAAGCAAGTATCAAGTTAAAGGTTGCGAATGTCAGGATAAGAAGCTCTGTAGTCTCGACCTGGAGCTTTGAAATAATGTCCCAGCTGCTTTCTCCGCACGGGTGTGCCTATCTCGTTCCTGACTATCGTGTTTACTCCACGGGTATCCCGATGGTGTTGGAGTAGGGTTTCGGCGCGGCCGATGGGCTCGGGTTCTCCTCCCCCATCAATAGTGGAGAAAGATGTAGGCAGAATAGTCATTCGGAAGTTCCTTGTTCGTTGTATATCGTGTCATTAAATATAGAATATGAATTCCAGGCTCTAATAATCAGGATTATCACGCTTGTTAGGGTTGTTGGGGTTGGTTAGGGTCATTCACGTTCTTTTTGGAGGTGGGCTACTGGAGGATGATTCTAAGGGCTAGCTAGGATAAGAGAGATATTAGAATATATATATTTATATTAATCTAAGTCGTGATCAAATCAGACAGTATATTGAACACGCTAGACCTTTCTACTAGACCACGTTGAGCGTGATACCCCCTCAATAGGATCATGCCGAAAGGCTTGTTACATGGCCGAGGGTGATATAGAGATAAGAATCAATTTAGCAACAAAATCTATACCTACATAGCTCTAGCATCCTCGTTAAAACAGAAAGAATCTTAAGAAAGATCATCATCAAGACTCAAAGTCACGCCGTTGGCGATTGAGGTTGTCTCCTGTGGCCTCGAGTCTCGCTGGGTTAGGGCAAAATATGAACCTTCACCACTAGTGAAGCCATTATTCTAAACACCATGCACCAAGGAGATCTGTATAGATCATTCTGCATAGGAGCCAGATGTACCATTGGTACTTGCCAGAACCGAGAATGTCGGTTTCACTATGTTGTCAGTAACAGATCCATATTCAGAACCTGGAGAGTCATGGATTGACCATCCCATTTTGCGCTGAAAAACAAAGCAAAGCGCTCCTTGGCGCTCATCTCGCCAGTTTGTAGAGTTGCTGCCGTGATCTCACTTAACGGGGCGGCCAACCGTGGGGAGACATGTGGATAGTAGGGGCGGACATTGTAGGGTGAGCTATGATCAGACCTCAAGGTAAGTATAGAAAGATAACTCTTTACTATACTTATCGCTTTATGAGTGCCAATAGCTTCGTTGTGTCTATAATATGTGTCATGGCTCGTAGAGGTATCGGCAAATCCTATCACCATCGGAGAACCCGTTGATAAATGAGCTGGTGCGGAACCTTCGCATCTCCAAGCTCAATTGCACTGATAGAGGAATAATTATACAACATGGGATGGGAGGAGATTGCACGGGCGAAACGAGTTAGTCGTGACAACGCCATCCCCTCAGAATGGCAGCTGCGGCCCGGTCAAGTCCCAGAGGAACAGCTTAATGTTTTCGAAGTTCCGGCCGAGTGCGGAATTCTGACGGCTCGAGAGCTGAAAATAACAGAGACAGATGCAGAAGTCCTGGTGCAGAAGCTTCTAAACTGCGAATACAGCTCGCATGAAGTAACACTCGCATTCTGCAAGCGAGCTGCAATCGCACAGCAACTGGTCAACTGCCTCAGCGAAATCTTCTTTGACACAGCGCTCGAGGCTGCTCAACAACTCGACAAGGAATATGCAGCCACCGGAGTACCACGCGGTCCTCTTCATGGTCTGCCTGTCTCCCTCAAAGATTGCTTCCCCATCGAAGGCACTGATGCCACCATCGGCTATACCGCATTCGCCAACGCCCCGACAACAGAGGACGAGGAGGCTGAAATCACAAAGATAATGCGGGAAAGCGGCGCAATCTTGTTTTGCAAAACTAACGTGCCGACGGCCATGATGTCCGGCGAGGCAAGTGGAATGCAATATTCCATAATTCCATAGTTGTGTTGCGGGCTAATGCGGTTCAAGACTTACAATGCCATCTACGGCTACACCTCCAACCCTTACAATAGATCCCTCTCCAGCGGTGGCTCATCAGGCGGTGAAGGTGCTCTTCTAGCTCTACGGGGATCTCCTCTAGGCGTGGGAACAGATGTGGGAGGATCTGTTCGAATACCTGCCTCATTTTGCGGTCTATACTCGCTTAAGCCTTCAGCTGGCCGCTTCCCTACATTAGGCCTTCGCGATGGTATGGAGGGTCAAGAAACGGTTCGAAACTCAGTTGGACCCATGGCGAACTCCCTAGCCGCGATTGAGCTATGGAGTCGGGCGGTCCTGAAAAGCGAGCCATGGATGAGTGCTGATCCGCACTGTCTACCTATTCAATACCGTGATGTTGAGGTACCAAAAAGGCTCTGCTTCGGTCTTCTCCTCGACGATGGGATCGTCAAGCCTCTGCCTCCAGTCACTCGTGCGTTGCTTCAGACTAAAGCAGCTTTGGAAGCGGCGGGACATACTGTCATTCAATTTCATCTGTAAGTTTCAAGCCCGAGGACACCCAAGGACGCGCCGCACACAGAACTAAGCTGGCAGTGACGATCCTTTATACACCGATAACCTCAAGTACTCCCTGTATCGCTCCGCTGCTGCAGACCTAGTTCACAAGATACTCACCAGGACACAAGAGCCGTGGCCACGGGGCATGGAGATGCTCGAGGCAATGGTCAACGACGATGATAAAGGCCGAGCGACGGTCTCCGAACTCTGGGAAGCGCAGACCAAGCGCACGGAATACGCCAGGCGGGTTCTTAAGGCATGGGCGGGCACAAAGACCAGAACGGGGACAGACCGCGAGATGGATGCTCTACTCATGCCATGCACCCCGTGGCCGTCATGTGAAAAGTATGGGTTTACGTACGATAACTACACGAGTCTGTGGAACGTGCTCGACTACTGCGCGACAACGGTTCCGGTAACACATGTGTCGCTAGCCAAAGACGTAAAGCCTGAGTATGAGTGCCGCAACGAGGCCGAGGAAAGTGTGTGGAAAGATTATAGACCTGAGAGCTTGATTGGTGCTCCTGTTGCAGTACAACTGGTTGGCCGCCGGCTGAACGAAGAGTATCTTTTGGGAGTGACACGGGTGTGCGACGATGCCGTAGGAGCTTCTAGTTTCTAGCCTAGAAATAACTTGAGGGAGCTCCTCAATGCCTTCGTGACCTTAGCGGTTTGTTCACCCTTGATTTGAGCAACATTGTGACGGCACTGTTTATACATGTTCATGTTTCCGTAAATACTTCGCTGCGGAACTGAACACAAGGCGTATAGATCCAGATGGGGTATATAATAAATTGTCTACTATGTAAAATGTAGAGATCGCTTGACTGAGCATGGGATATAGATGGATTATCCCCACGCCCCTTCCCCGCTCCTTGTTCCAGGAAAGCAGTCAAAGGATGATGTCTCTGTGAGATTGGCACAGGTCTATCTGTTTTAACTTAATATACATATACAAGTGATGAAATTACCTCACAAACTGATCGGCAAACTCTGCCCCCAATCCCACCTCCTCATAATGCTTCCTCGCCACCGTCAACTTACTGAACACATCCTCAATCCCCAACGCAACCCCATCAACATCAACATAGATATACGCCCCCGTCACATGAAACAACGTAACCATCTCCTCTACACCCTCCGGCACCTCGAGCGTATGAATATCGCCGGGCGGCTCAAATGCATACCCGCCCTCTTCAGCCCACCAGTCATGCTCGAGGTAGTGCCAGCGGCCCTTTAGGACCGTCGCATGTACGGGGCCCGTGTGTCTGTGCCGCGAGAGGATCCCGCTCTTGCGCACGCGCAGGATGTTGACGAAATAGCCGTGGGAGACGTTGAAGCAGAGCGGGCGGAACCAGACGTCCTTTGATTGCGGGACCCAGAGGCGCTCGTCGCAGTTTAGGTCTAGGACGCCGGTGACAACGAGGTCCGAGGGAACGGAAGGGAGTTTGGGGCCTCGGTAGGCTTCTTTGGATAAGTCTCCTTTTTCCATTGTGCGGATCCTTTTGCCTTGTCGCGTAATGCTATACTCGGGACGTTAGTTGTTGTTTCAAGGGATTGCAGACGATGTCATACCTTAAATCCTTGATCTAATCAAATAATGAAGCTTTATTCGCCGCACGAGTAATGCATTATCGTCGAGTGGTGTTTATACTCTGGTATCTGCGGGCTTTGCGGCCTTTCCGCGGCGAACCCGATGGTACATATCGGGAATATTGGAGATGTCGGGATCTCCGTCAAGGCATAGATAGTTGTCGGGGTATGCGCTCACGCAGAATAAAACCTACCATTGTCAGTTATCTAGTCCGTATTGCCTGGCACTCTGTTATTTAAGAAGATGACTGACAAATTCGTTGCGCGTTCTCACATCCTCCACCGTTCCTTCGCCGAACGGCCAGCTAAGATCGTCGCCGGCGATGGCATCAGGCTCGTCTTGGAAGACGGCAAAAGAGTCATCGATGCTAGCTGCGGCCCATCAGTCTCGTGTCTCGGCCACTCGCAGCCCGAGATCACGGACGCCGTCACAAATCACCTGAAAAATGAGATCGCATACGTCTACTCGGGCTCTCCGTATACCAGCGGTGCGGCGGAAGAACTCGCTGATATCCTACTAGCACACAAGCCCGGTGGGTTGTCAAAGGCCATTTTTGTCAACTCTGGCAGCGAGGCAACTGATGCCGCGCTCAAGCTGGCTGTACAGTACTGGCATGAGCTGGGACAACCTCAGCGAACGCACTTCATCTCGCGAAAGCAGAGCTACCACGGCAACACTATCGGCGCGCTATGTGTCTCCGGCCATGAGTCTCGAAGAGAATTCTATAAGTCGTTCATGTCTAGCAATGTATCCTTCTTGGACCCTTGCTACGCGTATCGAATGGAACTGGAAGGAGAGTCCGACGAGCAGTTCGCTGGGCGCCTTGCCCGCCAGTTCGAGGATGAGATCCTGCGTGTAGGTCCTGACCGCGTGGCTGGATTCGTCGCTGAAACTGTCAGCGGCACGACGCTGGGTTGTCTGCCTGCCGTGTCGGGATACTGGAAAGCCATTCGAGATATTTGCGACAAGTATGACATCTTGTTAATCCTGGATGAAATCATTTGCGGTATGGGCAAGACCGGCACGATGCATGCATGGGAGCAAGAAGGAATTCGCGGTCCTGATATTCAGACCATTGGCAAAGCGCTTGGGGCCGGCTTCGTTCCTCTTTCTGGTGTACTGCTTCACCACAGAATATTTGACGCGTTGTCTGCTGGCTCGGGCAAACTAGCCCACGGCCATACGTTCCAGGTATCTCTCATCCAATAATTTGCACCTAACCCCGTTATTAATCATGGTCAGGCTCATCCCCTCGCTTGTGCCGCTGCCGTTGCGACTCAAAAGATCATTAAGCGCGACAACCTAATCGAACGAACCGCACAGATGGGACAGAAACTCGAAGCACTGCTGCGAAGAGAGATCTGGCCTCTTCCTCTGGTCGGCGACATCCGAGGTCGCGGTCTATTCTGGGCTGTGGAGTTCGTTTTGGATAAGGAGCTGAAGACAACGTTCCCGCCGAAGATCGACTTCTGTACTCAGGTTGTCAGACACAGCTTGGAGTCAGGCTTGAATATTCTGGGAAATTTGGGTCATACCGGCGAATACCAGGTCGATCACATCCTTGTCTGCCCGCCGTATATTGTAACAGAGAGCGAGCTCGAGGAGATCATCTCCCTTCTCAAGGCGGCCATTGTGAAGACGAGCCAGCCTTTTGTCCAGACTGCGCAGGCCAACGGGCACACGAATGGACAAGCAATTGGGTCTACAAACGGAGTGCATACAAATGGGGTTCCTGCCAATGGAGTGGCTTGCTCGAGATAAAACAGCTTGAATACTTGAAGTAGTAATAATGATGACAACCTGGAAGTGGTGATGATAGATTTGTGGCGTCATGTAACAGTGTCTCAGCTCCTTGTGCCGTTCTTTCTGTGGATCTTGGATCTCAACGTGGCATCCAGCTCGCCTCCCCCGCACCGAGTTGGAGTAGATAACACTTGCAGCTCCGGGACCATGTTCAAATGCGGTTTGGCCCGTGATAGCAAAGTCAAATTAATTACGAGGGCCATATCATGGCTCCATCCGTGCTAGGCCCTCGCGGCGCCGGGTGACTGCCCAGCAGCAAATCTCCCACTGCCTTCTCCCCTGACAAGCTGACAAGCTCATGGCAGCTCACACGAAATGCCTCCTCACCAGTCAAACTCGAGCGCGTTACCAGCTGGTCGGACAGGTCATGCTTGTGTACAGTGCAGGCATAGGTATGATTCAATTTTCTACAATCAGCTTCCGGATTACTTGCGGCATCGCCGACGGCATTGCCGATGCAACTACTCCAGGCTTGTGTATGTCTTCTAACAAGCTCTAGGAAGCAAAAGTGCGGAGGCTTCACGTACGACATTAAGTGCCGCCCATGTATTACCCGTGGAGTCAAATGCAGCTTCCAGGAAGAGGTCAAGGACCTGCGCTACAATCCCTATCTTCGCCTCAGACCGTCCCGCTCATCTCCAATCAGCGCGGATTCAGTGCGTCCTGACAATGACGCCCTGCCTGTACCTGCGTCTTCAGCTGCCATTTCACCCACTCTGGCAGCGCTTGGCCATGGAGATGCACAGCCGCTATCGCCCGCTCTACTGGCGCCAAACCACGCTGCGCCAGCAGACGAAGCGCTACCGAATCAGATTGATTCTTTGAAGTCCCGGTTCGTCCTCGTCCCGAACTTGCAGATCGACTTTGCGTTAACAGTACCTAGCATTGTCGATCTCGAAAGCCGCCTCGTCGCTGCCCAGAGTGGACACGCTGACTACATTCACACCCCTTCTCAGTCCCGAGTGGAGACCTCGTTCGTGCATCAATTCAAGGCCGGTCAGGCTCAGCCAAATCACCAATCGCCTATCATCTCGTGAGTGGCAGGGCTCTCTAGTTGCTAACACTTTCATCTCACTTTCATCTAACTCTTTCGGTAGTTTAGGCTCATTCTCCAACTCCAACTCTCACAGCCTGTCACCTCAAGGTGGTGTCAACACGGACGGCCCTCTCAAAGCCCTCAACAGTATTCAAACTCATGATCCAGTACAGTTCGAGGTACACGACCCTGTCACGCGGTCAGTATTGACAGAAGGAGAGGCACATGTGATATTTAGATTGTAAGTACCCCGCAATCAATTATGTCTTACGCTAACTGATGCAGATACTTCTCCAACTGCCACCCGAATGCTCCGTTCCTTGATGTCGAGCTCGATACCGATATCGATCGGGTCCGTTCGAGTAGTGTCCTGCTTTTCCTCGCCATTCTCTCCGTTGGTGGACGCTTCTGGAGTGCCTCTTCGAAGTGAGTATCCCGTAGTTCCATCCTATACTTGGCTGACAATATAGGACGTCATGTTGGCTTCACCCTCGATATACTGAGGTTGTCCGCCTTCTCGACGCTGAGGTAATGCGAGTTACATTGCGCCCTAACCATGACGATCAAAAGCTTGAAACAGTCCAAGCGCTCATGCTATGTGCTCACTGGATGCCTTTCGACCTTACCAATGTTCAAGAGCGTTATCGATCACGGTTCTCAGAGGCAGGTGCATGGCAATGCCTAGGTCTGGCAATCAGATGGGCGACGGCGTTGGCCTTGGAGCGAAGCTGTCATACGAGTTTCCTCAGCCCTGAAACCGTGACACGGGAAGATGTGCAGCGATTCCGGGCAATGTTGTATCTCGTGGAGAGCGACCACTAGTAAGGACATACGAAGCACATGCTTATTCTGATTGCTGACAATATCTAGCCTCGCATTGTCCGCTCGACGCCCGTCCTACCTCAATCCCAAACCGTTGCATAGCGTTTTATCGAACTTCCTCCGATGCAAGTACGTCCAGAGCACAGATATCCGACTGGCATCTCTGTTCAAAGTCGCGTACGGCGCTCATTTTACCGGATGTCGCCCGACAACCATCGAAAGTGTGGAAGCATTTGATAAAGATGTGCAGCTAATCGAGCGGCAATTCACCTCGAGTCAAAGTGGTCGATCAATGGATGGATTCAGCCAACACTTCCCCTTTACCTCGCTCCGGTGGTATCGGCTGTCGTATGCCTGTGCATTCCTCGATGCAGCGGATCCCGCTCAGCGATCAGGGAAGGCGTTAACATGGGCAATCGAATGGGCCAGCCAGATCCTCACACATCTTTCTAGACCTTCAGCCACGACAAATAACGGTGTCCCCAGCCCTATCCAGGTGCAGATGGAGCCAGATCCCAGTGTGATTGACATCATGTCCTATGCGATTGACCACTATTTCGTTGTCATTGCCTATGCCGCTTTCTTTCTGGTCAACAGCTGGCTGAGTAACCTGATCGACAGTGAGTCGCCCCTTCTTATATTTTCTATCGAGGTAGGTAGCTAACGGATACTCCGCAGTGAATCTTCGTCCAACCCGACAGCATTCAAATGGGACCCTCATCCAAGACGCAACGGACCCGTCCACTTCCCTACTCTTTCGCCTCGTCGATGTCGCAGCCCGCACCTTCGAAGCCGCCAGTCCTTTAGAAGGTCACCTTGCACGTCGCTACGCCCCGCTTTTGCATGGAATGGCAGATCTGATCATGTCCAGCAGCACCCAGGCCCAGATACAAACACATTTGCAAACCGTGGGCAACGCCAACGCTGTCATGCCGGACACCAATCTAGGCCCCGAATTTCAGAGCCATCATCTAGGGGACGATTTATGGGAGATGTGGCAGCAAGCGGGCCTAGAACCCATGATTTGGTCGAATATACTTGACGACAATCAACTAGGGCTCAGCTAACTCTCATGTTCTCATCCTCAACGACAATATTTCAACGAATCATCCGATAATAAACTAGAAGGAGAAGTGGCCTCCGCCAACCTAACCAAACTATCCCCTGCGCCTACCGCAGACGGCATGTCTCCCTCGAGATTTCCCACCAAGCCCCTCAAAAACATAATCAACCACTTCGCCTCGGTGCGGTACGGCCCACTCTCATACTGCGAGGCATTGCGCAGCATATGACCGACTCCCAGAAGCTGATGCACAGTTTGGCTACTCGCAGCTTTGGACATAAGCAGCGGCGCCCGCCTCACTTTTTTAAAACCCCTTCTGCGATGGCCATGGCTTCCCAAGCAGGAGTCTGGCAGTATAGAAGCGCCATGATGCTCACTAGCGTCTCGGTGCAAGTTATTTGCACCGACATATACATGCATGTAGAGGATGTGGGTCCGCCAAGGTGGATGAAATGATTTGAGGGTAAGATGACGGTATTATTTCGGCGCTAGTACCTAGGTACTAGCGCCCGAATCAATCCCAGGCAAGAACAAAGTACGACACAAACGACCCATTAGTCCGACACACAGACGTCGTTGCCCATATCACCGGGGGCCGCATTCCCACATACTCTATCCCAGGTCTGGGAAAAGCGCTTCAGAATCTCGAGCCCAAGCGCAAGTCAGACTTCGAAGACTGGTTCGACGAGCGGGGTCTCGACGCAGTCGTGTGGCGGTGCAACGGTGATGTAGGCAAAGCAGACGCAGATGACAACGAGGCTTCGGCCGCTGAAGCCTGGCGCAATGGAGTCCTTTACTCGAACGGCAAATGTGCGATTCGCCAGCTGGGTATACCAACGGTCAGCGTGCCGATGGGCATTATGGCCGACATTGGCATGCCTGTGAACCTCACTTTTGCGTCAAAGGCGTATGATGATTCCAGTTTGTTCCGGTATGTATACGCTTTTGAGAAGACAAGTCGATTGAGGAGAGTGCCTGGCCGGACTCCGCAGTTAGAGACGGATGCTATCTCTCTTTCTTCGTCTGGAGAGATTGGGTTGTTACCACCGGTACTGACGGTAGAGACGGCGATGGAAGGTGAAAAGGTTCGTATCTCAGGCACAATTGGAGAAGCAAGCGCGCTGCACGTGTACGTTGATGGCGAGGAGTTGAAAGAGGTGAAGATGGCAGACTGCCATTGGGAAGTGGCCTGACCTAAGGAGGCTCAAGAACTGGGAAAGGCAATGGTTGTCGTAGTAGCCACGGGCAAGAATGGAAGATCGAGTGGCAGGATGGTCTTTGTATGAAACTGCAAGACAAGAGATATCCATTGATAGAAATATATGACACTTAAAGCAGCGAGAACTCATTCAAAGCGGCACTGTGCTCCTACCGGAATAGGCACTATGTACATCTAGCCTGGATCACCCTGGTAGTGCAACCCTCTTCGAGTCAATATCAGAACTCATTAGTGCTCAATACCAGCTGTGTGACTTTACTGGCCTCCAACTCTGTCTCCATTTGTCAATCCAACTGACGTAAGAGACCGAGTCGAGCTCTTGCAGTTTGCTAAGCCTTCTGCTGCATGAGCAAGGATGACCATTGAAATGGATCAAGAACACCCGTGTACACCAATCAAGCAATTTATAACACGGGGAGCACTGACAGCTCTGCATTTACAGTCCAGGGATAGTATCACATGGCTCCCAATTACGGATATTATTTGTACTACTCCCCCCAGCGCCTGTCACGCACAGATCCGAGCTGACCTTCCCAGTCCGCGAACATAAATCTACATGGATCCTGCCCGCTCTTCTCTCCGGCAAGCAGTGCCATAACATTTATTAACTCCGATTATTGTTGAATTATAAATCTTAAGCCCTCAGGATGGCCCTCGGCACCCCCTACACCATCCCACCACCACCCCCGGCCTACGAACCCTACATTCCCTTACTTAACGTCTGCAACCTCATCTCAGGCCTATGCTGGGTAGCCTGCTACCTCGGACAGGCCCGTCATTCCATGACCCACCAGACATACATCATGCCTTTCTTCGCACAGGCCTCCAACCTGGCCTGGGAATTCGTCTACGGCGGCCTAATCTACCCCTCTCCACTCGCGATCGAGCGCCTCGTCTTCCTCTCCGGATTCGCCACAAACACTATCCTCCAGTACACGGCGATCCGGTACGGCCGAGCTGAGTGGGCTCATGCGCCGCTGGTTGCCAGGAACCTGGGAACGTTGTACACCGTGACGATTGCGGTATTTGTCTTGGGGAACCTGGCTGCTGCGCAGCAGTTCGGCCCGCATATTGCAAATTACTATATTGCGATTCTCGCGCAGCTGATAATCAGTGTGGGAAGCTTGGCGCAGCTATTGAATCGGGGTGCGACGAGAGGGTTTTCGTTGTGGTTGTGGTAGGTTTTTCAGGTTTCCCATCAGTATACTGCGTCCCATGATTTTCCTTCTTTGTGTCTAAACTTGCTAAGTCACGCCATTCACAGGACTTTCCGCCATATCGGATCAATCATCGCAGCGCCTTGCTTCTACATCCGCGCTGTGTACTGGCCCGAGGCTTTTGGGTACCTGATGGACCCCGTTATGCTTTGGATGGGAGGCATATCGTACCTAGCTGAGTTGGCTTATGGGGTGTTGTTTTGGCAGATTCAAAGAGAGGAGGCGGAGAGAGAGAGGCGCAAGACTAAGTAGGGATCTGTGGTCGAGACTAGGACTGCTAGGAATCAAGCGGTCATTCGTGAGTGTACGGAGGTCAGTAAGTTAATGGGGAGGATTGCCGTCACGGCTTGATAACCGGTCAGAACAAATTGAGAGATAGCGTGGCATCGAATATTGTATGGGCAGAGTCACTACACTACGCCAGTCGACTTCGACAGCACGACATTTAACCAGAATATATATTCCCTACTCAGCACTAAAATCAAGCACGCAAACCCCATCACCATCGACAATCCACGAAGATCAAGATCAGAGACCACGAGTTCCAGTTCAATTGAAACAAAAATCAAAGAAAGGGTAAAATCCACAAACAGGTTGTATAGCAAATGAATGAATCAGAGGTAATCAGACGATGCCGAAGTCTGCCTGGACCCTGGACATGAACCTCAATGACAAAAAACAACAAACATAACTCCAAAAAAAGTGCTCTTCCACGCACAGTACAACTAGAATGGAGCAAAGACAACTGTTCAATCAACAACCCGCTCAGTTTCAATCGCTAGACTATCCATGATAAAACAAGACAAGACGAGCCAGGTAGGTGTGAAGGTAGGATGTGTGATGTGTTCGATTAGGCACGCACGGTAGGTGGTAAGGATAAAGAGTGTGAGGAGCTGGCTCTTAGGCTGAGAAAGGAGAGAGAGAATGAGAGTCGTGGTCAAGTCTTCGAGATCGGAAACAGAAGGAAAAGGCGAGAGAGAAATAAAAAAAATATGAGTATAGTAGTCGGCATTTGCGTCGTTCGAGCCCGATTAAGGGGAATGCCGTTCTGGGAGGTACATGCTATACTAATGAATATTGGGAATAAGATCCAATAATATAGTAGACGGCAGATGAAGGCTTCGCGAGGTTGGAGGGTAGAGTCAGCCCGCCTATCGCGACAAATCTCATATCAGGATGCGCGAGTCCAAAAGTATTTGGTAACCCATGTTTTGCGGTGTGGCTCGCCAAAGGAAAGGGGGACTCGTTGCTCCGACGCAAGACAAGAACAGTTAACGCTTGCGCTTTTTGTTCTTGTCGACTACTGAAGCCGTCATGGGAACGGCGGGGATAATCGGTTCCGCATCGGCAGCGATGGGCATGCCGTCAAGCGTCTTCTTGACAGGGACGCCCATATGGCGGCCGTAGCGACCTTTGCGGCCGTTCCCTTCGTCCTCGCTGATGCAGCCTTCGATCCCAATTCCTGCATCCTTGCAACGTCCACAAGGACGCTGTCGGTCACATCCCTTCTTGCTCTTGCGGCAACGCTGGCAGCGTGGTTTCGTTGACAAGTCCTCTTCATCAGCTGCTAGCGGGTTTTGACCATTGACAGAAGCATTGGAGGTCTTTCGCTGAGGAGGGGGACCGGGCATCGGCGGAGGGAGGACAGATTTCTGGCTAGGGCCAGCAGGCGTGGACTTGACCTTGCGAATAACGCTTGAGGCAACCTTGACAGCAGGCTTGTTCTGGCGCAGTGGTGCTGATTTAGGCGGTCGTGGCTTGGAGGAGGTCGCACTCATGGACCGCGATGACTTGACCTTCTTTGGCTTCGGCATCGAGTCGTGGAAGGAGTCTTCCTCGGCCTCATTCTTAAGCATGCCATCCTCATAGTCTTCATGACGGTATTCATTATCCAGGTCGTCATAGCTAGCATCGGAACTGTCAAAGCTAGGGAGGATATCGTCCAGATGCTTGTGCATGTGCTTCGTTGCGCCTGGTGGAAGCATAGGGCTTGAGTCAACCCTCTGTTGGGGCCCCGCGGGGAGATCATCGTCATCCTCGCTAAAATCCTCACCGTCGCTCGTTGCGCCAGTGGAGGATGGGGCCTCGGCAGCACCACTAAAAGCATCATCAAGGGTCGAAGCGGACGTGCGGCCGTGGGAAAAGTTGGAAGCATCCCCTAGACGGATCAATTGCATCGCAACATCTTCATCAGAGATGCAGCTGGCAATAGTAGGGTCTGGTGTGGGAAGGATCCCCGGAGCACCATTCCGGCCAGCAGGGTTTGTGAATTGCCCTGACGATTGTAGATTTGTCCGATCACGAAGACGATGACCATGCTCAGGAACCATTGGGGTGGCATAGATGCCGTTCCGAGAAGGATTCGGCCCATAAATGTGTTCGCTGTGACCATAGCTCTGGGGCGATGGTAGAGGTTGTTGATAATGGTTGTATGGGCGGTGCATCGGCCGTGCGAATGGGGAGCCAACGCCTTCTTGGCCAACGGAGCGACGCTGTGGAGAGATGGAGGAAGTTGAGGTAGTAAGAGGAACCTGAGGAGGAACAAATAATGGGAGTTCCTGATGAAGGAAGGAAAGAGAAGATGGTCAGCAACGTCGTTAGTGAAAATAGCACTGCTCGACTCACGGAACTCTCAAATTTCGGTCGCTTGCGACGACCATCTTGGAGAATATTTTCCATGCTAATGTCTGAGCTGGCAAAATGCTGCTCACTTCGAGGCTTTCTAGAGCCTGAAACAGAGCCATAGCCATTATCGCTATCGCTATATCCAGCATCGTCATGGAGGCTGCCATGTGTGCTAGAGCCTCGACTCTTGATCGCTGGGCGAGAGGGCTGCTTGTGCTGAGAGGCACTACGACGGCTTCTCCCTGACGGCGAGACGCTGCGCTTGCGAGCGACTCGAGATGCCGGTCGAGATGGAGGCTGGCCATGCTCTGACTGTTGCATTGCCTGCATTGCTTGTGCCATTTGGAACGGCTCGCCTAGACTAGGACGCTTGCGAGTGTCAACTGGGTTGCCACCATAATAACGATCTCCATATCCCTCGGTGTATGCCGGCACAGGAATGACCCGCACATATACCGTCATATTGTTTCTTAGATTCTCATATCTCGCAATGAGGGTGATACCGTTTTCATCCTCGAAGCTGACGCCACTAGCGGCGCCATCGTAGATCCCGTAGAAGTTCTTCACTGTAGTTACGATAGAATCGGTAGTGTCGTGAGGGTAGATTTGCACCCGCATGGGAATGCGAGCTCGAACTTTGGGGTTCTCGTCGAGCAACAGCTCGAAGGCGACATTCTTTGGGGTCGTGGGGAAGGGCTCCTGGAGAAGGCGGCTGTCGGTGTAGGTAGGCGACGCTCCAGGAGAAACAAGCTGTTCGTACGGGACAGCCTGCATGATGGAAACGATCCCGCAAGAAGTGCTACCACAATGACACTACATGTATTATGGGATCAACCGGCTGTTCGCAGGGCGAGAGGAGGAGAGCGAGGAGAGTGGGGAGGGTCAAGGCAGAGGGAGGCGGCAGCAGGAGGGTATGGGCAATGTCCATCTAAACCTACCACAATAGGAAAAATAGAGAGGCCCAGTTGATAGATGGATCACCCGCGATTATTTTGATGGAACGATTGATGGGCGACGGTGGTGGGTGGGAGGAGGACGATGCAAGTCGCAACAGCCGAGAGCGACTGGGCCCGGAGAGAGGAAAAATGGGACAAGGACGACAACAACTAGAGAAAGGGTTCGCCAGCGTTAGTATTTTCAGATGCAAAGGGCTTCAATGGACAAAAAGGGTCATCAAGAAAGATGTCAAACAGGTTGTGAGATGTCGACTCCTGCCTGTCGGATCCTGATGGGGTGCAGAAGTTGCAGGTTGAGGGGGAAGAGGAAGAAACGATCCGAACTGTTCGGAAGAGGATGGAGAGCACCAGGGACGCACCTGTCAAGAACCTGAAGCCTCTTTTTAGAGTCGCACAGGCTCAGTAGATGTAGGAAGAGTGTAAAGAGACAGGCGATGGTAGCGAGGGAGGCAGTTCGACGGTGGTGGAAAGAGGAGGTGAGTCGATTCTACGAAGCGCTTGTTGGGCGATGTCAGCGGTGGCATCAACCATGCACACCCGAAGCGAGTCAAGGGACGAAAAGGGCACCAGCCGGCCAAAATCGAATATAGAGGATGAGAGGGGATAGAAAATAGCAACTAACCAAGTAGCAATCCGGGAAGAGGCGGCAACAGAGAAACAGGCGGCGGTGGTGAGGACGAAGCGGACGTTGGGTTGAGGAGGAAGAATGAATGAATGGAAGACCCGGTTTCACTTGCAAGCGAGAGAGAGCGTCACCCATATTGCAGTGGGCGACCCTCAATTGCCAGTCCCAACAACCACCACCACTTCTCCAGCTGTTTGCTAGAAGGTTTATTTCTATATGTTTACTTTCTGTACTCGTTTGACCGATTTGCGCCGGCCTCATCGTCGTCGCAAACTGCTAGTTTGCGACTGCTCCATTACCATATTGAATTTCAACCAAAGCAGAAAGTAGAGTACAAATCTCATTAAATGGGGTCAAATCCCACGAAATATCGATCGCCAATAATATCCCAACTGTCCGACCAGTTTATTGTTTATACATTCGAACTCGAGGTGCTGTAATTGAAGGTGTTCGAAGAGGTTCTGGCGCAAACCGACAACCGCTTGCACGCCCAGCGCTAACCATCGCCAGAATTCCTCTTCTTCCACTACCCGAACAATTTCAAAGGTACTCATTTAAATCAATGCTAATTCTGCAATATTCCGGTCGAATCAAGGGTAGTACCTGGCAATTCAGCCAAAGCGACGAACAGAAGCCCGCTAGATAGGTTCCCTAAGCGCAGCCACGTCGAATGACTCCCAAGTCATAGCTTGGCCAACGACTGGCGAGGAACCCTTGGAAGCGACTTCTACTAAGAAATTCCAAGTCGCCGAGGACATTAATCAAGTTGTCCTGTTGTGCGTATTGACATTTATTCTTGAAATTGATCGCTTGTTGGTGTGGATTAAATATATATTTGCCGGGATTCCTGACTACGGACAATCCGCAGCGCACAGCAGACTCATTCGAAGAGCAATGATTACTATCTCAATTCCTACCAGTATATGTCCATTTTATAGAGCCGACGACTAGAAGCCCGATCCAAGCGTAGATGAAACTTCGGCGCAGAACATAAATGCAACGACCGACTGGGCTCGGGGGGATTTTACAACTCAGCGATGTGAGACACAAAAGAAGAGGCGATAACCTTCCATGGACAGTGCATTTACTAACAATGGCTGCTGAACTGTCGAGGTGGGCGACAGCAGCACCCAATTGCTGTCTCTTCAGTGATCAGCGCTTGTCCAGACCACTGTCAGTCGCTTACCCCTCCTCGGTCACATATCGTGGAGAACCTGAGGATTTCCCTTCAGGCTCCGGACAGAGGAGGTCCGCTACTCCATGCGTGGGCAGTTATCGTCAGAGTTACGGTGGTCGAGCGATTTGCTGTTGCTTTACGATTACCAACCCTGCAAGACCCGTGCGACCTCGCCTTCTTCCAGAGGGTCCTCGCTCGGAGGACGAGTCGCTGCCGTTTGGCTCTGCGAGTATCGCAGTCCGCTCTTGATTTGAGTGGCACGGAGGCCGTTGCGAAAATGCGAAATGATCGTAGCGAAAAGATCCAAATCGGAGATAAAACAGTTGGCACTGACAATGCCGTTAGCCGGGTGGGGGAAATTGGAGGATGCGCATCTTCACAGCGAACCCGATTAGGTCTATATCTGTATCATATGTAATCGGCCTTGAGGCCATCCAACTGTGCAAGTGATTTCATTATTGCGCTGCTGTTGGCTGAGAAGATAGGCAAGGCGAAAAAAAGCAAATAATAGAGAGCGAGGATGCAAACGACAGGCTTTGGTTTCTCCTCTCTCCAGTCTCGTTCGGAACGAGGCGGGGCGTTTTTTTGGCAGTGGTGAGGACAGCGGGATTCGAGAGTTACTAGTTGAAGTGTACACCGAAAGTTTGGTGGCAGATCCTCTAGCCTGTTCAGCAGGCGCCGAGTGACCGAGTCGCATGCGACACCTGGATCACCTCCACACAATGGCTCTTTCTTGCTTCTCGAGCCTGGCGCAAGTGGTTATTGTGCGATCGCCCTACCCGTAGTGGGAGGTATATCCTATAGAATCCACAACAAGAGACTATGGCAACCTGTGTGGAGGCTGTTTCCTCAGGCGGGCATCTGAAAATGCGACGAAAGCGAGGTGGCTCATGATAGGTACCGCTGGATCCGCGTCCCACACTGGAGATCTTGTGGCTTTTTTGCGACGCTGGCCATGGCGCGGGTGCAAACGGAGCTTCTCTTCGCAGACCACCTCCTCGCAGACGCACTGCGATAGGGATTCAGAATAAAGCTCCAGCCATCCAGCTGTATCTGACATTCAAGCCTCCAGCGCCGATTTCTTAAGGATCATGCATGCTCGAGCTTCCGCAAGGGCCCTTCACGGGCGTGCAGTTTTCGCCTTCCAAGCTTCAGACAACAGCAGATTATCGGCTCTAGTTCGCCGCTGCGGCTGGGAATCTGCAGGTGTAACTCCGCACTTTTTCAAGTCGCAGGCGCTGAACAAGAGATGGATGTCGATAGCCTGTGCTGGAATTGTAGCGGGGGGATTGAAGATCACGTGAGTTCGCGTTAAGTGGTTTCTGTCCTCGTGCTCCGTCGCGTCGAGGGTCGATTGAGAGATGCTTTACTCCGATGCACCACAAACGGAAGATTCAAATTATCTTGTGCAATATATCTTGTCGCCTTAGTCCTGTCGGCAAACTGGACTAATCTCCCCGATTTTAGACGTGGCTGGTGGGAGGTTATATCGCTGCGGGCTGATATGCGATGCTGAGAGAAGACGCGTAGCGGTGATGTCATTAGCAGGGACAAAGCAAACAGAGCAAACATGGCTGACTAAGAATTAAGGTTTGTCCCGGAAAGGGCTTAGCGCACCCGCTTGTTGACGATGTCCCAAAAAGGAAGGTGCTGCTTTGAGTAATGCGGTTCCCCCGGCAGAGCGCAAGATCCCTAGGCAATCCCTTTGTTTTCCAGCCCGCCTGGATCGCTCAGTCCTATTTCTTTCCTTTTTCCTCCTGCCGGGCTCATGGGGTTGTTTTTCTGCTCCTCTCTCCATTAATATTCTTCTGTCCCGCGCGTGGTGAGACCGAATCTTGCTCTGAGGCTGTTGGTTGTCTGGTGCTTTGTTCTCGGACTTGGCGCGGCTTTCGTTGTTTGTTTGGGGTGGGCTTTGGCTCTGGAGTAGTATCAGCTCCTCTTCAAAGCTTCTTCTCGACAACTCCTCCCACCCAGCGTCCCAGGACGTAAACATTCCTTCGCTTCACGTTGTGAAGGCCTCAAAGTCATTTCTTGCTTCGCAATGGATGCAAAGGTGGGTTTGATTTTCTTCTCTTTGCCCACCTGCCATGCCATTCTGATCTACTTGACCATGGCACGCGCTTCTTGGCTTCGCTTTCCGACAGACTCTCTTGTCCTCTATATACTTTTTATGTTCTGACACTGACCTGATTTCTTTGATTACAGCCTCATCGCATTCGTGTCCGTGGGGACGAGAATGCTCCGTTTCCGCTTGCCGCGAACAAGTCAATCCACCAGCGGAACAAGTCCACTACCGCGCTGTCCTCGGCTTTTCAGAATGGTGCCAACAAAAACGGACCTCGTAGGACCGCTTTTGGAGACGTCAGCAATACCACAAACCTAGCTCATGGCAACCGCGACGATGCCTCTCTCGCTGGCAAGAAAACGCTCAAGGTGCTGGAGAAGGCGGCTTTGGTCGCAGAGAAGAAACCCGCTGCACTTTCACAGCCAGCCCAGCGACCGGTATCCATGTCCGGCTTGAAGGGTTTGCTTAACAACGCGACCAATCCCAAGCAGCTTGAGATTTCCAAGCAGCCAGCTGGACAGCAGCAGAGTGCCAACACCCGCAAAACTCTAAACAAGCGGGCCCCGGTCTTCAAAGACCACCTAGAACCATTGTCGGAAAAAAGAGAACTCGCGAGAAAGGAATCTAACCCCGAGTCAAAGGAAGGCAACAACAAGGGCAACCCCAGAATAACCTCTACGGAGACTGCGCAACAGGACAACGTGAAGAAGGAACCTGTCCTTCCAAACGACCTCTCAGAAAGCCAACTAAGTGACGAAGCTTCATTGGTCAAGTCTGAGGCTGACGATGGAGAGAAAGACACCTCGGAGCTTGAAGATGATGATTGCAAAGTACAAATTGTGACCGGAAAATCTCGTGCAATCAATGCTGCACCTGATGTGAAAGTCAATACGAAGATCTCCCGCAGGTCCGCCACTGCGTCCCGCGCCTCACATGACTCCTTGCCTCATCAATCCGAACCCGAGGAGTACTGGGACGATGAGGATGAAGAGAATGATGAAGAGAATGATGAGGACGATGGATATATTACAGCACGCTCTTACCGCTCTCGGAGTGAGAACACCACAGGAGGAGCGACTACGCTGCTATTCCCCAGATACAACCAGCAAGTGAAACGCGAATTGGCCTTTGCGAAACAGGTCGTAGAGTCTACTCGTACTGTGGAAGACATTGAGGATGATTACTGTGACACGAGCATGGTCGCTGAATATAGCGAGGAAATCTTTGAGTACATGAGGGAACAAGAGGTCTGTTATACGTGTTGAAGAGAATGTTTTGAGATCGATCTAACATTCCACAGATCAAAATGCTTCCGAACGCGCATTACATGGACAACCAGGCTGAGATTCAATGGTCCATGCGGTCTGTCCTCATGGACTGGCTTGTGCAGGTCCACCATCGATTCTCATTGCTTCCTGAGACTCTCTTCCTGTGTGTCAACTATATTGACCGTTTTCTCTCGTGCAAGATCGTGTCACTTGGGAAGCTGCAGCTTGTAGGCGCGACTGCTATTTTCATTGCTGCTAAATACGAGGAGATCAATTGCCCATCGGTGCAGGAGATCGTTTATATGGTCGATGGAGGTTACTCGGTCGATGAGATCCTCAAAGCCGAACGGTTTATGTTAAGCATGCTTCAGTTTGAATTGGGTTGGCCTGGGCCCATGAGCTTCCTGCGCAGAATCAGCAAAGCTGACGACTATGATCTCGAAACTCGCACACTTGCCAAGTACTTCTTGGAAATTACCATCATGGACGAGCGCTTCGTTGGTAGCCCTGCTAGCTTCCTTGCTGCGGGAGCTCATTGCCTTGCGAGGCTGATGCTGAGGAAGGGCAACTGGGTAAGATCTTAGACGCTTTCTTTAGTACACGTAACTGATTTTTTAGTCTCCTGCTCACGTGCACTATGCTGGGTATACATATTCTCAGCTTTACCCCCTCATTTCCCTCATGTTGGAGTGCTGCGAGATGCCACGCAAACATCATTCGGCTATCTATGAGAAGTATACGGACAAGCGATTCAAGCTTGCCTCCATTTTCGTTGAAGCTGAAACGAAAAAGAATTTTCGGCTTCCTGAGCCCACCAAAGACAGCTCGGGTGTTGACCGCAGACTGATGTTGGAGTCGGCACTTTGGAAGCGAGCATAATCACTTACGACTATTCTTGTTTCTGCTGTCCATCATTTCCTTTTCCTTTGTCTGTTCCTTTCCTCTTGTCGACTTCGCCTTGTATCTCTAAGGTACATCGCCTATGCACTTTTCCTTTGTTGCAACAGAATAACCTTCGAGGGTCTAAGATGCCGCCGTGGTTGTTGAAGAAACAGCCACTTTCTGCAACCATCTATGCCTCTATGGAAATATGCGATGAGAGCGCTGGGCGTTGAGAGCATATTATTCTCTTTTCAATTGAGAAAAAAAAAAAAAAAAAAAAACCAAAATCGTGGGAGAAAACGGGTGCGAACTGACCGGCCAGACTTGAAAAGGTTTGACAGAGCGTCGCATCCTCACTTTCTCACCTTCTACGCCCCTGACGACCGGTGAATTTTTCTTCATGACTCTTATGCATTTGGTATTTAGACGGGTGGTGGTATTAATGGCAATCGGGTACTGAGCGGGTGGAGTTCTTTTCCTTTTTATTTCTGCATTACTTTGATGAGTTCAGATGAGCCAGACTCGAGGCGTTACGAGTCCACGATTCTACTAGTCATCGATGATGTTCTCGATCTCGTGATGGGTAGGACCGCCTTCTATTCCCTATGTTTGTTTTGGGATTCGGTCTCTTCTCATCTCCCATGGGTTACTGCTCAGGTTATGGCGCCAAGTAATGATATTGGATCTTTCTTATTCTCCACTGTGAATCCTGCTTGCATAACCGTAGGGCAACCGTAGTTTCCGAGACCTTCCTACTCTAAATGACCCTAGCATTGCATTGTCTCACATTTCGAAGACAAATCGTTTACCCAAAACAATCTATGAACCTCTAATCTCAATGTATCCGGAACCATTCTAAACCAAGTCCAACCAGAAAAACCAGACCAAAAAGCAACTCATTGATCCAAACCATTGAATTCAATCAACTTCTTCACAACGTCAATCACCTGCTCCGCGATGCCTCCACTCTTCTCACCTTTGTTGCCCGAGGGAGACGAAGAAACAGCCTGAAGATATGAAGCAGGGTTATCGATCCTCGCCGCGATGATTTCGTCGACCATCAGGCGCAGCCGGGAAACTAGTACACCGATGCGTGCCCATCCCCGTAGTCGCAGCCAGCCGTCGACGATCAGGCCGCGGCCTGCTGTATCGAGGTCGATGGAGCCGCAGAAGAGTAGGAGGGAGTAGGCGTTGAATGCTGTTGACTTGGATTAGGTGGGTTATTTATAGAGTAGGGTAGATTCGGTGTATGTGAAGAGGTGAGAGAAACTTACGGGTCAAATCTCGAATGAACACCTTTGACGTTTCCATCTTGGTGAAGTAGCTCATGTAAGCGGCTGAATTGGGGTAGGCTTGAGCAGAAAATAGTAGCGAGGATGGGTGGATAAAGACGCGGCCGTTTTCCTGGTTGAAGTACTTGATGGTGCGGGCGTCAGGATCGACCTCGACGGTTCCGGTGATTGAGGACTGGAATTTCTTATCTGGGAAAGCGATGCGCGCGATTTGAGGTTGGAAGGCGCCAGCAATCAAGGCGCGGAGGAGCGGGCGGTTTGTGGCATTGCGATTGAGGCGGGTGAAGGAGGATGATGAGTCAGAGTAGTCGACGGGGATGATAGCGGCGTCCTTGAGGGAAGTGAGAAACTGAGCTCTGTTTGAGGAGATATCGCGGAGGGTTTGATGAGAAAGGAAGTGGGCGTTGCACCATGACTGCGTGGACCAGTAGCCCTGGGCCTTGACGAGGTCGGACCACTCTTGGAAGGCTGCCAGGTCTGTTAACAGGTCACCATCGCCCTTGGAGAAGGAGGCTCGGGCAGCGTTTGCCTCTTCTCGTCTCTCGCGCGGAGAAACAAAAGGTGATTTGACAGTGAGGATGGCGGCAATGGTGATACAGGCGTCGATGCAGTTGAAGATGGAGCCGTAGACCATCAATTTTGCGCAGCGCAGGTCGGCCGGGATCATGGAGAGGTATCGACCCAGGGCCGTGAGCTTGTCGTGGTCAAGGGCTCCGACGCGGTGAAGGAAGTTAAGGGCGCCTTCAACTGCAATGCTTTCTGGGGGAGTGATAGTGTTTGCTAAGAAGGAGGCAACGTCGTCGATGCCCTGCATAGAGCGCACAGAGAGACAGAGCTGTTCTAGGGGAACACGCCGAATTTCGGGATCTGGTCGCTGCGGCATGCTTGCCTCTGCTTTGCGCGTGTACAGCTTGTAGCACGTACCGGCCCTGACACGACCTGCTCGTCCCCGCCGTTGCTTACAAGCTGCCTGTGATGCCCATACCTCTTGTAGTCGAACCATGTTGTCTTTCGGATCGTAACTAGTTTCCTTGACACGGCCTGTGTCAATGACGGCGACGATGTCCTCAATCGTAATTGAGGTTTCGGCAACGTTGGTGGCTGCGATAACCTTTCTCTTCCCCTTTGGAGCGCTTAGGAAGACTCGTCGCTGCTCGGCGGGAAGGAGGGATGCATGGAGAGGTAGTGCATGGGTGTTGGGAATTCTCCTCACGGCAGCCAAGCAGCGATCGATCTCCATGGTTCCCGGCAAGAAGATCAGGATTCCGCCTGGCTGATCCTGTAGTATTGCGTCAATATACCGCACAGTGGCAGCGATTAATTCGTAGTTGATGCCCATCCCAATGGAACGGAGGATCTTGCCAAATGACTCCTCAGCCGCTGGAGACGGAGCCATGTCCTCTTCAAATCCTCGCTCGGTGAGTTCTGGCACAAATCCAGTATCGCGGACTACATCATCCAAATAGTAATCGTCCACGGGGTATGTCCGTCCAGGAATGTTGACAAGTCCTACAGACTGCCGGCCTCCGAAGTATTTTGTGAAAATATCGGCATCAAGCGTAGCACTCATCAATATCACCTTGAGGTCTTTGCGATGGCGCAAAATGTCTCTCAAGAGGGCCAGGAGGAAGTCTGTATCGAGGCTACGCTCGTGGACTTCGTCGACCACCACATGAGTGACATCAGAAAGAGAGCCTGCGATATCCCCAGTGCCACTGCCTGCTTGTATCCGGCGAAGCAACACACCGGTTGTGACAAATGTGATTTTTGTCGCTCCAGGTTTGACTTTCGATTCGCCTCTGATGATGTATCCAACCTCATCACCGACTGATGAGCATCGTTCGTCGCTTACTCGATCTGCTAATCCCAGCGCAGAGATCCTTCGAGGTTGGGTACAGATGATATTTGCCGCTGCCCCAAGTCCTTTCTTGATCATATCATCGAGCACAAACTGGACTGATTGTGTACTCTTACCGCTACCCGTCTCTCCAGAGATGATCGTGACCTGATATGTATTCACAGCATGTACGATTGCATCTTGCGTATTCCACGCAGGTAGAGATTCCCGCTGTTGAAGCATGGACAATTGAGGCTTGGTCAACTGTTTTGCCTCCCAAGCCTCCTTGATGACAAGACTCTTGGATGATCCTGCTGACCAGTCAGTCCCCCTTGTATTCTTGTGGCGCTGTCGCGTGGGAAGTTCGAGGGTAGATTCGGAGGTGTCTAGGGGCGATGATATCGTTGAAATATCTCGCAATTTCCCGGGGTCTTGTATGATCTCTGGTAAGTGAGTCTCCAACCAGTCGATTATATTGTAGATCATTTGTTCCCCCAAAAAATTCTCCTCGGCGAATTGAATGGCCCGGCGAATGGCACTGAGACGGATGTAAGCAGGAATGTTCTCCGCTTGAATGAAGACGATTGGGACCGAGGACGGATAGTGCCTTGACGGTCTCTGAAACCGAAGGCGCATTGATTCTGCAATGTTAGAAGGCTCGCATTGGATTTCGCAAACTTTTGCCGATACTGCAGTATATCGTTCGCCAAAGATTGCTTCCAGCGTTTCCTGCTCTTCTTGCCAGAGATCCTCGCCCTCTGGGGATTCAATGCTGCTGGAGGTAGTTCCATGGACAAGAGTACTCTGAAGAAACTCAGCTGCAGCAAATTCATCGCCCTTCTTACTATCCAGCGTCCGTGCACACAGCTCTGCTGGGTAACCGGTCGATGCAAGGCGTTTGATTTTGGCTTCCCTTGCGAGATCATCGCTGACCAGAGTTACACCCACCGAGTACCTCTCAGGCAAACACCAGGGTGGCAGGTCGTCTTCTGGTACATAAATAAGCAGCCACTCAAGAACCTCCTCGCGGTCTTTACATGCAGCGCTAGCCTCCTCGATGTGGCTCTTCCTAAACCCTAACGCGGTGAATTCTTCGACGAGAGCCTCGCGCTCGGACTCGGGAATCTTCACACCATAGGGATTCCATAGCGCGTGTTCCTGCACCAGTGTCTCGATGTCACGACGAATCCTGTTCCCCAAGTCCACTTTGGGAGCGCTCGACCAGGCCTTGGTTCCTTTACTCTGGCTACTGGGTCCGAGGCCCAGATTCGCTGCAGAGTCATTTGGTTTCGCCTGCGCTAGCTCACGGTCCCTTTGTTGTTTCTTCTCTAGATCAGCAGCTGCACTGTCTCTTTCTCTCTTAGCGAGAAAAGGGTCCGCTTCGTATAACCAGCCATCGCCTTTCTTCAGATCCGCGGCCTTCAGCTTCTCAAAGTCCTCTTTCCAGAGCTTCTTAAAGGTCGGCGGAAGCATCATATGTAGGTTTGTCTTGTTGCATACGTGGAATAAAGCCCATGTCGCAGCATAATGGCGAGCTTCGAGCGCTGTGGGCTGCTTGAATCCAGCCGGCAATCTCAGGGTAGGTAGTGTAGTGGTTTCTCTTGTCTTTGGGTCAACGCGGCGCAATATGACAGAAGCGACAAAGCCTCCTCCGATTTTATCCTAATGAGCATAATCCATCAGTAGGTGGTTAATCTCACAGCAACCGCAAACCGCTCACCATGGTATACTCCGGTTTCTCCCACTTATGCTTCTGACAATGCTCCGACATCATATTAACGGGTAATTTCCCTGTCCATGATGCGCCACCAATAACTTGCTTGACCGAAGGCTTCTTCTGCTCATCCGCTGGCTGTTGCGCAGCTTTCTTTGCATTCTCCGCGGTCTTCTCGGCGGCGGCTTTCGCCTGCTTTGTGCCAGGCTTCGGCACGCCTCCACGGGCGTCGGTCTTCTTCTTGGGCGGCATTTCGAGGCGTTGATAATGATCTTAATGACGCCCGTCGAGAGAACCTAGCGCTCATAGGGTTTATGAGGCGCTGGTGTTGATGTTGGATCTCGGGCGATCTTTCCAGCTTGGGTCCCCGCCTCAGGCCGCATTTTTTGTTCGTGCGCGGCGGGTTCGCGGGGAAGTAACAGCGCCTCCGTTGTCCTTCCATGAACCATCGCTCGCGCGCGCCCTATACCGTGTACGGACCCCGACATATCAACATGGACATCGAGCAGGCGCCTCGGAACCTGAACAACACTACACAGCCGAATATCGAATGAAAATAATGGAGGACAACGGCGATGCGGGCACTGCGCCTTCGGACCTAGCAACCCCGAAGCAACCAGCGAAGAGAGACGCCTGTCTGTACCCACCCGTTTCTATGTTGTACACTGTACGCTTGAGGATCGCAAGATATAGCTAACTAAAATGGTTCTCTTGTCTAGTCGCTGAGCTCCTCTCCCCTAAAAACAAACAACCAAAACACGAAAAGCAAAGCCTCGTAAAGGACATTCAGAAGAAAGCCTACGGGACCTTCCGTCCCCGAGATGCTCTCGGCGCGTACATTGCGAAACCAGAGACATATCCACCTAATGTAGTGGTATACCACAATGCGGACTTTGTCGTCATTCACGACCTTTTCCCTAAATCTACGCTGCACCTCCTTCTCCTTCCGCGCGACGCAACGAAAACGCTTGTCCATCCCATTGAGGCGTTCGACGACCCAGAGTTTCTTGCAAAAGTGAAAGGGGAAGCGAAGAAGGTCTGCGCTCTGGCTGCGGGGGAACTCCGGCGGAAATACGGGAAATACTCGTTGCGTGACAGGGAAAGGGAAAAAGCGCTCGATGCGGATCCGCCGCCGGAGAGTCTGCCTGCTGGGAGAGACTGGGGTAAAGAGATCATGTGCGGCATCCATGCGCATCCGTCCATGACGCATTTGCACGTTCATATCATCTCAGTGGATCGATATAGCGATCGGCTGAAGCACAGGAAGCATTATAATAGCTTTTCCACGCCGTTTTTTGTCGATATCGACGACTTCCCTCTGGCTGTGGATGACCCACGGAGGGACCCGGATCGGCAAGGTTATTTGCGGAAGAATTTCATCTGTTGGCGTTGCGGCCGGGACTTTGGGAATCAGTTTACCCATTTGAAGAAGCACCTCGAGGAAGAGTTCAATGAGTGGAAACGACTGTGACGTTGCGGCAATATGTGATTACGAACACGATCCTCTCCACTAAAGGAGAGGGCTGTCATCCTGAGCTCTATAGGCCGACTCTGCAAAAGGCAGAAAGTGACCGCCTGTATTCCAAACGCAACTGTTAAAAAAGCAGAGCTCTAATGCTACCGAGTTCAATGTTTGTAAATATACACGTAGAGAATCCAAGGTGGCGGAACTGTAACCGATTACATTCTCAGCAATCCTGTGCTCAATTCTGCGAACCTCAGATCGCTCAAAACGATACGGTGCTCAAAGCTTCCGATATCATATGCGAACCTTCCCATTCAATGGTCCTCACCGAAGGACTTTCTTTCGCAAGCGACAGGTCAAAATTTACCCATCTAGGCACGGCTCTTGGATCGGGTGGTGCCCTTGACCTTCCTAGCCTCAGGGCGGTTAATGTGGTGGGCTGGGATCCAGTCGGCGTTGTAGGTCGTGGCGGAGGAAACAGCGGGACTCTCAACAGGGACTTCAGCCTTCTTGGCTGCGCCGGAGGTCTTCTTTGAGGCCTCAACAGCCTTGGCAGTCTTGCGCTTCTGGGGGAAGTAAGGTGCGACCCAGACGGTGTAGAAGAAGTAAACAACACCACCGAAGCAAGTAAGAAGGAAGAAGTAAAGGAAGATACTAAGGGTATGAGGTTAGTCTGATACTGGTTAGATGAGTGCACCGTTCTTACATTTGAGGGTCAAAGATGCTTGTTTCCGGCTCAACCACGCTAACGGTACCGTTGTAGGCGTACACGGTGAAGAAGCGACCCTCATTATCAGAGATAACCGAAGCGAGAGATAGTCTAAGGTCCTGGGGGTGCATCTCGGTGGCAAAGCTGTAGCTCAGACTTTCCTTCTCACCAGCAGGGATTTCCACGCTGTAGCGAGTTGCAGTCAAGTTGCGAACAAGCTTGCTTTCCTCATCCAGAGTAGACAGAGTGCCACCAATAAAGTTGACGGTCACAGGAGAGGCTTCATTGTTGGTAAAAGTCACCAAGGCCTGAGTAGGGTGGCCATTGACGAGCTTCACGCCGAAGATCTCAGAGGCAGGGAAGGCAGCCTGCGCAGCTACAGCCAGGCTTGGGGCCTCAAAAGCTTCTTCGACCTTCTCCGCGGCATCCTGGATTTGTTCATATCCACGTTAGAGGCCCAATTGAGGTCATTGAAAGGAAGAGTATAAGCTATAGATTGAACGTACAGCTGCCAGAGTGCCACCGATCAAGGCCTGAACGGAGAGAAGGGCTAGGGAGAGGAACGAGAAGCGAGCCATTGGGACGAAATAACCGGATCCTCAAAGATCACGGGAAGGCGAAAACCGAAAGGACAAGGGAGAAAGAAGAGAAAGTGAGGGGGTGAAGATGAACAACGGGGGTGGAAAAGTGAGGAAGCCGAATGCTCCACGTTGGCGTTTCCGTGATTCTTCGATTTCCCCAGGCCCCGCTGACTCAGCCGCAGGTCTCCGTCGCGCCTTCCGCAATCGATAAGCGCAAGTTTCGCAGAAAAAGGAGTCCAGAGCAAGAACAAAAAGCCGCCTTTATTGAGCTATATTTATCCAGCCGGCGGGGCACAGAAGCCATTGTAGGTTGGGACTGACGGTGCAATCGACTTTACAGTGAAGCCGCGTGTGACCAATCTGACGACTTGTCGTCTCCCATCGACCATATAAGCGCCTTCTCGATTCCCGAATCTTGGATGCTTCATCTTCCTCCCAGATCTTCTCTAAATGATCCTGATCCTCCCCATATAGTCGTCTTATAACTTCTTGCCATCATGACGGCACGCGCTTTCTTCGATCGCTATCAACAGCTGACTTCCATAGAACAGAAGAAAGACACTCTAATTGAGGTATCTTCTCAGCATGGCCTTTGCCCAACCCCTGGGCCTACTCGTGTTAACGCTAGACCTATCTGCTAGGAACTTATACAACGAGTGACCGAGCTTGAGGGCGTGTACCGTCAAGAACAGCTCGACCATGAACGCGAAAAGCGCTTTAATCGTGACATACAGATCCATGAGATGGAGTTGATGGAACAGATTTCGCGCATGAAAGCTATAATGGTATATACTTCTCTATCCCTCCTTTCTGATGTATGACTTGATAAACTCTACTGACAGTTCTTTTTCCTTGTGATAGAATCGTGAACCCTTTATTGTCGTACTCCTCGATGGCGACGGGATGATCTTCCATGATGAGTTACTACAAATGGGAGAAGACGGCGGCCGAAAAGCGGCAAAAGAGCTATACTCATCAGTCGAAGCCTATGTCGACGAGAATTTTCCGAGTATAATTTCTCCCAAGATAATCACCAAGCTATATGTCAACATGAAAGGACTGTGCGACTCGTGTGTCCGCGGCGGAATCACGACAGATCCCTCTATACTTGATGACTTTGCGCGCGGCTTCAATAGTAGCTATCCACTATTCGACCTTGTGGACGTTGGAAGCGGGAAAGATGCCGCACATGATAAGATAAAAGGTAGGCAATGCAGCTGCAGAATAATGTGTGAAAGCTTGCGCTGACTGGTTGTCGGCAGAAACTTTCAAGCTACATCTGTACAACTGCCACTGCCACCAAATTTTCCTGGGGTGTTCGGATGAATCCCCATATAGCCAGACGTTGGAAGATACCCTGGCGGACTTGGAACTCTTAGGGAGAGTCTCTTTGATTGAAGGGATTCCATTCGGAAAGAATCTGGACCCGTTAAAAGCCCACTATAGGTTCACTAGATTTCCCAGTCTATTCCGAGAATCGAAAATCACGCCTGTCTGGACCCCATGGAAGGCCGCCGTGGCTACAAAGCCTCGCTCACTCCTGACGCCCTCACCAAATCCTCAGGCAGCACCGCTATCTCGAACATCCAGCAATATTACCACTGCAAGTAACAGCGCGCCTATAACAACGCCAGCAAGCTCTCACAGTGGTGATGATTTTCAACTGGTGCGTTCGAAACCTACCTCCTCCTCGCGCCCTAAAATCGTGGAACGAAATAAGTACGGTCAACGTGTAGATCGCCTTGACATTCAAAGCATCCCGCGAGAAGAGGTGAATCGCATTAAGAAGCTGAAGCTATGCAATTATCTGTTTCTGCAAGGCGAATGTCCCAATGAGAATTGCCACCACGATCATTCTCGCAAACTAACAAAGAGTGAGCTTCAAACATTGACAGCTGTTGCCCGGATGACTCCATGTCGCTACGGACTTGAATGCGATGACCCCGAGTGTATGTACGGACATCGTTGTCCTCAAAGTGAGCCTGGAAGAAAGGACTGCTACTGGGGCTCCAGTTGCCGATTTAATACAGCAGCTCACGGTATCGACACCAATATCGTCAAGGTGACCAAGGTCTAGATATTGTCTTCATCTTCAGTCTTTCCCCTTGAAACAGGGCCTGTAACATTATGGCATCGAGGGCGTTCTAAAAAGATATATTCGGTATCATCTTTGGCGATGTGCAGCTGTTGCACTATTGGTCGCACGGTGTTCCTTCAAAGTGGTTTCTCTAGCTCAAAAGCTATGCATTATGATCATATTCTACAGTTATCACCAAGGTACCGCATTCAATGCGCACCCAAAGCGGCGGGCATATTCTTCTATTCTAGTCAAACCTTCTACTAGAAGTTTAATGAATTGTCGTCTTGACGAGTCCCAATCTTCTCTCCCATCCAAAACAATCCCCATTAGCACAGGCCCTTGAATCCTCATAGACACGTAGCGGTTTAGAATCACGCTTATGGCTGCAGACAATGCCGTATTCCCTTATACAGCAGTTGAAAGGCTTTGAGTCGAGGAAGCTTAAATCCGGAAATTTCGAGCCCCCTTCCAGAGCTTCCGTTTTGATCTCATGGAGATTACCCCATAAAGTGAACAGCGTTTCTCTCAAATCATGTAACCTTGTTGGGTGTGAGCGGAGACTGTAGCAAGTGTTAGAAATCCATACTAGTGAAGTCTTTCGGAATTAAATCAGGATTTGACTCACTCAGCCGCATCCAGTTGGAGCAGGTACACAGCATCTGTGTCCGAGACGAAAAGTTTGGTACGCGCTTTCGGCTGTCCGGGTGCAGGGGGCGAGACATCCTCAACGAGAAGACAGAACCGCCATTCCCATTTCTTAATGGTTCGCGCGCCAGCGGGATCTCGTTCCTCGTCGTATCCGAGCGAACGCTGTTCCTGGGGCACGGCGAAGTCTTCTAGACGATGTGGATAATGATCAACCACACGGACGGTGCTGAAATAGATGAAATTTTGGAAGGGGAGGCGGTATTCGATGCCCTCGGGGGATTTGTGATTGTGTGATTTGTTGTTCAGTATGTCGTAAAGGCTTATCTGCCGTGCGTTGCAGTCTGCGCCTGCTTTGACTATTCAGGCAATGATAAGATTAGCATGCCAGTCTGGGTTAGGGTTTTGCTATCTAGGCTGCGGACACTTACCATGTGGTAATACCTCGGCCTTGCTGGCGAGAGGGAGGGAAATCTGACCCTCTTCTCTCTTTGGTGGTGGTTTGACACGTTGTTTCTTCGTATTGGCCTTTTTTGAAGCGGATCTGAGGTCTTCCTCTGCTTTTCGTTTTTGGGGTTTCGGATGCGCTTCCAAATATTCTGCTTTCCGAGTTAGGAATTCTTGAACTCTAGGGTCGTCCTTCATGTCTACTCGGAAAGCGTTGACGGCACGAGGGTTGTCACGATCGGTATGGATGACACCTTCCAAAGAACCCCCTTCGACCCGACTTCCTTTGATACGAACGTTTTTTAAGCGGACAATTCCACCAAGTTCAAAATTATCTCTGACGAACGATGCATGCGGTTCCCAGAGCGTGATTTGAATGATCATTCGACCGGACGGACCGTCCCACTTCTTCTTCTGACGCCCTATGTAGTTGTATTCATCTCCCTCGCGGCCTTGATCAAGGTTGGGGTCATTGTCAGATGCATAGTAGAACATCTTCTCGTTTTCCGTATAGTCGGTAAAGTAGAGGGTTGCTTTTTCGCTATCACTGCTGTGTATCTTGAGTATTTCACCAATAAGATCCACAAACTGTCGGTCGTCAATGTCTTTGATCAGCGCGAACCTTCGTTGAGTAGTTGAAGTAGACCTTGATGCTGCATTGGCAAGCCGCGCAAAGTCTGGCTTGGGGGCAGGAGCAATGCGAAAGGTGCCTGGGCTAATGGCAAACAGCGATGATGCATATGATTTCTCCGCGTATGTAGGCTCAAAAGGAACAGGGCCAGTGATCGGAGCGATATGAGCTGTCGGATCCTGATCTGGCCGGAAGATCGCCCATGGTATATTGATATCCTGGGCAGCCACGCCCATTGGCTGGCTGTGCATCACTTTGACCTGCATTGATTAGTCGTGTGTAGTACATGGCGGAAACTTCATATTTGAGAGACGAACCCAGATCTCTCGCAGCAAAATTACATCGCCTGTGGTAACAGGAGGCAGCAGGCTTTCAGTTTCCTTGAAATATTTGATTTTCAGACCATCCCAGCTATGGCCGTTGGTCAGGTTTGAATCTTTGATTGTAAAAGTGACGCAGAAGGAGGTGCCGGAGCTTTTGTAGGGGTCGCCCCAGACATCGACGACAATGCCCATGACATTGGCAGCAGCGCGTCTTAACCTAAGCGCACTGGCCACGTCGACATACTTTGGGGGCAATCCCGCTGGCATTGTTGCTTGAACTGCACGCTATCGCGTCCTATGGAACAGCTTTGTGGGGAAACCAGATTTGAGGCATCCCTCATGTCGTCATTGATAGGATCGGGGCGGCTAGGCGACAGGCCAGGTTGAGACACTAGTGTAAAGAGGAGATTATGGCGCGCAGAATATTTAATGTTCTGAATGCTTTAATAAACAGTACAGAGTAGTAGACGCGTCTCGACTCTGTCTTGTAGGGCGAATTGATGCGCTGCGCTAAGATCGCTTGGGCGCTTACAGATGGCGCTATACCCAAGGCGGACAACTGAGCGGCCAATCCCGTGACACTGCCGAAGTCCACTTTCTGGAACGTCAAACACTGTGATTTTCCCCTCCTTCACTTCGTTTCCTCTTTCTGGCCCCGCGAAAAAAAGAAGAGCCCTTTTCCATCTTCAGTTTTGGCTCAGGATTTTTTTCCTTTCTTTATTCGAGCCTTCCCATACTTACCTTCTAATTTATTCTCTCTCGCCCTGCTTGCGCATCTTCATCCTTCTCCCCCGCCTCGACCTTGCTCCCTTTTTCTCTCGTGATTAAGTAACCCGTTGTGGTGGGCTTTGTTTTTGTTCCTTCTCCTCAGCAACCATGGCCGAACGCTACATCCCAGAGCATCGCCGCACCCAATACAAGGCCAGGAACCAGTTCCGGCCCGACGAACTGCGCCGTCGTCGTGAGGAGCAGCAAGTCGAGATTCGAAAGCAGAAAAGAGAAGAGAACTTGGCCAAGCGACGAGGTATCCAGACCCGGGATGGCGGTATTGGTGTCGGAGGTGGCATGGCCGCCGCTGAGAGCGACGACGAGGCTAGTGCTATCGAGAGCGAGGTATGTATTGTCTTATTTTGTTCTAGTCCTCTTAATGCGGGTTGTGCTGGGTATCGAGTCTGTGGTCGCCCCCTCAGGTCTCCTTTGTCCTCCGCCGTTCTTTCAACAACGGGCTCACCGCCCGATGGTGCTCAAACCATCACAACCGCGGGGCACGCACTTGACCAGCATTGATATACTTTGTGAACTTGATCTTCTATGAATAAACTCAAAATACTAATATGGTTTGTCTAGCTCAACGTCGAGCTGCCAGAGATGGTCAAGGGTGTGTTTTCCGACCAGATCGAAGCCCAGATCCAAGCCACAACCAAGTTTCGAAAGCTCCTGTCCAAGGAGCGCAATCCTCCTATCGAGCGCGTTATTGAGACCGGCGTTGTCTCTCGTTTCGTGGAGTTCCTCCGCTCCCCTCACACCCTAGTCCAATTTGAGGCTGCTTGGGCTCTGACCAACATTGCCTCCGGATCTGCTCAGCAAACCCAAGTTGTCATCGAAGCCGGCGCCGTACCGATCTTTGTCGAGCTCTTGAGCAGCCCCGAACCTGATGTGCGCGAGCAGGCCGTTTGGGCTCTGGGTAACATTGCCGGTGATAGCCCTCAATGCCGTGACTTCGTGCTCAACGCTGGTGCCCTGCGCCCTCTCCTGACCCTGATCAACGATGGCCGCAAGGTCAGCATGCTCCGCAATGCTACCTGGACGCTGAGCAATTTCTGCCGCGGCAAGACCCCTCAACCCGACTGGAACACGGTATGTTACACTATTATTGATTATCGGGTCAGTTCACTAATGTCGCTAGCAGATTGCCCCCGCTCTTCCTGTCCTGGCTAAGCTCATTTACATGCTCGATGACGAAGTCCTCATTGATGCGTGCTGGGCTATCTCCTACCTCTCTGATGGTCCTAACGAGAAGATTCAAGCTGTCATTGAGGCTGGTATCCCTCGTCGACTTGTCGAACTCCTCATGCACGCCTCCACCTCTGTCCAGACCCCCGCCCTTCGCTCAGTCGGCAACATTGTCACCGGTGACGATGTCCAAACTCAAGTGATCATCAACTGCGGTGCTCTTCCTGCTCTTCTCTCCCTTCTGGGCTCAACCAAGGACGGTATCCGGAAAGAGGCTTGCTGGACCATCTCTAACATCACTGCTGGCAACTCGAGTCAGATTCAGTCCGTTATTGATGCCGGTATCATTCCCCCATTGGTCCACCTGCTTGCGAATGGCGACTTTAAGACCCGCAAGGAAGCTTGCTGGGCCATTTCCAATGCTACCTCTGGAGGTTTACAGAAGCCCGAACAGATCCGGTACCTCGTCACCCAGGGTTGCATCAAGCCGCTCTGCGACCTGCTTGCTTGCCCTGACAACAAGATCATCCAGGTTGCCCTGGATGGTCTTGAGAACATCCTCAAGGTCGGTGAGATGGACAAGGAGGCTGCGCAAACTGGTGACGCCCGCGTTAATCGTTATGCTCTGTTCATCGAGGAGGCTGGTGGCATGGAGAAGATTCACGACTGCCAGAACAACGCCAACGAGGAGATCTACATGAAGGCTTACAACATTATCGAGAAGTACTTCTCTGATGAGGATGAGGCTGGTGGTGACATCGATGAGCTTGCCCCTCAACAAACCCAAACAGGTTTCACTCTTGGTGCCCAAGGGCAAGCCGGTGGATTCTCGTTTGGCGGTGCCAACGGTGGCGACTCCATGGACATGTAGAGCGAGTATAAAGAAAAATAATCTTGAGCCAAATGTCATGCTCAATCCCCAGCACATTCCTTCCCACCTGGTGGATCGTGATCTCGCTCACGTTGGCCTTACTTACGTGCAGTTAGGGACACTCCCCTAACGTGGCTGGTCTATATCGTCGACTTCTTGGAGTGGTATTTGCTTCGATGCTCACGCGCTGGGACTTGATTTATGAGATACCATACTGAGATATTGCGAATTTTCTTTTACCTCTCCTTCCGACGCCTGGTCTCGAGGTTATACCTGTTTTAAACCCCGTCACCCCTATTGAACTTCCACCTCCGCGCTTTTCTACATCCCCCACTTTTTTTGCCCATATCCTCACGCTTTTGATATTTTTCACGATAAACAAGATTCACCGTCATGTATCCCTTTTTGTCTCAGGTCACCCTAGCATTCTTCATACACAGGCGTAATCTATAGGTTATTAAATCGGTTGTTTTCTTTTTCTTACTGCCCTTCCAAATGTTCCTATCGTCTTATCTATCTTAGGCATGGCCTATCTTTCCGAAAATGTGACTCCTAAAAGTACGAAGTAGAACAAGGACATCGGATCCCCTGATGCGAGCCACTGTATAGGATTATCCTGAGACTTCTCGAACTACTCACGCAGTCATGAGAAAACCGAAAGTAATCCAGGTGAGTATTCTCCATCCCTGCCATTCCCGGTCAGCTCCCTTAGAACCGTCTCCCTCGCCTCCTTTACCAGCCATGGCTTCATCCGCGCCTCGCAATCCAAGCATCCCCGGTGCGCCCTCGCCCCAGCCGCAACAAGCACCCCAACCGCCTCATCCCACCCAGCCACCGCAGCATAATGCACAGCCGGATACCCTGAAGCACAAAGCGCATTTACATCCGCTCGTTTGCTTATCAGAAGTGCTACCGCACCAAGCTGGTCTCCGATACTAGCCGCAAGATGTAGTGCGCTTCGGCCGTCTTTACTGGTATCTGTGACTGACGCACCCGCGCCAATCAGGGCCTGTAGGATGGGCTCACTGTTGCGGGATCCAATGGTGCATAGGAGTGGGGTGTAGCCCTGTTTGTTCTTCGTGTGTACAGCCTTGCTCTCACCATCCCCGTCTAGCTTGGTCAGAATCATTTGAATGATCTTCGGGTCGCCTTTTGTCACGGCGACGTGGAGTATTGTGTTGCCTGACTCTTCGTGCATGGTGCTAGCAGCGCGACTTGCATCAAGGAGCATCTGCAGAACCTCGTAGTAGGCTCCCGGATGGGATCTCGCTGGGACAGTCGCGATGAGGAATGTCTCGAGCCGTGTATAGTACTTAGGGTAGACCCGGATATCCACGTCGATTCCAGCGTCGAGGACAGCGCGGATAACGGGGAGAGCGGGATGTAGTGCATTCTGGCCGTGCTTGAAGATCTGGTCTAGGATCAGGGCAGCCTTGTGGCTGAGGTTTCGCCTGTCGATGTTGAGCTTTTGCGTTGTTCGGAGCCGTGCGACTAGCACTAGGGTTTGGATGTCTAGGACGCCATAGCTGCGTGTCACCTCGTCGAGGTTGTACTCTACCGACGCAATCATCTCTGCATCTGCGTCGCTGAGTCTGTGATCCTCGACGCGGATGTGTGGGTGCGTTTCAAGGAACATCCAGATACATGACCTGCTCCCGCTGTCAACTGCGAGCTCTAGTGCATTAAGGCCCCGGAACTGGCGGGAGAGGATGTCCGCGCCACGCTCAATGAGCATGTGCACTATTTCTAGCCTGTCTCGGATGATCGCTGCATGTAGTGGTCTTGCGTTCTCTCTGTCGGGCTTGTCGAAGTTGACGGCGCCTCGTTCGTCAAGGTCACGAATCACGGTCTTTATCAGATCTTCTGGCCCGGCACCTATGTAGTGCAAAAAGTCAAGTCCGTCGCTATCTTCAACTGAGGGGTCTGCGCCATCGCCGAGCAGCATATCCACGACATCTCTCTTCATCGATTTCCATGCCAACTGCAGATACGTTTGTGCTCGGGAACCGCGCGAGGAGACGTCGCCGCCGCCGGCTCTGAATGCCGCATAGATTAACAGGAATACTTGCTCTCCAGCAGGCATAGCGTGATACAGGAGGGCTCTTCCATCGTCGGCGTGGACCAGCGGGTTAGCACCACGAGCCAGCAACAACTTTATCATACCCAACTGCCGACCAGTGCACGCAAAGTGCAGCGCGGTCTCGCCGCGAAACGTCTCCGTACCGACACCAACCCCTCTATCTAGGAGCATAGACACAATGGCTTCATTCCCAACCTTGGCCGCCGCATGCAGGATCGTCCAGCCGATATCCCCCATCTCAGTGTAATACTCGAGAGACGGGTACATGATCATCTCCAGCGGCTTCGTGGACCAGTACTCCAGGAGCACGGGCGAGCTCCATTGTGCAAGGCTCTTTGTGTTGAAGACGTAGTCGGCGTATCCGCGTCCCGGTTTGGGAATTGGCACTTCAGGGTACCGGTACTCCAGTTCTTCCGAGGTCTCTCGCTTGACCCAGATGTCTTTGTAGATGATTGCGTTGTCATACAGGAGCGGAGTGAGGAGAATGTTGTACCGTCTACTGACACGCACGCAGCTGCAGAGGGTTTTCTGGTCGAGGAATGCGCCAAGACGGAGGATGAGTTCTGGGGGTAGAGAGGTCGATAAGTCGGCAAGGCGTTTGCGCTGCTTTTTGCTCATTCGACTGAGTTTGATCATCTTGGCCAGTTTCTTTGAACGAATTGCTTATAGCTCTCCAAGACCCCAGCCCACGCGCCTAGTGTTTATACTCCGGACGTTGTCATGTGCTGCTTTTTGAGGCTGAGGCAACACGAGGCCGCCACGACGAACCATACCCATATTGGACAAGCCAAGCCGGATCTTGGGAACTGATCTGCTTTAAATCAAGAGTTTTGAGTCTCCGAAGTCTTGTCATCGGGGTCGGGGTCTGCTTTGAGAGGGCACTGCCCGGGTGTGGTGCCTGTTGTTCAGTGAGCGTCAACCAATTCCTCACCCTGAGAGTAAAGGGGACACGTGATCAAATAGAAACCTGGTTGAAGACGGGTGTAATTATTTGCAGTAAAAAGCCACAAAGCATTGGAACTAATGGGCAGGGAGGCTGTGGACATGTATTACTGGCAAAACTGTGCGCTCGGGAAAGAGCTCCGGTGCCGTCCATGCGCCATTGGAGGGCAACATGAGATAAGGACATCGATATGAAAGACGTAGATAACTACTACGAAGAGAGCTTCAAGTGGTCAAGTTTACCTGACGAGTTCTCAGTAAGTCGGTATTTGAGAATCCAATAACATTAGCTCGAGCGAGGTAAACATTATATCCAGAAGTCATGACAAAGTCCTCAACGCAGGCTTAAATACAGTTCCAAATTCCCTTCGCCACATTACCAAGTCACAAGGCATGCTTATAAGCACGACTAGAGAAGGACAAACAGTCCAAGGAAGGCATTGAAGATGCCGGTGTACCACAGCGCCTCGCTAGAGCCCAGAGTGGACGCAGCGTCGTCAGTCGGACTCGGGGTGGGTTCACCAGAGGACAGCAAGTCTTCAATGTTGATAGTGTTATCCGAGTTGTCAGAGTTGTCGTCGTCGGCGCCAGAGGTGCCCGTGGCGGTGGGGGTGCTTGCGCCGCCGCTGGTGGAGTCGGTGGTGGTCGTGCTCGTGGGGATAGAGTCGAGGTCAGGGGTGGTCGTGGCAGCCTCGGTGACGCTTTCGCTAATGCTCGCAAACTCGGAGCTGGCAGCACGGGAGTTTGACGCGGTGACGGTGGCGGTGGATGAGGTGCGCTCCTCGGACGAAGTCAGGGAGAGCGTGCTGGTTTCGACGTCGACCTCGATGTAGTACCAGATCTCGATGTACCAGTATACGTAGACATACCAGTAGATGACCTGGGTGTAGACGGTGACATCGGTGTCGTCGATGTCGTCGTCGAGATCGACAAGGTCATCGTCGTCGTCAAGGCCGAATGAGGAGCAGCCAGACTCGGGGCAGCAGCCCGGTTCGCCGTCAACAGTCGCGCACTCGTACCCATTGGGACATGAACCGAGGCTTCCGCAGCACACGCCATCGTCAGGAGCGCAGTAGTCGCTGTTGGAACAGCACTTCTGGCCCTCGTAGCAGTATGCGCCGTTGCCGTCACCGCAGCACACATCGGAGGTGTCGACGCAGTAGTTGACGTCGCAGATCACCTCGCCAAAGGCGCAAGCGCGCTTCACAAGGGAGCGAGCGTCAAGAGTAGCATTTGAGCTACCCTTGGACGCGAGCTGCTGAAGGGGCTGGAAGAGGTCATTCTTCTTGGCAGCAGTCAAGCCCGAGAGGCAGAGGAGAAGAGTGGATGCGCTGAGAAGGTTCTTCATGATGGCGGCTCTGAGCTCTCAATTGTTTGCAAACTGAGGTTGGGTCGCAATTTCGCGCGCGCTCCAAAGCTCCCGATCTCAGTATTTATAGGGTTCGCATGGGCTCCATGGGGCACGGAGCTCCCAAGAGTCGGCTGCTCTTGGCTAAATTAGCACCTCGTATTCACATTTTAGTGACGAATTAAAGACCCTGCCAAGCATCCCGCGCTGGCGAAGTTTGCTGCGAGGCAATCGTTTCTCTTGAGAACCGAGGGCGAGTTGCCCAAGCAGGTTAGCAGCCCGAAAAAGTTGAGGAAAAATGAGCCTCAACAGAGGCAGCACTGCCCCTGGTCTCTCCAACCAGATTTGCAGTCCGGGGCAGCATCTCGTGTCTTGAGTCATGGCGCCAGTCAGCACAGCATGCAGACTGAAGCCTGAGCCTCCAAATACAACCCTCCCTGGCTCTCGTCGCCGGCAGTGGTTGGTGGCAGGTCATGGGGCTCGGGAGGGTGCTGCTCGGCTATCTACCCTGGATATGAACAGCATCCTTCACGCGTCTTGGCGGCCGGGGCTCTGGAGCCTGAAGCCTTGCGGGCCGCGAGGCAGATTTGATTCCAGCCTTGGAGGAGAAAGTAAAAATCATCAGAATAGACCTAATCTCGAGAGATAGGAAAGCTGGGGAAACGTAAGTCATTACAATGTACATGAAAAGATACAATGGAATTAATGAAGAAGAACCGGGGTAAGTGCCGGCAGAACAAAGAGACGAGATGAAATCAAAGCCTAAGCTAAGCCGCGCCAGTAAAATCGCATATAAATAAAAACAGATCATTATTAGTGTGGTTGACCGCCGTTGTCCGCAAGATCGCAGAAGAGCAAAGAAAAGAAGATCAATCGCCCATGATTTCATCTTCATCTGGTTCAGGTGCTGTTTGGCCTTCGTCCTCGTCATTGTCCTTGTCGATGTCAAAGGGGTTCTCTTCAAGTTCTTCGTCGCTGATGTGCTCGTCCTCTTCTTCCTCGTCGTCGTCGATTCGCTCAGTTGACTTGGTCTGCTCCGGACGCTTGCCTGCAGTTGCTCCAGCTCCCTTGACGGCGGACTTCTTGCCTTTAGATGGAGTGGCACGTTTGGCCGCTCGGTCTTCTAAGAAAACAAGAACCTCACGATAGTTGGGCCCAAGTTGAGTTCTATGTTTCAGCAGTTTCTTCTTCAACTGGCCGCTGTCTGATCCAGAGTCGAGGATACGCCCGATAATGGCCAGCACGATCTTTCCTGTCAGCTCGCATAACCGTTGTTCTGCAATAATCTTGGATCGTAGGCGCTCGTTGTGGAGCACTTCGTTGTCATCTTCGTCCTCATCGTCATCGGGCTCCCTCTCAAGTTCGGAGTCGGAAGCAGGAGCATCATCCTCTGCGGGTTCGAATGGTACACGTAGTTTCTTTGCATATGTTCGTAGGGCTATTCCGTGAACCTTCGTGATAAGGTCCTGGACGTCAGTATCGATCTCATGTACTAGGCTCTGGGCCTGGAAGATGGTGTCTTCGTCATTGTTCGCGTTGAGTCCAGAATTTCGGAATGTGCCAAATAGCGTCTGAAGATCTAGGAGCGTGGTGGTGGCAGAGAAACGGACATCGTCTAGCCCAGAGCGCTCGCTGATTATTGAGACTAGAGCCTCAACAAACAATTCACGGCTCTTGGTTAACGCCTCAAAGTAGGCGGTGTTGAATTTCGCTTTTCCGGCTGCCAAAGCTGCGCGTAGGTTCTGTACTTTCCACATAAAGTAGAACAAAAGCGTTCGGATGCTGTTGACTACAACTTCGACCTCTGCCCTAGCTGAATCCTCCTCGTCATCAGAATCAGATGCAAGGTCTTTGCGAATGCCTCTTTGCACCAAACGCAGAACAAAGTTGAATGGGGCTTCTGATTCCTTCTGTTTCCTGCCCTTGGACCGGATAACGAGCGGTGTTTCTAAAATCTGTGTGCAATCCGTTACACTGGAGAGGTTGGATATTCTTGTGACGGTATTGTTGAGCTCGGTCAAAACGGAAGACGGTATCGGATCCTCACTTGCAACTTCCTTTTGCTGCGAGAGTCTGTTGAGAGTCTCCACCATGTCGTCCCAGAGCTCTTGGATTTTGCTCTCCAAGGCCTCGCGCATGTCGTCGGAGCTCTTTGCGTGCAGAAAAGCAACGCTAGCCTCGGCCAGGACATCCTGGTCAGAATGTGACAGGAACTGTTTGTTGATATCGTTGAGCAACGATGTGTAGGCTGTCGCGTCTTTCTGGAGGTCCTGGATCTTGTCAAGATCCACAAGATGCTCCAGGCGTAGAACCGCCGAGGCGGCTTCGGGCGTGGAACCGAATTTGTTCAACAGCTGAGGAATGATCTGTGCAAGACCATGGGCGATTTCCTCCTGAAGCTCCGGGATCCTATCCGTTAAGGCCTTGACCTTGCGCCCTCTCTTATCGATGTCTGACTTGGCAACATCGAGAATACGAAGTTTGACAGCGCAGCATAACACCTCTAAAAGGATGACCTCTTGGCCTTCTTGCATCTTGTACAATTTCTTGACCTCTCCGTTGGAATCGTCATCGTCGTCATCGGAGATCTGGGAATGATCGAAAAGTAAATAACCAGCCAGAGACTGCCAGTTGGTCAACTCGCCAAAGTGTGGATAGATGGCCTCTGTGGCCAAGACAAATCGCGAGTCTAATGAGATACCTGAAAGTGCATCTCTTGACTTTAAGCTCGGTTCGGGTGTCGACTCGTCCTTGGGAATGTCGTAAGCCTGAAGGATGTCTGCGAGGCACTTGAACTTGATCCAGGCGCGCTTCGGGGATTCGAAATCATCTTCATCCTCGTCACCGAACATCTCGTTAACCTCATCCGAAACCTCCTCAACCACTGAGTCGAAAACATCCTGGACATTTGCAACAAAGAAGGGGCCCGCTGCCTTGCGCACACGCGCCTCTGAATCGAAGATGAGTTTCCCGACAGTATCAACATCAGCGGGCTCGATGAGCCCAGCATCTCGAATCAAGTCGAGCAGCTCAATCGCCATGGTACGCATCCCCACGTCGGTATCGTGGGCAGCTATTTCGACGAATCGGTTTCGGAAACGTTCGGTGAAGGACCGAACGCCAGCGATATTGTCCTTATTCGAGTATATATTCAGAAGCTGCCGCAAGGCGATTGAGCGCGTATGGACATCCGTGTCCGATATGATCCAGCCGCAGTATCGAAGAAATTGGCCTTCAAAAAAGTATTCTCTGTAGCTGTGCATCCACCTTCCCAGAGCCGCTATACTTTCCGCACGGATTTTAGGGTCGACATCTCTGTAGCGGTTGACGAAGACAACGTTCACTCCGTCTTTCAGGAGATCATCTATCACTTCCAACTTGTTGTTGCCCTCTTCAATTGACGACTTGATAGCGTCAATCCTTCCTTTGTTGACGGTCTTCTTTTTCTTCTCGGTTTCGAGCTGTTTGCGAAAAGTCGAGACGGAAGTGATCACCTCCCGGGCAATATCGCAAAGAGCATTCATGTTCGACAGCGCAGCAACGGTTGCAGTATGCCTGAAAGGTCGGCAGCCTGAAGAGGAAATGGAAGATAGCCAGGACTGAAGATTTTCGTAAAGAACTCGGTCATCATACAGCACTGAAGAGTGATGCAAGGTTTGAATGAGCGCTACAAAGAACTCTTCAAGGGCTGGCTGAAAAGACCTGAACGTCCGTGACTTCGAGATGAGGGGGTACTCGGAAATGCCCTGCGCATGATATTGGTTCTGAAAATCTGCGACGCGCTCCGCTACATGATCAACATCTTCGATATCTTCGACCGTGACTTCGAGGTCGGTTCCTGAGGATTTGAAGATCAAGTTGATAAGATCGCGCATCGCAGCCGTCTGACCTTGCTGGTACCGGGTGAGCCATTCGGCAGCGACCGTTTCGGCGTTTCGCGATTTGCCAAAGACCTCCGCTTCACAACCGTAGTGGTTAGCGACTCTCAGGCAAATTAAGATTCAGAGTGAGACGCAAACGTACCATAAAGACCGCTCTCACCAGCAACCAAACTAGGTCGCACCTTCGGCTTCCTAGGCCGCGACGGGGGCTTTCCTCCATTTGTAGCCGGCCGAAAAGCTAGCTGGTTCGCAACGCCGTTTCCAGTTACTTTGGGCTTCTTCGCACTTCGAGACCCCTGGGATTTGGGCTTCGATTTTGTCCCTGACGACGCTTTCTTAGCGGATGCTTTGCGTGCCGCACGTCTCTGTTCTCGCAATTCCTCCTCGTCGGGCTCATCCTCTTCGTCGTCGTCCTCGCTCTCCGAGAGGTCTTCGGCGTCCTCAACATTATCTTCGTTCTCGTCCCCGGTGGTGGTGCGCTTTCGTTTGGCGCCGCCCGCGGTCGCACCGTTGCTATCGCCATGGGTTTGCGAGAATAATTCGGGTTTGCGCGTCGCCCGACCGGATTTTCTTCTATCTCCTGCAGTCGATGCGGTGTCCTGGGTTGACCCCGGTTGCGGGGACGAGGGGCGCGATTCGACCTCCATTTCGAGGTTCTTTATCGTTAATCGGTAATTGGATGATGAGAACTCGTGGATTCAAGCCATGCGCATCGGGGAAATAGTACTTGAACGCGGGGTTCTTGCGGAATCTACGGTAACGCGACGAAAGTTGTTTGATCGATCGTGGTGTTTGACGCGCGTTGTCTTACTGCGCAACGACAGTAGAGATGGAGCGAAAAACTCCGGCAGTGAATGCTAGTGGTCAATGGTATGGCGCGCCGCTGCGATGGTCAGAAGGCGGAATGGACGAAGGAGGAGTAAGGGGAGCAGTGTGTGAAGGACGCGGAGATCAACTGACAGTAACAGGACCGAACGGACGCGCCTTTGTGCCTGATGATGCCTGGAGCCAGGCGGCATTATTGTTTCACAATTAGTGAGCCAGGATAGTAGTGCACACCACGTGATGCACTGACCCTAGCCCTGGATCTGCTGCGGGGAAGAGGAGAAGAGCTTCGCCGATGCCGTAATGGAAACCATCTTTGCTCCATTGCGAAGCTCATCGCGGCTCAGAATTGGAGAGCCAAGACCAGCGACTGCTCGATACCTGGTCCACGCCGTCATAAATCCCCGCTTGACGCTCTTTTCCAACAGCATTGACATCTACGTGGTTGGACAGGAGTGATCGTTTGAGGGGCATCCGCGGACGATCCGTTGACGGTTGGATAGACTGGGTTCATGACACCCATATTCCTTGCGCCTACATTGTCTATTTATATGATAATGCCGTCATGCCGGCAAAGTTATCTAAGAACAAGCCCGCCTTTTCTCCCTTTTTCCTCCGCCGCTCACACCCTCCCCTGAAAATCTTTGCAAGATAGCGAGAGCCGAACTGCAGCCAAGATGCCCATCATATCGCCCTTCGAGTCCTCAATCGCGAAAGCCGGAGAAGGAAAAGTCGTCCTCTCCCTGCTTCCTCCTTCGATTCCATCCCTCAGCACCTTGACATACAAATACCCGCTCAAGCTCCTCACTCGCACTCCCGGCTTCGTCCCGCAGTCCGCGTTAACCGCATCCACACCTGTCCATCTATACCTTCTCACTTACGGCGGAGGCCTCCTCCCCGGCGATCAGATCGATGTTTCAATAAAGCTCGAGCCGCAGACGAGACTCGTCGTTACAACACCGCAAGGCAGCACCAAGATCTTCAAGACAGAAACAAGTCCCGGGCGTACGCTCTCGGATCAAAGCAGACAGGTGCTAGACGTCCGAATCGGCAAAGAAGCAGCGCTATGCTATCTCCCTGATCCCTCGGCTCCCTTCAAAAACAGTCGTTACGAGCAAATCCAAACGTTCACCGTCGACAGCACAGCCAAAGACTCCACACGAAGCAGCCTCTGCGTGCTGGACTGGGTAACGCAAGGTCGGGTCTCCCGCGGCGAGAACTGGGACTTCCACGTATGGAAGGGTAAGAACGAAATATGGATGACCGACGAACCCACCGCATCATCCACACCACCCGAAGAAGGCAGAACTCAGAAGCCAAAGCGCAAACTTCTCCTCCGCGACGCCCTCATTCTCAACGACGAAACTACCACCAAAACAAACGAACCTGAACCGCGAGACCCCGCTCACCCATCTAAATCCCTCATCCGCGAACGCACATCCCCGCACGGCGTAATTGGCACACTCATTCTCTACGGTCCCGTTTTCGACAGTCTCTCTTCATTCTTTGTCGATCGATTCACCTCGCTCCCGCGCATCGGGGCCCGGAATTGGTCCTCGTCTGCTCCTGCGGCTTCAGAGTCAACACCGCACTATGATTCAAAGGTCACATTCACTGCTGCGCGGGTGCGCGCCGGCTGTGTGCTCGTGAAGTTCGGCGCAGAGGATTTCGAAACAGCGAAGGATTGGCTAGGTGCTGTTCTGAGAGAAGAAGGAAGTATTGCGAGGGAGTTTGGGGAAGAGGCGCTTCTTTGCTTATAGATTGTACATTATATCTTAGCCTTGTGGCTGCAGGGTGTCCGGAGTAAGCACTAGTTAGGGCACAGCCACTGCACACTCTAGATGATACCCAGAATCATATCTGTTCATTTGACCGTATTGCCTATCTAACTCGCAGAGGTCTATCTTCGTTAACGTAACGACTGACATCGAGATCGTAATGATGCTGTCTCAAGTATCCCGAGTCGATTGCTGTCCCGATACCATAAAACAAAATAAAAAAGAAACATCAAACGCCGAAGGGGTATATTCAAGTAAAACGAAAAGTCCGATATCAAGATTGGCAAGCTGCGGTAGGCATCGCGAAAAACACCCGGCACGCATGCCTGCAAACACATAAAGCATCGCGTAACAAATCCAAACCTAAACCAAATCTAGGATATGAGTATCAGATGTACGGGATGGAAAAGTGTCTGCCTAGGTACCGCACAACCGGGCTCAATGCCACCAGTCGGAGAGTCGAGGCGCCCAATCCTTTCTAGTCGCGCTTTCGAGATCATCCACATTGAGCATATCGACGCCTTCCTGTGCGAGAACTCGCCAGACATGGTTGCGCAGACTCCGCGGCCAATCGGGAGTTCCCCAGTACCGGACCTTGAGACCTTGACGGTGGGCGGCGCGAATCTGGGATCGGATGGTTTGCATCTGGCGGTCTGTCAGGTGAAGCATCCAGGGGATTCCGACGGCTTTCTTGAATGAGACTGATGCGTAATAGCTATTCGTGGTGTCGAATGTGTCGGGTTCGATGTCTCCACTTGATATTCCTGATAGGCCTTGGCCAGAGTTATCGGATCGGGCTCGGATTATGGCGGGGGTGTCAATTCGGTCGACCTTGTCTACCAGTCGGTCGAGGGGTGCGTCGAAGAAAATGTCCCGATATGTGGCATTTCCGGTGACCCGGTTGAAAGGAGTATTCCCAGTTCCCACGACGGTGATGGGGCCGTTTATGATGTCAGTTCCATTGTAGTAGGTCAGATAGCCACTTTCACGGAGTGGCCCTAGTTGCTCAACGACATAGTCCCAGGTCTCTTCGCCACCAGTCTTGAAGTCAATAAGAAGGATCAGCGGTTGTAAAGGTTTGGTGTCAAAGACCCCGTTTAGGGGCTCATCATGGAAGGGGTTAAAGTGGGTTATGGGGTTCTGTCTGCGTAGAATCCTCATCAAGGGCTCGATGTACATGCTCCGTAGCGTGCGGCTTGGAGTGAGGGAGGCTCTTGAATGTCCAACATAAAGCTCCTCATCAAAAAGCCACACATCGGCCTCGACGCCGATACAACCTGCTTCAAGAGCCGAGTACAGAGGTACGCGACGCCAGTAATCATTGTGCGAATGACATTGGACGGGAACGATGTCCCTCGAAATGTCCGTGGGCCAATGAGTTATGCCTGGAGGAGAAAGATCTTGCGACTGTCGCCAATGAGCCGTAGCTCGATCTATCTCATCAGGGAAGAATGAAACGATGAAGCCACAAGCAAGGGTGAAGAATTGAATGAGTCCTCTGGAATGGTGTTAGTAACTGGTGTTTAAAACAAGCAAAGTTGGGAGATACTTACAGCATGGCCAGCAATCCCACCACAAAATAGAAGATGCAGCGAGATCGGGTTGTCTTTCGGAGCCATCGACGGTGTAGTCTTGCGTGTTTGTTGTGGAAGGGAAGGAGAGGAAAGGTAGAGGCATCGAATTGCGTGTGGTTCTTATCGGAAGAAGCAAATAATAAAGGCGAGACCGCAGCGAGTCCACGACTCCATATCGAACCCCGTCTTTGTCTTTGTCCAGAAATCGGACGAGCCTCTTCCGGATCCGAATCATAAGCCGGCTCTTCACGAAGCTCTGAGCGAGTACCTGATTTGTCTGCATTTTCTTGGGCATGGTTCCCCTTAGTATTTTGGTAGGTGTTATCAGACATCTCAGGGCCAGCTGCAGCTGCAGGAAACAGCAAGGACTGGGACAATTGAGGAGGAGGAGAGGCAGATGAAAACGACATGGCTAAGAATATATTGGCGCAATAGCCATGAACTATTTGTGAGCTAGATCGATAGGAAGATCACGCAGTCCCTCGAGAGGCGAGGACGAAGAGGTATTTATCGTTTGCATCGTCGCCATGGTGCATGACCAGACCCTTCTTTCCCTCTTTTATCTGCTCGCTACCTTCGCTCTGGAGGGTCTTAGAGGGTCTCAGGCGGACCACACTCGAACTCAACCGCTGGAAGAAGGGCTCCACGAGAACTTTTAGACTGGATTTGCATGGAGCTTGGAGCATGCACTGGCAGACAAGCAAAGGATTCGTCGCTGTCGAGAGCGTTGAAGAGTATATGGTTCTCCTTGGCGACTCAATGCTGGGGCCCATGTGCCCCACGGGTCCCTTCGATTGGCTGCCGGCCTCCTCAAATTCGGCATCATGAGCAACACCCCCTCCTTGACTGCACAATTCCTTTTGATTTTCACGATAAATTGATAGTCGCTGTTGCCGGTCATTCACCATAATTGCCACCAGCTCCTCCGGCTCGCAAGCGTCGCAAGAAATTCTTGGGCCGACAAAGACCGTTATGGCCCTCACCCCGGGTCAAACAAGCTACTGCTATACTCAGGTAGCAATGTTTCTGGCCATCTCACTCGTTCCCTTCCCTGTGGTATCCATTCCTCTTGCACTGCCATTCGGCAACCCGTAAGCACATTATTCTCAATTCCAACGAACCAGAGCGCTCCCATATAATCCTTTTGCATACCAGGCAACCCTTTTAATATACAAGACCCGAGTCCCTGCAACAACCCCACAGTCTCCATCAAGTCTCGATCCCGACATCCGAAGCCACGATCTGGTCTAGAGGTGGCCCTGCTGTCATGCATCACTCCGTATTGACGCTGATTGGTATATTCGGACTTCCGAGCTCCTATACAAGTATCTCCGAGTCCAATTGTCTCATACAATCCACGCTGATCTTAAACATCTAAGCCTCAGAACCGGTCAGACCGGCCACACAGTCGGCTATGACTACTGCGTATGCGTTTGTTTGTTGCTCAAGGTATACTGATGCCTACGAGTCTCGTATCTATCACCGACATTGTTGGGGCATGTATCGTGGGGTCCTTGTATCACTGTACACTCGTTCCTGTCCACGACCATCCACCGGACTAGCTATCTGGTAGCACTTCAGCAATAATGGAACAGGGAATACGCTGCGACAACTTCTTTACTCCATGCCTATAGCTGGCTTTGTCCTCATTTTGGCCCCCAACCATCGCTTTTCTGATGGATTCAACTCAGGACGGATATCTTGTTACCTACAAACCTTCCCAAAATGAGCTTGAAACTGTCTATATCCAACCAAGGCAACAACGATTCTGAGACCTCGCGAGGAAATGCCCCGCCAAGAGCCTGACGATGTTACACTCACCGACAATTCCATCGGCTATCCGTGAGACAATGCCGCGATAGCCGGATATTGCTCTCTGGTGTTATGAACAAAAGCTATAGACAGGACTCCTTGACCGGCTTTGGAGTGACGAGGGATTCCAGGCAGCATTTTTTTACCGGTGAATTTTCATCGGCGAGACTAACGTCAGTGATGGGAAACAGCGCAGGTCAATGCCCCTCATATTTACCAGCATTAGGGATGCTGAATGGTGATTATCAAGAGTGAAGCGCGTAGACGTATCCACGACCCTATTTACATGGTAAAAGCGCCCTTTGAAAGGTCAACTACCTGCCCAGTCTCATCATTTAGCAAGCTTACTACCAAAAAGTTCAGAAACGATTTTCTTGAGTAGAGTAGTTGTACAGGCTCGGGCCTGCATATAAGACGACCCCCTGCAATTTCAGCTTTAGCACTTTGTATGGCATTTGCCGCTAACCATATTACCATTAATTGAGGCTATTTTGCAGTTCTTGCGGTACCAATGTTTCAAGTAGCTTCTGTTTTGTATGGTTTGGGTCGCAGGCCAGCTGTATAGATGATGGAAAATGCCAAGACTGTGTAAATTCATGGGGTGCGATAAGATAAGACAAAAAAGCACAGACCACCTCGGAAACTGCAGAAAAAAAGTTAGCGGCGCATCGACAGATTGAACCACCATCTCAAGTCAAACAAGAAACCCAAAGCCACAATGCCTCACAAACACAAGCGCAGACAAAATGACCCAAAGTACGATTCCTTCTAGCCTACCGTTTCTCTACATTTATTCTTCGGAGCCACAAACTAACACATTAAACCAGCACATACGACCTCCCCCCAAACCTAATAGCAAAAGCCCTCCCCGTCCGCGACCCCTCCAAGCCCGGAAAACCAAAGGGCAAAGGCAAAGGCAATTTTAAACCAGTTACGAAAGCGACCACAAAGCAAAATCCCAATGCCGGCTCGAGACGCAAAACCGAGCGCGACGATGACACGCCCGCTGCCTTTCGGCGGCTGATGCAATACCAAGAACGGAGCCAGATGAAAAAAGCGAATAAGAAGCGGAAGAGGGATGGGAATGATGATAGTGATGACGATAGCGAGAGCGATGCGCCTGTTCCTGTTCCGAAGAAGGGTACGAAGGCGAAGAAGGCACCCGCTGGTGTATCGGCTTCGACGTCGACAGGCGCAGAAACAGAGACAGACAAGCAGGAGAAGAGCGTGGTCGCGCCGAAGATCCTTCCCGGGGAGAAGCTCTCCGATTTCGCTGCGCGCGTGGACCGCGAGATGCCGCTTTCGAATATGAAGCGGTCTGCGAACCCCTCGACTCCAGGTGACCTGCCGAAGATGAAAGACCACCGGACGACGAAGCACGAGAAGCATTTGCGCCGACTGCAGGCCCAGTGGCGTGAAGATGATGTGCGTATCAAGGAGAAGGAAGCCGCAGAACGAGAAGAGAGAGAAGAGGAGATGGAAGAGCAGTTGCGGCTATGGAAGGAGTGGGAAGCTGAGTCTGGGAAGAAAAAGCGAAATCCAAACGCTGCTGCTGGGAAGCAAAAGAAGAAGGGTACGGGTGCGGAGGGTGTGGAGCACGATGATGGGCCGGATCCATGGGCGAAGCTGAAGAAGAAGAGAGCGGCTGTTAAGCCGTTTGACGTCGCACAGGAACCACCGCAGTTGAAGAAGCCGAGAGAGATCTTCAAGGTGCGCGGAGGTGCGAAGGTGGATGTTGCGAATGTCCCGGCTTCAGTGGGCAGTTTGAGGCGGAGAGAGGAGCTTGCGAATGAGCGCAGGAATATTGTCGAGGAGTATAGACGGTTGATGGCGGAGAAGAGAAAGGCTTAAAATATACCCTAGCGATGGATATTCTACTGTAATTCGAGATTGATGAAAATCACAAATTGTGCCATCACTTTTGCCTTAATATCTATATGGTAAAAAAGTCCAGGCTATGAATGCTTTTATGTACAATGTATGAACCCCAACTCCGGTATCATCACAATAGAAGAACCTATTCCTGCTGCAAAGACTTGACATACTCAGCAGCCTTAGCTTTAATCTCTTCCACCATCTTCTCATTACCGTCCTTCTCCTCGAAATCAAGCCACTTCTTGAAGAAGAAGCGAGCCTGCTTGGGTCGGAGCTTCTTGCCATCCTCAATAACCATGCCGCCCTTCTTAGCGTCACGAATGCCAAGCACCCGCTCGAATAGGCGGCGCACCTGCTCCGCGTCGCCATTCTTGATTTCGAGGTCGACAAGGACGTTCCAGATATCAACGCGCTTAGGGAAGGAGGAGAGAAGGCCCTCGAACACGGTACGGCCACGTTCAACGTCACCGTTGGGGGAGCGGAATTCGAGCTGTGCGAATTTGGATGTCGTTTCGATGTGCGTGTGAGAGGGGAGGGACTGGAGGGCGCGAGAAAGCAGGCCACGGGCACGGTCCGGTGCGGCCATGGTATCGTAGAGGAAGCTAGCGTAGTTGATAAAGAACTTGGGCGACGACGGGAAGACCTTCTTCTTGAGGGCCGTTCGGAAGAGATCGTCCGCTTTCTATAGATAGGTTGTTAGTAACTCCTGGTGTAGTGAGATCTTATCAAGATAACGTACCTCGTTCTTTCCAGACTGGATATAGATGCTGGTCAAACGCTCATAGATTTCTTGCGTATCATTGTATTGACAAGCACGCTTGAAGACTTCCTCTAGAGTATCGTCATCGCCGTACGTGTTCTCCAAGTTGAGCATCGCGACCCAAATGTTTAGCTTTTCCGCATCTTGACCAATGGTAATGGTACGGAGGGCACGCTCGGCGATTTCTCTCGCCTTCTCAACCTCGCCCAATTCGAGCTGGAATGCCATGTATTTCAGCCAAAGGAGAGACGAGTCAGGCTCACCAAGCAGAAGTCGCTCGTAGTCGGCTACGGACTGTGGCCCGTTGGCATCTAGCTCACCAGTTCGGTCGACTTGGATCTCTGGCTTGCGGTGCTTCTTCTTCTTCTGCGGCCCCTCATTCTCGCCATCGGAATCAGAGCGCATAGCTTCGTCTTCGTCATCCTGAGCGTTACCATTCCAGTCGAAACTGGATGAGCCGAGTCCGCCCTTTCGGATTTGCTTAGGTTTAGTGGTTTCCTCGTCACTTTCATCCTCGTCTTCGTCTTCCTCCTCATCACTGCCACTCTCTTCATCGAGGTCAACACCACCCATTGAGACGTCGCTGTCGTCATCCTCGTCACTTTCATCACTTCCCAATTCAACGCCACCAAGCCCGTCGAGGCTGACGCCGTCATCCTCGTCACCAGTGCTCTCATCTTCCTCGTCCTTGAAATAAGAGGCCTTCAGACCAAAGGAGACCTTCCCCTCATCACGGTCAACCTTGAGAACTCTCGCCTTAACGGCATCCCCCTCCTCGTAAAGTGTCCTTGCGTCCTCGACACGGTTGTCGGCCATCTCCGTACGATGGCAAAGACCGCTGAGATTCCTAGATCCATCAACCACGATAAATGCGCCGAATTGTTCGACTTTGCGGATTTTACCAGTAACCGTCTGGCCAGGCTTCAGGTCATTGAGGGTAAGGGGGGCCTTGTAATTAGGGTCCAGAACAGAGTCTTTCAGACTGATCTGCAGCTTGTTTTGGTCCGGGTTCACAACAGTGACACGGCCCTTGACTAGCTGGCCAATCTGGAAGGAGTCTTTCCACTCTTTCAAATATGAGTCCGAAAGATCAGAAATTCGTACAAAAGCGACGACGTTCTGGCCAACGGTCACAAAGAGACCACCATCAGCAACCCGACGTACAAAACCGCGGACGACGTCGTTGGCCTTGAGCTGCTTGATTGAAGTAATTTCCGGGTCTTGAACGGTAAGGGAAGAGCTCAGCACCTTTGACGGCCGCAGAGACAGGGAAATCTTTTTGTTAGACTTATCGACATCAATGATACATGCGCGGACAACTTCGTTCTTTTGGTAGGCATTAGGATCGGCCTTGGAGAAGTCGTCGGCCATGTCAATCAACTCGACCGCGCCAACTAATGTATCGTTGAGTTGCAAAACCACATGTCTCTCTGTGACTTTTGTAACGCGCGCTGGCAAAATCATACCAGCGGACAGGTCTTCGAACGACAGCTTATCGGTTGATTCACGCGCGGAAAGATCAATGTGGCCCTTTGCAGCATCAACCCCCGTCACATTAAGCTTCAATGCGCAGCCGATAGGAAAGTGCTTCTGTACGTCGCTCAGGAGAGAAAGATCATTGGACGAATCTATAAACCGTAATCTTCCACGGACACTGGGCGACAAGCTGACCCAAAATAAGTCATCGGCCAAATTGTTGACAAAACCAAAGTATGAGGAGCCAACTTGAATCTTCTCAATCGACAATGGCGCAAGCCTTTCTGCCTCGATAGTTTTGGGCTTCATCGAGAGCTCGAAGACGTGGTGCTTTCCGGCACGGTGACTGATGGGGAGGTATGTGAAACTGCGAGCGTCATGAAGACCCAAAACCTTGGCCGAGAGAACTTGTCCAGGATGGAGATGCTTCAACGGGTGCTTTTTGTCCTTAATGTCTTCCCAGTTGTCAAACACCTCGGAAATATCGATGCGGCCTTGAACATCGTCGGCGATCTTGACGTTGATCTGCGTTGCTTTGATAGAGTTTATCTTGCACTTTAATACTCGTCCAACCGTGATATCGGCCTTGGAAGACAGGCTGCTATCAATTGGGTTGACAAGAGCTTCCTTTGGTGGTGCGGTTTCCTTCACAGCACTGCTCTCCTTAGGACCGTCTGGTGTGGTTTGCGACGGGTCCATACTAAGGATGAACCTTTGGTAGTCAATGTCGAGAGAATAGACTGTGGCGGAAACTGTTTGTGAGATGGTCACGCCAAAATCAGGCTTTGCTGCATTTTCGAGGCTAACAAGACGCGCAGGAACAAGGCCAGTCAGTCCACCCAGGAACTGCACGAATAGCCCAATTGAGGTAATGTTCTTGACGAAACCTGTCACCTCAGCCCCTTCTTGGACGTCTTCAAAAGTGCTTGGCATTTTTCCTTCCTTGGCTGCTTTCTTGAGGCTTATTCGGCCAGTTACATGGATGAGTCGATGAGCGCGGTGGGTCTCGAGGACAACCAGGTCGTTGAGTTTCTGGCCAACTCTAACCTTGGAAAGGGCCGAGGAACGTTTGTTGATAGACCCATCGGAGATCTGATCCAGGCCCAAGCGAGCAACGAGGCCGCCAAAGTCATCTAGTTTCAGAAGAACATATTCGTCCGTCTTCTCAAACACAGTGCCTGTAACAAGCTGTCCGGGGCGGATGTTTTCAAAAGACGTCCTGTAGCCTTCAGCAAGGGACGATGGGTCTCTGCAAGAGACAGATAGTCTCTCCTGAGGTGCATCGACGTTAAGGGCGTGGACGTTGACAACCTGGCCGAGTCTAAAATGCTGCGAAGGGTCTCTGATGTAGGCTTCGCTCATCTCCGACACAGAAAGCCAGGCACGAATGTTGCCATAAAATTGAACGACTGCACCGTTGGGCATAATCTTGATGATGGTTCCCGGAGACTGTGCCCCAGGAGTGATGTCTCTGTAGTCCTTCCAGACGGTCGCCTCACTGTTCAACAAACTCTTCTTCAAAGTCAAGCGGACTTCACGCTTCTCCAGATTGACTGACAAGATCCTGGCAGAAACCGACAGTCCTTCCCGAAACTTCTTCTCAGGGTGTTGTATCTGCGTATCCGCGAAATGCATCGCCGGAATGAAACCAGTTATGCCATCGGCTAGGGAAACGATAAGGCCAGTTACTCCTGATTCTCCCACAAGCACCTTATCAATAGTGACCTTGACAACGGCACCGAGAGTGATATCTTCTAGACGAAGGAACGGTTGCTCGATAACCTTCCTCTCAAATGACAAGGCATAGAGATTGTCAATTGCGCCATAGCCGACGACTCTCGCCTCGTGGGTGCTGCCAAGTTTGAAGGGCCCATGGTCGTCGGAAATGGTCTCTACCTGTCCATCCGCAAGCCGTGAAACATGAACAAATCCAATGTGCTTCGTAGCTCCGATCTTCACGTAGACACCAAGACCCGGATCGACTTTGACAACTGTGGTTTCAGGAATCACAGCGGAGATAGCGGGTGCGTCATCGGAAGAATTGGGGCCATGACCCTCGGTGGTGAATTTCTGAATATGATCGAGCATGGAGAACCCAATCTTGTAGGGATCAGAGCCGGGAAAGGTGCATAGCAGGCGACCCTTAATCTTAGCACCAATGTGGTACTTCTTCTCCAGATCTGTTTTGCCCGAGGCGCCACTCGAATGCACCAAATCCACAGTAGTATCCAGCATGCCCATGATCTTTCCTATCATCCCAGTTGAAGATACTTCGGTCAGGAGAATCTCAGCTGCGGCTCCAGGAAGGAAGGAGTTGATAGTAGGAGCGGTGCTGAGGAAATGTGACTTTTTAATCGAGCCTGAGGACTGGAGGTTCGCGGACAGCTTGATAACGTTTCCACTCGTATTCTGGCCTGTGACCATGCAGAGAAAGACGGAACCTTCCTTGATTGTGGAGTAATCGGTCCTAGGGTCAATTTCCTTGGACGACATGAAGCCCTTCACATCGGAGCCTTCAATACCAAGGTCCATGATCAAACCATGGTCCTCTACGCTCACAACCGACGCTTGAACAGCAGTGTCGACGACAATGTCCGATGTTTGAAGTCCGGAATTTGCGGACCGAGGATCAATGGTAAGCTCGATGCGTTTCTTACTTTTTGAGCTGGCATCAGAAGACTTATTTCCGACAGATACAACATAAGTCCGTAGGTATTGGCCGACGTAGAAGTAATCGTTCAAGTCAAAGTCCTCCACGTCCGAATCTTGCTCATCCTCCAACATTTTCTCCAGCTTAGTCTCGAGGGTTTTTGATACGGCGGTGAGAGGCACGTAACCCGTCAGGTTATTCGGAAGGGAAATCCCAATGTTATGAGCGGTAATGCTGGAGACTTGTCCTAGAATCATTTGCCCCGGTACCAAGCGCTGCTTCTGTTAGCGAAGAGATACTTAAGATTCAAAAAAGAGTCGTCATACCTTGGGGCTTAAGCTTTCAATCTTCACGCCCTTTTTCTCACGCTTATCTGTCTTTGCGTCCTTTTTGCCTTTTCCTTTCTTCTTCTGGGGTTTCTTGGAAGAAACCGCTGTGGTGTCGTCCGCATCCTCCATGTCCGTATCGTCCTCGAAATCGTCGTCGTCGGCGGCTTTGGGTCCTTTTTTGGCGCCGCTCTTCTGCTCGAAGAGAACATCTTTTGTCGCTTTGATGTGAATTTGCTTCCGTTCAAGGGGGGTTAAAACACTTCCACCACCGCGAGGGAACGAAGGCTCATCATCCCGCAGCACAGTGAGCTCAGAGGCCTTCGGCGCAGAGTCGACAGAGCTTTTGCCGTCTTTCTTGAGCTCTTCTGTGCCCACGCGCACTCGTTTCTGAGGATTGCGGGCTGACGCCTCCTCGGCGGCATTGCCCTTGCGCTTGATGGGGGCCATGTTTGCTTCGAATGAAAGCGTGCGAAGCTCTCACTCTGATTGCAGAAAAATCGTCTTAATTGCGGGAACAAGATAAAAAAAAACTGGATCGCGGCCACTGACCGCCCTATATGTCCGGCAAATTCTTTCCACCGCCCACTCCGCGTCTGACACGAAAGAGGCACGTCGACACGCTCGAGCTCGGGCTCCTGGCCGCGACGTGATTATTGCTGGTGGATTCTCAGCTCCACCATGCCTCGATTCTTCCGCTTGGACTAGGTCCGACTGCCCTCCTCTCGCTCTTTCCTTCTCGTCCGCGTAGAATGTCTTTGTATATCTGTTTTCTCTATGGGACACAATGACTGGCAGTCATGATCTACCCGAAGTACCACGATCCGAACCTATCTTCTTCTCGCCGTCCCATGAGATTCCTTCTTCTCCTCCCTCAATAGCCTCCGAGGCTGGGGTACGACACAAGCCCAAGAAACCTCCACCAGTCACCCCTCGGTCATTCAGACGATTCTTCACGCCCCGTTCATTGCTGGATAGTGGGAGCAATGGCGGCGCTGTCAGGACTAGTCGTCAAGCTCTTCGAGCTCTCAGCTCTCCGGCAGTCAATCGACTGGGCCCAGCGTTCACGAGAACTTTGAAAGCTGTGATGAGCAGACCTGATCCCTCCGAAATTCTGCGGACACCAAGCAAGAAACGAAAGCTCTCGTTTTCGTCAATTGGGTCCCCTCTCCAATCATCGCCGTTACGGAAAGTCCGTATCAGGGGCTTGGTTGAGGAAGATGAAGAGCTTGAGGTGCCTGTGAAAGAGATCAATATGAACTCTGGAACGCGGAGAGAAGAAGAGGAACCCGCACCGCCTGCTAGGACACCGCTCAAGGTTTCCCCGGTCCAACGGTCCAGGGCACTGGAGACCTCAGGAGCCCTCTTCATGCGCAGTGTTCTCGGCGCTCGGGTAAACCGGGTGACTATGCGATCAAATTCCGGCGCTGGTTTGTAACTGTTTGTCATGGTGCGTGGTGTCATGCACTAACTATGATACAGGCTGGCAGGACTTGACCTCATCGTTCTATTCTCGACCTGAAGATAGTCACACTTGTACAAGCTCGTCGGGTGATCGGCTCGCACTCCCTTTTTGTACCGCATCATGCAACAGTAGGTGTGTTCTCTAGTATTCATGTCCAATGTCTCTAATTGTTAGCACAGCAAACACCCTCGTGGCTGTTGGAGACGAAGAAGGTGGAATTCGGTTGCTGGATTCTGCAAAACACGATAAAGCCGGGTTCTCAAAGGCATACCTAACATTTCGTCCGCACGCCAACGCAATCATGGATCTGGACTTCTCATCGGACGACATGCTGCTTGCAACAGCTTCGGGTGACCAAACCGCCATCGTCGTTGACATGGCCACCCAAAAACCAGTATACTGCTTGTCGAGCCACACTTCATCCCTGAAACAAGTGAAATTCCAACCTGCGGCCAACAATAAAGTCCTTGCGACTTGCAGTCGCGACGGCAACGTTAACATCTGGGATCTCCGGTGTAAGGGATTTGAGAAACCTTCTTTACAGGTTCAGTGCTCCCTTGAGTCTGAGACGGAACCCAATCCTTCCTTGTCGTCGAAAATGAGCTATCCACAAGTCTTCAATACTGTCCATGGTGCGCATGCCTGGATGCCTCAAACTATGGCCGCCGACAAACCCGAGCCCATGGTACCGCGCTCCGATATCACAGTTACTTCACTCGCATTCCTTCCCGATGGCCGGCAAAACCTCTTTGTCACCGCTTCTGAAGCCAATGCATGTGTACGGTTATGGGACCTGCGTACAGCGCATAGCAATCGTCGCGGTCGTCCTGCCCTTCCTCTTGCCACCACTCGGGAACCAGATAGTCACGTCAAATACCGCCGGTTTGGAGTTACAGCTATGACACTAGGTGGCGATGGCTCAAGATTATACTCGCTGTGTCGGGACGGCACAATATATGCCTACTCCACTTCTCATCTAGTCCTTGGTCACGCTCCAGAACTCTCTTTGAACAACGACCGTCCACGACGTTCGGGGGGGCCCGATAAGGAGGGCCTTGGACCTCTGTATGGCTTCCGTCACCCCAGCCTACGGGTTTCCTCGTTCTATGTCAAAATTGGCGTCCGCAAGGCCGCTGGTGACAAACCAGAAATGCTGGCGGTTGGAAGCGGCGAGCCTTGCCCTGTCATATTCCCCACCGATGAAAGATTTCTCGACTCTTGTGCTCAAAAGCAAATCCAAGCGGACCAATCACCGAGGACACCTTCCTTCTCTCCTCGCTCAGGCCTGCGCCGTACCAACTCCAATATTGGCCTGTCAGGTCGCCTAGAAGACGCTATCCCGATATACAATACCGGCACACCACTCATAGAAGGCCACAAAAAGGAGGTCTCGGCCGTGTCGTGGACAGTCGATGGCGAGCTAGTCACAGTCAGCGATGATTACAGTGCCAGATGTTGGCGGGAGGGTCCCCAGGCACGAGACCTGCGTACAAGTGAAGAAAATGATGCTCACAGATGGCGATCTGGCTGGGCTGCCACGAAAGATTCATATGATGACGAAGATGAATGATTATCGACGACCCGAAACCCCCTTCTACTTGCCCGCATTTCTGCGCGAGCTTCTGTCTGTTCCCCATTGCATCGTCTGATTCCCTTGCGAGCATTTTATGGTGTTGATGGTATATGGGTTTCATTTAGCGGGTGTTTGTTTTTCTGTAGAGGGTCTTGTCGCAAATTCAGCCTGCTTTCAACGACGAGCTCGCATACCTAGAAATGCATTATCTGTTTCTGCATGTTAAATCAGGAAATGAATGTCATCAGTATATAGCTGGCGCACCATCGAGAGTGTGAGACCTAGCATGAACAGCCAAGTGGATTGGACAGTCTGCCTTAAGCTCGGAGCCTTCTAATCGGGAATACAAGAGGCCTTGTATCGCCCAAAGGCGCTGTGGCGGAAGCTTATGACTTTGCCAAAGGCACTTTCCGGATGCAGGAGTTGATCTGCCTTTTGAGCGTGTTTGTCGGGACATAAATCTGCTGCCCCTGAACATCACTCAGCGAGAGTCGAAATTATCAGGAGAGTTCATCAATACTTCTGGTATGCGCCATACATTAATATTCTCGGGGGAAATGAGTAGGTACACCTACTCTTTGCCCACACGAAACAAGGCACCTTGGTGTAGTCATATACTACTAAGATCTTATTATACTTTTCATCGTCTAAAACTCCATACAATAGATGAAGAAAACAGCCACATCCAAAAGAAGTGAATGAAAGGGCTAAGTACTCTAATGATCATGGCCATGTCCATCATCTCCCTTCTGTTCAGGATCCAACTTGATCATGGTATCAATACGCATGATGGCAATGCAAGCCTCAACAGCACTCTTGAGCTGCTTGAGCTTACCCATGCTAGGCTCAAGCACACCAGCCTTGAGGCAGTCATGGACACGGCCCTTTGTCAGGTCGAGCCCGTAGTTGCGGTATTCCTTCTTCTTGGCAATGGCCTTCTCCTTTTCGTTGGCTTCGCCTTCCTGGACACGCTGGGAGACAGCGTGTCGCTTGCGGAGTTGGGCAACGAGTTCGGAGGAGTCTTTAGCAGCGTTCACGGCGAGGGTCTTGGGGACGATGAGGAGCGATTGGGCGAATTCGCCGATGGCTAGTTGCTCTCGAGAGCCCTGTGGTATCGTTAGTCTGAGTGTATTGGGAGACAAGTTGAGATACGTACAACTGTGACGGCGAATTCTTCGAGGTACATGTGAAGGGCTGTCTCGACGGCTCCACCACCAGGGACGATGCTGCCACTCTCAAGGGTTCGCTTGACGGCGCACAGGGAGTCGTGAACTGAGCGCTCCATCTCGTCTAAACTGAAGTCATTGGGACCTCTGAGGATAATAGAAGCGGAAGTGTGGACCTTGGTGCCCTTGACAAGGATACACTCGTCGTCGGATATCCGGTCCTGAACAACCTCATCTGCGTGGCCCAGGTAGGACGCCTCGAACTTCTCATCGCCGTTCAAGTCGGAAAGTGTGCTCACTAAGGTGGCTCCAGTAGCCTTGGCGATGCGTCTTAAGTCTTCCTTCTTGCAGCGTCGGACGGCCATCGCACCCTTCTCAACAAAGAGCTTGAGAACCATGTCGTCAATACCCTTGGTAGTCAAGACAACGTTCGCTCCAGACTTGAGAATCTTCTCCACACGTTCAATAACAATTCCCGACTCCCTCTGACGGATCTTTTCCAACTGGTCGGGATCTTCAACTGTGATTTGGACACCAAGCTTCATTCTCTCCTTCTGCAGGTTCATGTCAAGACAAGCAATCTTGGCATCTGTGATCCTCGTCTTCATTGCCTGGGAGGCAACGGTGCAGTTAAGAGCATAGCCGTTTACAAGGACCGACTCGAGTCCACTCTTTCCGTGCGCCTTCAACAGGTTCACTGCCTTAACCGGGTATTTAATCTCATTCTTCTGGTTTGTGGTCTTCACCAAGAGCATTGCGTCGACAACAAGGTTGGCGAAGAAATCAGCATCAGCGCCAATGATCTTACTCGACATGGACGTTTTCGCAATGTTAATCAAGCTATCTTTTCCAAGGTTCTCGACCTTTGAGGCGATGTTCTCGTTCATATATTTCACGGCCTCGCGGAGCGCTAGCCTGTATCCGTTGATGATGGTTGTAGGGTGAATGCGGTTCTTCATCAATTCGTTTCCACGTCGGAGGAGTTCTGCGGCAATAAGGACGACAGAAGTAGTACCATCTCCAACCTGAAATAGAGTTCAGCAAGTTGACTCCGGGGTGGTTGAGTGCTAAGGGGTGGGGAAACGGACCTCCCTATCCTGTTGCTGGGCTAGGTCCACGAGAATCTTGCCAGCGGGGTGTTCGATGTCCAAGAGACTCAAAATGGTAGCTCCATCATTGGTGACCGTTACATCCTAAAAACCATCAGAGATTATTTGAGGCAGCGCGGGCTGCGGGAGGTGCGTACACCGATATCATCCACCATCATCTTGTCCAGGCCAGAGGGGCCAAACGAGGATTTGACCACATTTGCAATCGCTTGTGTCGCAAGGACTGTGATACTGTCAGGATACGGATGAACCGGACGTAAAACGACGTAAATCTTGAATCGACATACCGCACTGGTCTCGAACATCAGCACCGGTGATTTTCTGCCCTCCCAAGACTGTGTGATTCAGTTAGTTTGAGCGGGGAAGAGCATTATTCTCGAAGAATGGGGTCAAGAACGCACAGAGAGTATCCGCATTCCGCGGTGCTTCGAAGATTCCTGCCATAATGTAATAGACAAAAGGGAGACTGTTTGAGCGAGATTCGAAGCTCCGACAGCTGCTTTTCTGGACAATCAATCCATGCTGCTCCTCGTGTTTGCGCTAACGGAGTTTTGCCGCGGGCGGTGAAGATTTTCCAGCCCACTTTTGACTCAGGCCCCTCCTCATTCTCCGTCCCACGAGACTCCTGCCCAGTTGGTGATTGCCTTTGTCCTCCTTCATATTCCCTTTCCGGCTGACTCTTCTGGCCTCAATACGGATCTCACCACAATGGCCGACCAAACCCCCGCCGACACCACAGGTGCCTCTCAGACTCTGCCTGACCGCACACAGGCCCCCGCCGCGGGTGATGCCCCCCAAGGAGAGCCTTCAAAGAATGCCGCCAAGAAGGCTGCTAAAGCCGCAAAGATGGCTGCCGACAAGGCTGAGAAAGCTGCTAAGGCCGGAAAATCTGGACAAGGCCAGAAGAGCGGTGGCAAGGGAGGGAAACCCAACCCTGATAAGGCTTTGATTGGTATCGATGTCTCCAAGGAGGAGGACTTCCCAGGCTGGTACCAGCAAGTTCTTACAAAGGGCGACATGCTCGACTACTATGATGTCTCTGGCTGCTATATCCTGAAGGTAAGCGCTGAATCAATGGGTGGTCGAAATCTCAGAATCGCGTGCTGATAAGGACCAGCCCGCTTCCTACTCCATCTGGGAGGAGATTCAACAATGGTTCAACCAACGCATCAAGAAGATGGGGGTCAAGAACTGCTCTTTCCCCCTGTTTGTCTCGGAAGATGTTTTGCAAAGAGAAAAGGACCACATTGAAGGGTTCGCTGCTGAAGTCGCTTGGGTGACTCATGCGTATGCTATACCCTTATCTACCTTGCCCTAGGTGTTTCGATGCTGATACTCCTTCTGTCTGTAGTGGTTCCACCCCTCTCGAGAAGAAGATTGCCATCCGTCCCACGTCCGAGACTGTCATGTACCCTTACTACGCCAAGTGGATCCGTAGCCACCGAGACCTGCCCCTTAAGCTCAACCAGTGGAACTCCGTCGTTCGATGGGAGTTCAAGCACCCCCAGCCTTTCCTTCGTACCCGTGAATTCCTTTGGCAAGAGGGCCACACCGCACATCTTACTCAGGAGGGCGCTCATGAGGAGGTTCTGCAGATTCTCGACTACTATGCGCAAATCTACGAGGAGCTCTTGGCCGTCCCTGTTGTAAAGGGTCAGAAGACTGAAAAGGAGAAGTTCGCTGGGGGTCTCTACACCACTACCGTCGAAGGATATATACCTGCCACCGGCCGTGGTATTCAGGGTGGTACCTCCCACGGCCTCGGCCAGAATTTCAGTAAGATGTTCGGCATCACTGTCGAGGATCCTTCTGCCAAGCCCGATGAGAAGAAGCCTCACCTTCACGTTTGGCAGAACTCGTGGGGCCTGTCCACCCGTACCCTCGGTGTCATGGTCATGATCCACAGTGACAACAACGGATTGGTCATCCCTCCCCGTGTTGCCGAGACCCAGGTCGTCGTCGTCCCCGTCGGCATCACCGCCAAGCTCACCCCTGAAGACCGTGAGAAGCTCTACGCCGAGGTCGACCAAATCGTCGACACCTTGACCGCCGCCGGTGTCCGTGCCACCGGCGACAAGCGCGAAGGGTACTCCCCAGGCTGGAAGTTTAACGAGTGGGAGCTCCGCGGTGTCCCCCTGCGCATCGAGTTCGGCCCCGGCGAGTCCGCAGGCAACTTCGTCAGCACCGCCCGCCGTGACATCCCCGGCAAGGAGGGCAAGTCCACCCTCCCCCTCCCAGAGCTCTCCACCGCCGTTCCCGCTCTCCTCGAAACCATCCAAAAGGACATGTTCACACGCGCCGACAATCTCTACCGCTCCCACCGGAAGCTCATCACCAACTGGGATGACTTCACCCCCGCGCTCAACGACAAGAACATCTGTATCATCCCCCACTGTCTGACAGAGGAGTGCGAGGACCAGATCAAGGACATGAGTGCACGCAAGGCCGAGGAGGACTCTGGTGTCGCTCAGGACTCTCGCGCTCCCAGCATGGGCGCCAAGTCCCTCTGCATTCCCTTCGACCAGCCCGAGGGCATCGTCCCCGGCGAGACCAAGTGCACCAACCCCAAGTGTACTCGTCTTGCTGAGAAGTGGTGCATGTTCGGCCGTAAGCTTCCCCTCTTTCTCTTTCTTTCCATCCGAGAACATCATCACTAACAAATCATCCATCCCACAGGCTCCTACTAGACAGTATAAACAGCACAAAGAACGTCGGGGCTATCTTCACCCCGACAAGGAAACATTTTCTCCACCCGCGCTGATAGCGGTTTCCACGAATGACTCTTACGACTTTTAACGTCACCCATATCATCACCCTTCCGAGACGAGTATTTAGTAGGATGTGGTGGTAACATAACGTAACATATGAAGAAAAGTAAAGTAACAAGCGAACAAGCGGAGCAAGTTGGTGCTATGATATGTGGGGAGGGCGCGGGGGCGTGGTTTTGATGGGCATTGCACTTGGGATTTCGTTGCGTTAAATAAAATAATAAAAAAAAAACCAAGATCTACACGGATTTCCCGGGGAGTCAGCTTATGAGGGGGAATATGAGACCATTTATCACGCCATGCCAGTAACTTAGCGTTGTTAGTCACTCTACAAGTAGATGAATCAAGAAGCAGGAACGATGTGTATCAATAACCCACTAGTCAAAGTGGGTATGTATTATTGTCTTCAGCGTGTCCTATACAGTAGTAGGACAACATATGCCACCAGTTTGTGCATATAAAAAGAGATAAGACGGACGGATGGACGGACCGTGGGGAATATGTCCAGACAATTCGAGAGCAATAAGCCGGTTAGATAGAACCAGATGGTTTTCAAGGAAAGGTTGCGCAATGCTAATGAGGGAGAGTTGTGGAGGGAGTGATAGGTTACTTTTGCCTAGGCAGGATTCCTACCAAGCAGTCAAGACTTGGGTCGTGGTGTCATGTTAGAGTTTATGGAAGGGAGGAGAGAGAGAGTGTGTGTGTGTGTGTTTGTATGAATGACAAAGCGCCATGTGGGTGCTGTGAATCAATAAGATTCGACTGACCGGCCGCTTGGACTCTGATGCTCATTCCTAGTGAATGAATTCCGCAAATTTTGGCCGTGGCTTGACTTTCTGGGCCAGTTCATCAGCCGGTATGCATTTCGCGGTGATGTGTTCTCAGCGACATAGGTCACATTATTTTCGTCAACACCATGGATCTGAACCCGAGGAATGCTAGGAATGCTGGGAAGATGGATAATTTCTGAGTCACTATCGTTCGTTGAAAAGCTGTTTGGGCTGTCGTCGGCAGACGGCGAAGTCTGGGCGCGCATATGAAGGACCGAAGGTGCGGCCGTCGAGCTGGGGCGGCTTCCGTTGCTCTTCGAGGTATTTTTGCTCCGTTTGGTGTCATTGGACTTCTCGGAGCGCAAGATGAGATCCATATATGTCAGTTGCTCTTTGGGCGGGCTTGGCGGTTGCTCCATCGTTTCAAAGAACCCAGGAGAAGGAAGTGGAGCGTCTGTATGCCGTCGTCGGTTGGGGGCATTGAGTGAGATGTTGGCGGGAATACTCGTCGATATACTCTTTCGGGCTTCCGAGTCTCGTCTGTGTCTCTTAAATGAGCCCTTGCGAATAAGCTTCGACAATTGCCCATCCTTCAGAGAAATGGAACCAGATGTTCGTCGTGCTCTTGGGCCCTTTTCAAACGAGTGTTGAAAAGGAGATGGTGTAAACGGGGGACCTGGCTCAGGAACAGGGACTCGCTGGAAAGCCTCGTGTGAGTTTATTTCGCGGATAATCGCGTCTTGAAGAGTTTCAAAGGTCGGATGCGGTGATATGGCCTGGCTGGAGGCATATGCTTTGCGGAACATATCCATAATCTCGGCGACTTTCTGATTCGAGCTTGGAAGCGGAGACGGTATTGGTGTCGGTGTTGCGACCGGTAGAGGACTATTCATGACCTCTGCGATACTAGGGTTCTGTTTCATTTCGTGGCTGCTTGGGGTTGGGGGTTGGATGGCACGGTGAACAATTTTCTTCGGCCTTCCCCGAGCAGCCAATTCGGTATTGATGGAAAGGTCCAAGACATTCTTTTTTGAAGAGGCCTTCCGTTCGTATTTTGGTCGTTTTGGCACTTCTGACATGCTCGGCAAACGGGGGCTTGGGGTCGATGTTTCTCGTGAATCTTGCTGCCTCCGACTGTCATTCGGTCTACGCTGGACGGATGTGATCGTTGGTAACGTTGGGCTGTCGGGTAGGGGAGTATTGCTCCAAGACTCTCCTTGTTTGTAAGCAGGAGGGACACCCAGATGGGTGTCAGTACGTGAGGAACCTCCGCGCGACGTAGAAGACTGCTCTGATAACACCGTTGGGGCCGATCTCTGCGTTCGCAGCAAGCCGGGCGTAGAAGGTGTTGAATCAGTCGAGTCAGCGACCACCTGATCCCGAAAGGATTTTGGTACAGAATAGAGTGCTTCCTGCGAAATCGAGTTCACAAGCTGGCTGTCTTTGGTCCTCGCACGTGGACGGGCTTTTACATCACCGCCATGCCGTTGATACTCTAATTGGTAAGAATGGCTGGTGTCAAGACGAGATGGAGAAGGACTCCGAGAAAGGGACCGGCTCCTTCTTCGGTTCTGAGCGATGTTCCGGTCTGCAACATCCTCCTGGTACAGAGCTGAGATGATGCGACTGTAGGCATTCCTGCTCTGTCCACCGCGTGCTCGAAGAAACGGCGCCATGTTGCGTTCCGCGACGTCCTCATTGTAGGGAGTTATTGGAGACATCACGGCCGCAGACTGCATCTGGTAGCGATGAGACGAGAACAATGCATCAAGGAGGTCAACATGGCGTGGGTTCTTGGTCGTGCGACGGCTCGAAGCACGGGAAGGCGGAGCATGCGAGGCAGGAGACATTGGTCGTGTCCTTAGCTGATCGTGCATCACCTCGAACTGCCTTTCAATGTTCTGGAAGTGTTCATTCTCACTCAACGCGGGGGAGTTTCTTGAATTCGGAGTGCGCCGTGGTGGACTCTGTGTAGTACTAGAGAGCTCTCGATTACCTGAAACCGGGGTCGACGGAGCCTTCTCCGCATGGAAAAGGCGTCGCAGGGCGACCATACTTGGTCAGTGCGCCCAGCGAGGTCTGAGAAGCGAAGTGTAGCTCCAAAGCTCACGCGAGCTGATAAAAACGAGAATTGTAAAGAGGTATGTTCTGGAAGACAACAATTGAGGGAAGGTGGGGGCGAATTGTAACGAATGGAAGCAATGGAAGCAATGGATCAACACGTTGAAAAAGGGCGAAAGAACGAAGAAGCCGGAGTCATCACATCTCGTTCCTAAGGGAATGTAGGAAGTTGGAACGCCGTCAAGTTGCAGGTTCCCCGTCTGGAGGAGGAGAAAAGAGTTCAGAAACTGTCGCCATGCAGGAGGAGGGGAACAAAAGGAAAAAAAAGAGACAGCATGAAAAAAAAGAAACGAACAGGCCAGGAACGGGCTGCTAACCAGAGGGCTCTGGAGTTTGCAGATCACACGAATTAATTCTCGATCAGGGGGGCTAAAATAACTTACAAGTGGTCCAGGTCTCCATCCAAATCCCAGAACCCCGGGGCTGAATGAGCACGAAAATGTTCGGAATGCGGCCGCGCCTGTACGAACGAGGAAGGAACAAGAGTCCAATTGCGTTGGGCATTGGATTTACCTGGAATATTGGGTCTTGATGTGTAAAGCCCGAGTCCGTAGTGCTATCTTCAGTGCCAACCGTAGAACGTGCGCATACAACAACGTCTTCATGCGGGCTCATGCGGGCCGGCAGCGTTAGACTCCCGTGACAGCAGCCCTGGAAGCTGGACTGACGGGCTCGGAATTTGGATCTTCACTCGCTCTGCTTCAAGCGTCGCAATTGATTCAGTCTAGCCATCTTTGGAGCTTCAAGGGCACGAGCAGGCTGAGCAGCCCATGGAGATAAATCCCGAGTACCAGGCACAACCTGAGGAAAGAATAAACGACACCCGAAAGTCATAATTAGCAGAAGAAGCAAATCCATGACGACCAAAAAGCAAAAAAAGAAGAAAAAAACCCAATTTCCAGGCACGAACTAGAGACAGCTCAGGATGGGGCTGATCGTCGCCAACAATCAACCGGCCTCATCTGCCAAGCTCCGCCCGATTCCAGACCACGAGTTATCGGCATGGACTTTGTTGGTTTTTGTCCATCAACAATGGCCGTCGAATTGTCTCACAGTCTGCAGCACGATCAGGAGCTTGAGAAGATGGAGAGGAAGAGGATGGGAATCACATGGCCCACACCAAAGTAACGAGCATCTTGCTCTTTTCTGAAAAAGACACTAATCTCATCCTGACTTTAAGCTAGGTCAACCATCACACACCTGAAACACCGACTCGAAATACCACAAATCTTGATCGGAATTGTACCTCCCTTGGCTCGCGAACTGAAATAAGGCAAATCAAAGATTGAGAACCTCAAAAGGAGTCTATAAAAAGAGTATCAAATGGATCCGACACTCTGGCCCCACGGTACACAAAAACGAATATCCATAGAACTCGATAACACCGCCACATTGACAGTTAACCCCTGAAACCATCGGCGGGACCAGAATCAACAGTCAATAGTTGCTCGGAACATAAGCCGTTGCGCTAGCGAAATGCATACTTGACAGCTGGAACAGTCGGATGGCGGAAGCCAAAAGTTAAGGCCGACGAGGACGCTGCGCAACGCACACAATAATCGAGAATCGAGATATATGCAAGATGCGATTCATTGTGGTACATAATCGATATTCGATACGATCGATGAGATCTTAAAATCGAGCCTACTCAGCCTCTTGGAGACCCAGCGCCGCTAGTCTCGGAGCCCCTTTCCTCCTCCTCTTAGGCTCTTTGACCTTTGATGAGTCTCTATCTATCCAGTCGCCCTCGCTCTCACCTCACAGACCAGGACTAGCAACTATTGAACAAGTGATCGCCCACTCTTCTTGATCCAACCCGTCTTGCAACTGTTTTTTTGAACCGGCGCTCAGCGCAACCAACGTTGAGTGTTGTAGAATCCGCTGAACAACGCAGAGAGACGCGGAAATGAGTCAGCCTATCAAACCAACAACTCGCTTCCTGATCAATCACACAACCAGTGCTGGGGACAGGTTCCCCATCCATCGCCAATTTGGTCAGCACCACGAGAAACCTCGAATTTGCTGTTCTTTGTTGTTGTTGGTTGCGGGGACTCCAACCCCAACTCCGCGATAGGCTACCTAGTTCAGTGTGACAGCTCTCATACCCTGGCAGATATCACAACGGCACGTAATCCCTGGCACACGAAGGATCCCTGCTTAATATATGCAACAGTAACGTTCTGGCTCTCAAGGAGTGCATTGACCCACGATTTATTAAGTAGCCCATATACGGAGGCCTATCGGGACACCTGCAAAAACGAAATTTTGGTGTTCGCTGAATTTCATGCTATAGATTCTGCCATGGAAGCTACTAGTGCCACGCCCATTCTATATGGGTGACTATATAAGCAACTGCGCAACTACGCAAGCAACTATATGAGCGACTGTATGAGCGACTATGCAAGTAATTAATAATACTACTACTAGCAGGGTCTCATATATTTAATATAGTCACTTGTATACTTACTTATAAAGTTACTCATGGAGTTACTGGCGCAGTTACTTATATATTTACTATATATATATATATATATATATTACTTATATAGTTACTCGCACAGTCGCTCATACAGTCACTCATACAGTCGCTCATATAGTTGCTCATATAGTCGTTATGCAGTCACTTATGTAGTCACTCATGCAGTGACGATTAGGTACGTAGAATAGAAGGTATAGGGTGTAGTACGAATAGATTATTCTTACTAATGTAGTTCAAGCAGGCGGCTGGTAAAGCGGTAAACATAAAAAAAAGGTTTTTGCAGGTGTGTCCCGATAGGCCTCCATACCCATACAAGCTGTCCAGCGTAAAAAGGTCGGTCGGAACTCGGTCGAAGGTCCAAAAAAATCTAGCTTATATCGTCGCGTCGCCGCGGTAGACATATCTTGCAGAACAAGGATCGCTTCTGCCGTATGCAACTTTCCGAAACTAGTTTATCGCGCAGAAATAAAAGATAACGTTGGATTATTTCTATGTATAAACACGGCATATTGGCGGTTGAAGCAAGCGATTCTTTCGACTTCTTGAAACCCGAATATATATCTCCAGACCGACAACCATCGATCATCCCAGCACCAGGGCAGTGAACCTGATTGAAATATCAAATCACGAGTGGGAATCCCAATAGCATGTCATCATACAAGAGAGTCCATTATACTAGTGCTCACTAACACTCAATGACATGATAAATTGATGCGATGCGACGCCGGAAACACAGGCCTGGAACGAACACTACCTACCGTCATTGTACGACCTCGAAATCTGAAGTTGGACCAATTGGGGTCGATTTCACAAGCTATCTTTCCCAAAGAACAGCTGCAATATTCCTGGTTTATGGCCGCGAGTAACCTAGTTAACATAAGATACTGAAGATACAACTGCCCCAATTCACTTCAACGCCAGACCACAAATTGCAGACCGGAAAACCCACCTGCGCAGTAGTGCTTTAGATACAACTTCTCTGTCCTAAATCAGAAGGTAGACCTGGTGTGAAAGTCAAGCCACCTGAGAACCATCCCTAAATCTCCTCATCCATGAGATTATAAGTGGCCTCCTCAATGCCGCTATCCTCCTGGACCGTTTTGGCCTTGGCCTTTACATTCTTCTTCTTCAAACTCTTCTCAACACACTTCTTGCTCTTTGCCATAGGCGTAGCCACCTTCCTCTTCTTCTGCGGAGATGCAGGAGCGGAGACCATCTCCTCGTCCTCTTCAGTCGAATCGCCCGCGCCGGCGCCCATAGTGGTACAAGCAGGAGTAGGGGACGAAGCAAGGCCGTCAGTGGCTCCGTCGGTAGGCTTCAGATTAACTTTGCCGTTGATCATCCCGCTCTCGATAAGCTTCTTCAGGCGTGAGTGGCGCATGCGTGCGGCGGTGCCTTTCAGGCCTGTTGCGGCGCCGACGGCTTTGAAGTCGATCTGTGAGGGGGTTGCTTGTGTTAGTGGAAGTTTTATGAGATAGGGTGAAGTAAAAGAGGGGAGAAAGTGGACGACGGATGAGGGCCGAATAAGGGCCATTACTGCTTACCTTGGTGTAGTCCGAGTGGATCAGGCACAGGTAGAGGAACATCAGACTAGGGTCTGGGAGGGAGTTTGCAGGCATTTTTGCGAGATGGAGGTTGGTGTTTCTGGTTTGAAAGTGGTTGTAGGTGGTTAGGTAGAGGATGGCTTGACACTGATGTCGAGGTTGATAGTGGACAATGAGGTTGTTTGGGCAGGTTGATGGGAACAGTTTGGAAAGTAGGAGGATGGTTTGTTTAAAAGAGGGATGAGAGATGAAAGGGGAGAGAAGAGGGGAGTGTTAATGAAGGGTTGTTTTTTTAATAATGAGGGTTAACACTGAGGATTAGTTAGCGACGCCGAGCAAGGCCTCACTTTTGTGGAATGACGAGGTAGATAGATAGTAGGTAGCTGTTCAAAACAAGTGAATGCTATCACAGGTCATATTCCCATGACATTACTTGGCTGGCTTCATTTACCATGACATTTAGAACTGAGACTCCACTATTCAGGCGACGTTGGAAAGCAAGAATATAGGAAGAGGGTGGGGTGCGGGGGCGGGGGCTGCTACAGGTTGATGAGAAAGAGGACGAGTGATGGGGGTTTGCATTGGAATAAACGTGAAGGCATGATGTTGTATATTGCATTATGTGGTTTTTCCACTCGACAAACCGGCAAACCGCTCTGCCGATTCGAGAACGGCTTCTGCAAGCACCGAGTGCGCTCCACGAGCCGCATCCACAGCACCATCTATCAGCGCCTCGTGGGTGAGATTCTTATCGGCAGTCCCTACCGATGCCTTCGAGATGTCTCCCTTGAGCCACAGCTCAGTAATCTCATCGCGCGCAGGCATATAGGCAACCACACAAGCCGACAAGATCGACGGGTGATCCGCCGGGTCCGTATCAAGCATCAGCTTCGGCGCTGAAGTGTTTCCCTCAGTAGTTTCATCGGCAACCACTGCAGCCACACCTCCAGCAACAAGATCAAGACAGTCGATTCGTGCGTCGGCAATAGCCGCAGACGCAGCCGTAATGCACCCCGCCAGAACATTCATCATTCCCCAAGCCGCATCATGAGAGTCGGGCGCGTCGCCCCACCACCGGTCATCCTCCGCTTCCAAGACTGTGATGGTAATATCGAGGCCACTCTTTGGCCACCTCTCTGCAACAATGGCACCCCTAAGGGCAGTCTCTAGGTGCACACAGAGATCACGTTCGCTGGCATCGCGGATATGCCCTTTGCGCTGCCGAGCCGCAAACGGTGCGTACTTGACGTGTGTGGTGAGGACGAGGTTGGGAGAGAATGTCGCGGATCGAGCTAGTGGCTTGGGGCCGTGTACTGTGCATGCGAGTTTGAGTGATGAGGAGGGTGGGATGACGGATTGAGGTGATGCCCGCGCAGCGGAAAGAGAGGCAGAAGGTTCGAATTCGAGGTAGGAGGATCCGGAAGCTGAAGGGATGAGGCCGGTTTTGAGGACTGGGGAGAAATCAGTTTGAAGTCCGATTAGAAGGGTTTGCAAGCCTTACAGATTTTCCGCAGCTCATTTGGCTGCCTTTGACGTCGCGGTCTCTCCGCCGCAACGGCAGTGGGCTTGATGAAAGAAGCAAAGACTGGAGGCCGTGTGCCGCCAGGCGGCCCATTGATTCTTCGTCTGTCAGTCATTACACATGTCTTGGGCTCTCCAACAGTCTCTGCCCGATCGAGAATACCCAGATAAAGCTATTAAAGAAAGATACCAAGTCTTGAGGAAGCTGGCGTTGATCCCAGGCGGAATCTACATTTTCGAGATGTTTGCACTGTTTGCCGTGGGTGGACCCGCTCTCCTCACCTATTTTTTCTCGCTTTTCTTTTCTGTTTCTCTTCCTCTTCCCACACACTCGCAGCTTTCGACAGCTTGCCCCTCAAATGTTCGAAGGCGCCATTTGCTGCCCTGTTATTTCGTATATTATCACCAGTCTGACTTGATGCTAACTGTATTATGTGAGTTTATCCCCATCATTGATTTACGTGCTCTTCCATGAGGAAACCGATCCAAAATCTTAGTTCTGGCGACAAACAAATGGGCCATTGAACAACATGCACTACCATCTGATATTCATTTTACAACGCTATACATTCCTCCAGTATTTCTGGTCTTCTTACTGACAAGATCCCAGGTAGTCTAGCTGATCGAAGATCATCCTTGTCTCGTTGACTAGAGGTAAGAATTTCTGCATTTTTTCCCGCAGCACGTTTTGTGATGAGACAAAATTTTTTTCAGTTCTGCTTCTGCAAACACCTTGAAGAAAAACAAATACCTTACCAAACCTTCTGATCCAACTCATTACCCTTTCCATGTCACCGCTTTCTCTAGAGGTTTAACAAGCTGACATTCGAAAAGATAGGGCTTGTGATTTGCTCTTAGCGTTATGCCAAAAGGTACAAAGCCTTTCCCTCCACAGGCGTCGCATATACCCGCATTACCTTTTATGATGACACCTAGTCAATCCATTCAATGATTCTCTTTGAGAAATCTCCTTTCGAGCCTGCATCGGCCGACGAGACGTTGCACTTGGACTCATCGATCCACTTTCCGCCTCCCTAATACCGGACCTATTCCGTCTGCTTCTTCGGAAGCGCTGTGAATTGGGAGGATGGTTGTGGAGTGTTGGAGGGTGGGCTCACATCGTTGTACTCCTCGCATTGTTCGAGTAGCTATTGCTTGCTTGACTTGTGTCAGGTCTTTCTGGGAAACTGTTGTCCGTCTTGGGTGACATGCTCTTGGGTCGTACTTGGCAGAGGATGGGATGAATTAACCGGCTTGCCTGATCAAATTGCAGCCAATGTGCTGGCATTGTCATATTTCTTGCACAAGTTACATTCGAGCACGGCAGCTAACGCGTCGCTCAGATGTAGTGCACATATTACGACTTGAGGTCTAACCAAGGTCAGGTCTGAAATGAGCTGTCTTTCCAAGAGTGAGTCCCATCAAATCTCCTTCAAAGTTCTATTCATCGCCAGCCTTCTATCCACTGCTTCGTCAAAACATATGATCAGATGATGAAATATTTTCGGATGTAAACTCACAGACCTGTTCTGAATTGCGCAAACAATTGTGTGGAAATTTCCGTTGCCTTCCTTCTGAATTGATCATACCCCCTACACTATGCTGTTCTCCATGACCATTAAGGGCTCAGGCTAACATTGCCTGACAGAGATCGAAAGCTTATCTAGTTGTCTATGAAGTCAAATCAAAACACCATAATGGATCTTTACTTCTTCATTCACGTCACTATTGTAACCTTAATCTCCCTCCTTCGTACATATATCATGACCTCTTCTGTTCACTCTACGCCTCTTGTTTCCAATGCACCCTTCATTTTCCCGAAGCACCCGTCGGACCTCCACTCGCACGAAAAGTAAACAAGTGATCCCTAACCTCGCCGCAAGATTCAGCATGGAAGGCGGAGCCACTCATTTGCATGAGTTCGACTCTCGAAAATACGAACTCCAGGCCTTATTGCACGAGCCAGACTTCAGGGATGATGTACCTAATATAAGGGCGGCGCTTGGATATTATCGGGAAAACGCAATACCCCATGATGAGAAAGGTTGTATCATGTTCTACAATGGCAAAAGGATTCATGTACTGGATAGCGCCTCCCTCCAATATTCCGGTAGGCTCTGGATTGAGGTATGCCTGTTGATTCTCAATCCAATGATCGTGGACCAGGACCTCTAATTGGAAACAGAAATTCTCCTCTCGCCTTAATCTCAATCGGGTGACCAAAGAACTCGTGGCCTTGCGGAAAGTTGAAGTGTTGACTGTCAAGATGGAACCAAGTCACCCCTGCAGCCAACGTGGTCCGCCTTCTCATAGCTCACCAGAGCCCATGGTGACACCGGACTCGGCGGCTACGGCTAATGGCTCGGTGGTCTCAACCCCGACTATACCATCTCTCTTGTCAGAGCCTTCATTATCGGAGCGGGGAGAAGAGATACACAGATCTGACGCGAACACAAGTGCAAGCTCAGGATTCGCGCCAGAAACCTCGAACGGTTGCCAACTCGGCCCAGCGATGCTCGCCCGTCCAGAGGACACAGTCCCAGCAATCTGCTTGGCGCTTCCGCCACAGAGCAATGCAACTAGATGGCCAGCGAGCCAGAGTTATTTCGACTCCTTGAATCGCTTGGAGGAGGAATGGAATGCTCACAAAAGGCCCCTACATTACGACGTGATGTCTGCCGACACCACTTATTCATTCTCTATGTCGTTCACAGAGGCAGACGAACTGACCAAAAAAATGGAACACTCGCTTCTGGAGCAGCAGGCCCCCGGACAAGCCCCATCGAAAGAGCCCAAATCAAAACTCACCGACCCCGCTGGTCGCCATTTTCGCGTTTGCCGTGCCTGCAGGGGAGCCGGTGATGTCCCTGACGAACCCGAGTGGTATCTTGGCGGTAGGCATGGTGCAGAAGGTGCTGCATCCATCCCCGGGACAGACTTCCCTGCAAAAAGGAAGAATATCACACCCAGCTGGTCTCGCACCGAGATGGAAATGTTGGGGCATGACGCTGCTCAACGAGGAACCCGTGCCGTCCGGACATTCCACCGACCGTCCCACAGCCGCGACTGGCCTGTAGACAAACTAGACGATGTCAGCAACCCTGCTGTAGCTCGTGCTGATGGTTTCGCTCCCAATCCTCCTGTTATGCCTGGACCCGAGGGTCCTCCTTCTCACCTAGAGTCTAAACCCTCTGAGCCACTCGAACTTGATGCTAGTGCTTCTGAGAGAATTTCACGCACACTGGAACGTCTCGAGGCGAAATTGATACTTCTAGAATCCAGGCTCGATGATATGGATTAAGACGAAGGGTCTGATCTTGGCTTTTATGGGCTTATCATGTCATGCTCTGATCTGTGCTGTCTGGTTGTGATATGAGGTACTGTGAAATATATCCTAGGAAGTGGACTCGATGCGCTAGGATTCGTTTGATACTTTAACAGGAGCATTGGCAATAATTTGGAAATTGCCATTTGGTGTACGGAAAACTGAAGATTTTTAAGGTAATATAAATTGACTACTTTGATATAATGATATTTATGTCCTAACAATGTATATGCACGAAAGCAAGAAAGGAAGCGCCACCACCCAACTACCGCCTACTCCCCGTGTAGTCCATGCAAAACACCCCCCTCTGGTGATATATCCTGTATCCACGGGAAAGGACAATCAAAACCAGGAACCACTTTGCCGAACTCCCCTGTTCCCCTTTTTTATTTTCCATTTTCTTCATTTCATCAGGGTTGAGAAAGCGTTAGGATGGATAAAGATTATCAGCCCCAGGCACTCAATCTGACGTCTAAACATGTCCGTCTCTATGGCGGCCGTTTCAGGTATTCGTAAGCCATCTCACTGGGAGTTTATTCTTTGCCCTCAGTTGGCGTGGTGGCGCCGTTTCGGGAAATACTATAAGGAGCCTAGTGATTGTGATGTTAGTAAGGCAAGACGCGAAGGCTGAGTGAGGTTGAGATAGGGATTAAAGGGATTCGGAGTTGAAGGTCCGACTTACCAGGACTCTCTTTGCGTTGCAGATCCGCCGGGCGAGGTTGCGGACATTGCCGTCGGAGCGGACGACCTCAGGGGCGAACTCAACACCGAACCTAGAAATGGGTTAGCACAACCATGACTGCAGTAAATAGGTATAAGGGCTCACATTTGGTGAACGGCAAAAACGACCCTCTTGGCGAATTTACCATCCCGATCGACCAAGCTTCCGTACTGTTCCTCGACAGTCTCCGGTGCGATCTCCGGGTCTAGGTCGAAGCAGTTCTGGACCACAGGCAAAAGGCTCGTTTCAACGGCTGTCTGGGACATGTCAAAGTGATCTTCCTCTTCGAAACGAGGAATACGGATCTCAAACGGTCTTGAGATGGCCATGACATTGTGCTTGCCGTTGTGGTGGTAGCGGAATTCAAATACACCTTGGCTCCAAAAGAGCTTGTCTCCGGAGAAAGACACCTCACCAGTTGCGATTTCGTGCTTGTCCCCACCGTCAATTTGGATGGTTGAGACAAGATCACTGGTGATAATGCCCTTTTCGCAGGTGAGGTTGTCGTACGAGCCTTCATTGATGGCAACCCATCTGCCTTGTGAAGACACGCGGGAGACCTCTCGGGATGTGTTGTCAGTAACCTTGTACAGACCAATCCAGTCCTTCTTGCTGTGGTTGAGAGGGGCAGTCCATTTGACTTTAACCGGGGCACCGTACGGGAAGACGAGGTTTTCGAAGTCACCGCGTCGGTCAAGAGGCGTGCGAGCGGCGTCTCCCTCCTTGCTGAGGTCGCCTTCATCGAGAGGTAGTGAGCCACTTGCATCGACGGACAGAGAGTAGTCCCGCAGATCGTACCCGGCTAAGTCAGCATCAATGCGTGAGATGGTAACACGGGCAGGATATTTCTGGAAAAGCGCAGTTGTGTCCCGGACGAACGTGTTCACGCCAGCGGCGAGCTTAGGCCGTGCGCTGTCAATAATTTCTTCGATGAACTCGTACGACTCATCGAACATCTTGTCCACACTGCCGTGCAACTGTTTCAGTGAAGGCGGAAGGGACCGTTTCAGACTCTTTACAAGACCCGCATCTTGACGCAAGCTTCGGCCATACAGCTTCTGCATGTGAGGTCGTTCCACAAATTGAATGAAACCCAGACTAAGTATGTGACTTAGGAAGGCGAGGAAAGCCACGGTGCCACTTGCGGTGATGAGAACAGCGCCCCAAACACCGGCCAAGCCCAGAACACGCTCAGGGTTGTTCAAGAAACGATAGATGCCATTGTAGGTCAGCTTGGGGGATTCATCAAAGAAGAAATCCCCATAGAACCAGCCAAATTCGCCGAGCGATTCGTAGATACTCATCGATGTCCAAAGTTGGAGACTGATAAGACTAGCTCCTAGCACATGGCGGAGAATGGCGAGACCGTACCCCCAATCAGAGGGAAAAGTGTACATCTTCCACACGGCTGCGATGAAGCTCGTGTAACACATGATCATGCTTAGGTGGTACGTGCCTTTCCATTGGTTCCACGCCTCATGAGGCGTCTCGCCATACTTGACAAAGTGCCGGGTCCATGCTTTACTACTGGACTGTCGATTGAGAAGATACCCGACACCCAAGGAATACCAGAGCCTCCAGACCGCGGCGTTCACCACAAAGAGGAACTGATACCAGGGTGTCGAAGGTGTCAAAACAGTCAACGAGAACATGAGGAACTGGACCAGGATAGACGAACTGTCCGTGATTCTATACAAGTCTAGATTGTTGAGCCCAAGGAGATTGTGAACAGAGGGGGGCGGACTGCTGAACGTTGGCGCGTGGGGCACAGCTTCATCGTGCAAGGATGGCGCATTTGGAGAATCCGGACGCTGCGATGTCGTCGAGACCGAGTCTTGATCGGTGATGGTGGGAGTACGTTTTCGCGGTGGGGGAGGATTGTACGTTTTGTCAATATGAGGATTCTCGACAAACACGAGGAAAGCGAATTGAGCTGCATGGGCGATAATAGAAATGAACAGCACCTTATAGCTTGCTGCCATCAGTGAAATACCATAGTAGCCGGCATATCCGACCGAATACATGGGGTGGGGTGCCATCTCAAAGACCCCGTCAAACGTCAAGTCTTGGTCGATGAGGTAGAAGAAATCACCCCAGTACCAGGCATAATCTTTGACCACCCGATGGGCGTCAAGCTTGACCCAGAGATTGAAGAGGAACAGTGCGATGCCGGAAGTCCACCGCAGGATGGTCATCAGCACGCTTTCGTTAGTAGGATGCCGGCTGCAAGCGATCGCAAAGAGGCAGTAAGAGGTGAAGTCACACATCAAGATCAGGTCTACCAGGCGTCTGAAGACAAGCCAGGTATTGTACTCAATCGGAGCTTCCTCGAAGGAATAGTCGTGGGGGATTTTGGTTTCCAGTTCACGCTTGATCAAGTTATAAAGCTGAGGGTAAGGGTTCTTGCCGGTGGAGGGGTTCACAAAGATATTCGACTTCTCAGCCCAGCGGACGAGGGTCTTGTGATGAGACTGGTTGTGAAGCAGCCAGCCAATCCCCGCATTGTAACCAGCACGCCAGAAGAGGTAAAGGGCAGCAAAGACAGGGACTCTGGCCGCTGCAGGGAGCACCCATAGCAGGAAAATGTGAGCAATGAGTATGGTCAAAACGAGTAAATCAGAAAGGTTCTTTGGCTCCGAGGGCGACAAAAGCTGCGAGACCATGTCATGGGTTTGAGGCACGGTGAACACTAAACACGGCGATTGTTAGCTTCTTCAGCCTCTCCGAGTGTTTGGATGATAGCAAGGATAGCAACTTGTCCAATTGGCACATTTCAAAGGAGGGTGGTGCTGAGAATAATTGCATACCTGTACCGTCTGGAGTACGACCAAAGGTCTTGCCCGCCTTGTCCTTGCCATTGCTCTCGGGTGTGACGGTGGGAATCTCAGAATTGACGTTTAGGTCAGAATAAGAGGCCACATTTCGTTCCCGTAGCCCATCGCTCGGGAGCTGAGTGCCTGTTGAGAGGCCGCAATCCATAATTTTGAGTGCGTTGAGAGGCGGAGAGTTGTTGAGAAGCGAAAAGAAGGCGTTGGCATGTGATGGTCAGCGCTCTATTTAAGCCACTAACCCAAGCAGGGTCTTGTGATCTGATTGGCCCCTCCCCTGAGAGGGGCCAGCCCCCATTTGGAGATCCGATCACGTCACAGGAACTCGTCGCTGGCTGGAATTTCGGCAACAAAAGAGAGCATGGGACAGTTTTATGCAAGACTTTACTTGAGGCAGTGCATCCCGTCTTACTGAATGTGGACCTCCCGAAGGCTGCATTGGAGAGACCTCGCCTAAGCTCGCCTCAGGCCAATGGCGGAGGAACGCTCGCCCAAGTGGGAGGGGAGGATCATCAGGGAGCCCCAGGGAAATCTTGCTTTTGACTTTCCTTGACAAAGCTAACGCGAATGATAGTCTTATGTTTCCTGCAGAGCGCAGAGGTATAAAGCAGTCCCTTATGCATCGATTGCACCCCTGCTTGCGCTGTGAGCGGCAACCGCGGGTTGCTGGGGTATTGCGAATCTTGCAATCCAAAGCTTTTAGGAGCGACGAAATATTTCTTTTACTCACACCTATTATCCTTGAATTACATGCATACAGGGCGCCTTGATATTCGTCAGCTACCCCGGTCATCGCGGGTCAGCCAACCATTCACAGCTGCAGACATGGTTCCTCTTTGCATCCCACCCGCTTACCCCTGGTCAATGCGCAACGAGGCTCCGAGTTTATTGTTGGCGAGCCATTTTTTCTTTGTCCCGACCGTTGAGGTTCGATGTTTGGTTGCTTTGCACGACGACCCCGCCTTGATAAATCGGCTGCGGGGAATATGATATCATCACAGTGGGAAAGCTATGCGGAATAGCTTTGCGACCGAGCTAAAGGCGACCTTTGAAAGCTTGATTACATAAACTTTGAACATGGCACGCACCCTGACTGATTGTCAGGGAAGCAACAGTTCTTGCTCATGGAAGGAAACCCTGGTCTCTAATCGGCGGAAAAGACCTCCTCGGGCTTTCATTTGAGCCAGCATGTGGGGCTTTGAACACCAGAATTACATGAAAGACGGGAAGGGGACTATGTGTTGGGTGCATTGTCTTCCGATCCGTGCACGGGGCCAGGAGATCCTGGCTGCTCTCCCAAGGAGGCCGAGTGTCGGTTCAGACACCACATCTATGATGCCTCTTATCCGATTCTGCGGCTAGTGATATTCTTGTTAGAAGGGAGTAGAGACTGTCGGGATTTACGCAGTCGCGTGGTGCCAACTACTCCGTTCCTAGGTTCCGCATTTTACTTGCGCCTATGTCAAACAAGGGCTTATTTCGCCCCCCTTGTCCGCTCAGCGAGTATTGTGACATCGGACTCACGGTTGATCACAAAGATAGCCCCACTGACACAGGTTCTCAAAAACTCGAAGTGCTCAAAGCATTTCCTCAGCTTCAAATGATATGAAGTTACCCGGATCTTCTAATGATAGTCGCCGATTGGATCTCAGGAAGGCGCACCATGCACGCGTACTAGCACCATGTGCGCTGCAATGTCCTTGAAGAAAGCCATGTGCATTCATGTCATGCCGGTGTACCAGATGTCCGGACCATCAAAGCTGATAACAGCCTCAGAGGGCTTTTGATCCAGTGGGTTTCTCAGGACAGCAAATGAACGACATACTATTGATGGGGAGTTCGAGACTCAGCGATGACAAACCAGGGTTTTGTGGAAAGTAGCCCGAGCACGAGGACTTGTGAGGGAAAGCTACGGTGATCCCGAGACGCCGAGACGGTATGCCGTTGTGTCCTAGATATTGGTCAAAGTTTGCGAAACGAAGGCCAGAACCCGAGTGCGGCTTGCCCAGGGCCCATTGATAGTTTCGACCACGAGGATGTGTTTGCTCAAACAGGAAAAAGTCGAAGCAACCAGACTCCTTGGCATTTGGATCACGCTGGTTAAAGCTTGAGATCGAATTGAAGTTAAGCGAGAAACAATTGACGGATATCGCTTTTGTATTTCGATTTCCCGCAAGCTTCCCCAATCACATATAGCCGACGGACTTTTGAAAGAGCCGGCAGGTACTTTGTGTTCTCGTCAAGGTTCACAGATCCATAGGCCCGAGCCTCTCGAAAGACGCCAACGCAGCGGATCTGAACCTGATTCAAGCTTAGGCGCTCGAGTGTCCTTGAACTTGAACTGTACACCGTATGCGTTGTAGAGACCAAGTTTAAGTGGAGCGCGAACTAACGAATCTGAAAGGGCCAAACTCTCGGTTCCATGTCTTCCAAACGAACCTCGTTGGCTGTTGAGAAGGCGAGCTCAGCAACTTGCTAAGATACTGTCCCTTCGATGGTGGTGAAAGCGTTGATCATGGTAGCACAGCGCATGACTTCATGCGGAGACCCCGCGCGGAGTTCGCGGGCATGGATATAAATGGTCATTATCATCTTCTCCAGCTTTCCCAGATCCCGATCAACTCCCACTCACCTTACCTCATCTCTTTCAGACACCTATCATACCTGGAGTTCAGCCTAAACAATGTCTACTAACAGCTCTGCGTATGCATGGAGGTCTCTACCAGAGGCAGTCAGTCCGGCTCTGAAGAAGTTGAACCAACTGTTGGATAATGACCCCCAATGGCAAGCATTCATCCACACCGAGGGCATCCATAATCCGGTAACAATGGGCGTTCACTCGACCGGCTCAGATGATGCTATCCTAGTGTCTGCCGAGCCTGGTTCACGAACTACAGTGTCCATCGGCCGATCTTCACAGGCCGAGTTTGCCCTAGTGGCCCAGCCTGAACACTGGGAGAGTTTCTTTTCTGCATCTCCCAAAGCTCCTTACACTAGCTTTGTTGGCATTTAAGTATGTACCTAATCATGGCAAGAACATAATTCGTGGCTAAGATACAGTAGGGAATGAACATCGTTCAAGACGGAGCAGGCGTCCAAGGAGACCACGAGAAATTTCGGACAGTTCGTCCAGCTTACCACCCGACTCCTAGAGGTAATCCGCGAGGGGCTTCACGGACCTTTCGCCGAAGACCAGCAATCCGAGCCCGACGAGGACCACCTCATAGGCAAATACGTCTTCATCGACCCACCCGTCTGGGGAAAAACCAAGGTCGTCTACGAAACCAGCGGTACTGGCCCGCAGGAAATCGTCTTCCTCCACACAGCAGGCAGCGACAGCCGGCAGTACCACGGCGTGATGAATGATTCCACCATGCGGTCAAGGTGCACAATGTACGCCTTTGATCCCCCCGCGCACGGCCGCAGCTTTCCAGGCAAGAACCACCTCCCAGGGAACCACACCGACACCGAGGAATCTTACGTCGGCGCAATCTGCGAGTTCATCAAGATGCTCAAGCTGAACAAGCCCATTATCTGTGGCGCCTCGATGGCTGGCCAGGTATGTGTTGCGGTTGCCACCCGCGCAGAAGAAGTCGGCGCAGGTGGAACGATCCCGCTCCAGGGCTGCGACTGTCTGACTATGAAGCGGCAATTCAACGACAAGTCGCCTGTCATCAACCAATCGCTCTTCAACCCGGATTGGATATACGGCATGATGGCCCCGAGCGCGCCGTTGGTGAACAAACAGCTCATTTGGCATCTGTACAGCGCTCAGGCGTATGGGATCTTCCACGGGGATCTTGATTTCTACTTTGGGGGCTTTGATGCAAGGGACCCGTGTTGCCAGCATTGATGTGAAGAAGTGTCCCATTTATTTCCTTACTGGTGAGTTTGACTGGAGTACTACTCCGCAGATGAGCGAGGCGACCGCGAAGAAGATCAAGGGCGCAAAGTTCAAGGCGATGGAGGGAGTGGGCCACTTCCCTGCTACCGAGAGCCCGGCGCGGTTTGTGAGTACTATTTCTGTTTCTTTTTTTTTTTCTTTTTTCTTTTCTCGATTGGACATTGCTAATAACCACATAGATCCCATACCTTTTGGAAGCGATTGACTGGATTGAGAAGGCTCGTGCTTAGATTCGGAACCAACCGGCGGCTCCTGGTTCCATGTCTTCAAGACACACTGTCTTGGGGGTGACAAGTTGGAGTTTCATATTTGACTTTTCCCAAGTTAATGCATTTGGCAGCATTTAGGGCAATTACTTCCAGAATGATTCAAATGGTCATATACAAACGAGGACCTCGACTGACATAAGAGTCTTGGGTCAAGAGCAAGTATTTTTCACCCTTGTATAGACACAAGCTACTGGGCATATTAAATGCCTAACTTGGATTCATTCCTAGACAAGCTAGGTTGCTCACTGGTCTGCTGTAAAACCGTTGCGAATGCCCGCTCCCCTTCTCGAGTACGCCTTCACTTAATGTGCAGAAGAGGCTACCGTGCATAAGCGTCGTGACTATTCTTGCATTTCCGCGGAGCTATCTCAGCCATTTAGGCCTCAAGCTTGACGATCTTTGCTTCTCAAGCAGACAGTCGCCATGACACCATCCTGCCACCATATTGTATCACAACTTTTGTCCTTACCGGAGGAATGTTGGCCATACAGCACTCTCGTCTTCTCATTTCGGGTCGGTCTATGAATCGTAGATGGTAAGCTCGTTGGCATCGTGAAACAATATAGGTAGCCACGAGAAAGACCGCATGCGAACGAGGAGGACTGTGCTGCGGCATCGCCGCTGTGTACAGAGTCTCAAGCGTTACACGCCTTGATTCTGGAAAGCCTGGCCCTGTCGATTCCGACACCAGCCCCAAGTAAAACTACCGTGCCAGTCACCTTCCATCAAGGGACTAACTCCCACTAATAATAGGATAAGAAGGTTGTGGATGGCCAGATATCATGCAGAGAGGGTCTTTAGAGGGCAAGTGACATCAGTTGTTGAAGGTGGGGAAGGCGACAAGGCTGCGTGAAGTTGATTGCAGCCTCAGGCTCTCATATCCTGCGGCCCGGATAAACCATTGTTCCGAGCCTTCCACAGAGGAATTACAATCCGATATTGGTACTAGGTCATATTCCCCGAGAAATGCTGTGCAAGATCTATTATGTAGTAGCCAAGTATACCCACTAGCAGAAATAAAGGATATCTGGTAGTTTTTGAAGTGAAGTGGCTGTTACTATCTAGTATGGACAGCACCAATCGCCACCCAAGCGTTTGTCATTTCCGGCCCGCGGGGTGTCGATTATCAAGCACACCTCCGCTCCGCGGAAGCTTTGCCACACCTTTTATTTTTGATCTTTTTCGACCTTCGCATAATCTCTTTCTCTAGAGAATAGACCCAATTTCCGAAGAGCACATCCCAGGAACCTACTCGTTACATAGCCCTCTCTTACCCACGAGGCCGGACCTCGTTACCCCGCGATTTGATCGAACTCACACGAAACCATCTGCGCATCGAGGAAGCGTTGAACGCTCCGTCGCAGTCATGGCGCCCTCTTTCGAAGAGCCGACATCTACCTACCTCGAGGCACCGACAAAGACCCCTCCAAATCTCGTTGCGCCCGAGCCAGGTACGACGACCATCTCCCGACCACCCCACCTCTCTTCTCTCTACATACTAACAACCCCCGCAGAACACTGTCCAGGGCCCGAATCCGACCAAGCAGGCCAAGGCGACGCCTGCGCCGGCTGCCCAAACCAATCCATCTGCGCGTCCGCGCCAAAAGGCCCAGACCCCGACATCCCCATCATAACCTCGCGCCTCGCCTCCGTCCGACACAAAATCCTCGTCCTCTCCGGCAAAGGCGGCGTTGGCAAATCGACCTTTTCCTCCCTCCTCGCGCACGGCTTCGCCTCGAACCCGGATTCGACAGTTGGGATTATGGATACGGATATTTGTGGACCGAGCATTCCGAAGATGATGGGTGTTGAGTCGGAGACTATCCACGTTAGCAATGCGGGGTGGAGTCCCGTCTGGGTATCTGATAACTTGGGTGTGATGAGCGTGCAATTTATGCTACCGAATCGCGACGACGCGGTGATCTGGCGGGGTCCGAAGAAGAATGGGTTGATCAAGCAATTCCTCAAGGATGTGGACTGGGGCGAGATGGACTATTTGATTGTGGATACGCCACCGGGGACCTCGGACGAGCATCTCTCTGTGAACTCTCTGCTCAAGGAGAGTGGCGTCGACGGCGCTGTAGTCGTCACGACGCCGCAGGAAGTCTCCCTCCTCGATGTCCGGAAGGAGATTGACTTTTGCCGCAAGGCCGGGATCCGCATCCTGGGTCTCGTGGAGAATATGTCCGGGTTCGTCTGCCCGTCGTGTGATCACGAGTCCAAGATCTTCCGGGCGACGACCGGTGGTGGGAGACGCCTTGCGAAGAAAATGGGCATCCCTTTCCTCGGCGCCGTCCCGCTTGATCCTAGGGTTGGAATGGCGTGTGACTATGGCGAGAGCTTTGTCGACAATTTCCCTGATAGCCCGGCGTCTGTGGCGATTAAGCAGGTTGTAAGGGCTGTTGGGGAGCTGGTGGGTGAGGATCCGAAGGAGGTTCTCCCGGATGATGAGTGATTGCGCTTTTGTTCTTGTTCTGACTGCATTTTCATTGGAGTTTTGTTGGCGTAAGAAGTTTTGATACCATCTGATTAGGCCTTTTATAATATCAAGCATAAGATTCATGATTATATCTATTGTGACTTGCCCTAGCCTTGCTCCAGTTACCAGTATATATCCTAGACCTCAACTTCCACACCGTATAAGACAACCCCCCTGATAACTCCCGGAGAACCCCTAAAGAGGCACACACTCAATCAAACTCTACCGCCACCGCAACCGGACTACAAATCCTGTTAATCCTCAACCTCGCCTTCTCCATAAGCTCAAGCCACTGCTGATGCGTCCTCTCGAGCGCTGCAAGCATAGTCATCATGGTGCTATCGACCTGCGTGACGTGCCAGTGTGCGCCGGAATTGGGGAGCACCATGTTGTTGATTAGGATGACGGAGTCGGGGCCCATGGCGGCGACGATGTTTTGCAGGATCGGCACGGCTTTGCGGTCCGGGTAGTCGCGCATTATGTTGCTGAGGAAGTAGCAGTGGGCGCCTGGGGGGTGGAGATATGTCTAGTTTATGAGGAGGCGGGAGGGGAGAGGGTACACTGACGACGGAAGGGGGTAGAGGGAGGGTACCTGTAACACGCTGCACCTGAAAGAAATAATGCTCCATGGCCTCGTCCCCCTTCATGCTTAATAACAGCCGGCAAAACAATCCCCATCTCCAGCACAATCATCCGATTCGTGATCTGCGGATTCCGCTGCTTCATCGACGGTATGATGTCCAATACCACCACCGATATCAACAAAAAATACCTGCTCGGGGTCGAGCTCCTGCGCCTTTTCGGCGATCGGGTACACCTCGAACCACCAAGGCTTACTACTGTGGTGGGCTTCCTTGAACCGATGGAAGTGTGCGTGGGCTTCGGGGTGGGTTTGAACCCAGATGAAGGCTGGGTCTGGGGTGTTGAAGGCGATTTGCATTGGGTTGTTGGTTGGGGATGTGATGTCTTGGTATTTGTGCTTGATGAGGAAGTCGGGGAGGGCGATGATTGTGGGGGCGATGTTGCCGAAGCTGGAGGGAGTGGTTAGTCAATGATGAGCGAAGAAAAGTTGAGGGTGAGATGAGGGTGTGATGTGGTGCTGGTCGTGGTAGGTGATGTATCTGGAATCACTAGAGACATACTTATGGTAAACACTGATTGGATCGCAGGCATAGCTAGGGCTTGGGTGATGTTGTTGGCAGTGATTGTGTCTTTAGCTTTCTCCTTAATCGTTCCCATGGAGGAGAGATAGCGCAAGATATGACCTATCCATAAGGTAAATGGGATGTTGTAAGGGTTATAATCAACAGTGGGCATATCAAGTAAGTCTGGCGCGGCGCCTTTCTTTGTCGCCAACTCATCAACAGTCAAGGGTGTACTACTTTCGCTGAGGTGGTTGAAGAGTTTTAGATCTACACCGACTCGTGCTAGTGCTGATTGAGCGTGCTATAGTACCATTAGCGATGAATACTGGTGTTAGAATGTGGTATGCAAGGTATGTACCATGTAGCAGATGTGCTGCAATGTGTCGTGGGGAGTTTCAAGAGACAAAGAGAGGTCGCGAAGAGAGTCCAAAACTGTCCTTCGGGTCGCATTATCAGCGCCCTTGGCTAGGACTCGAACTTCGGCAATACTGTCCATCGTGAGGGTTCTTTCGTTCTGGCGAAGTAGGAAGAGGATGATAGTTTGAATGTTGTTGAGTCCGAGAGGTCGAGGAAGGCATGATGAGCCTCTCTTTATACCCTGGCTCCTCCCGGTCTTAGAGGGATGTTGTATGAGCGCTACAGAGGTTCGCGAGCTTAATCGTGAAGCAGCCATATACAAGCTATGTAAGCAATTCCTCTTCTAGAAAGGCGCCATAGTAACCGAAGAGGCTGAGGGGGGGTCGAGATGAAGAAACACGCCCGGCCAATCAAAAGGAGGGGAATCTTCACCCAATCTAGTCAAGCTCGATGAGGATGGAGCGCGATGGATCTAACATCCATGGCTCAGCTCTGACGGGCTTTGCGTACTCTGGCATCGTTGGGGCTCCCTGGAAGCCTGGAAGATAGAATAGCGTCGAACGGCGAGTCAGGTTCCTCAGCTTCAACGCTCGGAAGAACGACGAGGTAACGTCGCTCTACTGGCGATATCGACCGCCCTGATATATCAAATTCCTGACCGTGAATGGCGATAGCGCAGTGTTGACGACGGCTGACATTGGCTGGCGCTGATGACCGTCGCTGCGGCTCAGAGCCTCAGACAAGCTTGGACCCGGATTGGCAACACACGTGGTGGGACACAAGTGTGCGTGGGTTTAGTTCCATCTCTTAGAGGACGAGTGTTGGCCTAGCCGCTAGGGTTCATTGCGTTGCGTGCTAGACTGCTCGTACGGTATACCTCTTCCCAAAGGTTTTCCTCATTGTTCTCACCCGGCCGCTCGAAAAAGAAAAACCCATCCAAAAGAGTCAATGCCGCTGCCCAATCAGTTATTTCCAGGCGATCTGCCGTTTCTCTTAGACGAACGACGAACCATCAGTGGCATTCAAGTCCTTCAGATGCCGTGCCGACGACGACAAGGATCCAGAACAACAGATCGTCAGCCATGATCTGAAAGAGTCGGCAGAGTGGAGTGCAGGCTTCAACAAAGATCTTCTACAAGAAACGGAATAGAGTGAACCCATTGCAATGCCAAGATCCGAGTCAAGGTATGTATTAACAAGGCAAGTCTTAGAGGCTTTTGGAACTCGCTCCCAGTACCCACAAAGGACAAGCACAATGGTTGGTGGACTGCGAGGTTAATCAAACTGTCGTCAAGCGGATTGACAAGAGACGGCCTCTGCAGCAAACTACACAAAGTTAACCGCTGAAAGAGCCGAAGCGAGAATTTCACGCCCAAATAAAGGTATTAACACCAAGGGGAGGAAAGAGATCAAGCCCCACTAGAAGATGCCTGTCGAGTATTGCGATGTGGTTAAGCAACTTTGGGTTGATCAAGCACTCTGTTTCGCCATGCAGATGACATTGGGAACACTGGCGGAGAGCGTGTCAAGACTGCTGTCATACACGTACAACTCCCAGCGGGTTAGTACCACGGTCCCTGTGTGTCGCGCATATTTCTACATTACAACATATACCGGTATTTTGGAGAAATAGCCAGGTCGTCCAAAAGGTCTAAACCACCTTGCATGTAAATGAGTCTGCGCAGACCGTGCATGTGGGCGTCAACGGCATGGATCTGTGCGGCACCGGCCTTTTCCCGATTAGAAAATACCTGATGGCTACTCCCTGCTGTAAAAAGAAAGGTAATGTACTCACCTCTACGCAAATCATATTAGCGACAATCAAAATTGCTGTTTCTAGCGAAGCATCGGTGAGGTTGTCCAGAATGGTCTGAAGCCCTTTGATGGATTTCGTACGCAGTTGCAGGGAATGTATGGCGGACTGAAGATATAAAGACCTGTGACCGTTGGAATTCCTCTCAAGGCATGATTTGTGGTATGCGCTGGTAGCCAGCAGGACTTGTCGTAAGGCAGGTTGGCCCATGGATTTATGCCCCCACCAGGTAACCATGCCGTCAGCAGCAAACGGATAGATGGCGTGGGAGAATGTGTCTTTATCTGCAAATCGTTAGAGACTGGTGCCTCGATATTTCTTTTGATGCCGACTCAAAGTGCTAAAAATAAGGGTCTATAGTATCTGTCATGCCAAGTGAGCAGAAGGGGTGGCGCTTCCAAATGAACAAGCCACCAGAGAGGCGTTTTGGACTGCATCATCTTGTTGCGCGGGTTGAATAGCTTAAGTCGAGAGCTCAGGGGTCGAGTCGCTTGAGAATGGTTGCTGGATTGATGTTTTGAGTCGCCGAAGACGCTCGCCCCGCCGTCGCTGATGGTGTTTTTTCTGCAGAAACGCGTGCTTTCTCCTGGACAGAGCCAGCCGCGAGTTTTGGCATCCCCAAAGTCAACAAAAAGAAATTCCGAAGACATTGGGCGACGTGATATCGCTCAATCCTGGTGATAGAGATCTCGTTATCGCAGCAATGCACGTTTCAAAGCCCAAAAGTGGCCATGTTGTTCAGTGTTGGTAGCGCGTCTCCTATTCTGGTCGGCCTGACTCCAGTGGTATATCTACGCCGTGTAGAAGCATTTTAGGCCGGCTATCATTTCTTCAAGGTATTGATCGTCAACGCACTCTGGAGTAACTTTAAACACCTCTGACCCACAGATTCTTTGAGCTTGGCGGTGTTGAGTGCTGACAACTGTGCCCCGGTCAGCCAAGATTCCCCAAGTTTTGCAACAACGCCATTCTGGAGAGCACCATCTCGACGACTTAATCTTGGCACTGAACAGATAAACGGCCAGCCAATCTGTGAAAATGGGAGGATCTTGTGTATTGAGATTCTGAGAAAAAGTTGGGCTTGATAATTGATCGAGGCAAGGAAAGTCCAAGGCTTCCAGCCTTATCGGCAGTGGGCACATGACGATAACGACAAAAAGAGCAACCATTGTGGGACGAACTCTTCCTCTGCAAACGCCTTGGACTCGGCATTTCGTCAAGGTTCCTGTCTCTGTTTCAACTGAATTATGACAGCTTGGTTGCTGCCTGATTGCGGTGTTGAGCTGTCGCCGCTGCTGAGTCCTGGACTCCTGGGTTGAACGCAAACTGGCCGAGAACTGGCCGAAAGTGTTTCAACTGCGCACCAGGGGGCTCCATGTTTCAGGACTATGGCAACGGGCCAGGCCCCGCCTCCTCGTTGGCTGGGGCCGTCGCCATTGTCTAGGCGCCAAGTCGAGCTATGCGCTTAATGGCGATCTCCGACTGCTCGAAACAATGACCCGTCAATCCACCGTGTCAGACAGATGAGATGAGGGGAGCTCGCCATTCGCAGCGGAGTGCGTCGGGAATTCTCCCTCGAACGGCTGCTTTGCACTTTTATTACTCTGCATCCCAGCCTTATGTTCTGATCATCCGCTTTCCTTCTCGAAATAGGTGCGACAACTGCTCTGAGAGTCTGTCCCCTATCCTTCCTTTCTTTCATCTTGTTTCCTTCGAGTAACACGGAGTCTGGTCTGGATCTGACTCCAACACTTTCGTTTTTATAATTCTGTGCGATTTGATTGCTCTGGAGCAAGTCTGTCGTTTCTCTTTGAGGCTGCGCGATACACTCTCTTTCGACTTTCCGGCCGCAGCAAGTAATTGATCGCAATGCGGGTACTCCTCTCAATCTTTTTCGCCCTCTGGCTCGGCTCTGGTGTGCTCTCTGCGCCCACTTTGAAGGATGGTAAAGGCCGGTCGTTCAAGGTCCAGGCTGTCCGGCGAAGCGACACTATCCATGGTCCGACGGCTCTGCGCAAAGCCTACCTCAAATACGGCATTGTCCCTTCCAACATTGGAATCGACTTGGAGGATTTTGAACCATTTGAGCCGAATGTCAAGGCTGCTGTCACTGATTCCAAGGCCGCAATTACCGAGCCAGACCAGAGTGGCGCCGTCAGTGCTGCATCCGTGGAGGGAGATGCTGCCTTTGTCTCGCCCATCACCATTGGAGGCCAGGAGCTCGTCGTCACCTTTGACACGGGCTCGTCTGATGTGTAAGACTTTTTCCGAGGTTCATTGACACTGCTAATCTCGCGATAGATGGGTGATGAACACACGGCTCCCTAAGAGCTCAATTGAAGGGCGTTCGGCCTATGATCCCTCCAAGTCCTCTACGTTCTCGAACATGGAAGGCTCAACCTTTAACATCACTTACGGCGACGACTCGTACGCATTTGGCGGAGTGGGAATAGATACTATCAATGTTGGAGGTGTCACCGTCACCGGCCAAGCCATCGGTCTTCCCACTCAAGTTTCCGCTTCATTCTTGGAAGACACCTACACGAACGGCTTAGTCGGCCTCGGCTTCGGTGGGCTCAACACGATCCAACCCCAACAGCAACGTTCATTCTTCGAGACAATCGCCGACGTTCTCGACGAACCCGTTCTCGGCGCCTCCCTCAAGAGCGAAAGTGTTGGCGAGTATGAATTTGGCGTCATTGACAAGTCAAAGTACAAGGGCGATCTGGTCAACGCTTCCGTCGATGCCTCGAGCGGATACTGGAAGTTCGAGTCCGCATACTACAAGGTCGGAAATGGAACTCTCAAGAAGAATGACCAGGCTACCGCGACTATCGCTGACACGGGAACTTCGCTTATGCTCCTCGACCAGCACGTCGTTGACGCCTATTATGCGCAAGTGCACGGCGCGCAGTATGTACCTAGCGCAACGGGCTACATCTACCCTTGTAGCGCGGAACTGCCAAACTTTTCCATTGCCATTGGACCTCAGCATCTGGCAACTGTCCCTGGTAGTCTGATGGGATTTTCGGAGGTTGGAACGAACACAACCACCGGGGAAACTGGCAAGTGCCCCCCTATACCGTACAACACAAACCTTGCTAACATGAATACAGTCTGCTATGGTGGCATGCAATCAAACCAGGGTCTGTCGCTGCAGATCCTCGGCGACACATTCCTCAAGGCCTTCTACGTCGTCTTTGACCTACGCGGCCCTTCAATCGGCGTTGGCTCTCCGGCATGATCATCAGCGTCATCGAATCACACTCCTTTTGCACAAGCTTTCCAGCCGTCTTAATAGATAACTAATCAAAAGATAGAGCTGTCTGTACCGCTAATACATTTGTATATATTACCCTCAGATTCGCTGAGCGTCTCATATAATGGTATTTTTATGTATCATTAACTTACGATGCGCCACCGGGTGGTTTGCAATCAAGCAAACTTTATTATTACTTCTGAAGTCACATAAAATGCCCCGCCCCTGGCGCTCTCAACCTGCCTTGTAAGATATTTTTTTGCACTAATATCCACCATGGCTTCAGGCGTAGCATACCGCTGCCCGGATCTAAGGGGCTACGCCCTAACAATACGCCGATTCTACGCCCGCGAACCAACCCCGACAGCAAGCCTCTACAAAGCCCCACCCTCGAAACGCTCAAGGGGCAGACCTAAACCCATTGGCCTGCTAAAGCGCCTTCCCCTCGAGCTCATTCACGCCGTTCTCCTCAACCTCAACTACACGAGTCATAAACAAACTCCGCCTCGTCAACAGAACCGCCCGCCGCATCGTCGAGTCCCTCCCCGCCTACTCCCTCCTCCGGACCCACACCCCCGATACGCTCCGGGTAATGGATGCGTCCAGATGTTCGTCCTACTTCCCCATCGGCGATCTGTTTGCAGAATTCTGTCATCCATGGTGCAGGACCTGCCCCGGCCGCGAATTCGCTCCACTCCTCTACCTCCCCACGATGACCCGCTCGTGCTTCAAATGCAATAGGGTCCGAGGCGAGTATCAGCCACGCCTGGTAACCGATATCTATTCCACGTACGCGCTGTCGTGGCGGGATATGAACAACAAGGTACACCCGCTCCCCGTCATCCGCACCATACCCATTCACCCTCCATGGGCCCCGCGCCGCATAGCGGATATTGGACAGGCACTGGAGCTGGCTATAACCATCCACGGGAGCCTCGCGGCTGTGGAGCACGCCGCCAGGGAGAGAGAAGAACGTAACCGGACAGCGTACCAGGCCGCTCTGAAGGAATGGGTCATATGGAATGGAGATGGCGAGGAAGAGGACAACACGAAATGGAGAAGGACGAGGAAGGGGAAGAAAACACGGTCTCCCTCGCCGACTCCAATCCCGCGCCGGCCCCGTGTCCCGCACAAACGATTCAAATCACTGCTGACCGGCCAAGGAGCGGATAACTGGCGGTTCCGTGCGACAGTCGCGTTCCCGTACTTTGATCGTAAGATGCAGACGGTCGAGACGGGGGTGTATTGCCGGGCGTGCACGTATCATTGGGACAAGGGATATGCGGACGACTGGAGACCTGCGGCCACGAGTTTTCATCCGCACTCGCCGAATCGGGAGGCGAGGTTCCGGGCGTTTTTGGAGAAGGATATCCCGGCGCATTTTGCCGTGTGTAAGAATATGAATAGGGGGTATGACTTTGCGGAGAGCAGATTACACCCTTTGGAACGACAGGCGGATGGGGAGGACTTTTTCGTGTTTCCTGAAGATTGGGAGTAATTGATGATGTAGTAGCACCAAGACTGAGTAATATCATTAAAGTGTTGTGAGAGACAGAGCCGTATGAAATTGGACCAAACGATCCCATAACGATGGGATGATGACAAGGATAGTTGTTCGTGACGTCGAGGCTCTCGCCTATGGCTTCGCGCCTTCCTCCACAGTATAGAACAGCTTTCTCTATGCATTCCATCTTCACGTCTCAACCGCCACAATGTTCTCCCTCAGAGCTACGAAGTCCGCCAAGTGTATAAATCCTTCCTTTAGCGCGCTACCGCAGCTCACGTCGATGGTATCATATTGATCAAGACAACGCCCTTCATCTTCTCAAAGGAGCCTTGCGACATCGGGCGCTGACCTGACTGGTGCATCAAGACAATGACATGGCCGAGCAAGTCAGTGCCACCGGAATCCACGAGCCTAAACGTTCTCCCGCATCGAAAAGCCCATCTCCACCAGAGATGGAGGCGATGCTATGCTATCGGGGAAACTCCGGACTCCGCCTCCCCCGCATTCTCGGCCTCATCTCCGACCCCGCGGCCGATATAGGATGCTGGGTTCCTACAACAAGGCCCTTGGAGACTCTTTGTATCACGCTCTTCGTACCTCTCCACACTCGACAGCCTACACCGAATCCCAAGCAATAATGACAGAAGCTAGAAACTACAACATCCTCGTCCTCCCCGGCGACGGGATCGGGCCCGAGGTAATGACCGAAGCCACCAAGATCCTCTCGACGTTCAACACTCCGACCACCCAATTCACCCTACAGGAAGAACTCATCGGCGGAATATCCATCGACACCCACGGGAAATCCGTCACACAACACGTCCTCGACGCCGCGGTAGCCGCTGACGCCGTCCTCTTCGCTGCCGTGGGGGGTCCCAAATGGGACCATATCCGGCGCGGACTGGATGGGCCTGAAGGTGGGTTGCTGCAGGTGCGCAAGGCGATGGACATTTATGCGAATTTGCGGCCGTGCTCGGTTGATATGCCGAGTCGCGAGATTGCGAGGGATTTCTCGCCGTTTCGGCAGGAGGTTATTGAGGGCGTGGATTTTGTGGTTGTGAGGGAGAATTGTGGCGGGGCGTATTTTGGGCGCAAGGTGGAGGAGGAGGATTATGGTACTTACCCCTTGTTATCCCCCGTCATTGGTATGTTCTAACTAGAGAGTAGCAATGGACGAATGGGGATACTCAACTGCCGAAATCCAACGCATCGCGCGCCTCTCGGCCGAGCTCGCCCTCCGCCACAACCCGCCCTGGCCCGTCATCTCCCTCGACAAGGCCAACGTGCTCGCCTCGTCGCGGCTATGGCGGCGCGTCGTCGAAAAGACCCTCACGGAGGAGTACCCGCAGGTGAAGCTCGTCCACCAGCTCGCGGACTCGGCTTCGCTCATCATGGCGACGAACCCGCGGGCTCTCAACGGCGTTATCCTAGCCGATAATACCTTTGGCGATATGGTCTCTGACCAGGCGGGGTCGCTCGTTGGGACACTGGGCGTGCTCCCTAGTGCGAGTCTGGATGGTTTGCCGAGAGCCGGGGAGGAGAGGAAGGTGCATGGGTTGTACGAGCCGACGCATGGGTCTGCGCCGACGTATGTTATCTTCCCTCTTTATTCTTAACGTTCAATTTCGGGTCACGAGTGAATGCTAATAAGAAATAGCATCGCCGGCAAGAACATCGCCAACCCAACTGCGATGATCCTCTGTGTCGCTCTAATGTTCCGGTACTCGTTCAACATGGAGACGGAGGCGCGGCAGATTGAGGATGCCGTACGCGCCGTTCTGGACAAGGGGATTCGCACTTCGGACCTTGGAGGGACCACGGGCACCAAGGAGTTTGGAGATGCAGTGGTTGCGGCGTTGCAAGGGAAGTTGTAGATGAGGTGGCGTGCATAGCGTAGCCGGACGGTTTATACGTGTTGATCCGTGGAGTCGGTTAATCGCAGAGAATTTTTCGTCTTTGAGATTGATGTGGCGCATCAATGTCCCATAGATCGATCTATGAACGGCGGTGGTCGATTCCACCATTGACATGGCAAAGCCGCGATTAATAGACCCGACCGACCGTCATTATTGAATAGTAGAAACCTTCTATAATCAAGACTCCCAAATTAGCCAACACAAGCGAAGCCAATGGTGGAGAAAATCCCCGATCGCCGACAGCCACATTGTCCATGACATCACCGTTGGCCCCACGATGACCGCATCAAAAACAAGTTTAAGCTCAAGCGCCCTGAGCTTGGTCCCTTGGTTTCCTCAGAGTATGGTACCTTCTTGACTCGAGAGACAAATGATGATCTGAGGGGCTGCGTCACGAATTCCTAATCCTAGTCCCAGTGGTCTTAGCGGAGTAGGCTGCCGCATATGCCCATGCGCTATGCAGCGATTCGGTAGTTCTCTTAGGGCTGCTGCACTGGCTGCTACAAATCATCACGTCACTTTTCATCTCCTACTTTAGCGATGGATTCCTCTTTTTCATTTCAGTCTACTATTCCATCTTCTGCATTTCTCCATCTTACCAGCCTATTCACGCACCCTTGATCCCTGAATCCATCCAATCCTTGACACCGCCGACAACCACCCTCATATCCCCAGAATGACGGTCATCTGGGGCCTCGATCTCCACGAGATCCAATGGCGCAAGTTCAAGTCCGCGTACATGTTCGACCGCACCTACCACCTCCGCCGCACAAAGATGGTCGTCTACCAGCTCGCCATGATCCTCTGCGTGTGTTCGGAATCCGTCGGGACGGCGGCGTTTTCAGGTCCGTCCCCCTACGACCAAACAGCTTCCTCCCATTAGGATAGCATAGATGCTAACTCGATAATCTCTGCGCTGTGTATAGACTACCTCGACCAACAAAGCGAAATCCAAGGCCAACACCCGGGGGTCAAAATCCACAACAACAGCTTCATCGGCGCAGCGTCCTACAACATCTTTGTCGGCATCGCCGTCGCATTCATCTTCGGCGCCGCGTTCTTCTTCGATCTGTTTTGGCCGGAACGGCACGAGTGTAAGCATGTGAGGATTTCGTGGAAGATCTCCGCCGTTGTTGTTACGATTATGATGTTGAGTTCGGCGTTGACGTTGACGGTATGAATACCCGCCTGCTCTTGTGGATTAAGAGGCTGGGGATACAAAGTGTGGTGTGCTGACTGGTTTTTTTCTCTGGGACAGTGCATCGGTGCCCTCCACGACGCAACGGTCACAGGGACGGATCCCGACACGGCCGAGACGTTTCGACTCGAGTCTGCGAAGCAGCCTACGTACAGTATGTCATGTCGCCCGTCACCACCACATTCTATGCCTCTTGCCTTGCTTCTTCCTTCCTTAAATATCCTCTTAACATGTCTCCGTTTGCAATCTAGGATACCGCAACAACCCGAAAGTAATAGCGGCCGTCGTCCTCGCCTGGCCCGGCTGGGCCTTTTGTGTGGTGAGCACAATCATCCTGTGGAAGTCGCAGAACCACGACGACAAGTTCGGGCCCAAGTCGGATTACGGACGGAGCCTCGAGGGTGGGGATCGGATTGTGTCGCCGTATAAAGAGGAGAGGGCAGGGTCGGAATAGAAGACGGAATAGATTCGTCGAGTGGTCGACGAGGATAGAGCGATGGTTGTTGCGTGTGCAATGATAATGATATGAGAATATGAGCTTGGATATTGTACTGTATAATAGTGTTTGGGAGATTTTGGATCTTGGGTTGTGTGTATAGAGCTTGTTCTACTAATGTCTACTAATACCCAGTTTTATTTCTGCTTTGGAGACTTGAGATCATTGTGGGGCTCATTCAGGAGCTTGTCAAGCAGCTCATTTGAGGACTCATTAGGAACTCACCCAGGAACTCACTCATCCTCTCTCGTTTATTGTTGAGATTCGCTTACTTATGACCCGCAAGCCACATAGGCCCAACTAGGAATAAAAGTCGACGCTCAAGCAACTTCCTTCCCATCATCCCTCCTGACCTCCTGCACCTTGACCTCCGCCTCTGCAACCCCCTCCTCATCCGCAAACGCCTGATCCCCAAAAAGCACCGCAATCTCCTCCAGCGTATGCCCCGCAGTTTCCACATAATAAAAGTACACCAACCCCGCCGAAAACAAACAAAATCCAGCAATAACGAGATAAAAGTACCCGTGGATCCCCGCAAACGCATCGGGCGAGACCATCCCGATGATAAAGTTGAAGATCCAGTTACTCGTCGTCGCGAGCGCCATCCCCTTGGAGCGGCCGCGGAGTGGGAAGATCTCGGCGGGGAGCAGCCAGGGCATTGGGCCCCAGGTGAAGCCGTACATGATGTTGTAAAGCATGACGAAGGCGTATTGGCCGTTGGCTTTTGTGTGGATGTCGAGGTTTGCTTGCGTGAAGGCGCAGACTATCCCGAGGAGGATGGCCATGCCGATGCCTATTGAGTTTGTTGGTTGGGGTTTTGCTGGTAGTTGGGCTTTTTGGGATAACTCACCTCCTAGGATAAGCAGGGGCTTGCGCCCCCATCTATCTGCCAACCACCAAGTAACAATCGTTGCAGCTGTGTACGGAACGGCGTTGGCAGCGGTATACAAAAGAGACTTCTCGTTGTCGAAACCAGCAGAAGCAAGGGTACTGGGAAGGTAAAAGGAGATGATGTTGATTCCGTTGAGCTGGGCGAACATCTGCACTGTAATGCCGACAATGGTTCGCTTGCGGTACCGAGTGAACATTTCCTGTCATATCATCAGCTGCGCAGTCTTTACTGCCAAGTAGCATGTCTTACCGTCCAAGTAGACTTTCCAAGATTCGTCTCATAGATAACCGCTTCCTGAATCTCGCGGAAAACAAGCTGCACATGCTCGGCCTCCGTATTTCCATTGGAATGCAAGTCGGCAACCGTCTGCAAACTCTCCTTCATGAAGCCATTCTTCGCCAGCCAACGAGGAGTCTCCGGCAGGAAAAGCGACATGGCCAACAGGATAAAAGAGAGAACAATCTGGACAATGAACGGACCCTGCCATGACATTTCACTCGGCAGCATGAAATGAAAGCCATAGTCCACCCAGCACGAGAGCATATATCCGGCAATCAAGGTCGTGTACTCGATTCCTACCATCAGACCACGGCGATGCGGAGCTGCAATCTCAGCTTGGATAATAGGTACGGTCATGGAGAGGAAGCCGACTCCCAGACCTTGGATTGTGCGGCCCGCGATGAAGGTGGCAAAGTCTGGAGCAAACATCTGGATGAATGCGCTGAAGAAGTAGATAAACCCGCCGAGGCGGACGCACCTCTTCCGTCCGATGATGTCGCCGAGTCGTCCTGCAATGAGGGAACCGAGGGCTGCTGACGCTTGTAGGCATGCAACGGATATACCGGTAATGGATGGGTCAACCGCGGTGGTCGTCCCGTCTGCACCGCCATAGTCTTTGAAGAAGCGAGACACAAAAACCGGGTTGACCAGAAGGCCCGACATGATACCTACATAGTCAGCGAGAACAATGTGAAGAACAAGGCCGCATTGGCTTACCGGAATTGTAACCGAACAGGCCATCTCCCAAACTACCAAATGCACAGGTCGTATACAACAGCGCAGTGCCCTTGAAGGGGTACCTGGCGGTAATCTTCTTCGGCTTCAACTTCCGCTCCAGCCATCCTTGCTGCTCCTCGATTTGAACGGCAACAGCCTGCGAGCGACGCTGAATAGCGGCGTCATCTTTTGCGGCACGTGCAGAGGTTGTGCTATCTGCCATTTTGTGTGACAAAGACGAATCAACGAGATGAGCTGTTGTCAAGACTCTGCTCAGGGGAATATGCAAATCGGACCGGGTCACAGGGCCCTATTTCTACCCCAGAGACGGTATCCCGTGGGGAAACTCCGGCTTTTCTCCAATTTCCAAGGTGACAGCCTTTTTCCTCCATGTGGGCTCATCCGTTTGTGTGCCTGTGCTCGAATGGTTCTGTATACGCAGGGACAGCCAATAATATTCGTTCTCAGGGCAGGCCGAACCCACTCGGATCCGGTACCAAAAGTAAAGTGAACCCCCGCAGGCACATCCGCCGGGACCGTACGGATCCATACGGATCCGAGAGGGGATATTGAGTAGACACAGGCACGGTCATGACTTTCACAGACCCTTGGCAGTATTAAACCCAGGCGATAGACAATGTCGTAAGTGCTGTCTTTTTTTCCCTCTCCAAGCTACACAACCGCGAACATGGCAATTACGACACACAGCGAGGTTCGTTCTCCGAGGCAATTCTGCCGGACAGTCGCTAACTGAGGACCAGTCTTCCAATCAAGCCTTTGTACTATATCCCGGAGGGAAATTCGGTTTCGAAGCTCGCGAAATACCTACTCTTCAGTCCGAACGAGATGTGCTTGTGCGCGTCATAGCAACCGGACTTTGCGGATCAGATGTGAGTCGCTCTCAGCATCGTTGTGACCAATGGTTACTAACTTCTTCTTCGAACAGGTGCACTACTGGCAGCACGGACGAATTGGACGATACGTCGTCGAGAAACCAATAATCCTGGGCCACGAGTCCTCCGGAATTGTGGTAGATTGCGGAAGTCAATCGGGCTTTGCAGTAGGCGATCGCGTCGCACTCGAGCCCGGCATCGCGTGCAACACATGCCGTTACTGCCGTGCTGGTCGGTACAATCTCTGCAAGGAGATGCGCTTTGCTGCAACGCCACCTTACGATGGAACCCTTGCGACATACTACCGGGTTCCTGCAGAGTGTTGCTACAAGCTGCCACCACATATATCGCTGCGGGATGGCACGTTGATCGAACCGCTTAGTGTTGCCGTACATAGCTGCCGACTCGCCGGCGATTTGCAAGAAAAATCTGTAATTGTTTTTGGAGCTGGTCCGGTTGGTTTACTTTGTGTTGGAGTCGCTCGTGCATTCGGCGCGTCAACAGTTGTTGTCGTCGACGTCGTACCGAACCGCCTCAAATATGCCCAAAAGTACGGCGCTACACACACACATCTGACGGCCTCTGAGTCCGTGGAGCAAAATGCAGCGGATATACTGGACACAGCAGAACTAGAGCTAGGCGCGGATATCGTTCTCGATGCCACTGGTGCCGAGCCTTGCATGAACACCGGAATCCATGCCCTTGCATCTGGTGGAACATTTGTCCAGGTGGGCTTGGGCCGACCAAACCCATCTCTCCCGGTTGGTCAAATTTGTGACAAGGAGATTGTGTTCAAGGGGAGCTTCCGATATGGTCCGGGAGACTATCAGACGGCTGTCGGGTTACTCAGCTCGCGTCGTATCAGATTGGACGGTCTTGTTACCCACGAGTTTCCTTTCTCGCGGGCGGAAGAGGCGTTCCAGAATGTCGCCAGCAGAGCAGGTATTAAAAGCGTCATCTACGGGCCTGGCGTAGATGAGAAGGTAGCCAACGACACATTAGGATAATATAAATCTGGGTCCGAAGTCCACACTTCTATCGATTGAGACGTGCTAGACGTTCTGGTAATATCTGTAGCCGCGACTTGAGCCTATAAATGCACGCCATTCCACGACATATCCCAGAGCCAATACAGCCCACGTTCGCTGTTGGTGTCTGCTGTATTCTCGAAAGCGCCTTCGGGCATATTTGCTGCGTTCCAGTCGATCTGGGATTGTGGCCATTGACCCCGGTTTATGGATTCCTGGTCTACGCGGGGAGGTCGGTAAGCGTCTTGGCCGGAATACCATTCAAGAGATTGATCACCATCTCCAGAAGGTACAACTATTATGGTATCAATAACAGCATATCAATAGAAAATAAAGAAACGTACCGTATTGCACTGATGTCAGGCTTTCATTCAGACGAAGGACATTGGTAAGGTCCGGCCATGCCTGTCGTCGGGACGGAGTATCCGGCGGCTCGGACACATCAAGGGGTAGACGGAGAGTGTCTTCCACAGACAAGGGTTCGGGGTTTGTGATAGACTGAGGACGCTCCTCCTGACCGTGTCCTGTAATAGGAGCGAGTATGGCTTCTGATTCACGACGAAGAAGCAACGTGACTACATTCTTCAACACTGTCGTGCTTTGTCTCGACAACGCCGAGCGCTTACCCAGCAAATCTTGCAGTCGCAAGATGCGCGTAATTGTTCGTTTGACAACCTGTGCAGTATCAGACAGTGGATCTGAAATAGCCATGACTGCCAGCACAATTGCCGCGTTGAACAGATTAATGGCGAGAAAGGCAACCAAATGGCTATCAGTCGCATTCTGAGCCAGTACTGGAAGCTCGGTTACTCGCGATGTTCTTAGGGCAGCATTCCACCAGTGCACTGAGCTTGCAACAGATGTATTCGGTGACAGGGCTTCGAAAGGTGAGTCTTGTTGCGCCGGCGAAGCCGCGCTTGGAGGGCGATTATTAGAGCTCAATCCACCTCTCCGAGTTGATGACAGAGGATCGATTGATAGATGATCAACTTGTCTGGCGAGCAGAGGGCGGTGGAGCACTATGAGGATATTGTCATACGTGAGCTGGAGTGACAATGACTGTAGAGCATGTGCTCTCGCGCTAATCCCGCTGTTGGGCTGTAAATCACTCTCAATGTTCAAAGCCAGATTGTCAGGCAACTCCTCTTGCCAGTTCTGGAGATTCCGAGTCGCCTCCTTAACCAAAGCCAGGTATGCGTCTCCAGCCAGTTCCTTTGACGAACCTGACGTTCGAGAGCCAAAGATGGTCTCAAGAGCAGTAGACGCCATCAGATACAGGCGGTTTAGCTCCCTTTGATAGGTGGAGTAGCAGACAGTGTACCCGTGCTCAGATAGTGGTGCAGCAAAGTAAGGGTTTTCCCGAATATCCGCTGGCATGCTGATATTACAGTCCCTGTCGTTGATCCCTAGAGGCCGACCATATGTAATTGATGCAAATCGATCCCATGTGTAGATGGTCCACCACACTCGCTTTCTTTCTTCGTTATCCTCAACATTGCCACTGGATGGTTCACGGTGCAATCCTGCAGCTTGGGAGATCTTGATTGTCGCGCCTAGTAAAGAAAATGAGAGGTTCGGACGGCCATGGTAGACGCAGTAAGACCCGAATAGAATGCAGATCTGAGCTGCTGTCACGGACGGCTGGTCCATCATCTCGATGAGGTACGACTCGACCAATTTGAGCAGTCCCGCACTCAGTTGTCGCCAGTCGCCATTATCTGTTTGGTCGGGATTCCTCCTCTGCGATCGGTACCATGCCCCCATGCCTAGGACAACAGCTAGAAGAATGAGAAACGGCTTCTGTGAGGGGTAGGCAAACCCATCCATGACGGAAAGGAGACTCCTCCGAAAGATCGGTTCATAAATAGCAAGAGAAAACCAATGAACAGCATCAAAGTAGTCCTCGAGTAGCATGTATACTATCTCTGTCGAGGGTAGTGGCTGGCCCAGTATTGAAGAGATTGGATATCGCTGACCGACAGCGGCCGTGTTCGAGTTGGAAAACGTGGTGCTGGCTTGATACCCGGGTATGGCAGAGGTAGCTTGCTCATCGATGAGTTGCCGACCAAGCCCAAAAAGCTTCTGAGCAATCCCCATTGTTGACTCTGCCTCCCCATAGTCCATTGGCCGACGTGGACTACCCGCATCGGCAGGGTTGTTATGGTCATGAGTTTGTGCTTGTGGAGGTTGGAGTTCTGACCCCTCGACATTCTCAAGCTCATGGTTATCAGATACTCCTGCGGAGCTTGTTTGACGCCGGCGGCTTCGCGAAATTGACTTTGAACTGCCTAGTGTTAGTCGACCCGAGAGAAATAGCGCCTCTCTAGCTTGTGATTTACCTCCGCCTGTTTGTCCGGTTGAGATTATGTGGTTTGCAGCTGACCTGCGCTCTCACACAGAGCGAGCAGGGACGAAATGGGTCACACTCAAGTCATGTTAGTCACAAGCAGAAATTTCCAAGGACAGACTCAATAGTTACCCGGATTTTGTGCCGGCGACATCGCTCGCATGCACTGCTAACACGCGTCGGCAGCGGAGAGCGGGTGTAGGCTGCGTGCTCTGAGCCCGTATGCTCCAGTCGACTGACTGCACTGGCTTGTGCCGGTTCAATATTATCCTCAGGCATGATTCAAATGAGGACGATCATGATCCGGGGCAGAGAGTCCGGGGGAGGAGAATTGAGGAGGGAAGTCTCGGTTCCGGCGGAAGTTTGGAGTGTACCCACCATTGGAGACTCGCGCTCGAAAGTGTGGTACCAAGTGGACCCCAAAAACCATGATGGATCAGATGACGGAAAATCTTGCTCAAGCGGAGGGTTGCACTGGGAACTGAAACAGAAAAACATGGATAGCCGCCATTGCAAAGACAGCGCAGGAAACAAAGTTGCTTCTAGGAGTGAGGTTGGCTTGATCGCGGGGACTCTGGAGAGCGAAGGCTGGTTCCTGGCCGGCGGAACCGTTCCAGACGCCGGATATATCACGTGATTTCCATTTCAGGCAGGCACCCTGTGTCGGCCTTCGGCCCGGCCGAGATCGGGATCCGGGCATGCACTGTATAGCGCCGGTTTACCAGTCCTACTCTGGGGTAAGTGTGGGTGATATTACGAATTGACCAACCTTAAGTAGCATAGGTTGTGGTTAAATATGTGATTCTTTTTACGAGTAGTAATACAGGCAATTAGAATAGACAAGACTTATACAAAATATATAGTCTTACTGACATACATGCATCCGATTTCAAAAAGCAATAACCCAAAGTCCTTCTCAAGAGTACACTTATTAAAGGGCAAATCCAATCTGTAGCATCGCTGCGTCTCACTTAATCAGAGACTCTCCCGAAATTATGCAAATGATAAGGTTGAAAAATGGCAAGAAAGTAACGGGCGAGTTTTCTACACTAGGAGCATATGAAAACCAGTTAGATCAATCATGAAGGTTCTTTATTAGCATAGTTGTCAACCTTTTTTTTAATTGAATAATCATTATAATCGATGGGCTCTTGGTTATGGCATAGAAGTACATATGTCGATACAGCTATGTATCATATACCGCAGAAGCTACGTCATATCATAGTCTGGAATAGGGTTATATAGACTAGACCTAGACACTTAACTAGCCATGAACAAGCTCTGCGACATTCCCTCTTACACTCTCATCCAACCCAACAAACCCCCTCCCATACGCCTTCCTCAACAGAGCCTCCGCTCTCGTAATCGGTTCAAACGTACTCAGATCCCGCTTATCATCCGGATAATCCTCCCATTTTTTCTCTGGAAAATGTCTCCGTAGCACTCCAAGAATATCATTGAGGTTAAACGGCCCCGCAACGGCGAAGATGCGCTCCCCTTGCACCGCCGGATCAGCTAGCCCGATGATATGAAGCCGTGCGTCGTCCTGCACGTTGATATAGTGCTGGGGTGGCACATGACTCAACGACGCATAGTCTGAATCCCATAGTGCTCTGGTCCATCGCGCGGTTGTTGGGTAGCCCTGGTCCGTGGCGCTGATTAGGGGGCCGATATTGGCATTCGGGAGGACTGGAGCATCTTTTGTTAGGAAACCGGGCAAACAAGTCAGAAGTATTGCGATGGATGCGAGGATAGCCTACTATAATTAACAACAAGAGGCGAGTCATTCTCTCGCACCCATCTCGCAATCGCCCTCTCGGCCTCAACCTTACTAGCAGCATAAACTGAGTCACCATCTGCATCGGGTCCGTAGGCCCGTTCTATGGCCTCTTCATTGAACGTGTCGGTTGCGATCGTGAACCGCTGGCCTGGCCTAGGGAGCGTCGCCGCAAATGACGAGGACGTATACACGAAGCGCTTAATACTCGACTCCTTCGCCGACGCCCGCAAGGCATTTAGGGCGCCGTTGACTGCGTGGGGGATCGCGATGCTGGCATCAGGAGATGCCGTCATGTCGTTTGCGACGTGGATAAAGCCGGTCGCGCCTTGAGGTATGCCATATTAGGAATACTCATAAGTACGTAGCGACGAGCAAAGATTACAACGTACCAATCACAGCATGATCAAACGCCCCCTCTGCCGCCATATCTCGGACTTCGACCAGCTCAAAGTTCCCCGGACCATATTGTTTTTCGAAGTGCTTTTGTACCCAGTCGCTTTTCTGGACGTCCCGCGTTGTCCCGCGCACCTTGTAGCCCGCGGCCAGTGCCTGGTCGGCGACGTGGGAGCCGATGAAGCCGCTGACGCCGGATACGACTACCCAGCTGCCGAATGGGATAACTGGGTCCTTGATGCTTAAGGTGCTCATTTCCAGAACACCGGGGAAAGGTAACTGGCGGGCTAGCGGACTTATTAAACACGGTGGTAGGTGATCCGTCTAGATGCTAGAAACTTGTGGAGGGATAGTTGAAATATTGGGCAAATAGCTTCGTTTCGTAGCAAGCAGATTCCCGCACCGAATAATTGAAAAGCTTTACAGGTAGGTCGAACGTAATCCATCTGCAGGCTGGTGTGCTACCTACTCCAACATATGGAACTAGTCGGGGTTAAGAAGCGGGGGAATCCCATACATTGTAGGGTCAATTACTAATTCGTTATAGGACATTATTAATTGCTTTGCTTCAAGGGTTTCCCTCGAGCCATATTACAATGCATGAAGCAATTTGAGCTTATTCAGTTAGAGGTCCATGCTTATAGCAGAGCTTATGTCTCGATTTTTAGTGAATTTCCAAGAGATTTAGATCTTATGGTCCAACCATTTGATCATAACCCTAATAAACACTAACCTAGCTCTGGAACCTGTGCATAATATTATGTTTCAATATAATCCTGGAAGAATTGTACCAATATACAAGACGCACTATAAATCCAGCCGAGAACTAACTGCACGTACTGAATGGTACAACAACAATTCAATATTCAGACAACAAATCCTCCTCTTGACGGACTCTTCTTGGAAAGAGCTCTCATCGGTTACGCAAATAGCACCATTGAAGCTCCCACGACCGCAGACGCAATCATGGCAGCAGCAGCCCCTATCTACCCTCCAAAACCACCACCAACCCGCACCGCTGCACCAGTAGGCTCCGGACCCTCTGCATCCTCATTCTGATTAGGGCTCTCATTATTCGCACTATCGTCTCCACTCTGACTCTCCTCATTTCCTGACTATCATCATTGCCGGCCCCTTCTTCACAACCTTGATTGTCATCTTCCTCCAAATCCTCGGCTCGATGCACAATCACAACCGGCTCACGCGTCGCATACGCAATAAGCTCCGTCGTCGGCGTGGTGGGAGCAATTTCGCATTGGTATGACATGGTCGCTCAATGGCTGTACCCAAGTCGGTTATGGCATTACAGTATAATCTGATAGTAATATCTGACTAAGTTCTATATGCATTGCCGTTAGACTATTGCTACACATCCACACCAGCCGAACCCGCAGCATTCCTCTCAACGATCACCATAAGCTCTTTGAAAACCCTATCATCCTCCCCCTCCAAAAAGCACTGTACCGCCGTATCAAAATGCGGGAGCCGAGACCCATACTTGTCACTAAGGCTCGCATACGGAAACGGCCTCACGCCAGGCTCGCTCTCAATCTTCCTCCTCGCGCGCTCCACAAGCGACTGATCAGCCCAGTTGTTGTCGAGAAAGAGCAGACGTTCCTTGTCGTCTTGGTCCTCGTGGATGATCTCGAGACTGCGCAGCCGCGGTAGCGACGCCGCGATGAGTGACTCGAAGAGATCTTTCCACCGCATCGTCCCCTCGAACCCATTGCAATCCCGCAAGGTAATCGATTCGAGTGTCTGAGAGTGCCGAACAAGAAACCCAACCAGTTCATCGCAGAGAGCCAGGTTGGCTAGGTCGACGCGCCGCAGATTTGGCATGTTCGCATCGTGCAGTCCAATGCTGGCCGCATCCTGAAGTCCGATGCTGGCGTCGTAGCGATCGCGCATGTCGCCCAGTATCCCCGTCTCGGACGGGTCAAAGGATATACTCTCTGCGGAGCGTAGATGGTTGAAGAACCAGGAGCCCAGGTACTCTGCGAAACCGGAGTACGACGGCTGCGTGATGACGCACCATCCCGCGCCGTTTTCGAGGTACGGGATTGTCATCGTGAAGGATTTTACGCCGGAGAGGAAGCTGCCCCAGGCTGGCTCGTAGTATATGGGTAGTGTTATTGGGGCCAGGCCGTGGATGCCGAGAGAGTGAGGTACGTGGACATTGGGAGAACGCTGGGGGTCGTAACCTGAAGCGATGGCCCGGAAACTGGATCCCATCAGCTCGCGCCAGGGTTCTTCCCCTGCTCGTTCCTCGGCGACTCCGGCGTCGCTGTAGAAATCGTCCACGAGCTCATCGCTCAAGAGGTTCCATAGGTCCTCGTCGCCTTCGAAAGCAAAGTGGATGTCGAGTCGCTCGAGACTAGTGAAGCGTGCGAGATTCGACAAGACGGGGCTGAGTTCTGGTGGGTATAATTCCTCTATAGTCGTCTTGGGCTCCCCTGACGGGATGTTTAGCTTGGAGGTGGTATATAATAGGGCAGTATAGACCTACAAGACCCTGTGTGAGTACAAATGTACTGTAGCTCCTTGACGCAGGCGGCGAACTTTCCCTGTCCAATGGCCTGCACGGCCAATGCACTCTTGGCCGTGTTATGGAGAGTAATCCTCTTGAAAATGCGTGGAGCGAGTATAGAGCGGAACTCGGAACACGTGCTGCTCAGACCGATGAGATCCCGAAGATATGGAATCTCCTTGGCGAAGCTCTGCGGCGCTTTGTTGCGTTCGCCATCATCTACCTTTTCTGGCGCAGGCACATCGCAAAGTATGGCGATGATGATGTACCACACGTCCAACACAAGGGTAGTTTTCGGTTGCTGCGACTGCATTTTGTTTAGGCAAGAAGGGATTGAGAAATTGAGTTTGAGCTGAATATTTATCGTCCATGAAGCTAGGCAGAGAATCACGTGGAGCAATGGTGCCTGCTTTTAAGAAAGTCATGTGACTCTCTTGTAGCCCTAGGCCACTTAGGTGGAGGGTTTAATAGAACATCCATGATACTCCGTAGTCTGGATCGTGACAACCCTTTGGCTACAAGTCGATAAACGGAGGGATGGCCTCGAGTACAATTGGTTCCAGTCTGCCCCTTGAGCGTTCGGTAGGTGGGGCTTTGTAGAGGTTGGTTCGTGGACGTGGAATTGGCTCAGAGGGCACCGAGTCTGGATAATCATCGGATTAGCATAAACAAGCTGAGAATGCTATACACCAAATAGAAACTTTTTCCTGGAGTACAAATAGCCACTTCTGTATAGGTACGTATACTACGCAGGAGACATCAGGGTATTTATTTAGACCACCGTTGGCCGTCGCGTATACCTTCAAGCATACGCAGTACTTCGACGTTCTGGATGGGCTGCGGATCACTAGCAAACTACGAATCAACTCGGATTATGAATTAACTGCGAGGTATGTGAGTACGAGGTGAGAGACGAGTACATAAGCATTACAAATCAACAATGCTTGAACTGTTAAGTGTCCGAGAAGATGGGGGCGAAATTCCCCCGGGGCCGTAAGGTCGAGGAAGCATATAAAGGGGCCCACCAAGTATGATAAATCAATTATAGGAACCAAACCCTACCTTGGCCGATAGATAAGAGAGACAACTCAGGTAACACATAGTAAACAACAATGACCCCACCAATTGCCGTTATAGTCGGAGCCCTAGGAGCGCAGGGCTCCAGCGTCCTCTCAACCCTCTTGAAATCAAAGAGCCACTACAAGATCCGTGCTCTCACCTCCAACGCAACAAGTCCCGACGCCATCCGCTTAGCCTACTCCAATCCCAACATTGAAGTCTTGCAAGCCGACCTCTCCTCCCCACCTAGCCTCCTCGCAGCATTTACCGGTGCAAGCATCATCTTCGCCAACACAGTCTTCAGACCAGATGTATTCCTTACACGGGGCGCAGCTGCCGCGGAGGAACTTGAGGCGTCTCAAGGGCTGAATATCGTGCAAGCTGCGTCAAAGGTTGCGTCGACACTGCAGCACTTCATCTGGTCGACTCTTCCCGACGGAGAGGGGATAACGGGTGGTAAATATAAGATCCCGCATTTCCAGTCCAAGATCCCTGCGGAGAGGTATCTGCTTGATCCAGCGAATGGGCTGGTAGGCAAGACGACCTTCCTGCGTGTTGGGATGTATGGATCGAATTTAGTGAGGGACCCGTATAAACCTGTTTTTGTGGTAAGAAGTTCCCCCTCTTTGTTATTATGGTTGCTAACAAGATGTGTCCAGAAAGAACAAGGAAAATACATAATGACACTCCCCTGCTCCCCATCGACCGTTATCCCATTCGTCGGGTCAGAAACGCCTAACGTCGGAGTCATCGTGGACGCCATCATCCGCCAACCAGAGAAAACACTGGGAAAGTTTGTCCTCGGCGTATCAGAATATCTTACAGCGGCTGAATGGGCAGCGGCGTTATCAGCAGGTTCGAACGTCGAGGTTACGTTCTCGGAGACGAGTCTTGAGGACTACGAACGTCGGTGGGGCCCTATTGGGACGGAAATCGGCTTGATGTTCAGGTTTATCGAGGAGCTGGGGCAGGGTAGTTTTGCTGCGGGGGCGGATGGTTCGTTAATTGTCACGCCCAAGGATCTGGGTGTTCAGGGTCTTCTGCATAGCACGGAGGATAGCCTGCGGAAATTTCGCTGGGGGGAGATCCTGAACTGAGCTGGTATATATCTTCCAAGTACTGCTATCTCATGCAGATCTGTTGTCGTTGATAGGACTGCTGCAGGGTTGAACCTCTCGGAAGAAGATGCTTACAGGAGGCAAAGCTGTACACTAAGATAACAAGTTGGATCTCTCTTTTCACATGAACAGTAGCCTAGGAAGACCCCAATGATAGAGGACTATTAGAAAGCGATACCCGTCACTTCGCTTTTTGACGTAAGCCTGTGCGGTATCAGTAGAGAAATCAAAAGTTAGAGAGACATACACACATCTATGCGTAACAAGTTGACTCCTCGCTTCGCGTGCTATTTAGCAACCACCCATGAGCAGCAATGCAAGCTAGACCAACCACGGCGCCGACTCGACTAAATCAACCCATCATCCCATATTTCTCCAGCATTTCCGACCATTTTCTTCTCTAGTTATCCCCGTAGAACGCTTAATAGACACACCAGGATTGCCAGCTGAGCTTACTTCAGTCTCCATCCAAGTGTATTCCCAGTTAGTATAGCATGACCGAGGCATGATTTAGAGTCCCCATGATACGCTCGACACGCGCGTTTAATATGAAATCACGGAACTCGTACGCAGCATTTATATATCGCGCAATGTCAACCGCAGAAGTCTTGAGTTTAGAGGGTGTTTTCGGTGAGTTACATGGCTGGGTTAGGGTTATGTTGATAGGATCCTCGAGATCAGAGGTAGGTATGGTAGGTGATTTCCTTCGCCTCGCCCCACCCCGAGGGATTGTAATATTTCCAGGAAGTATGTATTGTATTTCCAGAACTGTCCAAGTAGCAGCAACAAAGATCAGCATTAGCTAGAATTATCCCGTTTGATTCCACTAGGATGCTCCAACTACCTATCTATCTACCATGAACATCACCCTAACCAGTAACCTGATGGTAGCAGTCTTTCGTGGACTGCATAAGACAATTGTCATAAAAACAGAAAGAGTTGAATGGCTGCTTTTTTGACGTATTCAATGCTTTATCCTGTGTCCCACTCTGCCTCGGGTGCCTCCAACAACAGATTTTCTCCTCACACCTCGGGATTTCCCAAGCACCTCAAGCGTTTCATAAAGTATACATCAAGTAAAATACCGATGATCTAGGAAGAAAAGCAAATATCTGCAACACGCGTTAGGTAGCTTGACCCTGAGATCCATAAAAAATCAACTCATCATCGATGAGGGGATGCGGGGCCACGGATCCAGACTTTGGCACAGGCGCTAATGGGGGAAATTCCGATCAGATCTGGGGGATGGCCATGGTCCACTTTCATTTATATTCGCAAGGAGATCCAACGTCCTAGAAACTTTCTTTTCCTATTTTACGCCCGTCGTACAACATACATAAACCCAACATGAGGGCTGCTAGATTCCACGGCCGCGGCGATATCCGCATCGACCAGATTGAGGAGCCCGTTTGTGGCGAGGGGCAGGTTAAGGTCTGTGTCCCCATCTATTTCCCCAATTCCGCGCTGTGCTAATGTGGATGAATAGATCCGCCCAGCATTCGTTGGAATCTGTGGAAGCGGTTCGTACACCAAACCCTCTCGACAAACCTGTTCAACTAACACCCACAGACCTCCACGAATACCTCGCTGGCCCCATCGTCATCCCCACAAAACCGCACGCGCTGACAGGCAGCCAACTCCCCGTAACTCTCGGCCACGAATTCAGCGGAACAATCGAAGAGGTCGGAAGTGGCGTTACAGGGCTTAAAGTCGGAGACCGCGTCGCTGTACGGCCGAACCTGTCAGATGGCGATTGTCCGTCGTGTGTCTTTGGACGCCCGAATTGTTGTCGCAATCTGGGGTTTATTGGGTTTAGTAGTATGTAACCTCTTTGCTTGGATGAATATCCCGGTTGGGGCTGGATTCGAGACTGAAATAATGGCCCTAGGCAACGCCGGCGGATTATCAGACCATGTCGCTGTCCCAGCAAAGCACGCGATCCCGCTACCAGAAGGCTTTCCTCTTGATCTCGGTGGTGAGTACCATCAGTCCATCTCTTAACAGCCGAACCCAATAGTCCTAACTTGGGACAGCCCTCGTCGAACCCCTCACAGTAGCCTGGCACGCCGTCTCGCGCAGCCCCGTCTCCAGCGCAAAAACCGCCCTGGTCGTCGGCGGCGGCCCGATCGGCCTCGCCATCGTCCAGGTCCTGAAAGCCCACGGCGTGCAAACCATAATCGTCGCCGAAGTCTCCGCGCAGCGCCGAACGTACGCAACGACCCTCGGGGCAACGCACGTCTTCAACCCGGTGACCGACGACATCATCTCGCGAATCCGGGGGCTGACAAACAACGCGGGGGCGGATATCAGCTTCGAGTGTTCGGGCGTCCAGGCTGGATTCGATACGGCGATGAAGGGGATAAGGGTGCGGGGGACGACGACGATTGTCTCGCTTTGGGAGGAGAAGCCGGTTATCGATGCATTTGATGTGGTTTCGTATGAGAAGCATGTGGTGGGCGCGGCGATTTGTGACGAGGGGGATTTTGAGAGGGTTATTGAGGCTATTGCGGAGGGTATGCTGCTCACCTTTTTTTTCTTTTTTTCTTTTTTTTTGAGGTTGCTGGAATGGAGATGTACTGACTGTGTTTAGGGAGAATTAACCCTCGGCCGATGATTACGAGCAAGATTCGTATGGAGGACGTTGAGGAGAAGGGGTTCAAGGCGTTAGTCAATGAGAAGGATAAACACGTCAAGATTCTTATTGATATTGAAGCTTAAATGATGCCCATTTTATAGTTTCTTATCATGTCCCCTGAGTAAACTTTAAGAATACTGTTGGGGAAGGAACGCATAAGACCTCCTCAATCGCCCTAGGGCGGGAAAATGGTATGATACGCCTGAAGTCATGATAGTTGTTGAAGATGGCCGCTAGGGGAGACGATTGACGTGTAATATAGTCTTATTTAGCTGCTTCCGAGAGATGCGACGACAGCAAGATGATGGTTGCTTAGAGGAAGAGATTCGGTTCAAAGGGCCCTGGGACCCCCTTGGTTCTGCACGGGACGCACCCCGTTTCTGACGAGCTCCTTCTCAAAACGGTCGCATGTGGAGTCCGTAAGGTTAACTTGAATCGCACGGTTCGAGATGACGATACGACATTTGTTGCTGAAAAAGCTGGCACGATGGAACTGATGGTCCAGCAGGGTCAGGGCGTGGAAGTCTACAGCAGATCCATAGAGGGAATGATGCGGGTATTAGGATTGGTTGCTCGCTACTAGGGCACTATATACATTGTAACGATATAAGAGTCTGGACAAAACCCAGCAAACAGGGTCGTGCAACGCATTAGTAGCCGAATCAAATGTGCGCGGGCGGTGGAACAAAATATGGCAAGAGACACACACAAAAAAAAAAGGAAAAAAGCTTTTAAATCGCCTTTCTTCACTGATAGATCGTTTAATTGGTATTGTGTTGATTGTACCGCTTATCAGGCTCAGCCTGTCGCCACTACGGAACTATGCGAGGAGGATACCTGACCCGATGGCAAGGGACCACACAACGACAAGGCGCAGTGGACCTGGTGTTAGAGTAGAATCTGAATAGTATGGCCATTAATATGACGTTCTCTTGCGAACAAATTCAAAAATTTAATAACAAAGTGAGTGAATGTTGAGCCAATCCAACCTGTATCTTCTGCCTGCAATGTTGAATTGCTGAGCGCTCAAATGAGCAGACAACTGACATCTTGAGGATCACTACCACCACCATGCATCTTCCTTCCGGGTACAAGACCGTCCAGCAAACACGCTCGTCACCCCAAATCTCCTGATCGGTTGAGAAGTACCTTGGATTCAGTAAGAACTCTGCTCGCCATAGACATGAAGGACACGACTTACCGATCCGGCGCGTCCAGCCGCCACTAAACCTAAGTCTGACGAATCGACTTGATGCAGCGCGCATAGTACTCGTACGTGTTCGGGTGATCAATGAGATTGTAGCACTGGTGCGAGTGGAAGTAGTCGCCGTCGTAGGCCCACGTATCGTACAGGAAGTTGCCGCTGCACTGTCCGGGCGCCCCGCTCTGCGTATAGAACTGGATCCGCTGCTCGTGCTGGCCCCATCCGTTCTCCTTGTACGAGTAGAAGGCCGGGATGTTGGTCACGGTGCTGTCAGCGTTGAAGTGCACGTCGGTCTGCTTGCCCGTGCAGTCGGGCCCGTCCCAGACGGTGATTCCGGCTGAGAGGGCGCCTGGGAGGAGGGCGGCGCAGGTGGTGAGGAGAGCGAGGTATTTCATTTTGGGATAGGATGATAGGCCAGGATGGGTTAGAATTGAAATCGACTGTGTTGGCGAGAGGGAAGGTCTCCAGGGACTCATGGGGGTTTATATAGATGTGATGTGTCTTAGGCACGGAGGAAGCGGCCTTCATGGACGTTGCACGACGAAGACTTCCACATCAAAGGCCAGCAGCTTACACCCGCCGATCAGGCGTCCAGAACAAGTCGTGTGTAGGGCAGGCTGTAGATACGCAGGGCAACGCCGAAATGGTCCAGGGAATATTCCGCACACCTCTCGCCGCAAAGATCTAGATATGGACAATACGTATACGCCCGATGATTTGCAAGGCACTGCAAGACGACGAACCGTTGATCCCGATTCTCTGACACGATTGGTCCGCCCTGAAGAGCGAAGCCTTGACCTCGAAAGCTTCAGGCTGGGGCGAGTAACTCTCTCCACCAATCGCTGTGCCAGTTGCATAAGGGTAGGGTTTAGATTTCCCCTTTCTATTCTCCACGGCGTCCAGAGTAAGACTGCTGCGTATTACGAAATAACATCTCAAGTCGTAAGAAACGGGCGGCTGAATGCAGATCATTACGGGAATGGCGCACAATGTTGCCGATCAGGCAAGCCGCGCCCGGATTGATGCCGTGAGATCAAACTAAACCAGGAGAATAGGACACAGCCTAGAGTGGGCTGAGCTCTGAACTGTACCATCGTCTCGACGGGACCCAGGGGCAGCTCCTTCTCAACCGTACTGTGGAGCCATCCTTTCCTCTTCAAGTCAGTACAGTGGGCATCGCCGCCGTCCATGTCTTGGCGGTGTTTTAATGAAGGTCCAAGGCGTATCCCGTATGCGTGTTTCATCAAACGGGCGGTTGGAATCCGAGGACAAAGATCGTTGCGTTGAGCTCAACACACCACTGGATACGTAGAGGAAGGCCCTGAATACGCCCGCCAAGTCCACATAAGCCTCTGCGTGTCTTTACACCACCATGTGTCAATGGCGCGGGGTCTCATAGCGTGAGTGATGGATACCACAGACGATCGGTCAGTAATACGCCGCGGATGTACACCTTCAAGACTCTACCAGTTTTAATCTGAGCACGGTCCTGGCCTTGAGCTGGGTGCAAACGCCTATTTGGCTGCAATCTGCCAAGTCTGCGATTCCACGTCCAGCCAAAACTTTAGTCGGCTTTGGAGCGAGATTGCCGCGTTCTGATTATCTATCCAGGCGTTATATCTGCATACGTTAGTCACACAAAGGCTTGCCACCATATGACCAAGCAAGCAAGTTTAGAGTCTGAAAGGCCCACCGCAATTATACATAAAGCTCTTCAGGTCCAGGATGAAGTGCCGGAAATCCTCGTGGCAGGGGTAGTATAAATGATCATGACAGACACTTCCATCAACCGAAAACCGCCCTATGGTTGAAATCTATTTACTTGACTATTACTAGCCCTCTCCTGCAAGGAAGCTTCATAACATTAGTATACGGATGTAATAAGCTCACACGAGTGGTGTGTGATATAAATCCAAAATCGAGGATTTCCTAAAATGCCAACAGCGCTGCCGAGCGTCGAAGGTTGCTGCCGGGGAGCGGGTTGGCCAGTGACCAAGGAATGTGCGAGATTACCCCAGGCACTGCCCTCTCCTCGACCACAGTCTGCCAAGGTTTAGGTGTCCAAGGTTCTCAAGCCGAGTTCTTCAGCTAAGGCGGCACTCGACTTGAGCCACGCTGGGACCATCCATTCATAGTAGATATGTACCCAGGAGTCTAGTATACTGACATATCATTCAAGTTTTCATAATGCACGCTAAATAGGTACTCAAGAGTAAGGAGTATATCACTTCAGTACAGAGTAATCCTAGGCCCGTATTTATCAGGTAAAGAAAGCTTCCTGCTCAACAGGTTTGTTCTTCTATTCGCACTGCATCATGGTGTAAGTTCCCGGTGCCTGTTATAGCCACGCGGATTGGGCGTTGCTGCCCCGGTGCAAGATCAGGAAGTGAGGGGGTACTTTCAGTCCGCAGCTAGGCTATCTATCTATACAGTAGACTAGGTACAGGGTAGCGTTAGAGGCCCATGCATGCAGTCTTGGCCACTCAGCATGGCTACTAAGATTAACTTTAGATTATTAAGAGTTCCATAGTAAATAGTATTAAGAAGAAGTAGATATAGCTTTAAAAGATTAGCTACTATTAGCTCTATATTACATACCAGCTCAATAGTCGTAGATGGTATAAATCTAGAATAGGAACTATAGAATAATTAATAATAGAGTGGCAACTCGAATACTGTACGTCGCGTCTTGAGGATATAGGATATAATAAAGTTTAATATACTAATATGAAGAAGGATATTAAAGCTAAAGAGGTTCCCTCGCAACTAGGAGGCTTTATAGGGGTTATTCACGTACCTAGTAGTTCTTTATTCCTTCCCTAATAAAACTCTATATATTCTATAGTGGACACTAGATGTAGCCGGCTAGCCAGGCTACAATGCCAACTAATCTATAGATACCTCAAGAAGCTTATCGCTTAATTAGGTCATGTGACGCACCAAAAGCTTGTTTCAGGATTCATTTAAGCTTCTAGAGTAGGAGACGAGAGTCTATCTTTACTAATAGCTTAATGTGACACGCCCTGGGATGTTTCTAAAATCTCTGCATATACCACATCAAGTAAAATCGGTGTTCGCCGTCTCCCTGTGATTTTGATTGCCGAAAAAGATCAATCCTTGGCGTTTCTAGACTTGTTGAGATTTATGACTGCATGCGATATACATGACGATAAAAGGTAGTGCCCACGCTGTGCTGATCTCCTTGGACATGAATTGAGTAGTTGGTCAAGCAGTTTTCAACTTGCTTACTACCAAGCGCGTTGGCTCCGGAGATCTCGATAGCGACTAATCAATAGACGGTCAAAACTCATGCTTATGCATGACTGAATTCTCTCCTGAGGCCCTTGTCATGTGCTCATGGTATTCATCAGCGTCGAGATTAAAATCAGGAAGAAGATGATTTGTTAGTATAATCAGATAAAATGCAGACCATTATCTCACTCGTATACCGATCCATCCACTCAAGTATGGTCCGATAAAGCACCAGCAAATTCCTGGGCTGCCTCACGCCTGCCCCCTCATCATCAAATCGCAAAAAAGAGCAATCGACCCCTCTAAGCTGCAGTGTCTGAACTGCCGCAACAGCATCCGAGACAGGATGATTCCTATCCAGCGCCCCATGTACAACCAACTGCGGCGTAGTCCAGTTATGCAGAAACCGCGAGGGACCCCACCGCTTCCACTCCTCGAACGTTTCACTATCCGCCCATGGTGGCCCGCCCATCTCATGCATAACTGATTGCCGTACGTCGCTGGCGCTGGAGAGGTGGGACATGATGTTGAGAACGCCATTGCAGCTTATCAGAGCGCGAAACTTCCGTCCTAGCTCCTGGCCTTGGATCCAGTTTATCATGTATCCACCATAGCCGGGGGCCTCCTACTGCCACGGAGCGGCTGGTGTCGATATAGAATAAGGATGGTTCTGTCTGGAGATACCTGAAGCCATGCATTAGGTCCTCGTATGGTGCACCGGCAAACGAGTGCCGCATGCCATCCACAAAACCCTGGCCGTATCCGCTGCTTCTGGTGATATTAGGGGCGACGACCACGTAGCCGCCGTGCTCGGCTAGGCACACCGGATTCAGATTCAAGCCTGTAGGATCATGGCCCCAGGAACTTATCCAGCTGCCATGTTGCTTGGCATGGATCAAGTAGACGAGTGGGTATTTCTTCTCCGGGTTGAAGTCCGCTGGCTTGATCACCCATGCGTGGATATTGCGGTTATTAGTGCTGGGGTACCAGATCTCGGCGATTTGATTTTCTAATAATCCGCCGCGTGTGGAGTTCTGGAGGAGTTCACGCGTTTCTCCAGTCATCAAGTCCTTGAGTATGAATTCGCGCTCATGAATGAAACTGTCACAGACGAATAGGACACTTGAGGATGTCTCAGTCACATGCGTGACCTCATCTATGGAGCTCAGGTGCGGAAACGGAGGCTCAATCTTTACAACGTCTGCTGGGGTAGGCTCACGGTCACCTATGCCGTTCATCGGAGACACCTTGTACAACACTCTCTTGCCCTGTTCCTCCACATTGAGCAGCAAATGACCATCCGAGGCAAAAGAGGCACTGGAAGGGCTAAGATCCCACATCCCCTTGCCATCAGCGGATGCAAAGATCTCCCTGTATGCCCCTGTATTAAGGTCGTTGACGAGAATAATCCGATTCTTGTCCGCGGCATATCCGTCTTCCTTCTGAGATAGAAATGCCACAGCCCCCTTCTTATTGGCAGCTGGCGATGAGATAGTACCACCCAGGCCGCGATGTCGGAACGCTTTGTAATAGTCATCAGGCACAAGTAGCCCGTTCCAGTCAAGCACAGGGCAGATGTAACATGAGCTAGCCGTATGCCTCGCCCCATCCACTTCTGGGTCTTTTGCAGCAAACATGATGACCCACAGGTCATGTAGAAGTCCCGACAGACTTCGCGATGATTGTGTTCGTGGCCTTGTGATACCTCCAGGGAGACATCTCCTAGGTTGAAATATCTCATAAGATTGGTTACCCTGGGAATGGTATATCGCCCACTAGGCGACGAACCAGATGGACGCACAAGGCATCCAAACCAGATAACGTCCGTCCTCCGAGCATCTTTATACTCATGGCCATTATGGGCCGTTGCCACAGATACAGCACCACCAGCCTTCAGCTGCACAGGGCCGCCAGTTCCTCCTACATCAATCCGGGGATTATAGAGTGTCCCATCCGGATTAGCTTCGCCAATGACAGCAAAAGAAAGGTCGTCATCGTCACCACGATCCTCTTTGAAAACAACACCAGCAGTCCTAAGATCCCAGACGGGCCCGCTAACCGAGCCAGCAATGTAACCTGGACTCTGAAGACGTGCATCCCCAACCACAAACTGCGTGTGCCCATTCTCTAGAGTCTCCAGCCAGATCAACTGGTCGCTATGACCGAGCCACTGAGGATAGCTGGCGTTGGCAGTGTCAGGAATGGGCCACCGTCGAGCTGAGTTCAGGTCAATAACCCATATTGCGCTTTGGAGTGTGGTTGGTGGCGGGGTGTAGCGTCGCTCCGTGTACACGATAAGCTCTCCAGAACTATTTGGCACTGGGGCGCTGCGAATGGGGGTCTCGATGAGGGAGCTTTGGAGAGATTCAAAACTCGTGGACTGGGGAAGTTCTGGAGAGAGAGCGCGGATGTACGGGGGAGTCAACAAAGGAGACTGCTCTGTTGATTTTATTTGGGTCATGTCTGCTTGAGTTTGCTGAGGTACAAGCAAGGTACGGGCAAAGATGTCAAAATAGCGTTTATCCCCAAAATATGAAGAATGGAAGAGGGAGCTTAGGTTGTAGGAAGGAGAGAAGTTGCATAAACAAGAAAAACTGGAGAATGAAGAGAAGGCTGCAAAGAGCGAGAGGGGTCACGTAGAATCTGGTAGGAAGCCTGTTGCAAAGGTTGGGGCACGGTCCACAGGGTACTGAATTCTTATCTGTGCCAAGCTTGCTTCGTGAGGCTAGGGTGATGCCAACGTGTGGAAAGAAACATATTCCATAGGATGATACCCCTCATACAGAAATTGCCTGATGCCCATGGATAATCTAAGTACTGGAGATCTGGCCACATCTAATCTTGGATAGCATCCATGTTTTAGGAACATGACCAATCGACCATACTTGCGCACTCTCTAGGTCGGCGGCGGGTTCGTCCGACTTCACATCCGGCATGTTCCGGAGCTGTGGCTGATAGTGTAGTCCGGAACCATACCTTTGAGGTGCTATTGCTTGTGACTGAGACGTGGCCGATGGTGGAAAGGTCCCCAGAAAATCGTCTGGGTATTGTACATGACAAAAGAAGCTGTTTTGGTCTCCAGCGTCCAGCTCCTCGAGAATCTTGCATGCTCTGCTAGCACTTGGCGCTGCCTCATCGCATAGCCTCAATAGCGGCAAAGGAATATGGAAGATACTACAACCCCTGCCCTAGTTCTAATTCCACTCTTTGCCTCCAATTTCACGTCGACTGCACTAGCCTTGTTCTTGCTTGATGTTTTCAAGTCACCTATTAGCTCCAATAGCTGTAGAGCAGGGGATTAATGAGGAGTTCCCACTGCCGTCGCCGGCGGCATCGCCTGGTCCAGTGCCACCGGCTGCGGCCTTGCGGGATTCGAGCGTATTGACCAGCAGCGCGGAACGCCGGTCCCCAGCTCGATACGCGTGACTTGGACCATGCTCAGGTCGTGCTTGGCGTACTCGAAGCCCGTGAGGATGCGGCCCTGGGTGAGCGGGTCGAACAGACCGGATGCACTTTGCGGGTGCGTGGTGAACCGCTCAAGGTGCCGACTAAACTCGGACTCTTCAGCCTCAATCAGGCCCGAGCGGACGAGGTTCTCCACATACTCGGTCCTGTTGTGCAGCGTACCAACACCCTTGATTGCCTCCGGTACCATGGCTCAACTCCCATCCATCCGCTGGGGAATTCTTAGTGAGCCCCTCCGTTCCCGACCCTATGCAGCCCCGTGCTAATTGACGCGCAGCCACGGGCAAGATTGCCTCCTGGTACGTGGCCGACCTGGTGCTGTCTCGACCAGACGCCAGAGCCCGGCATATCGTGCAGGCAATTGGAACATCCGACGTCAACAGGGGAAAAGCCCTTGCCCAGAAGTACTACCCACACGAGACCCCAGCCATATACGGCAGCTACGAGGAAGTCTACAACGACCCAAATGTCGACATTGTCTATATTAGCACCCCACATGCCTTTCATAAGAAGAATTATCTAGATGCGATCACGGCTGGAAAACATGTGCTCTATGAAAAACCCTTTACTCTCAACGCCCGGGAGGCTAGGGAGGTCTTCATCGCCGAGGCCATGTAGCTTCGCCATCACCTCCTTGTGCGCGAGCTACAGCGCATCTTGCATGTCGACAAGGAAATTGGCGACGTCTTCCACGCAACATCGGACTTTGGCTCGCATCTAGATTTTCCCAACTTACCTTTCGACAAGTACTACCGCCAGAACCCCCTGGGCGCAGGTTCATTGCTAGACATGGGCATTTACTCGTTGACCTGGGTTATGCTGGGCCTCGACCCCTCGCTCGAAGCAGACCGGGAGCGACCGAAAATTTTTAGCCGCGCAGACGCACTGGGAGGACGTCGAGATCAACACCAGCGCCATCCTTCAGTACCCATCGACTGGCAGGCAGGGGATCATCACCTCCACAACCATGGCCAATGGCAACCCCGATTTGTTGGCTCGAATTTACGGGACAACCGGGTCTGTTGAGGTTCACGGGGCCTGTCCTTCGCTGCCAGAGGCCTTTACTGTCTATCCAGCATTTGGAGGGGAGTCAGAAGCCAACGAGACGCGTGGTGAGGGCAAGCGGTACGACTTTTCTGCTCCAGGGCTGGGATTCCAGCATCAGGCTGACAATATCGCGCTGGATGTCATGAGCGGGCGGTTGGAGAGCTCCATAATCCCACAGGCGGAGACTATCCGCGTGATGGAGACAATGGACGAGATTCGGCGTCAGGGAGGGACTAGGTATCCAGTGGACTAGAGGTGGCTTTGATCCTACATGCACGAGAATTTTGGGGGAAATTAAGACCTCTTCAACGATTCAATGATTCAAAAACCAAATGTACGCGCTATAAACACATCCTTGATCCTGTCTAGCTACGTAAGCTCTACAGTTGCTATCGAAAAACAGGAACATGCGCCCCGTATTGAGACAGCAGGCCGTAGAGAATAGTTCATTCAAATGGGTCTTCAACAATTACCGACCACAGCTTTACGCAAGAACACCCATTGGATCCCACCATGGAAGGAACTTGGGATTCTGGTTTAGAAACTCACGCACTCCCCTTGACACAAGGCTTGAATCTGTAACTGCTTGGAAGGTGTACTCGTCTATCTAGTTATCAGTTATAACATACCAGCTATAATTACTAGATATCTTACCCTAAGAGTTTTTAACATGCTACTAGATAGGCTTGTTATTCTTAAGATAGATAGTAGTAATTACTATAGTATAAGTTATTATGATCTTATTATAGGAAAGTACTATATCTTATTTAACCCTAGTAAAATATTAAATCCTAGACTAAGGTCTAAGAGATTAGGGTTAATTGTAAGCGGCGAGGTCGGATCGGCGGCGGTTGACAGTCGGTCTTCACTCGCAGCGATGTCCTACCAAGCAACGAGATGTCGACTAAGAAGAATATACAAAAGAGGAAGGAGAAACTGTATGCTAATTAATTTAGAATCGAATCACTGGGGATCAGGAAGACTTGCAATTCCCGGGGGTCTTATGTACAGTAATACCAAGAGGGTCATTCGGATTTGGCCTAAAGGGGTGGGTGGGTCTTGCTTCGGGGTGAAGTATGAGTACTGTGTCCTATTGATATTCGAAGGGCACCAACCCCACTGGCCGGCTCATTGACTATTTCAACGATTGCACTTCTGTCGGCGTTTGCGTAGCGGGAAGGCATGTTGAGTCTGTTCAAGGTCTAGGCCGATTTTTGTCAACTGTTTTCTGTCTGCGTATCAACAGCTCTATTTACAAATTTAGGATTTATAGAGTCTGTCAGTTTGACGTCTTTTTGATCCAGGGCTGCATTCGAAATTCAACTTGGAGTCCATACTCGAAAACCATCCAAGAATGCTGCCTTTTCTTTGCCTGCCCATTCATACCACAAAATTGAAGCTTGGCCTGGTGGGACCGATGAAGGCCCCTCATTGGTGGTTGCTGAGTCAAGCTCGTCAAACTCTACCCCCCGTGGAGTGGATTCGGTCCGAGTCCACCGGACTTCTTTGACCTTCTCCCTCGGATGATTTCTGTTGGCAGCAAAGGTAGTCGGACGAAAGTCTTGCCGTTCAACAATAAACCTAGGGAGTGGTTATTATGGATGGGTTCACAGTATGGGCACCGACTCCAGTTCTTGGGACAAATCATATTTCTGCATCAGTTGAGCGATGGCAGCTTTCCTGCGGTTCCAATAAACACGGATAGATCCAGCGACGGCCGCAAACTTTGCGATTTGATTGTGGCATGTGGGGCTTCAGTCTTTCATTGCTATTGATGAAAAGGATTGCTAATCCGGCAACAGCTTTTTGATGACGCACGACTGGTGTTAATCCATGGACACCTTCCAGCGTCATGATTATAGACTCGGTGGACCTGCTTACAACTCCCTTGCACGAGTTCCTTTCCATTGTAATGGTGAGTTTATTAGTCAAGTCTCCGAGCCGGCTAGAAAATTGACCGATGATCATCTAAAAGCAGACAAAATAACCCGCAGTGGTTACAGATTGCAAAATTATTCTCTGAGGCAAAGCTTGGGCAGGCATATTTTTCCAGATGGCGAATCATACTGTTGGGGTGTTTCCCGCCGCAGGAGGCATTGGTGGTAGCACTGTCAAGCATCTCCTGTCGCGTCTTCCGCCATCAAACCTAGTCTTCATCGCTCGAGGCCCCGAAAAGCTCAAGTCTCTGCCTGTCGCAGACGCAGTCCTTCGCCGCGCAGACTATGATGACGATGAGAGTCTCCAGCATGCATTTGATGGAGTGGATACACTGTTCCTGATATCATACCCATCGGTGGAGCATGAGCATCGATCTGAGGTGAGATTCGCATGAGAAAAGAAGGACAGCGATCATAGGAAATACGCTGACCATCATATTTTGGTATACCTAGCGTCATCGTTTTGCGATTGACCTGGCGATCCGGAGTGGAGTGAAATATATCTTCTATGGTTCACTGGGATACGGTGGCAGCCCGGATAACAACGAGTCCGTAGCCCATGTCATGCAGGCGCATCTAGATACTGAAAGATATCTCGACAAGTGCGCGCGTGAGCATATGGGCTTTGGCTACACAGTGATTCGTGAGGGTCTCTATTCCGAGTCGTACCCTCTTTATACGGCTTTCTTTGATCCCAAACACCCCGTCAATGACATAAAAATCCCACACGATGGATCAGGACCTGGGATTGCGTGGGTCAAGCGCGAGGAACTCGGGGAAGGTACAGCAGAGCTTTTGGGAAGATTTGTGAAGGATCGGGCAAGGTTCAAATATAAGAACAAAAAGCTCCTGCTGTCAGGATCCAAGACACTGACGCTTGGGGAGACTGTTGCTATACTAGGAAAGATTGCCAGTCACCCAGTGCATATTCTCCCAGTTACCGTGGACGAATTTGCGAAACAGCCTCAGGTAGGACCCAATTTCACTTACCATGGAGTTGATCATTCGAAGGTGTGGGCGACAACCTTTGAAGCGTTCCGCCGTGGGGAGGCAGCGTTCGTTTCCCCTTTACTTGGAGAGCTCCTGGGTCGCGAGCCGGAAGATTTTGAGACAACAATCTCTAGGTCGCTTGAATAAATGCAGTGGCATCTTGACATTCATCGTCACTTAACATGCTCAGAAATTTCCTCTATAGAGATCCTTCAGCCCCCTTGCTACCTGCACTAGCTTTAGTTGGCAGAGAGGCGAATGGTACAATCTTTGATTGCCCGGATCCTTTCTACCCAACATAAATCATGACAATAACATGAGATAACGATAGCCAAAATAATCTGGAAGACTCTTGAGGCCACTTAATATCAAGTGGCTTTCTTTTGATCGATCTTCCAAGTCATACTCTTGGGATTTAATGTAGCGTTAATACATCTCTTAGTCTTTCTCCTCTGATTCTGGAAGGAGGTAGAAACCTTTATGGCGATGATCTATACTTTTTTCGCCACCGGGTAGCGTCAATTTCTTGCCGGTGATTCTCTGCTGTTATTGAAGATTAGAATCTCGTGGACGCAAGCGCCACACATATGTATCGATATTCCCTCAGCCCCTCGCCGGAATGCGGGGATGTAACAACTCGTGCTACGTAAGATCTTGCCGGGTTAAGGCGGAAATCCAATGACGCGCCGAGTGTTATAAACACAGTGAGTACATATGTTGTCTGAGGAAAATCTTGGAGTCCGGGCAGCGAACCTGCATGAGCACCCGCAGCAGATATTGCGTCTCGCAAGAGCTAGCTCGCTTTTTGTTTTTATTCAACATGCAAGATTCTGCCGATTCAGAGTCCGCAAGGTTTCACTGAGCAAAATACGATGGGGAAGGTTCTCGCCATGAACGTGCTCAGTTTAGATCGTTAGGTAGCCGTCGACACGCATGTGATCGTTGCCGTAGGCAAAAGTTCAAGGCAAAATGCACTAAGGGGAGAATTTTCCATGATTGACCTGACGCAGATGCTTGGTTTTAGTGCGACATTGAGAAGCCATGTTCCCCGTGTGTACGGTCCTGCTTTACCTGTGAGACCACATCAGCGCCGTTGCGGTAAGTAGTTCATCGCAAGTCAGAGGCTTCTTCCCCCTCAAACCAAAAATAGATTGGCTGATTGGATTCTAGGAAGTCCAAAAGATCTCCAAGAATAATACATGAGCGGCGCAGAAGCCCGCACCACATGCAGCCCAATATATCGAGACCCTCAAGGCCAAGCCCTCGAGAATTAGATCCACCCAGACGGCCACTCAACGGGGGTGAATCTCATCCAGATTTCTACCCGGGTCGCAGGGAGCCGTCTGCATCACTTCCCGAGCCACACAGATTTGCTCAAGTGTCTGCAGTGGAATTGACAGATCAGGTACACTCCCGGTCTTTGGCACATAGGGATTTTTGAATGTAGACGCTAACTTTGGTACTAGCTTTTTCATATGCATGACCAAGGAGCTGAAGGGTCACCGGCTGCTCATAGCGATACATCTGCTTTGCCTGGTGGAGCCTTGCTGAGGAGTCGAATCCCCAGTGGGAGAAGAAATGGAGAACATACTAGCCTTGCTGCGCACTTCCCTGGCTTAGACCTTCCATCTCGCCCAGTCTGCGATTTTCTGCTCGATTCTTCCTGGAGATCGGTGCATTGGTTCATGATGATCTTCCACGATCCGTCCTTCAAACAAGGATACAGACAAGATTTTGACAATCATTTTGTGACTCCTCGACAGGAAGGCACGGCAGTCTTGATTTTGATGGTCCTTGAATGGGTGCCAGATACGCTTCTGACGAACAGAGCTCGAAAATCGGATTTTCAAGGTATGAGCTGTTATCGCTACAGGAAAAAATGCTTGAACAAGTTCGATCGCACTTTTTTGATGTGTTAGACACTGGTGGGGTGGAGTGTGTGCAATTATGCATCTTGCTCAGCATGTATCATCTGTACAACGGGAAACCGAACCTAGCAATGCCAATATTAGGCGCAGGGGTCAGAAGCGCCCAAGTACAAGGACTACATAAAGAGAATCTTTGGGGTCCTGCAACTGAAATTGTTTTTGATGTCCGCAAGAGAACATGGTGGGCTCTATACGCTCTCGACAGGTACCTAGATTCACTCAGCTGATTATTTTGGTCATTCTAACATCTCACAAGGTTTGCCTCGATCACATATGGTCGACCCCCGTTAATCAATGATACTCATTGCGCCGTAAGTATGCCGCGAGACATGGACGACAGTCCACTCAATATTAAGCTCTACTGGAGCGTGCTGCTTATTCGCCTGGTCTAGCTACGTTAGGTGCTTACCAGCGGCACAAATATGAACTCTACACCATTGCTGGTCCCATTATTGGCATTATTTACGATCTCAACGAATCAAATTGGGAGACTGTGGTGGAGCTGGCCTCGAAAATAAACACCAAACTGGTCGAATGGTTTGACAGACTGCCTATGGAACTGAAGCTCGAGAGCTATATTAGTCTGGACATGTCAGTCTTGACTGAACCTGAAGTTGAGGTCTGCGAGTTGTTTCATCTTCAGGCGTTAGTTCTTCAGTTGGCGTATGATACCTAACATTCAGATTACATCGCCTATTTCTTCAATATGGTCACCGCCTCATCGTGTCATCCGGCTCGCACTCATCAGATGCGCGACCAACCAGTTTCGAACAATGCAAGCACTGCGCTCAGCGCACGTGTAGCATATTACCGAAGCACGCTAAGGTTCTTCTTGGAGCCCAGGGCACCTATGCAGCAGCATACATTGCGATCTAGAATTTCACCGCGGGTGTGACCTTGGGCATGGTGGCTCTCTCCGACCCCGGATCTGAACAATCCTTGGATGCTAAAAGAGGCATCGCAAATTCCATCTCGCTGCAGAAAACTCTCGCCAAATCGTCTGTTGTCCCATCACAGATGGTCAGGATTCTGGAAGGGTTGTTCCAGCTGGTTTTTAACGTAAAATGCAGACTTTACTCGGGAACTTGCATCTTGAAACAAGCAGTCCAAGTCTGAGGAATGGGCCGCAAAATCGAAAGTCTGGTCCTGAAACATATGGAGGCCCTAAGCACCCTGACTCACACAACAACAGTCATTTCAACCAGGCTTCCGTGAACCAAGATCAAGAGATCACAGAGCTTTTGTCAAGCAATATTGGTACTCAAAATGTCCCTTGCAGTTCGCCTGAAATGAACACTCTAGTCAGCTGCGGTTTAAGGCACGATACTGCTGATCTACCCTTTTACTCCGCCATTAACGAGGTACTTGACTCTGTACAGCAAGGTATATGTTTCTATCCCCCAGAGTGGTCCTTGAGTTCATTGAAGGTACTCTCAGCTGGATCCGAACTCAACCCGCCTGAAATCGTCTTATTAATGCAGGTATTTACAGTACTATGGGAGAACTCCAATCCAATTGCGTACACCGGAAATTATATATCGCCCATGACTGGCCCGCACCTCGACGCTTTTCCAGACAGCAGCCTCCCACAACCCAGTTAACAGAACTAGATAACCCATTGCCTTTTACAAGTCCGATGGCTTCAACAGCCGACCCTGCCAGTCAAGGACTTAATACCCTTAACAACTCGCAGCTTGGTCAAGGCTGGGTATGGAACCTGACAAATTTCTTTCAATGAGATGCAAAAGCGATCAAAGTCCTGTTATATCATATGACGGTAATGTTACTTTCGTGGAGTGCAGAATTCCTGATATTTATGGAATTCCCAACAAAATACAGTAATGACGAAGAATGAGCTGTGGTTACCCTGTCTGTAAGGCATCAAAATCTGTCAGCATCCCTTCTATCCGGAACCGTCTGGACCAATCCGACACGGGTGCGAATACGAAGCCACCAAGCCCTTCTTCGTATTGCCTCTGAGTTTTGTTCGTGTTCTTATATTGATCTTGAGATGATGGCGAAAGGAAATTGTTTTGCGTGCGTTCTAAATAGAAAATTCTTCTCAGATATACCCTTGAGAGCCAGAAGAAAATAGATATGTGTCGCTGGGAAACTGTGTGTAGTTACATAGACCAGCTACATAGTTTCGAGCGAAATAATTGGCCGTGACCAAAGGGTATAAGGGCAAGGACCGCACCTCCAGCACTTCTCTACTCCCCAGTCTCAGTATTCACTGCGGAATGCACTCTTTCCCCAAAGAATAGGCTCTTAATACAAGATAGACAAGATTCTTGAGTTGAATACTCTCATGTTCCCTGCCTTCTTTGTCTTCTAGAAGCATTCTTCTCCGCAAGACATAGACCCCAAGCATTCAACGAATAAACTGATCAACATAATTCGGGCCAAGGCCGACTTCCGCGTACAGTAATGAGCCTTGGCGCTAGCCAACTTTGAGAAAAACGTCCTCCACACCTAACGGATTACCCAATGAGTCGACGTAAATGTATGCTCCGGTGACGTGGAACAACGTAGTCATTTCTTCAACTCGTCGCACGCATTAACAACACGACCCTCGAGGACTTGTTGCGGACAACAGTCTGGGAGCCACTCGGAATGAACCTCGACAAACATTCCACCCGGAGCACCAGCCCAACATTCTCGCCCGCCTGGTACCAATGTACGAGCGCACCCCCGACCACGGTCTCGCCCCACGCGAACCGGTCTCCCGGATCCCCGCTCCCCACGACTGCGGCGGCCGCGGCATCTTCTCAACCGCAGCCGACTGGACGCGCTTCATCACCATGCTGCTCGCCGATGGCACAAACCTCCTTACGCCCGCAACCCGCAAGCATCGACGAGATCTTCCGCCCTCAAACAGCCGGCCTCCCCAAGCTCCAAGCCCTTCTCTCCGGCCCGCTGCGTGCATCGCTGCTTTCCACGATGGCGGTGGAGGTCGAGGCGACCGGGATCGAGATTGCGTTTTGGGGGGCCGGTGTATACGCGCGGGATTTCGGGGAAGCGATCTGCGGGGACGCTGCAGTGGGCCGGGAGGCCGAATCTGTACTGGTGGATTGATCGGGCCAAGGGGGTGGCGGCGACGACGTTTACGCAGGTCATGTCGGCGGCGGATGCGAGGTTTGCGGCGATTACGGGGGGGTTGGAGGGGGCGGTTTATGCGGAGCTGGTGTAGGGGAGAGTTAACTCTCTGTCTCGCGTGGTCCTGTCCGGAATCAGACGTTGTTCAGGTTAATAGAGACAGGTTCATATATTCAGATATTTCAAGTCATTGGCATGCAAATCATAGTCCATCTTTGCCTTTACTACAGATGGTCACTTCCTGGCTCCGCAATCAACAAGGCCATGTCAAAGCCAATCTCATGTGGCTTGCTCTTAAAATTCAGGCGTAGCTGGGGTATAACTGGGGAATATATATATATATATATATATGAAGCGGAATATGGGGATCTAGAACAAATCACTATTCTTTACTATATAAAGCCCAGCGGCTATAATACATGGCTTATGTATTATATATGGCCTGGTAAGCAGGCACTAAATTCCGCGCCGACAATAGCAAGATCGAGCCATTGTTTCACGTTGGACATTGGATGGACGTTGATAGTGGGAAAGAGAGTGTCAAGAAGTCAGAATATATTATGTATGATATGTGTGACATGTGTGACATGCGTGAAAAAAATGCCAAGGTATCTCACTTTGCAAGGACCATGGGCTGACTCACTTTCTTCTCTCTGCAAGGGGTTCTCGAGACACAAGTTTTGGGTGTTTTATCTTCCTGGCTTGCAACACAACACTGTATCGGGTTGATTCCGGAAACCGTAATCCCAATTTATCCCGTTGCTCTAGCATCGTATGTATCGGGATGATTCCGGATCCACCACGCATGATCAGTCCTGAAGCCCCATTGTTCCGGGTACGGGAAAGAAGAACTTTCTTTGAGCCGAGGCCAGTTTATGCTCCCTTAGAGTTTCTAAATCTGAAGCGCTTCACATGGTCTCGGCAGCTTTATCCTGAGCTAAGAAAGATCAATCTCTAAAGCCAATTCATGTTGCAATGGATTATCGGTATGCGGCACAATTATTGCTCCGTCGCTTGACGATCTGTGACGCCACGACCCTTATGTAGTAAGCCCCCGGGAAAAGTCCTGCTACCTTAATGGTTGAATTCCGAGATTCACACCAGTAAAGGCTCATTATGTGCTTTGTCTACCTCGGTAAAAATTCGGGGGCTACGTACTGCCCCCGAGTCAAATAGCACACCCTCGAACTGTTTTCCTCTGATCATTCAATGGTCTTTTACAGACACAAAAGTTCATCATGTCAACCCCTCTTGCGATTGTCCCTCCCGAAATCGCCGAGATAGTCACCCGGAAGAAAGCACGATACGGCCGATACATCGACACCAAGCAATGGGACAAGTTTGACCAAATCGCATTGCCGGACGCCAAACTAAGTTTCTACGATGCCGACGGGTCCGTCTTAAAGGCTGGGAATACTTCATTCCAGTTCCAATCTTCTGCTGCATTTACAACATTTTTTCGCAAGTTCTTTGCAAACGCCCAGACACTACACATGTTCGGACCCGGAGACCTGCAACTCGAAGCCCCTGGTGAGGTGAGAGCCATCTGGGGCATGGAAGATCAAATCATACTGAAACACACTGCCGGATTGGTGGAGATCCGTGGCGGAGGGTATTATCATGAGACATGGACGATGAAGGATGGTGACTGGTTCTTGGAATCGCTGGAATTGAAGAGGACCTACCAAAAATCAACCCTCGTGACGAAGATTCTCATATTCTTGGATAGACGTCTCAAGCTTTCTTTTTTTTAGAAGAATATCTACCATCGATTCAAACAGCCTCTATAGTTGCAGGTGCCATCTGACACCTAAGGACTCTTTCTGGGACGGTGTCAATTGCTTCTCTCAACGGCATGCGCTATATAAGTTAATATGAATATGACCACTGCCAAGACAAGGGAGATCAACTTGTTTGATATTTTATGTTCAGGCGGTAATAAAGTAAAGAATATCTCATGATATCTTACTGTAGGCTGATCCTGATATTTCAAGTCTATTACGATTCAACTTTTGGGTTTTCGACTGAAATTTCTGTCTTAACATGTACTGATATGTCTATACCGCTATGTAAATAGGTACCCTATTTTCTGAGGGACCACAGTGTGATGATAGATGAGAGGCGTGTGTATGTCAGCAACTTTAAGATGTATGTTAACAACTGTTCCAAGCCTATATTAGAGTCACGTACCAGAGGCACTTTTAGGAAATGCCCCTGATAATGCAATTATAAGTGAAATGTCTTCAGTTACTAAGCGCTCTATATAAACCTCTGCGCCCCGTTCCATTTTGATGGCCTGCCAGTGGAAATGCGAGCCTTTAAGCGCTTCGTAACAGAACTAGAAAGCCTTGCATCACGAGCAACTGACAGTCTGAGCCGACTTCATCCGGTTCAAGGACTCGTTCCTGCCTTTCTACCGACTGGCCGATCATCATGGGCTCCTTCGCAACAGGAAGGAGAAACGCTCCGCCGAAGTCATGTTCCTATGCACTCTGAGTCTCTCAGTCTGCATAAAAGCGTGTCTCCTGGGGAAAAACACCAAAAGCACGACTACAACCCGACGCAACTACACCGGCGACCTGGAGGTCGCTCGTCGCTTTGCACAGCACATTCTCGACCAGTACCCGGAGCGGCCCACGGTGACGCTCGAACCCGGGACCATCCAGCCTCTGTACATCGCCGCCCATGTTCTGTACGGGTTTCCAGGTCCGGTGGCGGGCGATTAACCTCATACGGGCCTGGCCCCACCGTGAAGGCCCGTTTGATTCCCTCTGGCTCGCGTCCCTCGTGGAGGAGGCGCTGCTAGTTGAAGTAGAGACGCTTGTAAATCTAGATCCGCGCGTGGGGGATATCCTATTCCTGGTCAGAGGGGACGAGATACCTGGCAAAGGCGTTAGAGTTGGGGAGATGATCAAAACCCGCTCGGCGAGATCGAACGTGGCCCGGAAACAGATGTACATGGCACAGCAGGATGGCCTGAACGAGCGTGCGGGTGGATGCCATTATTCTACAACATCCCCTGTTCCACCTAATGTGGTAAGGTGTATGCCTAACTGGTCCTGTCTTCCTTCTTTCCAATATCGTACCTTGAAAGGGAATATATTTTCCTAATCTGAAAGCGCCGGTTCTGATGCTGTCTGCCCTGAGAATACTATAAGCATTCTCTTTTGTGTGATTAAACTCGCTACCGCGTGCCATGGAAAGTATATATATATTTATCTCTCTATAGTAAAATAAATAAGAGTACTTATACCATGAAAATATTCTAGGAGTAGATAGTTTATAGGTGTCCTCAAAAGTGTGTGTGCTTGGATTGCAATCTACATGCCCACAGGTGTTGGTAACGCAGGCAATAGCACAGTTCCATAATAAAGACATACATACAGAAGACTGTGAATATTGGTTAACTAGTTACGGTTTCGGATTTTGGTACAACTTTTGCTTATACGCTGCGAGATCCAAGCTATATGCCGAACAAGGTCCTGAAGTAGTCATTGAGGAACAAGTCCTTAGGGTCCAGCTGCTTGCGTATCTGAAGGAAGCGCCGGATACTCTCTGGATCATGGGTCTTGGTCAGGTTGCTGATGGCTCCGTCCCGCGTCTTATTGATATGTGGGACGCCACCGTGAAGCACCGCAATCTCATTGAAAGCCAGGCGAAACGCCTTCCACGTGGGATCTGTTGGGTCAGGATACTCGGGGTCAACTGCGATCATATTCCCCTTCCGCGAACGCGACAGCAAAGAGGATTGGTCTTGCTTGAGAAAGTAGACGGCAACGGGCATGAGCAAGATAAAGTTATGCTCCCTTCGGAAACAGTCACTTAGTTGTAGAACGCGCGGACGATATCACACCACTTTTCCTCGGGAAACACCCAGTCATAGAATTCAAAGTTGGGGTCGCCTTCCTCATAGATTACACCACGGTCGCAAGGATCTATGGTATAGGTACTGTTGCGGATCCACTTCAGCGGCAAGTCAATCAGTACTTTATTGAGTGGTGCTGCAACAGCCGCTGGGAGCTGTAGAACCATTATGGCCTTCACGAGAGGAAGAAACAGGTCCCCGAACAGAGAAATGATATTCTTATTTTCAACTTGAGTCTCTGGGAGATCCGACTTCGATTTTGCGGAGTCCACGAACTTGCGGCGCTGGAAGAGCAGCTTACCAGAGGTCGGGAACAACATCCCAAAAACCTGGTCGTATTCCGCTTTCAGAGCTTGGAGTTCTCGACCAAAATTGTCAAGGAACCTGCCAATCTCCGCAACCTGGAAACTCATCTCGAGCGGCTGGGACTTGAAAATCCGCATTATGACCTCGCAGACAACCCCAAGCATGCCGAAATGGGAGCGAATAGCGGGCAGGCACTCTGCGTTCTGTGATTCGGATATCTCCATGATCTCGCCATTTGGTGCGACCAGCTTCACACCAAGCACAAATGACGAGAACTGCGCAGATCGATTCATCCAGGTATCATTGGCATGTGTACCACGGATGGCACCGATATGAAAATTTCCCTACTCGAGGATAACAGGGGGTTGAAGGCCCGATGGTTTCAAGTGTGCACACAGCTCACGGAGGCTCACGCCGCCTTTAACAGTGACTGTGAGCTGTTCCTGGTTGACTGATATTATGCGAGCCATCTTTTTCAATGAGATGATGATGCCGGTGCCAATCGTGCATTCGGTTGTTGAATGCATTGCGCCAATAACTGTCACCCGTTGATCCTGTTTAAAAGCTTCCTGGATAATCTCTTGTACTTCCGAAGCCTGTGTCGGTGTCTTGTACCGATCATCAGGTACGGTATACTGAATTTCGTCATTCCAGTTGGTCAAAGAAGGCATAGCTGCAATATGAGAAGAGTGGTGGTCTTTTGATGGAGAGCTTGATGATGACAAGACATGAGGGGCCTATAATCTACCTATAGCCATGCATCTCCAAGCATACGGATTCGAAAGCATGAGGAAATAATTAATGGTGATGTAAGTATGGGGTCCAGCTTCTTGAAGATACGGAATCCTCACGAGTACAATGGTTCTGGGGAACTAGCGTGTGATAGAAGCATATGTTCAAAGTAAATAGTCTGGATTGGAATTAACACAGTGTCTACCGCTGTATGTTCCATATGTTGGGTTGTTTTTGAAAGCTTTTGTCACGCGACTGTAACGCCACTACCTGCTTAAAGCTGGAAAAGGGTTTTTGGAAATCTTTCCCACACTCGGAGAATAACATCAGCTAGATTTTAATTTGAACCCGTCGATGTATCCTATATCTATAGATTCAATCGGATAGAGAGCTGATGACGCAATTGCCGTCTTGTGGTTCAGCAGTCATGCTGGAATTAAAGAAAGCATGGAGCAAACTTGTGCTCCTTCAACAAGCTTTATTCCTTTATTATGTGGGCAACTATACTAAGAAAAAAAAATTTCAAGAATGCCACGGATAAGACTCACACACTGTGGCTGACGCTTTATATGGGATAACCTACATCTTCACAGCTGACTGCTCCCGTCTTCAGGACCTGGCCCCACGCAAGTCTAGACCAATAAATGACTTGTAACAAAGAATTAAGTTGAAATTAAGTTTCCATGCCACGCATCCTTAACTTTAATAAGACCAAGATTAAGCAAAGCTAATCTAATATTCTTCACATGCCCAGGCGTGAATTCGGCTCTACCCGGAATTATAAAGCGGATGCTGGCTAGAGTACATCGGATTTCCAACTAAACCTTAACAGCAGGAGATCTTCATTAAAGACCATGGAACCAAACAGTGTCGTAGATCTCAGGTTAGGGTGGAATGATGACTCGGCAAAGGTAGTCGACCTGTTTTGGGAAATTGGAGTTGACGACAACAGCCTCTCACGATGAAGCCCGGCTCTGGTAGCCACATCTTCCACCATGCCCCAAATTGGGGTTGAGTTGCCTATTGAACTGTTACTCTCACCGCGTTTTGTCATGAGGCGCTGCCAGAATCTCCTACGGAGTCAATGACCCGCAAACACCAGCGCGAGAAAGCAAGAAAGTATAGATGACGCGCTGAGGCCAGCAGCGCAATGGCTGGGTCAGACCACTGCCTTGTTTTCCACGACCGGTGGGTTTCTTGCAATCTGAATGTGAATAGGGTCTAGATCAGTTTCGCAAAACAGCTAATCTGTCTTGGCGAGCTCACGTGCAAAAACTACCTATATATACCCTTGCCAGCGACGGATTTTTTGAACGAAATTCAACCAGCAAAATATATATATACATCCATTACGCAATTTAACATTTTTTAAAATGCAGTCAAACGATAATGAAAACCAACTTGCCGACCTCCAAGAACTGGCAACAAGACTCACGCATAGTTATGATGCCAGAGCTGGAGCAGCACAGGAAGTTCCTATTGTGATGGGTAAGAGTACTTGAAGAGGAAAATACACTGTTCTAACACTCCTCCAAGTGCCAGGATTTTCGGGATGGGGAAGTCCTCTCTTTGGCGCTGTCAATTACTGGGGTGGGATTGAGAATATTCCCCAGGAGCTTGCAAAAGCTGGTTACACGGTGATTGTGACTCCAATAGCTCCCATCTCATCTAATTGGGAACGCGCGTGTGAGCTTTATGCACAGCTTACATCTGGAAGGCATGTATGCAGGATAAAATTTCGACCAGAGATTCTAACAGGATGCAGATTCTCCTGGTATGACGTCGGAAAAGGAACATTTGGAGATGACAAGCTAAGCAATGACAAGCTAAGCAACTTCAGCTGGTATGTGCGCAACGGGGAGATATGGGACCCAAGATTTTCTGACTCAATGTAGGATATGGCAGTACCTTTTTAGAAGAGACACATCGCGCCAGGGTATTGATGTCGACTATGGTGATATATTTCCAGAAAGATATGGATATGAACGGTATACTACAAAGCGAAAACTCCCGATTATATTCACGCGTGATCGCAAAAGATGGACCAACTGGGTCTGGAGTAAGGACAAGCCAGTTCACTTTATTTGTCATTCACAAGGAGGAAATACTGTTCGATATTTGCTCCATCTTATGGAAAATGGCTCGAGGAATTTGACAAACGACCCCTCGGGTAGTCCTCCGGCGCACTCGAAATATTTCGAACACCCAGGACGCAGCAACTGGGCAATTTCGGTTTCAACTATTGGGACACCTCATAGGGGTACCACAGTTGTCAATGCCATCGAGAAATATTTCGAAGTATGTCTTCCTTCCATACATTTGAAATATGCTAATGTGAGTAGGAAATGGATATTGAGCAGAAGACTAGACTTATTGGCCGCCTGTTTGCAACTCTTTCTTTCAGCGAACCTGAAAATAGGTTTTATGATCTTCAACTTGATCATTGGGGCCTTAGAAAAGTCAGAAATCCAGCCGGAGAGGAATCTTTCCAAGAGATGCGAACAAGATTGGAATCTCATATACATGGTGCTCAACCCGGACCAGTGCGTCGATGGCTCGATTCAAACCACAATGGACTTTATGATAATAGCATTGCTGGAGTCGATGATTTGAACAACAAAACCACTCCTACCTTCGACAATATATACTACTTCAGCCTGTCCTTCACCTGTGTGCAGCAATTTCCGGCCAACTGGCCACAATGGACGTTACACGCGCTGAGTGAGTTTCCTCTGGCTATTCATGACTTTTTCAAGGGAGTAAATCTCCCATTTGTCCAGGACGCGGCTCAATTTGTGCGTAATTTTGTTACCCAGAGTGGATACGAGTTTGTGGCTACGCAAACTTCCTTCACCGATGTTTTTGTTTGGGCTTTGAACTATCTCGTCAATCCTTTCCTCAGGGACAATGGTTACCAAATCAAATTACCTGGACCTCCTGATTACTTACCAGTCCCGAGTGTCTTCCCGCCTATGCTTCCAATTGCGTATGCCATGAGTTCCTATGACTTGACCGATCATGAAGCCAATATTCTAGGAAGTGACTCTCACACCTGGAAGGTCAACGATGGCATCGTGAATACTGCCTCTATGCAAGGCCCACTCAATCCAACTGGAGGCCGACATGGTAGCCACAACGATGAGCTAATTGCAGAGGCAAGCTTCTTTCCTCACAATCCAGAGGATATACCAGCAGCCAAAGGAAAGTATTGGCATTTCACTCCTAAGACTGGTGTGAATCATGCTGATCAGATTGGCAATTTCATTGAGGAAAACACAGTAAGAATTTTCACCGAATCTCGAATCGATGTAATAAACGGAGCTAATAATTGGACTAGGCCAGATTTACAATGGACATGTACAATGCACTAGTGACAATCATTTCTCGCCTTCCGCGAGAGATGCATATATCTATGCCCTATCTCACGCCTGTTCCTGAGGGATCTGCGGAACCTCACAGCGACTAAGAATTAGCAAGCAAAGCCTTCAATTTAGATATCACGGGAATGGAAGCACTGGGCTGGAAACATTGATGACGTATGTTCAATAGTGCATAACCGATGATCAGGTCGCCGTAGGAGTAGCAGCCTTAATGGCTAAATATAGCCTCCACGCATCTACGTATTCAATATATTCATGTCTCAAGGTGCTCAAGAATCCATTGGCTATTCTTCGCCAGTAGACCTTGGAAATACGCCTTAATCTAGGCTTCGTGGTTAACTTTAGAAGAAGAGGAGATATACCCGCTTGCGTATAGGTAATGTTTGTAAATTACTATTTTTTTTTCGAAGATTGTAAACCGGTGGTGGTAGAAATTGCGCGGCGCCAGACCTGCTTAGCTCCGCCTCTATGACTTGCATGCAACAAATGTGTTACTCCCACCACTACCATCTTCAACCGACAACACACGTCCTTCATTCCTTTCTGCCTCGTAATCTTTCTCGCAGTGCGCCAACAGCAGCTCAAGTCTGGACTCAATATGAGTTCCTCTTTTCGCCTGTTTGGTGATTTATGGCTTGAAGCTCCTCAGAAGTTTCTAAACAACGAGGAGCTCTCAAAGCTTCATTGATACCTACCTCTTATTCAAGAGCTTAATAGTAACTGGAAACACCGTAAGACTATCTCACAATGCTCTCGCTGACTACCTGACCACTAATTTTCTAGGCCTGGCCAGGGCATAGGACATCGACTCCACTTTCGCAACCTCCATCGCAAAAGAGACCGGTGTATGGAGACAACTGGGAGTAGAGCGGTCGAGCCAGCACCTTTTACCTCCAAGCGGGTCGCTAGCCTCTCCTATCGCCTGTCACCTCATGAATCCTACATTCTATGTTGGTGACCCAGAGAATCCAGTGACTGATGACCCGACAAGCCCGACAATACAACTCATGAATGACAGCGGCTTCTCGTCAAATAACTGTTTAGTTTTTGACCAGGTGTGCCGCAGAGAAGAGACGCTAGATGTTCTTCATTTCTATAATAAGGACATTTACAAGCCACACCGCGAGTTTGTGGGTGAGATTCGGAGACATATGAGCGCTGTCGTTGAGGTTTTCTAGGGGCGAGACGTCTAGAAGCAGATGGAATGTAATATGGGCATTCGGCTGGTTTCATTTCCGTTGTGGGGGGCTTTTAGTTCTATCAGGCTTTACCTTGAGCTTGGGGAAGATGGTCGGTCCCTCATAAGATTCATCCTTCACGTTTATCATCCACAATTCTTCTGCAGAAGCGGTATTGGAAAGCTTGATCTAGAACGGCGAAGGAGCTTCGGGCAAGCTCAGGATAAAGCCCTAACTATGGCCGCTCGGCTTGCTAGGGGAACCAGCAACATATCTAAGCTCCATTATTTCCTTCCAGAGACTCCTTTCCGCTCATGGTATCGACTGTCACGAGACCAAGAGTCTACTAGAAACAGACACGTCGAGACCACAAATCAAGCGTTACAAACAGCGTTTCCTGAGCATTACCGACAACGAGAGCTCCAGAAGGCTGAGAGAACGAAGGATATTAGCGAGTTAGAAACTTTCCTGAAAAGTCTACTCAATCCTATGGTGACGCGCTCAATAGCCCAGGAGATCTCGCATGATAGGATCATGAGTATCCTTTCTGTCTGAATGGGTGTCAAAAATGATTATTTGTCTCAGGGACAGTCGTTGATAGATCAGATAGGCACTCCTCGCCGAAGAAAGGAAGACGAAAATCGCTGGAGTGGTGGCATCCTTCCACGTCGCGTATACCAGTCTGGACCCGGAAAGCCGTCAAGATGTTGAGTTATTCAACTGGGAAGCACTCCCAGCACCCCTTGCCGAGTGGATTGAAAGTCAAGAAGGACTGAGGATTGGTGGCAAAGCGATATCAGACCGAGCAATGCTTGAAACGGCCTTCAAAATGCTATCTGGCAGTCGTACTGCCCTGATAGACTTTGACGAGAAAATTGTTCCATCCTAGAGCTTGCAATCGAAGTTGCGTTCAAGTACATCAAGAAAATAACGTCAACTAGACGGCAGTTTGTCCAACAACGGACTATTCCCGGGAGCTGTGGGCAAGTCATTGTGCGCAAATGTGCGACATGCAATATGAATGTTCTTGATGACGCCTTCCCCCTTTTTTGCAAGGACATGCCTGAACGGTACGTTATAATTGTACTCTCTGTGGGACCTGGCTGTGGATGGCCAGGTTGCAAAGGACGCCCATCCCTCGTCCGTGCCGATCCCCGATTGCGGTATGTTGCGCCAGTCTTAAAGGGGTTCGAAAAGGCCAAAAGAACTGAAAATGGCGCATCTAAAATTCTTACGTTACTCCGCGTGGGCTCGGACTTGGAAGGCTGTCCCTCGGTGGTTACTGTGAGGTGTCCAAAATGCAGGCATACCCGGGACTATTCCCGTCCGCGCTGGACAATACACAAACCTCCTCGTCTTGTATTGCCTCGCCCAAAATGCGGATCCTGCGACTTTAATCAGTCATACTTCTCTGCTGTTGACTCTCAGATGAAAACAATAACGGAGCCTTCTTTGTCCTCGGTTCTGAACGGGTTCAAAGCAATTGGCTGCAATCTTGAGCAGTTTCCTAGGATTCCCGAAATTATTTTTGCGCGAACAAGTTATGAGAATAGGTTCGAGATGCTCAAGCAGGCAAAGGAGCGCCACACCAACCCCCAGTCAACTGCGGCAATGGAGAAGAAGGATTGAAGCTTGAGAAGGCCAATGACGAGGCCAATCCACACTTGGCAATGGGCGAATCATGGTTATGGTGGACTAGGGTTCTCATGTTAGTTGATATTCGATGGCACCTCGTATGGAATTCGGGATCTTGGTATGTCTCTACCGGCGTCCACACATTCATCCGTTACGCTTGATAGTTTGAGGATATTCAGCGGTGTGGTGTCCGAGACGACGTTGCGGTAAATGGGGATGGAAAGTTTACTATTAGAAGTGTGTGAGAGGTCCAGTGAAACGTACTTACCGAACATGGTGAAACGACCCTTTTTGGCCCGGTCTAGTTGTTGGCTCTGGTGGGCTTCAGAATATCAATTTCTGCTGGACGGTGTTATAATCTGTGTGAATCATAGTTTACTAGTTCCCCTGCCTGCAGATAACTGAATTCAAGCATCAACCAACTGTAGAGGAGGATCCATTTATGTACTGCTACACCCACGACCTCGGCACAGCCGTGTGTCCGGGGCCGACGAAAACCACATCGGAAAAGTGCCATCACGAGACTGACTCGCATCTAACTACAGTGTGGGGTGCGGGGAGGGGGAGGAACTGGTGACACCGACCGAGCAGCAACGCCAACGCAATTGGCCGAGGTCTATGCCTCCGACGAGGTGGAAAGAGAGAGCCTTCCGGCACCGAACAGCGGGACCGGTCAGAGATTCATCTTATCCTGTATCCCCCAAGCAAGGACGAGCAAAACATTAATACCACCGTCATAAACGTCCTGGACGCTCTAACGGTTCACTCCAATTGGCAGAATAGATGGAGTATTCACCGGGTGCAGCTCGAAGCCAACTTTGGGCGTATGGGGTTTTGAGGCTCGCAAGAAGATTCGTATGCAGGAGGCCGCAGAGATGGTGGTCTGGATCAAATCCAGACCAGAGCGCGATGGACTCTTGAACTCTGGAGGCAGGTGAGTTTGACGCGCAGGCGTTTCCCGCCATTAAAGACAGAGCTGACAAAATGATGGTTCTGGACGCCTCCATGTATCCCAAGACCGACACGAAATCTCGTCATCGCTGCCAAGTATTCCCCTGCGTACTTGGAGTTTATCGCCAAGAGTGCCCCGATAAACACCTTTATAACAATGCATGATTACGGTCCATTTGACACCAATGACAGGAAACATAAGACCTCATAATACCATTGTATATGATAATATACGTTAAAAACGGATGGTTATGAAGGTTCAGTAGAGGTGGTGGTGCGCAGCGCTCGCTCTGCCACGCCTTGGCCGCAGATATCCCGTGATGTCACGTGATATTTGTGGACAAAAAGGGAAAAAAAACGTCAGCAGCAGGGTTCGACTGCGCTCCCGAAGGAATTAGATTTCAAGTCTAACTTGTTAACCACTCCACCATGCTGACCGTCTCTTACTTGCTCGCCTGAAACAATGGTCCTTATATACATTGTACTCAAATCAAAAAGATCTGCGCTTTGGTTATGAGACCACTTTCTCCAGGCAGAGTATATATTTATATACCGTCGGCGCGATCAGAAGAAGATGGTGTCGGCTACCCGTAGCGCTTCAGAGGTAGCTGTGTATGCACTTTGAACAGCTGCACTAACCACGGGGTCGATAGCTAGGAGTTTCTGCAAACGCTTACATTTGCTAGGAGTGGTGAACAGCGTAGCATAAATATCCCTGCATCTAACAGTCTCCCTGTTGTTCTCTAATGATAAGTGACTTTCAACGAACTATCTTGTACCTGACGTAGCCAATAGATGGGACCATTATTTTCTAGTCCTCATAACGTGGCGCCTTGCAGATGACTACCTAGTAGTACTAAGGAGGCACCAATAAACATAGTCTGGTCGGGATATATATATATGGAGCCCCAACATTGGATACGCCATATTGTTTAGGAGTCAACAGTCACAATTGCAATGCAATATGCCCAGGATTTCAAGTCACCTTTTTAGTACTTATGGGCGGACGCTCGCCTTGCCTAACCGTTTGTATACATCGAGAATCGATGGGGACCTTAGCCATGACCCGTACTGGGTTCGCATGGCCAAACGGAACGACGGTGTACCTCAAGCGACTCGTCCTTGCCCACAACTGTTAAGGCTCCAATTCTCCCCTTGCGGCTGTCGCAAAATTGTTTAGATATTTATTCAAAACTATGAGTACACTTTTATTACTGGACTTCAGTTACGTATCCTCAAGCTTACCAACATCCTCTTTATCCTGCTCGGCCTGTCCAACCTGGCCCAAACCGACAATGGTTCTCGATTCCAACTAACACTGACAGGCTGAAGCCTGCCACGCCGTACGGCCCCATGGAATGATTACACTCTGACTGATCTGTACCCAAGTGTAAGTGCCAGGACCATCCCCCTTTATTATGCTGGTCTCTGCTAATATGCGTTTCAGGGCCATTCTGAGGAACACAGGCCTGCGCTATCACATAAACTACAGATTTAGACCA